GCGCTATATCATTTGTTTCTCCCGTCGTCTCATGGTCACTGTCGTCTCATGCTCGTTTTCTGCTTTCTCGTGCTCGCTTTCTGCTTTCTCGTGCTCGCTTTCTGCTTTCTCGTGCTTGTCTCTGCTTTCTCATACTTGTCTCTGCCTTCTCATGCTCACTGCAACTCCGTCTCTGACTCGAGATCTCGCCTCTGTCTTCGACTCGGGATCTCAGCTCCGTCTCCAAGTCTCGACGGATCCTTTACTCGCCACGCACCATCAACTCATCTTCTCAACATGAGTGCTTCGCCTTCTAGACATGGGCCCTTGACCTTCTCGACATGGGCCCTCGACCTTCTCAGCAAGAGCCGTCGACCTTCTCGACAAGAGCACTGTCCTTCTCATCCGCTCACATCCGTCTCAGCCCATCCAGCTCACCCCCTTGCCTCCTCATCTCCCCCATAGCCAGTCGTATCTCACTCATACTTACTCACAACTTACTCGTAGCTCACTCTTGTCTTTCTCGTAGCTCAGCTGTAGTATTTCTCATACTCGGGGGGAGGATGGGGAGCACATTGACCAGGCTGGTACTTATATTCTGCGGGGTCGTACGAGATGCAGGAACGAGACCACGGAATTTGCGAGTCGGGAGATCACGCAAGAGCAGGCCGTGATGCGGGAGAACAAGCCCGGGACTGGCCCAAAACTCGGCCGTGGCTCGAGCGGGCGGTGTACGTACACGGGAGTGATCCGTTGGCCTCGACGAGTCGGGAGATCAGTAGCGTAGTAGACGGTTAGTAGGGAGTAAGCTTGGCAGAGGAGAGTGACAGCGATAGTAAAATCGGTGGGGGAGGAGGTAGAGCAGACAGCCACCTGAAACCTTGTAGAGGGTGAGTAACAACCATGCCCTACCACCCCCAACTTGCCCGAGGTCGAACGGAGGACGCCGACGAGCTGCAGAATTTGTACAAGCGAGATGTCACGCTTTTGTGAGTTGAGGAGGGCACATAAAATCAGAGAGTGGAGGAATTGAGCAGTAAAGCCACAAATCATCTGGAATAGAGAGGGAGTACACATCCCGGGTAGTCCGAAGGCGCAAAACAAAGAATCTCGAAAAACGCGTTCGACAGCGATGGCACACGTCGTTTCTCAACTTTTCGCCCAAAATGGTAATCTCCCGGTTCAAGTTTCGCTGTGACGTGACAAGGGACGATGCGGGTCGCCGGCCGTCGACGGACGCGCGCAGGGCCTCGCACCACCACACCACGCCACGCCACCACGCCACTGGCCGACGACCATAAGAGCAAGAGCAGAGCGGGAAGCGCACAGCCACCCGCCCGCGGATCCCATGACGCACCCACCCCGGCCTCCCGCGCCGGCATCCGCGCGCTGCCCGCCCAACGGACGCGAGTGTTCCCTGCTTTGGCGGAGAGAGCGCGATCGTGACGTGCGAGTCGACTAGGTGCGTGCATCCAGCGACTGGGGCTCATCCGCCGACTAAGATGGAAGTAGGACGAGAGGACGGGAAGCACGAAATAAGCTTTCTAACCTTCAGTATCGACGCTGTTTGCGCAAGCGCTGTGACCGCCGTTGGCCGAAACGTCCTTGCCACCGCGACGAAGTCCTGTCCTCGTCGAAGCACCAGCAATCCGATGAGCGGGACGTCGACTCCCCTCACGTCGAGGACACTGTTCCACGTTTGCTAGGCTGCGCGGCGGCGAGGGTCGAGCATGGAGGCGTCTCCACTGACGCAGCGTCCTGCCCGTCCGCCAGCATGGTCGGTTCGGTTCGCCAGCGGGACAAGGGGGACGATGATCGGACTTGGTCACCCGGCGGCACTCGGAGGTCGCGCGCGCGCCGGCGCACGTAATTACGCACCTTCCCCTCCTCCTCCCCCACCCTCCGGGCCTACGTATGCCTTCGCACACCCTCCTGCGCTCCTCCCTCGCGCCCCTCCGCCGCCAGGTCGGCTCAGCGCGCCGTCATACCTCGTCCATTAACGTCAGTGTCACCTCCAAGGTGATAGCTCCCGCCGGTCGCTGATTACCGGCGCAATGCCGAACAGACCCTCCTCCAGGCGTTCAAGGATCCGTCATCGCCCTTCCACATTCGCCCGGGCGAGACGGGTCCCGCCTCGCCCGATGAAGAGCCAGCTGACGCGCCACACGACTCCCGAGCGACCGTGGATAAAGGCACGGACAGCCCGCCCTCGCATTCAGTGCGGCGGACCTCTCCCCGGGACGCGTCGCCAGCCTCTCTGGCCGAGGCTCGTGCGGCGCTCGTCGACCGCGGGTTTGACCCTGACGTCCTTTGGACGCAGAAGATCGTCTGGGGCGACCTCGATAGCTTTCAGTGCGTATGAACGACTTTATGACGCAGCTGCAGTAGGGTAGACGGCCAGGGCGAGCCGGGAGCTCACCTTTGCGCATTTACAGGCACGTCAACAATGTCCGTTACGGTACGTCTCTCCTCGTGTAGGGCACGGCCCGGGAGATTGTACGGCCTGCTTATTCCACGCCTGTCTCTTCCTGCACTCGACGCCGGAATGCAGTGCGATTCTTCGAGACGGTTCGTGGAGTTGCTGTACCCTCGTCACCGCATACTCACAGGCCGTGTGATCACCTGCAGTCCCGGATCCACTGGATGTCGACCTTCGGAGAGCGCTTCGGCGGCCCGTCTGCCGCAGAGGCGCTGCTCAAGGGCAAGGGCGTCTCGTTGATCCTCAAGTCCATCCAGGTCAACTTCAGGCGGCCCGTGACGCATCCCGACACGGTTAGTGTCTCCCTCGTGATATGCACGTCGTATCTAGCGAGCTCATTGCACGTCCGCCCTGGTCTCTAGCTCATTGTGGCGCACAAACCGCATCGGCCCGCCTCGACTGAATTGGCAGCGGATGCGACACACCTGCACCTACGTGCCTCGGCATATTCCCTGAACCAGCGAGCGTTCGTTGCCCACGCCGAGGAAGTTGTCGTGTGGTACGACTACGACAGGCTGAAGAAGTGCACGCCCGAGCAAGGTTTGCTCAATGCGGTCTGGGCGACTGCGGGAAAGCGGCGAAATTGAGGGTTTTGGAGTGGGGGCTTGACCACCGACGCGGTACTTCCATTTTCTCGTCGAGTTGTCGGTGGGAGGTCCGTCTCGGGCGGTGCGCTCCTCATCGTCCCTTGCGGTCCGCTCACGACGGTTCCCAGACCAAATCGACGATTGCTGTCGCTGCGACACCCCCACGGCGTCGTCTACACATTCAACGCGATTGCGCGATGAGAGTGTGGAGGGTGTAGACGGGGAGGGCGGTGGAGAGGGAGGGGACGAGCACGCACGGAGGTGGGGAGACGCGCGGCGAGGATAGCAACAGAGCGAATGTGTAGCGTATAGACAATAGAAGACGCAGTTTTGCACCCCCTCGAGCGTGAACTTGGTCGCGAGGATGAGCGCTCCCGCCGCGCTCTCAAGCCCTCCCCTCGCACCCCCTCGCCCTCCCTCCGCAAGTAGAGGCCCGTTCACGATGTTATCTTGTGCTCACACCTCGCACTCACACCTCGCTTTGGACTCGGCAACGGTCTTTCATTGAATATCTACCACAGAAGTCCTACCTACAATTTCCCCAGCGTCCTCCACCCTTCCCCTTTGTCCCCAGACCATCCCTTACCCCACCAGACAGCCCCCTCACTCGGGGAGGTTCCTCGGGTCGGTGAGCAGACGTGCTCGAAGGGTGAGCGAACGTGACAAGACCACGCACCCACCAGCCATGCCCTTTCCCTCCCTTCCCCCCATACCCCCTCCGACCGCACGAAACATCGCTCATGACCTTCCGCGACGCGAAAGTCGATATACCGACGTGGCCTCGTCGCCGCACTGTCCTTCGTCGCTCGACGGACGCGGGGAGGGAGGGAGGGAAGAGGGGAGGTTGAAGAAGCGTTAGCCGCGCACGCAGAGGGGGATAAGGGCACCTGTACAGCTCCCGACCGTCTCCGAAATCCTTCGCTCGCGCTCGAACCCGCTCGGAGAGCTCAACGCCGATAGGCGCCGTCGCGCGCCCGGGCGGAAGCGCGCTCTCCCCCTCCCTCCTCCCTCCCTACCCAACGGCGCCTCCGACCCTCCCTCCCTGCTCCCCATCGTCAACTCACTCATCCGCGTCGTCTCCCTGCGTCTCAAGCCCCGTCCCCGCGAGCTTTCCTGTTTTTCCCCACCCTCCCTTCGCACCCCTCCCTACCCCCCTCCATCCCCCCCCCTCGCAAGCGCACCACCCGCGGCGACAACGGCCGAGATCGAAGGGGCGCGTCTCGACGTCGTACCTCGGTGTCCTTCTCCTTCACGGCCGACCTACAAGCCCGTCAGCCACAAAACATCAAGCGCGAAGGAAGGGGGGAAGTGCCCTCCCCCCGCACCCCTACCTCGCTGCCGTCGCGCACCTCTCCCCGGTTTCCCAGGCTTGAAAATCGCGTGCAGAGGGTGCGCGTCGTCGTCGTTGGGTGCGGGGTGAAGGGAATGTGGGAGAGTCGAGGGGGGTAGGGATTTTATATGAGCGAGGAGGGGGAGGAAGGGAGGAGGGAGGAGGGAGGGACGGTTACTCACCCTCTTCGTGCTCGTCGTCGAGGGGGCTCGCCCGTGCTTCAGGAAGTTTGAGGTCGATATAAATCCGGCCTCTGAGAGATTGGGGCATGAGGGAAAAGGGTGGAGGGGAAGATCCCCCACCCCCGTCGCATCCTTCGCCGAGGGAACCCCGCGCGTGTCTCCGACGGCTCGCACTCGCGAAAAGAATTGTCTATAGAGAGGTCAGCATGCGCCTCTTGTTTCACGGCATTACGACGCGCAGGGATGTACGCAGCGGGGGAGGGGGGAGGGATGAAGGGAGGAGAGGGGAGGGATGAAGGGGGGAGGGGATGAGGAGGGCATCTCACCCTCTTCGCGTTCTTCGTGGAGGTAGTTCCTGCGTACCTTCAGCACTTCACGGTACGGCCAAAAACCCAATCTCAATGGGTCAGGGCGTCTCTCCAGTCGAAGGGGAGGGGGGTGGAGGTCGGAGTCCCCCACCCTCGTCGCGTATTTCGACGAGCGAGCACGCGCTCGCCATTCCGGCGGCTCAGACTCGTCGAGTCATCGTCTCGCAAGAGGTCAGTGTGTGATTCTAGGTGCGCAGGAGAGACCACTCACCCCTCACGCAAGCTCACCCGCTACGCTCGAGACGCCGTCACCCTCCTTCTCGCACTCAACGTCGCCGGCGTCTTGTACACGGACTGTTGACAAATCACACGCGCGCCTTCAGCGCTTCAAGCTTGGCGACGTTCCGCTGATGAAGGGGTCAGCGGGTGGTCAAGAGAAGGGGGTGGGGAGGGTACCCCACCCTCGCCGACAACCTTACCGAGGCCCCGCGTGCTTCCGGCGGTCACTCAGCGGCCTAGGTGGCGTCGAAGAGGACGTCAGATGCATCTCTGTGGCTGTATCAGTGGCGGTCAAGTAGAAAAAAGGTAGCAAAGACATACCGACTCGGGTCGAAATATCGACCTGCACGACCTCAAAGGAAGTGGAGGGGGTAGCGATACCCCTGCCCCTCGTCGCGCAGCCTAGCGCGGCAAGTTCGCGCACCTACCTCGGTCACTAATTCACGACGGATAATCGGTCAAGGGATCAGTACGCGCTGGGGGGATGACGGGAATAGGTAGGAAGGTCAAACTCACATAACAAGGCCTTTGCGAGGGAGGATACCCCTCCCTCGCCGCATTTCTCCTCTTGAAGCCCCGCGCACGCCTCCGGCGGCTTCCCAGTAGCCGAAATGGCGCTTAAGAAGGGCATACGTAGACCTAGATGACATTATTAGCCACAGCCAAGCGACCGTGATAGAAGGGACGTACTTCTCGAGGGAGAGTAGCCCTCCCTCGCCGCATCTAGAAAACCCCTCGCGCACCTTCGGCGGCTTGCGGCCAGCGAGAAAGGCGGTGCAAAAACGGGGGTCAAAGGTTCCCCGGCGCGCTTATCGAGAGGCAGCGGAGGGTGCCCAACCCTCGTCGCAGCCTTCGCCGAGAGACCCTCCGCATGCCTCCGGCGGCTCGGGGTCAGCAGAAACTCGCCTGACAAGGGTTCAGCATGTTTTCAAGCAAAGTCCAAATAAATAGCGGCACGTACCAGGGTTTTACCGTCGTTTTATCGACGAGAGCGGAGGGTTGAGGGGTCTGGTTTTGCTCTGAGACATCTTGCTTAACATCCGGATTGCGGGAATGCGGCGTATAGCACGCTCGGTCGTCGCCTCAGACTTACGAAAACCAGACGAAAGGGTCAGCATCGAAGGAAAGAAGAGGGTGGTACCCCACCCTCGCCGCATTACTCACCTAGAATACCCCACGCACGCCTCCGGCGGCTCGGGGTCGGCGTAAAATGCCCCAAAGGTGGGGGCCATAGCGGCCCGACGTCGGGGTAGAGAAGGAGGAAGGGGAGGGTGCCCCACCCTCGTCGCATCCTTCGCCGAGGGACCCCGCGCGTGCCTCCGGCGGCTCGGGGTCTGCAGAAAATCGTCTGAAAAGGGGTCAGTAAGCACGCTTCGTAGTTCAAACACAAGGAGGGTACTCACGGCCTTTTCAGTCGGCATGGGGGTCGAGAAATAAGGACCTTGCTTAACATTCAGATTGCGTGAAGGTTGGCTTACGACGCCCCTCTGCTGCCGTCGTGCCGGTGGCTGCATTCGAGATTCGATCAAGGGGTCAGCAGTGAGGGAACATGAAATTAAACCCCCAAATTCGCCGAGTGTTTCGACGATGTCGATACTATCTATGAAGTGGTCAGCCCCCGCGTGTACGGTACAACAGGCAGGGGTCAACAACGAACCCAATCGACCATATTTCGCTCTCTCACGGCGATTGCGACTCAGTGGAATGATTTGCAAGGGGTATCCCCGTCGCGTCGTCCGACGAGGGTGCGTACGCAGGGCTCCAGCGGTCGGAGCCACACCAAAAATTTGCCTATCAAGGGGTCAGCTTGCATCTGATATAGCGGGTACCGGGTCGTAATCTTGAAAAAGAAGGTAAGCTCACTGGTCAAGCGTCTCGCCTGCGATAGCGAGACCTTGCCTCCGGTTACTTGGGGGGTCCACGGACGAGGACGAGGGGGTCGCGTACCCCTTCTCGTCGTTGTGCAAAGCCTGGTCGAGTCTAGACCGTGGTCAGCGGCTGTAGGCGATGGTAAAGGTATCGACTCGCTTTGTGGGACGACGAGGACGCCGTCTCGTCGTCTTGGGCGGCGGGGGAAAGCGGGGAGATGAGCGTGAGCCGGTGTTGTAAGCAGTCTGTGGACGCTGTTAGCACGTGCCATGACGACGAGGGCCGCGAACTCACCGTACAGCGTGGCTAAGGGTACTCCTGCGTCGTTGAGAGCGTTGGGTAAGTGAGGGAGTCGGTCGCTCTCGCATTGAGCGCGGCCCACGAGACGCGGCGGCGCGTGTTCTCGCTCGCAGTGCAGCGACACCGCGGGCTACGGCGCCGGAAGATGGTGGAGGGTGGTAGTAGGAATGAATTTTGAGGCGTCGACAACATCTGGCTCGTCATCTACGAAGGTCATCAGCAGTCGTGAACATGAGAGAAGGCACCGACGACGGACCTTGCGAGCGCGAAAGCTAAGCGCCGGGTAAGACCGACGTCGAGGCTGCGCTAGACAGCTCGCCATTGCCGCTGTCGTCGCTGGCTCTGGTGTAGAAGGCCGGAGGTCGTCGAGTCCATCGCCCTCGCGCTCTCCTCCGGCCTGTATGACTACACCTCCTGCAACAACAAGGACAGTCCCAATGCTCAGGCGTCGACGACCCCTCACCGCTGACGCAGTCCTACCTTCGCGATCCGGCAGGGACGTCGACCCCCGTAAATCCCGAGAGCGCCCGAGACGCGGAGCGAGCCCGCTGCTGCACAACGCGTCAGACTCGGTCATCGAGTGAGGAGCGAGTAAGGGCGTACCGTTATGAGGATGATTGAGCATGGTTAAGACGCGTTTGGTGTCGATTGATGGTGCGCGTTCGAAATGGGTCGAGGCGTGGCGTGATGACGATAGGGCTAGGAATGCACGACAATCAGTAGTCGTACGGAATGGGGAGTCAACGTGCTCGTTCAGATAGTAGACTGTATAGAAAAGTCAAGAAACAGTGGACTGAAGAAAGAGTGAATGAAATGAGAGACGTACCATTCGAAACAAAGCGGGCAAAACGGCGGGCTATGAATATAATAGTCAGTAAAGTGAGAGCTGCAAAGTGGAGGAACAATGCTTACGAAGGGGACGACTAGATCGACAGTCAGAAGTGTCAGAAGAGGAGGAGGGAGAGATAGGAGGGAGGTGCTGGATGCTGGAATAGACGGCAGAACACGCCGCCTCTTATACCCTCCTCGACGGCAGCACGCCGCGCCCCGCTTCCGCAAAACTTCCAGACCCAAGTCCGCCATCACCGGAAGGAGACCTCGGCGGTCCGCGACCGAGACCTACCGAGCAAAAGTCGGAAGATTGGGGGGAATGAGCGCGCCCGGCGCGCGCACTCTTTTCCGCCTATCCCTGCGTGAATGTCAGTCAGATCTCGGCGAAAAATATTCCAGACGTACCTCTTCGGCGACGGAAGGCCGGACCCGGGCCGACGTAGGGCGGGGCTCGGGTGCGGTAGACCCTTTCTTGCGCGGTGTGCCCCTGCGCGTTCAAGTCGTTCAAGTCGCTAACGACGCGTTCAGCGCTCAGAAAAGAGCAGCAGAGGGTGCGCGGAGGGTACACGAGGCTGGGGGTGACGCGTGACAGGGCTGAGACCCCGCGAGGAGGAGGGGGACAGGCAGGAAAAGTCGACCTCTGCAAGATCAAGTCCTATCTCCATTCGGCAGGCTTTGAGCTGCTCGTAAAGCAGCGTGTCGTCGGCGCGCTTCCAAACCCGGTGAAGCACATCCCAAAATTCAGGCCCAGTATGCGGCACGTGTCCGCGACGCTGTCTACTTGTCGTGTCGTGTCGCCGAGTGGGGTAGGGCCGTGCCATGGGTGTATGCCGCTCAACCCGCCAAGGTGAAGTGGCGAGTCGGCCTCGAGCGTGGCGCGGCCTCCGTCGCCGCGCATAAAAGTTCGGGCGGTTTGATGGCGCCCAGATCCCCGCGTCTGGGGTCGTGAATGAGCCGAAAACCGGGAGGGGACGAACGGGGAGGAGAAGGGTCGGACAGGATATCCGCCATGTACACAGGTCGGATGGCGTTCGTCGCGGGTCTTGACGTCGTCAAGATGTTGGGGAATTCATCCGTGGCGCGCGGGGGGTGGCTGAGAGGCTGGCGACGTGGCGGTACCGGCGATGTGATTCTTGGGTTGGCAAGAAAGGTTCTTGTGCACAGGGAGCGCGGGAGAGCGAGGCTGCGTCCGAAGCCCCAATATCTCATAGTATAGTATTACTACCAAGTATATATGTACTTCTTTTTGTCAGTACTGGCGTCGGACATTGGAATTTGGACTTACCGGGTGCGACGCCACATGCTCAGTTCTTCAATTACCCCCCGAGACATCCTGATGCCATGCAGCTCTATCCAGAGTGCGGAGACGCGTACTGTAGGATACATCCTTCGAAAGCATTCCCCACTGATTTCATTGAATTTAGTTCGTACATCCCGTATCGACGTACCGGGAGAAGGTCGGCATACATCTGCACACCCCGACCTTCATAGTACCGATATTCCCTGACCTCGCCTCGGTCTCGCCCTCAACTTCTCAAGCTACACCTTGAGCATCGCACAAAGTGCCATAGAACCTTGTGAGAACCATCGGTGGCATTCTGGTAATGGGGGATAGGTGTCGTAGGCTGCTGCGCGCTGTCCCACGATGACTTGACTGATTCTGAGAGATCCCGAAGTGAGGGAGATGGTAAAGCTCGAGGATAAGGGCTTATAGCAGAGGAAAATCCGACGCCGTCGTTGACATCGCGGGGGACTACGTGGATGCATGGGAAACGAGATGAGCGCGCGGGGGAAGAGCGGTCGGCAATTGCCGATGCGCGGGAAAGCGGGGCGGGCGCCGGGCGCCTATCTGGGCGCTTGTTGTCTCCGACCATCACCACCGTCACCCGACGGGCCCTGGCTATTGTTCTCGAGAGCGGCGCGTCGGAGGGGGCAGAACGAGGATTTGAGGTCTGAGTGTCTGCGGGCCCCTCGGATGAAATGGAATCGTGTTCTGGAGTCTCCGACTGCAGCAAACCACTGAGAATCAATATTCAGCTTCGTGAGGACGATGTGCACGACGAAGAGGTAGGTGTCGGGGAGCCTATTGTGCTCGATTCGGTAAGCTTTCAGGGTCTGCGGGCGGTCTCGGCGCACGTTCTCCGTGCCGCGGCCGCGTTGAATTGGCGAGTTGCTGCTCTCCGTCTCCCTTCACGTCCCGCCGTCGGACGATTTCGCCGCCGCCTCCAGACGCCGCGCGCCACGTTCTCCGACCCCGGAGAACGTCGCGTCTTTGATTCTGCCAACATCCCGGCGGCGGTGTTCCCGCGCACGTGGAATTCTGGGCCTGCGCGGACGCCGCCGTGGCAACTTGTTCAAGGTGCGCTCTTCCTCGTGCGATGTTTTCGATTTCGCTCAGTCGTCGGACAGCTTCCCCGCCACCGTCTACGTCCTTCCCTCTGCCGCGCGTCGTCTTTCAACGCCCAGCATGGTCTGTTCCGCGCACAAGTCGGCCTAGGCGATGAGTATACAGAAATTCGCTCGCCGAGCGGGCTAATCCGGTACGAGATCGCGTCCTGGATATCTGCCTCTCGATTCTAACAACCACTAAGGCCTTCTCTCCTCTCTACACGCCACGTACGGTTCGAATACCCACGACGCGCTCAAAGCCCTCAAGCAATAGATTTTCGTCCGCCGAGCCAGTAAATCCGGTACGTGCTCTCTTCCCAACCTTGTTCCCGCTGCTGACATTTGCACGTAGACTCGCTCGCTGCGCGCCAGGTTTTGTCGCTGCACCTCACGCCTGATCGTCGCATTCCACGCCACCAGGACGTCTGGGACACCACTTATTCCACAAACGCACACCAAGACGGCTCAAGCGCTCGAAGCGCTGAAGCAATGGATCTTCTTCCGCCGAGCGGGTATATACGGTACGTGCTCGCTTCCTAAACGCGTTTCCGCCGCTGACTTTTCCGCGCAGACTCGCTCGCTGCGGCCAGGCCTTCCCTCCGCACGCCACACCTCATCGTTGCGTTCCCCGCCTCATCGTCGCATTCCACGCTACTAGAACGCCTCAGACATCACTTCGTTCACAACGGCTCGAGTGCTACAAGCGCCGAAGCAATGCATTTGCGTCCGCGGAGCGGGTTATTAAGGTGCGTGGGCGTTTTCGTAGATGTTGGGAAGACGCTTACAAAGTGACAGAACGCGGCGACGAAGTTCCAGGCGCTCGTGTGCCTCGCCAAGTCCCGAAGCAACGCATGATCGTTCGGCGAGCGGCGCTTCAAGCCCTTTTTCCTCGTATTTCCGACCGCATTCCTGTCCTTCCAGACATGCTCGACAGAAGCCTACGCCTTTGCGCGGCCTTCCCACATCCCCGACCACTCGACCGCGCTTATGACGCTCCCAACACTTCTTTGCAACCTCGGCAGCGCTGTCAAGAGCCATCTCAATGCGCTCCTACCTGCCTCCCTCCCTCACGACCTCCCCGAGCGTCGAAGCAACGTATCGCCGTCCGCCGAGCAGCCTAATAGCGTCCCATCAACGTATTTGAGACTGCGAGAGTCCCCGAGTCCCCCGAGCACCGCCTCAAGTCGTGAAGCAACGTATCAATGCCCCGCGAGCGAGAGGATTGTTTCTGCACTTCCTGTCTTTGTCTGTACTTCATAGCATCGCTCTTACTCACTGCTCCCGTCTTCTCGGTGTATTTACTGCTGTCTCATTGTACTTTGCTATCTCGCGCTATATCATTTGTTTCTCCCGTCGTCTCATGGTCACTGTCGTCTCATGCTCGTTTTCTGCTTTCTCGTGCTCGCTTTCTGCTTTCTCGTGCTCGCTTTCTGCTTTCTCGTGCTTGTCTCTGCTTTCTCATACTTGTCTCTGCCTTCTCATGCTCACTGCAACTCCGTCTCTGACTCGAGATCTCGCCTCTGTCTTCGACTCGGGATCTCAGCTCCGTCTCCAAGTCTCGACGGATCCTTTACTCGCCACGCACCATCAACTCATCTTCTCAACATGAGTGCTTCGCCTTCTAGACATGGGCCCTTGACCTTCTCGACATGGGCCCTCGACCTTCTCAGCAAGAGCCGTCGACCTTCTCGACAAGAGCACTGTCCTTCTCATCCGCTCACATCCGTCTCAGCCCATCCAGCTCACCCCCTTGCCTCCTCATCTCCCCCATAGCCAGTCGTATCTCACTCATACTTACTCACAACTTACTCGTAGCTCACTCTTGTCTTTCTCGTAGCTCAGCTGTAGTATTTCTCATACTCGGGGGGAGGATGGGGAGCACATTGACCAGGCTGGTACTTATATTCTGCGGGGTCGTACGAGATGCAGGAACGAGACCACGGAATTTGCGAGTCGGGAGATCACGCAAGAGCAGGCCGTGATGCGGGAGAACAAGCCCGGGACTGGCCCAAAACTCGGCCGTGGCTCGAGCGGGCGGTGTACGTACACGGGAGTGATCCGTTGGCCTCGACGAGTCGGGAGATCAGTAGCGTAGTAGACGGTTAGTAGGGAGTAAGCTTGGCAGAGGAGAGTGACAGCGATAGTAAAATCGGTGGGGGAGGAGGTAGAGCAGACAGCCACCTGAAACCTTGTAGAGGGTGAGTAACAACCATGCCCTACCACCCCCAACTTGCCCGAGGTCGAACGGAGGACGCCGACGAGCTGCAGAATTTGTACAAGCGAGATGTCACGCTTTTGTGAGTTGAGGAGGGCACATAAAATCAGAGAGTGGAGGAATTGAGCAGTAAAGCCACAAATCATCTGGAATAGAGAGGGAGTACACATCCCGGGTAGTCCGAAGGCGCAAAACAAAGAATCTCGAAAAACGCGTTCGACAGCGATGGCACACGTCGTTTCTCAACTTTTCGCCCAAAATGGTAATCTCCCGGTTCAAGTTTCGCTGTGACGTGACAAGGGACGATGCGGGTCGCCGGCCGTCGACGGACGCGCGCAGGGCCTCGCACCACCACACCACGCCACGCCACCACGCCACTGGCCGACGACCATAAGAGCAAGAGCAGAGCGGGAAGCGCACAGCCACCCGCCCGCGGATCCCATGACGCACCCACCCCGGCCTCCCGCGCCGGCATCCGCGCGCTGCCCGCCCAACGGACGCGAGTGTTCCCTGCTTTGGCGGAGAGAGCGCGATCGTGACGTGCGAGTCGACTAGGTGCGTGCATCCAGCGACTGGGGCTCATCCGCCGACTAAGATGGAAGTAGGACGAGAGGACGGGAAGCACGAAATAAGCTTTCTAACCTTCAGTATCGACGCTGTTTGCGCAAGCGCTGTGACCGCCGTTGGCCGAAACGTCCTTGCCACCGCGACGAAGTCCTGTCCTCGTCGAAGCACCAGCAATCCGATGAGCGGGACGTCGACTCCCCTCACGTCGAGGACACTGTTCCACGTTTGCTAGGCTGCGCGGCGGCGAGGGTCGAGCATGGAGGCGTCTCCACTGACGCAGCGTCCTGCCCGTCCGCCAGCATGGTCGGTTCGGTTCGCCAGCGGGACAAGGGGGACGATGATCGGACTTGGTCACCCGGCGGCACTCGGAGGTCGCGCGCGCGCCGGCGCACGTAATTACGCACCTTCCCCTCCTCCTCCCCCACCCTCCGGGCCTACGTATGCCTTCGCACACCCTCCTGCGCTCCTCCCTCGCGCCCCTCCGCCGCCAGGTCGGCTCAGCGCGCCGTCATACCTCGTCCATTAACGTCAGTGTCACCTCCAAGGTGATAGCTCCCGCCGGTCGCTGATTACCGGCGCAATGCCGAACAGACCCTCCTCCAGGCGTTCAAGGATCCGTCATCGCCCTTCCACATTCGCCCGGGCGAGACGGGTCCCGCCTCGCCCGATGAAGAGCCAGCTGACGCGCCACACGACTCCCGAGCGACCGTGGATAAAGGCACGGACAGCCCGCCCTCGCATTCAGTGCGGCGGACCTCTCCCCGGGACGCGTCGCCAGCCTCTCTGGCCGAGGCTCGTGCGGCGCTCGTCGACCGCGGGTTTGACCCTGACGTCCTTTGGACGCAGAAGATCGTCTGGGGCGACCTCGATAGCTTTCAGTGCGTATGAACGACTTTATGACGCAGCTGCAGTAGGGTAGACGGCCAGGGCGAACCGGGAGCTCACCTTTGCGCATTTACAGGCACGTCAACAATGTCCGTTACGGTACGTCTCTCCTCGTGTATGGCACGGCCCTGGGGATTGTACGGTCTGCTTATTCCACGCCTTTCTCTTCCTGCACTCGACGCCGGAATGCAGTGCGATTCTTCGAGACGGTTCGTGGAGCTACTGTACTCCTCACCGCATACTCACAGGCCGTGTGATCACCTGCAGTCCCGGATCCACTGGATGTCGACCTTCGGGGAGCGCTTCGGCGGCCCGTCTGCCGCAGAGGCGCTGCTCAAGGGCAAGGGCGTCTCGTTGATCCTCAAGTCCATTCAGGTCAACTTCAGGCGGCCCGTGACGCACCCCGACACGGTTAGTTTCTCCCTCGTGATATGCACGTCGAATCTAGCGAGCTCATTCCACGTCCGCCCTGGTCTCCAGCTCATTGCGGCGCACAAACCGCATCGGCCCGCCTCGACTGAATTGGCGCCGGATGCGACACACTTGCACCTACGTGCCTCGGCATATTCCCTGAACAAGCGAGCATTCGTCGCCCACGCCGAGGAAGTCGTCGTGTGGTACGACTACGACAGGCTCAAGAAGTGCACGCCCGAGCAAGGTTTGCTCGATGCGGTCTGGGCGACTGCGGGAAAGCGGCGAAATTGAGGGTGGGAGTTGGCGTGGTGGGGGGCTTGACCACCGACGCGGTACTTCCATTTTCTCGTCGAGTTGTCGGTGGGAGGTCCGTCTCGGGCGGTGCGCTCCTCGTCGCCCCTTGCGGTCCGCTCACAACGGTTCCCAGACTGAATCGACGATTGCTGTCGCTGCGACACCCCCACGGCGTCGTCGACACACTCAACGCGATGGCGCGATGAGAGCGCGGGGGGTGTAGACGGCGGGGGCGGGAGAGAGGGAGGGGACGAGCGCGCATGGAGGTGGGGAGACGCGCGGCGAGGATAGCAACAGAGCGAACGTGTAGTAGCCTACAGACAATGAAAAAGATGCAGTTAGTTTTGCACCCCCTCGAGCGTGAACTTGGTCGCGAGGATGAGCGCTCCCACCGCGCTCTCAAGCCCTCCCCTCGCACCCCCTCGCCCTCCCTCCGCAAGTAGAGGCCCGTTCACGATGTTATCTTGTGCTCACACCTCGCACTCACACCTCGCTTTGGACTCGGCAACGGTCTTTCATTGAATATCTACCACAGAAGTCCTACCTACAATTTCCCCAGCGTCCTCCACCCTTCCCCTTTGTCCCCAGACCATCCCTTACCCCACCAGACAGCCCCCTCACTCGGGGAGGTTCCTCGGGTCGGTGAGCAGACGTGCTCGAAGGGTGAGCGAACGTGACAAGACCACGCACCCACCAGCCATGCCCTTTCCCTCCCTTCCCCCCATACCCCCTCCGACCGCACGAAACATCGCTCATGACCTTCCGCGACGCGAAAGTCGATGTACCGACGTGGCCTCGTCGCCGCACTGTCCTTCGTCGCTCGACGGACGCGGGGAGGGAGGGAGGGAAGAGGGGAGGCTGAAGAAGCGTTAGCCGCGCACGCAGAGGGGGGTAAGGGCACCTGTACAGCTCCCGACCGTCTCCGAAATCCTTCGCTCGCGCTCGAACCCGCTCGGAGAGCTCAACGCCGATAGGCGCCGTCGCGCGCCCGGGCGGAAGCGCGCTCTCCCCCCCCCTCCTCCCTCCCTACCCAATGGCGCCTCCGACCCTCCCTCCCTTCTCCCCATCGTCAACTCACTCATCCGCGTCGTCTTCCTGCGTCTCAAGCCCCGTCCCCGCGAGCTTTCCTGTTTTTCCCCACCCTCCCTTCGCACCCCTCCCTACCCCCCTCCATCCCTCCCCTCGCAAGCGCACCACCCGCGGCGACAACGGCCGAGAGCAGAGGGGCACGTCTCGACGTCGTACGTCATTTTACTCCTTCTCCTTCACAGCCGACCTACGAGTTCGTCAGCCACGAGATATCAAGCGCGAAGGAAGAGGGAAAGTGCCCTCCCCCCACCCCCCACCCCTCTGCCGTCGCGCACCTCTCCCCGGTTTCCCAGGCTTTGGAGTCGCGTGCAGAGGGTGCGCGTCGTCGTCTTTGGGTGCGGGGTGAAGGGAATGTGGGAGAGTCAAGGGGGCTAGGGATCTTCGATGAGCGAGGAGGGGGAGGAAGGGATGGGGGAGGAGGGAGGGAGGGTTACTCACCCTCTTCGCGCTCGTCGTCGAGGGGACTCGCCCGTGGCTCCGGGGACTTGAGGTCGACATCAAATCATCCTCTGAGAGATTGGGGCATGAGGGAAAAGGGTGGAGGGGAAGATCCCCCACCGTCGCATATCTCACCGAAGGTGCCCCGCGCGCATCTCCGACGGTTCGCCTTCGCGGAAAGAATGGTCTATCGAGAGATCAGCATGCGCCTCCTGGTTCGTGGCATCATGACGCAGAGGTTCGTACGCAATGGGGAAGGGGGTAGGGGAAGGGGGGGAGAGGATGAGGAGGGCATCTCACCCTCTGCGCGTTCTTCGTGGAGGTGGTTCGTGCGTACCTTCAGCACTTCACGGTACGGCCAAAAACCCAATCTCAATGGTTCAGGGCGTCTCTCCAGTCGAAGGGGAGGGGAGGGGTCCCCCACCCTCGTCGCGTATTTCGACGAGCGAGCGCGCGCTCGCCTTTCCGGCGGCTCAGACTCGTCAAGTCGGCGTCTCACAAGAGGTCAGTGTGTGATTCTAGGTGCGCAGGAGAGACCACTCACCCCTCACGCAAGCTCACCCGCTACGCTCGAGACGCCGTCACCCTCCTTCTCGCACTCGACGTCGCTGGCGTCTTGTACACGGACTGTTGACGAGACACACGTGCGCCTCCAGCGTTTCGAGCTTGGCGACGTTCCGCTAATGAGGGGGTTAGCGGGTGGTCAAGAGAAGGGGGTGGGGAGGGTCCGCTAGTACCTTCGCCGACAACCTCACCGAGGGTGCCCGCGTGTGCTTCCGGCAGCCACTCAGTGGCCTAGATGGCGTCGAAGAGGACGTCAGATACATCGCTGTGGCTGTATCAGCGGCGGTCAAGTAGAAAAAAAGGTAGCAAAGACATACTGACTCGGGTCAAAATTCCGACCTGCACGACATCAAAGGGGTAGAAATACCCTACCCTTCGTCGCGCACGCTAGCAAGGGGGGTGTGTGCGCGCGCGCGCGTGCGTCGGTCAACATGTCACTGTGGGCTATCTGGAAAATGCTCAGTACGCGCTCGGGGGATGGCGGGGGGTCAAACTCACAAATAAGGCCCTCACGAGGAGAGCCCCCCTCCCTCGCCGCATTCTCCAACTAAGAACCCACTTGCGTGCCTCAGGCGGCTTGCGGCCGGCTAGAAAGACGACTCAAAAATGGGGGTCAAAGGTCCCCCCGCGCGTATTAAGAGGTAGTGGAAGGGGAGGGTGCCCAACCCTCGTCGCAGCCTTCGCCGAGGGACCCCCTGCGCATGCCTCCGGCGGCTCAGGGTTAGCAAAAAATCGCTGAACAGGGGTTCAGCATGTTTTTAAGTAAATATAAAATCAAGAGGGCTCCGTACCGTGGCTTTACCGTCGTTTTGTCGACCAATGATTGGAGGGCAAGGGGCCGAGGGGTCTGGTTCGCTCTGAGCCATCTTGCTTAACATTCAGATTGCGGGGAATGCAGCGTGCAGCACGCTCGGGCGGCACCTCGGAATGCACTGCTTCGTAAACACTAACAAGAACCCGACGAAAGGGTCAGCACCAAAGGAAGAAGAGGGTGGTACTCCACCCTCGTCGCATTACTCACCTAGAATACCCCACGCGCGCCTCCGGCGGCTCGGGGCCGGCGTAAAATGGCCCAAAGATGGGGGTCACAGCGGCCCGACGTCGAGGTAAAGAAGGAAGGAGGGGAGGGTGCCCCACCCTCGTCGCATCCTTCGCCGAGGGACCCCCCGCGTGCCTCCGGCGGCTCGGGGTCTGCAGCAAATCGTCTGAAAAGGGTTCAGCAAGCATGCTTCGTAGTTCAAACACAAGGAGGGTACTCACGGCCTTTTAAGTCGGCATGGGGGGTCGAGAAACAAGGTCCTTGCTTAACATTCAGATTGCGTGAAGGTCGGCTTACGACGCCCCTCTGCTGCCGTCGTGCCGGTGGCGACAATCGAGAGCCAAACAAGGGGTCAGCAGCGAGGGGAAATGAGGTCAGACCCGCGAATACGACGACATACTCGCCGAGTAAATTCTCGCATGCAGCCGGCGGTGTTTCGACCACGTCAACGCTATCTGTGAAGTGGTCAGTCCCCGCGTCTACGGTACAACAGGCGGGGGTCAACAACAAACCCAATTGACCATAATTTCGCATCCCCTCGGCGATTGCGACGAAGTGGAATGAATTGCGAGGGATATCCCCGTCGCGTCGTTCGACGAGGGTGCGCACGCAGGCCTCCGGCGGTCGGAGCCGTGCCAAAAATTCGCCTATCAAGGGGTCAGCTTGCATCTGACATAGCGGGTACCGGGTCGTGTTCCTGGAAAAGCAGGTAAACTCACTGGTCAAGCGTCTCGCCTGCGAGAGTGAGACCCTGCCTGCGGTTGTTTGGGGGTCCGCGGACGAAGACGAAGGGGGTCGCGCGGAGGCGCGTTCCCCTTCTCGTCGTCGTGCAAAGCCCGGTCGCATCTAGACCGCGGTCAGCGGCTGTGAGTGGCAGCGAAGGTATCGACTCGCCTTGTCAGACGACGAGGACGCCGTCTCGTCGTCGTGGGCAGCGGGGCAGAGCGGAGAGTACGTCGGGCATGAGTGCGAGCCAACGGTTGAAGCAGTCTCTGAACGCTGTAAGTACGAGGCTTGACGACGAGGGCCGCGAACTCACCGCACAACGTGGCTACAGCCACTCCTGCGTCGTTGAGAGCGTCGGGTGATAGAGGGAGCTGGTCATTTTCGTGTCGAGCGCGGCCCTCGAGACGCGGCGTCGCGTGTTCTTGCTCGCAGTGGAGCGACGCCACGGGCTACGGCGCCGGGAGATGGGGAAGGGGAGGAATAGGGATGGATTTTGAGGCGTCGACAACATCTTGCTCGTCGTCTACGTAGGTCGTCAGCAATCGTGAATAAGAGAGCGCAGGCGGCAAGGCATCGACGACGTACCTTGCGAGCGCGATAGCTGGGCTCCGGGTGAGACCGACGTCCAAGCTGCGCTAGACAGCTCCTCGTTGCCGCTGCCCTGTCGCTTGGTGTGGTGTATAGGGTCGGAGGTCGTCGAGTCCGTCGCCCTCGCGTTCTCCTCCGGCCTGTATGACTACACCTCCTGCAGCGACAAGGTCAGTCCCAATGCTACAGGCATCGACGACCCGCTCACCGCTGATGCAGTCCTGCCTTCGCGGTCCGGGAGGTTTCCCGTTGATCCCGAAGGCGCCCGAGACGACGAGCGAGCCCGCTACTGCACAACGCGTCAGACTCAGTCGTCAAGTGAGGAGCGAGTAGGGACGTACCGTTATGAGGGTGAGTGAGCATGGCGAAGATGCGTTTGGTGTCGATTGATGGTGCACGTTCGAAATGGGTCGAGGCGTGGCGTGATGGCGATAGGGCTAGAAATGCACGACAATCAGTAGTCGTACAGAAGTAGAGGGGAGTCAACTTACTCGTCCAGATGGTAGACTATATAGAAAGATTTATGGATAATGAACTGAAGAAAGAGGGAATGAAATGAAAGACGTACCATTCCGAGCAAAGCAGGGAAACCGGTGGGCTGTTCAGGGTACTAGTCAGTAAAGCGAGAGCTGCAAAGCGGAAGAACAACGCTTACTAGAGCGACAGTTAGAAGTGCTGAGAGAGGACGAGGAAGGGATAAAGAGGACGAGGAAGGGATAGGAGGGAGGTGCTGGATGCTGGAATAGACGGCAGAATACGCCGCCTCTTATACCCTCCTCGACGGCAGCACGCCGCGCCCCGCTTCCGCAAAACTTCCAGACCCAAGTCCGCCATCACCGGAAGGAGACCTCGGCGGTCCGCGACCGAGACCTACCGAGCAAAAGTCGGAAGATTGGGGGGAATGAGCGCGCCCGGCGCGCGCACAATCTTCCGCCTATCCCTGCGTGAATGTCAGTCAGATCTCGGCGAAAAATATTCCAGACGTACCTCTTCGGCGACGGAAGGCCGGACCCGGGCCGACGTAGGGCGGGGCTCGGGTGCGGTAGACCCTTTCTTGCGCGGTGTGCCCCTGCGCGTTCAAGTCGTTCTGCGTCGCTAACGACGCGTTCAGCGCTCTTAGAAAAGAGCAGCAGAGGGTGCGCGGAGGGTACACGAGGCTGGGGGTGACGCGTGACAGGGCCGAGACCCCGCGAGGAGGAGGGGGACAGGCAGGAAAAGTCGACCTCTGCAAGATCAAGTCCTATCTCCATTCGGCAGGCTTTGAGCTGCTCGTAAAGCAGCGTGTCGTCGGCGCGCTTCCACCCCCGGTGGAGCACATCCCAAAATTCAGGCCCAGTATGCGGCACGTGTCCGCGACGCTGTCGACTTGTCGTGTCGTGTCGCCGAGTGGGGTAGGGCCGTGCCATGGGTGTATGCCGCTCAACCCGCCAAGGTGAAGTGGCGAGTCGGCCTCGAGCGTGGCGCGGCCTCCGTCGCCGCGCATCAAAGTTCGGGCGGTTTGACGGCGCCCAGATCCCCGCGTCTGGGGTCGTGAATGAGCCGAAAACCGGGAGGGGACGAACGGGGAGGAGAAGGGTCGGACAGGATTTCCGCCATGTACACAGGTCGGATGGCGTTCGGCGTGGGTCTTGACGTCGTCAAGATGTTGGGGAATTCATCCGTGGCGCGCGCGGGTGGCTGAGAGGCTGGCGACGTGGCGGTACCGGCGATGTGATTCTTGGGTTGGCAAGGTTCTTGTGCACAGGGAGCGCAGGAGAGCGAGGCTGCGTCCGAAGCCTCAATATCTCATAGTATAGTATTACTACCAAGTATATATGTACTTCTTTTTGTCAGTACTGGCGTCGGATATTGGAATTTGGACTTACCGAATGCAACGCCACATGCTCAGTTCCTCAATTACCTCCCGAGCTCGACGTCTTGATGTCATGCAGCTCTTTCCGGGGTGCGGAGATGCACTCTGTAGGATACATCCTTCAAAAGCAATCCTCCATTGATTCCATTGAGATTAGTCTGTACATCCCGTATCGACGTACCGGGGGAAGGTCGGCATACATCTGCACACCCCGACCTTCATAGTACCGATATTCCCTGACCTCGCCTCGGTCTCGCCCTCAACTTCTCAAGCTACACCTTGAACATCGCACAAAGTGCCAGACAACCTTGTGAGAACCATCGGTGGCATTCTGGTAATGGGGGATAGGTGTCGTAGGCTGCTGCGCGCTGTCCCACGATGTCTTGACTGATTCTGAGAGATCCCGAAGTGAGGGGGATGGTAAAGCTCGAGGATAAGGGCTTATAGCAGAGGGAAATCCGACGCCGTCGTTGACATCGCGGGGGACTACGTGGATGCATGGGAAACGAGATGAGCGCGCGGGGGAAGAGCGGTCGGCAATTGCCGATGCGCGGGAAAGCGGGGCGGGCGCCGGGCGCCTATCTGGGCGCTTGTTGTCTCCGACAATCACCACCGTCACCCGACGCGCCCTGGCTATTGTTCTCGAGAGCGGCGCGTCGGAGGGGGCAGAACGAGGATTTGAGGTCTGAGTGTCTGCGGGCCCCTCGGATGAAATGGAATCGTGTTCTCGAGTCTCCGACTGCAGCAAACCGCCGAGAATCAATATTCAGCTTCGCGAGGACGATGTGCACGACGAAGAGGTGGGTGTCGGGGAGCCTATTGTGCTCGATTCGGTAAGCCCTCAGGGTCTGCGGGCGGTCTCGGCGCACGTTCTCCGTGCCGCGGCCGCGTCGAATTGGCGAGTTGTTGCTCTCCGTCTCCCTTCACGTCCCGTCGTCGGACGATTTCGCCGCCGCCTCCAGACGCCGCGGGCACGTTCTCCGACCCCGGAGAACGTCGCGCCTTCGATTCTGCCAACCTCCCGGCGGCGGTGTACCCGCGCACGTGGAGTTCTGGGCCTGCGCGGACGCAACTTGTTCAAGGTGCGCTCTTCCTCGTGCGATGTTTCCGACTCCGCTCATTTGTTAGACAGCTTCCCCGCCATCGTCTACGTCCTTTCCTCTGCCGCGCGTCGTCTTTCATCACCCAGCATGGTCTGTTCTCGCACAAGTCGGCCTAGGCGATGAGTATACAGAAATTCGTCTGCCGAGCGGGCTAATCCGGTACGAGATCGCGTCCTGGATGTCTTCCTCTCGATTCTAACAACCAGTCAGGCCTTCTCTCCTCTCTACACGCCACGTACGGTTCGAAGACCCACGACGCGCGCAAAGCGCTGAAGCAATGGATTTCGTCCGCCGAGCGAGTAAATACGGTACGTGCTCTCTTCCCGACCTTGTTCCCGCTGCTGACATTTGCACGTAGACTCGCTCGCTGCGCGCCAGGTTTTGTCGCTGCACCTCGCGCCTCATCGTCGCATTCCACGCCACCAGGACGCCTGGAACGCCGTCTAACTCACAAATGCATGTCAAGACGGCTCGAGCGCTCGAAGCGCTGAAGCAATAGATTTTCTTCCGCCGAGCGGGTATATAGGGTACGTGCTCACTTCCTAGATGCGTTGCTGCCGTTGACATCTCCGCGTAGACTCGCTCGCTGTGGGCGAGGCTTCCCCGCCACCCGCCACACCTCATCGCCGCATTCCACGCCACTAAAGCGCCTCAGACGTCGATCCATTCTTAGGTCTCACCACGACGGCCCGAGCGCTGCAAGTGCCGAAGCAACGCATTTCCGTCCGCGGAGCGGGTTATCACGGTGCGTGGACAATCACGTAGATGTTGGGAAGACGCTTACAAAGTGACAGAACGTGGCGACGAAGTTCCAGGCGCTCGTGAGTGCCTCGCCAAGTCCTAAAGCAACGCGTCATCGCCCGGCGAGCGGGGCCTTAAGCCCTTTCTCCTCGTCTTTCCGGGCGCGTTTCCGTCCTTCCTGACATGCTCGACAGCATCCTGCGCCTTCGCTCGGCCTCCTCACATCCCCGACTACTCAACTGCACTCTTGACGCTTTCAACGCTTCTTTTCAGCTTCAGCAACGCTGTCAAGAGCCTTCACAATATGCTCCTGTCTTCCTCCCTCCCTCACGACCTGCCCAAGCGTCGAAGCAACGTATCGCCGTCCGCCGAGCGGCCTAATAGCGTTCCCATCAACGTATCTGAGACTGCGAGAGCCCCCGAGTCCCCCGAGCACCACCTCAAGTCGTGAAGCAACGTATCGATGCCCCGCGAGCGAGAGGATTGTTTCTGCACTTCCTGTCTTTGTCTGTACTTCATAGCATCGCTCTTACTCACTGCTCCTGTCTTCTCGGTGTATTTACCGCTGTCTCGTTGTACTTCACTATCTCGCACTATATCATTTGTTTCTCCCGTCCTCTCATGCTCGCCGTTGTCTCATGCTCTCCCTGTCAGTCGTCTCATGCTCACATTCTGCTTTCTCATGCTTGCTTTCTGCTTTCTCGTGCTTGTCTCTGCTTTCTCATACTTGTCTCTGCCTTCTCATGCTCACTGCAACTCCGTCTCTGGCTCCGGATCTTGCCTGTCTTCGACTCGGGATCTCAGCTCCGTCTCCAAGTCTCGACGGATCCTTTACTCGCCACACACCATCGACTCATCTTCTCGACATGAGCAACTTTACCTTCTTGGCATGGGCCCTCGACCTTTTCAACATGAGATGTCGACCTTCTCAACAAGAGCCGTCGACCTTCTCGACAAGAGCACTACCCTTCTCATCTGCTCACATCCATCTCAGCCCATCCAGCTCACCCCCTTGCCTCCTCATCTCCCCCGTAGCCAGTCGTATCTCACTCATACTTACTCACAACTCACCCGCAACTCACTCATACTTACTCGTGTCTTTCTCGTAGCGCAGCTGTAGTGTTTCTCATACTCGGGGGGAGGATGGGGAGCACATTGACCAGGCTGGTACTTATACCCTGCGGGGTCGTACGAGATGCAGGAACGAGACCGGAGAATAATCCGCAAGTCGGGAGATCACGCAAGAGCAGGCCGTGATGCGGGAGAACAAGCCCGGGACTGGCCCAAGACTCGGCCGTGGCGCGAGCGGGCGGTGTACGTACATGGGAGTGATCCGTTGGCCTCGACGAGTCGGGAGATCAGTAGCGTAGTAGACGGTTAGTAGGGAGTAAGCTTGGCAGGTGGGAGTGACAGTGATAGTAAAATCGGTGGGGGAGGAGGTAGAGCAGACAGCCACCTGAAACCTCGTAGAGGGTGAGTATCAACCATGCCCTACCACCCCCAACTTGCCCGAGGTTGAACGGAGCACGACGACTTGCTGCAGAATTTGTACAAGCGAGATGTCACGCTTTTGTGAGTTGAGGAGGGCACATAAAATCAGAGAGTGGAGGAATCGAGTAGTAAAGCCACAAATCATCTGGAATAGAGAGAGAGTACACATCCCGGGTAGTCCGAGGCCGAGAAACGCAGATCCCGCAAAAACGCGTTCAACAGCGATGGCACACGTCGTTTCTCAACTTTTCGCCCAGAATGGTAATCTCCCGGTTCAAGTTTCGCTGTGACGTGACAAGGGCCGACGCAGGTCGCCGGCCGTCGACGGACGCGCGCAGGGCCTCGCACCACCACACCACGCCACCACGCCACTGGCCGACGACCATAAGAGCAAGAGCAGAGCGGGAAGCGCACAGCCACCCGCCCGCGGATCCCATGACGCACCCACCCCGGCTTCCCGCGCCGGCATCCGCGCGCTGCCCGCCCAACGGACGTGAGCGTTCCCTGCTTTGGTGGAGAGAGCGCGATCGGGACGTGCGAGTCGACTACGTGTGTGCATCCAGCGAGTGGGACTCGACGAAGTCCTGTCCTTGTCCTCTCCCGTCACTTGCGAAGCACCAGCGGGACGTCGACTACCCTCACGTCGACGACACTGTTCCACGTTTGCTAGGCTGCGCGGCGGCGAGGGTCGAGCATGGAGGCGTCTCCACTGACGCAGCGTCCTGCCCGTCCGCCAGCATGGTCGGTTCGGTTCGCCAGCGGGACAAGGGGAACGATGATCGGACTTGGTCACCCGGCGGCAGCACCGGCACTCGGAGGTCGCGCGCGCGCCGGCGCACGTAATTACGCACCTTCCCCTCCTCCTCCCCCACCCTCCGGGCCTACGTATGCCTTCGCACACCCTCCTGCGCTCCTCCCCCGCGCTCCTCCGCCGCCAGGTCGGCTCAGCGCGCCGTCATACCTCGTCCATTAACGTCAGTGTCACCTCCAAGGTGATACCGGTGGCTAACTACAGGCACAGACCCTCCTCCAGGCGTTCAAGGATCCGTCATCGCCCTTCCACATTCGCCCGGGCGAGACGGGTCCCGCCTCGCCCGATGAGGTGCTAGCTGACGCGCCACACGACTCCCGAGCGACCGTGGATAAAGGCACGGACAGCCCGCCCTCGCATTCAGTGCGGCGGACCTTCCCCCGGGACGCGTCGCCAGCCTCTCTGGCCGAGGCTCGTGCGGCGCTCGTCGACCGCGGGTTTGACCCTGACGTCCTTTGGACGCAGAAGATCGTCTGGGGCGACCTCGATAGCTTTCAGTGCGTATGAACGACTTTATGACGCAGCTGCAGTAGGGTAGACGGCCAGGGCGAACCGGGAGCTCACTTGTGCGCATTTACAGGCACGTCAACAATGTCCGTTACGGTACGTCTCTCCTCATGTAGGGCACGGCCCTGGAGATTGTACGGTCTGCTCATTCCACACCTTTCTCGACGCCGGAATGCAGTGCGATTCTTCGAGACGGTTCGTGGAGCTGCTGTACCCTCCTCACCGCATACTCACAGGCCGTGTGATCACCTGCAGTCCCGGATCCACTGGATGTCGACCTTCGGGGAGCGCTTCGGCGGTCCGGCTGCTGCAGAGGCGCTGCTCAAGGGCAAGGGTGTCTCGCTGATCCTCAAGTCCATCCAGGTCAACTTTAGGCGGCCCGTGACGCATCCCGACACGGTTAGTTTCTCCCTCGTGATACGCACGTCGTATCTAGCGAGCTCATTCCACGTCCGCCCTGGTCTCTAGCTCATTGTGGCGCACAAACCGCATCGGCCCGCCTCGACTGAATTGGCAGCGGATGCGACACACCTGCACCTACGTGCCTCGGCATATTCCCTGAACCAGCGAGCGTTCGTTGCCCACGCTGAAGAGGTCGTTGTGTGGTATGACTACGACAGGCTGAAGAAGTGCACGCCCGAGCAAGGTTTGCTCGACGCGGTCTGGGCGACTGCGGGAAAGCGGAATTAACTTGCCTTGCAAGGTCTCTCCCGCCCTTAATCGACCCCATCAATTTGGACGGTGGTTTTGGGCAACAGATGTAAACAGCCTGCTGGAACAAAGCGACCTTTGACGGTGGCCCTTGCGTTACGATGAGCCGGTCAATGAGTAAGAAAGATTCTTTACGTCTGTCGACGTGCACACACTTGTGGGTGTAAGCTACGAAGAAACTGGGAGCGTTCCTGCAGTTCAGCGCGTTGAGAGCCAGCGCGTGCCCAGCAAGACAGTGTACCACTCAGCATCGACGGTCACGACGTGAATCTCCCCCCTCCCTGCCTTCGCCACCCCACCTCCCAGAGCACCCAAGCACACAGGACACCGTCCGCGCCTTACTGCGAAGTTCGATCGCGCATACGACCGCATGCCCCTTGCGCGTCAGCAATGCCGTCGCTTCGCAGCTGCGCGCTAAACGCGACGCTCGAGAGATGTCTTCTGGGAAGATCTGGCTTTTACGTGCGTGCACTGCACCACAGCACTTCCCCGCTACTGACAACAGCGTAGGACAGAGGAATCCGGCCAAGTTGCCGATGCTCAAGAAATTCCAGCTTCACCTTCACGCGGCCGGTGCTGAGAGGTGTGGTCCCTTCATATCGCTGTGGTGCACATACTCATACGCACCCATCTATCTGCTACCTTGACCTCGTCCGACAAGACAACTTTGCCATTTACATCGTCATCTGGGACGAGATCTGGCAGTCGTCGTCCAGCGGGTTCAAGAAATCCGACTCCAGTAACGAGCTCGGGCCCCTCTCGCGCGTTAACTAGAGCTGTACAAAGTACTTCACCGGCAGGCCCGACCGAGCGGCCATTGCATCACACGCGAAGGATGACATGGTGAACAACGGCTCATCCGTACCACCCCGTATGCCCAACAGTGCCCAAGGTCTACGTGCGCTCTGGCTAAGGGCTGGCGTGTTTCCATGCGCTTTCATGAACTGTCCGAAAGCATGCCACGCCCGTCCGAGGTCGTCAAGGACAAGTGGAATTAGCATACCCTCGCAGCCCGTGCTTTTTGGCATTCTGGCAGCACACCAACGTGTAGCGTATCGTGTCAATTGCGTGCGCGTTGTCGTCCTCTACGTGGATGAGGTATCGCGGGTACGCAAACGGCACTGCGTCGGGATGTCACCTCTTCCTTACTACGTAGACCCCATGTCCAGTGTGCGTAGCGTGCTCTATTCACCGTCTTTTGCATCTTTCCTGGGCCAAGTAATACCGTACCGTCTAAGCTATCTCATGGACGAAAAAAGGTATGAGGTAGTCTGATCTCGTGGGCAACTTGGACCTGTCCTAACAAAGATCCCTCGAGATCCTCGAGGGCCAAACTCCCTTCACACAAGGCAAGGTTAAAGCCGGCGGAGCCGGAGCTTCTCTAGTAATTGCGGATTTTGGAGTTGGTGGCGGAGGGCTTGACTACCGATGCGGTAGATAATCGGTGAGGAGATTACCCTCTTCCATCGCATCCCATTTGTTCGTAGACTTGTCGGCGGGAGATCCGTCTGGGGCGGGGTGTGCCCTCGTCGTCCCTTGCGGTCCGCTCACGACGATTCCCAGACCAGATCGATGATAAGTGTCTTCGACGTGTATGAGTACAGCGTACGAACAGCTGCAACAGCCTCACGGCGTCGTCTACACATTCAACTACAAGGCTTGGCACGATTGTGCGATGAAGGTGATACGGAGGGTGATTAGGTGTAGAAGAGCGGCCGCGCAAGAAGGTGCGGGAGGGCGACTGCTTCGTCTATTCACCTCGCAGGAATGTTGTGAGCAGAAGCTAGGATGCGCAGAAGGTCTCGGAAGAAGCTGCAGCGCTAGGCACTTTTGCCATTGGGTTTGTTTTATTGTCTACGTCCAATCCCCACCCCTGGCCGGTAGTGCACTGTCCTGAAATCTTTCGTGCATTAGTGCAATCTATCGATGTTTGTGCTAGTCTACGGATTGCGGAGGGAGCTGCGAAACATAACAGCTGCCCGGTGGGCAAGGAGTATGAGCAGGTTTGTAGATCATCGTATGGCGGGCGTCGCTGAGCGCGTTGCCCGCTGCGGAGGCGCGCCAACGTGGTATGGAGCGTGGGCTTATCTTGCGCAATCCAGCCATCGCCAGCGCGCCGACACTCGAGCGAACTGTAGCAGCGATTGGCCTTCGCGTGTAAGAATCCGCGCTCACACCTCAGCCACACGAAGGGCTGCACGAGAGAAGGAGGGCGAACGTGGAGGGCAGGTGGCGCGGACCCTCGTGGACATAGCGCGGGCTTACCGGGGCGCGCCGGGGCTTGGCAATTGTCGGTGTTCCCCGCTGGACGCATGTGCTGCCCCGGTGCCGTCATTCGTCGAACCGTGGCCCGAAAAGAAGGTCGCACGCCAAGAGCAAGCTGCGGTCGTAAGCCGCGATGGGTTGTTCCTCTGGCCTGGGTTGCCAAGTTGAAGCTGGCTCGCGCCAGAGGCTGGTGCTCGTGGAGGGACGGAGTAGCGAAGCGCTGTGCCCTTGTTTTCAATGCGCTCGTCGGGCGGAATAAAGGATAATCGGGCCTGGGGACTGCGGGGCCTGGCAAGCCGGCTCGGTTGCCCGATGGGGCAGAAAGAACTTGCAATTGTAATGGCGGGGGGTTCATATGGCGTAGGGGATCATCACCGCGCTCGTTGTCTCCTCCCTTGGACGAGTTATCACGACGAGCAGGTCGGGTAGCGTTTGTAGAGTGCACGCCCGCAGCAGCCTGCGCCCGACAATTACTTCGACCACTTGACTTCTTTGTTGCCATCAACCATCGACGCCACCCCGCCGAGCAGCTCATAAAATATCCCACGCACACTTCCTATCCTCCTTCATCTTCGTCCCGCGGAGCCCAGGAACTCTGGACGGACATGGCGATCCCTCTATCTTTCCTGCACCAGGGCGTCCTCCCAGCGCCAGGACAGTCCCTCGGCGACGCCTTAGCCGACAGCATAACCAACGCAGGCACGGTCAATACTCTCCTCGACTGCCTCTGTGCGACCCACGAACCAGCCATCTTCTCCCCGAATGTCGACAGACAGCCGCTCCTTCACGATACCCTACGCTCCTTTGTTTACCACTTCGCCCTCCCCCATTCGCCACATCGCGCCCCGCTCGGCCCCAACGACCGCGTTGTCATCGCCCTCCCCACCGGCCCCGAGAACGCCCTTGCCCTCGTCTCGCTTGCCGCCTACCACACATGCGCGCCCGTCAACGCGAGCTGCACCGCGCAGGAGCTCTTCGATGATGCAGAGCGCCTGAACGCCCGCGCCATCGTCACTGCCCCCGGCTTCGAGGACCGTCTGGACCTCCGACGAGCCCAACAGAAGCTCAACTGTGATGTCGTTCTCATCCACGCCCGCCCAGATGGCCCGACAGGCCTATTCGACATGACCCTCCTCGACACACCGAACTCGGTGCACCCACAGCTGCCGAGCCGCCCCCACGGGCTCGATGATCGGTCGCTTGTTCTCCATACTTCGGGTACTAGCGGCAAGAAGAAAGTCGTCCCGTACACGCTTCGGTCCCTCATCGTCGGCACCTGCGCTGTCGTCCAATCATGGGCCCTGCGACCGAGCGACATCAACAGTGCGTGACGCGTTCTCGCCTTGTGTTCCGCGCCTGACGATCTCCGCAGTGAACATGATGCCTCTCTTCCACGTTGGCGGCATCGTCCGCAACCTGCTCGCACCACTCCTTAGCGGCGGCAGCGCAATCATGTGCGCCGGCTTTGACGCCATCGCGTTCTGGCGCCTGGCCATTGACCTCAAAGCGACCTGGTCAGTCACGCGCGTATCTTCCCTCATGCCAAGCCCATTCAACCTTTTCCCAGGTATTACGCGGCGCCGACTATTCACCACGCCATCCTCACTTCGCGCCCGGAGGACGTCGACCCCGCTCGCGATACCCATATCCGCATGATATGTAACGCTGCGGGCGGTCTGCTTCCCAGTCTGGCCGTAGAGGTGCGCACACTTGCCTGTCGCGGACGCACATGCGTACTGACGATTCGTGCCAGCTGAAGCGCTACTTCCCCGGTGCAGTTGTGTTGCCATCATATGGCATGACAGAGTAGGTCTTCGACCCTGCATGTTTTATGATGAGATTGTAACACGATCAAACAGATGTATGCCGATCTCCACGCCCCCGGTCACTTATCAGCTCGAGCGGCCCGGCTGCTCTGGTATCGCGTGTGGCCCGTACTTGTCGATCCGCGACCCGAGCAACCTTGAGCGCGAGCTGCCTGCTCAGGCGACCGGTGCCGTTTGTGTTCGAGGCTTGCCGACCTTCCAGGGTTACGAGGTGGACTCCGACCAAAGCGTACCTCTAGATACCTCCGCCTTCACCTCGTATGTGGCGCGTCTTTCCGCTTTCATCGGTAATTCTAATATTCCTGCAGGGAAGGATGGTTCGACTCTGGCGATTGCGGCTACATGGACGAGGATGGGTATGTTTATGCGCTCCACCTTAATTTCCGGTTGCTGACCTCGCTTCATAGTTACTTGTACATCACTGGTCGGTCGAAGGAGATCATCAACAAGGGTGGCGAGGTCATCTCGCCGTTTGAGGTTGAGGAGGCTATCATGACAGCGGCGAAGGACTGCGTCAAGGTGCGTTACACCTCGCTTCTTTGTGGCAACGTCTTACACTTCCTCAGACGACGCTCGCCTTCGCTGTCGAGCACGACGTTTTGCAGGAAGCTATTGGTGTGGTCATCGTGCCGCAACCAGACACGCCACGAATCGGTTTGTCGCAACTGCACAATGCTCTCAAGTGAGTTGAGCGGCCGTACATAATACTCGGGAGTTACTAACTTAGCCTTTAGGCCGCACTTGCACCCGTCGAAATGGCCCTTCCTGATCGTCTACATGAACGACTTACCGAAGAACAAGTGAGTTCTGCCTAGCCACAATGTCGCCTGTCATCTTATGTTTTCTTCTAGCGCTGGAAAGCCGCTACGCATCAAGCTAGCCCAGCGATTGAACCTCGGTCGTCTATCAGACTCTGTACCATACCTCCGCAGACACTACGAAGCCATCGCGCCTCCGAGCTCGGCTCCGCTCTCCCAGCCCATCCCCTCCTCGCTATGCACAGTCGACGAGCGCGACATCTACGACGCGCTCGCGAAGTGCCGCGGCATCTCTGAGATCGCTGTTCGCATGCGCGGCGAGGCCGCGCCCGACGTGTACATCAACGCCGGCCCCGGCGTCACCGCGGCCGACATCAAGGCTCGCCTCACGCCGGTGCTGCACGGGTACGCGCTTCCGGAGAACGTGCACGTCCTCGACCAGCCGCTGCCGCGGCACTCGCCGTCCTCGTTCGACTACGAGAAGATGGACGCGGTGATCTCGCAGCGGAACGCGTCGGCGATGAGCCACCAGGAACTCGAGGTGCGCGACATCATCGCGCGGCTGCTCGATATCGACCCGGGCACGGTCACGGCGGACTCGGACTTCTTCCTGCTCGGTGGCAACTCCCTGCTGCTCGGCAAGCTCTCGCACCAGATCCGCAAGCAGACTGGTGTGAGTGTGGGCATCTCGGAGTTGTTCACGAACAGCACTGTTCGCGGTATTGCGCGTCTCGTCGATGCGGAGTTCGTGCACGTCGACAAGGGCGGGCACTACAGCTTCGACGTGGAGAAGGGCGACTCGACCTATGCGGAGTCTTCAACGACCTTGGTGCAGCACATCGACGGGTCTGGGAACGTCAGCGCGAGCAAGTCTTTGGGGCAAAACCACCCCATTTCCTTGATTGTGCAGATTATTCCCTTGCTGTTCCTGTACCCTATCAGGAGTTGCTTGACATGTGCGTCGATTTGCTTTTTCGCAGTACCTAACTGACTTGGTTCGTAGGGACCATCATGGTGTTCTCGCTCTCGTATCTTGTGCCGCTCATCGAGCAGAGCTACTGGGAGCGTGTGCCCGTCCTTCTGTGCTCCATCGCCATCGCACGGTTGGTGGTACGTATCGTCTGCCCTATTGGCGCCATCGTCTTCAAATGGGTAGTGATTGGGCGCTACCGGCCTGGAACGTACAAGATGTGAGCAGTGTCTTTTATTATTGATGCAGCACATGCTAACATATCATAGGTGGTCTGTTTACCATCTGCGCTGGTGGATAGTCGACCATACCTTGAGGTGAGTATCAGCATTCCCTGTTATCATCACCCTTATCTGACGCCACCACAGGGCGGCTGGCAAGGGTATCTTCGCGCTCAACCCGGCGATGGAGAAGGTCTACTATCGCCTGCTCGGAGCGAAGATTGGCAGCAATGTGCAGATCGACGCCCGGGCGCGGTTAGCGGAGTATGACCTGCTCCACATCCACGACGACGTCAAGATTGACTCCGCGCTCATCCGCGGCTTCTGTGTTGAGCGCGATGGCTTCTTCCGCCTCGGGCGTATCATCCTGGGCCGTGGTGCGGTCATCAACACCTACACCCAGGTGTCCCCCAGCACGGTCATCCCCGATGGCACTGTCCTTGGTCCGCACGCTTCGTCACACGAGTCCGCATCGCAGGAGGCATACGCTGGCTACAACCGCAACGCGCTCGGGAAGCCGCACTTCCTGCTTCAGCTGCTCGTTGGCTGGCCCATTGTGGCAGTCGTCAAGTTCGCTGCGTGTAAGTGCTTCTCCCATCTGCTTCTTAATTGTCTCTCACGAGTCTATCTCTAGTCGTCCCGTGGTTCTGCATGCTCTACTTGATGTTCGAGTACACGGTCGTGCTGCGGGAGGGCATGAACCCGCTCCAGTCAGTCATCTACTGGTTCGCGGAGCCCCGCCGTATCGTGTTCCATGTGGTCGCCCGTGTCGTGCGGGCGGTCTGCACTCCGCTGCTGTCGCTCTTCCTGGGTATCATCGTCAAGCGCATCATGGGCCTCCAGCGCCCCGGCGATGCCAAGCAGTACTCGGAATACCAGCGTCTCCGGCGGTGGATCAACGACAAGTTGGTCGGCCAGGGTGCGATCAAGAAGGCGACAGCTGTCTTGGGCACGCATTACCAGACCGTCTCGATTATCTTCCGGATGTTGGGCGCTAAGGTGAGTTTGCTTCCGTCTCCGTGGGTCCGCCTCAGTACTGATATGATATGCAGGTCGGTGACCGCGTCTATTGGCCTGGTTCGAGCGTCTACTGCCCCGACCCCGAACTGCTCGAGATTGGCAATGACGTCGTCTTCGGCTCTCGGTCTGAGTTCTTTACCTCGGACCAGTACGGGTCAGGAAAGATTGTTATTGAGGACGGAGGTGCGCTAGCGTTCATCCATTACTCCTACAGCACACTGACCGTCTTCTAGCTATGATTGCCGATCGTGTCGTGCTTCTTCCCGATACGAGGGTGGGCAGGCAGGCCGTCATGGGCTCCGGTGCTCTTGGCCGCCGTGGCGGGCATTACGAGGAGGGTTCGACCTGGATGGGCAATGGTAAGGGTTTTTGCACGTTCGTCATACTATGGTGCTCATTATGCTCTTAGCCAATGGCGAGGCTATCTGCTTCAACAAGGGCAAGCCCAGCTCCGGCGACACGATTACACCGTTCGGCCGCGCGTACTACAAGCGCCAGGCGCCTTACTTCGTGTTCCCCTACCTCATGATCCTCAGCATCAACGTCTTCATCATGTCGCTCTCCGCCGCGTACTGGGCCATGCCCGCCGTCTGTGCCGCGCAGGTCCTCAAGTACGTCAACATCCATCTCGACGACTACCACTTGTTGCACTACTTCCAACACAACTGGTATGACATCGGCCCGATCCTCGGCTTGAACGCGATGACCTTCGTCGTGTTGCTCTGCATCATGAACATCGTCGCCATCTTGTACTTCATCACGATGAAGTGGATCATCATCGGCCGTCGTCGGGAGGGTAGCTACAACTGGGACAAGAGCAACTACTGCCAGCGGTGGCAGCTGCACTTGTCGGTGTCGCGGTTGATGTTCATGGGGTACTTCGGTACTTTGGGTGAGTGGCTTAATCTAACTTTTCGTGAGCCTCGCTGACCGTTCTTCAGGTCCGCTCAACGGTTCGGCCTACATCGTCTGGGTCTACCGTGCGCTCGGCGCGACTATTGGCAAGGATTGCTCGATCTTCGCTGGTGGTCGTACCGGTCTTATGACTGAGCCTGATCTTGTCACGGTGAGTATCCTCGTCTCGCTATTCTTTACCTCATGTGCTAATGACTCTCCAGCTCGGCGATAATGTCAGCTTGGACGACTGTTCCGTGGTCGCCCACATCAACTCGAGAGGCCAGTTCTCACTGAACAAGCTCAACATCGGCGATGGGGCAGCAATGCGCGCGGGTTCGCGTCTGCTCTCCGGCGCCTCGATGGAGGAGAACAGCATGTTGTGTGAACACACGCTGCTCACCTCTGGAGAGATTGCCGAAGCAGGCGGCGTGTACGTCGGCTGGCCAGGCAAGCGCCGTCGCGAAGAGCGCCGCCGCCGCGACACCAACCCGTCGACGCCGGGAACGTGGTCGCCCACCAACACCGCCGTGCCGTTAACACCAACTGGCATGCCGTTGTTAGGCCAGGGCTCTGGCTACTTCCCCTCGCGCTCGCCCACGATGTCCGACATGACCATGACTCGTCCAAGCTCCCTCACGATCACGCGGCCAAGCTCGCTACGGTCGTCCTCGCTGGCCTTGAAGCCATAGACTACACTCGCGCCACCGAGCCTGGGCTCTGCGGCCACGCCGATTTACGAACACCATCTGATCTAATCCATACCTTCCTGCCTCTAATACCCATCGTCATCATATCCTCCATCACCAACATCGAATCGTGCGCTTTGGATTGTCATCACTAGAGGAGCGGGTCGGTTGTGTGCGTACCTACTTATTAGCTATCGTATGGACTACGGATCGCACATGTCCTCTCTTTCACTGTCCTGTCACCGCTTCCAATACGAAGTACAGTAGCACTTCACCCACGCACGCCCGTGTATATATATTGTTCATTCCTGCACATAATGGCCTCCAGCTTTTATGTATTAGACTTTTCTGTGATATGCAGCGACCTTTGCGGCGTCCGAGACGTCTTCAATACGATACAAAGAGTGAGTTCATTGTGCTAATCAGTTTGGAATATTATATAGCGGCGCGCTCCGTACACTATCGTGCTCCAGCGCCTCGTCGTGCTTACCCGGTGGTGGTCACTGTCCATATTATCCAACAACACGAGAAGGCTGTCTAAGTTCGAGGGTATGCGATAGTTCCCTCAGTCAATAATACTCAACTCCCGCTTGCGCGCCTTGGCGAACTGGTCCTTGTACGTGTCCCATATCCTGAGGGAAGAACCATCAGTAACGCCGATCATCGTCCGCTATAATGAAGATGGGTGAGGGAGGAAGACGTCGGTGGGAGGACAGGAACGCCAAGAGGCGATGAGGGCCCATGGAAGCCGCACAGCTTCGCCAGTATCCCGTATCGTTCGCCGCCTTCTCGTACCCCGCCCGCCGTGTCCCTGAACCACGACAGCGTCTCTCATAAGAGAGTCGCTTCTTTGCGACGACGACGGGCTTGGCCTGCCGTCCTGCCGATGACAGACCGCGGTCTATCCGCGTAAGGAACAAGAAGGGTACGTTGCATGAGTACGAGAGAAGTAGGCGGGCCGCCGACATCGAGCAATGAGGCGGACCGCCACTGCGAAGGACCTAAGGTCCGCCTTCGCGAGGGACCTGGGCGGTCCGCATTGACGGCGCTCATAGCTTGGCAACAAGCGCCCCACACCGGAGCTCTTCGTCGAGCCAGCTCGAAGAAGGACTTGAACACAGAGATAGGGCAGAAGGCAAGAGCAAACTTAGGGTGAACAGACTTACCGCGTCAGCTCGTCAATGTACAACTTCTGTATCCGCATGACCTCCGCGAGGTCGGGTTTGTCGCATTGCTGGACAGGTATTGGGTGGCCGCCTAGTGGAAGTGGCCATAAGAACCGAGCATGACATAGCGAAGAGCGATGAGACTTACAAACGACGACTATTCGTCTGCGGTAGGGTAGGAGCCCGAGGTTATCTGCAGGGAAGCAGGTTTGAGTTTCGGGTGAACGGCCTGGATGAAGTGATAGTGCGCACAATTTAGAAGTCCTCTGCCGTGGAATAGCGGGAGGGTGAATCCGAATACGGACTGGAACTTCTTTTGCATCTTATAAACGGTGGTTCCGCGCTCGTTAGGCATTTGTTGGTATATCTAGTCATGAATTGGTGAGTTGCGTGATGACAGAAGGAGCTCTGTGGCGACCCACATCGTTCTCTCCGAACGAAAAGACGGGGACCAGGTCAGCGCTACACAAACATGAGTTCTTATTAGACCGACAGTGAAAGCTGGCCTACCCATGCTGAATAGCAACCTTGATGAACCCCAGTCGTCTCCTTAGCGTCAAGTCCGCCGTCCCCGGGCGCGCACTCAGACTTTCCGCCGCGCCACCTACAACGATGGTGATAGAGCTTCCAGGGCCCGACTTGAGGATGTTGGAGCAGGATTGCTTGGAGACGCTGCAGATGCCGAGGGCGAGGATGAGGTCGCGGTAAAGGGGAATGCGGAAGTTCGAGGCGAGGGTGAGGAGGTGGGGCGTGATGCCGGGGAAGAGCTTGGAAAATCCGGTTGCTGGAGTGCGCGTCAGTGAGACGTTTGGAAGGAGGAAAGGGAGGGGGGGGGTGAAGAGGGCCGTAGGTAGAGGGGAGCGGACAATGGAATAGACGCGCAGATATGTACCTTCCGTGGCGAATGTAGCAAGAGCTCCCCTGCAATGCCTTCAGACCTGTAACAAGGAGTAGAGGAGGGATTTTACGCACATGCCAATAATTCCTGTAGTACACATGAGCTGCATGATTTGTGGGTACGTCATGATCACGCACCGTGTGGATGGTAGCCAAAGATATACGGCCTGTCTGGCGGAAGGTCTGCGGTCTAAGATGGCTGAGCATGGTGTAGCCTTGACAGACATTCATCACTACCTTCATAGTCCTACACATTCTCATTGAGTAAACTGACATAGAAGAGAAAGGTAACACGCACGAGACAGGGTAGTAGTCCGCAAAGTACCTCCAAAATCTTGACGTCCTTGCCCACTCGCTACTCCTCCCACCGTGGTCAGGACTCTGATCTATCCATCGTATCCACACGTAGTACACTGCCAGTATAGGCCATAGGGGAGGGAAGGAGCTAGCATGGGGAGATGCTAGTTAGCATCGTATACGCCATCGGTCACCGATTCATAACCACTTACCACAAGATGAGAAAGGCCGATACACATAGCGCAATCATGACCGACCACATAGCCACCGCGAGCATCTGCATTCGCCGCTTGGGTGGTATTTGTGCGGGTACGAACCTGGAGGGAACGATGTCATGAGCGGCGCGACACGAGCGACGGGGAACGGGCGCACTCGATGTCATGGAGAGCGGCGACGGGGGTCTTTGTGAATTTAGAGAGGCGGTCCCCGAGAGACGCTGCTGAAAGAGAGCGGGCGCGCTCCTTGGGCGCTGTGGAAGTACTCATCGTGAACGTCAGAGACAACGAGCTCAACTGGCGCGCAAGTGCGGGCCGGGCGCGTCTTTGGAAATTCTGACTTGCGCGTGATTTTCACCAGCTCTTTCTCGACCCGCGTCGACGCCGGGAACGGCGACGATGACGGTGTTTCTTTATTTCCCTCTCGCATGTGCATGTTTATATGGCGAAAGACCGGCATACAGAAAATCCCGTAAACTCACGCGTCTTGAGACTCGTGGAGATTGCACCATCCAATTCAATGCACTAATTTACACCAGATTCAAGGACCCAGTTGGCACTCGGGTTGTGTAGTACAACAGATCAGAACTGAACAAACAAAAGGAAGCAGTGCGGAAAGGTAGCCACACAATCCTTTCCTCCAACCTCAAAACGACCTCAAAGAAATCTGTGGCTTCGCAGACGCCTGCGCTTGCGCCGCCGAGTTACCACCCACAGCCCGGCGCACTGCCTGCTCCAGTAGTTCTCTTGTCTCCGGCTCAAGCTTCGCTGCCGCATCCTTGAACGCGACCTGCGAAGTCGTCGCAAACGCCAGCAGCTGCACAACGCTTTGCGACGTGACCGGGGATGGACTGGACTGCGCGTTGAGGAGCAGGAGTGCTATGGTAGGAAGTAAGACACCAAGGAGGCGTGTTCCTGCGAAGGGTCAGCTGGGTGTGCTGAACTTCAGGGATATACATACTGTGCTCATCGGGTACGGAGGTGAAGAAGGTATTGAAGGCCTTCCAAGTCTCGGCAATGGCAGCGGAGTGCAGGTCAGAGATCGTGCGGTCGTTCACGGCGGGTGCCATCTTCGCGACGAACTCGATGAGGCCGGGCATAAGCAGCTTTGCGCACAGACGCAGCAGCACATTCCCTGAGGCTGCAGCGCCTATCAAGGTCCTGGCACATTGCGCAGCGGTGAGAGATAACTGCGAGATTAGAATGAGTTATCGCATTCACTGAAGGAAGTGACAAGGCTCACTTCGCTCGTCTCCACCAGCTTCTCAGTGAGGAGGAAGCACAAGTGCTCGACGACCGGCTGCCCAATCTTGACTGATGTCGGGACGACGGTCAAGACAAGGACTGCGGCCAAGAAGTTATTCTTGATCTTCTTCGTGACAGCAGGGCCTTCCCGTCCCCTTGAATATGCATCAGTACCCAGTACTGACGCAGTCAAACTTCCACGTACCTCATCTCCTCCACATTGAGCAGACACGCCGAAAGCAGACCGTGGATAGTGCGACTCAGCCTTTCCTGCCCTTCCTGATCCGGCAGAGGGGGGACATCGAGTAGAGTCTTCAACGCAGGCAAGGTCGGCGGGACCAAGTCCATATCCGGGAGTTCGTCCTTGAGCAAGTTGTTATATAGGAGTATCGCAACCGCGCGGACGTCTTCGCGCTGCGTTGTCTTCACCGAGCTTGCTATGCTTGCAAAAGCAGCGAATGCGGCCGTTATCATCCTGATCCTGTCGCCCAACTCGCCAGCTGCGTGGACGTCGTGAGGAGCTAAGCGTATCCTAGACAAATAAAAACCTACGGATGACGGAGCCGCGAGCCGATGCGATGGAGTGTCGTAGGATATGCGAGCAAATCCTCAAGCAATGAGCCTTCGGAGAAGTCAAGGAGAGGATGTCCAGTGAGCTGAAGCCACGGTGAGTCATACAATCAAATGCGGACAGTGATTGGTCGTACCCAGACAACTCTTCCTGCGTATCCGCCAGCGTCTTCACAAGCTCAATCAGGTGCACCAGCATGCTCGCCGGCTCCGTCAGCGCGATACGATAGCAAAGGCTGATGAACTCCTCGAAGATAGGCGGATCCAAGATCGCTTTCCCGGCGTATTCTGGCCGCACCAAGCACTTCAGCGCCTGCAAGCATGCGAGAACGATGGTTCGCCTGTTCGCTGCTGCATTGCTCGTGTCTCCAGATGTGGTCGCTAGAGCTTCGTAGACGAGGCCGAAGACGATGAAGAAGCACATGGTGGGCTCGGAGCGGCTTGTCAGTTTGATGGAGTCGACCTCCGCCGTCTTGGGCTCGGCGCCATCCATGGCAAGCAGAATGTACGGATCGCCGGACTGCATTGCCGTCGCGACGGCTTGCAAAATGATGGCCCATGACTCTGCATAGTACTGCGGCCGGTTATGAGCTCGGTGTAGCGAGAGCAACTACGACGAGACATACCGGCAATAGCACTTCCTTGCCCAAGCCAGAGAACGATGAGTCGAGAGCAACGCTCGAGCTGTCTTGCAAGGCCTCTGAGTCAACCCTGATACTAGCGTAGTCGCGCAGGGAAGCGATCCACAGTGAAGCCAAGGTCGCACGGTAGGGCTTGATGACCTCCTTCAGGTAGACTTGGGACACGCTCGCCACCTCCAGTTGCGCCCATGCGGATACAGTCGCGATACGCAGCATGGCGGATGCATTAGGGCTGAGCTCGCCAGACTCTCCAAGAGAGAGCATTCCAGGGTCTACATGCCAGTCAGTATGAAGCCAACTAGATGAACCAGTATACGTCACCTTTGGACTGCTCCAAGGCTGTCGTGAGCAGCTTGAGTATCCTTCCCATCCTACCAACATCCTTGACGACACCACATCCGACGAAAACAGCGCAAGCTTCGACGGCAGACGCGAGGATCTCTGGTGTCGTGTCCGATGAGAACGCTGGCGTGAGTGCGGCGGTGATCGGTGCTTGGTGCTGCTCGAGCAATAACGCGTCCTCATAAGCAGGGTCTGGTGATGTCGCAAAGATCTGAAGGCGCAGATCAGCAATTGCAGAAATGAGAAGACAGCACAACAAACCTGAATGACGTCCCGAAGCACCGTCAGACCCTCGAGGCGAATGTCCATGACATACGCCGCCGAAGCCGTGAAGGCCATCCTGATCAGATCTGGTACACGAGAGACGAGTAGATTCGACATGTTAAGTCCCCTGTTGCGCGCGAGCACGGCATTCAGGTGCTCTTGCCTCCCGCTCCTCGCAACGACGGTGCAGATGTTATGGAGGCATTGCAATGCGAAGAGTTGCGTTCTCCATCGCGAGGTGTGTTGGCTGGCCGTCGCCGCTTTTGCGTCTGGCGCAGACGACACATTGAGCGACTCTCCTTCGTCGTCCCGAAGGGTCTGCCCGGTTGCTGCATCCGCCGATTGCTGCGTGGCCGTGACTTTCGACATGATCCTCTGGCAGAGGTCGATCCAAGCGCTCGGGTTGAGAATGACCGTTTGCTGCAGCCAACTGCTGATGACATTGCGCACACCTTCCACTGAAGCGTCGTCGTCGAGCATGCCGAAGAGATCCTCGACGAGCTTGTCGCCACCGAGCTTCGACATGGCCAATGCGTCCTTCTGCACTAGTTGGTATAGGGCGTTAATCGACGCAAGCTTGAGCGGGCGTCTGGTCGAAGATAGGTACTGGCGGAATTGTTGCACCAGGACCGGTATGTCGACGTGCTCGGGCGCAAACATCAAGAAGTGCTGAATGCAAGCGATCGCCTCCACGCGAATGCCTTCGTCCTCCTCTTGCTCGAACTCATGCACAAGGTTGAGTACCAAGGTGCGCGTTCGCGTCGACTCTTGAATGTCCGGACCAAGAATGGTGATGATGGCGTCGATGATCTGGCATACGAAGGGATACGCGGGGAACTCGCCGCTGACATTGGCGTTGTTGATCGACCCGCCTTCACGCTCGTGCGACTCCATCATATAGATCTTGAGCAACATACCCAGCGTGCTCGACACGAAGGGCGCATACCCCAGACTTGCCGCATTGATAACTCGTGCGAGCGCGTTCAGTGACCAGTAGTGGACGATCGGATGTGAATCGTTGCTGAGCGACATCAGGACATTAACTGTCGTCTTGAGAAGGGGTCCTGCTGCCAGGCCACCGACGTGGGTGTAGATCGAGCCGAATGCGAGTGCGCAGCCCGCACGTCCGTAAGGATCGCGGTTGTTGACGACCTGATCGACCAGCTGCTTGATCTGGTTGGTGAGGAAGGTGGTGCCGGCCACACTTGCGAGGCGGCCTATAGCTTCACTGCCGCAAGAGCGTAAGACGACATCGTTGTCAATCAAGGCGTCCTGTGGGATGTTCAGTGTCCACAAATAACGACATCTCGGGTCGCAATACCTTGAGGAATGGTGACAGCAACGAGGTGACCTGAGCGCTTCCCCAGACGTCTCTTGTCTGCCTTGTAGAGTTCGCAGTGATTACACGCAATGTCATCACTATCGCCACAGCGCTGTTGATGAAGACGGCTGCCTTCCGGCCGGCATTTTTTTCCAGCTTCGGAGAGCGCGCATACTCCAGCAACTCGGTGACTATGCGCACGGTTGTCGGTAAATCCTGTAGTGGAAGGAGCCTTGAGAAAAGCTCGATGGAGGTATCTACTGCAGATGTGGCCGGTGGCGGAGGCTCGTTCGTCAAGTACGTTGTGTCGGTGGACTTCCCCATGCACAACGTTAGGATATCATGCTCGCAAGCGCCGATGATTGGTCGGTGCAGCTTGAGACACGTTGTGAGCGAGTGTAGAATTCCAGAGTGACGAGATGCATACCAAATCATCAATTGCTACTTCCAATGAGTCTCGGTTGAGATAATCCTTCTTCCCCTGCAGACTCTCCTCATCTGGCGTCCCCGACGCATCGTCCTTCACCTCCTTAAACGTCACACCGTACGCGTACTCGTCCGCGCTCTGCCAGACGCTCGTGAACGTTCCAGACGAGCTGGCAATCGCCGCCTGCACCGAGCTCCCCGCATACCCGTCCGGGCTTGCGAATAGCGACACTGTCGACTGCAGCAACGTGGTCTGCGTCGACTCCGCGATGCTCGAGAAGCCGAGCGCACTGAAGCATTGGTAGACCCGGCGCCGCAGGAGGGCCTCGCGCGCCCGAAGGCCCAGTCCCTTGCCATTGCCGAGTCCGTTATCCTGTTCAGACGGATCCTCGATGTTCTGCCCGACGAACCCATTCGCGAAGTTGAGAGCATTGCTGAGGACACTCGACACGCGGCGCGCGACGTCGAGAGTGACGAGCGCGCCAGCGTTGTGCTGCAGGAAGCAGTAGATCGCACCGAGCGCGCTCTCGCGGACGTGCAGCAGGAACGACCACTCGGCCGCACTGCGCCCCGCGCTGTTCGCCGCATCCTTGCTCGTCGGCTTAGGCAGGGCGTTGCGCCACAGAACAAGCAACTGCGGGAGGTGCGGGCGGACGAAGTTGGGCCCCAGTGCCATGAGAGCGGCTATGAGCGTCCATGCAACCTCCACCTCGACGCCGGCGATTTTGACGTCGTGGTCGCCTGCGCGCTTGAGCAGCTGGATTGCCATGTCGAGGACTTTCGCGCTAACGTCGTAGGAGACATAGAGGGGACGCTCCGGGATCACTGCAATGAGAGCTGAGAGGCCGTATGCGTGGCCAAGCGTGCGCAAGTTAATGTCGGAGGGCGCGGCGGGGGATGTAATGGACGTGAGGTCGCGCTGAAGGAATTCCATGGCGGTCAGGATCATCTTGGGGAGTCGGAGGGGTGTGGTGTAGCAGAAGCACCGAAGCGCCCAAGACGCCGTTACGCGTACTGAGTGACTCGGGTGTGAAAGTAAGGTCATCAGCGGTTCGGCTACTGCATCCTACGAGGCTCTATCGTTAGCATACGTGTCCTTCAAAGCAGGAAATGTTACAAACCTGCACTGGAGGGGGAGCATTCCCTAGCTGCTGCAGCAGAGCCGCGACTGCTCTCAACGCCATGACTAACACTGCGGAGTGCGGCGCTGTTTGGCCTGGCATCATCGCGGGCCACCTTCTCAGGTACGTCCTCGACAACTCCTGTATCGCCCCAATCTGGCCCTGCTCGCTCAACATCCTCGACGCTACCAAGTCCCTCAGCACAATCCCGACCAGCGACCGCACCAACAGCCCCTCATACCGCGACCCCGCTGCCGTCGTATGCCTTTGCGGCGTGATAACATCGCTCACAAAGTGCGCGACAATGGCTGCGTAGTTTGCTTCAACGAATGCGGGACCAAGCTTCTGTAGGAGGGCGACGTAGAAGTCGAAGATGCCGATGCGCGTCTTGCGGGATGTGTTAGGGCGGACGAAGTGGACGGATATGCGGGCGAGCATTTCAGAGGGGGTGAGGAGGGGCTTGGAGATCTCCGCGACCGTAGCAGCGGGAGCGGGGTCGTCGTCCCCGTCATCGTGCTCCGTGTTGTTCTTCTGCTTCTTGTTGCTCGGCTCGGGCGCGGATGTGACCCGCTCTACCTGCGTAGATGCGAGGATATGCGCGACCAGCAATGCATGCGAACGGCGCGTCGGTTGGTCGGCGTGCTCAAGGCTCTTCACACAGAGCGCAATGATGGCTTCAATCTCGTTGAGGGGAGGATTCGAGCCTTCGTTGGAGTAGAGGACGGTGAGCACGGCGGCCGCGGCGCGTTGAGCGGGTAGTGCCTTGTCCGTGAGCGTGTTGCGCATCTGCTTGAAGATGTCTCGTGCAGCTGAGTCGGTTACGGCCCTGCGCGTCGTGTCAACGGTCTTCTGAAGGGCGAGGAGGGCATGGTAGCGGAGGAGGCAGGACTGAAGACGTGTTAGCTGGTTCAAGGAGTTTTAGGTTGAGCATACACTTGACGACTTGGCGATCTTGAGTGTAAGCGTTATGATCTCTGCCACGAAGGACATGAACTAGGAAGGACGTCAGTACACCGAATCACGCTTTCTATCCAACTGCGCACCTGCGATCCGTATACAGCCATGAGGTCCCCCGTTACAGACAGCGCAGCACTGCAGCGCGTCAGTCCACGCTCAAGCATTCGCGCGCCGGACGCACATCTTGATCTCATCCTTCGTTGGCGTCTTGAAGTCGCCTACGATCTTGAGGAAACCTTGCAGTGTGTCAAACAGTGTTCGCGTCTCCACTCTTCTATACAGTGCGATGAAGCACCGCGCAACAACATTGCGCACTGGGCGTCCAGGGAGGGGGAATGGTGCGGGGGCAGCGATGATCTTGACCAGGGTCTTCTCGAGATCGCTCTGACCGGCCTTGAGGTCTTCCTGGCGCCTGCTTCAGCACTTATACGGGTGCATTTACTTCTATATACGCACCATTGCTACCCGACTGATCGCCTTCTCTGTCTCGCAGAGCCATTGGAAGACGTACATCCCGGCTTGCTCTCCAGAGAGCTCGGCCTGCAGCTCAGAGTTGAGAGCGTTTTTCGTAGAACACACAGCTGCATACCTCATCGAGGGGTTCCAGGGTCGCGGACGTCGATGACATTTCGTTGCTAGTCCCTGGTGTCGTCGTGAACGTCGTCGACAACGTCCGGTATTGCGGTCCGGATCCCCGTCGTCGGTTACAATGGATACTTGCCCGTTCACGCCGACCATCACCCACCCGGATCTGTTCAGTCGAGCGGCGCCGAAAACTCCCTCTGCAGCGCCCACGTATCGTAATGGCTTGGCCAAGTCACGGTCCTCAAGGTCTTTGATAAACTCTCAAGGTTACCGGCGTTTTCCCCGATGAAGGGCACTCGCGTCGACCAAACTCGCGGCCGCGCCAACTCTAGCGAAGGGCGCCCAAAGTAACACACCATGCCGCAGGTCTCTCAAGCCCGCGATGCAGCACTACGACTCATCTGCACGGCTCAAGCGGGCGCGCAACGTTCCGTCACAGATATTCACGATCAGCGATTGGATTTTATTCTTCTACGGTGTCTCCTTGAACGTTAGTTGTGCGCCTCAGCGTTGAATTTACTCGATCTGACTTCTCGAAGAATCTTCTTTCGAACGACAACTTCTCTATGCAGACTCTCGCGACATACGCCAACGATCCGATGTCCGATGCCACACGATGCAAAGCAACACACACCGGATACCTACTCCCTCGTGTTTGTATTCCCCCGGATTTACCTGTGTCATGGATTCCTTGCATCTCATTGCAGCAAGGGTTGCTCAGCCAAAGGACCTGCTACCCTCGTCGATTGCTTTTCGCCACTTCTCGGAGCGACTGAGGCAGTCGGAGTATCAGGCTATTGCCTGGCCGCTATCACATCTCTTGCCCAGCGTAGCTGTCGCAGCTGCCGGTGACTTGAACGCGCCCTGCGGACTGAACTCACCCGGCCTTCGCATCCTGCGTACATACGGCATCACCGGTGCCTTCGGAACCTCGCCTTTCTCAGCGTCGACGAGAGGCCGACCGCCGCCGTATCATTGAAATCAGTGCGCCTATACGCGTCTCTGTCTGTGTAGCCGAACGCCGTTGATTTTTGGTCTTTCCTATTGGATGCGTCGTCTCTCCTCGAGTTCTCTGCTGCTATGGACTTCGCGTTGGGATCAGAAATGTCACTGCCGCCGACCGCAGTCCGCGGCGCCCGCTAACAGCAGTATGTTTTATATGCTTAGTCCCATTGATGCTACTTATGCATTCTCCTAGTAGCATCCAACGAATCAACTATATCGTTATATCCTCTTTGCGCTCACCGACACTGAGCGACAACTGCAAAGCCAACTACGACCTCTTCTCAGACAGAAGAAGATTGAACCACGGAGTTCACCCAGTCACCGGAAAACGTTTCGACAGGCGAACTATGTCGTACCCTATTGTGGAGTCACATACTCACCCTGCGTCAACGCCAATGCGCGGCAAACGATCCCCCGCATCGGTAAACGTGCACCCGACGACGAGCTATCGCCATGGCGGCTTGGAGAGCTTGCTCTCGCAGTGGATGTCGGCACGATTGCGCATGTGGAAGCACCGCAACTGTCTGTGAATGACGGCAACAAGGGCGCAGACGACGAAACCCTGTATGGCTCCGGGGCTACTGGCTACCGGCCTATCCTCTAGCTCCGTACTGAACATCGCCTCACCAAGTGCGCTTCGTCGTATGGCATGGACGTGTCTCACTACAGCGTCCGCGTACCGAGTTGACTCAGCAGAATTGCGATTTCCAAAGCCAGACACTCGAATATACCAAGGCTCGCTTCTTCTCTGATGAAGGGTATTTACGTCGACCAACTCGCGCCGCGCCGGCTCTGCCGAAGGGTTCGCAAGTCGGCGATGCAGGGGCGCGACTCCCCTGCCTGGGTCAAGTGGGCGATCAACGTTCCGTCAGACAGCCACGAGCAGCAACTGGGCCTTATTCTACTACAGCGTCTCTTTTTAAGCCACTTGCGTGCTTTAGCGCCAGACCTACGCCCCGCGGCTCGACCGCTCTTCTCAACTAGTTGCGTGACAGACAACATGAACCTTAGTATCCCTTCAACTTTCCGCCAGACTCACAGCCAATTTGAACTTGATGCTGCCTCGATCTACTACAGCGCTTAGACTGTTGACCACATACCTGCCTCCCGAGACGGCCTTTTGCGCCCAATGAATGAGATAACAATATCCGCGTCAGGGAGGCCTCTCAACATGCCACAGCGTAGAACGCGTGCAGATGGACGCAGGTCGTGTCGGACATCGCTCTGGATAGCTATAGCTTATTCTCGCGCGCGGAGCGTTAGGCGCTTGCATGGGCCTGCTGTCTAGAACGAGCTCGCTTGACGTTGCATGCTGTGCACATGCTGCTCACAGCCTGCTGCACGCACGCCGTCAGGCTTCGTCCGACTCACCTGAGCCTGAGTACGAGTCGACTTATCTGAAAGGATCCCGTGGTACTTGTATTCACGGTCCCGTTTCGCAACATACTATCTCAGTCGGTCAATTACCTGCTTCTCTCGACTCTGCATGGGTTGTTTGTTCGAAGTTCATGGCTATGCGAGAGTTGTGCGATGAAAGCTACGTGCACGAAATACAAATGTAATGCGTAACGCCCTCATGGTCTAGTGGTAAGATACCTGCTTTGGGTCTTAAAGTCCTTGCAGGTGATCCTCGGTTCGAACCCGGGTGGGGGCCATTCCTTTTGCTTTTTCGTTGGAAGCTGAAGGTCAGTGACTTGTTTTCACGAAGGCGCAAGCATTTCAAGACGAATGATCGCCGGAAATTTCCAAGTACGGATACGATCAAATTGATGGCCAATAATTGCCTTTTTGGGCGACGGGTTCTTAATGTGAGGCCGGGAGTATTGTAGCGGGTCTCTCACATATGATTTCTTCTTGCACACAGATAAATGTTGCATGCAATGGAGAGCTCGCCAGGGTGCAGGGTGGAGCTAAAGAGGATTCAACTCACAATGATAAAAGCTGTGGAACAGCAGTGATTCCAGTTCGCCCTACCTACCTCAGTAAGGTGCCAACTCTCGCATGCCCCTCAGCAGAATGTAAATGTGCCGTCTTACGCGGTAGAGGTTCCAATGATCATGATACTACAAGGTCTTCAGAGCAACTGACAAGACTGCGTCCGCACCAGTGCGACCACTATCCTCTACCTATCCAGTTGCCACAATTCCTTTCCAGAGCGGATGTTCGCCGATAGACAGGTGGGAACAATAGATGTGGATAACAATACGAAATGCGTGTCGAACTATCGATTGTTGTGTACGTTAGAGTAGAACCACTGTGCGTGACCAGGCAATAAGATTGGGTTCAGTGGGAAGTAAGCAGAGTCGGGCCAGCCACGGAATAATAGAGGTGTGAGTGCTTATGCATAGAGGGAACGGTATGTCTACGACGATGACAAGGGATTCGATTCGGGTGAAAGAAGGAAGGAAACAAGCAAGCAGGAGGGCTATAGGTACAGCAATACGAAAAGCGGAACAACGATTGGTATATTCAGACGGAGGGGATCCAATAGCGACGTAGAAGAGGAACTTTGTACAGAGGGTAGAGGAGTGATGTGTGAGTAGCGACGCGGGCGGAGAGACGTGATCCAGGTCATGTACGATTGGGCATGAACTTCTTGGACGGCGAGAAACTGGACAGTGACATCGAATAGCGCTTCGTGAAACCTTTCAACCGATGCAAGCGAGATGGGCTTTCCGGTGGCGGACGCGAGGCCTTGGGGTCGGAGCTCAGCCACATAGAGGGTATCGTTCGTTTGGGCAGTGCTATGGATGCGACCGTCAGTAGCCATATGTATACCAGCTGAGAAATCATACTCACGCCCCAACGAGTCATCCTGCTCTCCAAGATCGTCCGCTGACTTGCCTTGACGGTGCAAGCCCGACGCGCGCGGCGTCTCTTGTATCTCTTCCATAGAGTGCGCCCCCGTCAAACCATCCCATGACGATCCGAACTCGCTACCGTCGCCGGGAATGAGCGTGATGTCGTCGATGTTCGTCTTGCGCGAGAGGCCACCAATCTTGATGCTCGACTGGCACACGGGTGGCGAGAAAGGCGACGCGCGGGGAGCTATGGGGGACGCGTCTGGTCGTGCTGTCAAAGGAGAGTCGGGATTGAGACGGGTCGTGATGGGCGCAGAGATGTCTAGGCGCGTCAGAGGCGGCATTTCGGGGCGACCAGACAGTCCGTCGGAGGTCGCGAGCCCTCGGCGTGAGACAGACTTGGTCCTCAAGCGCGGCGCGCCCGACGAGAGTGGCGTAAACACAGGCTTGCCGCGCGAGAGCAAACCGTCGCTTGTGCTCGGGCGCGTAGGATCGCGAGGGCGCTTCTTCTTGCCGCGGATCGTATCCCAAGCGCCTCGTATGGACTCGTGCTTGTTACCCGAGTCGAGCCCGAGCCGGTCACCTATCGAGCTGGACGGTCCGGAAGAGCCCTCGGTCGATGGTTGTGGCTGAGTGTGCAGATCAGACGTGCTGGGTAGCCGGCCATTTCCGACGGGGGTGATGGGGCTAGCCTCGTCCCCGCTGAGATTCAAGAACGAGTTCCGCTTGAACGTTATCGGAAGAGGGTTCTGCATCGCTCCCCGGGACTCTTCTAACGGCGGCTCCTCATGCACAGGGTCCTCGCGCTCTAGCACGGCAGCTTCCGACGCCTTTGATGCTGCTGCTGCGGTCTCCAAGGCCTTAGCGGGCGCCATCGCCTGGGACATCACCAGCGACAACCTGGGCGTGGGCCGCCTGGCGGGGTACGCGAGCTGCTCCTTGGGGGACAATTCCTGTTGCGCTGGGCTGGGCATAGGCTCCGGCAGGGGAGGGAGCTCGGCTGCGAGACGCGCTGCTGGTACCGGTGACTTTGGCTTTGGAGGTGGAGGAGTGGTAGACGCCACCGCCGACAGCCCAGGCATAGTCGCTGCTCGCGCAGGCAGGCGCAAGTTGCCCGCCGTCGTCCGCATGCTGCGCTGACGAGCCGCCTTGACAAGCGTCACCCGCCGCGTGCTTCGCGCGCTGCGCGTACTCCTCGCGCTCCTGATACTTGCGCGATCATCTTCCGGCTGAAGGGAGACCATCGACGTGGGCGGCGCGGTATTCGTGCGCGTTGGTGGTACAGCGGTCAGAGGCGTGCCCGGAATGGGTGCTAAAGGTGTCGGCGGCGTCGCGCCGGCCGGCGAAAATGTCGCAGTAGTCGGAGGTGACCGCGACAGCACCGTAGAGCCCACCGACGCCCTGAAGTTCGCCCCAAACGTCGGCGTAGCCATCGGGCCTGAGCGCGGACGCGTGTACTCGACCACGTTCGACCCGGACCCAGTCGTACCAGTAGACATGACCGAGTCGTGCCGCGCAGGAGCAGGCCGCGCGCGCTCGAGCTCCTCTTTCGTCGGTGGCGTGAACAGCGCGTCCGCTTCCGGACTTGTCGGTTGTTTCGGCGATTCTGGGTCCTTGTTTGGACTGAGCTGCGCGGCGGCGAAGGCGCGGAGTGTGAAAATCGAGGGGCGCGGGGAAAGCGTGCCATTGACAGGGACGACCTCCGCACGGTGGATGATAGCCTCGCCGCTGTCTGCGAGCTCGCAGAGGGCCTGGGTGTCGTTGATAGTCGTGGTATCGTCGCCTTGACGTGAAGTGTGATCATCCTCGCTGTCGCTGTCGTCCTCCGGGTCGCTGTTGTCGTTGACAGGAAGACGAATCTGCTGCTCTGGATCGACAGTACCAAAAGCCATTGTGTCGCCGACGCCGAGAATGCTTCCCCCCTCAGACATGATTTCCTCAGCGACACGTTCCGCTTCGTCCTCGATTTGATCAATCTCCTGTGCCATCTTGTGCGCCTGGTTCCATGCCTCATCGACCTCAGCCTCAAGCTGGCTGATACGCTCGCGTGCCGTGCTGAGCTGCGTAGAGCGACGGCCGTAGCTGGTGTTGAGCTGGATACACATGCATCAGTAAAAGTCTGGACAAAAGACGAATTACCGCTCCACAAACCTTCCTCAGCGCGATCGCAAGCGCGCTGCCCCAGTGTTGGTCGAGAAGGCGGTTGATCTGCGCAGTATGGTCGACTGCGCGCACCAGCGCGTCCGTGCAAGCGTCGCACTCTGCCATTACGTCGGAAAGCTGCTTGGCGATGTGGGCCGAATATTCTGCAGCGTCGGCGCCGCCCGAATGCGCGGCGAGGGCCTGCAGAAGCATGGTGCGCCTGTGCACGCCGAACCGGTAGCGGGCTTGTGCGGACGCTCGCGCAGCATCCAGGCGCGCGAGCTCGTTAGGGAGGGTGTGATCGATGCGGCGCACGGGGAGGATGCGAATGTACGACTCGCGTGCCGATGAGCGTATGGCGCGCGAGACGATCTCCTGCAACTCTTCCGAGTCGAGGGTCCCTGAAGCCAGTCAGATTGAGTCCAATGACATTCGACGACCACTCACATAGCGCAGCCTCGAGGGGAAGACCCTTCCACTTGACAGGCTGTGATTCGAAAGACACCGACGGTGGGGGTGTTAACGAGGCCGCTTTTTGGAAAGGCGCTACAGGGGAGGAGGATCCTGTCGTCGGGGTCGAGGAAGGTTGGGGGGAGGGTGTTAGGCCAGAAAGTCCTTCGATGACAATCCCAGAGTCGTCGAACGCGTCCTCTGGGCGGACGTCTGTTGGTATAGCCTGGTGCGCAGGAGGTGGGGGCGTGCTCGACGTGGGGGTGGGCGCGATGTCCGGCCGCGGGCTACCAGAGCGCGTCGACATGCCGTCCGGGTCCTGCACAGACGAGCGAGAAAGAGTGGCTACCCTGGGCGAAAGAGACAAGCTGCGGAGTGCATCTGGGGTACTTGCGGACCGGGAAGATCTGCTCTGCCGCGGGCCCATCGGCGCAAGAGGTGGGCGCACGCGTCTTCTCGCGAGCGACGCGTTGGATGATTCGGCCATGGAGGGAGAGGGGATACGCGCGCGGAAGGACGCGCTTCTGCTCGTCAGCGCCCGACACAAGTCGTAAATTCGGCTTCCAACACTGCTCGTGTCGGCGCCTCCCTCGTGCCTATGTACGTGATTTCATTTACTTCGTACCCAGATCGGCACTCGCGTGGAAAGTTCGGTATTTGCCATGTCGATAACATATGTTTTGAACACGTGTTAGTAACGTAAGAAGGTGTTACGCATTCATGTACGCAGCAGAGAGCTTGAGGGGCCATGGCAAGGTGTTTTGACGTCCCAGAAGACGTATGTGAGCAGCTCTTACAGCGCTTCATGAGAGGCAACAGCAAGATGGCACCGTGTTACTGAGTGAATTTGAACAGTGACTGCTGTGTGACAGGTTTCCGGCAAATGCCGTGAGTGACTGCTTCATCAACTTGGACGAAGCTTCGAAAGCTCGAAAGCTATTGCAGTGTTCAATCGATGGTATTGCAGGACGAAATTCTGCTTCACAGCGACGATACCGGACGTGTATCCAGGGAAACCGGTGAGTTAGTGCCACAAGTCACGACATTCAACAGAGAAACAAGGTTGCAGCTGACCCTGTCGGTCTTCGAAGTTCAAACCTGTGCCATCCCATAACTCCGCGTCCTCGAGCCACAGATCCACAAGCAATGTCATTAGGTATACAAAGCATTATACATATTCTCGAGGATAGATCGGTCGTACAGCAAAGCAGGACAACTAAGCTCTCGTTCGCGCTACATACCTCGACGTGAACCAGGGTCGACTACCACGTCTATGATTTTCAGACAGTCGACCTGGATCTCAATACACAACTTCGTCTCCTTCGATGCCAGGTAGGTGCTCCAGCGTCGACTCGGTTTGCTCCCCGAGAGGGATCGAACCATGCTTAGTCCTCATCCTCCCCAATGACATGATGAGCGATGGGTTCCCGCTCTGGCGCGTCGGCAGCGTTTGGCACGCGGGAGTACCTGGACAGAGGTAAGTATTCGCCTACAGCCGCAACTGTATCTCCCGCGGGGCATACCAATTATTCCTAATCCCCGTCGGCGACGAGAGCTCGATCCCGCCCTCGTCCACGCCCTTCGCGCCCGCCGCGTTCGGCGCATTCCGCCCCGACGTGGCGTAGAGGTTGATGAGGCCGACAATGAGGGTGTAGATGACGAAGGATAAACTGGGGAAGGGCGTGAGCATGGTCTTGGGACGGTTGCCACAAGTCGCCCCAAGGCGAGAAAAAGGACAGCAAAGGGATAATACAGACAGCAAAGGGACAATACGAACAGCAAAGGAACAATACGGACAACAAAGAAACAACACCCACCTGAACATAATCAAAATATACGTCACATGATCCATCCCCGCGTCGTTCGCCACCTTCAGCTCCTCGTCCGTCCCGCTCATGAACAAAATGCCAGCAGCGGTAAGCAAGTAGGGCGGCAAGTGTCTGAAAGCCCGTGCGGCCATGGTGCGAGACAAAGAGTCCCCAACGGTCAGTGTGTGGTCGGAATGCGCATCGTCTGCGTCGGTGGTGCTACCCTCGTGGGCGGCGTAGTTGGGCGCGAAGACGGCGATCTCGATGATGCGCGCGAGGCCGGCGCCGAAGAGGGTGTGGCCGAACATGCTGTGGACCTGAAAGATGGAGCGTTATTGAACATGTTCATCAGTTGTAGAGGGCAGACGCACCTCGGTAGAGATCATCAACGCTTGAGCGTGGTTCGCCATTGCCCAGCCGGTGAGGATGATACTGCTCGGATTTAGTAAAAGCAGATGTAAGAAGTAAGATTGAGTACGCACATCAAGGCAGGAACGACATTTCGCTGGTTGTTGCGCGCGAGGAATATGCCGAGCATGCCACCGGCCCACCAAAGGACGCCGAGGATACTAGCCGGTAGGTTAGTAACGAGAAAGAGAGCCTCGGAGAACCGTTGAACTCACGTGTGTTGCATGTCCTTTACGGACCAATCACCGCCGTGATGTTCGGTGAAGGTGTTGACTGCGTGAGGTCAGAACGCATTTGTGGAGGTTGAATGGGGCACACGCACCGATACCCTACGACCACAAGTATGCTTAGATGAGCAGGTTAAGACAGCAACACGGTTGCTTACCCAAAGCATGATAACCCTACGGGCTAGCGTCAGCGCCCTATTAGGCTCAAACAGTTTGACGCGACGCACCATGAGTCCCACCATTCCGGACTCCTCCCACTTCGTCTCACCCAGGACTCGCCAACGAGCAGGATGATAGCCATTATAGTCCCGTACGCAATGAACCCACTCCCCATGATGTAGTGGGCCAAGCACTGTCCAAGGTGACCCCCGCGGCAGTACCCCCGGAACGTGATCGCGCCGAACAGCATCTGCGTCCAGCCGAGTATGGGATACGTCTTCCCGACGAGCCCGTGTACCTTCACGGCGTACGGCCGCAGCGACTTCTCGTGAATGTGCAACTTGAGGTAGATGCCGAGGCAGAGCTGGGTGAGGATGGGGATGAGGAGGATGTTCGCGAATTTGCCGTGCGCGCCGGCCAGGAAGGCGCGGCCCTTGTGAGCATGGCCCAGGATGTAACCACCGAGGGTGAGCGCGATCCCCGTCGCCTACGTGGAAGAGGTGATCGGTCAGCAAGCGTAACTTGCGGGGGTGGGGGGCAGTGATCCACTGCCCCCCACAGACTAGCTAACACGCACCTGTAGTGGAACATGCCATCTGCTCTTGCTGAGGCCCAAGACCATTCCCGTCGGGAACAGGACGCCCCATATCGCAGCCTGGAGAAAGATGTGAATCCATAGGATCGCATCAATGGGCTTGTGCATGTCCGCGTCGGAGAGCTCATGGTGATGCCCGTGCGCGTGTGCGCCGGCGGCGAGGGCGAAGAGCAGCAGCAGGCGCTGTGTGCTGGCCATCGCGGCCGACGGTGAGCAAGCAAAGAACTGCTGAGAAGGAGGCAGAAGGCGAGCGCCGGAGACAAGCCGCAGACGACCGGATGGCCGCAATCAACCGTGTCAGCCACAAGTCGTCATCAGATCGGTCCGGATATCCGGAAGGGTGAGTCATCCTGCGTGTTGCCTGCGTGCGGCACTGCGTGACCGCGTCGCCGATCGTGACGCGATTCACGCGACTTGACAGGCGCCCAAAGGTCCTTCAGAATCAGAGTACGTCCCTCATCCCTTCGGACGCCTAAAGCTCTTCTCAATTCGATTCCGAAGGAGAAATGAGCGTCGACCACCTCCAACCAGACAAGCTACATACCAAAGTCTGCCGGAAATGCAATCACGCTGTCTCTGCAACCACCACAGAACTCCCCACATACGCCCTCCAGTCGCAGGCGCCCCCCACAAGGCGCCAAGCGCTAGATGTTCAGTTTTCTCTGCAAAGGGACGAGGCGTCTATAACTGAATATACCAAGGAGATCCGACACGCCGAGCTCGCGCTGGAACGACTACGCGCCCAACGCCAGGTGCTCTTAACCAACGCTGAGCGCAAACGTGCTTTCCTGGCCCCCATACGGAGACTTCCGACCGATGCTCTCGCTGCCATCATAACCTATACTCTTGAAGACGTCTTCCTCCGCAAGCCGGACTCCGCCCTCCTCGAGCAGCATGCTGTGCTCCGCGTCTGTCAGCGCTGGCGAGCGATAGCCCTCAGTGCTACCTCTATATGGGCAGAAATTGCGCTCTATCCAATGTCGTATTTGAACTGGCACGAGACTCTCAAGCGGTGCTTGCGGCGCTCGCAGGCGCGTGCTCTAAACATCACGTTGAATGGAGCATGCCCTCCGTGGCGTACAGGCAAACCTGTGTCGGAGGTCGTTCCACAGGGGGAGTGGGCCGCGGTGTTGAAACCGTTGCTCGCGAGCGCGGGTCGATGGAAGGCCTTAGTCATTGACAGCATCTGCCCGCCGGACGCTCTACTCCGGCAGCGCAGGCGGCTGCCGTTGCTCGAGAGACTGGACCTCACCAGCATCCACACACCTATTAGAGGCGCCGATACATACAACCTCTTCGAAGACTGTCCTTCGTTATACGCCGACGTTCGGCTTGACGATGTGGATGTCCGCGCGTTCAGCCTACCTTGGGGTAGCTTTCACACCCTGGAGCTCGCGATGCGCCGGGAGGACACCATCGACGATGCCATCCAGTGCCTAGCCGAGTGCAAACGGGTCCAAACGCTCACCCTCACGATGTATACCCGCGGTCCGACCTCCATACAGCAATTGTACCTTCCCGCCCTGCGATATCTGGACGTCCGCGAGGAGGCCAGATTCATCCTCCCGCACCTGGTCGCCCCAGGGACGGAAGAAATCAGGGTCGGGGGGAGGAGCTTTGACGACGAGGATCCCTCCAACATAACCCTTCTGCGTCGCTTTGCAGCCGCAGCAAAGGACAACGCGTCTCGCGTCCACTCCCTCGCCATCGACGCGTTGAAAGGTCCCGCGTACAACAGGGATCAGTGGCGCAAGCTCTTCAAGTGTTATCCTGGCGTCCGACGGTTGTGCGTTTCGGACCCGGACATGCAAGACGGCATTGGCACAATCCCTAAGCTTCTGACAGCCTATCCCGACCTCCTTCCGAGCCTCACCTTGCTGAAGTTCTCTCACTTCCAACTAAACTCAGGCTCGCAAGCGCGAGCACTCGGGCCCCTCGCGGACGCTCGCACATTGGATAGTCGCCCTGCTGGTACGCCACAGCTGGTTATCGAGATTTCGGATGACTTCGAGGGCTTCGGGGACGAGGGTGTCAATTTCTGCATCGAAAAGGGGATTGCGGTCGGGAGCAAGCGTCCGAAGGGAGCAGAGTCCTCATGGCAGTTCACAGCATTTCCTAATGCAAGACCCTCTCGATGGCCCAACTACTCCTGGCTTGATGATGAGGCAAGGCCCAAGCTTGATGTGAGCCGAGTCCGTCCGGCACTACCGTCTCTGCCTCTCGATGAAAAGAGCAGATCCACTGCGTATTCAACATGACCTAGGCGCAATTACTATGAAAATACACCTTATCCATTCGCCTATGCCGATCTACAACGTTCCGGACTACGGCCTATCCTTCGTACACAACCCCTACACTACATTCCTGAATTCAGCCTATACCGCATGCTTCGCCAACGCCAACGCGCCCGCGTTGCTAATGACCGTGAATGTCGCGCCCTCGTGCGTCTCCTTCGACGCGTGTGCTTCCGCAGGCAGAGCCCCGGAGCCCAGGACACCGGCTGTGGCGATGGCTTTGCCGAGGGTAGCGACCTGCAAGGGTGGAGGTCAGTGAATGACTCGAAGGCGAGATTAGGATTACACACATTTATCTCCAGGCTGTTGGAGACCTTTGACAATATGCCGGTAAAGACCCTGCAGTGGTGTAAGTGGACCAGGAAGACCGAGGCGGGGGTAGAGAAGGGCGAATAGTCGGAATGTGGAACAGAGGAATGCGAAGCGCGAGGAAGCAACACAGGACGAACAGACTTACCCAAAAGCAGACTCCGCGAGACGTGTCTCTGGGCGCTTGGTACCGACGAGCATGCCTGGGCGGAAGATGATGGTGTCATCGTAGCCGAGCTTGGCGAGCCCTATCTCAGTGAGGCCCTTGCTCCTTGGGTACAGGAAATAGGACTGGGCGTTGGCGCCGGCGGACTACGATTTGTTTAGTATGTGCGTAAATGGAGGTGAAGGGGAGTAGGTAGGCCCTGAAGGGAAGTATGAATGACGCGGAGGGAGGAATGGAGGACGCACAGAAAGATAGACAACGCGCTGTGCTTGGCCCTCGACGCGGGCCTCGCGGGCAGCGTTGATGACATACCTATCTGCGAATCAGTACTTGAGAGGCAAAGAGGTCTGGGGACACTCACTCGCGATCTATCTTCTCGAACTTCTCCGCGCTGCCAGCATTCTTGCGCGTCGTGCCCAAGCTATCGAACTGTCAGCAGACGCACAGCCTTCCCCATGTCCTCCGCACGTACGTAACGTAGACCACATCCCACTTGCCATCCTTCAGTCCCGCAGCGGACAGGTTCTCGAAGTCGATCGTCTTTTGCTCGAGCTTCTCCTTGCCCTCCGCGAGCGACTCCGGCGCGGTAACGCGCCTGCCGTACTCGCCGACCTTGGAGAAGTGCGGCGACGCGAGGAGCTCCTTGAGGAGGTGACCGCCGGTCTGGCCGGTGGCGCCGATGATGAGGGCGGATTTGGCGGACATGGTGAAGAGGATGAGAGGAGGGTTCAAGACACTGATAATGCGCTTGTCATGGTGTCGCCTTGATCAGCAGGGATGACGTTGACGACCGGCCTCGGCTGCGACGCAGTAAGCGCGCAGGTATCACGGGCAAGCGTTCGACGACGTCCTCGACGTTCAAGGTCATGGTCAGAAGCAAGTACCGAGAGCCAAAGCATACAGCGAGCAGCGATCCACCTCGCTGAATGGACGGCATCGTGATGCGCCACCTGTACATCTTATCTGATACGCGCATCACCTCCCCGATCATGAACAATGGCTGCTTCTACGTCCACCGCCGACAGCGACGTCGCTGAGTTGGACAAGATAAACGAGCTGCAGCTCGAGGAGCGCAGCCTACTCATCCTATACGCCACTGAAACGGGCAACTCTCAGGATTGCGCAGACCGAATCGCCCGTGAATGCAGGAGGATAGCGTTCCGATGTCGAGTGGTTAGCGTCGACGAGTACGACTTGGTGAGGGCTTCAAAATCCCCTCTTTGTATTGAATGACTGACTGTTTGTTTCCCTATGCCTCCCGTCTGACCACCCACTGCATCGCTACCCCTCCATCCAGTCCTCCCTCCTCACCGAACCCCTAGTCATCTTCGTCATATCCACCTCCGGCTCAGGTCGTGAACCCCGCACCGCCTCCCCCCTCTTTAACCTCCTCCTCCGCGCAGACCTCCCCCCGGACCTTTTCGACGAGCTCTCCTTCACAATCTTCGGCCTCGGCGACTCCGCGTATGAGAAGTTCTGCTGGCCGGCGAAGGTCCTAAATGCGCGGCTACGAGGGCTTGATGCGCATGAAATCCTGGCAAGAGGAGAGGGGGATGATCAGCATACTATGGGGTGCGCTGCTGAAAAGGCTAGAGATACAGATGCTGACGAGCGTAAGGCAGGATAGACGGCGCGCTCGAGCCCTGGATGGCGAAGCTGCTGGATACGTTGTTGGCGCTGTACCCATTGCCAGAAGGAACTTCGATAGCTGGTCCAGTCAGTCGACCACCGCCCCGTGTCGCATTGAAAACAGCAAAAACAAGCGATCTTCCTCTACCTGATTCCCTCGCCGTCAACCCGGACTACTTCAACGCGACTCTGTCCGTCAACCGCAGGCTGACAGCGGAAGACTGGTGGCAGGATGTGCGACACTTCGAGTTTGCGATACCAGAGGGGATACGGTGAGGATATATCTCTCCACCTGTTTATGCCCTTCGCATTGAAACCTATCTAGCTACCTCCCCGGCGACGCTGCCGTCGTTCACCCCGAAGCCGCGCCAGCCGATGTAGATGCATTTCTCGCGATGATGGGCTGGTCAGAGCAGGCCGATGAGCGTATAGAGCTCATCCACGCGCAGAAGGGTGATTTCACTCCTCCTTGACCCGTTGCCGCTGTTCATCACGCATTCCAGATCAGACGCTCCCGTCCTTCCTCCCGTCGGTCAGCACTTTGCGAACGTTGTTCACGCGATATCTGGATTTCAACACCGTGCCGAGGAGGGGGTTCTTTGTTTGGTTGCGGTAGGTTGAGGGTATCGTGGGGTCTGATGAGCACGTCACTGACCCTTAAGAAGATACTTCGCCACTGACGAACTCGAACGCGAGCGTCTAGATGAGTTCCTTGGGGACGGCGTGAGTCAATATTGATACCGGCCCCTTCATCATCGCTCATGATCTTCCTCGAAAATCATGGATATCCCCATCTCATCCAATCATTCTCCTCTCAGGACGACCTCTACGACTATACTACACGCGTCCGGCGCACCATCGCCGAGGTCCTCGCCGACTTTCGGCACCTGCGCATCCCAAAGGAATACGTCTTCGACGTCTTCCCGCCCCTGAGACCCAGAGAGTTCTCGATTGCCAGCTCGGTGAAGGTGAGGGGTTTGCTCCTTCCTATTCGCTGCTTCCTTTGTTGCCCTTCGTCTTGTGATAGACGAAGAGGACTCATCAAATCATTCTATCGTGCATGCCGAGCACGCCACTAATACCCATCCCGCCAGCGCCACCCTCGCAATATCCATCTTTGCATCGCGATCGTCAAGTACCGGACGAAGCTGAAGGTGCCGAGACGTGGGGTGTGCACGAGTTGGTTAGTCGGGCTACCGTTAGGTGAGTGGGATGCCAGGTCGCTTTCTATAACCTCCGAAGTTCCACAGCTTGGAACAGCTCCTGGACTCAGTCCAGAACGAATGCTAACTTCCCTCTCTAGGTTCCACCCTCCGCATGCGCATCCACCGTGGCCTCATCGAGCTCCCACCATCAAATGTACCTGTCATCTGCGTCGGTCCCGGCACGGGCATAGCCCCCATGCGGGCCGTCATCGAGGAGAGGGAGGCTGCTGGGGCGAAGGGTAAGCCCTTAATCTCCTCTGGTCATCTTTCCCCTCTCTCACTGTTCACTGTATATATCTGTAGACAACACCCTCTACTTCGGCTGCCGCTCTGCCTCCAAGGACGAGCACTACGCCGAGGAGTGGACCGCGTACGCCAATGATGGTCACCTCACCTACCGCGTAGCCCGCTCGCGGGAAGGAGCCGAGGGCGCTGCGAGGGTTTATGTGCAAGATCTGATGCGCGAGGATGCGCGGACGTTGTGGGAGTTGGTGGGAGAGAGGGAGGGGAGAGTGTTCATCAGCGGGTGAGAGCGCTCGTCGTCCAATAATGAGGAGAATACTGATGAGTCCTGATATGACAGGTCGTCGAACAAGATGCCTGCCGCTGTACGCAGCGCGCTAGCGTATGCGGCGGAGACGTACGGCGGGTTGAGCGCAGATGCTGCGAAGGCATACGTGGAAAAGATGGAAAGGGACGGGAGGTTGGTCGAGGAGTGCTGGAGTTGATCTCCGAGCCGAACTCTTGGTGACACGTCGAGCTGCCACCGGGTACAAGGAGAGTATATAAGCCATACTAGCATCCGTATGGTAGCACACGACGATCCCCATGGTGAGTGGACTTGTGTGCTCCCGGTGAATGAGCGGCGCTGACATTTATGCCAACTATCAGTCACTATAGATCGCAATGTGTTTCGGCGAGTACCTCAATTATGACGGCACTCATAGACGACGAAGGACAGTGCACGGCGTGATATATACGCTAAGTGATGACCATAACCCCCTGGTATGTTTGCACACATTTGAGGCACGGCAAGGGTGTCCGGCAGTCGCCGAGATGAGAACAAAGGCTGCCTCGCGGTTTGCCTGCTTTGTACTTGCCATCTCATCAGCAACAGACGCAAGTTCGTCCGGTACACCATGCTAGTACGCGGCCAATGCGAATATATGTACGTGCAAAAAGGCGCTGCCCGCGGAAGCCTAGTATACCCCATCGCCGGCCATCGTGCGAGGCACGGCTACCGCTTCGCGCCCAGCACGGATCTGCAATAAAATGGGACCGCCTTTGACGGAGCAACAAAGCTAGCGGTCGAGCAGCGGAGGTTGGGCGGGGGACATGATTGCGGTCGTACGTACTAGCGGTTCTGATGGTTCTCGGTCACACCCAAACAACAAAAGGCCTGGGAAAGCCATGCATGGGCAGTTGAAAGGCGCTCGGCCTTCGTTGCTTCGAGGCGAACTTTGCACGCGTAAGGGGATAAACGACGGAGGTTCAATTGTCTCGCAAACAATACGCCCGGCCGGATCGGCCGGCGTGTTCCGTTCCTTTATTGTTACTTCCCCCCGCCTCAGGTGCGGCGTAGCGCCGGTATTTGCAGTGCAGCCTTCCATCGAGGCGCTGATTGAGCCCCGGGAACCCTTGGACCTCTCACATGTGTGAGCGGGATGCAGAGATAGGAACTGATGCTGCCCTTTACGTGACGAGGATGGGCGCGGGTGACAGGCCCAATTGTCTCTTATTGTTGTTCTCCATCTCATCCTCCGCCCGTCTTTGATCTTGTATGAGGCTACGATGCGTATAAGAGCGGCGGTGCAGGCGACGGAACCTCAGACATTCGGCAGCCAACCCTCCGCGAGCGCACGATTGAAATCACCTCCCGCTCTCGCCTTTGTTCGACTTATTCGGTGCGTCCCCTTGTCCAGAGCGGACCCGGCTGTGGCTGATGACTCCATCTGCCTCGTTGCAGATCCGTGCCCCGTCCTCGCAGCAGCCAGCACCGCACGTTGCAAAAAGCATGCCTGCCCTTGTGTCCCAAATAGGAAACGCTCGCAACGCCCCTCATAAAGGCGCACACCCGCCTTTCTCTCTTCCTCCCGCCCCAGGAGGTGCCTTTCACGAGCCTCCGCGCGCCCTCGACGCGTCCACACACTCGAACATCGCCACCTGGGCGTCAAACGTCGCTCCAGGCGAGCCCGCACCGCAGTCGCCCCGCACGCAACACATACCACACGAGGCGCGCCATAAACACCACTCATCGAAGCACGCGCCCCCGGCCGTGCCCCTGCCTCCAACTAACGTCCCGACCGTCGACGCATCTGCGGCGGATCTCGCCAGGCTGGGTTACACGTCCTTCTTTGTTGACCTCCCCCGCCGCGAGCGGCGCGAATCGAACGCGCGACCTGCCACCGCCGCTGCCTCAGACTCTGAGTCCTCGTCGACGCCGACCGTAACCAAGAAGTCAGGGTTCTCTAAGACTTTCAAGGCGTTCTCGAAGACCATGCCTCGTCTCGACGCTCTCCGTTTCCAGTCTACGCCCGCTCTGAACTCTGAGCCCGTCGAGGAGAAGAAGGCCTCTTCGTCGAAGCCAAAGCGCTTCCCGGTCGGCAAGCAGCCCGCGCCGATGGAGAACGAGCTCGCGCTGATGCAGTTCCTCGGCGGGGGCAAGGTGGAGAAGCACGCGCGCGATGTCATGCGCCAGACCGCCCCGCGCTCGCGCCGCACGTCGACGGGTGGCGGCGTCAGGGCCGCGTACCGCGACGCGAACGGGCAGCACTGGCTCGACCGCGACGAGGCGATGGAGTACCGTGGACTGCTCGCCGACGACGCGCTCGGCAAGGAGAACGGCCGTCGCCGTGGCAGCGTCTCCGAGGAGGGCCAGGCGCACTCTTCGAAGGCTTCACGTGGCCGCGACAGCCGTCGCCCGCCACCGCCACCGCTGCACCTCGCGCACCCCGACCGGCTCAACAGGCCCTCGAGGAGGGCGGAGTCGACGCACGCGTCGCGGCACGAGTTCACGGACAGCTTCAACCCGGCACCGCCTCTGAGCGCTGCCCTTCCGTCGCGGAGGGACACCTCCAAGGTCCGCCCATCATCCTCAAAAGGACGCTCGCTTGTGCCAGCTTTCTTCACTCGCAAGACATAGAGAACCTATGTAGATCGGGACTCGTCGGGGCCTTCTGGGGTAAGGCCTAATCATCTTGTACCAATACACTACTACTATTACTACCGGACATCCGTGCCGTCATATTGCGCTATTGTACCTTTTCCATCTGTCTCCAATATTGTCTCCCATGCTTGGCTCATTAGCTGTATTTGTAGCTCCCACTCTCATTCCTTTCCTTCACGTTTTCATGTTCATGGTTCATGTTCTCTTATGCTCTTGACGAAATGACATCCGTTCCGCATCCTCTTATGTTGCCCGATGCTCCCTCGTGAAGGATCCCAGTAACATCAGGCTCGCAATGCGGATTATTCCTTCCATTCAGATGAAGTGGTCCACTATCGCAAACAAGGTACTGATCGAGGTTCGTGAGAAGTCCCTAGTGGACAAGCACGAACATCAGGTATACACTAGGCTAGGCAACGGTGACGAAGATGGCTACATGGATAGAATGATCAGAATCAATAGATCCTAGGACAACAGCAGACTCAAAGCAGCGACATGAACCAGACTGCGATGACCACACCGAAAACGCCCATGCTCGGAACAGGCATCTGCAGACTCCCATTGTCATCGTCAATAAGCGGTGCCGCCAGGCCGATCGTCGTGTTGAGGCAGGAAAGCAAGTTGTTGTCAACCCAGCTCGGGAGCGGATCGTCCGCCTTGCTATCATCATCCTGCCACACCGCCGAGTTGTTGTACCCGACGAGCATCAGCGCGATGCTGCTCGCGCGGTAGTACTGCACGACCTCGCCCGGGCTCGGCGCCCACGACACGTTGTAGTCGAACGTCGACGCGTTCTGCGAGGTCTTCCCGCTGTCGAGGTTCCCGGAGCACTTGTCGTTGACTTCTTCGAGGAGGGAGGTGGTGGTGGAGTTGTCGGCGACGAGGCGGAAGGTGCTGTTGCCGGCGTTGGAGGTGAAGTTGCCGAGGGTTTGCTGTCCGCCCGGGCGCGAGCTGTTGTCGGGGTGGCCGTACTGTGGGAGATGAGCTGAGTTCATATCTGGTTTTTTCATTTGCAGCATACCTCGTCATCATCGTCGAGATAGTGATGAGCGCCTACAGCGCCCACACCACCGAACGTCAAGGGCCAAAAGTAGAAGGGGAAGTTCCGTCCCGCGACCCCGCGTCCAGTGACACCAGGATAGCCGCTCCCATACTGCCTATAGTAGAGTGACGCATATTAGCCTCTGTACACCTTCGTTAGACACTCACCCAACGTACCTAGTGCCATAAACTTGATCACGGCTCCCCCCACCTTGCTGCCGCCCGGCAAACGGCGAGCCATTGGGGATCGTGACGACGGGGCCGCCCCCGCGACTGTACGTGCTGGCCGACTTGGAGGTCCCGCCAGCGGAAATACTGGAAGAGCGGCCGCCGCTGCCGCTGCCGGAGGAGCCGCCTGAGGAGCCTCCCTTTCCCCCGCTGCTGCTGCCCCCGCCTTTGCCCCCGCCTCCGCCTCCGCCTCCACCACCACCTTTGCCCCCACCGCCGCCACCTCCGCCGCCTGCTCGGGGCTCAAGGTCGCGTCGGGGCTTGCGCGTCGAAATGAGGGGAATGTACACCATGGGAGTCGAAGATCAAGAAGCGAGGTTCGTCAATTGTGTCGGTTCGGCAGGATTCAGTAGCAGGACTCGGCCTGTTGTCGTGGATGACGGTCGTCGCGCGTCGTGAACCGTGTATTATCTCGTCTGACCACCCGCACAGGATCTTATAGCCAGAAAAAAGCTGTAGACAATGGGAAAGAGAAAGGGGTTGGGAGAGGGCGCCCGCTCATGATGCAGAAATGATGAGCAACCAGCTTGTCAAAAGGAACTCCACGCGATTGTCATCTGCTCGCACAGCCTTTTGATTGCCGGCCCGAAGCCCCAGACTGGTATCAAAAGTTCAACTTGACTGTCACACGCCATCGTCCGTACAAGAGTCGCCGAATTGATGCTGGGGTAAAGGTCTGAGATGAGTGGTCGAAGGGATAGGTAACCGTGAATGGTCCTCTAGATCGAGGTTTTTGCCGGCAAACGTTGGCCGAGAATCGTGTAGAATTGGCGTTGTGTATAGCCTTCCCGCTAACCATCGCGTCTGAGGCACACGATTGGGGAGCAGTCGACAGCTACAGCATGCTCAAATACCCATGAATGACCTCGCAGCATTGCAGGAGCATCACCCAAGGTTGCAACTGTGTTAGACTTAGAGTAAGCGCCGAGCGCCAAACAAGCACCGTCGAAGAAGTGGAAGACGCTGCACTGTGACTCTGTTTTGTCAGGCTCACGATAATGATAATTGGACAGGACGTGTGGATTTCCAGCAAGAGGCAAGGATCAGTAGTAGCGTCAGTAACCATATGTCCAGAGCAAGACCAGATGTCGGGGAAAGATGGTGGTATGATACAACGATGGGACATACGCATCATCGTGGCACGTACAGCAAGTTCAGAGGGCCCTGCCTCTTCCCCTCGACCCGCGACCTAGCGCACCGCGCCCACGGATCGGACCGCCCCTTCCACCGCCTCGGCCGCGCCCTTCCTGATGAGGCGGCAGCCCTCGCGGAACAGCGCGCGGCGTCTCCATCGTGTCGTCCGTCGACATCTCAGATTGAGAGCCCTCATAGGGCCGCGGAGTACGGGCACTGTTGTGGCTAGACTGCGAGCCGCCGTGACCGTTCTGTGTGTTCCCGCGTCCGTTCTGCGCGACCCCATGCCCATTCTGCGCATGACCGGTGTGCGCGCCACCGTGTGCCGCGTCGTGGTCAGGAGCCCGAGGGTGCACGAAGCCCGATGTACGACCCCCGCGACCGAAGCGTACAGCAGGAGGGACCAGGTGCAGCGAGCTCATCGAGTCGGCCAGGTTATCGACATCGTCGTCCCCCGCCGGGCCGCGCTGCTTCCGCCTGCCGCCCCGCCTGTTATTGCGATTGCGCGGACGCACCGTCGCATCCGCATCCTCTACCTCGCTCGCGTTGCGCGACGGCGCAAAGTCCTCCTGGATCTCGTCATTATCATCGCTCACGGGCTCTCGCTCCCTCTCGCCCTCGCGGGGCTTCCAGTCCCCGCGCACCATGCTCGCGCCGTCGCCCCACTTGCGGAGCATGTCGCCGATGCCCTTGTTCGTGACGGCGAAGAAGTACTGTTTGGGGTATTTGTGGATGTCGATGAGGTGCAGGCGCCGGGCCTTGGGGTGCGCGAAGCGGTGGGGGCAGGTGGGGACAAAGCATTCGAACTGGGGCGGTGTGAGTGCGGGTTCATGATCAGAAGGGAAGTACGCACGATCTTGTCCCCGCGGGCCTGCCGCGTAGCTGCCAGAGAGTCGTGACATTCGGTAAAGTGCTGCAAGGTGAGATCAGTGGCGCTCGGACCAGCAGATCACTGGCGACGCACCAGATCAAGCAGTCGTTCGTCAGGGAAGACCAGCCCACAACCATCAACCTCACAGACGTGTGCATGGTACTTCGCATAGTGCGCCTCCATCTCCACCGAAGAGGCCAGCGGAGTGGGCCTCGCCGCGCACGTCGGCGGTAGCGAGCACACGATAGGGCTTCCAGCGCCACGAACGGTGACACGCGCAGACTTGGTGGGATTCGGATCTGCGTCCATCGGCTCTGAGGACGCGGAGGACACGGAGGCGCCTCTGTGCCTTTTCGCGTGAGTTATCGTCGACATCTTGGTGGGGGTTGATTGAAGGCGGCGGGCGAGCGCGCGCACGCTCAACACGCGGGGCCGGCTCTGCGGGCCGGGATTCCGTGAACGGCAGACGCGCTAATTTAGTCAGTCGCGCTTTGTTCTCGACCAACAACATGAGTCGCCGGGCAAACAATGTTAGAGGGCCTACCTCTGCGCTCACGGAGTTTCTGAGGGTGCGTGATGCGCGTCGACGTCGCGAGAGTCGACTGATGAGCTCGTAGGAAGCTGGAATCAACGCCACCTCGATAGCACGACGTGCAGCGACCAGGGCAGCGGAGGAGGCTGAGGCCAACGGGAACGAAGCGCGTGCCGAAGCAAGTACTGCTCAACAAGAGAATGTCCAGCCAGCGGAAGAAGCTGCTCCAGAGCTTGAGCCACAGACAAACTCTCGCAGGCGGCGACGCGGGCAAGCCGAAGCGTCAGGCTACGCCTCTGATGAGCTGGACGAACCCGCGACCCCTGCGAAGAAACGGAAGCTCACTAAAGCTCAAGAAGCAAAGGAGAAGGCCAAAGCGAAGAAGGCCGCTAAAAAGAAGGGGGAAGATGATTCAGACGAGGATGAGGGGGACGATCTGTACACCGCGCTATCTGGCATGCGGGGAGGAGGGAAGCCGCCCGTAGGGAGCTTTTCCAACTGCGCGAGATGTGAGAAGCAATTCACTGTGGTGCGTAATAACCTCACTACAATGAGCGCCAGTTGCTGATCGACAAATGCAGACCAAGTATACCATGGCTGCAAATCCTGGCCCTGGCTGGCTTTGTCACCCATGCGCGAAGGCGGGAGGCATCGACCCATTCAAGAAGCCCGCTGTTGCACCCAAGCCGAAGCGCAGAAGGGCTGAGGATAAGAAGTCCACCACGTTCGAGGAGCGACGATTCCCAAGTCTTGTCTCAATATGCGTGCAGGTTAGCATGTTCTCCCTCCCTCATCAATTTTTTCTCATCACCTCCAGATCATCACGCGAAATATTGACAATATAGAGGCGCTTGGCGACATCGGCACTATGAACATGCAAGAGATCTCTAAGGCTATCTCGAAGACTCGTGGATTGTGAGTGCCCTGTGGTATATATGATCCTTGACTTACAATTCATAGGACGCCCGAGAATGTCAAACTATTCTACGATGCAGTGCAGTCTAAGTTGACCCTCTACGACGCAACAAGTACGTTTGGCTTGCATATCCGTAGGATTTCTGCTCACCGCTCCTCTCTAGACTTGCCTTCAGCCGCTTTCTCTGTCATGGGCGCGCTGAACCCTCGTCTGACCACGCTGCGTCTCGACTTCTGCGGCCAGATGGACTCTGCAGCGCTCGATGCTCTGTCTTCGCATCTCCCCGAGCTCAAGAATATAGAGTTACTAGGCCCTTTCCTCGTACGCACGGAGTCATGGCAGCGGTTCTTCCAAAACCATCAACTGGAAGAGTTCCTGATTACGCAGAGCCCAAGGTTCGACCTAGCCTGCCTCCGCGCCCTCCTTGCCTCCAGTGGCAAGTCACTCAGGCGCCTCCGCCTTCGGGAGGTCGGGAAGCTGAACGACAAGTTCATCAACGAGCTGTGCAGTCTGCGCGATGCCCCGCTGCAGCACCTCGATCTAGCCCACCCTTCGCATTCATGTTCGGAGGACGCGCTGATCGATCTTGTTAAGGCCGTCGGCTCCGACCTTCGCTACCTCGACTTCTCCGCGCACGACGAGCTCAGCGACGTATTTCTCACCGAGGGTCTTGCGCCGCACTGCCACCACGTCGCGACGCTCATCTTGCAGCATCTGCCCCTCCTGACCGACGCTGGCGTAGCGGGCTTCTTCGCCAATTATCATTGCACGCCGCTCACCACGCTCGACCTCTCGCGCAACCCCGACCTCTCCTCGGCGGCGCTCGCCGCGCTGCTCGCGCATTCCGGTTCGGCGCTCGAGCGGCTGAGCATCAATGGGTGGAAGGACACGAAGCACGAGGCGCTGATGGAGATCGGCGCGAGGGCGAAGGAGTTGCGGGAGGTGGATGTGGGGTGGTGTCGGGAGGTGGATGATTTTGTGGTGAAGGCGATTCTTGAGGGCGGGGAAGATGGAGTGCGTCCGGAGCACTTGCAAAAGGTGTGGGTGTGGGGATGCGGGCGGGTGAAGGGGGTATTCCCAAGGAGGCCTGGTGTGAGCGTGTTTGGGGTTGAGGCTCATCAGGTGGGAGGAGAGTAGATGAATTTTCTCAAGGTTGTTGTTCGTCGTAGTGAGCTTGTAACTTCAGCTTCTGGTTCGTCTGTGCTTGTATCTATCTCAATGGCTACTGTATCTCTTCCGTTGCGATCGCATAGAATGTCAAGGATGAGAACTTGGCGGGCGTAGGAACTCGCAATTGATGTAAATTGATGTAGCCTGTCGCAGGGGACGATAAGTAACGCACCGAATTCTAACTGATGACCTCGTTCTCTTTCCAACGTATATGAGTAGGTGCCTCTGACTGCAGAGGCAGGGTACTGCAGGGATCCAATTCGAAGATGGAGAGCAACAATAACCAAGCCATCGACAAAAGTGAGGATGTACAAGAAACAGTCGTTAACGATAGAATTGGGAATTTCCGCCCCAACTTCTCTGCAACCAAAGCACTCGCAATGGCACTTCATGGTTTTGAACCAGCGTATGCGAAGCGGAAGCGTGAGTCGAGGATAGCAGGCTCGTTGAAGATCGCAAGGAGCGAAGTGAGGTCCTCCGAGCTCGGACAACTCGCAAACCGCCGGCCATTGCTGTCTCGACGACGCTGGGAGCAGCGAGTGTCCAGGCGGGAGAGGGGATTGCCGCCGACGTGCGCCATCTGGCGGCACGTACGCAACAGATGACGCCGAAGGGACTCGTTCCGCGTGGCGAGGGCGCGGTACTCTCCCGGAGCTACTATAGCTACGACGGGTTGGGTGCGGAGGACGCGTGCCGACTAGGCAGCAGCTCGGTCCTTCATGTTCTGAGGCCCCGTCGTTACCAGTATTAGCCAAAGCGATCGGCGACGGCGACAGCGCGTCCCTTTGCTGTGCGGCCTTCGCTATGGTAGGCCGCGAGGAATACCTGGCGCCGATATAGACGGGTCACGCCGCTCGATGATCGCAAGGAGTCAGAAGTCTTGTCGCCGAGGTTGTAGAGCGTGGCGGCATCGGAACGCTGGTGTTCGACGAGAGCGCGAATTTTATCAGGAAACTCGTCGGGAGAGCCGGGTGAGTCGCGGTATGCGAGATGCATAGGTCTGGCGCTTTTCACGCCGAGGCTCACAAGTAGCTTCCAAGGAGACGCCATAGTAGAACATGGCCCAGTCGCTGCTCGTAAACGATCTCGACGGCACGTTGCGCGACCGCTTGAGCCAAGGAGGTGGGTCGCGACGCTGCAACGCGGACTCGTGAACCTTGCGACACGGCGAGCTGTTATGTTCCCCCTTCGCCGCGTTTGCGAGTTGTACAACGCGAGAGCCCTTTGTTGAGGGCTGAGCCAACTTCGGGATTTTGGAAGGCTTGATTTCGGGGCACATGACCTCGTCGAGCCAGTTCGGTACGCGGACGCTGTAGTGCGAGTCGTCTGTGCCGTCCGACGAAGCATACTTGGGAAGGCGATGTCCAGTACGTGGCTCGAGCATAGGCAAGTAGCCAGTGGCCTCAGACCCATACAGCGTTTCGTCGTCCGCACCCTTGTCGTCGTCGTCCACAAACCATTGTGGCGCTTCCACATGCGCGGATGTGCCGACACCCCAGTGCGCGAGCACGCTCTCCAAACATTGTCGCCACGGCAATAACTCGACGTTGGGGGCGCGTTTGCCGATGCGGTGGATCATGTCCCGTGCAAACCAGGACATGGACACGGGGTGCGAGTGAGTCTCAACAACGGGATAAGACTTGCTGCGCTTTGGCAATGCTTTCCCGGTGACAGGGTTGATACCCCAATTCCAGTCTTCGGCGGTCTGAGACTCATATAGAAGCTTGCTTTGGAGTTCACGTCCCACGTCGGTGAGGGGAACGAAGACATAGCGATAGAGTTCATTCGGAGGTAACAGCTTTGGAATGATCAGTCACCAAGAAAGTGAGGATATTCGTGAGATGCGCACCGCTGTAAGTGGACGTCGAGGACTGCGATCAGTCTGGTCACGGTCCTTAAAGGCAGCTCGCTGCATGAAGTGCATGGTATCCATATACGTCTTGAATGTCGGAAGTAGGAGGAAGTGACCGACACAATATAACTGTGCGATGTCCACGTTCACTGAAAGTTACTCAGTGGCATGTCGCGGGCCGAAGACGGTGAAACGTACGGTAGATAACATTGGGAAGTGAAAATAGATAGTAGGAGAAGCCACCCCTAGGTAGACCCCACGCCCATTCCATACGCGCGATCTAGAGAACGGTCATTTCCATGAAAGAAGGACATCAACCGAAGCCACCGACCGTCTGATCATCGTTGTGTCTTGCCTCGTAAGTTTGTATCAGGCCGACTACCTCCAGGTCGTTGGAGGTTCCCGTAATTGGGCACGTAGCATTGAAGAGGGTGAAGTCGCTGGGTTCGCCGGACATCTTGGTTGTTGAGTGGCGATAGGCAGTTGATGGAAGGAAGCAGGTGGCTGCACCCGTGACCAACGTGACGGTCTTTTTTTTTTTTTTTTTGTCTCTGCATTTTATTCGCGCAGCAGGTAACTATGTAGTACCAAGACGCGCTAGCCCATAGGCGGGCACCTCTACTATGTTGTCCGTAGTGTCCGATCTCCTCGGCGGTCTCCGCATGTGACATAGTTTCCTGTCTGGTTGTAGCCACTGCAGGCTGGTTCGGTGTAGAGGTCGTCGAAAAGCGGCTCGAGTCGCGTGCAGTCGGTACGCCGAAGCGCTGTGTGTTTCTCTCCTCCCCTCGTTGCCCGATCCCTCACTCGTCTCGTTTCTCCTCCTCCTCGCCCGTCTCCCATCCCTCGTCCTCCATCCACCCATCCTCCCCCACCGGATCAGGCTCATCTTCCCACCGCGGCGCGCGCGGTTAACGTGACGGTCACGTTGCAGCAACCGCTGTAGTCACGTGGTCAGCGCCTACCCCAACCGTCATCTCAGCCTTGTATTTTGTCTCTGCGTTTTGTCCACGTTGCACGTATAGCTATCGCCGGCCTTATCAACAGCGTGTCGCTCTCCACGCGGTCATTTTCTTCATCTAGCTGGGTTGTGTACAACAAACAAAGTCGGCGCTCAGCGAACGGCGATGCCGCATATCTTTGGGTCCTTGCCTATCCCCGCGCGGTCATCTTTCTTCGATCACCCACATTAGCGGATGGAATAGAAGTGCAGCTGGTTGTCGTCTAAGTACAAACCTGCGCGCTATCAGCGTTGTTTACACGCGCTCAAACTAGAACAAAAGCATCGTCGCTCCACGAGCTCGAGCGCGAAAATGTTGTAACCACAAAGCTCAGAAGCGCAAGAGCTACGAAGCCTAAGACGTAGTCAGGAGAAACAGCTAGCTGGCGGTTTCGGATACATTGTTACGACACGATAGATACTACTAGACCCTTTCAGATCGATAACTCGAGTCCATCTCATCGCTACCGGCGCGGTGATGATGACAGACGGCGTACGCGCGGCAGGCCGTGCGTGCGCGCGGGTGGCATGCGCGCGGTGGGCGATGCTCAGTTAGCATAGGGCGGAAGCCGTTCCCGGAGCTGTACAGCTACGACGGACTCAATGATGCGACGGTGGCATCCACCTAATCAGCGTGTTGCGCTGTGGAATCCCTGTCGCAAGTATCGTCACGTCATGTCGCGCGCGAGGCTGCCTCAGGGAGCAGGTATGTAGTCGACTACGAAGCGTCCGTGTGGTCGTGCGCCTTGGGTGTCACGACAGAGATATGCATGGGGTAATTGGCGTCCATCGAGCAACTCGTCGAGAAGGGCGGTCGAGCCGAGATATGCGAGAAGCGTAGGTCTGACGCCGATAGACAAGTTACGCCAAGTGGATACTACCGCAGGACTGTAGAACCTGGCCGGCGGCGCTGTAGATGGCGGTGCAGAATGCTAGCGTACTTGACGAGAGCATGCATGGACACATGTCGTTCATCAAGTAAGTCGTGTAGAGGGCCGGATGAGTCGCGGGGCGCGAGATGCGTAGGTTTGACGTTGAGGCGCACGGGTGGCGTCCAAAGAGACACCATAGTGGAACAAGGCCCAGTCACTACTCGTGAATGTCTGCGACGGAACGTTGCGCGCCCCCTTGGCCCAAGCAGGCGAGTCACGCCGCTGCATCGCGGGCTCGCGAACTCTGCGACATGGTGAATCACTATAACTCCCCCTTGTCAGAGCCGGCGCGACTGCGAGTTGGTCGACGCGAGAGCCCTTCTTTGAGGAAGAAGCCAGCCTCGGTATCCGCGAGGGCATGTTCTCGAGAACTTTGACTTCGCCAAGCCAATTTGACACGCGGACGCTGTAGTGCGAATCGTCGGTGCCGTCTGAGGACACATATCTTGGCGGGCGATGACCGGCGTCTGATGCGGGGACGGGCAAATATCCAGTGGCCTCAGAGCTGCACAGGGACTCGTCGTCCCAATGCTTCTCGTCGTCGTCGAGAAACCATTGAGGTGGCTCGATGCGGGATGAATCTCCAATGCCCCATTGGGCGAGGAAGCGCGCAAGGCACTGTCTCCACGGCTTGAGGGCGTCCGCATCGGTGCGATGGTCCACGTAGCGGAAGAAGTTATTCGTGTGCGAGCAAACCGAAACGGGGTGAGAGGGCGTCTCCACGATAGGGTACGACTTCGCCCTTCTATCGAGAACCTTGCCGGTGACTGGATGAACTCCCCAGTTATAGTCCTCCGCTGTCTGGGAAGGAAGCCGCAATCGGCGTTGTAATTGTCGCCCAGTGTCGGTGAGTGGGAAGAATACATATCGATAGAGGCGATCAGGTGGAAGCAGCTAAGAGCGATGTCAGTCAAGTGCAGCACAGAGCAGATACAGGCCACGCACAGCTGTCAGCGGACGCCGCGGGGTACGGTCATTGTCCTGACGGTTCTTGACTCCAGCGCATTCACTGAAAGCCATAGCGTCCATGTAGGTCTTGAAGGTGGGAAACAGTATAAAGTGCCCTTGGCATAGCATATCTGCCATGTCGGAGCGGACTGGATCGTTGTGAGCATTGCATCTCGGATGTTCAAAACCATGAGAACGTACGTATGATGGCATTGCGAGGCGACGTGAGATAATAGGCTAAGCCTCCCCTAGGAAGGCCCCATGTCCATTCCATACGAGCTTTCTGCTCGAAGAGTCAGTTGGCAATAACATTCATCTGAACGAGTTACAGTACCGACCTGGTGCTGATTACCGTTCGTGGCCACACGACCATGGATCAAGCGTACAAGTCCCAGATCGGACGTACTGCCCGTCAACACGCATTTCCAGCGGAAGAAGGCCGGCACAGCCATATCTGAAGACATGAGAAAGATCCAAGGGCTGAGTACAGACAAGTAACAAACGTGTGTTGGTGGTAGTTGGAGAGAAGCTGCCATCGTGACCACGTCACTGTGACCATCATTGCATTGCGGTCACGTGATGTGACGCATGCCGACAACAAACGCCAACATACTCTTTTGTTTCGACGGTCAGCGCTCAGCGTCAAAGTCCGCTTTCCATCTCCATGAGACCATGCAAGTCCAGACATAGCTCGATCACATGAGAGCCCATCTTTTGACTTCGCAGCCGTAACAACACACGATGTTGTCCTTTTTTGCTTGGTTGTCTTGAGGTCCTAAACATACCTCTATAGAGCAAACCCGGCACAGATCACGGCCGAAACAACGGCAGCGCGATATATCCTGGAAATTGGCTGAGCCCGAGCTTGGGTATAAGAGACTGTTCCCTCGTCTTCAATGACCCTCGCATCTGTCCCCATTTCCTCAACCCTCCATGAGCCAAGGTCGAGCGGGCCCGTCGAACCAATGCACCAATGCCACTTCTGATACAGCGCGAGACAAGTATCTTCAAGGTGAATTCTCACTTGTGAATCAATCGTCGCAGCTGTCTCATACGTCGATGCCACCCAGGGAAGAAACCAGCCTCCAAAGTCCCCCGCCCTACAAATCATTTCACGAACGAGTCGTTGTACAGACCGAAATGTAGGGAAAGTACATTCCTGCGTCTATATCTACCTGTGTATGCTTGGACAAAGGAGTGGCACCCGACCATGATTGACTGCGTGCACGGCCTCCCAGGGTCGCTAGAAACAACTCATGAGGAGCTGGTGCGCGTCAACGAATAATTCGTCCACTCTAATCTCACTGTAGAAACAGTTTCACTCCATTAGGTTAGCGATCGGTACATGGGAGTTCCGAAGCGGGCGCTGGGAGCGCTGTCTCAACCTCAATGGCTTCTTCAACCTGGAGCTTCGTGAGTAGCGCTCTAACCTCTTCCGCGCATATTCCACAAGCTCACTCATCACCATCTAGTCTGCAAACATTTGCACGGCTACTTCGATGGCACAGGTGCGCTTGGTTCGGGCTGCGCAGCCTTCTATCCGATGAAGCCCAGTCTTCGGGAATGCGTCCGGAGGCTTGAAGCGAATAAAATCGAGGGCTTGCCATTCGACGAAGTTCGTTCAGCGTGTGACGTTTCAGTAATGCTAACTGACTCTCTCTCTCTATCTCCCTCAGGTATTCCCGGAACTTTGTTTTGAGTACACGATCTTCATCTTCGACAATGGCCGCATCAAAATCTTCCTGTTTGACGGCCAGGATCGGGTCTATCCGGCCCCCATTGGGGCAGCAAAGGCCCGACTGGAGCAAGAGGCAGAAGGGATACGCAAGGACTTGCCAAGCTCAGAGGACATCCTTCCCAACTCCGAGTTTGTCTTTCGCTCGCATCTCAACCCCTGCGTCGCGATCCCCGACATGCTCTTGAAGTTGCGTTATCGCCATGGAGATGCGGACTCGCCGAAATGGAAGAACGCGCCTCAACAAGAACTCGATCTTTTCCAAACCCTCTCGCCTGCCGACTACATGCTGGATCGCACCAAATGGGATGTCTTAACGGAACCGCCGTCCTCCCAGCGATACAAGATGGACGGGATCCGGTTTAGCGCACGCAATCGTCCAGTGCACACGGACGGCCCGCAGGTCCTGAAATCCAAGATTCCCACGCGTGATGTCAAGACCGCGGCGTCTCCGTCTGTCAAGGCCCCAGCATGCGCACCGTCTACGAACCCGTCTGCCAAGCCGTCTCGCATACCGCGTCTATCATTGGCCTCCGGGAACTTTGCACCACCGCTGGCTCAGCCCCGCATGCGCACGCGTTCCCAATCCAAGCGGGACGCAATGAACAACGGCGAGCACAAGCTAGTCACTTCTAGCAGGGACTATTGATTGCATGTTCATACTGCACTGGCGCCACGAATTAATCATTACCTGTTTCCACTTTCTTTCGGCATTGTACTAATCTTTCCTGTAGTCTACTCCTACATACCACCTACTGTACTACACTCTTTGTATGTGTGTCTTCTACTTACTACTGTACTCCTTACCTATAATCGACTGTTAGAACGACGGAAGAAGTAGAAAGTGACCGTGGTGAGTAGCTCCGCGAAGTCCGCATTTACTAGAAGCCTCTTAGCAGAGCTCAGAGTCGAAGATGGGCAAAATCTACGATATATAGCATTGGGAAGCGGGATTGCCACAATGTTATGGGCGTCTTCTAGAGCAGCTTCCAAAAGGAGAAGCATGCTATCACCGGAAGCGTCGCGGAAGCATTCCGTTGATCGCCGCTTGATCGCCAAAATTCGTGTCGTTCCGCTGAACCCTGAGCCTGCTGAACCTGCCGGCTACATCATCCTTATCGATTCGCCAAAATACTCAACGGCATGCCGAACGCTCTTCGTAATGCTGTTGAGGAACCGCCTCTCCGCATGCGATGTCTGCCGTTGCCAACATAAAGCACAGCCTGCCTCATGGTAACCAGCACACCGAGCGCTTTTCAGTACTCACAGCCGGGTACATGGATCTCGATAAGTGCCCCACTTCTCGCTACTGAATTAACAACGTGGTTATCATCAGCACGAGGCGTACGATTCGTGTCGTCGAAGGCTGCAAGAAGCAGTACCTTTGTGACCCTTCTGGATCACAATGCCACGACCTTCTTGACGTGACCCAGCGGCCGCGGGTATGTAGGCAGTTATAATACGGCGGTGCTTCTTGCAGGACGACCTTCCTATACTTCCCAACTAAAGTTGAGAGACACATCGAGTCCATCGCTATCGGAAAGCCAAGTTCAATCTATACATTCCAGAGATGGCCATCCAGACTTCCTCTACTCCCACCACGTTTGCCATTTCTCCCGAGGTCTTTGGCCTCAAGCGCAGATTGAGTGCAAGCCCGCGCACTCGGTATCAGCAAAATATGGATCCCGAATCCCTCGTGAACTCGTTCGGCGCCATTGGCCTGGACGGCTCCAAGACCCAGACACAACCAGCATCAGGCGTTAATACGACCCCCCTCGGCTCTCGCAGCAACCAGTCTCCCCTCAAGGATGTTACCGTGAGCCTGCTCGCGGTCCTGAGGGAAGGACGAAGCTGATGAGCCGTACAGAATCACCTCGCCGATGCGCCGCCTGTGGCCGCCTTGCCCTTCTCAATCACTGGAAACCAGTCCGGCTCAATCGCCTTCGCGCAGAACACCATTGCCACCCACCCCATCCCCACCAGCGCATTCATCACCGATCCTAATGCGATTGTAGTGCGTCGTAGCGCCTTCCCACCCATGCAGGCTGGCGCGCGCGTTTCCACTACCACCTTTGTCCGCCCTCCCCTCCCCTCTAGCCAGGCCAGCGCACCTATGCTGCAAGTAAGTGTCCTCACCTTGAGCTGATACTTCCATTCACTGGGTCACAGAAGCCCTCTATCACTGCCAGCGCCTTTAACTGCAACCCCAACACCTTCGCTGCCGCCTACAACGCGCGCATCCCAATGTTTAGCGTTAATATCTCCCCTTCCACGGCTAGCGCATTCGGGTTGCCGGTATGTGTGCATTGCGATGCACATCATACCGTCTCGGACTCACGAGCTTCGCTCAGAGCACCTGGACCGCTGTCTCTAACTTCCAAGAAGAAGAACCCATGGACGTCGACGACCCGTACGCCATGGAGATCTGCCTCCCCGACCCCGATGCGATGGACACTTCTCCGAACAGCGAGAACTACACCGTCCCCTTCTTCCCATACCATGGCCCTCAAGGGTTTGCGGCACCGCAGTTTGGACGCCTCTTCCAGCCGTTCGTTCCCCCGCCGCTGCCTGAGCCGACCCATGCGAATGCCTACAATGCTCTGAGGCAACTCGATTCATCCACTGCAGCCATACACGCGCCGCCCGCTCGTCCGGAGCTCTACTCTCTGCCTCCTCGTCAGCCGTGGTCTTCTACGCTCACTGAGTCCCTTCTGCCGCGCGTCTCCTCGCCCATCATGGACGAGCTCGTGGAGCGCTACCCGCACTCGCCCGACGCCATCCTCGCTGACAAGTGCAAGCGCGCGACCACGACCGCAGCGCGGCGTGAGGCCGATATAAAGCAGGCCCACTACCTGGCAGCCATGAGCGCGCAATTGAAGGCTGAGCGCAAGGAGCTTCGTCGCCAACAGGTCGCCCTTGCCGCACAGAAGCCTGAGCGGCCAAGCAGGCGGTTGCGCACTGGGTATGCCAATTTTGAGCGCGTCGAGGTACCGCCTTGCATGATCCCGGAGAAGACGAGGCGGACGCTTGGCAAGATGAGGGAGATCTCAACGACGAAGACTGATCAGAGTGTGTTGTCACGCAGGTGCAGCATGGCGAAGGTGGGCAGCCTCCTGCTAGCAGCTGCATGCTCTGCGCCGAGGTCTCTGGTTGGATTCTTGTAATGCATTGTCGACGGATGAACCGTCAAGCCTTCTATATCTCACTCTGTTTCTCGCACATCTTCTATATTTCCTGTCCACTGTATACATCCGTCATACCCTTATCCTACCCTAGCATTGGACTCAACCTTTTTGTAATCCCTTTCAGTAGTTGTAGTACTCGGACCTCCTTATTCTTCTTCAACCTCTGGATATCAATCAATTCTCTTCTGTCGCGTCCGCCATAGATTCATCACCCGAATTCTCATGTTTCAACTTCTTTCCGACCCCTACCTTGCCGCCGATGTGGTAGTCGCAACAGCAGACCAGTCCAATCGATTGAGCACCAGGCCTACGCGGAGGCAGAGAGCATCTGACGGGGATTGCAAGTGAGAGGAGCAGAGGTTGGACTGTATACAAGCACGCGCATAGGCGCTACGACACCACATCCGCCTCCACTGTCACCGACGCATCCACTCCCTCGTCGTCCGCATCCGCCGAGTCCTCCATGCACTGCTTGATCGCCGGCAGATACGTGTTCACCTTCCACATCGTCCCAATCGTCATCCGCGCGTGGTCGAAGGCCATGGTGACAAGTGGGCGCGCGGTCGCCTCGCCGGAGCGATTGAGCACGGCGGGCGGCAGGCGCGGGTAGCGCGCGGAGAAGTGCGTGAGGAGGACGTTGTCGGCGGACATCCTAGTAGGTCGATTTGTAAGGATGGACGGTCAGGGAGGACAGAAGGTGAGGCGGACACGCACTTCTCAGCGATTTCGATAGCCTGTCCGACGGTACTGTGCGCCTTCTGGGCTGCGAGCTCGCGCTCGTTGTCGTTCATCGTGGCCTCGTGAATGACAACCGTCGAGCCTTTTCCGGCCCAAACCAGCCTGTCAGTCGGCATAGTGTCCGCGGAGAAGCTAATGGCTCGTGAGCAACGCTCTTCGTCCAGTCGATACCGGACTCACGATATACTCCAGCCATCGTTGTGCTTAATGACGCATCCGTAACAGCGTGTACGGTGTAGCATATCCACGGCGAAGAAGCTGCGCAGCCCGAGCAGCTCGCACATCTGGCGATAGCGCTTCGTCGTACTGGATCGTTTGGTTAGCGAACCGTGCCGCGTTCCATCGGGATAACGAACGTACAGATTTATGTCCGTCCATTCTTCGCTACCGCCCAAAGTATACCGGCCGTTAATATGGTACGAGCCCGTATTCCGCCAGTGCAAGCCCTCGGAGAGCATCCCATATACGCCATTACCCGCCGGGTCATCGATGCCAAGGTCCTGCAGCATTTGCAGCTCGCGAAGGTACAGATGCACACGCCGGATCGAGTACACGAATAGCGGGTCCTTTGGTGGCGGGTCGAGCTAAGACAGCAGTCAGCACTTCGTCGTAGTTGTCTGACGTGACAACGGAAGCATACCTGTCGCCTCTTTGCCAACAGCGTCGACAATCCACCATGATGGTCCGCATGCAGATGGCTGACGAAAATGCACTTGATGTCGCGGAGGACGTCGTAAACGTTGTTCGGCGCGCTCTCATCCGTGCCATATTCCCTCGCCAACTGCCCCCACGTTCCCTCACCACAATCCAGAAGGATGCTCCCATGGCCCGGTATACGAATCAAGGTCGATGACACTGCCCACATTCATCAGCACCATTCCGAATATTCGAGTCAACATTCCGAGAAGACATACCGTTTCGATACTTGCTAGGCACCGCGCTGCTCGTCCCCAACGGCAACACTGTCACATCTGCCCCCGGAAGCTTCGGTACCGCACCCTCCGCAATACGCTGCGAGACCACCGCCTGCGCCTTGTCGAACGCTTCTCGCGTCGCTTGCGTGAGCTCGACGGGCGCTTGGCAGACGGGATGAAACTTGTCTTGCGCGTATGGGTCCCGCTTGGGCGGACTGGGCGGGCGGATGTGGACCTGGGTGTCGGTCGTCATGACGTGGGTGCTAGGCGGTAGGTTGGGAATATCTGTAAGCCACGTGTCAGAGGGTAAGCTAGAGTGAGCGTAGCTTTGGGACGGACCCTGGAGAGGCTTCTTCGCATCCAACGAAAACTTTGGCACATGGAAAATATCCGGGTCAAGCACATTAAGGCGCAGCTGGCTGAACGCAGCGCTGGTCATCGTGATGGGGTCCGGGCAGTGATCGCGGGATGCGATGATATGCTGGAGGTATATTATCAATACAGACGACGACACCTCAAAAGCAAGCCAGCTCACATGCGTCTGCTCCGGGAAGCCATTCATGAACTCCACATATCGCGGATCGTCCAGCACACCCTTGCCGAGCTTATGAAAGATCGCGCGGATGGCATAGTCCTTCGTATCCTCCTCTTTACGAGAGCGCAACCGAGAGTAAAGTGGCGCGTTTGTGAAGGAGTTCACGAGTGAAGGAATATAGGCCGAACTCGGGACGTCGAAAATCAGGACGGCCTGGTGAGTGTGAGAAATAAGTCTAACACGATGGTCAAAAAGTACTGACGCTCGGCGGTATGCTTTCCGACATAACATCGCTAGGCTGTACCACCCGCTCGATGGTCTCGCCTGCCTCATTCTGCACCTTTACAGTGACATTCAGACCCTTCGCAAGGTCACCGCGCAAAGGACCGAAGGGAACACCGAGTTTTGTTGCAGCAGCGGCGTCGAATTTACCGCGAATGCGAGGACCGAGGACGACATAAGCGAGTGTTGCTGGTGTTCTTGACGTGGACGGATCGACATTGACTGGTTGAGGCAGTTGGGCATGGAACCCTGGTGGCAGGCTGCCGCGACGGAATACGTCTGGCTGTGCGCGTATTCTCCAGTCAGTACGACCATCGACGAGCCTAACCAAACGGACGCGCACCTCGCCTGGCGCATTCGCATCGTACGGACCGGAGCCCTTGACTTGCTGGTTCTGCTGCTTGCGACTCTTTTTGCCACCACCTTGTGTCTGTTTAGAGAACATGCATCCGTGGACGCGTTGAATGTACTCTGTCGCGTGAGCACCGGAGAGCATTGCAGGCGTGAAGTCCTCGCGTGCTAGGATCGAGTCCAGAGTGACGTCACTGGGGTTTGCGGAGGCGGCTGCGACGGCAGGCGCGTCGACTTGAGCAGAGGGCGCGTCTGCTGGAGCTGAAGACGCGTCCATACGCTCGGCCGGTGCATATGTCCTCTTCGATGATCGTTCAGGCGAGGGCTCGCGTTTCCGCTTGAGGGAGGTAGGAGAGGGGGAGCGCTCGGAGGGACAGGTAGCGTCAGGTAGGACTGGGAGACCGTAGATGGAGATGTCCCTGTCCTTTAGGACAGGCTCAGGTAGTGTGTCCCGGGCCTGGGTCATTGGCACGTCTGTGACCTCTACGGCCATAGTGTTCCTGACGAGTTCAGCCTTCATGTTGCGGTGGCGCGGGTGGGCTCACCTGTAGAGATACGAACGCGCACTAGCAAGGTAGTGCCCTGTTCCCGGGGGACCGACGACATTCAACTTCTGGATAGTCGCATCCGCAAAGGTCATGAGCAGTCCTGGGATCGGGTTTAGCGCGGAGGCCCCGATCGCGCAACCCTCCACGTACCACTCGCCCCGCCCATCCGCTGCACGCTCGCCTGCGTGAAGAACATGCCCTGGATCTTCTTCCAGTTGCTGCTGTTCTGCAGGAACGCCCTATTTGTGTTCTCTGACACATTGAAGATGTACTTCGCGTGGGGGAACGTCACGAGCACGGAGGGCTCGGTGTCGGACGAGAGGGTGGTCAGGACGGACGCGGACCAGTCCATCGTGTCGGCTGCCCGGTTTGGGCCCTTTTGGCCGCGCGACATGGCTGAGGAAAAGAAGGGCCTGCTAAGGGAGAGTCTGAGTGGGAGGCGCCATCTGCTCAGCGTCATTCGCGGCGTTCAAGTCAAATGAGGAATCTGATGGTCGATCATGTCGATCGCGGGCTCCGGCCTGGGGACTTGGCTGTGGCCCACTGACACCCAGCAGCACCCATCCAGCACTTGTCGTCGGCCGCGCAACTCGTAGCGCGGACAACCCGAATGCTACTAAAGCGGTCTCTCGGGTATGTACAGGCCAGTATAAAGCCCTGGGCGACGCGAACTGGAGGCGGCATCTCGATTCCCATGTCTATCGACGCGCTCCCCGACGAAGTCCTCGAGGCGATCTTCTACATGCTTATCCTCGCTGTAGATGGGCCCATCTTCTCTGTATTCTCCACTGCGCCAGACGTGCACCTCATTGGCGACCTCGCCCTTGTCTGCCGCCGCTGGCATGCCGTCCTTCTCGGCAACCCTCACATCTGGGCGCGGGCGCGCATACATCTCTACGGCCCCTCTGGCGCGCGCAATGCTCGCGTCTTTGAGCGCGCCATGGATGCGCTAGCTCGGTCTGGGGACCTGCCCCTCACAGTCAACTTCCGCTTCGAATCGCTTCGTAACTCAGACCTCGCAATTGCACCCCTCCTGCGCACCTGCAGCCGCTGGCAGACAGCGCATCTCCACATCCCGGACGATCACTACGAACTTCCCGAATTCCAATCCATGAAGGGCGAGCTGTCCCTCCTCCAGTCGCTATCGCTCTCCCTCCCGCGGCTCAATATGGGCTTGCACAAACTCCCTCGCGTGGTCGACACCTTCCGCCACTGTCCTAGGCTTAAGAGCGTCACCCTCTGGAACGAGGTGCTTGGTCCGGTGCTCGACCTCCCCTGGACGCAGCTCACCACGCTCACCGTCCACGGCTGGAAGGTCGACGATGTCATAAAGTGCATCGCCGACTGCACCGCCCTCGAGCGCCTCGCCGTTCATGACGTCCTCGACGACGCGAACGGCGCGGGCAGTGACCACATAGACAAGCATCTCGCCCATCCCACCATCCGCGCCCTGCACCTCACTAGCGGCAGTTGGGCCGTCAGGACGGCGTCACTGCTGAACCGTCTCTCGCTGCCCTCGCTAGAGGAGTTTCATATTGCGTTTTGGCGCGAGAACCTGCGCCAGTGGCCACAGCTGGAGTTCCTGAACTTGCTAAGCAGGTCGGGATGCTCGCTGTCCAGCCTCGCCCTTCATCGCGTCGGCCTCTCCATCGAAGAGTTTACCGAGGTCCTGCGCGCAGTGCCTGAGCTTACCTCACTCAGCTTGGAGGACACACGCTCGGCCATGAACGACAAGACCTCTTTCGACTGGATATTCAGCTGGCTCATGGTCGTGACAAATACACATAGTGTCCAGCCCATCCCCGACCTCGCCGAGTTCAGCATTGACCTACGGAGCGCGGACGTCACCCAGGCGCGCATAGAGAACATGCTCAGCACTCGCTTGCAGCGCGGGAAGCTGCGCAAAGCTGTCCTGCGCATTCCCATCGACTTCGACCCGTCGTTACGGAGCTTGGCGGACGAAGGGCTGGATCTAGTGCTTACCGGCGCAGAAGCGAAGGCTGCGGTCACCGCGCGGGGTTCTTGGTAGGGGCTTGGAAGACAGCCGTTCTGGTTGTGGGTGGACCTAATGTATGCCTGCCGAAAGGCCTGGTCATGTGATTGGTTGGTCCATACCGTGACCAGATTCACACGGCTCGAACAAAGGCGTTTGCTCTCTTCTACCTCTGCACCGGCTACTTTCCTGCCACACATCGTACATCCATCATGTCCAATCTTTCTTCCTCAGACACTCTTCAAGCCGCTTTTGATGATGTGCTGAACTCGTCAGAGGCCCCGGAGGAGGACGCGGTCATTCGTCTCGTTGACATCTCTGCTATGCCACCCAATGTAGTGAGTGGCGTTCGGTTTCATCTAGCTGCGCCACCTCAGCTAAGTGTTGGTCAGCGACTACAATTGGCTCAAATATGGGGATTGCCTCCATTGGGACTCGAGCTGTATGTCTGCTCGCCCTGGAATCAGATTTTGCGTATGTTGTGTGGCGCATTGCCTGGTCATGTCCTAATATGCTATCAAAAAGTTCCTTCGGAAGCAGCTGAGCTTTACCGCAACGGCGATTTCATCTTTGTGCCGACGTTCAAGACATACAAAGAAGCGATGATCTTTGTTAGTGGCGCCGACAATCAAGGTCGACCGCGCAAATATGGTGGACCTCCATTCACGGAGGTAAAGCGCGTCCCCTGCCCTCCCCTATCGATACTGATTGCTAAATACTCTATAGCGTCTCAGTGAAAGCGGCATGTATCGCTACTTCTTCGTCCCGATAACAAAGGAAGGGCGCGCGATCGCGCATAGGCTCTGTCAACTCGGTCATCTCGAGGAGCAGACTTTGGAAGACAGGAACTGCGGGATTCACCCGATTACTGGCGAAGTGCTGCCGAGTCGAACTAATGCGTACCCTGTCTTCAAGACGTACGCGCACCCCGCATCTACGTGTTTCTTCGTTTGGACAACGCTGCAAAGCCGCAAGCTCAACTTGCGTGACCCGAACGCGCTTGCGGGGGTCAGTGACCCTGCGATGCTCGGGGCTTGCGCGCCCTGCCTGCTGTCCTTCTTTGAGGCTTGGGGTATCGGGGTTGACCCTCCGAAACGCGATGTCCAGCAGCGAAGGTTGGACAGAACATCGTTCGGCTCCCTTCAACGACGCACTCAGCAGTCGACGCAGTCGACCATCCATCCCTCCATGGCTCCGTCCGCCGCCTGTGACGACTACGACGTCCGTGAAAGACCTTCGGCGTCCCGGTTGCACTCCCTCGTGGGAAATTGGCGTGAGGAGGTGCAGCCTGTCGAATATCTGGAAGGACGGCCTCGCCCGCGTCGTGATTCCAAGTTGCTTAGGCTGCCTCGCGTCATAGTGAATTGCCTCCATCCGCGTCAGCTTGCTACGGTGGCCGTGGCTGCAAGCGATATCGTGCTCGAGCGCACCCGCAAGATTCGCAAGTCGCCAACCTACTGATGAGCTGACTTCCGCCTGTGGCGATGAGCTTTCGGCAGTACTGGAATACTGGAATGAGGTCATGGGTGCTGGGGGTAATGGCTGGGAAACCTGATTGCTCGCCATCTATGGAAGCTGCTCTAGGTAGAATATCACCAATCGTATATCTTGGACTTCTTCTCTGAAGCTTCACTGAAAGTCGAAGGGCATTCAGGTTAGTCTGATGGCCGGCGCATTTTGAGTGTGATTGCCGGAGAGATTACCGTTTTGAACACCGGTGACCAGCAGGAGGTTTATCTGTTTTCGGCATCCTTTCTGCGCAGTATTCGACTGCGACACACCGTTTAAGCCTCTACTTGTCTTCGTTCACTACTGCTTGGGACACCACGGCGCTGCCTACAGCGCCTCTATCCTCGCCATGTCAAGCGACCATACTTCAGTTCAGCATGGGGAGACAGACCCGGAGAACTCTGACATTTCGCCGGAGATGCTCGAGGTCCAATCCCTCGAGCGTGCGATTGCTGAGGTGCAGGAGCAGCTGCGACGAGAAAAAGTCCGGCAAGAGGAGGAACGTGCGCGCTTGCTACAGGAGCGGGAGGCCATACGTGCCAGCAAGCAAAAGATTCGGGAGGCGTTGCTCGCAGAGCGCAAACGACTTGTGAGTGACTATGCTCCTTTGATGAGTTCAGAAGCTCATGAAGGCCATAGACTGCTGCGAAGGGCAAGTCCTCACATCGTAGCACGAGCACTCAGATCATCGAGGAGCGTTTGGCGAACATCTTTCCGAAGGCGGACACTGAAAGTCACTTGCAGATTGACGACGAGATGAGCGGCACCACCCCGAATGTCAAGCAGGAACGCAACGAACATATACCCCCTCGTAATTCCCCAATGCGCGAGGATACGAGCCGCTCGGCTACACCCTCTACTTCGTCTACTCGTCCGTCAACCCCTCCAAAACATCAAGCGGCGCGAAAATTGAAGACCGGGGAGCGCGGCGCTTCAAACGCCGTGAAGCCCGAGCCAGATGACTCGAGAGACGCGACGGTCGACACGACGACGCAAACTCAGGAAGACAAAGCCCATAGGGAAACCACAGATCCCCCATTCATCCTGTCTAAGGCAGAGAATGGCGGCATGCTGTGGAATCTGGACGCGCTTGGGCCTACAGGAAACATCACCGACCCTTTGTACAGCAAGGCTTTCACTCGACAGGTCATCAGTCGGGTAAGTTGTGTCCCGCAGCGTTCGCGACTTTCGCCTCACGATGCTCCCAAAAGGCGTACGGGGGTCTAGTTCGGGGTGTTCATCATAATCAAGGCAAGAAAGACCGATAGTATGCTCGTTTGCTACGATCTATACACAGGTCAAGAAGGCTGACCATGGCTTACAGCGCAACGTTCAACGGTGACGCCCACCCGCAGCTCCCTGGTCTTGGAACACACGGCATCATCTTCGGCTCCCTGGATTATAAAGACCTTCTTCCAGTCTTTGTCCGCGCTCAAGCCAAGCAGTGGCTATATTGCGGTCACTATCGCTGCACTATGGGTGGCGTGGTTGAACCCAATCAGCTGAAGGGCGTACGGCGGTCCTGCATCACTACCGTCGCCAAAGACTACGCGGACAAGGCTGAGGGGCGGATCAGCGTCGCCAAGCAGAACGAGGAGAACGAGAAGGCTGCGAGGCAACCCGGCCTGACATACCAGCCCATCGAGTTCACCGTAGGCGGCATTAGGGCCGCGCTTCTCGACGGCCGCCTGCCTATGACCTTCACCGTCCTGCGCTTCGTTCGCTACGATAAGGACTGGTTTGAGCGGGCCCTGGATCCAGAGAACGCCGGGCCTCGCTTGGACGCCAATGAAGACGTGAAGCCGCCGAATAAACGGAAAGCCAACACGTCGGACGTGGAGGAGAACTCCGGGAGTAAGAAGCAGAAGAGTACAGCGTCGACACAGGATGCAATGAGGAGCAGCACGTCCTATGCAGGTAGATCACTGAGGTCAAAAACCGAAAGGCGCGCCGGGAAGGAGGTGACTGTCATAGAAATATCGAGCGACGAGTCCGGAGACGATATTTCCGACGACGAACGTAGTATTACTTCGAGTCAGCTAGACGACTATGACAACGACATGGCATAGACCGTATTCAAAAAATTTACCCCTGCGTACTCCGCTAGGTATGACTTCAGATAGTTTTCCTGTCGAAGAAAGAATGCCAAAATGGGAAACAATGGCCGGAGTTGTGGGTCCATACCGAGATGTCCACGTGATAACCCGAACATCGGTCCGAGCATACCGCATTGCAAGTTCAACTTTGACCTCAACCCTCACCTAAGCCACCGCATTTGAGCAGGCTCTCGATGCAACGAGAGCGGGTCTCTCTCGACACCCTACCCCTTGAGCTCATAGCATACATTGCTGGCTATGCTCACAACTGGGAGAAGCTCCCCACGCGACTGAGCGTCTATGGCGTGCTGGCTGCCACAAACCGGCGCTTACGGGCCTTCGCGTACCCCTTGTCGGTTTCGAGGTTGGTTTTGGATCCAGACCCTGCACTTTGGGAGACTTTGGAAAGGCAGTTGCATAAAGCGCACGAAGATGGTAACTTTTGTTATGTCCGGTAAGCAGTTCCTTTCAGCGGCCACGTGTTGTCCAGACGCTGACCTGCAGGCGCCTCAGACATATGCAGTACGGACCGAGAACCTACCCTCAGATAGGGTGCGATGACACGGCGCCTAGGAGGACCGCTGACTACCAGCTGTCTTCCCTGATCATGTACCGGCCTTCGGAACTGCGCAGCTTCATATGCCTCTACGCGACTTGCTCGCCCATACTGGAAGCGCTCAGGGAATCGTCGCATATGCACACGCTGGCGCTTATGTGGCGCGGCGTCACCTTCCCGGACCTGCGGTCGTTTCCGCGGCTGAAGACCCTACGCCTGCAGACGCCCTTCGAAATCGTCGACAGCTTCGCCCTCCCGCCGCCGCGGAAGCTCGACTGGCGGCACGCTGCGCTGACGACGCTTGTGATCCATGGTCCACGCTCGCTGCCCCGGGCCCTGACCCTCGCGTTGCACGACGCGTGTCCGGCGCTCCGCGTGCTGAGCCTACAGGATACGCGGGTGACGCCCGAGGAGGTCTTCCATATCATCGCGACTCACGCGGGGATAGAGGAGGGGAACTTCAGCTTTTATGGCCAGATATGTGTAAGGCGGCCGTTACTCCTCGGCAACGTCATGCGCGCGATACAGGGGGAGGGCTCGTGGGCAAGGTCGCTCTCGCAACCCCACGACGACCCTCGAAAGTTGAATGCCAACTGGTTGCCGACGGAAGCATGGAAGCGGGTACCGATTAGCGGGTTCGCTTTTGCTCGTGCGCGTAACGTCGACGAGACGGACGCGGCATATGCAGTGTCAGAGCTCACGCTGCAGCAAGTTCTTGCCACGTCGGATGACGAGGTTACGACAGACGACCTTTCGATCATACTCGGCCAGCTTCCAGGAGTCCCGGGGTTGGAGAAGGTCCAGCACTTAGCCCTGCATATCTCTTCGGGACCGCTCGCAGGCTGCGACACCTTCGATGAATGGGCGGTGCGTATCTGATTTTGTCGCGGTCGGGTGTCTTTGGCTGATTGTGTCAATATAGGCCTCCTTGGCGCGACTATTGAGTCATTGGACGGAGCTGCGCACCGTGCGTCTGAAGGTCGATCTTCTGTCCTCGAAGTGGGACCGGCACACCAACTACGCCGTTCTGGACGATCTGGAGCCGCCCGTCAACGATAGAGGCGATGGAGACTACCACACGCTCGGCCAAGCACTGAAGACCCTCGAACAGCAAATCATCGTTGAACCTGGAATGCGCGGGCTCATGGAGGGTTTGCAAGCGTTATTCGACGATGATTCTCCAGACCTCTACCTCCCCGACGGAACAATCAACACGGAACTGGTGCTCATACCAATATGGGAGGAAAGGCATTGCGTGCAAGTCGCGAAGGCGGTTCGACGAATTGCCACTGCCTGCCCACTGTTGACGGAGTTCAAGTGGCATACCTGCGTGGATCTGATCGTGGACCCTACCTGGACGTGGAAGATCAGAAGGAAAGGCGGTAGTGGGAAGGATGCACAGAGTGTTCACCAAGTCGTGGGCGACTTGTTATGGCCCGATTTCTGTGTGAGGGGTACTCCGTACAGCTTCGAAAACCTTGTAGGACAGGAGCTTCGACAAGCTGAGTTAGCCCATCGTGGCGCTCTCTCTTGACATAGAATAGCCTTCATTGGCTGTGTGAACTGTTGAGAGCTATATCTGGTTACTCAGTATGCTCGCTCAGTAGAGTTGAGTCAAGCGGCTGAGTCGCGGACTCGGAGACGGGAGAACACCGACGGCCAAATGTGGTATGTTGTTCCCACGCACGCGAGCGGCACGGGAAGGCAGGCGAGGACTTCTTAGAGTGCAACCTCCATCTCGGCGTCTCGCTTGCGGCGCGCCTCGTCCTGCTGCCCTGCCGAGAAACATATACAGCTCTCGAGATCTTACAGAAGAATGTCGAGCTCAGGGAAGGGCCGGTCTCGCGCACCCTTGGACCGCGATCTGCAACGATTGTACGACGAGGTGTGGGAGGCGTACGCGGAGGACCTCCCACCACCCAAGTCGTCATGGTCCAGCTCGATAGACAAGGATTTGGATAATGTGTATAACCTGTACGCAGGCTCGGGGAGCCCAGATCTGAGCAGCTCCAGGACTCGTGAGTACATCAATTGGAACGTGCAGCAGCTTGCCTTATACCTCCGTAATCATCTCATTCACTGGGTACCTCCATCCCACATAGCACTCCTTGCTGCACGCCACGTCACTGAACGCTAAACTGACTTGCAGTCTCTTACACACCTTCCCCTCCGCCACCACCTCCCGCTCAGTCACAATCATATGCGGCCAAACTTCCTCCCTCCCCACGATCCTCTGCAAATGCGCGGCGATTACCTCCCACCCCGATGGCGATGCCGGAGCCAGAACCACACTATGAACCCTCGCGGACGTACACGCAAGGTTCACACTCCTCATCCTCGTCGTCGTATCGACCGCACGTGAACTCCTCGGACTCCTACCCAACATCTGCCTCGTCCTTCACCACCACGTACTCATCCAGCGGGTCGGATCTCCGCCACACTACGTCCGGCAAGGGCAGACGCCTGCCGCCGACGCCGCGTCCCACGACTGCGGATGGGCAGAAGCAACAAATATCCGGCTCGCGCACACCAACTCGTCCAGGGACTTCGCCTGGACCCTCTTCGCCCATCTCTGCCCAAGGCAGGGGTGACGAGAAGTACTTCACGCGCTCGAGAGAACAGGGTGACAGCCGGGCGAACGGCTACGACGACAGTCGCTCGGCCTATCGACAACAGCGGCAGCAACCAGCGGTGACCGTGCAGGACACGGAGCCGGTAAGCCGCTCGAGATCAAACGGGTATGCTGCCGACACGGAGCCAGCGGCGAACGGCTACTCGCGCCACGGTCGCAGGGGCAATAATAGCCTCGAAGTGCCAGGTGGCAAGGTCGGGCTGCCAAGGAGTCCAAGTCCGGCTGTCGAGCGTTTCAACCGCAGTCGCGCACCAAGCCCTGCTCCTGAGCCAGTGTCCTCATGTGCGTCGTAGGCTATCGACGTCGATTCATGTTTCTCACATCGCTCGCAGATCCTGGGATGGACCGCACCTCACCATCCGCGCAAGCAGAGTTCGTTTCCCCGACCTCCCCCTACCAGGCATCCTCTCCTTACAATGCTTACGCGGAGAGCGCCTCCTCACGAACCAACGTACCTCTCGTACGCGAAGACTCGTCATTCGTCATGCCCGAACCAGAACCCGCTCCCACAACCTACAACCCCACCGCGTACGAGGATCCGGTCGCCGGCGCTGCTATCGTCCGACGGCCATCCGAGATGCTGCGCGACCTCGCTTCTGGGCGTGACGATAGCGCGGATCACTACGACGAGCTACAAGAGGAATACTGGGAAGACGAAGACGAGGATGACGAGTCTCGATTTGTCAATCACTCGCTGCTGTCCCACCTCGCTGTTCAGCTGCGCGACAAGGTGCCGCGAGGGACTCACGTGAAGGGGAGCATCCCCTACCCCAGCGCGTTCACTGGCAAGGACATCGTCTCCACCATCCAGACGCAGATTCAGCGCGAGCTCGCGCTTGTGCACGGCATCTCGACAAGTGACCGGAGAGCGGCGCTGAAGGTCGCGCGCAGCCTGCAGAGCCAGTTGTTCTTCTACGAGGTCGAGTGGGGTTCGCGAGTCTTGCAAGATGGCGTGGAGGACGTGTACATGTTCATGGACGATCTGGACGGTGGTAGTGAGGGTCGCGAACGGGAAGAGCTGCCGACCGGACTCGTTACGATGCTTGCGCGATGTTATACGCCAGGATGCGGGGAGACGGAGGGCCCTTGTTATGCTTGGAGCTGTCCGCGCAGGGTATGTTCTTGGATCCATCTGTGGTCCATGTAGCTGACGTATGTTCAGGGTGGCATTGTAAATCTCCTCGAGGACACCGTCGAAGAGCCCGAGGTAGCCCCAGAGCATGAATGGGAAGGCGGGCTCGCTCCGGAGATCCTCGAGAACCTGCCGGAGTCTGAGCGCAATCGGCAGACGTGGGTTCTACGGCTGCGCTTACTTATGCACTCGGTACTGATTGTTTCGGCGCAGGATCATCTACAAGGTCATTGCGAAGGAAGAGACGTACCTTCAGGACCTTGACTTCGTCGAGAAGGCCTTCATCAAGCCTCTGCGCAGCGCAAACCCTCCTGTCATCGCCCCAGACATGGTATGTCACTATCCTTAGTCCCCGGTAAATTGTACTGACCCTGGGTACATAGCTGGAGGACTTCATCGACGACGTCTTCCACAACATAATGGACCTTCGCGAATGCAATCGTCGGTTACTCGAGAACCTGCGCGTTAGGCAGCGCGAGCAAACCCCGGTCATACACAATATCGGTGACATCTTCCTCGTCGCTGCTGCAGAGTTCGAGCTGGCGTACCCGATCTACATTGGGCATCATCCCATGGCGGAGAAGCGCCTTAAGGACGAGACGGATAACAACCCGGAATTGCGACTATTCCTAGAGCAATGTGCTCGGAATATCGCGCGCGGGGAGGATCAGGCCCGGCTTGACCTCAAGCACTTCCTCAACCGTCCCTCCGAGCATTTGCAGAAGTACCCTGTGTTGCTGGAGGCCGTGTACAATGAGACGACGGAGGGCAATGCTGATGCGGACTACTTAAAGAACGCCATCGACGCGCTGAAGAATCTGCAGTCCGCGGCACAGCTGCGTACGTTCCAGTCGGCGATGGGCAAGGGCACGCCGGGCAAGTGGGAGTGGCATGACTTAGTGACGCCCGAGGTTCGCCAGCGGCTGGTCAAGGACGAGCAGAAGCGACAAGCGTGAGTACAAGTAAATACACTGCTGGTTTGTGACTAATTCGCTACAGTATAATCTTCGAGGTCATCAAGGGTGAGATGGCGTACGTCAAGGATCTGGAAAACATCGGTGTAGTATGTGCCCTCGCGCGTGCCCTATTGTAGAGCTCTGCTAACGTGTGACCTCGTAGATGTACATCGAGCCTCTTCGCGCTGCGGACCCGCCCATCATCAAGCCCGAACGGCTGGACCAGTTCATCATCGACGTCTTCCACAACTATGCTGAACTGCTGGAGCACCACAAGAAGTTCCTGCAGGCCTTGCATACGGTTCAGCGCCAGCAGCACCCCGAGATTCGGTCAATAACAGCACAACTGTTCGACGCAGTCCTCAACTTCCGCGAGGCTTACATTGAGTACATCCCAAACTACCCTGTCGCGGAATACCGCATCGACGACGAGATGGCCAACAATCCCGCGTTCAAGGCCTTCGTTGAGGTACGCAATGAAATTAGGTTGCTTGAACATGTGCTCACTCTTCTTAGCAATGTACTAGGCATCCTGATGCCCATAGGCTCGATATGAAGAACTTCATCAATCGTCCGATTCCGCGTCTTTTGCGGTATGAGCTTCTTCTGAAGAACGTTTTGGATGAGACGCCGCCGGGGCACGAGGACCGCAACGAGATTCCGTCGGTGCTCGAGCTCATCAAGGCACTCGGGAAGGAAACGGAGCCAGGCGTCGTGTCGGCGAAGCAGAAAGTCGAGCTTTGGCGGTACCACTCGAACCTTGTCTTCAAGCCGGGAGAGTTTGTAGTATGTGATCTGTTTACTCACGTTGACATTAGCGCTCATTGGGACATCAGGATATGGACCTGCTAGCTGAGAACCGGGTTCTCATCCACAGTGGCAAGCTTCTGCGACAGCCCGACACAGGCTTCGAGTTCAGCGGTTGGCCGGAGCTATTCGTGCTCCTTTTCGACAATTACTGTAACTATCGTTCTGACGCTCGCTCAACTCTGCATGCTTACTCCCCACAGTCGTCATGACCAAGCCCAAGGACAGGGACGGTGTTACGAAGTACCATGTGTACCGTCGAGTGCGTCCTGCACTGTCTGCCTTCCCCTTGTATTCACCTGTTTCCCTAGCCCATTCCCCTTGACCTCCTTACGTTGGTGAACTTCAATGACCCGCCTACCCAACGTGGTACTGGCATCCTGCGCAACTTGCGCGGAGGCGGGCATGAAGCATCCCCTAGCGTACCCTCTCCCGAAAGCGCCGGCGACTCGCGTATGGCCTACCCGTGCACCATTCATCACAATGGTCGCTTGGGTGGTCCGTACATCCTCTACGCCGAGTCCGCCGCTGCAAGGAACGAATGGAAACAGAAGCTCGATGAGGCGCTCGGCATTCGGAAGGTCGTCCAGGACTCGAACAAGGTCTTCGAGGTGGAGACGCTCAGCGCGGATACTTTCCTTGTGCCGTCAGTGCTGGCGGGCCCGTCATCTCCGTCCTACAACCAGGATAGCGCTCTCACGGGTAGGGTGACATGCTCGATCCCTTTCAGTACGTGTTATATGACATATCGTGTGGGTGAGACTGACTCTTCGGCTATAGACACCAGTGACGGGCGCGGTCTTGTCGCAATCGGATGCGCCGAGGGCGTATGGATAGGGTTCCGGCACGATCCCAACTGTACGCCTGTTTCCAAGCCCGTAGTATCTTTCACTGATGTGCTCGCTAGCTATGCGCCGGGTACTGCATCTGAAGATGGTGACCCAGTGCGCCATGCTGGAGGAGTTCGGCATCTTCCTTGTGCTTGCGGACAAAGTGAGTAATCTATAGACCGCCCTCTATCACCACCACTGACGCGTATTATAGTCCCTTTTCGCGTATCACATCGAGGCTTTGGTCCCGTCGACGCATTCAACGCCTATGACTTCCCAAGCGCCGCAGAAGCTCAACGGCGCGGGGGCGGTCCAGTTCTTCTGCGTCGGCAAGCAGCAAGGTCGCACACTCGTTATCTACATGAAGAAGAAAGGCGTAAGTTCATCGGGTCTATGCTGGCGCTGTATACTAAGCAATCGGTACAGCTTGAGAGTATCTTCCGAGTACTTGAGCCTGTCGCGGATAAGATCGGCGAACGCACCCGTGCTGCGACCGGCCTTGGCCATCGACTGTTCAAGTCTGCCAAGTCTGAGTGGTTCCGTGTGTATAAGGCAGGTCCATGCGTGTGCCCTTCGTTAGCTAACACTGACGAGGTCCATAGGACTTCTTCCTGCCGTCCGAGGCGTACGATGCGGTCTTCTTGAAGGCGACCATTGTCATCATGTGCTCCAAGGGCTTCGAAATCATGAACATCGACAAGTATGTAACACTTTGACTGAAAAGAGGACTGGATGTTGATCTTGTCCTTCAGCTACCAGAGCGTGTCGATCCCGTTACGAGAGGATCCTCGGGTAGAGAAGATCATCAAGCGTGCCGAGGCCTCTCGTCCTTTGGGCATGTTCCGCTCTGGCGACAACGAATTCTTGCTATGCTATGACGGTCAGCTACTATTCATATCGAGTACACGCCATACTCATCGCTTCTGGCAGAGTTCGGCTTCTATGTCGATAAGCACGGTGACCCAAGTCGTGCCATCGAAACCATCGAATGGGAGGGCACGGCACAAAGCGTCGCCTTCCACCCGCCCTACGTCCTGCTATTCGACACCCGCTTCATCGAGATCCGTCATGTGGAGACAGCACGTCTTTGCCAAATCATCACTGGCAACGACGTTCGCTGCATCTGGGATGGCCGCGGGTCGGGCGATCTCGCGAAGCAGATCCGGGAGAACAGGATTGAGGACGACAACGAAGTCCAAGAGGCGCAGGTGCACGCCGTCATGAACTCGACGGAGACTGTAGGCGGCGGTCGCGGCGCGCGCGCTGTCGCTCAGCATGTCTTCGAACTCATCCCCACCGTTTCACTCCCACTCCCTGAACCTTCGCCCAACACGATCCTGGGCAACTCTCCCGGTCCTTACAATTACATGCAGAGGTCAAGTTCTAGTTCGTCGCCGCCAATCTCGCCTACCAACATGCGGTCAACATCCTGGCGGTCGTAGTGTAATGGAGTTGCAAGGGCTGCTGTTGGAGGGATAGGTCTGGGGAAGCATCGCTATCGCTATCTATTGGACTAATGTATATCTGCACTAAACTGTACATCATCTTCTTTCGAACGAGTATCGTCACTCCTGAGCGTGAACTTCTCCTGCTTGCCATGAACTGTCTAGATCCAGTCTGCGCAATCTTCCATTGAGGTCATCGTACGAAAGGTGGGCAAAAAGGGTGTACTGCCCCCGTGAGGCTCGAACTCACGATCTTGTGATTGTGCATTAACAGTCACACGCCTTAACCAGCTGGGCCAGGGGGCAGATGTTTGATGCTGCGCTAAAGCTTCTGACAATCGGCCGCACTACTCTCCCAAGCTTGAGGACAAGGTTTGCTTCTGTTTTTGAGTCATAGAGGACATTGTGATTCGCCGCACATAGATCGCCAGGGCTCAGGAGGAAAGGCTGTATCTCTTGCTTGGTGTCGCTATGTAGCAGAGCACAACGTCTCGTAGAATGCCAACACCTCCGTAGCTAGCTCCCCTTCTGCCGTGCTTCGCTCGTCCCGAGCCGCACCTATCGCAAAGACCCAGGTATCCACAAACGTTCTTGCATCATCGGCAAGACGACGCAGTCCTGCGCTCTCTTCTGACTTTACGCCGCCGTCTAACTTGTCACCTCCCGCTAGTTCCCGCAGTACCACATCTCGCACGCGCTCGCTATCGCGCATGAGCATGCCGAGCAGGACGGCCAGATGTCCGGGGACGTAAATGCGCTCGGCCTCTCGCGCAGCTTCGTCTACATTCTGCGACGGCTCACGAGCGTGGCCTGACCGTGCCGTGACTGAACTTCGCGCGTGCAAACGCAGGAGGGTGTCAATCACGTCGTCTGTAAGGAAGGGCTCATAAGTACTGCTGCATGAGCGAAAGGGTCCAGCACTTACCGTCCATGCCCTCGCATGCACCGAGCTCTTGTGCGAGGTTCGTCAGAAGAGCCAACGCAATGTAGAGCGTGTCCTGGCGTCCGTCGTCCTTCTCTATTAACGCATCGTCGCTTCCATCGACCTCCACCTTGATGCTGGGTTCCCTCTTGACCATGAGACGCATAGCCCTACCCGCCTCCTTCGGGCTGGAGTCCGCACAAGCCCGCATTAGCGCGCCGAGCGTTCGTACACCTCCAGCGCTCTCGACCCGTCTGCACCATGACTTCGACGCGTGCGTGAGTGTCGTGAGAATGCGCAATGCAAGGTTGTGCAGGGCCGTCGCTGCATCTGACTTCATGTCCGCTCTTGCCTTTCCCTTCGAGTTCGCAGAGGATGGTGACGTCCTGAGGAGGCCCAAAAGCGCGGGAGCTAGCCACTCTTCCCCGTCGAGGACGTCCTGTGTGAGTGCTGACTGCGAGGAATTCCATTGCCCGAGCAAAAAGGAATCGAGTAGAGGAAGGAGTTTGCTGACTCGGTGAATATTAGGCGCCGCAAAGGAAGATTTGTCGATCTTCAGGCATGTTTGCATCGAGCGAGCAACGTCGGTGGCGCGGGAGGACGGTAAATGGGACGGAGCGACCTGACTAAGTACGTGTTCAACGAGGGTGATTGTCGAAGGGTGTTCGGGCTCGCAGATACTGGCAAGCGATGGAATAAGGGTTTCCTTCATGGACGCCACCTATGCGAGATGAGAAAGTAGAAAATTGAGATGGAATACACAACTTACGAAAACCCTTTCCTTCTTGCTCAGCCTCACACTGGGCTGCGCCTCCTGCTCACTGAGCGCGTCGACCTTCCTCGCCCTCTCCATCACCCGAAACAGTATCTCGCCAAAGTCTGGCTGATTCGCCAGCTCCGCGAGTGCCTCCGCATCCCGACTCACCAGCGACACAAACGCTGCCAACAACGCATCCAGTGCAAAGTCAGCCTTCTCCGCCTGCTTCACGCCCGCGCCCGCAGATACGAACTTCGTCCACACCGTCCCAAAGAAGTCGTCCGCGCGCTTCGCCTTGTCCCAAAACTCCTCGTCCACCGCGAGCTTCTTCGCGATATCGAGCGCGCTCGCGCGGCGTAAGCCGATGGGAGCGTCGGGCTCGAGGCCCTCAAGGAAGTAGCCGGCCTCGTCTGCCCAGCGGCGCGCTTCGCCCTTGGAGCGCAGGTCGGTGATGGACTTCATGAGCGGGTCCATCATGTTGTCGTCGTCGGTTGGGAGGTACATGGCGTGGAGGGTCGAGTATGGGACGCTGTCAGGTTGTTCATCGGGAGGGGTGGGGTCCGCGAGGGAGGACAAGTCGAGGGGTGCGCCGGTGGGGTTTTGGGTGGGGTCGGTGGCAGCGGAGATGGGGATTGCCATGAGGAAGGAGCGCGAAGCGCCGGCGTAGGTGCGTATAGTCTTTCCTGGGTGCGGTTGGGGTTTCGCGCGTTCTGATTCGCTGACTCTGGGCGGTGAATGGGAAATTGAGGGTGTCGAGTCTGCTCTCCGCAAGGATTCTGCGCGGGGTGTGCCAGGCGTCCGGTCGAGGGCGCTCGGGGTGCTAGCCTGATGCTGAGTCGGGTCAGCCGAGTCAACCAGTATGTTTGGCATCGACTCGGCCATACCGAGGCTCTTCTGACTTGCAGACGGCGAGTCGAAGATGCTTGCATGCCCAGCAGACGAGATTGACGACTCAGTCTTCGACCTTCCTAGCATCCTTCTCGCCAGTTTCGTCGGCGATCGCGCAGCAGATTTCGGTTGCGAGGTAGAGGGCAGACATTCGGAGAAGAGGGACGAGAGATCGCGCGCTCGGGTCTTCGGACGAGCAGTGGTAGTTGTCACTTTGCTGGAGGGTTTAGAGGCTCTGAATGATGAAGGAGCCTTCTTCGTAGTATGTGGTGGATGGTCGACGTCCATAGGGGTAGACTTATCTGCCTTCACGGAAGAAGGGGAAGATCGAGAGGACTTCGGCGTAGAGTCCTTGAGCTGTGTTACGGACTTCTGCACGGGTTTGGGAGGAGAGGTTTGCGTGCGACGAAGGGGGGAAGGTGCAGCACTGGATTGTAGAGGTTTGGCAGGTGCGCTCCCTGACGCGGCTGAAGAATGCCCATCAGGAACAGGCGCCTGGTCGTATGTGAGCAAGCGGGACGATGAAATGGACCTGTCCTCACACCTTTGCTGATATCTTCGTTGTCGAAGGCTTGCTTGATTCAGCGATTTTGGGCAATGTACGTGTCCCCTGTACGCGAGGTGCAGAAGTGGCAGGCGCGTCTACTCCATGCGCGCTCCCTCCTGCGCGTGTCGAGGTGGCCGCCGACTGCAGCATGTCAGCACTTACCCACAGCAGAGCACACAGCTTGCGCACCTTCACAGCAGCCAATTTCCCTGCTTGCTGCGACCCCTCTGAAGCCGCGGGCCGCTCCGTCGGCGAAGGGGACCCATCACTGACGACCTCGACCTCGATCCGCCGCTTCTTCTTTGCGCGAGAAACGGTGCTGTCCGTCGACTGGGGTGTCTCTACGTTCGGTCTCTTCGCCGCGCCACCGTTCGCTTGCTGCGGGATCGTTACACTCGCCTTCTGCTTCACAGCTGTCTGCGTCGTCGTCGCACTCCTGCGAGTATAGAGCTTCGGTGGGGCCATGACTGGCTATCCCGGAGTGATAAGAAGATATCTGTGTAGCGGAGAGAAAAGGCGTCGCAGTTATAATCCTCGCGTTCAGCCCGGACGCGAGGTGTCGGGGGTAAATGAGGTGTGACGACAAGACGCGCTACGCGACTGACGCCCATGACCACGTGGAAAGCATGGGGGGGACAAACAACGGCTCAAACGACCAAACGAAGCTGGAGTCCTCAAGATATCATGTTGAAGATGTCAGCAGAAACTACGTAGTATACAGTATTATACATTGTTTTGTTGCTCATGGAATGGCGATGAGAACCTGTCGAGACGTCAGAATACTGCGTGAAGATGCCCTGTTCTACTCACCGCGGAAGGCGTCAAGCCGAGGTCCCGCAACGACTTCGACATATCCGCTGCACTGAATTGTTTCCTGTGGCAACGTGAGCGATGTGGGTTGGTATACAGCAGTACCGCAACCGTACCTCGGGAATGTCTGTGTGAACGTCACCGTATCGACATGCACGTCGAGAGTCTGCGCCGCAAGGAACTCCGCCACCGCGCGCAAAGCTATCAAGAGTACGCGTTAGCAAGATCATCCGAGCCCCCTCTTCATCCTCCCACCAGCCTCCTCCCCCCTTCTCCGTACCCCGCCTATACTCACGCGAATCACTCGGCAGCGTCGTCGTATACTGCCCACCCGTCGACATTCGGATCTGCAGCCTCGTCTCCTTGTAATCCTTGCCGGCCACGCCAGCTTGCGCGGGCTTCGCGGCAGCGGTAGGGGCGGAAGGTCCAGCGGGGGTATCGACGATGGGCCTGCCCTCACGCAGGGCTTTCTCGCGAGCGGCCTTCTCGGCGCGCGCCTTCTTGTCGGCTTCGATTTGGGCCTTGATGGCGGCACGAGCTTTCTGGTCCTCAATCTTCTCTGGTGTAAAGTGTAAGCATAGGGAGATGGCGCTTAAAGGCAAATATTTACCTCGACGCTTCGCCTCCGCTTCCTTCTGCGCCTCCTTCACCTTGAGCTCTTCTCGAATCTTGTTGAGGTCCTATATAATTGCGACGCATGTCAGTCGACGTGGACGCAAACAGAGCAAGGAAGATGTACCTTGCCTGCCTTTCGACGGATAGCATCGTTCGCCCTATCTTCTTTCTCTTGTTCCTTCGCCTTCACAGCCCGTTTCGCGGCCATCTTCTCTCGCAACTCCTGAAGACGTTGCGCCTTCTCTTCTTCCGTCAAAGGCTTAACCTGCACATAGTGTCGGCATTCGTGTGGCGCACAGCAGCGACAGATGCACGCACCTCCTCCGTCGACTCCTCAAACTGGTCGTGTCCACTCTTCTCCGCATGATAGTTTGCAAGTGCCGTGTTCTTGAAGATCTTGCCGCAAAGCGAGCACTTGATGCTCTATACCGATTATCAGCTTCCTGTATGCCTGGAGCCGCAGAGCAGGCCACTAAGTACGCACCTTCGCCTCGGCTGTGTCCACGTTAATCCCCGCCGCCCTCAGCGCATCCGCGTCGTCTTCATCGACGTCCATCGCGTCGCTCGGGCGAGAGGACGCCTGCTCCTTCACAGCACCCAGATCCGGAACAGGCTCGCCCTCATGTGCGAGGATATGGTCCATCGCGGGCTGCAGACCAGCATTTCCGGTGGCTTTGAGCGCCCCTGATGGATAGAAAGTATGCGATCTCGGTCAGCGCCAAACGCGGGGTAGGCTTTGAGAATAGTACTGACAGTCCACCCGGGCGGCGTCGAAGCCCATAGAGATGAGGGTGTCTTTGTCTCCAGCCATATCGTTGTATGACAGTAGCGAGAGATGAGAGAAGTAGAACTGAAAGGCAGAGAAGAAGGTCAAGGCTTCGCGTAAGTACGCGCGCCTGACGCGTTCATTGTACCACGTGTTCGGCGCACCGGGCCGTATCAGTCAGCTTGCGCGGCGCCGGGGCTCGCGTCATGCACTGGACGCTCACCATGTTTCCCTCACTTTCCAAGCTTGTTCTATACCCTCATCTCCCTCGACATGGCAGATAATCTTACGCTACACATCTCGCATCGCGGGACCACACATTCACTCAACCTACCACCCTCAACGACCTGGCATGAGCTGCAGACCGAGCTCGAAGGGCTGACAAGCGTCCCCCCTTCGAATCAGAAGTTGCTGGGGAAGGGGGTGAAGAAGGGCGTTACGCCGAATACCTCGCTAGCGGATGTCGGTTTGAAGGATGGCGCGAAGCTTCAGATGCTGGGTTCGACCGCTGAAGAGCTCGGCGGGATGCACGCTGTGGAAGACGAGAAGGCACGGCGGGAGCGCATCATGCGCGAGCGCGAGCTCAAGCGGCCTGTATCAGTACGTACCAATATCACTGCGCAACTACTCTTCTCTTACCCTCTCCCCAGGTCCGCAACACCTCCACCGCCTCCGCCTCCAACCTCTCCTACCGCTTCCACCAAATCGCACCTCTCCCCCACCTCCCACGGCTCGATACCGCGCGCGCCCTCCTCCAGCGCCTCGCCGACGACCCCGCCATCCGGCACGTCATGCAGCGCCATCGCTTCGCGGTCGGGCTGCTCACCGAGCTCGCGCCGCACGAGCACCCTAATCTCCTGGGTTTGAACGTGAACAGGGGTCAGGAGATCAAGTTGAGGATACGGACGGATCGGTACGATGGGTTCAGGCTGTATTCAGACATCCGACGTGTGCTGTGCCATGAGCTGTCGCATAATGTGCATGGTGATCATGATAATGATGTACGTAGGCTGGCTTTGTCGTTTCGTATGCTGAATGCTGATATTTCCAGTGCAGTTCAAAGAACTCAATTCCCTTCTTAACCGCGAAGTTGCTCAATTCGAGACATCTCGTGCAGACGGCGCACATCGTCTCGGTGGCGCAGGGGACTTTTACCAGCCTTCGTCGGAGCTGGAGGCCGAAGCCCAAGCCTACGTGCTTGGTGGGAAGACCGGGACCTCCACACCACTACCGAATGAGACGCCGGAGCAGCGTCGCGAGAGGATGCTGCAGGCCACCATGTCACGGTTGAAGAAGGAGGAAGAGGAGCTGGAGCGAAGTTGTGGGACGACGGGCTCGTCAAGTTGAACCCTATTGCGCTTGCATAGAAGGGCTGTAGACCACATACCATACCATACCATACTTTTTCATTGGATAACTGATGGACTCGAGCTGTATATCTTTCTTACTGTGGCCGTGAGGCTCGGTAGCGCCGTGCCCATTTTGTGGCAACGACGTCAGTGAACTGTGAACATGCCCACCGGGGAACCGGCCCGAATGCCCTCTCATCGTCCCGCCACCACTAGTGGGTGACTAAACCAGGTTCATGCACATAGGCGCCTCACTAGCACACGTTTCTCATCCTGAGCATCTGCGGCATTGATTTTTGAAGGAATAGCGCCATCCGTTACCTACCCGGCCTTGTCATGACAGCTGCAAGGCCTCGCATACTCGACGTGCTTCCAGAGGATGTCCTACTCACTGTCTTCGGTTATCTATCGCTGGATGATGTCTTGAAGATGCGACAGGTAATTGAAATCTGTCGTTCTGCATCTACTCCATCCAAACATTCTCTTAGGTATCGTCCGCGTTCGGGGCCCTCACCCATGCCCGCGGTCTGTGGACTGACCTCCTCCACCGATATGTTATCAGCGAAGGTCTCCCAATACCTAAATTACAAGACGAACTCCAAGGTGATCCTATTGACCTACGCACCACTATCCCCGATACCCTGGACTCTGCCGCTCTCGAAAGCTGCATCCGCCGCGCCCTCACTCTGCGCCGCGTGTGGACCTCTCCATCGCCCACACCCGCGCGCCATCTCATCGTGTCCGTTGAAGAGGAAGGTCTCGAGTCTTCCGCCTGGCGCATCGTCTCCCTCCGCTTCTGCGGGCACTTCCTCCTGTCGGTGTCTTTCACCAGCGTCTCACCGCCGGAGCGCGAGCGCTTGCCTCTGGTGTTCCGCTCGTGGGATCTGCGCCAGCGAAAGCCGAGATGCGTCTCGTCGATGTACGTGCCGTTCCGGAGTAGCTTCAAGTGGAATACGGGGTTGGGGAGAGGATGGGACGATCCGGTGCTCGCGGTCGTGCCAGCCTCAAATGTTGAGTGAGTAGAGTTTGATTTATATGATGATGAGCCTTCAATGAATCATCAGGACGAAGTTCTATGGCCTTGATACGGATGGGGCATTTCAGCTAATGTCTACGGACGCTACCACCGATGACTTACGTGCATTTCATGGCACGACGGTCCTCACTCGGCAAGGCATGGGTGACACATGTATCTGGGATATGTGCGACACCCAATTGCGCTGTGTATTGAAGAATCCTCAGTCGGAGCAGGTATGTTGTCTCATTTGTGACAAAGGTGGTGTAGAGGACGAAAGCAACGCTCATCTTGTTTTCCAAGCCGGAAACCTTCGTCACGACGCATCTGCACGGTCGCTTTCTATTGATCGTCTGGACCCGTGCACTGCAGATTTTCGACATCTCGGGGCCGCATACGCCAGACAAAGACGGAAAGCCTCCCATCGTCGAGCCTTTAGCCCACTGGCGCTGGCCATGGCCCATCGACAGTGCCCGCGCCACCACATTTCGCACCAGCCTTGTCGCAGACGAGCCTCCCCCGTTCCACATATTCCTCCGCTTCTCCTCCTTCCTCCCCTGGCCTGTCAACATGCTCCATCACTATCTTCTGTCTCCGAGCACCGAGCCCGACACGCCTGCGTACCCACTACATCCGCGCGCCGTCGTCTCCATCCCCTCGCACGTGCGGCTGTTCTCCGTGAGCGATATGGCGCTGGGACCGTATGGCGCGGCGGTGTGGATCGATAGCGCGACAGAGGACGAGGACACGGGCAAGCGCCTGGCGGGTACGATACTGCAGGAACCGTCTACGAAGGAGCCGGAGGGCCATGCGCAGGTTACGACGTTCGACAAGACGTCGTCGAAGGGGACGGAGCCGTGGTTGCATGTGGAGGTGGACGATGAGGAAGGGAGGATTGCGGTGGCGTCCTTCGGCCAGTTCGAGTTGTATGAATTTATCTGAATCATTCTGGAGAGCTGTTACTTGGGTCGAATGCCTTCACGCTATCATTACCTAGAACCTTTAGAACCCCTCATCAGACTCCGCCTCCGACTCTGTATCATCCTCATCCTCGTCCTCGCCCTCATCTTCTTCCTCCTCGTCCAGCTCCTGCAGAATCCGGCTAACTCTTTCTGAAGACGACGTGTTGATCCTCTGCGACCTACGCCCTGATTCCGTGGGTACACTCCTGTCAATGAATTCGATGTCACTGTCGCTCTCGTCCTCGGCAGAGACCTTGCGTTTAGCCTTCGCCTTGCGCTTTTTTCGAGATTTGTTTCCTCCCGCACCAGTGTTCGTCGTCTTTCGTTTCGTTCCGACCTCTGCCTCTTTCTTCCCCGCCTCCTTGAGCCTTTTCTTTTCCTCCTCCTTCTCCTTTTTCTTCTGCGCTATGACCTTCTCCTCTTCCGCTACAGCCGGCTCCACAGCAAGCAGCCGCTCGAACCACACTTTGTCGTGATGATGAAACTGCAGGATGGTGAACAGCTGGACCATACGCCCGTCCAAGAACGCTTCCATGATGCCCTCCTCCGTACGAACGATAGGTCGGTATGGCACGCCCTTCCCTCTAGCCTCCTTCATATTCTTCGCCTCACGACCGTCAACCGCTCTCTGACCGTTCTTCAAGTGAGCGTAGTCGTGCACCATGGTGTCCAGGCAGTCACGGGGAAGGCGGGCGATTTGTACGGCGTCCAACTCGCCCCACATCGTTACGGAGTAGTGGCCGCAGTAGCGCCATGCGTTCGTGCGGACAAGGATGAAGACGGGGAGCAGGCGATCTGTGTGTACGTCATCAAATGCAACGCCTTGCTGGCCGACGTCTGGGAGCTGGGGATTCCATGTGGGGTTGTATGTTGCGCTGCAGTTGGTGAGCAACTTATGACGCAGTGTTGTTACGAGGATTTACTTACTACCAGTCTGGATGATTCGGCTGCCTGCTGTGATGATATGTTTCCTGAAACCCACCCCCGAAGGCCTACAAAGTTGCACGGTCAGCGAAGGCATGAACTGCAACTGGCTGATATACTCACTCTGGATAGCATTCTTCGCGTGAACGTCTTCCTGTGTCGCGGATCCATCACCTCCATAGTGGGGCCCAATCGCAATCTGCGCAAGTCCCAGAGCATGTCCCCGTCCTCCGGCTTCGTCAGAATGACCTGGCGGAACTTGATTGGGTTCCCCTGCGCGTCGTTCCCCTTGACCGAGATACAGCCCAGCACTTCGATGTCATCAACGATATCTTCTGAGTGCGAATCTGAGGCTGCACCATTTTTTGGTGGTCTGGGCACTGACGTTTGCGGCTAGTGCAGGTTAGCGGGGATGCCGATGGCTTGGCATAATTGCTCACCTGGGGCATTTGGAGATGCGGGGATCTTTCGGGAATGTCGACATCTGACTCAGATATTGCGAGTCGGACCGCCTGCTTCAGCCTCTCATTCTCAGTACGAAGTTCTGCGTTGGCCTGGTCTTCTTCTCTAACCAAGTATTCGGTTTCTTCAAGTATCCAACCGCGCTCTTCCTCCCACTGAGCCGCGCTCAATCGCAACTCATCTTGAAGCTCAGCTAAATTTCGTCGCAATAGCTCAATCCTGCTGCTATCCTGCGATGGCCGAAGGGAAATGGGTTCAAATTCCGCCTTGACGACCGTGAGAGGATACGCGGTACGGAGCGCAGTCATAGCGTCGAGTGACTGTACCAGAAATCAGACCCCTCTGGTGAGAGGGGAGTAACGCGAAGATACGGCTTGACAAGAACGGATGTGGAAGTTGTTGACAGGGAACAAAAAGCTGCCAGCCTGCCGCGCTGTAATGATAACCGGCAATCATACTCTAATTCCCCGGCTATCAAACACATCTCGCCGGTGCCTCTCACGATGTCCTCTCACAACTTCCTGAATTTCCCCTGCATCCACACCCTATACATCTTCAGCTTCCGTTTCCTGTTCACGATAAGCCGCCGATCCACGCCGAGCTGCTCGACGTTGAACATGGGCTGCGGCGGGCAACCCGGGAGCGGCGAGAGGAGGTTGGGATGGACTTGACTGGGTAAGGCGGGCTGCTCCTGAGTGAGGAAATTGGGTTGGGCGGAGGTAGCGGGGATAGGGTAAGGAGGTGAGGAAGGAGAGTCGGTAGAGCTATCCGGCGCCGTTGCGTCGTTTGTTAATTGAGGCGATATCATGTCGGGCATCGCCGCCTCTGTGCTGGGCGTCCCTCGCGCAGGGGAGTGTACGCCTGGCGAATCTACGCCGTCGTCGTCCCCGGTTTCATCCACTATCTGAAGCTTCGACGTCGTCTTCTTCGACTCCTCGAGACGAGCGCCAGTGAACATAAGAGCAAGTTCATCTGTAGAATAAACTTAGCTTCGTTATACAACGGCGAAGTTTCGTCTACGCTCACCAAGCTCGAAGAAGTACACCCGCGTCTTGTCGCCACGTATGTAGAAATTCTCGTCGAGCATCCTGCCGCTCTTGAAGCGTAGCTGCGCAAGGTCGTACCGACCATAGTCACGGAAGAGTGCGAGGCCACCCGGTTTGAGCATCTGCGGGCAGCAGTTGAGCGCCAGACATGATAAAAACAAGATCAAGGCCCGTGTCGCTCACCCTCTGTATATTCCGCATTGCCTTACACCATTCATCGGGATGCAACGCACTCAAGACGAAGATCAATGTGACGAGATCGACGCTGCCTTCCTCGATGTCGTCAGGCAGGTCATCGGACGTTAGGTCCCAAGGTTGGGCATGTATCGACCCCAGCGGCGGGTCGAGGTAGAGCTCGCTATGCTGAAGAGAAGGCAAGTCAGCTTACGATTACGAGAAAAGCGGATCATAGTCAGGGATTTCATTTTGACGATGCACATACCTGGACGACTTTGACCGCATGATGCGAGTAATCGTATGCTCGAAGGTCCAGGTCCGGATTTTGGTTCGCGGATAAAAGGGGGAAGATGGCGTTTCCGGCGCCTACACAGTAATGCGTCAGGTTGACGCCGGGGCCGCGTGCAGTAGTGGTCCTTACCGCAGCCGACCTCGACTATGCGTTTTGGCCCCGCCTAAAGGCGCGTAAGATAGGCAGAGAAGGCTATAAACATTCATCACGAACCTCAGGCTTGGTGGCCTCCAGCAATTCTGAAGCAATGATCCGTCAGGTCCAGATGGATGCGCTGACACTGCCGATACGGTAAGGGCTTGCATAAATTGGTAGGGATAGACTACACACATATTTATACCTGGGAATTCGTTCTGCATCCTATCAGATGAGTTAGCGCACCCTCATTCATTTGAGGCGCAGATATTCCCTGCCACACCATTTTCTGTCCTTGAAGAAGTTGTCGGCGTTGTTCTTATAAAAGTTATCCCTGAAGAAGGTCAGAAAATTGGTGTTGCTGAAGCTGTGATGAGCGCACCAATGCTTTGAAGGCCTGCCGTTATATTTTTCCTTTTCTTCCTCGGGGACGGGTGCAGATCGCTGTTTGGCTAGGGAGGCGGCGACTCGTTCCGCTTGATCATCAGGCGGAGGTACCTTGGCTCGTCAGTTTCGAATAGCATCATCTTACCTGGACACTTACATGGTCCCAAGCATTATGCTCCCATACTTGACCCTCGTCGGTAAGGAACCTGAGCGATAGATTCTTAGATTCCACTGAATTCTCGCCGTGAAAAGAAAATACCTAGATCCAAAGGGAGGCAGAGGTTTCCCTGCATCGTGCACCGATGAGGTCGTTTTGGGTTTCTGCGCTGGCTCTGGGGCGGCCATGTCGGTGGCGAGTGACAAGTTGAACTTCAGTCTCCGGTGATGGATCAGACCGATCGCCCATCGGCCGGACCAACCGGCGCGCTGCGCCGCGAGCGCTCCTGCGCATGCGTCGGACGCAACGTTCCTTGTCTTCGCCGTCCATGGGTATCTACTAAAGCTGTCTGCTACTCTCCTTGCGCCTCAAGTCGAGATATCACTGGATTCTTTGGATCAGCAATGGCCGGCTCGCCAAACGCGCCTGGCGACGCGGATCTCCAGGTTCTGTACGACGCGGTATGGAAGGCGTATGTCGAAGACCCGCAGGAGAGCTCGTCCGCGAGCATCAATGGGGAAGTAAGGGCTGCCTCGGTCTCCAGCAGTGAGTAGTACCTCTTCTGCGTATGGTCATACTCATCCTGAACATGGGATCGCGGCATTCAGTCAACCACTCCATCAACGGTGAACAGCGGGAACCTACCGCATCGCCCTCACAGTCGCACGCAAGTGGCGGACGCAGTCGGAGACCTCTCCCTCCAACGCCTGGCTCTTCCTCAAGCGGTCCGCCTCCGAAGCCGCCTATCATGAATTTCGATAACGGGTCCAAAGCAAGCCACGAATCGTACGTGTCGTTTCAGTCTGGTGTGCGCCCTTCTCATACATCTCAGGGCACCTCTACCCTACATGAACGGGCGCGCATCCCCCCGCTCAACGCTCACGCGCGGCCCCTCTGCTACTTCCAATCAGTCGATGCTGGCGAGCTCCCCTCTGGCCAATACTCCATCACCCTCGACGCTATACGATGTACCGGACGAACCTTCACCATCGTACATTGATTCTATAAGCGCTCCCCCTCCTCCCCCTGCTGTTGTTGCAGCATACAATCCCATGCTAGATTTGGCTCCGGGCGTATCGGCGGAGACAAATGATGCATACGCCCAGCTGGTCGCCACACCTGACAGTGTGCCTGCGAGTGCGTATTCATCTTGTACTTGCGCTTACGCATAAGGAGCTTACCCTCACTTTCTAGATCTGCACACCCCTACTGCTGCCTACACGGGCGCTCCCGATTATGCTCACGATAGTCAGCCAATCGCAGGACCCAGTAACATTCAGCGCGGGAACTCAACAACTTCCTACGGCACTCAGTCTCAATACCAATCTGACTACGCCGGTCCATCCTCTGTCCCTGCTCCGTATAGGCACGCAACCGTCGACCTCAACGATATCGCACAGTTTGACGGTGGCGTCAACGAGGAAGAGCTATTCGAAGAAGACCTTGAGGACGAAGACGACATCAGCTTGTTCGTCAACTTGTCTCTGCTTTCTCACTTGGCTATGCGCCTGCGCGACAAGGTGCCGCGAGGCACGCACGTCAAGGGCAGCATACCATACCCGCGAGCATTCACGGGCAAAGACATTGTGGTAAGTCAACGCTGCCGCTCAGGTCGGGGTTGCGGCTCACGTGCATCTGCAGTCAGCGATTCAGTCGTCCATTCAGCGGGAATTGGCGATTAACCATGGCGTATCGACAAGCGATAGACGAATAGCCTTGCAGGTCGCGCGCAGCCTCCAGAACCAGCTCTTCTTTTACGAGGTCGAGTGGGGAGGGCGCGAGTTGCAGGATGGAGTGGAGGATGTGTACATGTTTCTCGACGATGCCGAAGGTCCTTCGAGTGGTGGCCTTGAGCGCGCAGAGCTCCCGACAGGCGTCGTCACGATGCTCACAAAGTGCTACTCACCGAGTTGCGGGGAAGATACCCCTTGCTATTGCTATTCCTGTCCTCGGAAAGGGGCAGCCTTCACTGGTATCGTGCCAGAGTCGACTACAATGAGCACTGCATCATCAGAATGGCCCAATACGGTCGCGCCGGAGGTCCTTGCATCATTACCCGACAGCGAGATCAACAGGCAGACGTGAGTACTCAATACGATACACTTCACTGTCGCTGACGAGGCCCTCAGCATCATCCACAAGCTGATCAGCAAAGAAGAGCAATATGTTCACGACCTCGACACCGTCGACCGCGTCTTCATCCGCCCTCTTCGCAATGCCAACCCACCCGTTATCCCCAAGCACGAAGTCGACGACTTCATTGACGATGTCTTCGGCAATATTCTCGACCTTCGAGAATGCAACAGGCGCCTGCTCGAAGTCATGTACGTCCGACAACGCGAGCAGGCCCCAGTGGTGCAGCGTATAGGAGACATCTTCCTTGATGCAGCAACGGAGTTTCGACTGGCGTATCCTATATATGCCGGTCATCATCCGATGGCAGAGAAGCGACTGAAGGAGGAGCTTGAGCAGAACGGCGCCTTCCGTCTGTGGATAGAGGTAAGCGCCACACAGAAGCAGTCGTGTGTAAAGCTCACATTCGAGCAGGACCGTGAGCGACAAATAGGGCGGGACATCGATGGTCCCAGGCTTGACCTCAAGCATCTCCTCAACCGACCTGTCGAGCACTTGCAGAAGTATCCTGTCCTCCTCGAGGCTATCTGTCGGGAAACCGCGGATGGGAACCCTGACGGCGAGTTCCTGATGGAATCCGTCAAGGCAATTCGAAAACTGCAAGCCGTGGCGCAATTGCGGTCCTTCCAGCTTGCCATGGGCCGCGGCGTGACGGGCAAGTGGGAGTGGCATGATCTGGTGACGACCGAGTATCGGAAGTCATTGACGAAGGACGAAGCCAAGCGACAAGCGTAGGTTGCTAACCGCAAGTGCACTTCGAAGTACTGACGTAGACCTCTAGCATTATCTTTGAGCTCATAAAGGGCGAGATGGCATATGTGCGCGACCTGGAGAACATCGAGCACGTGCGCAGCGCTGTCGCAACTACTACTAAATTATGCTGACTTGCGCCGCAGATGTACATCCGCCCCCTTCGCGAGGCCGACCCACCAATCATCCCCCCAGAGCGTCTGAACCAGTTCATCCAGGATGTCTTTCACAACTACTCGGAGCTCCTGTACCACCATCGTCGACTCATGGAGCATATGCACGAGGTGCAGCGCGACGAGCATCCTCGCATTCGCAGCATCACTGCATGCGTCTTCGACGCGGTGCTCAACTTCCGGGAAGCGTACATTGAGTATATTCCCAACTATCCCATTGCGGCGTACCGCATCGACGACGAGATGGCAAACAACCACAACTTCAAGGCTTTCGTGGAGGTATGCACCTATCTGTTGGCTTCTCGTTCAAGGCGTGCTCACGGAGGGTATCACAGGCAAGCATACGGCACCCTGAGTCGCACAGGTTGGACATGAAGAACTTCATCAACCGGCCGATTCCTCGTTTGCTCCGCTACGAGCTTCTGCTGAAGAACATCCTGGACGAGACTCCGCCCGGGCATCCCGACAGAAACGACATTCCTCAGGTCCTCGAACTCATAAAGGCTTTGGGGAAGGAGACCGAGCCGGGTGTTATGTCGGCAAAGCAGAAGGTCGAGCTCTGGCGGTATGCAAACAACCTGGTATTCAAGCCCGGTGAAGCAGTGGTATGTCTACAAGTCGTCGTGATAGCGAGTGAGCGTTGACCAATGTCTTTATAGGATATGGATCTAAAGGATGATAACCGGTCGCTCATCCATTGCGGCAAACTTCTTCGCCAGCCAGATAGTAGTATACCGGGAAACAACTGGACAGAGTTGTTTGTCCTCGTCTTCGACAACTACATGGTCATGACCAGGCCGAAGGAGTCTAAGGAGAAAGAGGGAATGACAAAGTATCACGTCAACCGCAGGGTGCGCCGTTGTTCTCTCGCGCTCTGTAGCCCGCGCTCATCCTCACCAGCCCATCCCCCTCGACCTAATGACCCTCGTCAACTTCACCGATCCCCCCACTCAACGCAGCACCGGCCTCCTCCGCAACCTCCGCGGCGGCGGTGGCACCCACGCCACCGACCCCGCCGTCGTCCCAAGCGCGCACCGCGGCTCCGACGCCACCGACTCCCGCTCCGTCTTCCCCTTCACCATCCACTACAATGGTCGCCTCGGCGGTACGCTCATCCTTTACGCCGAGTCGCAGCAGGCGCGCCAGGAGTGGAGGCAGGTGCTGGAGGAGGCGCTCGGCTTGAGGGCGGTGGTGCAGGAGTCGAACAAGGTGTTCGAGATTGAGACGTTGAGCACGGATACGTTTTTGGTCCCCTCGTTGATCTCGTCGGCATCACCGGCGTGGAATCATGAGGCGTCATTGACGGGGAAGGTGACCTGTTCGGTGCCGTTCAGTGCGTGCAAGGCTCTTTGGACGCTGAAGGCATTCTGACCCAAACCTCAGACACCCTTGATAATCGCGCGCTAGTCGCAATCGGCTGTGAGGAGGGCGTGTGGATCGGTTATCGGCATGATTCCAAGTGTATGTTTTTTTACCTGCTGGGCGCCTTCCGCCGACTGAACTCCTCTCCAGCCATGCGACGTGTACTTCACTTAAAGATGGTCTCGCAGATGGCGATGCTGGAAGACTTCGGACTGTTCCTGGTTTGCGCTGATAGGGTAAGCCGCATGAGACCTCTCGTCTGACTTCTTGCTGATGAGGTTGTATGGTAGTCGCTATTCGCATACCACATCGAGGCATTGGTGCCCTCCTCTCCCCACAGCTCCAACGCCTCGCAAACACCCCAGAAGCTCAACGGCAGCCGCGAAGTCTCCTTCTTCAGCGTCGGCATGCTCCACAACCGCACTCTCGTCGTCTACGTCAAGCGCAAAGGCGTGAACAGCAGCAACTTCTACATCCTCGAGCCCGTCATCGAGCGCATCAACGAGAAGGCGAAGACCGCGGCGCCGACGAACTTTGGCAACCTCCTGGGTCGCAAGACGCAGAAGATGGACTGGTTCCGGTCCTATCGCGACTTCTCGATCCCCGCGGAGGCGTACGATCTTATATTCCTGAAAGCGAGGATTGCGATCTTGTGCTCGAAGGGCTTTGAGATTATGGATATCATCAATGAGTGAGTACCAAGGCTGGTGTGCGATTGGGCGTGGCTGATAGTCTGGTGTGCAGCTTGAGCAGCGTGTCTATCCCTGCTCGTGATGACATGCGGTTGGCGAACCTGACCAGGCGACTCGACTCGTGCAAACCGATGGGCATGTTCCGCTGCACGGACGACGAGTTCTTGCTTTGCTATGACGGTACGAAGGGCTGATCCCTGTGTGGCGTCCGCTAATTCTCCTCTCCAGAGTTCGGCATCCACGTCAACAAGCACGGCCAACCAAGCCGCACAAGCAATTCCATCGAGTGGGAGGGAACCGCCGAGCGCGTGGCCTTCCATCCACCGTACATCCTGCTCTTCGACACGCGCTTCATCGAGATACGCCACGTTCAGACCGGCCTTCTCGCGCAGGTCATCCCAGGGAACGACATGCACTGTATCTGGGACGGGCGAGGGCTCAACGCGAGCCACTACCCCATGCCCGTCGACGGGACCGACAACATGGTGCAGGAGGCGCGCGTCCACGGTGTCATGAAAGCGCCGGAACCTCCCTCCTCCCAAGGCGGTTTCCGATCAAGCAGGCCTGTCGCCCAGCATGTGTTCGAGCTGATACCTACCATCCCACTATACCTACCCGGCTCGCTGGCGTCGCCGAGCACACCCGTTTACTATCCACAGTCCTTCTCTCCACCTCGTTCGCCTCCACTCCAACCATACAGGGGGTGATTGGGGTGCACTACATATTGGCTTTGCTCTGCTGGTTCGAGGGGTATTTACCTATTATTATTACTTGCATTCTGTACGCACTCTTCTCTGTAGCAACATTGCTTTGCATTGCTTTCCTATTGACAGTCACCTCGGTGCGAGCTGGCGGACGACAAGAGCAAGGAGGTAGGACGCCAAGTGGCGGCGTCGAGAATGCCACGGAAAGTTCAACTTGGGTTCCGGAGGTTTCCGACTCCAGGCCCGGATTTAGAGTGGGCTTTCCTAATTTGGACAATAGCAGTCACGCCGATTTCATCATCCTTGATCCAAAGTTGAACTTGAGATCGGAATCTGCTTCCGGCGCGTAAGGACTCCAGCGTCAACACAGGAGGAACGCCCACGCCCATTTGCGCAGGACCCACCAGAATTACTTCTATCCAGCTTCCATCGTCGTTCTCAACTGCAGATTGCATTCCGAAGCTCGGAATGCCAGCATCATCGTGTGTGGAACGCTGCCTGCCCGACGTTGGACGCACCATCGGCATGGAGGTCTTGTCTCAAGCACGGCTTGACTTGTGTCCCTCTCGGCAGCAGAATTTCAACTGCAAACAGCCGTTCGGAACAGTGCCGCTCGTCATAAAGGTGGCGGGCGCTAGCTGAGCAATTCTGGTCGTTCCTCGCGCTCATCTTCCGCTGTGCTTCTAATCTTCGTGACATACACGCTGTTTCTCCTCAACTTGGCGGTGAGGTAGCGGGTCTCAGCTATTCTCTTGAAGCTATAAATCAGCTGGCATCGCGTCTTTCATTCCCCCCTCGTTCCCCTTTACGCGTCCCCTACGATGGTGCTCGATCAGAGAATATATCCCTACGGCTACATACCCACGGAATATGCCTGCATCATTTTCCTTGTGCTTTTCTCCATCTCCACTGGTGCGCGCCTTCCCTCCTTCAGCCTGTATCGATTTCACCGAAAGTCCTGTAGCCGCGCACTTGGGCCAGGCGATCTGGTACCGCATGTGGTGGCTCATAGCCACCACCGTGTTCTGTGGTATACTGGAGATCATGGGATGGGCCGCTCGATTGTGGAGTAGTAGAAATCCATCAAACCCCGATCCTTTCGAGATGCAGTGAGTAACAATTCGCTCAGCTAAGAAGTCATCGTCTAATTTCTGCTACCCAGAATTGTTTGTACCATCCTAGGTACGCTGAACGAGAACACTCCCTAGAGGCTTACTTGCTGACTGATCTCCAGGCCCAACACCCCTCCTTGCCGCCCAATTCATTATATCGGCCCTCATGATCAGCCGTCTTGGCCACAAATATAGTCGCTTCGTGCCCAAGATGTGTACGTGCACTTTCTTCCTCAATATCCTCGCACACGGCTAACATCATGCACAGACACCTCCGTCTTCTTCTGCTGTGTTCGCCTTTTCCCTCACGGATAACGATCTGTCCCTCACAAAACTCCCAGGACATCATCGCCCTCGTCATCCAAGCCGTCGGCGGTGGGATGGCTGCAACAGCGCTAGACCAGAACAAGGACGCTGACAAGGGCGGCAACATCATGCTCGGGGGTATCTGCTTCCAGCTCGGTGCGCACTTGCTATATAATTCCACACCGTTCCGACACTAACATCCTTCCTAGCCGTCATCGTCTTCTTCATTATCGTCAGCGCCGAGTATGTGTACCGCTACGCAAACGACTCTCCCGCGAAGCGCACGGGGGAGGCGGACACGCACCGCGGGCCGCTCACAATGAAGATGCTCTTGCTCTTCTCGAGCGTGAGCTTCGTGCTAGTGTGCTTGTTTATCCGGTGAGTCGCTGCGTCGCTCAAGTGTCCTGGTTTCTTTACTAACGACGGGCCCTCTACCAGATCCATCTACCGTACCATCGAGCTTTCCGACGGCTGGACGGGGCGCATCATCACGACGGAGGTGTACTTCAGTGAGTGCTCGTGCATCGGCCATTCATCCGCTTGACTAACCATCTCGCTCCAGACGTCCTCGACGGCACCATGATCGTCCTCGCCATGTTTGCGCTCAACTTCTTCCACCCGGGCATGCTGCTCCTCAGCGAAGCCGAGGCACAGGCAGACAGCCGCTCCTTCAAGGAGTACGCCTAGGCTTCACTACTCGGACGCGAAGATTCCCAGAGCTGGCACGCGTTAATTCCCAGAGCCAGCTCGCGTCGATCCTCGAAGTCAGGACACGTAGATATCGGCGGTCCTTTCCCCGTACACCCAGAACATTGCGCTGACCCCTATCGACTTGCATACTTACCAGTTTCGCCTCGCTGTTGTTGTCGTATCATCACTGTAGATATTGTATACCGGCCCCGCCAGAACAACTAATATGTTTGGATTACCATTTGCCGCATTGACGCCACGACTGGCAGGGCAAAGACAGCATAGCAGATTAGCGGACGAGTGAGTCTGAGCGCATAAGAGCAAGGTTACGAGCAACAGTAACATTCCCTACATAAGATCAAGGAGCAGACAGATTCACCAAGCTGGGAGCACTCATCGCGGTACACCACAACCAACAACGGCATGAGGTTATGCGGGAGGTGGTGGCGGAGGTGGCGCCTCGGAAGGAGGAGCAGGAGGTGGTGCGCTAGAGGGAGGTGCCGGAGCCGGAGCGGAAGGCTGCTGGTAGTACTGGCTAGCCTGCTGCGCCTGCTGCTGCTGCAATGACGCCGCCCAGTCCTTGAACTGTTGCGAGTTGACGTCGTAGCCATAGGCAGCCCTGCGAACGGGTCAGCGGCATGTATTGGGAGATACGAAACGGACTAACCAGTAAGCCGTGAACGCGTCGTGCCCGTTCGCGTCCAACGCACCACCAGGAGCTGGTGGGGGCTGCTCGCTGGGCTGAGGTGGTACTGCGCCAGCTGTCTGTTGCGGCATGTAACCCTGGAGCTTGTCGTTAGCACGGTTGTCCGACCGAAAATTGACATGCTTACACCCATGGCCATCGCGTTCGGGTCATAGCCTCCGTAGTGCATACCCATCGACTGCTGCTGCAGGATGGCTTGCGCTTTAGCATATTCTTGACGTACGACAAGAAGGAGGTCCTCTGCGAGTGTTTGAGCTCGTTCAATCTGACCTTGCTCGGGGCCGCTATATTGGCTAAGTCAGAGCACCTCCGAGCCAGACGCGGGGGACGTACGTGATGTGGATGTGAAGGGGCTCGTCGCTTTCGCGCCCGGTCTCCTGCTCTACGAAGCCGGAGCCAAGACCCTTGATCTGCACCCTGGTGCCAGTCTCCTGTTGAATATACTTGACGAATACACCCTGCGGCATGTTAGCAGGTGACATGCAAGAGGATGGAATCACGCACCTGAGGACCGACGACCTTTGCACGAACATTGAAGTTGCGCAGCGGTTCGAGGTTGACGGGCAGCTTGACTTCCGGCCATTTGCGCTACGTCGCGTCAGTATATTCGGGCAATATGGAAGGGATGGCACACACCCGTTCGCGCACGCGATCCTTCTTGTCCTCCACGAGGGGACCAAGGTCTGTGTTGATCAGGTCATTGATCTTGTCGACTGCCTTCTTGAGCGTCTCCTCTGTGTTCGCAGTGACGTGGAGGTACAGAGGCGGGTCCCTGTCCGTAGCCTTGCTCCTGTCGGGGTACCACACACCCTTCGTGGTGATGGAGGCGCCTGTTTCTTCGTGAATCTAACGGGGGAAGTCAGCGCGGCTCGGAAGTAAGGCGTTCGACTACGCACCTGCTGCTGCGTGGTGCCCTTCGTCAGCACGTATCTGTTCCTAACGTCGTTAATGTCGATGTCCTTCGCGAATTCGCCATCATGGGGGTCCTTGGGACCCAATAGACCGCTGGCGCCTCCTCCGGCGAACTGTGCCGCGATTTTCGCGGCGATGGCTGCTGCCGCGGCCGCAGCTTCTGACGCGGTCTTGTTGTCGTCGGTCTTCGCGACCTTAGACGCGGTTTCCTCCTCTGCTGGCTGGTCCCACTTGCGTTTGGACGACATGTCGATGGCGGGGGAAAACAGGGATGGGAAGGGGGGCCGAGGCCCCTGGCTCAACTGCCCGTGGAAGTAACGTGGCTGTGTTCCCACGCCACATCCTTCTTAGTCCCCGCCGACGACCTATTACTTCCACTGTCTCTTGTGCTTCCAGGAAAATATCGCGACTAAGCGTGTATATGTAGCCGTGCTTGGAGCTCTGGCTTAGAGTATGCAAATCGGATCGCGGACTGCGACCTGTCTCTCCTGGCGCTGCTGTAATGATGGCCGGGAATCCGGGGCGTCGCGCCAATGCAGACTTCTGCAACCTTGACAACTTGTCCCCAACCTTGCGCCTTGACTTCGCTCTCCAATTTGTGCAACGCCGACTCGGTCGACTTGACCTCTTTCTGGCGGTGATATGGCGACAAGGACGTCCCCTCGACTGCAGAGTCGTTCGGCCAAACCAAACCTCCCTGTAGCCAAAGTGGTGAACCATGCGGACCATGTGAAGGCTCTCAAGGCCCAGCTATCTCATGTCAAGGCCCTAGTCAAGAAAGAGGCCGAGCACTGGGAGGTCGAGCAAGCCCGCCTACTGCAAGAGCACGAGGAGTGGGTTCGGAAGGAGGACCAAGCTATTGCGAAGCTTCGTGCGGAAAACGAGGGCCTCGCGGCGCAGTTGGTATGTGAGGTCTCCGCCATGATCTATTGTAAACTCAGCTCTCATGCAGATGCATACGCGAGGGCCAGCAGAGCCCAGTGTTCATGACGAGCCGGGAGGTGGGTCGCAGCCTCCCGCCGCGGCAGAGCGTGAACGCAGTCGCTCTACAACACCGTCAACGGACACCGATATACCGGAAACCCCTCCGAAGCGCCAGAGACGTTCACGCAAGCGGAAGTCTCAGTTCGCAGGGCGGCCTGACGACGAGGTGGAGGAGAAGTATGAAGTGGAGATCCGAACCGTCAAGCAAGAGGAGAAGGATGGTCCTCTCATCGAGGAATTCCACAAGGTGACGCTCTCGAAGTCGGAGGACGGCAGTATGCTCTGGGATCTGAACGCGCTGGGGCTCGGCCCCGTCGGCGATGTAGGCGGCGTCTATCAGAGATCCTTCGAACGCAAGGTCGTCAGTTGGGTGAGTCGCCACGACTCTGATTACTTCTTATGCATTACCTCCTAATAGGCATTCGGAGGCGGTCATATCAGGACGCATCACAACCATAGCACCACGAACTTGGACCCATAGTGCGTAGTCTCACAGGCTATGATACCACTTATGATACTGATGTCCGTCAGTGCGACATACCACCCCAAATGGAATCCTCAGCTCCCTGGCCGCGCTGGTGCCCACGGCATTGCTTTCAGTCATGCCGTCGACGACGAGCTCCTGCCCGTCTTCGTTCGCGTCAAGTCCAATCAATGGCGCTACTGCGGCCATTACGCGACGAACATGTATGGCGATTTGGACTCGACCCAATTAGCCCGTGTGCCCCGCTCCTGCCTCGTTGCCATCGCTCGCGACTACATCGAGAAGAAATGGGGCCAGGAGTACCTCTCCGAGGTTAACGACGACTTGAAGGAGGAGGCGTTGGCGCAGGGCAAGCCGTACCGACCCGTCCAGTCGACCGAGCAAAGCATATGCGCCGCCTTTCTCGATGGACGCCTGACGATGAACTTCACCGTGCTGGAGTTCTCGCGCTACGAGCATTCGTGGTTCCAGAGGTTGCTCGACGCGGAGGCAGCCGGGCATCGCATAGCCCCCAAGCCCAAATACTTGCCGAAGCCCAAGGAACCAAAGACGAAAGCTGACCCCGACGCCAAGCCTAAGGCCAAAAAGCGTTCGAAGAAGGGCTCGACGGCAGACGCGCAGCCCGCCGCGAAGAAGCGGAAGGCGGCGTCCGGCAAGGCGGTCAGAGCGCAGGAGCAGCAAGCAAAGGGCCAGAACGATGCAGATTCGGACATTGAGATAGTTGGGGTCAAGGAGGCGCCAAAGAGGCAGTTGAGGTCGAGCAGGCGCGCTGTGAACCTTGCCTGGCTGGAATCGGATGGTAAGGAATCAGACGATGGTGGGGATGGAGGAGATTATGACGACTTTGACGAGGAGAACGATGAGGCGTAGAAAATGTCAGTATATAACAATGCCTTTGTGCCAGAAGCGCGCCAGCGACATTGATGATGCCTGCCATGATCGCCGGCCTATCAATTAGAGTGAATGATGGCCGGAAAGCTCCCGATCCCCTCTTGAACCTCGTCTATCATCAGAGGAGAGCATCGCGGATTTGGGACGACAAATTCGCCGTTCGCCGGATCGGCGAATGATGGCGAATGATGGCGAATGATGGCGATCGGTGCCTGGCGTCATTATTCTTCAGAGACTCTGTGATCTTCGCGCAGCCCGCTCACTCTTCCCAAAGAGTCCCAGCAAGAGCCCTGCCGAGCCGGCGAGCCTCTATGTTACTTTATAAAGAGTTCATTGCTTCTCAAAGACAGGGTGTCTGCCTGGAAGACGTGACTGCAGACGCGCAATACTTGCGCTCTGCGGTGCGCCCAGGGTTACTTTTGGCTAGGTGACCTCCACACAGTCCTAAACCTCTGCTCTTCCGAGAGCGCGATGCTTTCCATAGAGACGATGGGCCGGCTCATGTGCTTAAGTGAGACCTAGGCTTCAACACTGCGAAGGCCACTGACTCTTTGCAAAGACTCCTACCATGCGTCTGGCAGCTTCGGCGAGTGTCTTGACCGTCTTCCCCAAGCCCTCTGATTTTGACAGAAGTCTGCATGCGCGTGAACGAGACTAGACTTTGACTTTGCGTAGGCCACTGCCTCTTTGCAAAGATTTTTGGCGGGCGTTCGGCTGCGTCGGCAAGCCCTATGAGCCTTGCTCAAGACTGAACGTAGGGACATGCCCTCAGATCGTGCAGCGTACACGTCATGTAAGCACACAGTATTTTGTTGCTACTATGGCAGGTGGTGGGACACATATAGATGAAGTATATATCTTTTACAAGGTCTATGGGTCAGGAAGCAGTGACGGGAGTACTATGGATCACAGTAAACGATGCGCTTTGACGTGATCAGCACTCGGGAGTGACCGCGGATCACGTGAATTCGCCATCATTCGCCGTTCGGGCGAACGGCGAATTTGTCGTCCCAAATCTGCGAAGTTCTGCATCAGAGCCCTCGTCGCCTTCGCCGACATCTCAGAATAACGCTGGCAACCTGGCCTTTGACTCTACTTTCTCGCGCGAGCAACGATGGTCAAACTTCCAAAAGACGGAGGTCATGCTCAATTCGCTGTGGCGCGAATGAACGCTCTGAAGGCGGAGCTTCTGCGAATTGGAGAGCAACTTGACACAGTGATACGCACTTGGGAGGAAGAGAAAGAACTTCTGCAGACGTGGAACGAGGCCAGCGCTGCAGAAGCTCGTGCAATGGAGGAGCAGCTGTTGCAACTCATCGTGCGTATCACCACTGCCCCTCGACGTTCTGTCCCTGAAAGTTCACTGTAGGAGATGCGGGAGGAGGATGAGGCCGCGAGTCATTCTCCGGACGAAACCATCGAGGTATGTCCAGACAGCGCTGCAGCAGCTTGTTGCGTACCAATTCAGGCTCAAGCTGAACGACTCTGTTCGCAATGACAAGGCTGGTGCACCCGTCAAGGGCGAAGGCGGCAACACTAGCCTCTCCACCTCCGCCCCTCTCAGCCCCTCCCATACCCCTCCGCGTGTCACTCCGGCCCCCTCGGATGCACCCGGCCAGCAGCTATCGAACGGTCGCAACAGCGAACGCGCCGACTCGCCGCCCACCCAGTTCGACGGCAGACCCGATGATGAGGTCGAGCAGAAGTATCGAGAGGAGATTGCGGGCAACACGACGAAGCCGAAAGTGAAGCGCAATAAGCAAGTGTCACAAGAGACTGCCACGGTCTCGGTCACTATCAAGCAGGAGGACGACGACGGGATCGAGCACGAGGAGTTTATCGAAGTCACTCTCACCAAGCCGGAGAATGGTGACACGCTTTGGGACCTCGATGCATTGAAACTGGGCCCTGTCGGCGATATACCCAATCCTTTACACCATAGGTTTTTCAAGCGCGAGGTCGTGAGCTGGGTAAGGTCACGACCTCGTCTATTGGGTATATACCGCTCACGTACTGCAGGCATTCGGAGGGAGCCACCAAAGTACATTCCCTAATGCCGGGAAAGAGAATGATTAGTGGGTACTTGACATGTGTATTGTATGCAGAGCGACTGACGAGCTCATCAGTGCTGCATATGTTCCGGATTGGAATCCCCAACTCCCAGAGGGCCCCGGGCAACATGGTATAGCGTTTGGAAATGGCAGCGTTGGCTCAGAGAAACTGCCCGTGTTTGTTCGAGATAAGCAGCCCAATGCGTGGCGCTATTGTGGACACTACTCGTGCAGGAGGCATGGAACACTGGATCCCTCTCAAATGGCGCGTATACCTCGGCGCTGCCTTGCAGCCATCGCTCGCGATTATGTTCGTAAAGAGTGGGGTCGCAGGAGGGTCGCACATTTGGACGCGCAAAATGCAGCGGATGCTCAGCGCGAGGGCAACCCTTACGAACACATCGTTCTGACGGAGCAGAGCATCACGGCGGCCTTCCTCGATGGCCGAATGATCATGTCCTTCACGATCCTCGAGTTCCACCACTTCGACGAAAGCTGGTTCCAACAGCTCCTCGACGCGGAGAAGGCCGGACATCGTATCGCTCCCGAACCTCCTTCAGCGAAACGCAAGAGCTCACAAGGACCCGCGCGACCCCGGAAGAAGCGTAAAGCACCGGCTAAGAAGGCTGCCCCGGCCGCGCAGGATAGCGATTCAGAGGTGGAATATCTGGGAATGAACGCGCCTTCCAGTTCGCAGCCATTCAGACGGTCACTGCGTTCGGGAAATGGGAGTACCACCGAGCCGATGGTGCTGGAGGTGTCGGATGAGGAGGACGAGGACGAAGAGGACGAAGAGGAAGAGGATGACCAGGGATTTTGACTGGTAGTACCTGACGAGATATGATCACTTGGTTGTGTCCCAGAACCGTACGCAAGTCTATGGACAAAGGCTAGGGTCGTTGGTCAGTCAGTACGGTAGCAGGAGACGGCCATAAAGCTATAGTCCCCTGACATCATCGGGATCAGTTCGCGAATCTTCACGATTCGCGTGACGTAGCGAAGTCTAGACGCGTCGTGCGCGGCGCGCCGCGGCGATGGACGTCTTCCGCGTTTACTCCCGACCACCATCTTCCCGTTTCTCCCCTTAGCTCGCGATCATGTTGGGTCGTCTCCCCCTCCGGAGAGCAGCATCTACGTTGATAGCGAACGCAACCTCACCCTCAAGACGAATCGCGGTCCCACCAGGACGGATCTGCTGCTGCTGTCGCACTTTCTACTCTTCGCCACGACGATGGAGCGAGCAGAAACCCCCTGTCGATGCAGACAAGAAGAACGACGGTGGGAAGGACGAGTCAAGCAGCGCGGAACAGACAAGTAGATCAGATGACAGCAGCCGATCTCAGGAGAACGCAGAGACGAAGGAGAATCCGGGGAAGTCTGAGAGTGGCGAAGCACCCCCGCCAGAACAAGGGCCTGATCCCAAGCAAGTGCCTACAGTGGTGATCATCAATGTGCGGAAGGCGGCGAGGTTCTGGCTGTTCTCTGCGCTGGGTGTCGGTGCCCTGGGCTTCGCATACTACTTCAATCAGTGCGTGATACCCTCTCCTATGCTACTTCACCGTTAACCTGTGTCCCAGCCTTGACAGGGTACCCGAGACCGGTCGCATACGATTCATAAACGTCAAGCCCGAGACGGAAGAGAAGGTGCATATCCCCTACGCAGACGACCCTAAAGCCATGGTCATCGTCATATCCACTCCCTCACCATCCCAATCCATGACTTTTCACTCACACGACCCTCCCTGCATAGCTTGCGAAAGTCATGCGCGACACCGCCTACGCCCAGTTCAAGAATAAGATCCTCCCCGCCGACCACCCGCTCGCCTCACAAATCCGCGGCATCGTCTCCCGCATTCTCGACGCCAATCAGCTGGGCCGCCTGAGAGACCAGCCCTTGTCGGATGGCGTATCACTGGACGACTGGAGCGGAAGCACTGGTAACAGCACGGGTAATAAGGATGGGGAACTATGGAACCCCGACCTCGTCGAGGCGGATCCGTACGCAGCCACGTCGTCGACTCCAAGCTCGGATAAGGCCCCTGGCGAGTGGGATGTCATCGTGGTGAACGACAAGCGATTCGTCAACGCGTATGCGGACATTGGTGATTCGAGCTGCTATGTTCCTTAGGAACGTCTCATACTGATACCTCTATCGCGCAGGCCTAGTCGTCATTGGCACCGGCTTCCTTCCCATCTGCCAGAATGAGCAGGGTCTCGCCGCTGTTCTGTCTCATGGTACGATATCTGACCGTCTGTACGCCCCGTTCTATGAGCTCAACTGCGGTCTCCGTCATAGAAATCGCGCACGTAGTCGCCCGCCACCGCGCCGAGAACATGTCCACAAGCTCCCTGTACTGGGGCGTCGGTGCCTACACCATCGCGTTCTTCGGACTCATTGGCCTGCTCGCCTCGCTCGTGCCTTGGGGTCTTGGGGTCTTCTCTGAGATTCCGCATTCGATTGGGCAGGAATTCGAGGGTGCGCTATGCGTCGTCTTGGACGTCTCGTCCCATCACTCACCGTGTCCCAGCGGACATCATCGGTCTGAAGCTCATGGCGAAGGCGTGCTATGACCCTCGGGCGTCGCCTGAGTAAGAGTTTCTCTCGCTGGCGCGGTCATCCCCCTAATCGTCTCGCAGGATGCTCAAGCGCCTCGCGAAGATCGAGGAGGACGTGCAGAAGAAGCTGCATAGGCACGACCATGTGCAGACCCATCCGCTTGCGATGGAGCGCGCGAAGGTGCGTAGTTGTGTAGTCGACCTTGAACTCTGCTGACCGCTCGAACTTGCTCTTTTCTTTCTTGCGTCTCACCTGTACGGCGCGTCTATCACCTTGACCTTCATGCAGATGCTCGAACCGCTACTCGGTAAGGGCTACGAGACGATGGCGACGAACCCGGATTGCGCGGATGCGCTCTCCAAGTTCCAAGAGGCGGCGGCTACCCTTAAGAACGATTAGGTGGCTCTGTAGCTAGCTTGTGAACCTAAACTTCTGCAACATCATGTATTACTAGCACGAATGTCGCTCCCTGCAATGGACTTTGTATGCACATCTGTTTTTGGCGTCGCCGCGTCCGAATCGCCAGACCCGCCACTCACCGGCATGCGGACCGTACAGCCGGTCGAACGCTGCGGGGAAACCCTCTGAGCGTCTGCGCCTCTACACTGACCTTCACCACCTTTCATCGGCTACATGTCCATCTCATCGAACTCGCTCAAATATACCGCTGGCTCAAAAGACCTATGCACATACGTGAAGTGCAATAAGCCGGGAGAACTGCGCAAGTGCTCTAAGTGCCAGTGCGTAAGGAGGCCATCGCGTACCCCTTGACTGAAGACCAACCCTATACTTGCTTACATGTGCTCCGAAAATGATGCTTGTCCCTTCTTCTGCTGCTCAGCTCGACGCTCTTAGCCATTCCCGTGCTCCAATGATCATGTTCACTCATGCTCATCAGGCTGGCCTGGTACTGCTCCCGCGACTGCCAAAAGGCAGACTGGCCGGAGCACAAGAAGACGTGCAAAGACCATTTCGCGAACAACGGAACACTGGACCCTCTCTTGAAGTGGGCCGACAAGTGGCGTGTCGCGCTCGAGGCGTGGGGTGCGTTCGCGTTGAATGCACTGAATCGAGGGGACGCGACGATGCAGACGTTCCTTGTGGACAATAGGTATGCAAGGAGGCGTTCCAGTGACTGAAGGACTTCCTGACACTGACCTTGACGCTCAGTTTCTTGATTGAAATAGTGAGAAATAAGGACACGAAAGAGAGCAGTAATGTCCGACGGCAGTACTTGGTGAGCACAATTGACCGCTTTGCCATCTTCTGCTTATCTTCCCCGACTTGCGTGACTTATATTCACCCCTTTCCAGCTCAAGTCTTCCGGCTTCTACCCCGACACCACCATCCGCAACATGCTCGCCAACGCCGCCGGCCCACCCGACTATCCGCGCAGTATCTGCGCACAATTCGACGGTGTCAAAGCGCGAGCCAATAGCACAGCTTTGCGCATGACAATCGTCTGCAGAGGCGGACCCTACATTACGGACGACGGCACAGCTGTCGATGACCAGGATATCTACATGATGTTCTTGCAAGTCGTATCCCAGATTGGGTCGCTCGACATCAGGGGGAAGATCACGGACGTGCTTATGAGGGATCTTGGACCCAACAAGCAAGTGGCGGCGAAGTTGGCAGAGGGCTACGAGAAGGAGCTGGCGAAGTGCTTGAGGGATGGGAAGGGCGAGTGTTTGAAGCATGTTTTATTTTGGGAAGGTCGCGTGCTCATCGGGATTTCTTCACAGTGGACGGATACAAGAAATACTACGACTCAGTACGAGAGAAGTTCCCACCTAATCCCCCGAGGCCAGAATTGCTAGGAGCGTTCGCAACACCTATCTCAGCGGATATGGCTGCGAGCCTGCAGAGAAATTCGACCCCCATCCCGCCGGAGGTGCTAGCGGGCTTGCAGAGGATGATGGCAGGGCGATAAACACGGTGAGGCGCGGAGTGGAGGGGGTAAGGTAGAGTTTATCTGCGGAAGTTAACAACCTGTAATCGCATACTTATATCGTCTGCACGCAAGTTACCGGCGGAGCCGCCCTGTATATGATCATTGCGACCGCTCCTTTGCTTCCATTGCACTCGAGCAGACCTGGGCGATCGCAATGACCGAGAGCTGTCCGTGCGAATTGGGCGGGACGGTGGGACGTGGGACTTCAGCTGTGGTGAGGGTCGTGAGTCGAGAAATGCACGCGACGGCTTACCGCATCTGCTCGAGGACGACATGAACGAGATCTCTTCCCCAACCCTGACCCAGGAAGAGGAGTACGTATGGGTAGAGGACTTGCGTCTTCCTATGCCGACAGGATACGCCGTCCTTGCTAAAGGCTATGTAACCAAGGTGGGCCGAGTCCATCATGATTTACTCCGCAATGACAGAGCTGAAGCAACACCTGCAGCTGGGTGAAGACTGCTTTGTGATGACGGGAGAGGGGGGTTGCGACATTGTCTTCTACTATCAATTTAACAAGGTGAGCAAATCGAAAGAATGGATGAAGGGCGTAAATAATCATTAACGTTGGATTCGAACTGATGCCGAGCAGTCTGACTTAAGGATGGATCATCTTGTAGAGCAAGTCTACGTTCTTGGGATCGTATCTGGGGAGTATAGCGTGCAAGTGGTGTGTTTGGAGAAACTGATCTGGCGAAGTCGAGCGATTGAAGCTGAAGTTGAGGAGGAGCATTGGGTGAGCGGGTCCGTCCATTGCAGCGTAAACTGGCTTATAAAGAGGTGCATAGTTTCGGGAGTGGTTAGATAAGTCACGAGGCATCAAGGACTGGATCGACGAATGCAATCGGTGTGCTGAGCACTGGATTGACGAATGCAATCGGGGTGTCGGGCGTGACTAGCGATAGATGTGCACGTGTAAACCACTCCTTTTGCGCCTTCCTCCGAACCAGCATCATCTTCATAACTGTGCTCTATTCTGACCGAGAAATGGAGATAATCATGCAGTCATCGTCTGCGAGTATCAACCTTTGTTCGAGTTGCAGGCGCGACACCGTCTTCTCCATTCACATACCTTCGAACGTTGACCATACTCCCTCCCCGATGGAGAAGCGTGCGATGCAGACGTACATGCAGGAAACCCAACAATCCTTAGTCGAACTCGATGTCCAGAAGCAGGCTGTACAGCGGGTGATGGATTCTATAATCACGGTAGAAACCAAGCTACGACACGCGCTCGACATGCAACGTGCCTACGTCGCGCCTATACGTCGAGTACCCGGCGAGATTCTGGAGATCATCTTCGAATTGAGCTGCATGGAGGCCGCTCTTGGGCTCGATAGGTGTACTCCGCTGGACATCAGCGCGGTTTGCAAGCAATGGCGTGGTATGTGCTCTGTTACTAGTGTGCGCATGCAAAACCAGATCAGTAATTGCGTCTTCAGAGATCATGAACGGCTGTCCTCGCATATGGTCGAGTATGCAGTTCACAAACATCCCCTTCATCGATTGGTCACAGCGTGGACCGGCCGCGAAGCGCCTGAAGTACTGCCTGAGCATGACGAAAGGTCTCCCGCTTATTCAGCCTGTACGCGCGAACAGAAATACAGGATGCAGTGGTCTGAACCTGCTCAAGATACTCGCCAGGCATACGGATCAATGGCTACATTTCCAGGCTGATGATCTCTGGGAAGAACCAGTCACCTTACTGCAGGGCCGTTCGTACAGCCGACTGCATACACTGAACATAGATGCGTCCATTCTTGAGCTTATGACAGCGGGGTCGTCAAGGCCTTTCTGGAATACCCCAGCCTTGAGAACCCTCATCATCAAGAATGCACTTGGTGGCCAGAACATCTTCCCAGCTTTGACGACCCTGCCGTTGGGTCAGTTGCACGAGCTGCACACTACGGTCCCGCCGGATTGGGCCCTCGTCCTGTTGACCGGATGCCCTAATCTGGTACGCTGGGTGCACGACTTTCGGCCGTACATGATTCATTCGCGATATGGAATGCCCCGAGAAGTGAGGCTTTCTCATCTGCATGTCATCCATGCAGACCATTTTCATGCTGGAGATTGCGCATACCTGAACTGCATCGTCGCGCCCTCACTCCGAACTCTCTATCTAACCTGGAGCCACCCTCGCTTCGGCGCTCCTAGATGGGCGGCACCTATCCCGCTCGCCTTCCTCCAGCGTGCGGAGAGTACTGTGCAGGAGCTCACGCTGCGCGATCCGCCCGCCGGCATACGGGCGAACATACCATTGTTCTCCAAGCTCCGCTTGCTCAGTCTTCACACCCAATCATCCGACCAGCTCTTGGACGACTTCTTCGTGTCTCTGACTGAGAGGACGGCGGGTAGCGAGCTGGCCACCCTACCGATGCTGGAGGAGCTCGAGCTGGGTGGGCACGGCCGCTATCGCGGGCAGAAGGTCCTTGAGATGGTGGAGGCGCGTCTCGCGGCGGGTCGTCCGCTCAGGTCGCTTGATCTGGATCTATTCTCCGTTGATATGGAGTACTTCGGCAGTCTGGAAGTATTGGAGCGGTTGCGCGACCTGGTTCCGGAATTCGTGGGCTCGGATTAGCAGAGGTTGCATTCGCTGCATTCCGATCCATTTTACCTCACAAATCCACCAAATCCTAGTCATACAACCGCTCCAACAGCCCGCCGACCTCTAGCACCATCCCGTCGCTGCCCCACTGTCCGACGACGCTGACGCCAATGGGCATGTTCGTCTCTTCCCTTGCCTTTGGTTCCCCTCGACTCTTCTCCGACGTCGGCAGCGCCACACTTAGCGCGGGCAAGCCCGCCAGCGAGGCCGGCACGGTAAGGACATCCTGTACGTACGCATCGAGCGCGCCCGAGGGGGCGCCGAGCTCGGGCGCAGTGCCGACGGCGGAGAGATGGAGGAGGACGTCAACCGCAGGGGTGGTGGGGGAGGGTTGGCGAGGGCGGCTGGAGTAGAAGGTGATGTAAGCACACGATAGATGGTCAGGGGGGAGGGAAACGTACGGTTCTATAGATGGCGAAACGTTCGGGAGCGAGAACACCCTGTCGAAGTCATCGCGCACGAGTTGGCGGACGCGCTGGGCTTGGAGGAAGTAGTTGTCGAAGGCGCTGGGGGTTCGGTGTCAGCATCGTTGAGAGCGATGGTTTCAGGTAAGGGACAAAGAAACAGGCCACGTTGGTTTTGCGGGACAGGCTGAAGAGGAAGTTGCACGTACTCAGCACTCAAGGCATACGTCCCCAGTAGTATCCGGCGCTGAACTTCCTTCCCGAAGCCCGCGCTGCGCGTCTGCGCGTAGAGGTTGGAAACCTTAGACGTGTCCGTGCCCGGTGCTGGGGTAGCACGAATACCTAGAAGTAGGCTGCGTCAGTACCGTAGAGGTTACAACGGCGGAAGTCTTGTCCAGAGACGGAGGTATTGTTCATGAAGAACATCGTCCAACGAGAACCCGCCACTCACCATACTGCATCCCATCATACCTCGCCAAATTGCTGCTCGCCTCCGCGCTCGCGATCACGTAGTACGCGCTCAGCGCATAGGATGTGGAGGGCAGGGAGATGGGGACGATGGTCGCACCGTGGGCGGCGAGGGTAGCGAGGGCGCGCCGGAGGTGGGCGCGGGCGGAGGGGGCGAGGGAGGCGGGGAAGTATTCCTAGGTGGGAAGGGTCAGTGTCGGTTGGGAGGCAGGTACGAGCTGGAGGAAAGAGAGGATTGGGAACATGAAAAAAGATGTGGGAGGATTCATGATGGGTGTGGCCAGAGTCTAATACCCACCTGCGGTACGCCGACTCTCAAACCAGTGATATCGTCGCTACCTGGCTGACGCCATTCCGCCATCCGCGCCTCAGCTTGTTCGCGAGCGGCGGTTCTGGCAGATACAGGCGCGGAGGTGGGATCGCGGGGATCGTGGGGAGAGATGGTGTCTGGGGAAGGAGAGCATGTGTGAGTCGTTGCTATTCAAGCCCGGTGTGGGAAGCGTACCGAAGACATCCTTCACGTCCTCACTCCCGTTAGCAAGCACGCCGACGCAGTCGAGACTATCAGCGTAGGAGACGACGCCCCATCTGTGGGACGCTCATAAGCACAAGCTGCGGTACTTCAAGCTCATGAGTACGAACCTACTGACGAGGCCATAGGACGGCTTCAAGCCGGAGACACCACAATAGGAGGCAGGCAAGCGGATGGAGCCGCCTGTGTCAGTTCCGAGGGCACTGTGAAAGTGATATTGATGAGGGCAGGAAGCATTGCAATCAGGGTGAACGCCTTACGCGCGACACATCCCAGCAGCTACGGCAGCAGCGCTACCACCTGAGCTGCCTCCCGCAGAGAAGCGTTTCCCGATGCGGCGCTGGTCGCTGTCGGCCTCCGCCTCCTCTTCTGGTGGCCAGGGGTTGCAGGGGTTGACAACTGGGCCATGGACGGAGTGGATGTTCAAAGACCTTACATGGCATGAGACGAATATCGATGCAGTAGGAGAATTTATCACCCCATGCCAAACTCGTCACAGTTTGTCTTTCCTACGATATCTGCGCCATTTTCCCTCAGCAACCGCACCACGGTGGCGTCGAAGGGTGACGTGAAGTCTATAGCGTGGACCGGTTAGGATATTAGGGTGCAGCATCCACAGCAACGCACTCTTCAGCATCGCAGACGAGCAGGTCGTCGGCATATCCCGAGTGCATATGTTATCCTTCACCGCGACGGGGAGGCCGCGCAGCCTGCCTGCGGCGTTGGGCAGGGCAGCAGGCGCGTCCGATACGAAGACCATCGCGTTCGTGGCCGCATTCTTGAGCTCTATGCTCTTGCGGCATAAAGACGAAGCAGTGGAGAGGTAGCGAGTGGATAGGTATTGCGCCCCTCGGGGGACGACGACGCGCCGCAATTCGACATGGCCATAAGCGCGCATCGGCCTGACGACGTCACGGTCAAGAGCCGGACCGATCGCGTCTCGATCGCGTGTCTAAGAGTCTGATCGGGTGCACCGGAACTCGGAGTTCAGACCCTGGAACTTCTGCCAAAAAATTACCAGGGAAGTTCAGACTGGAACTCGAACTGGGCGCCTTGGGGTGGTTTTCCGGGGCGGGTTTTACCCTGGAACTCGAGTTCCAGTGCACGCGATCAGACTCTAAATTCCTGATCGGGGTTCCATTGTTCTTTTGATCTCCACGAGAACACCCACTCCCCACTATGGGTCTACTCACAGAAAACGGAACCAGGCCTGCAAAGAAGGCGAGGATAGCGCCGAAGAAGGCCCTCAAGGGTCGCGCGAGATCGCCACCGCCGAAAGGGAAGGCCCCCCTCGCTCGGGAGGAGAAGCAGCAACCTCCGACAAAGTATAAGGGCAAGGCGAAGGCGATGACGACAGACGAGGCCGCTCCTCCCCCTCTACCGACTTCCTTCAAAGTGGTCGCTGGGTCCTACGAAAAACTGCTGTATGGACTCGAGGGCACCGTTTCCCTAGCTGATTCCGGGTCCTCCTCTGCGGATCCCGAGTCCTCGACGAAGAAGTACAAGTTCGACTTGAAGCCGTTGTTCATCTTCCCTGCGCACGTGTCGTGTATCAAGGCTGTCGCTGCATCTCCGCAGGGCGGTAAATGGCTCGCTACTGGCAGCGCGGACGAGATCATCAAAGTCTGGGATCTCAGGCGGAGGAAGGAGATCGGAGGGCTTATGCATCATGAGGGTGCGTTTCCAGTCCCCGTACCCCCACCCCATTCCTTTTCCGTCTATGCTAACGTTGAATCTTTACCAGGTTCCGTCACCCACCTCTCCTTCCCCTCGCGCTCCCACCTCCTCTCCGCGTCCGAGGACGGCACCCTCGCGCTCTTCCGCTCGCGCGACTGGGTCGTCCTGCGCGCCCTCCGCGGGCACAAGGGACGCGTCAATAGTGTCGCGGCCCATCCCTCAGGCAAGGTCGCGCTTAGCGTCGGCAAGGATAGGACGTTGAGGATGTGGGATTTGATGAGGGGGAAGGGGAGGGCAAGTACGAAGATGGGGAAAGGTGCGTAACTTTTTGCGTATGGGTGGCTGGGAGGATGCTGACAGATATATGGCAGAGGGGGAGGTCGTTCGCTGGTCGATAGATGGCAAGCTGTTTATCGTACAGTCTGGATCGGACATAAATGTATACACATTGGTGCGTGCCGTCCTCTTTTGTACCTTCTATGCTCCCACCCTCCGCGCCTTCCTCTCTTTCACATGCCTCTCCCTGTTCACCCCCTTACCCGATCCTCATACTCACCCCACCCCCAGGACATGACCCTTATCCACACCATCCACCACCCCTCCCGCGTGCACGACGTCCACTTCTGTACCCGCGTCCACGGCGAGGGCGAGGTGCTCCTCGTTGGCGCGGAGGACAAGACGCTCTCCATCTACTCGATATCGTCTAACCCGGACTCGAGACCGAAAATCGTGGCGAAGATGGTGGGTCATGCAAATCGGTGAGTGTGCTTGTTGGCTGACTGATCTTGCGGTTATTCCAACTCCGATGGCTGGCTGACCTAAATCGACCATTTCCGCAGGGTCAAAGCCTTCCAAACCCTCGCTCTCGCCCTCCCGGACGGCACGCAGACCACCGTCGTCTGCACCGTGTCATCCGACGGCAAGCTGCATGCGTACGACCTCGGGGAGCTGCCTGCGCCTTCTACAAAGTCCCGGAAAGACACGGAAGACGATGCCGTTCTGGAGATTGAACCCTCTGGCACATACGACTCCAAAGGCACGCGTTTTACATGCGTCACGGTCGCCGATGGGGACGCAGAGGGCTCGGTGGCAGCGTTGGTGGGGAAGAGGAAGCGGGCGGAGAGAGAGGATGAGGGAAGGGAGGGCGGGCAGGATGAGGAGGAGAGTGGTGACAGCGAGGGAGCGGAAGATAAGGATGCCGAGGAATGGGCACCGATGGAGGAAGAGGGTGCAGGTTGGAGCGAGGAGGAAGGGGAGAGTGAAGAGGAAGGGGAGAGCGAAGAAGAGGAAGAGGGCGAGGAAGAGGTCGAGAGTGATTGATCTATTTGCATACTTGGAGGCGTTGTTGTTGTTACCGTTGCTGCTGTTGTTGTAGATGTGCACGATTGTGCACAACCGCACTGAAGGGTGTCAAGGCCTTCGTCGTTGAAATCATTAATGGATGCCTGAATGGGTGCTTGTCGGTCCACCCCACGTGCAGAGTTCGCGTCGCCATCACGTGCAAATGAACACACGCGTTGGCACACGCTTCCTCCCAAACCACCACCCTTGCTGCACGCATCCCTCACCTCTACCACCATGGCCACACGCGCACTCAGAAGAACTACGTCTCTCAAAGCCGAGGGCTCCTCGCGCGCCCAATCTTCCCGCACCGCGGCCGCAAAACCAAGGGCAGGGCACGCGCGGACGCGATCCGCCACAGCAAACGATGCGGTGGACGATCTCGCGGATGAGCTAGCCCAAGTGCAAATAAAGGAAGTGAGGCCGCGGCAAACCAGGCAGACGAGTGCTACGAAGCAAACGAGTGCGCCGTCGAAGCAAACGAACGCGCCGGCGAAACAAACGAATGCACCAGCGAAGAAGACACCCCCGCGCGATGAAGCTGAAGAAAAGGCCGCGGCGATGCACGCCGTCAACAGCGCGTCGCAGGTGCTGAATGATTTGATGCGCGCGGGGTGGAAGCAGCCGCAAGGCAAAGTCACGAAGAAGACGACGGAGGGGGCGGCGGCGGCTTCGGCAGCGTTGAAGGCGCGGAAGGCGCTGGCGGCACTAAGGAAGGGGACGTCGAACAAGTTGGAGATTGAGCGCGCTGCGGTGAATGTGGTGGGGAAGTTGATAGCGCTGGAGATGGTGCGTGGAGTGGTTTGCTGGACGTTGATCGCAGTGACTGATAGAATTGAACAGTTCGACGATGCTTTCACGATCATTGAGGAAATTCATCCTCAATTATGCGCCATTCTCGACACGACAAGTCCGCCAGCAGCCGCTGGTGGCTTACATCTACTTTCCCTGGATATCCCTCCGGATAATGCTCTGGACGACAACGTTATAATGCTCACGACAACCTACCTGCTTTATGCACTCACCACCATCTCGCGGCGCATGTTTAATGCCAAGAGCGCGACAATAGCTGCGTTCTCACAAGCTCTCCACGCACAACCTACTCTGATCGCCTGGCGAGCCGTGCTTCCATCTTCACTATCCAAACATGCGGACTCGTTATTGACGCGCGCGTACACCGCGCTCACCCGCGGCATGGCCGGGATCGAGATGGACCCACTACCCGCGTTGGAGATCCGCTGCTATGCTTTGACATGCCTGGCCCTCACCACACCCAACACCGTGGATTCGTCAACTTTCTGGGGTCACGTCAACAAGTGCTTGCTGGAATACGCCTCAAGATGTACCACCGAGAAAGATGGCTATTCTGCGGAGTCGGTGCTCCCCCGGATCGCTGCAATCGTTAGCCATGCAGAAGGCAGGCCGGACGCCAATGAATTCATGAGCGGACCCAAGTATCTCGGTTTCTGTGAGACCTGGACGTCGTTCGCAAGGAGGGTGAGGTACCTACTTCTGATGGCTTACACTGTGCTAATGGCTGTCAGGCTGGCGACCTGTCTGCGCTCGAGCGCATTTCGGCTTTGTTGCATTCGTCAGATAGTAGTGCCTCTGGGCCGACAACCGATGCGAGCGAAGTCAAGGCCTCCAGTCAAGACGCGGCCTCCCTCTGCACGCGACTGGCGCAGTTGACGGTGTGCTTAGAGTCCTCTGTGCCACAAGGTACGTGAGGTGGTCAAACTTGTCCACAGTGCACTAACACGCTCTCTAGCCGACCTCGCAGATCGCATACAGGATACAATATCGCTCTTGCAGGCACCATCTCTGGTACAAATGCTCGCAGAATCGCACCAGGACGAAACCGGGCGAGCGTATCGTAAAGTTGACAATGCGGTCTCTCGACTGCTGCAAAGCGCTCTCCGTATCGCAGACGTGCCGACTCGTTCTGGACCGCCCAGCGACCTCGTAGCAGTCGTACGCTCGTTGCTTCGCGCTATCGTCTCGGTCATGGAGATTGTCGTCGCTCGCATACCATCCGACACCCGCGGCGCGTTGATTGCGCGCGTCCTAGAAACCCTCACCCTCCTCGCGCGTACGCAACTCGTCGTCTTGGACCCGCGTACCCACATGGCCTCCCACGACTGCCTCGAGCGCGCCGCCAAGCTCATACAAGCGCAAGAACCCGGTTCAGAAACAGCGAAGTACCTACGATACCTATCCGCGGCGCTTTACAACATGGGCGCAACCTTGTTCAGCGCCTCGCAGCATAGTGCATGCATCACGTTCCTGCGGGATAGCTGTGAGCTCGGGCGGCAGGCGGTCGAGATGCGCTCGGGCAACGAGGAGGCGGATGAGGGGTGGCAGCAGCTGGAAGAGCAGCTGTACCGGCGGTGGGAGATACTTGGCATCTGTCAATCGAAGGCTGGCAATAGGAAGGTGCGATCTGGATTGGGCATTGTTGATAATGATGCTCACTATGTACTGTAGGCCGCGAGCGACGCGTTCAAGCAAGCCATCAGCTCGTTTCCTTACGATCGCTCAAGATTGGCGGAGGTACTTGGTGGCACGACAGCTTCGGAGGCGTTTACGGCGTCTGACTCGCTCAAGCACCTGGCCGCGATCGTGGACCGGGTGACCTACATCGGTGCTTGCGAACTGCTCCTGCAACCGCAAACCGTGTCGCTGAGAGATATCGGGCTTTGCGACGCTGGTATCGTTGGCGCTTTGTTGGAGCGCCAGATCCAGAGCCTGGCAAGTTTGCGATGGAAGGAGTCCGTTCGGGCGATCGTGCGGCACCTCTTGCTCGAGCTGCTGGACGTTTACGAGGAGGCACTTATGCCTCTACGTAGGATACGGACTCTGTTGATGTGTCTGGAGTTCAAGTATCACTGCAACCCTGAGGAGGGCTTTGGGTTCAAGTCACCTTGGGACCTGAGTGTGGAGATTCAAGGTCTGCTCGCGTCGGAGGTATGTATATCACTCCATGCCCTTGGCTTGCGCTAACCCTACGAGTACAGACGATGGCGCGCGACGTTGGGCTCCTCACGTTCACTGCGCAATACCGGGCCATGACCCATCTCTGGTTAGGTCTCCTCGCGCACCGCCGCGCCGACCCCGAGCAGATCGACCTCCTGGTGTTCCACTCCGAAGAGGCCACCAAGATCTTCCGCGCCTTCATCTCTACACGAACCGCGGAGAACTCGCCGAAATCGACGTCGAAGGCCGGAAGTGCAGCCAAGTCCTCCGCCACCAAGAGCGGCGGGTCCAGACGCAAAGTGACGACCTCGAGGATTGCCACCCGCACGGTGCCGTCGAAGAAGAAGCCCGCGCCACCTCCTGTTAACCCGGTCACACCGAAGGCGAAGCCGTTGCAGGAGCTGTCGCTCAATGTGAAGACACCGCCGAGGCCGGCGGCTAATACGAAGTCGCAGCATGCGCTAGTGTTTGATGATTTCGGAGGATTGCTTGATTTGCTACGCTTGTTGTGCTCGGTGCTCAACCTTCTGGGACTGACGTTGGTCAAGGTGCGAGTCCTGGACGTTGTGCGACGGCTTGCGGAGTTGAAGCTGGGTCCGTATAGTGATGGTGCGTCGGTCGTCGTTGTCATTAGCTCCTACCTAATCGAGAAACAGACTACGCGAATGCAACGACCGAGCTTGCTTTCGAATACTTTCGCCTTGGCAAGTACACTCGTGCGAAGACGATGTTCAATCGCCTGCGCGAAAGTGCTACCATGCTCTCGCCTGAGGTCATGATCAGTCTCTTGCTGCGGTATGCTGGGGTTTTGGCAGAGTTGGAGGATGTCGCAGCGAGGTACGTTCCATGCGTAACCGCCTGAAATGAATGCTCACGAGATGACAGTTCTGCAGCCTACTCAACGGCACTCGACCTATCCCAGTCGCTACCCTCCGAAACGAAAGGGCTCCCGCCGCGGCAACTGATGCAACATCGCCTTGATAGTCTGGAACGGGCGGCTTTGGCGTCCAGGGTCTTTTCATTGATACAGCTGTGCAGAGTGAGTACGTCTCCGCAGACCATTTTCTAGTGCTGACGACGCCATAGAGTGATGTACCTGCAGCCCTAGATGGCCTGTTACGAAGCTTGCAACTCCTCAACCGTGCCATGGATGGATTCATGCGCTTCTACGCAGCCTCGAAGACGAAGCCCGTTGAAGAAGACAACCCGTTCCAAGTTGCGCAAGCAGACGACGCCGGCCCCCCAGGCCCCGACTCTTCCTCCAAAGCATCGTCCTCGCGCAACTCGTCCTTGGGAAGCGACGGCTACCGCGTTGCAGAAGCGCAGCTCGACACATTGTTTGCTCTGAGCGCGGCCTATCTGTCTCGCGGATCTGCCAGGGAGGCCGAGTACTTCATCATCCAGGCACTCGATCTTTCGGAGTCGTTGAACGCACCGCCCATGGTCAGCCGCGCCCTAGCGAAGAAGGGCGAGATTCTGCTGCTGTTAGGCGATCTCGAGAACAGTCACGACGCTCTTATGCAAGCTACTCAACTTCTACCGACGATCACCGGCGATGACGCAGTTGACCTAAGGAGGCTGCAAGGCGACTATACCCAGCGTTCGAACCAGGACGAGGGCGCGCTGCAGTTGTACGAAGAGGCTATTGCCATGCTGGAGGAGTTGAATCAGACCTTCACCGCGTTGGACGGTGTTGCTTTCAGGTGCGTATGGTCGACGACGTGTGACGATGGTCTGACCCGTAGCAGCTCCAGGAAATCCTTGGATGCGACACGTACTCCTCCGCAGGAATCTGTCTTCCCTCAGCTTCTCTCTGCGATCCTTGCACGGCATTGTGAGTTCCATTCCATATTGTATTACTGCTCATGCCTTACTGTCGTTCAGTGTGGCTTCTGCGGGACAATGACCACGATGGCTCTGAAGAAATGATGGACAAACTGCGTACGCTGTCCACCACGGCGTTGAGTAGCGTAAGTGTATGCAACCTCTTCTCAGACTTCCCTCGTCTAAACATTCCATTGCAGGCGGAGATCACGGCTCTTGAGGGTCGCTTGGCGCTTCACGAGATCTACTCGCGCTTCCGCTCAGACATGTTCTTGAGCTCCATCGCAGAGTCCAGTGCGTACATTCCTAGCATGTCCCCAAAGTCGTACTGACTGCCTTCGAAGCCATCGCAGTGCCCATGGGCATGTCTTGCGACAAGCCGTTGCCCATGTTGCCCTCGACACAGGACTTACTCAAGCTACTGCAGCATGCAGAAGGCTTGTTCTGGTCGGACCTGAACTCCATGAGCAAGAAGGGCACTGTCTCGCACGTTCGTGAGGCTGCCATCTCGCTGGCCATCGTTCGGGCGCTACAGACGTCGTTGGGATTGGTCGATGAGCAAGGCTCCGCCCTTGCTGGCCGTCTCCTCGGTACGTTTCTCATCATGACAGTGACCTTCAAGGAAGACTGACCCTTCCTTTGCAGATACCTCGACTGCAGTCACCTTGAGGCGAGAAATGCTGGAGGTCATTGCGCAAAAGTTCCCTGATTACGATGCGTTCGACGACCTGCAGTGGCGTGAGGTGTCCAAGGATGGATCCGCCAAGGCTTTTGCGAAAGCCGCACCTACACGTATGTTCGCCAACATGTCTCTCGACGACGACAGCATGAGCGACGACGAGGACAACGAGGAACGCGCGCTTCGTGATTACTGGGCGCGAGTCAAAGCGCGGTATGACGCTGCTGGCGTCAGTCCGGAGACGTCAGTCTTGTCGACGCAGAGTTTCCCAAGCAACTGGACCATCGTCCATATTGCCGTCACTGAGGACAAGCGCACGTTATTCCTCAGCCGGCAAGAGGGTGGCGAGCAGAGCGAACCCCTGGTCTTCTGCATCCCGCTACAAGGTCGACGCGACAATGACGATGACGAGGAGTACCTCTCTTTCGACGACGCGCTGTCGGAGATGGGCGAGATTATCCGCTTGAGCAACGAGTCGACGAAGAGCGCAGTCAACATCAGGAACGATCCCGAGGCTCGCCAGAACTGGTGGAAGGAGAGGGCTGGCCTAGACACACGATTGAAGGAGCTACTGCAGAGCATCGAATTCTGCTGGCTTGGAGGATTCAAGGTATAGATTATCATCTCCTTGTCGTCTCTCGTCTAACCTTCGTCCGTCAGACCATTCTAGGCTCTCGCCTCAATCTCACGCCAGAGGCGATCGACAACCTTCGCAAGTCGATTGATAAGGTCTTCGACGAGAACCTCCGCCTTCGCGACAAGAAGCCCAAAGGCAAGGCCCATCGGAAGACCGCCTCACAGAGCCAGAACCTCCGGAACGTGCAGCTCGACGATCACATTGTCGAGCGCATCGCCGCGCTCGGGCCCAAATGCGCTGACGAAGAACTCGAGGACTTCGTCTACTTCATCCTCGATCTCTACCAATTCCATGGCGTGCAAGTGTCCATCGCCGAGGTCGACATCGTGCAAGTCATCGTCGATCTGCGCGCCGTGCTCGAGGAAGAGTCCACGCGCGCGCGCTTGCGGGACGCCGGGCGGACGCGCTCGAGGCAGGAGATGTCGGAGGCGGCTGGGGGCGGGGAGCACCTCTTCCTCGTCCTCGACAAGAACGTGCAGGGCATACCCTGGGAGAGCATTCCCATCCTGCGCGGGCGGAGCGTCAGTCGGATCCCGAGCCTCGACTTCTTGATCGACAGGGTGGAGATGGCGAAGCTGAGGAGAGGCGGCGAGGGCGAGGCGGTCGATCGTGCTGTCGTGGATCCGCGGGATGGGTACTATGTTTTGAACCCCAGCGGCGACCTTGTCGGCACGGAGGGCCGCTTCAAGGACTGGGCGCAGCAGATGAAGGGCGTCGGTTGGGATGGAGTGATTGGGCAACCGCCGAGCGAACAGCAACTCTTGAACGCGCTGCGGCAACGGGACCTTGTTGTGTATGTGCGGTTAACCTCCTACCAGCCCACCATGCTCACGTCGTCCTCTTTTGCAGGTACTTCGGCCACGGCGGCGCGGACAAGTACGCGCGCTCGCACAAGATCCGGCAGCTCCCGCGGTGCGCGGCGACCATGCTCTGGGGCTGCTCCTCCGGCTTCATGAAGGACATGGGCGACTTCGACCGCGTCGGGATACCCAACAACTACATGCTCGCGGGATGGTGAGTAAACCCACCTTCCTTCGCATCCTCCTACTTACTCACCCTTCCTCCCTCCACCCCCAGCCCGACCCTCGTCGCCAACATGTGGGACGTGACCGACCGCGACATCGACAAGTTCACGCAGTCCGTGATCGACAAGATGAAGCTCGTGCCCAGCCACGCGAAGCGGTGGGACGCGAGCAGGCAGGGGAGCACGTCGGTCGTGGCTGCGGTGGCGCAGTCGCGGGATGTGTGCAAGTTGAAGTATCTAACGGGTGCGGCGCCGGTGGTATATGGGATACCGTTTTATCTATAGAGAAGTTTGCGAGGATTGTATGGCATCGGCAGTATATGCACACGTCTATTGTGTTGAGGAAGCTGTACTCAACAGCCTGGCTTGCGTGAGCGAACACCTTGAGGACTGGCTGTGATTATGATCACGCGAATGCATATCAGACTACGTCTGCCATTGCTGTCCATCCTGAAGTCGATTCCTAGTCATGTGTGGGATTACGGGTAAGTAATCTAGGTAGGCCAAGTCCGTGAGTGTGCTAAATAAATATGCATCGTGAAGCAGAGAGGTACGTAGCGAGCGTCGAGTCGGGACTGGTAATAAATATACAACACGAAGAGGAACAGATACGATAGCACAAATTTAGACACCGTTGAACTCCGAGGACTCCATCATCTTCCACTGCCTGTAAACACGATGTCAGCCCACGATATAGTGATGGCAGATCGACGCGACGTACCTCGCTTTCCTGCGCTCGTAGATAACTTCGGGCTTGATCTTCTTGACCCGTGCGCCGATGATCCTGCCAGCCGCGATGGTGACGACGACGATGAAGGCGATGAACACGCCCTTGACGGCCTTCGGGCCAGCGTGTTGGGCTGTTAGATGATCAGTGTTCACGTTCAAGTCACGGAAATGGACTATGAACGTACTGTTCTCCTCCCCATCGTCGAGAACCACGCCGAGATAGACAGGGAGCAATTGTCGCGGGAAACCGATGACGATGGCGATGAGGTAGGTCCATAGTGGGACGTCGCAGGCCGCGACGAGGACGGTGATGACTGAAAGAGCGGTCAGCACCATTGTTCTGGCGAAGGGGACGGCGGGACCACTCACAATGCGGGGGGAAGACACTCAAACGGAAGACGGCGCACATGATCCAGCCGCCTTCGCGAATTACCCTAGCGTAGCAAGCGTAGGAGACACTGCTCTTTTCCTTCGTCTGCAGTTTCGCGCTGAAGAAGTACTTGACGCCGCTGCATGATGAGTGGTGAGTTGGGCAAGTAGATAAGTCGTTAAAGGGAGAGGCGTACATGAAGAGCAGAATCTCGCCAATGATGGTACCAGCCGCGACTATACCAAAGCCCTCGCCAAGGCCCCATATCATGCCGCAAAATGTAGCGACGATTTCTTGACCGATGAGTGGGGGGAAGGAGATAACGATGTATATTGCTAGAGGGATGACGAAGCCCCATGGGCGTCTGCATGCAATGTTAATGGAGTGCAGGTAGGAAGAAGAAGCTTTACTTACTCGTCCATCCATGATTTGACGGGTCGTAGGGCGTGCACGATCTTGTCGTTCATAGCAAAAATAACGATGAAGGCGACGATGATTATGACCGCAACCAATGCCTCGCCTGAGGAAAGGTAAGCCACGAGTCAAATGCAAGATAGAGGTATACGCACGCCAGTACATCTTGAGCATCTTCCCTTTGCTATACGGCAATTTGCCTTCAAGCTGATTCTGCTCGCTAGGCGTTGGACTTGGTGTCCGTATGATCTGCGCGCGATTTGGCGGGTACTGTGGCGGTATGAAGGTCTCCGGTGCCGCCTCCCATTGGTGGATTGGTTGCGGTTGTACGACGAGCGGCGCGTATTCAGTGTACGAGGGTGATTGTCGTGTATGCATCGTGTGAACGTGCCGGAGATACTAGTGGCGAATGGGGGAGGGGGATCGTCGTGAGGCGGGCTTGGCACTTGAGCCAGTGATTCAGGTGAGTCTGGATCATCTTGGGCTTATATGTCGAGAGAGAGGCCGGGGGAATTCCGCGTCCTGTGCGCGCTCCTTGGACGAGCTGGGAAGAATCCCGCCGACCCAGACGGGGACAAGCCGCGGAGTTGGCGGACCGTGCGTGGCTGTGCTCAGCCGCGGAAGTTAGTGGCAATCGCCGTTCAAGTGGGTCAGGCAACTCTTCTCCTCGACAGTCATGGCGCAACGCGAACCATTGCTTCTGCGGACACAAGACGGGAACGACATGGGCTCTCCTCGTTCCCTAAATTATATGTATCGCTTGCCTGATTGGGTCCGTTGTGTCCCCCTTATGTGCTCGACAAGGTGTCTGAACGTCATCCGTCGACCCCCTGGATTCGGGCGCTCAGCCTTTCTATCGACCGTCACCGATTGCCTTGATGTTTTATCGCCCCGTCCGTGCAAAGAGCTCTGGTCAGGGCCTCTAAGCGGGAGCTGCCCACGCTTCGATTTCAATTGTGGGCAGATTCTGCATATCGACATGGGACGCCTGACCTACGAGACCGACGAGCAGCTGAAAGAGAATACAGCTAACCTGTTGCGCAGCGCAGTCACGCGATTCCTCGACAAGTACCAATCCTACATAGGCTTTTCGGACAAAGAGCGCACGGAGGTGCTTGCGCAATGTGACCCCAACGGCTCATTGGAGGATGCAATGGCGAGTGCCGGGCTTATCCAAATGGCATCTACTGACAACTGTCGAACCTACATAGTATCTAGCTCTCACGCGCGATCACCCCAACGTCTTCACGTACGTCTGCGTCGACAATTATACGGCACCGTACGAAAAAGCGCGCGCAGAGGACTGGCCCCAGATCACTGCAATCCTCTACAAAGCCCTGTTTGGCCCTCTCATGACCTTGGTCGTCGCGGAATACATCGACAGCGGGCTCCTCGTAGGATCATCCGAGATGGACGACGATCCCATGGCGTTGGCGTCGCTCTCGTCCGAGGAGCCGGAAGTCGATGAATGGGGCGACGATATCTATGGTGACTTTCCTCCGAAGCCCATACCTTTCACTGGGCTACTACCACCTTTCGCGACGGACTTCACGCATGATCCGCGCATGCAGGCGGCGATTGGCGTCACGTGGGATGGGGTCATGGCTCTTAGACGTGCCGTTTTGGGCGACGAAACTCAGGCAATCGCCTTTTGGGAGCGTATGGCCAAGATCCCTTCGCGGACCTTTTCGGACACTCCGAACGCGGAGCGCGTGTGGGCGACGGGAGATGTGTCGGAAATGCTGCGCGACATGGTGGAGATGCTGGAGGTCACAGACAAAATACACGAGGATAACGCAGGCGGACTCGTCCCTCAGTAGAACTTGTGGGGTACGTGGTACGCTCGTGCACACCAATCTAGCTTACTCTCATATATGTACCCAGTAGGAAACCATGACATTGACAGTGAAGCCGAATTGACGATAATCCCGGCACGTGTTATCCATGTGCGTAATTAGATGTTCAACTCGAGTCCTTTACTCAACTGTCATGGCGCGATTGGAAGTTGCTTGCGAGTGCCGGTGCATACATAGACAAACAAGTCTTTTTTTCAACTCTCATGGGGGAACTTGAAGCGGTACTGCAGCGGACCTGGTGCTTCTACCAGAACCACTCTCCCGCTCTATCACTCTGCCTATCATCCACCTGTTTGGCGAGGGACAAAGACGCCACGTTTGCCGACGTGCTGCAAGGGGTCGAAGAGTGTCACAAAGCGACCTGCGGCTGTCAGCGATATCCTGACGACGTCTGGGTCGTGAATCGGGATGTCCGGGAAAGCGCTGGGGCGCATATCGGCTCCCCGTCGCTTTTTACTGATTACCAGTTCAAGCTTTCGCATCCAGTCATCCCGGTCGTTTCTGCCTTTGGACCCAGACAGCACCTTAGCATCGTATTCTCGTGGAAATCGCTTCAGAGTACGTCAAGGCTGTGTAGCCTTTCTCCCACTATCCCATAAGCTAATGATATCCAGATTCCTTTGCCGGTGACGCTGGATTTTCGGAATCAAGTGCCAGCAGAGAAGAGGCGCTTCTCACTCCTTCCACGTCATCTGCCTCTGAGCGGTTATCGCCATGGCAATCTCGGTCTATTACTGCATCCCGCATAGTAAGTGAAGCCATGGATGATGAGCTTCAGTGCTGACATTAGTGCTAGGGCATAGCAAACTCTGAACTCCCGCTGAGTGCTCTTGTCCAGTATCACTCTGCCTTCAATATTACCCATCACGTTCCCTCTTTGTGCCGAGCCCAGCTTTTGAGTATCATTCGTCGACCTCCACAATTTGGTCGTTCGGTGTTCCTCTCGACCGTCTCCGATTCTCTGGATGTTGTATCGTCTTACCCACGCAAAGAGCCTTGGCCGAATCATGTAGCGCGCAGCAGACCTCTATTCAATTTCAACTCGGGGGTAATCCTGTATCTCGATATGGGACATCTGAAGTCCGGGTCGTACGAGGATCTGGAAGCGCAGACAGTCAGCCTCGTACGCAGCGCGGCTGCTCATTTTCTGGACGAGTACCAGGGCTATATCAATCTCACAGAGGAAGAGCGAACGGAAGTGCTGTCCGAGAACCACCTGTTCAGCGTACTGCAATCCACGATGGTGCGTGTTGTGCACTCTGGATCGAGATGATAGTTCATGATCCTTACCTTCAGCGTCTGGTCATTCGTGCTCATCCCGAAGCCTTCACGTACATCTGCATCGACAACTACACGGCGCCTTACGAGCGAGCGCCCCGATCCGACGATTGGCCACAGATTACCAAAATTCTCAACAGATCACTCTTTCGCGAACTCAGGGCCTTGATTGCTTCTGGTCTCATTGACAGTGGTATCCTTGTCGGATCCTCCGAGATGGATGGTGACCCCATGGCATTGCTCACCTACAAGAAAGAAGTTGACGAATGGGGGAACGACTTCTTCAATCCAGGGGTTGCTCCGACGCCCATTCCTTTCGTCGGGGAGCTGACGGACTACGCGGCGGATCGGACGCATGATCCCGACTTGCAGACGGCTATTGGCTTAACGCAGGAGAGGATCATGGCTCTTGGGCGCGCTGTTTTGGGCGACGAAGCTCGGGCCATCGCGCTTTGGGAGCGCGTATCCAACGAAGTCCCCTCGCGAACCTTCACGGAGAGCCCGAACGCGGAACATATGTGGGCGACGGGAATGGTGCTGGGGATCCTGCGCAACATGGACGGGCCGCGAGCAACGAAGGAGTCGCACTCGGAGAAGACAGATGGTTTTGTCGCCTCGTAGAACTTTCAAGTTGTGGTACGCGCAGGTACACATATTCCAGGTAGAGCATAGTGTCATCTAGTTGAAAGGCGACCACGGCCGCGTGTCTGCAGTTCCGGTCAACAGATCCTCGCTTCACCTACCTATGATGCACTGCCGCACAATGATGTCTTCGCTTCGCTACGTACCCAATACACTTGTGCGATTTACGCCGAAGTGGTACTCAGTTCAAGTTGCGATACCATCAAGTGAGATGAAATCTGCAGCGCTCGTCGAGAGGATTATAGAAAGTCGATAGCTCTCTTCCGACCCGCCCGTGAGGGTGGATCGGGTGTGGTATCATTCCCGTTCGAGGTGACACCTTCAGGCCGCATCTGCTCGAGCGCCTTCGCCGCCTCCGGTGCGGGCTTCTCCACCCACATCGCATCGTCATCCACGTCTTCCTCCTTTCGCTTCTTCTTCGCCCGCTGGCCGTCCCTATCCTTGTCCTTATCCTTCCCCTTCCGCTTCTTTGCTTGCGGGGCGAGCGTGAGACTACCCTCCTCATCCTCGGCGAAGGATACGAGCGCGCGCTTCTCTTTCTTCTTCTTGTCCTTCTTAGTCTTGCCGTGCTCGCCGCTCTCCTTCGCCCGCGGCACAAACGTCGGCTTGAACGTGGCCATGTTGACAACTTCAGGAACCGTAGGTTTCGCTGGTTCTGATGGCGGCTCCACGACGGGGATCGCAGGCGTCGGTACCGGCGGCGGATCGTCCACCTCCATCCCTTCCCCACCCTCCTCATCCTCCCCCTCATCCTCATCGTCGCTCGCAAAGATCGCCTTAAACACATCCATCGCCGGCCTTTCGTACGTCAGCGTGTCCCTCCCCTGCGTCTCGTCCTCCCCCAAGCCCACGTTCGCGAGGTCGCGTGGCCCGTGCCCCGCCGCCGCGCGCTCCTGCTCAGCCTGTGCGCGCTCCGCGGCGACGGCAACCTCGAGGTCCGTCTTTGTGTACGTGTCCGCGGCCGTCTTCGGTGCTGCTGCTGCCGCGTCGTCCGCCTTCAGCTCGGGCTGCGCCACGCCGAAGCGCTTGCAGAGGAGTCGGTCGGGCTGCCAGGGCTTCACCTCGCGCGTGAGCGGGCCGAACATGCCCACCCGCGCTGCCTGTGCTTTCGGGCTGAGCTCCTCCTCGGTGGGTTTCTTCGGAGATGGCTCTTCCTCCTTGGGCTTGCCCTGTTCCTCTGTGCCCGCCGATTGGAACTTCAGCAGGCCCTCCGGCATCGCGTTCGGTTGTTCGATGTGCGCCGCTGTTGTGAAGCGCCCCGCCATCGCCTCCGACATGGGCTTGAACATCTCCGCCGCCTTCGCATAGTCTGCCAGCTCCTTGTTGAACGCGTCGACTGACTGGTTCTGTTGTGGCTGCAGCTGCGGCGTGTGCTCGGGGTCGGCCTGCGACTCAACGTAAACGGTGTAGCGCGCGTGCTTCGCGGGGTCGGTGGCGAACGGCTTGTAGCCCTTGAGAGCGGACTGAGCGACGTGGCGATCGATTCGAGGGTAGACGACCTCGGTGGCGGCGGCTTCGGGCTTGTCGTGGAGACCAGCGGCGATGCGCTGTAGGCGTTCCTTGTCTTTCTGGGAGATGAAGTCGAACACGGATCGTGGGGCAGCAGGTAGAGGCGTCTCCCCCAAGAGGTTTCCGCGCTGGACGAAGAGGTCAGACCTGCGTAACAAGTTCCAAAGTGTACTCACCTCGTCTGCTGTCTTGCCCGACGTTCTCCACTTCTCGTGAGGCATAGGGCCTTGCGGCTGTGGCGGCGAGGGCTGATTCTCCTTCCCCGCACCCCATACTCGTCTTGGGTCAGGCTTCCACCCAGGAGGTACATCAGGTAGAGCGAACCTACGAACTTCATCAGCGAGCGCTTCATAACTACAGAAAATCCCCACTCACCACCTATCCTCCGCAACCGGTTTATCCGACAGCGTGAAGCCCGGCAACACGACCTGCCCATCCCGGAAGGTCTGCGTGAAGGCGCTGGATCTCTTCAAGGCATGAGCATCGGTTCCCCAAGAGGGTATCGAGGTCACCTGTTGGGCTTGGGGCTGCGCGCGTGGCTGCCCTCTGCGCGAGATGGAGATCTCGTCCTCTTCTTCGCGGTCGATGATGTCGTAGGCGACGCCGCGGCGGGCGGCGGGGGCGCCGGAGTCGTAGATGTCGAGGTCGTCCTCGTCGGCTTCGTTCAGGGCGCCGAGGCCGAAGCCGGCTAGGTGGGGATCAGTGAAAGTAGAAAGAATGTAAGAATGGATATTACCAGCGATGTTTGGCCCGGCGCGTTCCTTCCCGCTGCCTGAGCTTTCGCCTAATCCCATCCCCGGACGGTAGCCCAGACCGTGCGTGTTATCCTTCCGAGGGACTAGCAGTACCGGTGTATCTCTCGGTGCGTACGTGTGCTTGCTCGCCTCTTCGTCGCCGTCATCCGGTAAAGCGATATCGTCGGCTGCGAGGGTATGGCCGGACGCCGCTTGCATGTCCTGGATGCGGCGCTGGCGGAGGGAGACACGCGGGCCGACACCTTGTCCAAGCTTCCAGCCCATCTTCTTCAGGATGCGTGCACCGGCGGAGTCGGTAGGGGGTGGGAGCATTGATCGTTCGAGGGCGCTGGCGATCGAGCTGCATGGGGAGGTTGGTAAGTACGAGGGTGGTATATTAGTAGTTTCACGACGCACTCAGATCCCTCGTCAGGTCGCTCGTCCGCACGGCCAGTGAAATCCATCTGCTCTGTGGTGTCGACGAGCTTGCGGCTGTCGCGCAGGTCCTGCATGTCTTCCTCGTCCATGAAGTCCTCGGGACGTGCCGCCTTGACCTTGCCGCGATCCTTGCGGGACGACACGAATGTGGAGGGCGTCCATCCTGTCGTAATTGAGGGGAGTGGTTCATCGAGAAAGCTACGCGCTACGTACCTTCCTTCGATCCTACCGTGTTGAAGTACCCAGCTGAGAAACCGCCCGTGAACGCGCCGTGCAGCCTTCGCCGCCCTTTCTCATCTCGAACCTGTCCCCCGGTCAGTAATCTGCTGGAGCGCAGTGCTTGAGGACTTCACCTCTTGTTTCCATAAGGGAACAAACTCGCCCGTGTCCTTTGACTTCTCTAGTGGAGGCAAGGGCGTGCCAATCTTTGGTGCATGTGTTAGCGAGGAATGAGATGCGCTGTAGAATGCACGTACAAGACAGAAGTTCTCGTTCACCCGGGAACTGCTCAAATCTACACCAGCATCGCCGAGCTTCCGCTTCAGTCTGCTAGTCATGATGGAAGATGAGGGGAATGAGCAAGTGGCGAATGATGTATTGATGGGGAAGAGTTCGAGTACGGGCGACCAAAAGGCTGTGCAAAAGTGGAGGCTTCGTCAAGTGCTGTCTGCCGGCGTGGCGAAGTACGACAGTGGGTGAGCTGCACTCTTATGCTAGCGGGGAACACTAAAGAACGATTTGTGGCGGAGACAAAAAATGGCCCGTACGGGGGTCGAACCCGCGACCTTGGCGTTATTAGCACCACGCTCTAACCAACTGAGCTAACCGGCCAGTGATGATCGTTCCCACGTCTGAGACCGGACGCCATCCAAGACACATCACGTCCCATCCAACTTCCCCTCTGCGTCACTTGCTTCTCACCACCATCCATTTCAAGAGCTGCACCAGAAACGCACAATCATGCCCCCCACTCGCACCACCAGATCCTCTGGAGCTCCCAAGCTCAAGCAAGCGAAGCTGAGCTTCAACGCCTCCAAGCGTGGCGCATCTGCGAACACCGCAAAGCCCGCCAAGACCTCCGTCGCTCGCACCAGCTCTACCCCCGTCCTCTCTAGGCGGGCCTCCTCTTCCAGCTCAAGCATCAGTGCCGACAGCAGTAGCAGCGATCATACAGACGATGAAGATGACATTGAGGTTGTGGAGGCTCCTCGCAAGTCGACGAGGCGACTACCCCTAGCCAAAGCTGTCATAGACGTCGATGCTGAGGCCGAGCCTCTCGACGTGAAGGACCCACGGTGGAACCGAGCTCACAAGGAAGCGAAAGAGCTGCGCGGCACACCGCTCGTTCACGCCGAAGGGCAGAACAAGGTGCACGATATCTTGAGGGTCTTCGATATGTTCGTCTGCGCCGACGTCATGTGTTAGCGCACCCCTCACAACTTTTCCCCTCCTAGGACCTATAAGTACGGCCCGTACGTCGGCGTCACCCGCCTAGAGCGCTGGGAGCGCGCTAATAACCTTGGTCTCAATCCCCCTCCCGAGGTAAGCCCCATATATGCGTCATCCCTGATCGCAAGGCTGATCGTCTACTCCTTCCCTGCAGATTCGAGACATCCTGCTCACTCGCGAGGGCAGAACACTCGACGAATATGCTCAGAGCGCCGTCTTCGGCAAGGGCGATGTGCTGCATTGAGCAACCCCCCTGACCTGCTCCTCCTTGCTTTCTGTGCTTCTGCTATCTTGCTGCTCGTTTGCCTCTTCTGTGCTGTACCTGTCCCTTCTTCCCCTTGTATCCTTGGACTTTCTGTATCGCTTGAGTTGCAATCGAAATTACCTGTATCATTACCCGCCCTTGTCCAATAATATCATAACGGCTACTTCTCTTTACTTCATGGCCAGATTCACATCCCCATTCAACCGTCCATCCTGCGTCGTCTTCTGGTAACACCAGTCTCACGCGTGTCTGTGGTCGCGCTTCATCAACTCACCGCTCTTCCAGACATTACCCCGACTGTAGCGTACCTATGGGTCGACTATATCGCATCGACGCGCCGAGCCCAACATCTGTCAAGCGGTGTCCAGCCTAGGATGGGTCTCTGTGCCGGCACGATGTGCGCTCATGAACGGCTCTAGTGACACTTCCTCGTAAAGGCCGCTCCAGTGGCCTGCTCATGCGGCGACATGACGGCGGACTACACGCCGGCAAGGTTGTCTTCGTAACCTCCCCTGCTCTCCCTCCCTCCTCCCATCTGTAGCACTTCTCCCTGCTGAGCAGAGTCAAACATGTCGAATGCACCACCAACCCCGATCCAGGAATCCTACACCGATGTCCTCATCATCGGCGCGGGCCCAACAGGACTAATGGCAGCAACTGCCCTCCGGCGCGCTGGCGTCGACGTCCGGATCGTGGACAAGAAGTGCGTGTAGTTGCTTTCAAAGCTCCCCACTTCGCCTGACTGAAGGTCGGATCAGACCTCATGGTGTCACCTCGGGCCAGGCAGACGGTCTGCAGCCTCGGACGTTGGAGATACTTCAGGCGAGCTTTTATTTTCTGTCAAAGACGGGAGCATTCAATATCTCGCGTGGATAGACCTACGGTCTCGCGGACGACCTTCTTCGCCAGGGAGCCCAAATCCGTGTATCGGTGCGTGAAGTCTTTCTGACATTCGAGCTTGCTCACTCGAAACCGCTGCAGGCGTTCTACAACCCATCCACAACCGGCGATGGGATCGAGCTCACCAGCCGTACCCCGTCTATGGCGGCCGCCGCCTCGGACGCGCGCTACCCGTATAGCGTAAACCTCCACCAGGGCCTTATCGAGCAGAACTTCCAGAATGCGTTGCGTGCCATGGAAGTGGAGGTCGAGCGCTCGACGGTCCCGACGTCGATTGAGATCTCGGAGGATGAAGGGGTCTTGCAGGATCCGGAGGCGTATGCGGTGAAGGTGAGTCGCGCTCGCGCTCTGAAGTCGCTTCTCTGCCCTTCTCTTCGAGCTACGCTTAACTCAACCCCTCTCAGGTCCACCTTGACTGCGCTCTCTCCCCCTCCGAGACGGCCTCCTCACTCCTCCACGCCCGCTTCGTCGTTGGCGCCGACGGCGCGCGATCCTGGACGCGCAAGGCCCTCGGCCTCGTCCTCGAGGGCGAGCAGACCGACCTTTACTGGGGCGTTATTGACTTCGTGCCCGATACCGATTTCCCGGACGTGCGCAACTTCTGCGCATTGCACACGCATCACGGGTCGCTGATGTTGATTCCGAGGGAGGGGGATATGGTGAGCACGCGTGCGAGGGCAAAGATGGGCTGTGGAAGGCCTTGTGGGCCGTGGAAGGCGCTGATCGGTAGAATAGGTGCGCATATATGTGCAACTGGACAAGGACGCGCTGGATCTGGATGAGAAGGGCGATGTGAAGAGGGAGAAGTTGTCGCCGGAGGTGTTAATGCAGGTACCGTATTAACCGGCACACTAGCGATACCTTCTTTCTCATCGCGACTTGCAGGTAGCGAAGCGCTGTCTCCGGCCCTTTCACATAGATCTCGAACACCCTGACTCGGGCTACCATTGGTGGACCATATACCGTGGTGAGTCTTTAACCCCCTCGCTGAGCAGGATGGCGCTCAATCCTGCGTAGTCGGTCAACGCGTCGCGAATCAGTTCGCTGTGCGCGATAGGGTGTTTCTGGCTGGCGATGCGACGCATACACATTCTCCGAAGGCTGGACAGGGGATGAACGCAGGCATTGGAGACGCGCACAACTTGGGTGAGTGTAAGCGTAAATGACAAGACGAGCGAGATCTCATCGCGAGGTTTACTACCGTAGCGTGGAAGATCGCCCAGGTCCTGAAGGGTCACGCTGATATGTCGCTGCTGAAGACGGTAAGAAGAACAGTTCATTGCCCCTGAACTTGCTTGACCCATCTCCAGTACGAGTTTGAGCGGCGTCAGTACGCGCAAGACCTGATCGCCTTCGACAAGACGTATGCGAAGATGTTCTCGGGGAGGCCGCCGTCCAGAGATAATACAACCGGTGTTACCCACGATGAGTTCTATAAGTCAGTCTCATTCTCCCATGACCATAAGGTCCTACTCACGATCCTCGAACACACGCAGAGTGTACAAGAGGTCCAGCTCGTTCACGACCGGCATAGGCATCACCTATGCACCCTCTGTGATTAATAGACCCGCGCACGAAGAGTACGCCTCCGGTATCACTATCGGCGCAAGGTTCCCGCCCCGCGTCCTTCTCCGTGCGGCGGACGCTATGCCGATTAACATCCATGACCTGCTGCTGGCGAATGGGAGGTTCAAGGTCCTCGTCCTCGCCGGCGACTACACGCGACCGACATTCGCGACGGACGTTCGACAATTTGCCGAAGATTTGACGGCCCTTCTGGCGAAGTACGGGAGGGCGACGGCTCTAGAGTCAATGGACGTTGTCACTATCCTTGCAGGGAAGCAGGACCCAGGATGTATCCTGCCTTTGCCGCCAGTCATCAGGCTTCATTGGAGCAGGTATGTACCTTGTCTTACGCTAATGGCCACTCAACTGATATAAGATATGCGTAGCGTACTCGTTGACGGTACTGAAGCGGGAGGACTGCTTGTCAACCCAGGATATAGCCAATACTATGGCATAGATCCCTCAAGCGGCGCCGTTGTGATAGTCCGTCCTGACGCGCATGTCGGTGCCGTCATGCCTCTTCTCCAGGCCGAAGGGCTGATGGACTACTTCGGCGCATTTTTACGCCCCCGTTCTGGTAGGAGAGCGTGAGGTGGCTGCGAGGTGCCCGCATGTACTAGCGTTGCTACAGTGCCAAGGCCCCATGTAAGCGCCAGAGTATCAGATTGGTCGTGTACACTCGACCTAGCATGCGGGGCGCTCGATAACGACGGGATTCATCGCACTCATCAAGGCGTCGGGTGGATAGGCGGGAAGAGCGGCTCTGCCGCTTCTGTCGCTGTGACGTGGAGGACGAGGGTCATGCGCTGCTTGTGTGTGAAGGGGATGACGAGCTGGTGCGGTTGAGACAGGAACTGGTCGACAGTCTTGCGCTCAAGGGCCTGCTCGGGAGGTGCGCGCAGTTGGGAATATCGGGGACCATACTGCATTTATCCCATCATAAGCGCGATGACGTGGTGGCGAGCTGGGCACGGTATGTTTATCGGGTGCTCTCACTCTTCGAGCGCTCAGCAATATTTGTACCTCCTGGTTATCGAGTCCAATAACTGCATTATACCGTTTCTGTCGTGCTGCGTAGCCGAACTCGTGAGTTGATTGCTTGAGCAATATGTACACAGCGATAAGCTACGCGGTGCTCCGCCGCGCAGTGGTGGTACCCCTTTGCTGCGTGGGGCGGATAGGGTTGTTCCTGTTTAGGGACCTCGCCCGAATATCTCCTTTCCTTTCCTTTCCTTTCATCACACCATTTCTCTACCCCGTTTGCATGAATATGGACATAGATGGCAATGAACTCACAGTGCGCTCGGCTCGATAATCCGTTGAGAGACCGCTGACACGTATTTGCAGCTCACCCCTGCTGACTCTTGGTGATGTCCTGAGAGTGGATTTACCGTTTCCGGTGACGAGCGGAACCAATTTCTGTCTTCGCAGTTTCAGCGTCCCAATCCGAGCAATCCTTCTCGCATTCGCTGACCGGCCAGTGAAAATTAGGAAAGCCGCTCACCACGCCTGTCCCGAGCAAGTAATCTTTTACGACACTGAGCGCTCGCGAGCAATATTGGCTCATATGCCTTGACGTGTACCCAATCCCCTCATCTGTCCCGGTCTGACAGCGTCGCAAAGGCGGAGCCGGCACCCATATATAAGTCCCGTATCTACTGGCCGTACCGCGTCACATCGCGTCCCCAGTACAAAGGCCGTTCAAATCGTCATAGTCCGCTTTTTCACCACTATGAAGGAATCCTTCGTCGACGTCCTCATAATTGGCGCCGGTCCAACGGGCCTGATGGCAGCTTTAGCTTTGAAGCGTGCTGGCATCGACGTTCGGGTCGTAGACAAGAGGCGCGCAGCTACGTACACGCCCCGCTTGCTTGTATGGTGCTAACTACGTTATGCACCATAGGCAGGAGGGTGTATCGGTCGGGCAAGCCGACGGTATACAGCCGCGAACGCTGGAGATTCTGCAGGTAACGCGTATTCATACACCGATACTTATCCACTCACAATGCATTCAGACATACGGCCTAGCAGATGAGCTATTTCGACAGGGCGGTCAGCTACATACGACGGTATGGGTGATGGCGCAGTCCAGTCAGACAAAAGTTTGACTCATATCGGTGCAGGCTTTCTACAATCCGGCCTGCAAGGGTGACAACATCGAGGTGCGTTGCTCCAGGGATTGCCTACGCGCGCGCAATCATTGGCGGGAAACTGAGCTTGGGGCTGATGCCACACATCTATATAGCTTAGCGTTAGGGTGCCCACCGTTACGGCAACGACTGCACGATACAAATTCAATGTGACTCTCCACCAAGGCGCCGTAGAGGGGATCTTCCGCGAGGCATTGAGTTCCATGGGCGTGGAAGTTGAGCACTCGACCGTCCCGACGTCGCTGGATATTCTCGACGAATATTTGGGCAACCCGAACGCATATGCTGTCAAGGTGCGCGAAGGTGTTCTCGCGTTTCGCTGCCTGCATTGACCGAGATGTCGGGCTGGTTCTTTAGGTTCATCTCGCGGACGGAGACTCCGCCAACCCGAGTCCCAACGAAGTTGTCAACGCCCGCTTCGTCCTCGGAACCGATGGTCAGTTGCTTGTTGCTTGTCAACCCTGTTCCTAATAACTCGTCACTGACTGGATGCTTATAGGCGCGCGCTCTTGGACGCGCAAGGCTCTCGGCTTCGTCCTCGAAGGCGAACAGACCGACCTTTACTGGGGCGTCATCGACTTCGTGCCCGAGACCAATTTCCCGGACATACGGAATCATTGCCTATCGCACACGCGCTATGGCTCTTTCATGGTTATCCCCAGGGAGGGTGATCTGGTAATTTTTCCATTTCGTATAAGCTTGACGATATCATTGACTTGCTTGCCTGTGTGATATAGGTACGCTTGTATGTGCAGATGGACAAGGATACCTTGGACTTGGATGAGTCGGGCGACTTTGACAGGTTCAAGATGAGTCCGGATACACTGCTCAAGGTTCGAATTTGTGTGAATAAGGCATCTCGCGCTGACAACTCGTGCAGGCAGCGCAACTACGCCTTCAACCGTACAATATCAGCCTCAAGGACCCCGCAGCAGGGTACGCTTGGTGGACGATATACCGCAGTGCGTTTCTTCCTCAGTTCACGCGATATCCAGCCTGATTGAATCCGACAGTCGGGCAACGTGTAGCAAACAAGTACGGCATGCACGAGCGAGTGCTTTTGGCCGGCGACGCAACGCATACCCACTCGCCGAAGGCAGGGCAAGGGATGAATGCTGGGATCTGCGATGCGCACAATCTGGGTGAGCATCGTGCTACTGTCCTTAATTGACGCTCTCGCTAACGGGCTTCGTACAACGCAGCGTGGAAGATTGCGCAAGTTCTGCAGGGGCATGCAGAACTGTCTCTGCTCAAGACGGTGAGTCGATGACCTTCACAACTATTTTCTTGATGCTGAGACGGTCATAGTATGAATTGGAGCGCCGGACGTACGCACAAAGTCTGATCTCCTTCGACAAAGAGTACGCAAAGTTGTTCTCTACAGCTGGGGTCACTCATGAGAAATTCATGCGGTTTGTCTGCATCTCGTCCTTGCTCCACCGTACATTGATCATTTTCTGTTTCAGCGCGCATCGTGCATACAGCCCTTTCATCAGTGGCATCGACTTCACATATCCTCACTCCCCGATAACGCAGGAGACGCATCAGGACTATGCATCCGGTGTCGTAGTCGGTCGACCTTTTCCTCCTCACGTCTTCTTCCGAGTAGCGGACGCCAGGCCGATTAACATACAAGACATGCTACCTGCTAATGGACTTTTCAAGCTTCTCGTCTTCGCAGGCGAACATGCCCGGGCCGATTTCTCAGCCGACCTTCAGGCGTTCGCTGACGGACTAGCCGATATTCTGGCCAAGTATGGCAGGAGCGGCACTCCTATAGCGATGGACGTCGTCACCATCATGGCGGGCAAACAGGATCCGGCGTGTCTCCTGCGTATACCGTCCACTTTGAGGCCTCACTGGGCCCAGTAAGCATCTTCCAGTCTGACTCTGTCCCAACTACGACATGCTGGCTAATGCTTGTGTGCAGAGTCGTCATAGACGATGATACGGATGTTCATGGCCACAGTGCTGGAGGAGGTTACGAGAAATTCGGCATCAATCCTTCGCGCGGAGCAATCGTCGTCGTCCGTCCCGACTCGGTTACGGGAGCGATAGCGCCTTTGCAGAAGATCGAAGCGCTAGAGGGATATTTTGACGACTTTTTGTTGCCATCCTTGGTCTGAAAGGGAGTAGGTGTAGTACGTTGGTGAGAAACGACGACATGCACAATCTCAGAGAGTCGCCACCATTTGTGATCACCGCGGCGACTGAATGAGTGCCATACAAATCCATCGTTTTCGTGCATATTTCTTTCTCTTTCCCCGTCGTCATCATGCCTCCGACCTCCGAACGAGGGTTGCCTCAGGATTTCGAACAGCACGGATGTTGCCGTGTTCCTCATGCTTTCCGCGTACTGACCGTATGCTCTCGAGCATATATGGCAATGGATTCACAGTGCGCGTCTATATTGCTCCCCTCCAAAAGACCGCTGACATGCATTCCCAGGTCATCGATGCTGATGTTCGACAATACCTTGAGAGTGGAATAACCGCTTCCAGTGTCTAGTCGCACGAGTCGCTTGGCATTTTCACAGAATCAGCCTTCCTCGCTCTTCTCGCGCCCACTGACCAACGAACAGACAACCCCTTCCTCACGCCTAACTGCGTAGGTCGCCTTCCTTTCATTGAGTCAGAAATAACGTAGACTATCCTTATCATAGATGCATTTTACCGAGGCCGAGGCGAGCGCTGAGCACTTGAAAGCGATTTCGACGCGCGCCCTTTACGCGGTGTCAAGATGGTCTATCCCTTCATGGTTTGACAGCGGCGTGGAGCGGGACCCTGCAGGCATATATAAGCCTGCTGGTCTTGGGTCCTTGGCGCAGTGCAATGTTCACACCAGGACTTAGGCTCAAATTTTATCGCCCGCCTTTCCACCACTATGAGGGGATCTTCCATTGATGTCCTCATCATCGGCGCTGGTCCGTCAGGGCTCATGGCAGCCACTGCTCTCAAGCGCGCTGGAATCGACGTTCGGATCGTGGATAAGAGGTTACTGGTCGGGCCCGAAGCGACTCAGGATGCTGATATTTGGTACCTTTAGACCGCAAGGAATATTGGCCGGGCAAGCCGATGGCATTCAGCCACGGACGTCAGAAATTTTGCAGGTAAGTTTACCACTCAATTCGTAGGATCTATACAACTCACACACGCATAGACCTACGGCCTGGCCGACGAGCTCTTCCGACAAGGCTGCCAGCTGCGTGTAACGGTAAGTGCGTGTCTGACGCTATAAGATCTCCCAGCTGACCATTCCTGCTGTACAGGCCTTCTTCAATCCATCAACAGAGAGTGACGGAATTGAAGTGCGTCTGTCCGTTCGTAAAATCGGCGCCGGACTACATCGCTGGCAAAAACGTCCAATCTGATGAGCGTTCTTCATAGCTTAGCGGCCGGATGCCTACAGTGACGGCCCCAGATGCACGGTACCCGTACATCTTGACTCTTCACCAAGCCGCCATAGAGAAGATCTTTCAAGACGCAATGCGCTCCATGGGCGTGGAAGTCGAGCGTTCAGTTGTCCCGACGTCGCTGGATATTGTGGAGGAGTCAATGAAGGAATCAGAGGCCTATGCGGTAAAGGTGTGCGCATTCCATACGGCACCTGTGTCTTGCACAACGTATCTAATTGCATTTCTTGTCTCCTAGGTGTGCCTCGCATCTGCCGACTCTGCCGATGTGATCCCCAACGAGGTTGTCAGTGCCCGCTTTGTGATTGGGACCGATGGTCAGTGATTAGTCAGCTGTGGAGAGCTGTTGACTAGGAAAGTTCCCTGGACCCATCACTCACTAAATCCTCCCAGGCGCACGCTCGTGGACCCGCAAAGCCCTCGGCATCATTCTGGAAGGCGAACAAACTGACCTCTATTGGGGCGTCATCGACTTCGTGGCCGACACCGACTTTCCGGACATACGCAATCAATGTATGATCCACACGCATTACGGTTCGATCTTGGTTATCCCCAGGGAGGGGGACTTGGTGAGTACAAGACGGGTATATGGAAAGCTGTTCAACTTACTGCATCGACATGTGCCAGGTTCGCTTGTACGTGCAAATGAACAAGGAAGTGCTGGACTTGGACGAAGCGGGCGACTTCAACAGGTCCAAGATGAGTCCGGAACAGTTACTTGAGGTACGGATGAGATACTCGTACGAGGAAGCGTCTGCTCACCTCCCTCGGCACGATGCAGGCAGCAAGGCTGCGCTTTCGTCCCTACTACCTTAACCTCAAGGACCCCGAAGCAGGTTATCATTGGTGGACCATCTATCGCAGTAGGTTCATCTTCGCTAGCGAACTCCCCCCTCATTAGCGAACGCGAGCCTCATCTGATCAACATTCACAGTCGGCCAACGTGTCGCAAACAAGTACGGCGTGCACGAGCGGGTGTTCCTGGCTGGCGATGCGACGCATACGCATTCACCCAAAGCAGGGCAAGGTATGAATGCTGGGATATGCGATGCTCATAATCTGGGTGAGTACCGAGGCTCAATGCTCACTTCGTTCACTCACGAATCGCCGGGCGTCGCAGCCTGGAAGATTGCCCAGGTCCTCCACGGACATGCAGACTTAAGTCTGTTGAAGACGGTGCGCTTGAACCGCTCCCGTAGTGCGTACCGCGGGCTGAACAGTTCGCAGTACGAACTTGAGCGCCGGACATTTGCGCAGAGCCTAATCGCCTTCGACAAGGAGTACGCAACGCTCTTCAGTACCGCCGGCATCACGCACGAAGAGTTCTTGCGGTGTGTCTGCGTCTTCAGCCTGTCCCCTTTACTACGGCTTTACTGACATTGCTTTCAGGGCGCACAGTAGCTTCAGCCCCTTCATCAGCGGCATGGACTTCACCTATCCTACCTCAGCGATAACCCGCCAGACGCATCAGGATTATGCGAAAGGCCTCATTATCGGTAGACCTGTTCCCCCTCACGCCTTCCTCCGTGTGGCAGATGCCAGGCCGGTGAACATCCAAGATATGCTGCCTGCCAACGGGAAATTCAAGATCCTCGTCTTCGCCGGCGAATATTCCCGGGCTGACTTCCTCGCAGACCTTCAACAGTTCGCCGAGGGGCTCGTCAATTTACTGGCCAAGTATGGGGGAGCTTCTGACTCCAGGCTGATGGACATGGCCACCGTCTTGGCGGGTAAACAAGACCCGGCATGTCTCCTGCAGATACCGTCCACCCTGAGGCCTCACTGGGCGCAGTAAGCAGTTTTCAGCCCGTGACCGTGATACGCTAGCTAACGCCGGCTTACAGAGTCGTAGTCGATGATGATGTAGATGTTCATGGTCATAGTGCAGGTGGAGGATATAAGAAGTTTGGCATTGAATCATCGCGAGGAGCAGCTGTCGTCGTCCGCCCAGACTCATTTGTGGGGGCAGTCGCGCCTCTGCAGGGTATCAACGCGCTCACTGAATATTTTGATTGCTTCTGGAAGCCCTCCTAGCTCTGACGAAGAGACAATGCATGTAGCAATTGCTAGAATATGAGTGGGGGGTATGGCCGCAAGCGGCGTGGGCCGAACCTTTAGGTACGTCGGGAATGGCAGCAGCAAGGAAGTGTCGGCAAGCACTGACGACAATTCCTCTTATACATTGTGATACATCGTACATTGGGTGATTTACTTCCAAGCTACCTTACAATCTCTGCGTAGGTCCTAAAAGGGTACTGCAAATCTGGCGGAATTGTGAACTTCATGCGTGCAGAGGGGCATCGGCGCGCCCGAAGATCTGCTGTTAGTGCTTGAAGAGCTGCTGAGGTTCGAAGACCAGCTGCTGTGGGTAGTCGAAGGCCTGCTGCTGAGGCTCGAAGGTCTGCTGCTACCATTTAACGAAGTCTCGCTGCTACGGCTGCATCGCCGGTGCCACCGGATTACTCGTCGTCACATAAGCGTTCAAGTCCTGTAGCGGGCACGCGTTCAAGTCCAGTAGCGAGTACGCACCCACGTTCGGCAGGGGGTACGCGTCCGCGTTCAGCGGACCGGCGGGTAGCGGGCAGGGACGCGACTCGTCGATGCGGCGAAAGGGCCCATTGACGCGGTCACAGGGCCCCTCGACACCGTCAAAGGACCCCTCGACTGCATTGAAGGTCCGGCAGCGAAAGCAGGATTCGGATTTGTCCCATCGGAATTCGTGAGCGTGAGGCCGACGAACTGGATTGGGTTCCGTGGCGGTGGAAGTAGGGGTGGAAAGTGCAGGAGGCTGCCGAGGTCATGATGCGAGGGTGTCGAGACTGCGAGGGTATCGCTGCGAGAGGTTGGAGGGTTCACGCTGCGAGAGGACCCATACTTCACGCTTCGAGAGGGTCAAGGATCCAGATCACGAGATGAGCGAGCACCATGAGGTTCGCGAGAGGGCGACGAGAGACCAGGCAGAGGAGGCACTGTGCAAGGCGAGGGTGGGATTGCGCGAGGCGGGGTACATGCCGGTTCGTTCGCAGGCTCAGCCAGCTGAGCTGGCAGGGGGAAGTCCATGTTCTGATGACGCAAGAAGTCCATTGTCGGTCCTTCGCAGGCGCGGCCAGGTTCATTGTGGGTGCAGCGATGTCCCTCGCAGGTTCGGCCACATTCATTGTGGGCACATTCATGTCCATCACAGGTGCGTCCATGTCCGTCATAAACGCGCCAAAGTCCAAGCCGGCCTCATCGCCAGGAAGCGCGTTAGTCCACAAAACTGGATCGTCTCGGCTGGGCATGTCGGGGGCGCATGAGATGAGGCCGTTGGGAGCGGAAAGGTCAAAGGCTTTCACTGGCCGTAGGCATCGAGAGCAGCTTGACCAAGACCGCTGGAAGCCGGCTGCCCGGAGCCCCCAAGAGATGGTTCACCAAGACCGTCGAAGGCCGGCTGACTAAAGGCGGGGAGCCCAATCCCATCGAATGCACTTTGTCCCGGCTCGACGAAGAGGAGGGGAGGGACAGACGAGATGGGAGGCGGCGAGGGTGCTGTCGCCAGCGGCGCCGTCGAATTCAATGTCATCCGTGGCTTCCGAATGTGGGAGGATCGACGAACGGGCTGCGGCGCGAGGTCAGAGGAATTGGGGCGGTCCGTACGTTGGCGCTGCGAGTGCGCTGACTTGCTCTTGCGTGTTCGATCCCTCACTGCGAAGCCCCACGAACGTCTGCCTCCGGGAGACTACTTGTTGGGCGGTTGCGGAAGTACCGACGTCGATCCCATATCCTGCTCTTTGCCTATGTCGTTGCCACTATCCCGTGCTCTCTTCGCGTTCTTCTTCCCTTGAGTACGTGGTGCATGAGCGTGATGGCGTACTCGGTGGCGATGGAGACCAGCTTCGTCATTTTGAACTGATATTCTGAACCATTGGGATGCTTGCATATGTACGGAAATATGTTGCCACTGTATGATAGGTTACTCACGAGCGCGAAGCAAGGAACTCGAGAATGCACGTACTGGTGAACATTTTTTGTGCGCCTCGAGCGCGTATAGCACTGCCCTTCCCTGAATCGGGCCTGATGGACAGGGCGGACGTGTCGTTCGACGCGATACCGTGTATACCGAGCGCACGTACCGCCCTCGTCCCTCTTCTCCCGTCCCACGCCATTGAGCGCACTACCAACCCGTAGCGGCGGGTCGAGCGCGAGCCTTAGCGGGATTGCTTCGCCCGTGCTTGACCCTATCTTTTTCACTTCCCCCTTCCCCAGTCCATAGACTAAGTAGTTGTGGATTGTTATTTTCCAGGACGTCCTCGACTCCCGTGCCCGGGTAGCCCGCCGCAGGGCTCGGAGGCCGTGATGCGACGCAGCGGCGCGGGAACGTGATGCATGCGCGCCCGAAGGCCTCGAAAACGCGTGCTGCCACCGCCGCCGCGCATCGTATCGAATGCAGAATATATGTAAATGATGTCAAGAGAGGGAGGGCAAGAAAGAGCCAAAAAAAAGCCGCAACAAAGCGCGGAACTTGTGTTCGCGCTCCCGCGGCCCGCGCAGCACGCGAGAATGCAGGAGGACGGTGGGGAAGGAATGAGAGATATCTCCTCAAGCTACGTGCACCCATTCGCGTCGAAAGACGCGTCCGCGGTGGTCACGTAGCAAGGTGAAGGGAGGGGAGGGGGAGGGAGCGAGAGCATTGCTCTACGCTCCCCGCGTTCTTGATACACGCATGGATCAGGACATCACCTACACTGGGAAGATCCAGCTCCGAGTTCGTGAGCTCGATGTGCTGGTACGTCGTGTCGCGCCGCTGCTCAAGCAGCTCCACCTCGAGCGAGCCTCGGACCGAGTCGACGAGAGCCGGTAAGTGCCCTCCCCAACCGCGCGTCGCTGACTGCGAGCAGAAATGTTGCATCTGCGAGAGGGACTCGGGCGCGGGCGCCTGCGCCCAGTCGAGCTGCGTCGTCGCACGAGCGGGGGTATCACCCGAAGGTGAGATGCCACTGCAGCCATACAGACCTGCGAGGTCCACGGGGAGCGAGAGCTTGCCCGCAACCTGCGCTACTGCGCTCCCTCAGCTGCTCCGCGTGTTGCTAAGGGGCTGGCACGGGCGGGGGTGATGTACACCCAACCCCCAATCCACCCATCGAGGGACGAGGCGGAGGGGGGTTGAACAATAGCGTAGAATGCGCCGCCATCGACAGCCCGACACACTGGGCCAGCTGGGGTCGGACTGGGTGCGCGGCGCACCGTAGTCGCGCAAGACGCATCTCCCGCGACACGGGGGATTGCCGTGAGGGGGTTATTCGCGACCGCAGCGGAGGGAGAAGACCCGCGCCGATTGCAATGGACGAGGGCGGGGTGTGGACACGACAGCCATAGGGCCATCAAAAACTCCCCTATGACGCTTTAAGCGCCATAAGCAAGACCCTCGCCCCTCAGACTACGTCCGAGGGCGACAGTGGCCCACCTCGTCCCCCTCGTCCTGCTCTCGCATCTCCCTCATCTCCGCCATCCGCGCCGCAGAGCAGCAGTAGTTGGTAATGAAATATAGTGCAGGGTGCGTTCACGCACCCGGAACCCCCCTCCTCGTCCAGCTCGCGGCCGTTAACATGGCTTGTTTGTTGTTGATTCGTGCAACGCGATCGCGGGTGTGCACCTTAGACTCGGCAGCGGCCGTATCCAGGCGTTGAGAAGGAGAGAGGTTGTGGGAGGGGTGCTTGGGAGGGATGACGAGACGAGGCGCGCAATGTGCTTGAGGTTGAGGACGAGGAACGCGCTTCGCGGATTGCGACCGGGCGTGCGGCCCGAGCAGTTCATCTGGGCGTTGCCGAAGGGCATCTATGAGCGCCTCTCAACAGAATTCATTACTAGTACGATGGACAGAAGCGAGCCTAGGTAAGCAACGACACTGAAAGGTGTCGTTAAATGCGAAGACAGCGTGCGCGTCAAGTCGACGAGTTATTTGGACCACACCGCCAGAGCAGTACGTCTGACGTGTGGTTCGAACTCGATGGAGGCAGATGCCACGTATCTCTTCCAAAATGGGACATCACGTGATGGACAAAGTCCGACTTCACACTGGACAGTTTCCTCGACCCAAAAAGGAAGTACACGTGATGGACAAAGTTCGAATTCACGTATGAGAGCCTCACCTAAAGGTTCGGCAATAATTCTGAACTTCGCAGCGACGCTGTGAGAGGATCGAATAAGCGCCGTACAAACAACGATCAACACCAGAACTATTGTTTTCGCGTCCATTGTTCTTAACCTTACCCCATCATCATCATGCCTGTGACTCCAGAACAAACTGCAGCTATCAAGGAAGTGATATCTGCGATCACCGCCGTCACAGGCGCGCCTCGCAAACGCCGTCTGGCGGAGATGTTCATGGAACTAGTGGATCGCGAAGCATGGCCCCAATACTATCAGTATGTGCCTGCGCCGCGGTCTATCGAGGATACACAGAGGAACCTGGACGCGAACAAGTATCATAATGCCATTGATGTGTACACCGACCTCTCCCTTGTATTTTGGAACGCGCTGTTCTATAACGAGAGCGGTAGTCAGATCGCCGAGGACGCGAAAACGCTGAAAGTGTGTGACTGAATTTCCCCCTTGGACCTCGATTGACCCAACGGTGCAGAGAGTACTGGAAAGAGAATGGCGACAGAGACCTATCCTTCCCCCACCGCGCAGCAAGTCACCACCGCCAAATTCGGGTCAGAAGGTGCACAACCTTCCGTGGCGAGAAGAACTTGAAGAAGAGGAGGAAGAGGAAGAAGCCCCACCCGCTCCCACCCCTGCCGCTACTAAAGCGACTTCCGTACAACCGTCCACCCCTGCTCCTGCACCCGTGAAGTCACGTCCAGTCGAACCTCAGCCCGTCGCGTCCACATCCAGGACGGCCTTCCCTGAGCCCAAGGTAGCGGAAGAGGTGGTCGACGTCGAGATGCTGGACCCGGTAGACGATTATGCGATCTCAGGCCCGACCCTTGGGAGCACGGAGCGGGACCCCGAGAGTGAGCAGATCGTGGAGAAACTGGAGAAGAGCTGTCCGCCTTGGCCTGGATTCTCTGAGGAGGGATGGGCCGAAGACATCAATTCTGTGCGTAATCCTGCAACTGGCGCGAGCTCACTCTTATGGCTTGTCGCAGAATAAGTTCTCGGACATCGTACATGCCATCAAGAGCCATAAGGACGTGATGTACGTCGACCATGTTCAGCCGCGTCTGTACCTTCCCTCATGCGTTGCATCAGAGGAAACCGTCTAGCCCTGGCGCTGGAAAGCATACCCGACTCCTTCACTGTACCCTCAGCGTCCGCACATATATCGGTTTCGCTCAAGCAAATTGAGGTGCGTCGCAATGAGCTGCACTAGTGCGTTCCTGACCTGATTCCCTCGGTAGACTCGTACCCGACACAAGAGCTACACCTCAGCAAAAGACTTCGACAAGGACTTCGCGATGCTCTTCTTGCGCGGACGACGGTATTACGCCATAACCTCCGAGTCCTATGGTCGCGTGCTCCTCCTACAGCGCCTCTACCAGGCCCTCACTTCCTCCGACCCGCCGACCGGACCGCATTACGCATCCAATACCAACTTCGCTGCCCTCGCTGCTGGCCCCGGACGCGTGCGACCCCTACACAGCGGCGCGCAGAGCCAAACACCAATGGCAAGCGCTACGGTAAAGGCCAGACCGCCAGTGGAGGGCGTCACCGGTCCCAGGGTCAACGAAGCGAACCGGTATACCGTGCCAGAGGTTCACTACAAGGGGTGGAATTTGCGGTTCGGAGACTGGGTGCACCTGAGCAATCCGGACGACCCTGCGAGGCCGATTGTGGGGCAGATATACAAGTGCTGGGTTGCGCAAGAAGGCGAGGTTGCCGGGTAGGTGATGGTCCTTTGTCTTGGATCCCTATCGCTGACATGCTCGACAGTGTGAAGCCAGGTCAACAGGGCGTCACCGTATCCTGGTACTACAGGGCCGAACAGGTGAGTAAACTGCCATCCTTGAGCTCGGGACGACAATCTCAATGTTGGTCAGACATTCCACTCCTCGCTGCGTAAGTTCTGGGAGAACGAAGTCTTCAAGACGAGTAAGGTCATCTTCGCTCGTGTTACATGCCCATCCTGACCACAATCTTCAGGCCACTTCGCCGACCACCCACTACCCGACGTCATCGAGAAAGTCGCCCTGCAATTCACAGCGCGCCACGTCCGAGGGCGCCCTCGACCACCGCACTGGTACCCCGGCTTCCCCCTCTACGTCTGCGACTCGCGATACAACGATCGTGACCGGGTGTTCGTCCGCATCAAGAACTGGGCGTCTTGCGTGCCCGAAGATCTGCGCATCGGCGACGAGTACATGCCTATCTTCCCCTTCGAACGGACTGTCTATCCGCGGCGGTACCCCAGTCCGTTCCTGCGAAACGACACGAGCGGGACCCAGCATCCTGGTGGCCTGCTTGATTCGCCGGAGCAGCCAGTGGCACCTGCACAGAAGCGCACGACGCGGCGCACGGCGGCATCCGCTACTCCAGCAACTGTCGCGCCAACAACCACATCGTATATCGCTCCTCCTCCACAAGCCGAGCCTGCACCCGCTGCGCCTACCGTCGATCGCTCCATCATCACTGTCGCAGGAGGCTACAGTGCCATGGGCGGCACCGTCTCGACTCATAAGCTACCTCCGGAAACAGTGCGCCGCTTCGCCAGGGACCCCGCGACAAACGAGCTGCTGTGGTTCCCGGCGCCACCTCCCAATGCGCCGCGACCTAAGGGCCCGCAACATAGCTTGGAGTACCTGCACTTCCTGGTGGAGAAACGCAAGCGGAAGCGCGAGACGAGCGAGTCGATGGAGGTTGATGGCGCTCACCCGCCAAGGAGGACAGTGGCGGAGATCTTGAGAGCGGCTGAGCTTGAGGCGGGCTTGCAGTAGGCTCCTGTTTGTACCACTATATGTTTGCATACACCGTTTTCACGATGCGTTTGTCTTCCTACGAGTAGAATAACGCATGGGTATACAAAAATCGGACCGCATAGTACTTTACAGCTAGCTGTACATGCCATACCATAATCTGACGCCGACCTCAGGCCTTCCTCGGCCTCAACTTCGGCGCCTCCGCGCTGTCGATGGGTACTCTCCTTGGCCCACCCCCAGCACCTGTCACCCGTAGTTTGGGTGGTGGCGAACTCGCCTTACTCCTCGTCTCTCTTGACGAGCCTGCCCTTGAAGAGCCTGCGGCAGCCATCTTGCTCGATGATGACCGAGTCTCCCTGCCGGATGACTTCGATGTTGAAGACGCCCCCGCCTTCGCTTTCGCAGTCGGCGCCATCGCCTTCTCCCCATCCTTGTCCTTGTCCTTATCCTTCCTGCTCTCCTTCTTTTTCTTCTTGGCCTTGTCGCCTGCGTTCTCCTTGTCCAGCGGGCGCTTATTGCCCGCTAACGAAGGCGGCACCACAGCGCGCCCCTTCCCCTTCGCATCCCGCGTCGGTGCGGGGGCAGGCGGAGGACTCGGCGGCGAGAGGGTCACGCCGAGTTCTTCTGCTAGCGACATCGGCTTCCTGGTGACCATCGGCGAGAACGGGTTATCGTCGTCGTCAATCACACCTCGCCCGTCTTCCTCCTCGTCCATCGCGTGCTCGTCCTCTTCTCGAAGCGGGTCGAGCGCGGAGATGGGTGGTCTCGAGTCGCCGTCCGACCCTGGGGAGTTGCCGAGCATGAGGATGCGGCTGAGCGGACTTGGTTGGGCGGGCGAGTATGCGTGGATCATGCGCGACGCCAGTGGTTTGGCGACAGGGTAGCCTCGACTAGGCGTACGCGGAGGAAGAGTGGACAACGGTGCAGATGACGGTGCAGCAATAGGCGCACTGGGTGTCGGTGCGGCAGAGAGCGACGGTAGGTTCAACGGTGGGAAGGCCATCGGCGGCAACGCCGGCTGCGGCGGGAGCGACGTCCTTGGGGACGGTGGTGGAAGAACGAAGGTCGGCAGCAAGCCCGCCGATTTCTCGCGAACGGGCTTGTCCTCGCCAGGACCAGCCTTCCCGTCAAACACATCCTTCCCTTCACTGCCAGCCGACTTCGCTCGATGCTTGCTTCCAATCGCATCCCCAAGTTGTTCCTCCCCCTCCTCATCCACCTCCATCGCCCCGCCCGCCATATGCGGTAGAACCTCCGTCTCGTATGCGGGCTCGATGCGTGTCGAGGGCATCAGTCCGCGCTTCGCCTTCGATGCCTTCCGCGGACTCCCCTTCGAGATCTTGCGGGGGCTACCAGCCTTCCCAAGCTTCGCTAGCTTGTGTGCAGAGACCTTGCGCGACCCAGATGACACCTTCCGCGGGCTGCCCGTGGTGTGTATCTTGGCTGGCGAGGGGAACAGCTTTCCTGGCGACGGGAACAGCTTCGCGGGAGACCTACGCGGGGAGCCGTACAAGGACAGCGACGGCGACGCGGCGGGAACGTGTGCGAGGATGGACATGCCTACGTCTGCGTCTTCATCCGCGTCCGCATCTGGCTCCTCTGCATCCTGCTCGTCCGCCATCTCCGCGTCTGCCTTCGGCTCGTCTGCCATGTCCTCATCATCGGGCGTCCGCCATGCCTCCTCATCGGGCGGCGGTGGGGGCTCCGACACAACCTTGTGCTCGCGCTTCTTGTCCGCCGACTTACCTGTCTTGTCTGCCGACTTGCGTGTCGTGTCCGCCAGCTTGCGCTTCTTCTTCTCCTCCTCCTGCTCAATCTTGCGCTTCTCCGCCACCATCGCAGCCTTCTCTTTCTCGAGCTCGAGGGTTGCTTCGGCTATCTTCTTTCGCTCGTCGTCGAGGTTGGAGCGGAGCTCCCGCTCGGCGTCCTTTTCGGACTGCTTCACGGCTCGCGTATCGTACCGGTCTACGGCTCGCGTAATGGACTGGTCCTTTCGAGCGTCGGCTGGAGCGTAATCCATTGAGGGAGATATATAAGGGAGGGTAGTGAAAAGTGGCGTACCTATTTGAGCTTGTAATTTCTTGATGGTGTCTTGCAAGCGCCCGACCTCTTCGGGTGGAACCTTGGCAGACGTCGATGGGGTGGGCTTGGATGACGTGGATTCGGTAGGGTCATCGGAGGGCATGAGATGCGCGATAGTCGCGCGCAGGTCATCGAGCGAGTCCAGGATCGCGTCCTTGGCAGCCGACGCAGGTGATATGGGGAAAAGGGATATGACCGTTGCAGGGGTCCACTGCGCGTCAAAGTCAGTCAACATACAGCTAGCGCAGAAATATCACGTACCTCATCCTTGCCCCCATCTTCCCTCGTCTCATGCACGATCTCCTGCATCCCATTCACCGCGGTCACCACCAGCCCCTTCACATGCTTGTTCTCCTCAATAATCTCCATCCGCGCCCTCTCCGACTCCTCCAACGACGCCTCCAAGAACGTCTGGCTCGAGCTCGCGACCATCCCCGCGTCCGCCAGGCCACCGTTCAGGCAGCGCATCCCGCTGGGCGCGGTGCTCGCCAGCTTGCTCTGCGCCTCTGCGAGCTTCGCCCACTTGTCCGCCATGCGGTCGATCTCCTTGTCCTTCTTCTTCAGCTCGTTCTGGTGCAGGGTGCGGATGGACTGGAGGCTGCTGCGCGTGCGCTGGAGCTCGGTGGTGGTGTGCTTGTGCGCGGCCTCGGATGAGTGGAGGGCTTTGTTGGCGTTGCTGGGTGGGGTGGGGTGTCAGTGTGGGGAAGGAGGGGTGGGGAGGAGGTTGTGCGCACGCCAGACGCGACTTGTAGGTGTTCATCTCCCGCTCGGCGTTGGCGGCCCTCTCTTCTGCGGCGTCGTACATCGACTTGAGCCGCTCATGATCGTAGGTCAAAGTTCGTAACTTCGTCGATAGTGTCTCCGTTCGCGACATGTCATCCTGCATAGGCTTTAGCGCGTTTCTCCTGCCCAGGTCACAAACACGCACCACTCGTTGGCTGAGCATCGCCAGGAGGCACTTCACGGCCTTCTCCATATCCGCCGACGCGACGCCGTCCAGCGACAGTCCCGGCGGGGCAGTAAATCCATGAGCGATGAGCTGGGAGTTGATGTACTGCAGGCTGGACGTTGAGACGAACTCTGTTGATGTATTGGATGCCGGCGAGTTCAGCGCGCTTGCGGGGTCCTGGAGGTTCCATCGGACGTTTCTTGGGCCAGGCGTGTTCATGTTTGTATCTGTGCGCCTGATGCGCGTCGGGTGCGGTCGTCGACGTAGGTGTCTTGGACGACGGTGCCGGCGACGATGGAGGCGGTCAACACGCCACACGCGGTGGGCGCGTGACCGTGTTGGCGGCCCGGTCAATCGGCCCGGTGATGTGGCGCTCGACAGCCCTTGGACCGCGCGTTCATCCCGTTCAGCGCTTGCATATCCAGTCCAGCCAGGTTCTCTGCCTAGTAATCGCCTAACAACACTTTCTCATGTCTACCAACCCCACGGAGGGTGCCATTAATGACCTTCCTCCCGAGATCCTTGGAGAGATCTTCATTCATTGTACTCCTCGCGACGACCTCACGACAGACAAGAATCTCCTATGGGTTTCCCCCTCCCAGGTTTGTCGTAGTTGGCGTCAAGCAGCACTTTCATGTCACCGCTTTTGGGCCCAGGCCATCACATTTGCCCAGCCATTTTGGACCTATACCACGCTGCGCCGCGCCGCCAGCGCGCCGTTAACCTTCAAAATCGATCTGGATCGCATAGAATTGGACTATGCTGTCACCATCGTCGCTCTTCATATCCAGAGGACGCGCGAATTGGTCCTCACCGGCGCCGACGTAGAGGTGTATCGCTTTCTCAAGCACTTCGCTCAGGAGGATTCAGAGGCGCCGCTTCTGGAGGTCATCCATCTGGATGCTACGAATTGGCGATCCCCCCTGGAAGAAGGAAGCATGTATCACCTCCCGAACATCTTTCCCAACCCTCAATGCATCCCATCTCGAATGAGGGTCCTCGAACTCATCAGCTGCATGCTACCTACAACGTCCGGAGTATACACCAACTTGACAACTTTGAGATTGTGTCGGCCACCGCCACCACGAGATCTCTTTGGGACATTATTTGCACTCCTCGGCGCTACGCCGAATTTGGACACCCTGACCATCGAGGAGCTCTGCGTTCTACCGGTGGGGTGGCCGACACGCTGCCCTCGTCTGGCGAATCTCACCTACAAGTGCAGTGATGACTCTCGCATACAGAACGAACTGAACGCGTTCTTGAGTCTACTCGGCACTCTGGATCCCACGCAGACGCGTAATGTCACCGCGCATGTCTTCGAGCCAAAGGACATCTACGCCGTCCTGAAGCACCGGATCCCATTCGGCACGCTCCCTGTACAGCTTCACATACAGGAGCAGGCAAAAGAGTTGGTCAAGGTCGTTATCGCCCCTCACGAAGCGACCAATGCGCCCTGCACCTTCACACTGCAGGCGCGCATCCGACGGGGCGCCAATGGCGACTTCCTCCCAGATCACCAGCGCACGCAGCTCGTACGGGAGACTGTCACCCTGCTCGGTCATCTGCCCATAACGTCCGTCTGCGTGCAAGGCTTCCACGATATAGCGCGCTGCGTCATCCGCGACCTCGACGCCCTCGCAGCGCTAGGGTCCGTCACGCACTGGAAGATCCACGGCACGCCGCCCCCGCCCCTCCTCCTCGAAGCCGCCCTCCTCCGCCGCATGCTCTCCATCGGCTTCCGCACGCGATTTTACCACGAATGGGAGATTCGCGACGCAGACGGCGGCGCGATCCAGATATTCCCCGCCCTCTCGTGCATCGAAATCGTGGGCGTCGATTTCCAGCCGCGCATGACGGGCATGTATGGCGGGGCGGTCGTAACGGCGGACGGCATCCTCTCATCGGGGGGCTCATATGTCTTCTCCCCCGTGGGCGACGTCATCGGAGTGACGGGCGACGTCTTCGCACCAGCAGGCCCAGACATTCTTCACCTCATCTTCATGCTCGTGTGGGCGAGCGCGGAGCGGCGGCGTCTGAAGGTGCTGCACAGCTGCGTACCCAAGGTCATCATCACGGACTGTCGAGACGTGGATGCGGGGATCGTGTACGCGATGCAGGGATTCACTAAAGTCCAATGGGATGGAAAGGGTGCCTCGGATACGAAGTATACGGAGTTCGAGGATGTGCGGTCCGCTGTGTTGAGTAGCTTCGCGGAGATGTTCGTGCAGCCGGTGTTGCAGCCAGTATAGGCCTGTTGTACAGTCATACCATGTCTAGTCTTGTGTCCTTTGCGCTCTGAATTCCATCGTCTTTCGAGCAGCCATTCATGGTTCCGCTTTTACGGGAGTCGGCCCGGGCTGTCTCCATCCACTCCTTCCCATCACCATCAGCGCTCTTCTCTCCTTCGTCTTCGCCCACCACGGCGCACCCCACACGCCTTTCGCAGCGGCCGAAAGCTATCTCAACTGTCCCTGCTTCGCAGTGACGGCCGCCAGGTCATCGAGGACGGCCATCGTAGGTGCCAGAGTAGATGGGTACTATGGGGTACCTGTTCCGACTTACTCTCCGTGATGCCACAGCTCAGGTGAAGCAGTCTCTACTGAGAGCTGCGCGTCGGCGTTCCCATCGCAAGCCATGCCGCACAACGATCTCAACCGATGTAACCAGCCCCCGTGCGCGGCATGTATTAATACCGTATAGTCATCCCGCTAACTGACATGCCGCTGCTGCTCATCCCGCCTACCACGCCTTAACTCTGCGAACTGTATGCGTTAGCTCGACGTTATCGCCGAGGGCCTTCATCGGGTCGCATCCTGACGTTCACCTTCGCGGGTGTACAGTAGCCTGATCGAACGTCGTCGACGCGGCCTACCATCAATACATCACCCATCTCGGACTGCCCTTGTTCGACTTGGATCAGACGCCTGCGCCTGCATCATCGCCTGCGACACCCAAGGACCCGGCAAAGGACTCCGAGGCAGCGGCACTCAAGGACTCGGACTCGGCAGCGGCAACCCTCTCGGCTCCCTTGATGGTTATTATTGAGCTTCTGACAGCATGAGCGCGCCGTATGTCCAGTGAGGGCGAGCGAAACGGCCTCCCGAGGCCCTCCCTTTCATACATATCACACGTCCCGCGACCCTTTATACTGGCTCCGCATCCCTCGCACCCCCCTTTCTTTATCTCCCTCGTCTCCCTCTTCCGCTCATCTGGCCCGCCTCGACTTGTGCGTTCAGCCCCGCCCCGACCGTTTGCGTCCACCCCACGTCAGCCACACAGCATGTCCTCCTATCCCACACCGTACCGATACGAGAAGGCCTACGACGATGGGAAGAGCCCGTCCAAAGAAGCAGCAACACCTATGACGACATCCACCTCTATCCATTTTCCCCGCCATCCCTTTGACCGCGCGCCCATTGTTGGAGCATATCGATACGCTAGACGCGTCCTCAATGAGAACCTCTACACACACCGAACACGCGCCTTGCTATGGCGCACTCTATGGGCCGGCATCCAGGTGCGTGCGCTCCACTCGTCTGCCTCGGTCTTTCGACGAAGCTCACCCTCGCCGCAGGTCTCAACCATCCTCGTCGCCCTCGCGCTTGCCACACCTCCCTTGGCGCTTCGTACGCCCGCGGCGCTCTCCGTCCTCGCTTGGCTCGTCCGCACGCTGTTGTGGTGCGCGCTAAAGTGGTGGAGCTGGATGCGGCTGTGCGTGTTCCAATCTCAGCATCCTCCGCAGCAAAGGGCGATACTGACCCGCAACCCTCTTTCTCGCAGGGATCGCGTCCCGGACCACTCGCTCGCAGTGACCTGGCGGCCTTTTGTCATCGTCTACGAGAGGCCGGAAGATGACGTTCGAAGCGCACGGTGAGCGTCCTCGCTAAAGCCTCACCTAGGTTGAAGAATGAGGGCAATTGAGTTAATTCGTTCCGTAGGATGAATTCTGCGATGGACGTGATTACCGGAATATGGATCGGATGGGCGGCGGCCCTTGTGAACTGTCTGCCCGGCTTATGCGCGCCACAAACGTTGCTTTGGTGGCTGCACATCGCGTTGTACGCGCCTCATGTGTTGGCTTACAACGTGATCCTGGCTACCTAGCTAGTCGAAAGAGCAGGAGAAATACTATGTGCCAGGTCAGGGAGGTATGCTCCTCGATACGATGGTCGCAAGGCGGAGACCGGTTGAAGAGCAGGCCGGGGTGCGATGCGAAATTCGATAGTGGGAAGGGCGACTCGAGCCTCATGATTTATTGTATCTATCATAAAACTATAGGGATGTACTCTATCTTCCGCTCTACCAGCCTGCCAACGAGATTCAGGTATTTTTTTTAAAAAGAGGGACAATCCGAATATGGTAGCACGTGACCGTGAGAATGGCATTTGAGGCCCACGTGGGTAATCTGCGCGGTGTGGGTTCAAACTTCAAAAGGACATTCACACTCTGCGCGGTGCGGCTCAGGCCCCAAACATTAACACATAACGAGTTCTTGTCTGTGTGTGCATGTGCGTCCTAGGATTTGGAAGTCCCTAGTAACCGCCATATAGATCACCTGCGATGACAAGCTTCTCCGAATCCGGCATCCATCTCTTAAGCGCCCATATTCCCCTCTCTTCCTGCGCTCATCCCAGGCGTCAAGCGCGACCAACAGCACTCCAGTAGCAAGCCCGCCGACAGTATCCGTAATATGAGCAACAAAGGGGAAGACCCCATGGAGGGCTACGACCCGAATGCGCTGCCTCAGACTCGTAGCTATCAGCAGGAGATGCTCGAGCAGAGTCTGCATCGCAACATCATCATCGCCCTCGACACGGGCTCAGGAAAGACGCACATCGCTGTCCTCCGCTTGAAGCACGAGATGGAGCGTCGAACGAACAAGGTATGTGCTAGTCCCACTAGCGATGCGTTGGCCACCAACTCATGCGCGCAGATATCTTGGTTCTTCGCGCCAACGGTCGGCCTCTGTGAGCAACAGCGCAGTGTGATACAGAGGTCCCTCCCTGTCCCTGTTGGCTTGATCTCGGGTGCTCTGGAGCCCGACCAGTGGAAGGACGCAGCACTCTGGATGCGTGTTTTGCGCGACCACAAAATCATGATATCCACACCTCAAGTCCTTCTCGATGCGCTTCGCCACGGGTATATCAACCTTGGGCGCGACATCAGCTTACTCGTCTTCGATGAGGCTCATCACGCGGTCGACAACCATCCGTACAATCGCGTCATGCTTGAGTTCTATAGACCTTTGGCCACAGTCCCAGTCAACGTCGAGTCGCAAATTGCGCCAGGGAAGGTCGTACCCCTATGTCGTCCGGCTGTCCTAGGCCTCACAGCCAGTCCCATATTTGGTGGCAACACTGAGAAAGCCTTCCGGTAAGTTGCGAAGACATAGACATTCCTCCTCGCTCAATTGTAACAGGACTATTGAGAGTAATCTCGACGCCACAATATGCGCACCAGTTGTGCATCGGAAAGAGCTCCTGTCCCACGTACATCGTCCGACTTTCAAGCACGTCATGTACACACCCCCGGGAGAATGGGACCGGCCTTTCTCGACGAATCTCGCCTCTCTGCAGGCGGTCGTCAAGTCGGTCGACATCAACCGCGACCCGGCTGTCATCTCCCTACGTCAAAAGCTCCCGACTCTCGCTCGCGGCACTCCGGAATACGAGCGCACTGACCAGAGACTTTCAAAGGCAATTCACAAGAAGAAGACGTTCACGCACACTGGTTTAACCCAGTTCCAGCGCGCTGCGGAGGAGATTTGCGAGGATATCGGAGGGTGGGCGGCTGACTGGTACGTCTGGACAGTCGTGCAGGAGGCACGTAAGGCCGCCCGCATAGGCAACAGCATCATCAGCCTCTCGAGCTGGGGGAACAAGGAGAAGAAGTATCTGTTGGATATCCTCGACCGCGTCCACGTCAACCCAGTCTCCCTAGCCCCAGATGATATCCTCGACGACTCCACCGAGAAGGTGCACGCCCTCGTCAACACGCTCCTAAGCGAGAAGGCCGAGGCCGAGGCCGCGAACGAAGCCTTCAGCGCGCTCGTCTTCGTTGAGCGCCGCGACTCCGTGTTCGCGCTGGCAGAGCTCTTGAAGAATCACCCTGTCGCGGGACGCGAGTTCTCTGTGGGTAACCTGGTTGGGACGTCGGAGAGCACGCATAGGCACTCCTTCCTTGATATCACACGCGTTCTCTTGGACCAGAAGCTGGATGAGACGCTCGAGGACTTCCGCCTCGGCACGAAGAACGTCATCGTATCGACCTCCGTAGCGGAAGAGGGCATTGATATCCAGGCGTGCGGGTGCGTCGTCCGATGGGACCCGCCGCCGAACATGGCGAGCTGGGTGCAGAGCAGAGGTCGCGCCCGACGCAAGCGAAGCGTCTTCGTCTCGCTGTTCTCTACGGAAGGCGGTCATCGGAAGGACGTGAACGAGTGGGAGCGTCTGGAGAAGGAGATGGTCGACAGGTATACGGATCCAACGCGCGTACAGTATAACCAGGACGCAGGCTGGGGTGAGGACGGGGAGGATGAAGATGAGGAAGAGTTGATCTACACGAATCCGACTACTGGGTGAGTGGTAATGCGCCGCAAGCACCGCTTGCAATCTGACCGCAAAATAGGGCCAAGATCACCCTACAATCGGCATTGCCTCATCTTGAGCACTTTTGCGCCATGATCCCCTTCTCAGCCCATACCGATAACCGGCCCATATATGACGTTGATCCTCCGGAAATGCCCCCCGGCTGGCACGAAAACACGCGTGTCGAAGTCCCTCTCCCCACCGGTCCATTCGGCGCGACCGTCACTCTGCCCCGCGTCGTGCCTTTGGAGGTTCGCTCCTTCACCGTCCCGCGCGAGTTCAGCACGAAGATATCCGCGTTCCGGCATGTTGCCTTCGTGGCGTATACGACGCTACACAAGTGCGGGCTTCTGAACGACCATTTCCTGCCGTTCACCACCGTCATTGATCCAGAGCGGGAGGAGGAGGTGCGCGAGATGCTCAAGGACGTGGAGCAACGGGCTGGTATGGCAAATGTGACTGGGCAGATGGATCCCTGGCGTCCTCGGAACCCTGGCGATCTCGGTTGGCACGGTGCTTCCTTGCGTATCGGATTATTGCGGCCGCTTTTACTCTTGACGAAGAATCCGCAAAGCGAATGGACAGAGCAAGATGGGCCCCGGCTCCATAGGAAAGGAGAGGATTCCATGATAGTCACTCTTCGCCGCCTCGGAAGAGTTGATTCCGTTGACGATCGTGTGATCCGGGCGACTGAGTACACTAGACGCATGTTCTGGGCTCAAAGTGGCGCGCGAATGAACTGGGACAACACCAGTTTCGCCTATCTTCTCCTTCCCGTCAACCCTCCCCAAAGCGACATTTGGGAGCGACGACGCGCTTGGTGGCGCGCTCACTCATCTTTCGATCCGCAGCCATCTCGTCAAGGTCTTGTCAATGCGCAAACATTTGGCCGAGCCTTCGGTTATCCCAACGATATCGTCCTCATCCGCCAGGGCACCGACTTCGGCAAGACGTATCGCTTTGTGCGTTGGGCGCACGAACCGATCGATGCAGAGGAGGAGGAGAAGCTCCGCACTCGATACGAAACTGTGGACGGCTACAAAGGAATCACCTATCCGATCCTTGTCGTGCAACCGCTACCTGCTCGAGTCAACTTCCTTGCCCCCCTTCCTCCACGCGCATCCGCCGCGCCCACATCTGACCCTCGCTTCGTATACTTGCTGCCTCAGTTCGCTTCCGTTATTCTGCAAGGCCAGCAGGACGCAGAATATGCTGCCTTGCTTCCCTCTACCCTGCGTGCCCTGGAGGTTACGACAACGGTAGACTCTCTGAAAGAGCATCTTTTTGCGTCTACGCCAATGGAAAGCGTACCCCAATCGCTCATGTCTGTGGCAATGACCGCACCGGTCTCGCAAGAGCCAGTGAACTATCAGCGATTGGAGACGATGGGCGATACTGTGCTGAAGTATCTCGTTTCTATACAGCTGTACGCAGAATATCCCTTGTGGTGGGTGATTGGTGCTCTCTCTCCTCCTCTGTGGCTGACTACCTATAGGCATGAAGGGTATCTTGCGAAGCAGAAGGATCATACAGTCTCGAATGTACGCCTAGCCAAGATCAGCGTCCGACGTCACATCTTCCAATGGATTATTCGAGGTGAGTCTCTTATGATTTCAACAGTTGGAACTGCTCTCATTCGCGCCTACAGATAGGCTTGTTGGCAAGAAGTGGAAGCCTAAGTACTGTATAACGGTGGAGAATGCATCGAATCCGGCAGGAGCTCTGGAACCGAGCAAGGAGGATGGGAAGAAGGGCGAGGAGGATCAAGTCGCTCCCTCTGTAAGGGAAAAGTCCACGGGGACAGAAGTAGCGTCAGAGAAGAATAAACCGAAGAAGAAAAAGAAGAAAGACAATAATCAGCTATCCACGAAAGGTACTGTACTGAAAATCACCAGTGAGTTATTGCTCACGAAGCTGTCAGTCTTGGCCGACGTAATCGAATCCCTCATTGGCGCCGCCTATGTGCACGGAGGTCTTTCGTTGGGCAGGGCGTGCGCCCAATTCTTCGACCTGGGACTGAAATGGGACACGACCTCAGCGCGCATATCCACCATTCTATCGCGCACCGTGACCCTAGACCAATATCCGGCTGAACTCCAATATGTCGAGCGTATGCTTGGCTACACCTTTGAGCGCAAAGCACTTCTGATCGAAGCGCTCACGCATGCCAGCTACCAGGAGCCTCTTCCGACCCCGTCGTACGGACGCTTGGAGTTCTTGGGCGATGCGGTTCTCGACATGGCGGTGACTCCGTACATCTTCGCGTCCAAAAAGAACTACAGCCCGGGGCACATTCACCTTCGTCGCAGCGCGGCCGTCAATATGCACTTCCTCGCCTTTGTTTGCCTACGCGCGAAGGTTGCTGTCGACAAGCATATGCCGCGCCCCACTGCGCCTGACTGGCGCGTGCAGATGGCAACTGAGTCTCAGGACATCTACCTCTGGCAGTGCATGCTGCACTCTAGCTCCACTGTGATCGATGACCAGAACAATACATTTGCGCGCTTCCGACGACTGGAGAAGGAAATATCCGAAGCACTGGAGACAGGCGACATCTTTCCCTGGGCGGCGCTTACCCGCATGCAGGCGCCGAAGTTCTTCAGCGACGTCGTCGAGAGCTTGATAGGCGCGGTGTTCCTGGATGCCGAAGGAGACATGGAGATCGCGACTGATGTTATACGTACCCTCGGGATTATGCGCGTGCTGGAGCGCGTTGTCGATGAAGACCTCGATGTCCTTCACCCCCTCTCACGCCTCTCAGTATGGGCGCAGCAGGCCCACAAGGAGCTGGAACTCATAAGTGAGAAGGAGAAGGGAAAGGCCGTTTGTCGGGTGCTCGTCGATGGCGAAGAGATTGCCCGGGACGAAGACGCTTACCACGGAAAGGTCAGTTTGAACGAGGTCAAGTTTACCGCAGCAGAGAAGGCCGTACGCGTCCTGAAGGTGCGCGAGGGAGACGAGAAGGGGCGGATGATGATGGGCAAGCGTAAGAGTGTGCGACCCGATGCCAAGTTATGATACAAGTCTATAGTCGTGAAAGAGCTCGTAAGTTCATTACAATACGTAGCGAAAACTGGGATGCTTCGGGCCTTCCGCGAGGACAGCAGTAGGTACATCCTTCGATGCCTGGGCGCGCGTATGAGCTTCGTGAACGAGGTGTACGGTAGAATTTTACTTACCCAATTGACACCCTGCTCCCGGTTGCGCCTGCGGTTCTGCAGCATCATGTACGTGCGCATGCACGCGAGAATGGTAATACCGAGCACTTGCAAGCAGGCGGAGATGATGAGCGCCTTGGTATACTTCGGGGCCCAACTGTCGAGGAAGATGTTCGAACTGATGAGCGAGCCAGCGTTCGCGGCAAAGGTTAGGCAACCGCTGTGAAGCACGGTAAGCGAGCAATATACGACCAGTAGCTGCTTGTCATACGTTCTGAACGCGCGCCCGTTCTCCGAGGGGTCGTTGTTGTTGTGCCATGAGCTAAAGAGGAGATGCGTCGATGAAAGGCGGAGAGCAAGTAGGTCCAGACGTACTGGAAGATGACCGTCGGCACATGCGCGCCACACTGTATGAGGAAACACGCGAAGTAGCCGACGCCGATAGCCGTGACGGGCACGGACGCAAGAATGATGCATCCCGTCATCGTCGTCGCGAGCGCAAGCATGAGGAACAGCGTCCGCTGCCGGGTGTAGTCCGACAAGAATGCGATCGTGAAGAGATAGCAGACGGCCACCAGGTTAGGAGCGACGGTGTAGAGGTTGGTCTTGACAGCAGAGAATTCGAAACGAGCGAGAAGCTGAGGGAGGAAGGTCGTGGCGGTCCTGCGGTGGTGCATGATAAGCCAGAGAAGACTAACCCACGCATGAGAAGACATACGAAGATGCGGTACCATAGCACTGTAACGGTTGAGGTCAGAGATGCCTAGGAAAACCTTTAAGCCGGGGACTCACAAGAGCGAAGACGACGAGGACATAAAACTTCCAGTCCTTTGCCGGTTCCAAGAACTCGCTCGTCTTGAAGGGTGCATCGATCATTTTCGACGAATCCTCTGCAGTACGTTAGGCACGCTGGCCCCAGGAATGATACTCTTGAACATACTCAGCAACCGAACCTGCGGGACCGTGAGTGGAGCCGTGACGAGGGATGGAGCAGAGGACTTACTACTGCAGTCTCCTTCTCCTTCTCCGTCAAGAACTTGGCGCGCTGCGGAAAGGCAGGCAGCAAGACGCTTGACGAGGTTCAGTGCATGTCCAAGAAAGCCAGGGATGTAAACTCACAACGCCAGCGCACCGCACACAATCGTCAAGCCGCCCTCCAACAGGAAAAGGATCTGCCACCCTCCGAGCCTGCTGCTCTGGATCTGAAAGACTCCGTACGCTAACAAGCCGGAGAAGGCGCCTGAGAAGGCCGCAGCGCTGTACCAGACTGCCAACCGCCGAGCAAGCTCGCCGCGCGTGTAGAAAGATGTCAGGTAGATGGGGACGGTGGGGCCTGCGAAGGCCTTGAGAGGGTGTCCAGATGATGAGGGAGGCACCAACGCACCGAAGAAGCCCTCGAAGGTGCCCAGGAAGTACCGCACGGCAAGCGCGCCACTGTAGTTCTTGCAGACGGAGTTCTAAGAGAACAAGTATCAGCACGAAATTAAGTGTTGAAATTGAGGTGAGCGCACCAGCATCGCCATTGTGCCCCAGACTACCATGTAAATAGGCATCATGCGAGCTGCACCAAGGCGCTTGCTAAAGTACCCGCCGAATATCGCCATCGTGGCGAACGTGACGCTCTGCACGGTAAGGATATTGTTGTACTGGTTGCCCACCAGACCGAGGTCGGCGTTCAGCCCATCCGTCTTTGCGTTTCCTGAAGCGAACATCAGCTATTGCACGTGAACCAGGTGCAGCAGTACTCACCGAGGTTCCCCCTATCCAGCGCGGAAAAGAGATACATGCAGAAGATGATGGGCATGAGGTGCAGGTCGAGCTTCCGCCTGACGCGCGCCGCAACGGCGGGGTCGACCTCGATTGTCGCGAGCTCCTCCGCTGTGAAGTCGTACTTGGATCTGTCGTACTTCGCGGGTGAGGTCGTCTGTCCCTCATACTCCACGGCAGGAGTGGTCGTGACCTGCGCCTCCTTCTCGAACTTGTCCTTGCTGTCCATCGCGCTCACTAGGTGCGAACGGGAAGACGTAGGCTACGATGAGAGACGTGCCAGCGAGCACATGCACCAGCAGAGTCCTTATATTCGAGCGCTCTTCGGCATGCAGTGGTATCTGCGGGACGCATGCGTCGTCGACGAGAGCTATCATGCCCACGCTCAAGGCTATCACGTACCCTGCTGAGGGATCGCGTCGGTGCCGAAGTCACTATCACAACCCCACAGACCGAGAGATAGGATGTTCTTATCATCGAAGGTCCTTTCAGGTTCCACTAAAATGATGCACGTCGTTGGAAGAGCGGGTGGCGCACTTATCTTGACTTGCCGAGGGCCAAAGTTGAAGACACAAACGACGAGCGGGTTCGTGAAGCGGGGACCGGGGGAGAGGGCGGATAGTCTCGTTGCCGCTGAAGGGAAGGATTACAGTGTTACAGCGTATTGTTGTATTCATGATCTGCAGGTACCAGGCGACGTCGGTGTTATCAGCTCCAATCCGAGGCCCAAACATCTTTATCCCAATTCTCGACGAGGAGCGGATCGTCCTGCACCTCCGAGTGAGCGCAAGAGGACTGACATGATAGGGAACATACCTTGTATTTGATCTGGAAGTCTGAGAAGCCGTTCCTGAGGACGTAGACGTCCTGGTCCGGCGGATCGTCGATGATGTTCTGTCGCGTCTCCTGGTAGATCTTCGGTTCTTTCGGTGCTGGGCTATCGGGCGCTTAGAGACTGTACACACCCGTGCAGCCTTCGGTCCTCTACGCAAAGTAGCGTCGTCAGCTACATCCTGCGGAGAATAGGACTTGTAACACGCACCGGACTTGCGACAGTGTGCAGTGGAATACCATGACCGGGACGTTCTTCGTCTCCGACACGAGTTTGTCCACATTCAGCAGGAATTCGCGCGATGGATAATTGCGCGCGCCCTTTATGTTGCCCCCGACGTAGTCATCGTCTCGCACGTCTATCACGAGGAAGTCCTTCGCTGGCGTCTTGCCGCTCTTCATCATCCTGGCGAGGTCCTGCGACGCCGCTGTTCACACCTCGCACGCAAGAGGAAGCGTTCGAAGCGTACGTCGCCGGTCATATACTTGAACATCCTCCGTATCGATAGCGAGGAGAGTGGGCGCGTTGCAGTCAAGGGGCACGAAAGCAAAGGTGAGTCAGCATCACGCCAACAGGTTCGATGGGAGAAGAGGCGGCCCGTCGCTATCCGGACGCCGAACTTCCTAATTTGGTAGCAGAAGTGGACCCACACGACGGTCATCTCCCTCACGCAAGGGTTACAAGGGATTACTACGCCGTTACGGCAGCAGGACCGCAGCGGGAGCTATGGTGAAGCGGTAACTGTAGCAGAGCTATATTACTTTCAATAAATTCTGACCATGACTTCACCCCGCCCTGATAATTGTTTTTTCGAAGTTGTAGGCAACAAACGGGATGCGCAAGAAGCGCCTATCCGGTCGCGCATATGGTTGGGCTGCACCGTGGTATTAGTCTCACCTTTTACAGTGGCGCAATAACCCCATGCGTGCTTGCGGAGCCCCGTGTGCGACCAGCAACCGCCCGTGAAGAATGGCCGCGACTCCGTTCTCGTCGCAGTCGTAGGCAGAGAACGAAGACGAAGTATCGATGACATTCCCGTCTACTAGTGATGTTGTCCGATGACGCCTGTGGTTCCGTTCGGTTGGGTGCAAGGAGCGGCACAGTGCCAACCACCACGCCAGTAGTTCACTCCAAATCAGCCTCTATATCTCGCTTCGCACATCGATGTTGGTGCTCTCCCTCACATCTGACACTAGCAATACGACTCTCATTGGCCATGGCCGCTGCGCCTTGCAGCTGCCACCACAGCGCACGCTGCCCGCGTTCGCGTCATCCCGTGTGCGGTCCGTGATGAGTTGTTCCCCTGCAGATGAGCTCCAATGGCCTGGAAGGGGCAACTTGCCGGAATCAGTCGCACGTCATATGACGACGGGAACATGGTCACGCGCCGTATGTGTGACGCCATTTCTGTTTCCGCCCCTCATCGCCGCTGTTGCCAGGAAATGACTTCGAAGATTCTCCCTTCCACCGCAGTTTATTCGTCTGCAGTTTCTGCCGTACGCAGCTCTAGAAAACTTTCGTCCACACCGCAGTCTCGAGGGAACCTTCACAAAGGCTACACGATGCTACTTCGGTCATGTCACAATTGCAACCATTGTTCCTCAAAAGTCTATGGTATTCCGAGGCCAGAAGAATCCACGGAGTGCTTGCCTGCCTGGCGTTTGGTTGACGCTATGCGATATGTACCTGGTGACTGTTGCAGCTCCACGCTCTCGATCTCTGGAACGTGGCCGTCTGCAACCGGATGCGGGGACGCGAAAGCCGGTCGGATCCAGAAACAAAGAGACAAAGAATACTGAAGAAGAGTCGAACGTAAAGGTTAGCCACTAAATGTTCGCGAAATATGACAGGTTTGCCACCCCTCTGCCTCGCGGCTAGCGTCTGTGACTGAAAGACCCTGACCCAGCTGTGCTTGTTCCAGACTGGGCAACAGCAAAGGGAGAGCGTGGGTAACGTCGATGTGCGGGGTTATCCCCGAATACTATTTTCAAATGCTCCCCCACCTCCGCTTCCCCGCAATCAGAATGCCCTCGTCATTGCTCGTCCCGACCACCGGTACAGGCTCAAAAAAGCCCCGCCCTGCTCGGGGGAGGTGGCCATGTTCTCCGCGTATATATACGGGAACTTTCTCTGTCGTCTCCACCTCGCAATCCACCTACCCCACCTGCCTTCTCTGCCACAATGACCAGCGCCAAGAAGGTGGACGACGCTAAGAAAGCGCAGCTCACGTTCACGGACTCCGATGTCTCTATTGGGCACATCGAGAGGACTGGCGACGAGCAAAGTGTTGCCTATCTCGTCAACAACCCGCAAGCGCTAGCGCAGGCCTACGCTACCGCCGGTATGTTGTTCGTCCACCTCACTCGTTGCGTCTGCTTACACCACGTACAGGTAATGCATCCGTGCTACACAACAAGAACGTACTCTTGTGTGCGATCACCGCAGCCTTCGGTGGGCTTACCTTTGGCTACGACCAGGGTATGATCAGCGTCACCCTCGTCATGCAGCCTTTCCTTCAGGTAAGTGACCTGCATGCTCTCGCCCTTCTATTACTCACACTGCCTTCAGACCGTGCCCGAGATCGCAGAAGGGTACCCCCGCGCGGGCTTCAACAAGGGTTTGCTCACTGCAATCCTCGAGCTCGGGGCTATGATCGGTGCGTATATCCCACTGTGCTGCCTCAGCGCCATTCACTCACCTCGTCTGCAGGTGCCGCACAAACTGGCTTCATCGCGGATCGCTTCTCACGTAAGCGGGCGCTGACCCTCGGGGCCTTGTGGTTCATCGTAGGCTCGATTATCCAGACCGCGACGTACTCGTATGCGCAACTGGTTGTCGGCAGGTTCCTCGGTGGCGTTGGCATCGGACTCTTGAGCTGTACGCACATGTCCCCCTCCTCTCCCGCTATTCGATACTGATGCTCCCGTGCAGCTGCCGCTCCGCTCTACATCTCGGAGATTGCGCCACCCCACATCCGCGGCGGTTTACTAGCCTTAGAAGAGCTGATGATTGTCTTTGGCATCGTGCGTCGCGTGACCCTACCTTTCAATCACCTCCTTGACTAACCCCACTGTTAGATCATTGCGTACTGGTTCACCTTCGGCACGCGCTACATCGACTCTGATATCTCCTGGCGCCTACCCTTCGGTCTGCAGATCGTCCCGGGCCTCATCCTCTTCGCCGGTCTCTACTTCCTCCCATACTCTCCCCGATGGCTCGGTATGCAAGGCCGCGACGATGAGTGCCTCCGCACCATCGCCCAGCTGCGCAACTTACCTGTCGACGACTATCGAGTACAGGCGGAGTACATCAGCATCATCACCGACAACCAGGTCACGCAGGAGGCTGCTGCTCGCCGGCATCCCGCGCTCTTCCCCGATGCATCGCAGAAGGGCGAGGGCGTGACGTCCACCAAGCGGAGCTTGTTGACCGACCTCAAGCTTGAGGTCGTTGGTTGGCGGGATGCCTTCAGCAAGCGGTACATCAAGCGCACACACGTCGCCTGCGGCATCGCCTTCTTCCAGCAGTTTCTCGGTATCAACGCGTTGATCTACTAGTAAGTGTACCTCTCGAGTATCATATCTTACCAGTACTCAAATCATGCAGCTCCCCCAGCCTCTTCACCTCCCTCGGCCTGACCCTCGACACATCATTGCTGATGTCCGGCGTCATGAACGTCCTCCAGCTCGTCGGCTGCCTCCCCGCCACCCTCGCCCTCGACAAGCTCGGCCGGCGCACCATGCTCCTCTGGGGCGCCGCCATCTGCCTCGCCGCCCACGTCATCATCGCCTCCATCGTCGGCGCCTTCTACACCAACTGGCCCGCGCACGCCGCCGGGGGCTGGGCCGGCGTCTCCTTCATCTTCGTCTACATGCTCGCCTTCGGCGGCACCTGGGGCCCCATCGCCTGGGCGGTCCCCTCGGAGATCTACCCGACGTCGATCCGCGCGAAGGGCGCTGCTGTGGGCGCGGCGGCGATCTGGTTCTGCAACTTCTTGGTCGGGCTGATCACTCCGCCGTTGAACGATGCGGCGCCGTACGGGGCGTTCGCGTTCTACGCGGGCATGACCTTCTTCGGCTTAATCTGGACTTTCCGTGAGCAGTGTCCCCTCGAGCTGTTATGATGCATTGTATCTGACTTTCCCTCAGTGTGCGTACCCGAGACCAAGGGCCGCTCCCTCGAGGACATGGACGCCGTCTTCGGCGACAAGGCCGGTAGCGAGGAGGTCCAGGACCGCAAGCGCATCACCCAGTCGCTCCTCGACGCACACAAGCTCGCTAGCAGGGACTCCTTGCCGTCGCCGTAAATACTGGCCGTTGCCTGAGTCTTCCTTGCATCGCCTTGGATTATCCTCACCGTCGTCTTGTGCTCTCCTCACTGCTGCCTGATATCTTCTTTGCCCGTTCAATCCTCCTTCGTCCTTGTAGCGCGCTGTGAGTTCCGAGGCTCAGAGACCGAACTCGCGTCTCAGCGGTGAGGGTCAGAACTCGGATCTATCCGGAGCTATCTACGAATGAAGACACAACGACTGCCTAATCGGGAATGCCTAAGCGAAGCTGCCATGCGCGTTCCAAGCCCAGCGCGGACCCATACCCTACACCCCCTCCCCACTCTCGAATGTGCACCCTCCGCGGTGCACCTACACCCTGACAACACTCTCCTCAACACCAACGAACTCAACGTCAACATCCTCCACCTCCTCGAGATCCTCTGGCTCGACGAACTCCGTGACACGGACAGTCCTCTGCGAACGCGCGCGATACGGAATGAGGCGCGCGGCCGCGTACTTGTTCTTCGAAACTGCCCCGTCAACCTCAGCCAGCCGATACGCTCCGCCAGCTCCTCGCGCGATAATGACCATCGGCCCAATATATCTCGGCATCCACTTGGGGCTATCGTGCTTGCGGAAGCGCTTGTTCTGCACGAGAACGAGCTCGCCCGGCTGGAAGTCGTAATCTGCGATACGCTTCTCGCTTCGGCGCTCGAACTCGCGGATGGATGCGTAGCGCGCAGCCACAACACGGTCGTGAATCCCTTCGATGTCGGCCTCCCGCTTCTCTAGCTGGCGTGCGCGGTATGCGATGAGCTCGACCGTCGTCAACTTCTCGGTTACAGCAGGCACCAGCCATGTCGCCTCGGTGATGTCGAATGGAAAGAGGGGCTCTGTGCCGTGCGCCATCTGATACGGCGAGTAGCCCGTCGCACGCTTGATAGTCGTCCTCTCGGCCCAAAAGACGTAAGGCGCGCGATCCTGCAGCTTTGCGAGATCGCCGTCGCAGACGCGGACCAATGCTTCGCGCACGTCGCGATGCGGGCGCTCGATGACACCGTTTGCTTGTGAGTTGTAGGCCGAGATGCGAATATGACGGATCTTGTACTTCTGCGCGAGCCACTCGAGCGCGGCGACGATTGGCGGCCCATTGTCGGTGACGACCTCCTCCACTGCTCCCCATCTGCACAGTACGTCCTCGAAGAACCAGCTCCCCACTGTCTTCCCTGTCTCCTTCTTCAAACCTCTCCACTCCGGCCATCCCGTCAGGCTGCAGCGTCCGTGGATGATGTAGCGCCAACCGCCGCGCGTCCTCTTCGGCAAGTAGAAAGTGTCGATGTGTATCTTGCGGAAGAGGCCGGATGGTATGGTGATGGTCGGCGGAATGATGATCTTCGTCGTGGCGCGCGTCTGGCAGGCGTGGCACGTATCGATGTACCACTGGATGTCGGTGTCTAGCGTCGGCCACCAGAAACGGTCCGCGATGCGCCTACGTGTCTGCCAGTGCATCTTGTGGTCGAGCTCGTCGTGGATGACGCGCAGAATCCGCGCGCGCGAGAGGCGATCTAGAATGACGAGAGGATGGCGTCCCTGTGCATCGCGCCTCCAAAGTCGACCACCGCTGACGAAGAACCTGCTCGCCCGCTGATACGCCCTGCGGCTGAAAAACGCGGAAAAACATACATAAACAAGCGATATATAGTCGACTTGGTCTAGATTGTATGGGCGGATCCGTATATACTGCACCGACGTCGCGACTGTACAACGGGCGCGTCGGGGGTATTTTATGACATAGAAAACCAGGAGCGCCACGCTTCCTAACCTTCAATACAACTAGTCCGCAGCATTATCCGTCTGCAATGACTGACCAAGGATAGCAGCGAGCTCTTCGGCGCCTGATCACGAGTCTGCGCGTCGTCGATGACATCCTGCGAGTCCTTTGGCGGGCCCTACTTAATCAAGTAGCCGCGCTATACGCGCCTCAAGCCTTCAGTCCTCTTGCCCTGCTGTGTCAAGAGAATCTAGATTATTGTTGGGGCTCGGACAAGCCTTCCTGCTGCTCGCCGTCATGCGGAGACACGCAGAGCACCGCGCAAGCGGAACTCGAACCATCAACGTGACTACACGTGACTTCGGGTCCGAGACCGGAACTTCGGGTCCGAGCTCGTGATCTCGGACATCGCCGAGTTGAACTCCGAACCGAGCGTCGGTGCTGCCAAGCGCTGTCCGCCCCGGCAAGGGCTTCACTCCCCGCGTATCGACAGTCCAGACTGTACGCTCCCCGCCGCGCCGGCCTCTGAGCCGCGTCGCGCACAAGGGAACGGGTGGAAACCAGGCCGGCCTTGCCTTGGTAAACATCAACAAGTGTGGAATCGCGCCCGGCATCGCGGCGCAGGAGGATACCCGACCAGTCAACCGCTCTACCGCCAGGAACCGCAGTCATTGCGCGATTATTCGGACAGGAGAACGCGCGGATAGGCGTTATAGTTGGATTTTGACTCAGAGATAGGCATTGTGTGTTACCGCGCGGTCTGGACGGCCGAGACGACGCGTGCAAGTTATATACCGAGACCTACATACGATTCGGGGACTTTTCCCGCCCCGCGCAGAGAAGCCCTAGTACCTACACACCACACCAAATAAACACAACCGCGTTAACCCGCACTTTACACATCATAAAAGCCTGAACTTCCGAGCGCATTAAACCGCCTTGTGAATTTCAATCAAACCCGAAAGCGCTCGTAAGAACGCCGAGACGTCCGATTGCCCCACTCGACTTCTCGCTGCAGTCCAGCTCGTCTGGAACTGGCATAAACAACACAATCTATCCCCAAGTAATATAAATACTCGGACTCGCCCGCTCTCGTAGCGCCTCCAGTCTAGCGTGTTCATTGCTATTGTGGTTGTTGGTGTTTGGTTGTGTGGATCGTCTAGCTAGACTGTACTTCGCGTCTTTCGTGAGCGTACGATCCCATCACCGCTTGGCGAACTTGCGGATGGCGTCCCCCTTCATCTTCCCCGGCTTCTTTAAGCCCTCCAAGAACTCCTTCACCTCTCGCAGCTCCTTGTCCTTCGCATCTCCCTCCTTCGTCCGCGGCAGCTCCTCTGACACCAGCCTGTCCAATTCGTCCGTCTCATCCACTCCTTCTCGCACCCAAACGCGTCCGCGCGTCGGAATCCCGTCCTTCGCGTCTCCCACGCGATCCCTCTCTCCCCCCTCCTTCAAAAAGGCGTTGGCCTCCGGCTCGAGTGCATCCTCCCAATGCACGGTCTTCTTCGCCCCCTTCTCGCGCGATGCGTCCGTCCTCGCCATCTTGCCCAATGCCAATATCCTCCAGCCATCTCGCCCTTCACTCTCCCTTGTTGCTTCGCTGATGTTCCCTCCCCACTCTCTGATGTTGACCCTTCCATCCCGCGCCACCTTTGACGCCGACACTACGCTTTGGTGACGTTGTTGCGCGCGCCGGTCGCCCTCCTGGTACCTACTAGATGTCGTGAACCCGTTATTTTGACGGTATTCGGGTCCCGCGTCATCTCTTGCCACCTCGGCCTCCTCCACCTCCACTGCATACGCCCCTCCTGCCGTCATCAGACCACCCACTGTGTCCTCTGCCATCCGCGCAACCCAAACACCACAACCGAGTATCTCTTCCACCCACTCCTCCGGATCGTCCTCGATAGGATCGTCGTCTGTTGCGCGGCGCCGTGAAAGACCGTCCGCCGCGCCGTGCTTCGCTGCAGGAACATGTATGATGTCGAAGTCGAAGGTGAGTATCGCGGCTACCCAGCGGTTCATGGCGGCGTTCGGATGCACGTCTGGGTTGTTGATCATCCCTTTGATGTAGCGCGCATCGACCTCGACGGTGAATGTAGGCAAGCCGACAATCCAGAGTTTGACGGCGTTGAGAGTGCGAAAAAGACCGTACAGCTCGAGCTTCGCCTGCGAGTAGCGTGCTTCGCGCTCGTTCCACGCGATGGACCCGAACCGAGCCGGTCGACGGCGCTCCAAGTCGTCCAGCTGTAGCAGGATGTAGCCGACAGCAATGCGCGATGAGTCGACGGCCAGGATGACGCCCTCCGGCTTCGCGTAGTTGATAGGTCGAATTGCGCCACAAGTCCTGACGGCCTCCTTTGTCTCCTCCATCGCCTGCTTCTCCTTGTCGTCCCACCTGAAGGGTATCGCCTTCCTCGTCAAATCAACCAGCGGTGCCGTCAGCTCCGCAAACTTCCAAATCCACAACCTCGTCACTCCGACCGTGCCCAAGAACCCTCGCACCTCCGAGACAGACTCGCACGGTGGCCAGGTGATGATCTTCTTGATCATCGAGTCGTCCGGCCTCCTCCCCTCATACATGCACTTCTGCCCCACAATCACCACCTCCGGCCGTGCGAATGCCAGCTTCGGCACTGATATGGTCGCCCCCGCGTGCTTCAACCGATGAAGAACACGATTGACATCGACGAGGTGCTCGAAGACGAACCGACGAACACCAGGGTTACCTGGCATGACCTCATAAGATCCGTCGGGGAGCTCGTAGCGCGTTCGAGGACCTAGTACACAAACATCGTCAGAATAATTGGGCGCAACGCCCGTCTCGTCCTGCAGAATGAAGGCCACATCCTCGTGAAACACTGCGAAAGAATTCGCCCATCCTTGAACCAGAACACATATACGATACCTCTTCCCATCCGGCCCCATGAACGTGCTGTAGTCGCGGTCGCGCTCGTCAATGTCAAAAGTAGGGTATAGAGGGGCGAGTCTGCCTCCTCCCATGGGTGGACGGTTTGCCTCGCGTCCACGCTTTTGGTCCGCCTTCCTATTCGGGAAGAACTTTCCCACGCCGCTCCGGGGGCGTCCGTATTTATCCTTACTGTACATCTCTTTTCCCTCAGTCGCTATTCCACTAGCAGGAAGACTGAGGGTATGTTATCTCACTTACTATACTCATACTATTTACTGACTGTACTTTAGTCTTGCGCGTCCTGCGCTTCTTTAGGTATGAATATCAGTCGCTATTCCACTAGCAGGAAGACTGAGGTCTTGCGCGTCCTGCGCTTCTTTAGCTCGTGAAAGGTTATGAGCCCCGTGGCCTAAATCGAGCAAGACTTCGATCTGCGACTCACTCTATCCCACTCTGCGGCATGGCTCCCAAGGACAGCAAGGTCCCGACGCTCACCGATGCGGCAGACTGGCCGCTCTGGCGCCTCCGGGTCACCGACGCCCTCAACAGGGACGATCTCACCTCCGTGGTGACTGGATCGGAAAAATCCCCTCCCCCTGAGATCGCGGTGACTCCACCGACGCCGACAACGTCCTCTCCCCCGTCCACGTCACCTGGCGCTCCGGCAACCACCACCACATCCACAGGATCGGGCTCCTCCTCCACCACTCACCAAGTTGCGCGGAGGGAGACCTGGTCCTGGCGGAACGCCCGCGCCCTCTCCACCATCCGGGAGCACCTCTCGAATGACATCGCCCTCGAGCTCCACGAGTACCAGCACGCAAGCGAACTCTGGGAGAAGCTCGTCGAGAAGTTCGAGCAGACCAACACCAGCGAGATGGCGGTCACCGAACTGATCAAGATCTTCCGCGCGAAGCTCGCCGACGCCGACGATGGAGACGTCTCCCGCGAGGCGATGAGCGCGCACATCCACCGCGTTCGGCAGTCGGTCACCCAGCTCGCCACCCTCGGCTATCCCCTCAACGCCAATCTCGTCCCCCTCATCCTCCTCGCCTTCCTTCCCAGCTCGGAGAAGTGGAAGATCGTCTCATCCGGCATCTCGGCGGGCAGCTCCAAGGCCGCGCCCCTCACCCTCTCCTACGTCGAGGCGAAGCTGATGGCGCAGGTGACCAGCAAGGAGGACTCGGACGATGAGCAGGCATACGCCGCCTCCTCTTCTCGCGCGCCCCCACCGCGCAAGCCCAAGGACAAGGGCAAGAAGAAGGCCAAGGCGAAGGTGTCCTGCGTCATCCACGGCGAGGGGCACTCCACTGAGGAGTGCAAGACGATCATTGGGCAGAAGGAGAAGGCGCTGAAGAAGCGGAAGGAGCGGGCGGCGGAGAAGGCGAAGGCGAACAAGGTGAAGGACTCGGACTCGGATTCGGACTCGGACTCGGACTCGGATGTAGACGACACGCATGTAACCGTCTCGCGCCGTGCCTACAAGAAGATTTCCGCCTATGTCCAGTCTGATCCAAAGCGACCGCAGCGACACCAAGGTTCGCACATCGTCGACTAGGGTGCGTCAAAGACCATGACCCCCGATGAGCGCCTCTTCGACGACAGCACTTACCGTGTCCTTGACCCGCCGCGCAACATCTACCTCGGGAATGAGTCCGTCATCAAGGCAGTAGGCATTGGCACTGCCTGCTTCGCCTCTAAGACACCGGACGGTGTGCGCGCGCTTACTATTCGGAAGACACTGCATGTCCCCGACCTCGCGTTGACGCTCATCTCGGTGCCCCAGATCACCAAGCGTGGTCTGCGCGTGTCCTTTAAGGACAACGCCTGTACTATCCGCGACTCCTCCGGCGATATCGCCTGTGTCGCAACGCGCAAACACGGTCTCTATCACGTCGACTGCCAGCCCATCGGCACGGATGAGCGCGCCTTCACCGCCATCGACATCAACCGGCTGCACCAGATCATGGGCCATACGAACTTCGAGAGCCTGCACAACATGGTCCGACATGGGCAGCTCGGGGAGGTCGACATGCTTACCGGCATCCCATCCTTCTGTGAGCCCTGCGTCATGGGCAAGATGAAGAAGCTCCCCTTCAAGCGGAGCACCACGCCCACCTCGCGACCGCTCCAGTTCGTCTCCTGCGACGTTGGTGGCCCCGTCGACCCCGCTGCGATTGGCGGCTATCTCTACTGGATCGTCATTGTCTGCCACTACTCCTCGGGTGTCTACACGCTCTTCACAAAGAAGAAGTCGGAGGTCTACAAGAAGCTCCGTCAGTGGCGCATCGACATGGAGCATCAGCACCGCGACTCTATCGAGCAGTGGGAGTGGCTCCCCGGCTGGGTTGAGTTCACCCGCACAGACGGCGGTGGCGAGTTCTGCTCGAACAAGATGGAGGCCGAGTTCCGGCGACGCGGTATCATCCACGAGACGACGGCGCCCTACACACCTGAGCAGAACGGCATAGCGGAGCGCATGAACCAGACGCTGGTCACCCGGGCGATCGCTAACCTCTGCGCGGCCAAGCTTCCCCGGAAGTACTGGATGTACGCCATGGAGTACGCCACCGACATGATCAACCTGTCGCCCGCAAGCCGCCAGAAGGGAGAACTGCCCATCAACCGCATGCGCAAGGTCAAGCGCCCTATTGACGTCCACGCCCTGCACCCCTTCGGTTGCCCCGCCTACCCGCTCATCCCAAAGAAGAAGCGGAAGGGCAAGTTCGCCGACCGCGCCCGCCGGTGCATCCTCATAGGCTACGCTTGGTCTGAGGGCACGAAGGCGTACAAGCTCCTCGAGATCGCCACTCGGAAGGTTATCATCTCCCGGCACGTCAAGTTCGACGACGCCTCCCCCTCTCCTGACGAGATGCGCGCGGGCGAAGACGATGTGTCCGCCGAGCAGTGGGAGGACTTTGGCAAGTACTTCCATCTGCCGCCCAAGGACACTCCTGCACCAGGTGCGGGCAGTGACAGCGAGGACGATGACGACGACGATGCGCCGGCCCAGCCACCTGCAGCCGGGTCAGTGGGAGCACCTCGTCCACCCACGCCAGAGCCAGTGGGAGATAATCGTCCGCCTTCACCTGACTCGGACGGGCCACCACCTCCTCCGCGTCCACCGAAGACGCGCATACCACGCCGGTCCCTGCCACCGGCCACACCTCCGCTGGCTCCTGCCCCCGCCGCTGGTCCATCACGCCGCCCTGGCCTTCGCAAGCCAGAAGAGCGAACAGCAAACCAGCACAAGGACCAGGGCTACATCAACGCTCGGGAGCGGCAGGAAAACCACCGGAAGGTGTCCGCCCAGCAGCGGAAGCAGCGCGAAGCGAACATCCGCGCGCGCGAGCAGCAACTCGAGGAAAATCGCCGACATCGAGAGCAGCCGCCCCAGGCAGAAGCTCCTCCTCCGCCTCCCGCACCAGCTCCCGAACCAGAACCTGCACCAGCGCCTACCCAGGGGGGTGGGGATCCCCCGGGTCAACCTGACGAAGAGGGCGAGTCTGTGAACTTTGCTTTTCTCAATGACGAACTCTTCGCGGGCGCAGCATCTGGTGGTCGGTCGAGCAGCGGTGCGCGGAAGATTCCCACCACTTGGAAGCAAGCCATGGCGAGCCCAGAGCGCGACAAGTGGTTGGACGCGCAGTCAGAGGAGTTGAACAGCTTCAAGCTGAACGATGTCTACGAGGAGGTACCCATCCCGGAGGGCGTCAAGCCGATCACCTCCAAGCATGTCTTCTCCTTGAAGGAGGATGCTCAAGGGAACATTGAGCGGTACAAGGTGCGCATTGTGGCACGCGGCTTCACTCAGCAGGAAGGAGTCGACTACCAGGACACCTTTGCGCCCGTCGCTAGCCTGGAGTCCATCCGCATCATCCTCGCTCTCGCCGTCCGCCTTGGCCTCTACACAGACCAGATGGACGTGAACACCGCGTACCTCAACGGCGAGCTGCTACAGACGCTGTACATGCTTCCCCCGACCGGTGTCGACATCCGGGAGGGCTACTGCTGGCGACTCAAGAAGTCTGTCTATGGCCTCAAGCAGGCTGGTCGCGCGTGGAACCAGACGCTCCACAACAAGCTCGACAAGCTCGGGTTTGTGCGCCTCAACTCGGAGACTTGTCTCTACGTCTTCCGGGATGGTAAGCAGGTCTGCTTCCTCGTCGTCTACGTCGACGACCTACTCCTCGCCGCCACCTCGCGTCCTTTCATGGACAGCATCAAGAAGAAGCTCACTGCCTCCTTCAAGATGCGCGACTTGGGTCCCGCCAAGTACCTCCTGGGCATCAAGATCATCCGGCACCCGGGCAAGCGCACGATCTCCCTCTCCCAGAGGAAGTACATCGACACCGTGCTTGAGCGGTATGGCATGTCGGACTGCACGGGCGTCAGCACCCCCATGTCCACAAGTACTCGCATCTCCGCTGATGACCCTAACGACAACGAGGTGCGCACTCATATGGCCTTGGTCCCCGGAGGTCCCGTCGTCTCCTACCAGAGCGTAGTGGGCTCGCTCATGTACGGGATGATGGGCACCCGACCGGATACCGCCTATGTGGTGGGGGTTCTTGGCCGCTATAGCGCCGCCCCCAAGGCCTGCCATTGGGAACTGGCCAAGCGCGTCCTCCGGTACCTCAAGAAGACGCGCGACTGGTGCCTTGTCTATGATGGCGCTGACGCTGGCATGGACCTCGACTTCCATGGCTACACCGACGCTGACTGGGGCGGATGCAACGACACGTCCAAGTCTACCTCCGGCTTCGTGTTCATCTCAAGTCGGGGCGCCATTGGTTGGTCCAGCAAGCGGCAGTCCATGGTCTCTCTCTCTTCTACCGAGTCGGAGTACATTGGTCTAGCTAATGCTGGCCAGCATTTGGCGTGGCTCCGCTCATTCTTCGAGGAGTTGGGACGTCCGCAGGCCGGTGCCACCGAGCTTAGGTGCGACAACCGCGCGGCCATCATCCTCAGCCAGGATGCTCAGTTCCGGGCTCGGACCAAGCACATCCAGCGGAAGTACCACTACATTCGCGATGGGCTGGTTGCCACCGGCGAGTGCGTCGTCCTCTGGTACCCCACGGACGAGATGGTTGCGGACATCTTTACCAAGGCACTACCTCATGAGAAGCATCTCAAGTTCTGCCAAGGTATGGGTTTACGGCCAGACTCGAGTGGGAGTGTCAAAAGTAGGGTATAGAGGGGCGAGTCTGCCTCCTCCCATGGGTGGACGGTTTGCCTCGCGTCCACGCTTTTGGTCCGCCTTCCTATTCGGGAAGAACTTTCCCACGCCGCTCCGGGGGCGTCCGTATTTATCCTTACTGTACATCTCTTTTCCCTCAGTCGCTATTCCACTAGCAGGAAGACTGAGGGTATGTTATCTCACTTACTATACTCATACTATTTACTGACTGTACTTTAGTCTTGCGCGTCCTGCGCTTCTTTAGGTATGAATATCAGTCGCTATTCCACTAGCAGGAAGACTGAGGTCTTGCGCGTCCTGCGCTTCTTTAGCTCGTGAAAGTCAACAATGTGATGGTTGTAGCCTCCGAGAATGTCGAGGACCGTGTAGATTGACCGCCCTGCACACTGCTCTGCGTAGTGGTCAACGAACGGGGGTGCGCCGGCGTCGCGGATAGTGACTGCGTTGAGGGGCTTCATGTTGTGGACGATGCGGACGGACCCGTTCTTCTTCGCGACCGCCAACCAGCCTGTCTGATATGCTGTATTGCTAGAAAGCTCGTAAGTGCCATTTTCCACACGCGTACGGATGATGTCCATGAGAGCAGGGACCAGCGCGGGTGCGTTCGGACGATGCCCTTCACGATATGCGTCGTGCGGAATCGTGGCAATCCGTGCTCGCGTGAAGTAGTCGTCCCGAAATCGCCCCTGCTCTGCCTCCGTCCATCCCAAACCCGATTCATTGTTCGACAATACTATCTTCGCCATCTTCTTCTCCATCGGCCACAGGAAGTCGTTGTCGTCGATACCGATTGCGTCCAGTCGCGCTTGCGTGAGGCGTAGTCCCGGCACGAACGGCGGAGGATGCAGAGACAGCTGCGGCAAGGACAAGAGCGGATCCTCGGGGAATCGCCGATGGACCTTGTACTCCTCCGGGGTCTGCGTCGGGACTGAGCGGACACGTGTTGCAGCGGACTTCTTGTAGGCGAAGCAGGCGGCCTTGTTGTCCCAGCTGAAGGTTGAGCTCAACAGATAATTGAGGACCGGTGCCTTTGGCGAAGATGGTGGTGCACGACTGTGAAGGGTTAGTTGTCCTACGCTTCGAGCATGCGCATGCGCGGTCACTCCTCGACCCGCGGCGCCAGCAAAAGCGCGAACAATGCCGCCAGCATTAGTCAGGAACGCGCAGCTCTGTGCAGTGCCATCTCGCGCATGGACCTTTGGTCTCGTTGCCACCCAGCGCTCCTCCTTCCCGCCCATCGGATCATGCACCTTCACCCACACCTTGCCCTTCTTCGGCTCCAGCAGAGACATACGCACCGACGATTGCCAAGGTCGCCCGAGCAGCAGTCGGTATGGGGCGTCGGGTACAACAAAGGCGTTGACCGTCGTCCGCAGCCCATCGACGTACAACTCGACTCCCTCTGCACAACCCGGAATCCTCTCCCAGCTCCCATTTGCGCACTGCATCCGCATCTCGCGCTTCTCGTTCAGCGGTAAGCCAAGCTCGGCCCAAAGATCCTGTCGCATGACAGCAATCTCGGATCCGTGGTCAAGCAGCGCACTCTCGGTCTGGCCGTTGGACAGCTGCACGTCGATCTCCCGCAGTGGCGTGACATAGTCGACCGCCGGGGAGGCGACCGTCGTAGCTGCCACAGGTCCTTGCGCCACATAGGACGCCCGCGCTTCATCCGCGTTCGGGATGCGCACGACTCGGGTGTACTCCGTGAAGTCCTTGCGAAGCTCGGCACTGAGACCAAGCAGGTCACCGACAGTGATGTCCTGCACGACCGTCTCGCAGACGCGCTCGCGAAGCCGCGAAGCCGCATTCTGTCGAGCAGCCTTCGACTCATACGTGTACGCCGGCTGCATCGACTTGGGCTCGGGATGTGCGATAGGGTCATCTGGAATGTCAGCACCAAAGCGTCGCTTGTTCTGCACCTCCGACACGCCCTGCACCTTCTCCGTCATTCTCGTCAGAGGTCGTTCCTCCTCCCTGATCTCCCCCGAAGCCGCCTTCAGCGTACTCGCATTTTGCAGACCCGCACGACCTTGTGCGCGCGTCTGAACAGCCAGACCACTCACCTCATTTGGCAGCGCGATCCTCTCGAGCTCGCTGACCGCACTCCAGAGCACTTCCTCCTCATCTGCCTCTTCCTCCTCGACAGCCGTCACCCGAATACCCGCCATCTCATCCGCATCCTCGACCACGTCTTCAATGACCGCATTCGCCTCCGCAGTCGGGATCGGCTCGCAGACGATGAATGCATTGCGCGTTGTGTCCGGCTGCGGGTTCGCCTGCTGCTGCGATTGTTGGTGCTGCTGCTGAGGTGGAAATGGCGGGTGGCGAGGAAGCGGTCCCATGAGCCTATCAATCTCGTCCTTCATGCCGCCTCGCCCGGGATGGTAGACTCGTCCTTGCGCAGGCAAACTGGGCCCATCCGCCCACATAAGTATCCCGTTCCTCCTGATGACGCGCCCTGCGGTCTCGTAGTCGTGCAACTCGAGGCAGTTGTTCATGTAGTGCTCAGGACTGTCACAGAAGTGGCAGTTTGCGCGAGTCTGCCGCGGCGGCGAGCCACCGTAAGGCGACCCAGAACGCTGACCGCGCGGTGGATAATAAGGTGATTGCGAGTACGCTTGCTGATACGGCGTCGGTGGCGGCTGATACTGCTGATACTGTTGCGACTGGTAAGGCGTACCCGGCCGCGAGTTGCTGTATGGGGTGCCCGGCCGCGGCGGCGAGAACTGCGACGGCGACGGGCGCTGCTGCTGGTAGGGCGTCGGCGGGCGTTGTTGTTGCTGGTAGGGCCCTTGATAGTACTGCATTTGCGGTGCTGGCTGATACGGCGTGGATGGCGGTGCGTATGGAGCGTTCGGCGGTGGCGGATACGCAGGCGAAGGCGGCTCCGGCGGTGGTCCATAAGCAGCTGCCGCGTTGACTGACGCGTCCGGCGCGCCAAACGCAGGTGGCGCCAATACCGCTGACATGCCTGGCGAGAGCTGGATCATCCTCGCATAGCACGAGAGATATGCCGTGTCCGTTACGGCGAGCTTGTTCATGCGTGCAGCCAAATCGTCAAGCTCGTCCCTCTCGGCCTGCACGGGTGGAACAGCGCGCGCCACGGTCTTCGTACGGATCTCCGTCCTCCCCTTCGACTTCTCCTTCTTCTTCGGCATAGCCAATATCTCGTCGTCCGAGTCCGTGTCGTCTGAGTCAGATGTCGCCTCCTCGTCGCTGTCGTCGTCGCCTTCGGACTCGCTGTCATCGCTGTCATCGGAATCGTTGTTCTGCTTGAGTAGTTGCTGAGCAGCCTTGCGCAAGCGCTTCGACGACGACTTCTTCCTCGACCCGCCCGCGCCGCGCAGCACCTTGCCCGAGTCGAAAGTACCTGTAGAATAACAGAAACGCGCCGCCTCCATGACATCATCGATAGACGGCGCTTCCTCCGTGGACCGCTGTGAGTTCACGCCCAAAAGACGCGCCCAGATAACACGCCGCACATCTGTCGGAAACCCTTTCCAGAACACTAAATTAGCCTCCGCCGCGGATAACTTGTTGTTAGCTCTTAAATACTTGGAAGCCGGGAGAAAAGTCTGATAATAATGGTTGATGTCGTCGATCGTATGGATCGTCGCATCCCTCTGGTAAGCACTCGCATATTTCCGCAAATTACGCACCGTATAGCCGATGCCCTTGTCTGAGTCGGGGTACTCCTTGTATAGCGCTGCCTTAAAGGCCGCCCAATCCGATGCTGCGTCGTCGAACTCCTTCAAACTCTCCCAAAAGCGCCGGATTGGCTCCTTCTTGGCGTACCGCACAGCTGCGCGCTTCTTCTGCGCCTCCGTCAAGCTGTATCCCGTGAACAGCTCATCTAGCTCGGTCAGGAATGCCTTGAGGCGCGAAGACTGGCCCTTGAAGCTCGGAGCACGCCTCGTACCAGGCGGTGGCAGTTCGGTCACGCCTTTGAGCGTCGGAGCCGCTGCCGTAGTCGTACCGCCCGTCGTCGTGGTGGTGCCGCCCGTCGCTGCAGTCGTAGCTCCCGCAGAGGTTGTTGGAGGCGGCGCCATTGCCTTTCGTACGGTGTTAGCCTGGGACGTTAGTTTTGGTATGAACAGGGGGATAGGAGGTACGGTGTATTGTGAAGGATCAGGAACACGTCGTGGGGGTAAAGGTGGTGGTACTGGGGTGGGCAAGGGTGCGGATTGTGGTTCTGTTGGTGATGGAGGTAGTAGATGTGGTGATGGTGGCAAGGGAACTTCGGGGGACGGAGGCGATGGGGGATCGGGGAAAGCGCCAGGAATCAGTGATGATCGGCCTTGTTTTGAGATCGCCGGTGGTGTTGGGGGATACGGAATATAGAGGCCGACGTTTGTGACGGCTGCTCCTGTAGCTTGACGCGCTCGTAGGGTTCGCGATTGCCCCTTGAGCCGGGGGATCCGACTCTGTACCGCGGGTGCCGCGTGTTCGCCTCGTTCTTCGGCCGCGCGACTTGTCTCTGCCTGCTGCTGCTGCTGTACACGCGTTGAATCCGCTATAGTTGCTGCGTCGATCTCTTGGTACGCTCCTACGCTCTCCTTGATGGCTAAGAACGCCTGCTTCTGCCGCTTCCGCGCCAGACCGCACTCCGACGAGAAAAGAAAAGAAAAATTCAGTAAAACTCGCAAAACTCAAGACTCAGCTCCTCAGGGTCAATAGCCTCCCTCGCGGTGGGCTCCAGATGTAGCGCGCTGTGAGTTCCGAGGCTCAGAGACCGAACTCGCGTCTCAGCGGTGAGGGTCAGAACTCGGATCTATCCGGAGCTATCTACGAATGAAGACACAACGACTGCCTAATCGGGAATGCCTAAGCGAAGCTGCCATGCGCGTTCCAAGCCCAGCGCGGACCCATACCCTACATCCTCGTAATCCTCGTCACGACGCTTTACGATGTCATGATCTTGCTTTCCGCATGCTTTCTGCATTTGTACTATAGCTATCATATCTTCATTATACTCTCTCATATCGCACTGTACACTATTTCGTATATACCACACATCTGTACTAGTATCTAACTCGAGCTCTATGCAATTCACGTCGCTTGACACTGAACAATCGCCCCAGTGACTGAAGTTAGCTTCGAATCGCTTCGTTCGCACTTCTAACCGCGAAGAAGGTATCGGGTTGACTTGTCGTGGTGAAGGTCAAGCTACTGTCCGTGGACAATTTGCTACAACTGCGAGGCTTTTAGTCGAACAAGCTGCCTTTACCCGGAATTTGTGGCACTGGACGGTGGCACACCGACATGCAACAGGGTGAGATGATCCATCCTATTGCTCTGCGTTTATAGATGATAATGCACAATCTAGTGTCTATACAAGCAACATAAATATCAACGCCGCCATCACAGTGTAGAGATTATACAGCTCTAAGCTACGAAGTCCGAATGCGCTGTCCTTGTCGCTGTCGTCCGAGCCCCCGCCCGACCGCGTATAACTGTCATAACTAATCGTGTACTGGTCAAAGAACGGCAACAAATCCGCCTCCGTGATATTGAACGGCGCCTTCTTCCCACTCGTGTCCAACCCCTCCGCCGTGCTCGGCCAAATATGGTCCATCCCCTTAATCCGATACCGCCTCACCTGCCCCGCCGCCCCATCCTCGCCCCACGTCCAGAGATTCGTGTCATCGTGCGGCTGCGAGGTGTTGTACGTGTCCTTCTCCCAGCCGTTGCGGTACGCCCAGTTCTTCGCGAAGTCGTCGATCGAGGGCAGGTCCTCGTCAGCATCATTGGAGGACTCGCCGGAGAATTTGATGGTCGTGTCGGCGTCGCCGTGCGAGATGAGGACAGGGACCTTGCGGCCGGGCTTACAGTCGCTGCCGGGGAGGGCATCGGGGTAGTAGGCGCCGGAGATGAGCCCGTAGGCGGCGAAGCGGGACGTGACGTTCGCGTTGCAGGCGAGGCGGTTGGCCTGAGGAGATGTCAGCGACGCGAAGATGGATCATAGAAATATACGTACGAAGCCACCGCCGTTGGACTTCCCAGACGCGTAAATTCGCAGTTGGTCTACGCATAGGTTCTCAGAAACCTCGTTCAGAATGGCGCCGGTGAAGTCAATCTACGGACCATGAGTTTAAGAAATGCACAGAAATACGTGATACTCACATCCTCCGCATCATCGCTCGCGTATGGCGCGCCTCTCCACGCCGTCCTCCCGTCGTCGCCTTCCAGCCCCTGCGGGTATACCGCAATGAGTCCCATATTGTTCAACCTCTGTCGCTTGTCAGAGATCTGTGACGCCTTCTCCTGGGCATGCATGTCTGCGGCGGCGCCATGGAAGGAGAGGACAAGGGGATGGGCTTGCGAGTGATCGTAGTCATCGGGTATATGGACCAGGTAGGTGCGCTTCTCGCCGCCGACGGTGGTGTTCTGAACAAGGTGGTTGTCGGTGTCAAAATCCCACTTCAGGCTGCCGCCACAGCCGGAGGAGCTATTGGTGGCACGTCGTGAGAGGGAATTTGCGTCCGGGGATGCATGCGCTGGTATCAAGTGGGCGAGCAGGGAGACGCTGGCAAGGAGGGATGCAGCCATACGTGATGGCTAGGAAGGATGGCAGTGGCGAAGGGGTATGCAGCAAACGAGGGTGTGTGCAAAAAGTGAAAGAACGCGACACGCGCGGTTATGTAGAGGCGACGATCGCATGACGTACGCCAAAGACGTCGACAACGACGCCGCCGTGGAGTCTGATCGCTACGCGCAGCATGCGCGAGACATCCATGCCCACGTCGGGCGTGCAAATTTCGAAACCGTACGCGCTCTCGCGCAATCAATGACGACGCTGATAGCGGGTACAAAGCACCGTGTATTGGCCTTGATGGAGGATAAAGGCAGCTGAATGTCCATGGAAGGCCCATGTTCAGCGTTGTTGGGAACGGCCGCGGTGCGAACGTCCTGTCAAACGAGCCAAGGAATGGTCTCAAACATGACCAAACACAATCAGGAAGCCCCATCTTCAGCCGGCGATCGGCTTGAAATGAGGTCAGAAATGAGCGCAGGGTGTAGTGGACGAGTTGGAATCATCCTTCATCCCATTGGCGCCAGAAACACAGCAGCCGTGGGCGGTTCCGGCCGCCGTGAAGGGCGCGGAGCTGAAGCAGACAGCCGCGAGTTAGACGAAGGGAAGCGCTGTAAAGGTACTTGGCTTGACAGTCCCATGGACACGCGTTCTACTCGATGTACGCAGGCCGCGTCGCGCAGATAGCAAGGAAGCTGCAGTCGATCGTGATCGCGCAGCGGGAGAGAGCGTGGGAAGAGCTATTGACTCCGAAAACGGCAGTGATCGCGCTCCGGCGGATCGGCCCGGATTCTCTTCAAGTTCCGCGCTTTCAGGACGGCCTTGACAGCGACCATGAATGATGTTGTTCGATATCCAGAGAGGTAGCGCATATTTCGTCGTTCTTTCCTCTTCGTCCAAATGCAAGTTCTCGTGCTGGAATCCCTTCTGTCAAGTCGTTATCGTAGCCAGCCTTCCGGCAAGTCTCACAGCGTCCGCGCGCTCCTCCCGATCATCCACCATCAGCATGCCCATCATGGCTATCAATATCCTGTCCTAGTTACTAGCGTACCTCTTGACCTGAACCGCCATGTCCGAGGTGAATAAGGGAGAGGACGACATCAAGGCCGACGCCACCGTCGAGGCGGCGCCAACCACCGTCGACGAAGAGACCAAGTGGACGACCAGCCGCTGGGAGCTTTGGTCCTACTACTTCTTCTACATCGGCAACAGCGGCCTCTCCGGATTCAACTACGGTCCCTCCCAGTTCCAAAATCTCCTCTACCTGGCCGGCTACGACCCATCCGGCGCGCCGGGCGAGCTCCCCTGCGGCGACGGCGGCTGCGTCCTGCGTTTCGCCGGCAAAGTGCGCGATAGTGAGTGTGCGATCGGCGATGGGTGGATGTGCAGCTGACGGGGTATTCAGTCAACTCTATCGTGCTTGTGACGAACGGGATCAGCTTCGCGCTGCAGGCCGTATTGCTTCTTATCATCGGCGCGTGGGCGGACTACGGGACGTGGAGGTGTGTGGGGCATCGGGTAGTCGCGATGAAAAGCTCATGTGTGATCGGTAGACCGAATATAACGATATTCTTCACGATCGTCGCTGTCGGAGTTTCCTTTGCGTGGCTAGGAGTCGAACATCCTGACCAGTGGGAGGCAGCAACTGCACTCTACGTCCTTGGACGTGCGTAGCCGAATAAGCCGCACGGCCGTCGTCTAATCTTTCGAGTAGTCATAACGTACCAATGCGTACTCACGTTCTGGACAGCAGCGTTCCCAGGATTGGCGCGAGACCTTCCAGAGGTCAAGCAGTCCCTCGCGGACGTGAAGGGTGGTGACAAGACGTGCGTAGGATTCTCCGAATGCATTCTGTCTGCTTACATCCCCCGACCCGCAGTGCGGAAGAGCACACCAAGCTCACCTCCCTATCGCGCAACCGCATCTCCAACTTGTCCTTCACTGTCTGCTCCGTCGGCGAGATCGTCGTGCTCGCCATCATGGTCGGCATCCTGAAGGCCATTCACTCCGACGAGAGCACGGAGAACAATACGAAGGCTTTCAGCATCCTCATCGCTTTCTCCGGGGGCGTCTGGCGTAAGTCGACTTTCCCCCGGACACTGAACCTCACGAACCTCGTCGTACTCATTTCCGTCGTCCAGTCCTCTGCGCCATCCCCTGGTTCCTCATCGAGAAGCGGCGGCCGGGCCTCACGATGCCCCCGGGCACCAATCTCTTGACGGTCGGCTTCAAGCAGGTCGCTGTCGCGTTCCGCGAGTGCATGCGCCTCAAGCAGACCTTCCTCTACCTCATCTTCTACTTCCTCATGTGCGTCTTGCCCCCTCAACCTCCACAACACCTCTGACGCGTTGATCACACCCACAGGGGCGACGTCCTGAACACTACCGTGTATGCTATATTCACCGTGTATCGCGCTCGGTCCTAAACCCTGACGTCCGCCGAAGCACCGTGTGCGCGACGTTGCAGAATAGGTGCGTCTTGGATGGTTCAGCGTCGCGTCCATCATGCTGATAGCATCTCCTTTCACTCGACAGCGTCGTCTCGTACTCGACCCTCCAGCTCACCTACCTCCTGATCCTCGGGATCGCGACGCAAGCTATCGGCATCTAGTGCGCCTTGCGTCCACTGTCTATTCCTGTCCTCGTCCCTTACATCCGTACCCTTCATAGCGCCTTTTGGTTCGTGCAGAAGAAGTACAAGATTAGCACAAAGGCCGTATGTCCGCGTCCCTCCTTAGCTGAGGATATGGATAGCTCACCTCACCCTAACCTCAATATAGATGCTCTGCTTCAACGTCTTTTGGATCATCGTACGTGAAGGGTTCATCGTGCTGTTCAAGGGCTCTTGTGCTGCTTACCCCATACTCCCCTTTTCTCCTGTCCCCGCATGTGCCTGCGCTTCGTTTTCGCGTCCCCCTCCCCTTCGTCCCCACAATAGCTCTCGTCTAATTCCTGACCATGTCCCCGTATAGGTTCTCACCATCTGGGGCCTCATTGGCGTACACACCGACCGATTTGGCTTCAAGCACGTGTGGGAGATCTGGTCAGTAATCCGTTCCTCGGCTTCGCGCATGCACCCTCCGTCCCCTCGGCCGCGCGTGTGCCCACCGTCTGCTTATACACACTCATCGTCAACCTATCTAACCCATCTTTCATCTATCAGGCTATATCAGGCCTACTACGGTCTCATGGTCTGCCCCTGGTATGCGTACAGCCAGACCATGATCAGTGAGGTGTCGCCCTTGCCGCAAATGTGGGTTTTCTATCTAGGGCTCTTTCTGCCGAAAGGGCCGAAATGCTGAGAACGATACACTAACTTTGCGCGCCCAATATAGGTTCCTCTTCTTCGCATTGTTCTCTGTGGTGAGTGGTACCTTTTACGAGGGAATGTGCTATTTCATGATGGAATCTGCCCTACTTCGAGGGAATACAACCTTCCGGGGGGTAATCTACCCTTCGGAGGGAATCCGTGAACGTCAGCTGATCGCGTGTCCAGGTCGGCAAGACGAGCGCGTTCATTGGGCCGTTTGTGTCCTCTGCGATCATAGATGCTTCGGGCGGGAACGACAACATGCCCTTTGCGTTCCTGTTCAGCCTGTACGTTGAGTCCAATTCCATGCCTTTGTGTAGTCCCGTCCCTTCACCTATTTCTGCCCTCCATCTGTTCCCGCCTCTTCCCTCGAGATTTTCTCTCGCCCCTCTACCCCCAAATAGTCCCTTCGGACGAACATCCTCATCTTACCAACCTCTTCGTCGTCTAACGTACCCCATCATCTTCTAACGCACGTCTTCATCATCTAACGTACCGTTCATCACCCAGGGGCACCGCAAGCACCGTCTTTCTATGGCTCGTCGACGTGAAGAAGAGTCGCGTGGAATGCGAGGCGTTCGTGCGCGCGGAGGCAGAGAGGGAAGCGTTCCAGGCAAGTGCGGTCACGAAGAGCGCGCTCCCGGTAGACGCGGGGTCTGTTACTTCGTCGGAGGTATAGGGCTTCTCCGGGGATGCGTAGGACTTCCCGACTGTTGTACTAACGGGAACGAGGTGATATACACGAGATCTCGAGAAAAGCAGGTGCTCGAGATACAGAACTGAGGCATGCTCTGTCAGCGAGAGCTTAGCCGAAGGTGCGCGGGGAAATGCACACCTCTGTATCGGGGAACGAAGAGCTGGAACTCCGTATTCGTGGTCCCGGGAATCCGTTGTCGATTCTATACCGAGCTCACGATCTGTTGCTTGCTTGGCATCCGTTCCCGAAGACGCCGCCAAGGCACTGAAGAACCGATTGTGGACGCTCTCTGCGTGCCAGCAAGCAGCATCCCTCCATCCTACCCTCGTGCCCAAGCCTCACCTACTCGGCGTGCCACAAAGTGCGAGTTCATGTTTCACGCGCACTTACGTAGGCCACGCGACCGACGCCACAATAGGTCCGTCTCTTGCCTTCCTTCCACCACCAGCGCTGGCTCACGCTACCTTACCGCGATTCTCAAGTGCCTCGGACCTTGGACCTAATATTGGCCGAGAATCTGTACTGCTCGTGCTCTGTCTGCTTCGTAGCGCTCAGCGTCCGTTTTCTCGACCCCAGGGGGCTGCTAACTCTTGTAATCGGCGCCTACTCGAGGCCGGCATCGTTGCCGTGAGGATCTACTTCTCCCATGCGGTCCACGTACAAGAGGGCTGTTGAGCTGCCGGCATCTTGGTCAAGATGAAGGATAACGACTGCTGAGCTCTACATGAGTCCGTGCGCTCAACGGACACTATTCGACCGTTTCTGGCCGTCCGACTTTTCGGACAGGCCAAATATGCTTCTCTCCTCCGCTCGTCCGCTACGTGTCTGCGCTATCAAGCTACTGCTGGTCTACTACTCTCAGTCTTGCTCGCTGTATGTGGCGGAGAGCTATGCATCTCGCTTCGCTAGTCGTTAGGAAACCTGAGGGATGTCGACCATAGTGACATGGCATACGCTTCTCTCTTCGGGCTGCTCTGTATAAATAACAGCGGGCCTCTCTGATTCGCGCAAAACCCGACATCGAATCCTCTCCTTTTAGGCAGCGTCCGCCTGCACCTCCGTCCGCCTGGCAGGACACGAGCGTGACGAAGGCTATTTTGACTTTTCTCTGACAGTTTATATCCGCGAGGACCCAAGTGCCCGCCGACGCTCTTTTGCATCCTCCCCGCCCCCATTCACCTCTTGCACTCCTAGTCCTATACGACTGCAGATGATGGCAGGCATCCTATCCACCGGCCTCTCGCTCTTCGCGTGCCTCGGCCTGGCGCAGGCGGTCTTCATACCCCATTCATATACCCACGATCCGCACGCGCACCGGTCGACGGTCGTGCCCAGGGCGTCCAGCGGGTGCGGCACCAAGCCCCGGTGGGCGTTCGACAACAGCGGGCACTTCACGGAGAACACGCTCATAGCGGGCAACCAGCGGACGTATCTGGTACACGTTCCTAACGACTTCAACAACGCGGTCCCTCGCCCGCTCGTACTATCCTTCCACGGCGCGGACGGCACATCGCAGCACCAGGAAGACGCGTCGCAGCTATCTCTTCCCGGACAGACGATCGCGGGGAGGAGCATCGTTGCGGTATATCCCCAGGGCTTGCCAGGCGATGGGCGATCTGCTGCCTGGGACGCGGCGCCATACGCCGATCCGGACGCGCACGATGTGAGCTGCATTGAGTTGCCAAAGGCGATCTCGGTATTGACGCACTAGCAGGTCGAATTCACCAGTGCTATGTTGGACGACCTGATAAGCACCCTCTGCATCGATGTTACCAGGATCTATATTTCCGGCAAGTCCAACGGCGGCGGTTTCGTGAGTGGCCATCTTCGCTTCGTGGGCCCTTCTCTCATCCTTCTCAACTACAGACGAACCGCCTTGCCTGCACCCCCGAGATCAACCGTCGTGTCGCAGCCTTCGGAATGGCGTCAGGCGCCTACTACCCCGAATCGCTAGTCGGAGACGATTGCCAGCCCGGCCGGCCGATCCCCATCATCCTCACGCACGGAGATGGCGACACCACCGTCCCGTATCACGGCAAGCCCAACAACGGTGATAACACGGAGCCCGACATCGACGACTTCGTCGAAGACTGGGCTGAGCGCAACGGTTACGGCTTTGTCCCTACCGCTCACTCGACGCCGCACGATCAGACGAACCTCTGGACGTGGGGTCTGCCCAACTCCCCCGGCCAGGTCAAGCGGTACCGTGTCAAGGGTATGGGTCACATCTGGCCGACGACGGTCGTCGGTTCGGACAAGGAGGGGTTGTCGGCGCCGTTCAATCTGACGCAACAGGATCTTCTGCCGTTCTTCGAGCAGTACACGCTTTGAACGTGTGCTTCGCGATGTTCTTTGTACGAGTACGGGCTGGGCGGGCTCACACTGTCATTTCGGATTGAATCAACGGACTATAGCACATTCCTATGTATTGTTAGCATAACGGTAGGGCAGTATTTATCACTATCTGGGATTCATTGGCGGCGATAGACAGTCGCCTTCGTCGGCACCGCGAAGTTGGGACTCGGAGGTCTAGACAAGAGATAGAGGTGACTGAATTGTAGTGCTGGCACTTCGTCACCGATAACTCATGGCTTTGCGCGTGCTGGGGTATTCCGGAATCGCGCTTCTCTGCAAGGACTCGGTCGCGAAGGGCTTGGCTTCGAATATAGAGGGCGAAAAGAAGAAGGGTAAAAGACGTACTTCACCATCAGTCATAGTCGACGAAAGGTCTCGCCTCAGAGAAGCGCGATGGACTGACGAAGTGCTGGCGAATACGCAGCGCGCTCTAATGTGAGCCCGTGATGAATAGGGTACTCACCGTCCACGATGGGGATGCGCCGAGCAACCTGCCGCGCCGATACCGCACGGCGAAGTCGTCAATCGATCTATAGCGACGTCTCGAGTACATGCGCTACACCGTAGGTACCTGCGAGGTGCACACTCTACGTGCACGACGGTGAGCGGAGGGCCGGCGCCACCGAAGTCCCAATTGACAGAGTGAAGGTAAGCCCGAGGTCGCGTCCGGACTTGTTAATCAGCTTCACGTCGTCGGTAGGGAGATCGTTGTGCAAGGCGCCCTCCTCGAGCGCTCGGTGAGGCCGACCAGCAAGATCCGTTGAAGCGATTGCGCGAGAGGGGTGCATCGCCTCAAAAGTCCGGAAAGAGGAAGTCCGCTGAAGAACATTATACGGTACAACTGCAGATCTCTGGACAGAGCTGGACCAGGGGCCTGAGTCTTCTACTGTTGCTTCGTGCCAAGTGACGGATTTGCGCTACCCTTTAGAGTGGCAGATTGAGCAAGAACGTTGAGGAAGAGAGTGGGTAGCGTTGACTCCACGTAACGGCTGCAGTCCGGTCCGAGCGGTTGCGTCACGTGACAAATCCATGGAGAGTCTAGACTCCACGTCGGTTCAAGTTCACCACCGACCTTGGCGCCCCATATCCTCAGTTCTTGACTCAAATCTCTGGTTCTAGTTGACGCAGGCTGAACCCTTCATCCTCTGCGATGAATGGAAGAGTTTCTTCTTCCGAAAACACGAAAGAGACATACAGAGAACCCCCAATCAACCCATGACTAGCGTATTTTCTGCGCATTACATTGCCTTTCTGGGCGCGCCGCGACCCAACTATCCCGGTGGACGCTGTGGCACCATGGATTTTTGCGAACCCGATGACTGTGTAGGGCGATGCCTCGACCCCCGCCGCGTCCGCTCCCGCTGGCCCTGCGCGGGTCTTCGGTCTCGGCTGTGACAAGGCCGTAGCCACGCCCTCGGCGCCTGGGAGGCGGGTCTGTTGCCCTCCCCCCGCGGCGGTATCCGGGATGCTATTTCTCGGTTCACCCCGTCGCATGTTGTATAAAGTGCGCGCCCGGCCACCCCACTCTCTCCCCACATTCACCACAACACGACTACCACGAAGCACCAACCCACCTAACAGCTGCTCCTTTCGCCGAGCATGACGACCTGCAGCATCTGCCTCGACGAGCAAAAGCAGCCCGTCTCTTTGCCTTGTGGTTAGTCATCTACGCGCGCCCTCCGCTTTCCCCACCTAACGCGAATAAAAGGCCACATTTTCTGCTACCCCTGCATCGTGCGCGTCATCGACGCCGTCAAGTCGTACACTACGCTTCACTGCTGTCCGACATGTCGGAACCCATATACCGTTGGTAAGTCAGTCGACATCCGGCTAGTCCATCGTCTGACGCGATTGCAATCAGTGAACATCGACCCCGCACTCGTCCCAGCCTACCTCCGCCCCCACATTATGCCCAGCATCCGCAAGCTGTACATGGACAGCGATGAGAAGAAGCCAGCGGCGCGCGCAGAGAACGCAGACACCGAGTTCATCGACCGCGCTCGGATGCAGGCGGAAAACGCTGCGCTCCGCGCCAACTGTGGCCTGTGGCGCAAACGCGCCGAGGTACACGCGGCGGCGACATTGGGGCTCCTCAGCCTCGTGCGCCAAGCGCGCGATTGTGCTATCCAGATGAAGAACGAGCGCGATGAAATCGCGAGGCGATATAACGTGTTGAAGCGCAAAAGCGAGGATGAGGAGTAAGTCGCGTCTTCACATTTCCTGATTCTGTTACTGACGATGCTTCAGGTATACCCGGTCGTCGTCGTTCTCTCCTCCCCGCGAGACAGCGTGCGCCTTCATGACAGTGCCGCACCTGTCCAGCTTGGCGAGCAATGACTCTGCCACCACGGCGTTCTCGGAGCCTCGAGTGCCCGAGACGCCGCACCTGCCCTGGGCAACACCATCCAAGGACATCCTGGACGGTGTACCTGCCCTCAAGCGCCGGCGGACGGCCTCTCCAGACCCTTCCCCAAAGCGCTCTCGCCGACACTCCCCGAGCCCGGAGAGCCCGGCGGTGGAGTGCCCGCGCAAACAGCACACCTCATGCTGAGCTCCTTGGCTACGGCCTCGAGCTATGTTCTCGCCTCTTTACTCATTTGGACGTGGGCCTTCGTTCGCCGTTCTTCTCATTTCTCGCGCATATCTCCATCGCATGTTCCTGTCTAGACGCACACTCGCATTCATAGACAGACACATTCTGTACCGGTACATTCACTCTAAGATTATGGTTATTGGGCTCGGGTTACCTACTGTATTTCTACTGCTATACCACATGTACATGTCATCACTACTCCATCCTTCTCTCGTATATGTTTGACCAAGGATGCACAAACATCATTAATTGCTACCAACTCGATGTGACTTTCCTTCCGAAGCGCTATCGAATAGACCAGCCATGAGAGGCAAGAGCGAGACCAGAAGGTATTCAATGAGGATGTTGCATGTTTCGCAACCCTTCCTCGGGTCGAATCGGAATGCATAAAGGCTCTAAGATGTAGAGAGATCGTTGCGATATGGCGGCGGGCACCGCGCTGTAACCGCGATGGCGACGGTGCTCGACGACACCAGGCCATGGTCTCGACTTGTTGGAGCAATTCTCGGCATTTGCCGATGTGATTGCAGTTCGACGGGTGGCTGAGCGCTTGATTGTCACGTGCCTACCGATCCCGCACGCACACCGTCAGTCCAAGCGCGCACGGCGACGAACACCCTCAAGATCAAAAATGGTGCGTGGGCACTGTACTGGACGTCGCCCGCGATGCTGACGATCTGCAGGCCGACTCGAAAGCCCCGACAAACCCGATGCGCGAGCTCCGCATCGACAAGCTCGTCATCAGTGCGTCCCCCATACCCTCGATTATTTCATCCCATTTACCTTCCCCCTCCCCATAGACATCTCCGTCGGCGAGTCTGGTGATCGCTTGACGCGGGCGTCGAAGGTCCTCGAGCAGCTCACCGGCCAGACGCCTGTCACCTCGAAGGCGCGCTACACCATCCGTACCTTCGGTATCCGGCGTAACGAGAAGATCGCCGTGCACGTCACTATCCGTGGGCCGAAGGCTGAGGAGATCCTCGAGCGCGGCTTGAAGGTGAAGGAGTACGAGCTCCGGAGGAAGAACTTCTCCGAGACGGGCAACTTTGGGTTCGGCATCCAGGAGCACATCGACCTTGGTGCGCGGTACGACCCCGGCATCGGTATCTTCGGCATGGACTTCTACGTCGTGATGGGCCGTCCGGGCGCGCGCGTCGCGCGGCGGAAGCAGAAGAAGGCGCGCATTGGCTTCCAGCACCGCGTCAAGAAGGAGGACACGATGGCTTGGTTCAAGCAGAGATTCGATGGTATCATCCTGGTGAGTACAGAGTCGTCCATCGTGAAGTTCGTTGCTCATGATCCTCTCAGAAATAATCGTATCGCCCTCCGTTCGCCGCTGTTCTATGCTTTCCCCTACGCTATATGACCCACATGTACCCCTATGCATAGCGCAATGCACCATTGCCCACGGGCGACCACACTGGCGCTCACACCCCAAGCGCCGGGCTCACCATGTACAATCAGTCGAGCAAACACGATCCACTGTCCTCCGTTTCATTGAGGCTAATCATCGTTTCTGTTGAGTCCTCATTGCACTGTTTTTCCATCACTAGTAGATTGGCGTGCAATTCACATCTGCATCTACGCCTTCCGGTACAGCATGTTATCCAGCGTCGGGTCGCCATGTTTGACCCCATTGATCCATGCCTTATAGTGGGCTGAGATATCTCATCAGCAACTAGGTACCGTTGCCTCTTCAACATACGCACCCTCGGTAATCTGGAAGAAACCCTTCACGAACTCCTTCGGCTCGCTCGTCAGCTTTACCATCGGCTGCAAGTGCTCGGCGGTGACAGTCTGCAGCCCGCGGTTCTCCGCTCGCACGGCACCCAAATGTTCACCATTCCCCACCGACATCATGCCTCGCGGAAGCCTTTGAAGAGCGAAGAGCAGCAGGAGGAAGCGAGGGAGGTCGTCGATGATGTCAATTCCGCTGAGGTGCATGATGCCCTGGCGGTCGATGCAGCAGACGAGAGCCTTGCTGTCTGGTGAAGGTGAGTCACTTGTGTCCAACTCCGCGAGCGAGAACCCCCAAAGCTCACCTAGAATCAGCAGGCTCATGGTCCACAACATCTCTGGCGAAGCTGCCAACACCTGCGCCGCGACCTTTCCCATTCGCATATTCAGCTGCCGACCACGTTGGGTACTGGCATGAGCACCTGGACCGAGTCATTCGTGAGCGTCCAAGATACATACTTGATCTGCATGATGCATAATTCGCAGAGGAACTGAACGAACTCACAGACACCGCCGACGCTGTAGGTATCTAACTCGCGCAGCGCGTTGACCTTACTTCGCCGCTGCGTCGTGCACTCCTTCGTTGTGTACTCCGGGGCAGTGTCGGTAGAGCTGTTGCTAGGCTTGAAGCAGAAGAAGATGCTCGCGAGGGCGTCCACGGGGTCTGTGTTGGCTCCCTTGGGGACAGTTTTGGCGTTCGCATCGGTCGGCGCTTGTGCCATGTCTGTGGGATTCACGGCCACTTCCTCCCCAAGAGCTTTCGCCACCAGTACCGCGTCTGGCATCATGCCCTTGCATCTTGAGTAGTTAGCGCATCCGCTGGGCTGCATCTGGATGTTCGCTGCATCCTTGAATCGATGGCTGGAGATCTGTAGATCCTGTAGCTCGCGCTGCGCGGCGTTGCAGGCGTTCATGAAGTGGGAGGTCCGAGGGGCATCGGGGGCAGGGTCCGCAACGGTGCAGCTAGTTACACGATTAGTTGACGCTCAGCCAGAATAGATAGAAGCACATACTACAAGCCCAAGAAGTTCTCAACCTCCGGCGCCTTACACAAGGGGAGGACGGCAGTCAAGCAGTCCTCCAGCAGGTCAGCGCCTGGCGCATCTGCTGCGTTTCCCGACGACGAATTTGCCGCGTTCCCCGACGACGCATCTTCCGCGCGGCCGAAAGATACATCATTTGCAAGGCTCAACCGCAACAACTCGCGCAACAGCACGTCAAAGTCCGGAGCATCCTTGTACGAGTTGAAGAAACAGCGAGCAGCGTTCAACCTGACAATGGACGGTCGAGTAGAACGTGGGGGAAGGGCAGCGTTGAACGTGGGTGTAGGGGCAGGGCAGCGTTGAACGTGGATGTGGAGGATAAGAGGATCGCGGTAGGATGAGCACGGCGCGGCGCCTGATTGATGGTTAGACGCACCAGTCCCTGTCTTCGCGTTCTGCGAGGCCCATCGTTGGAGGAGGGTGTATAGGTGATAGTGAATCACAAAGGTCAGCTAGTAAGCAGAAGAGGCGGATATAATCTGATGGAGGGGTGGACGAAGGTGAGGGCGCAGAGACCCGGCGCCTACTGCAACGCTGAGGGCACGCCTATCCCAACGCTGAAGGCACGCCTGCAGCATGTGATGTGATGTGGGCGCATGGTTATTGTTACCCAGTTTGGAAGCCCTTGTTGTTTTCTGCTACTTTGGGGGGGATTTGATATCGTGAGTGGCTGCATGGGTCGAGCCATGGCATGACCCTTTATCAAGTCATGGCATCACCCTTTATCAAGCCATGGCATAACCCTTCCTTGCCTGTGATCAGTCCCGCGAACCGCGTCCACTCGTTCTTAGAAATGTTCCGCTATGATACAACAAGAGTGAGATAGATATACCAAGAAAGATGCAGCAAACATGCAGCGAAGTCAACTCGGGCCCACGCTTACGCAGGCGGCGCGCGTCAGCTCCTATGCAGGCGGCGCGCGCCAGCTCCTATGCGGGCGGTGCCCTCCTCGTCCGCTTCGGCCCACACGCCATCGGACCCAGCGGTCTTCCATTCCTGTCCACTCGCAGGGTCGGCACCTTGGCAAACGGTGGTCGCTCCGCCTCCTCCCTCTGCGCAAGCTTGCGCTTGATACCCAGCGTCAAGCCGCCGCTCAAGTTCCGCGCGAGGCTGCCAGCTTTCATACCGCTGGTGGACCAGTCGGAGCGGAAAGGCGCGCAGTCGTCGAAGTCGTCCTCGATAGGGGTGTATGGTGGGGGAGAGGAGGGTGCGGCGGTGAGGGAGATGGACATGGAGTTGGAGGGCGAGTTGTAGTTGGACATGGAGGGAGAGGAGGGAGAGGAGGGCCGGTGGGGGATGCGGGTGAGGGTAGTGTGGGCGGTAGAAGAGGATGTTGATGTGTGATGAGAGGTGGATGCTATGCGCGTGATGGTGGATGAGGGAATAGGTGCGCGTCCGGATGTGGAGGCGGACGTGCGTGCGTGAGATGGTGAGGGGGCAGAGAGCTCGGAGAAGTCGTCGATGAAGGTGAAGTCCGAGCGAGGGTCACTCTCGTCGATAGTCATGGAGTCCATTTCGGAGCGTGCTTCGTCGCGTTCGCGGCGTAGGGATGCGATCTCCTTCTTGAGATCGGCTTTCTCGCGCTTATAGCGCTCAATCTAGATGAGGGTAAGCTCAATGCAATCTCCGTGCAATCGCGACACGCACCGTCTTCTTCTGATTCTCCAACATGCCCGTGTAGCGCTTGTTATCCGTCGCTAGCTTGTCGTGCGCTTCCGTTCGGGCCGCGAGAGCACGCAGTGCCTCGTCGCAGTTCCTCTGCGCCTCGCGCTTCTCCGCTTCAAGGTCCTCGGCCCATTTACGCGACCGGTCGGCGCAGTCGAGCGCGGCATCCAACTTCTTGGTGGTGTCGGCTAGTCTGCGGTTGGCCTTGGCAGTCTCCTTCTTCTCCTTCTCAAGGTTCTCGTTGACGCTCTTGAGTGCGGACAGCCTTCGCTCGGCAGCGGTCTTCAAGGTGTCGATATCTTGCTTCTGGTCTTCGATGAGCTTGAATGCGGGCTCAATGCTCGATCGGAAGTCCGTTATTGCAGTAAAGAGACGATCCTAGGTAGGGTGAGTTCATTTTCAAGGGGATGGTATGCCACATACCAGTGTTTCGCTGGGAGGCAGCGCCGCCGCCACCTTATCCAACTTTTGCGTGGCGCGCGTTACATTGGACGCCTGCTGCAGGTGCGGCTGTTGCACCATGCGCTCGAGCCCAGAGGCAACATGTTCGACTTCGCCCTCGATCCCCTCAACTAGGTCGATGTATATTCGGACGTGCGCGGAATGCAAGTGTTCCTTGCGACATGTTGGACAGACGCGTCGGCGACGCTCGTTTAGCGGGATGAGCTCGATGCACGAGTGGCAGTAGCAGTGGCCGCATGGGAGCGCGCGGAAGTCGCCGAAGCTGTAGACGTCCTGGCAGACGACGCAGCGCGCCTTGACCATCGCAGTCGCGCCGGCGTCGCGGTAGGTGAATGAGGGAGGTGCACACGTGACCGACGCGTCGGACCCTCGATCATCTGATGAATGTCAGTCGGCTGCGCCGGCGGCCTGGATGGGGACCCGGGCGCCTACTGCCGCCCTGCAGCCGAGCGATGAATTGTCCTCGTTGTCACCGACGTCCACGGCGCGCTCTGCCTACGCCCTCGAAGGCCCCCGAAATTCAGACCGCGGACGCGCGACGCGCAGTGAGTGCACATCTCGCGATAATTTCTGCTTCCGTCTCACCTCCGCACCTCAGGGGGTTCCCTCAAGGCTCAGGTGCATCGAGGATGGTCAGGCCCCGGCCGGCACTCGTCCCCATGGCCTCCCCTTCGACGCCGGCAAAGCTCTCCCAGGCGTCGTCCTCTGCACCGACCTCCTCGACCTCGGGATGCGACAAGCTCACGCAGACGCCGCTCTGGGGCGAGCCTGTCCTCCCCTTCTCCGCGAAGGGAACGCAGTTGCCTCCCCCAGCCGTTCATACACAGCAGCCGAGCTCCAACTACCGCCGCTTGCGCCTAGCCGCACATCTGTCTGCCCACTGGACACGCGCTAAGGCTCATATCCGGAACCGACTCGGCACACCGTCCACTACACCGTTTGCCGATCCTACATCTGTTCCCCCGCTCCCCTCTCCGACTTCTGCTACTTCCCCACCTGCTCACGTCACGGCCTACCCAGGAAGTGTGGTGAACGAGGTTGTCGTCGATCGCTCCTGGTCCGATGGTTGGGGAGAAAGCGACACAGAAAGCGTTGCCGCCACGAGCTTCGATGGCGCGTCCAGCTGGAAGTCCGAGGCCGACCACGCCCATGATGCACGGACCGGAGTATGGGCGTCCACACATCCACTATCGTTCTGCCGTTGGAGAATCTGGCCTCGCTTCATGGACTTCTTCAGCTCCCGCTTCGCCGACCCCAAGACGGAGCAGGAATACCAGGCCTCCGAATGGCAGTCATCCAAGCGACGTACACTATGGGCCTCGGTATTCTTTCTCGTCAACTACGTCCTCGGCGCCATCTTCATTCCTGTGCCCGTTGAACTGCCTGACAAGGTACGACCATTCATACGATCTTACTTCTTGGCCCCCGCTTAGCATGCTAACACTGCCTTTTCAGATCTTCTATTATGGGGTGTGTAATGGGATTGAATATGCGGCGGAGTAACGGAATGCTAACTCCTGGACAGATCGCGACCCTCCTTTCCGTACCCCTGCCCTTCCTTTGCGCGTACGACGTCCCGGTCAAGTACCCCACCTGCTACCAGATCTTCCTCTCGGTCTCGACCTGGTCATGGTACGCGGACTTTCGTGCCCTTCTTTCTTATCTTCTTGCCTTGCCCAGATCCTGACTTCCTATTTACTTCCCTTCTTCCTTCTTTCTCGTTTGCTAAAATCCTACCCAGGGCCTTCTATCAAGTGCTCTTCGTTTACCTCTGCGGTTGGTACGACGACGAGCACAGGTGGTTCACGTGTGGCAGCAAGGATTTCTTGGCGACCTACTAGTACGTTCAGACTCCGACATCTAACCGGGCACCTACGCTTCCTCACCGTGCGCTCGTGCCTTCTACCGTGCATTCGTGCCATCTAATCGTGCTTTGGTGTTATCTTACCGGGCACTCGTGCCACTCCACCGTACACCCGTATCAACCAACCGTCAACTCGTGCTGACTCCGAGTAGCTATACAGCCGCACTACAAGCCGTAGCGCTTTACGGGGCCAACCTCAAGCGATTCCCGGGCATGTTGGGGGCGGTCATCTTTCTCGTTTTGTGAGTATATGATAGGCCTCACTGAGAAATGGTGCTGACATTCAATGTAGCTCTTTAAGCCTCATTTTGCCCGACCGCGCCAGTTATGTTCGAAGTACATCTCACCTCTCCTTCGTGAAGAGCATGGCTGATGGTTTCTCTTCGCGTAGACCTGATCAACTTCATCATCTACGAGGCGGTGCTTATCTACATGCACTATCAACGCGAGCGGGTGCGTATTGTCTAATTCTGCAAAGCTTCATTCCCCTTTCATGTTGGTGACTGACGATTCGTTTAGTCCGCGCGCAAGCTCTTCATTACCACGCTCCAGTTGAAGGTGCAGATCGAGCAGACGCAGGACGCGCGATTGAACGAGCGAAAGGCGGCGGACTCGAAGCGGCGGTTGACTTCGTGAGTACTCCTTCCAGTCGATTCCCAATCTGGTTGTTCCTTTCGGCAGTCCTCGTATCTGGCTTCGGTGTTCAACGTTCGGTGTTCAATGGACTATTGGCACCGATTTACGTTTCTCTCATCCCCGTCGATGTCTCCTTTTGCCTCCTTCCCCATCCGACTCGACCCACCTCGGTGCGTTCGCTAATAACCCCATAGGTATGTTTTCCACGAGGTCAGAGTGCCTTTGAATACCGCGCGTGAGTACCTTCGGCTCTGCTTGGATAATAGTTGTGCTGATGAGAACGTAGTCCTGGCCGTACAGAACATGGAAGCCTCCGGCAAGGTTGAGCAAGTCGAGTTCAACGCCCTCGGGGGCAGTCTGAGCATGATGAGCAAGGTTTTGAACGATGTGTTGGATTTGTGCGTCACCGGCTCTTCTCCTTCTCCTCCCCCTTCCTTACAACTACCCTTGCAGCAACCGCATGGACAGTGGCCGCTTCGAGTCACTCTCCGTGCCCTACTCCTTCCACTCCGTCATGCGGTCACTCTTCGTCCCCCTTCGTCTGGCTACCGACGCCCGAGGTCTGGAGCTCATCATCGACCTGGACGACCGCATCGACACCGCGGCACGACGTGCGGCATACGAGGCCATGGGCATGACACCGGCGGAGGTGACGAGCTCGCTGGCGGAGGCGCCTGCGGATGACTCGGTCGGCAGGGTCATGGGGGATGAGACGAGGCTGAGGCAGATCGTGACGAATTTGGCGAGGTGAGCGTGGTTGGAGGTGCTTTGCCCAGGAAGACGAGTAAAGCTTACGTCCACCTTCGCAGCAACGCGTGCAAGTTTACACCCACGGGCGGGAAGTTGACCATATCCACCCGCTTGATGCTGCCCCGGCCGGAGAGCGAGAACATGGAGAAGCTCGAGACGCCGGGGTTGACGCTGAACTTTGGGAATCAGGCGCCACATTCGCCACGACCGGATGCTGCGGGTCGGGGTGCGTCGATCCCGCAAGACAAGATCGTCGTCCGGATTGAGGTGTGCGACACGGGGTCGGGGATTAGGCCACAGGATATGGTGGATAACAAGTTGTTCTGTGCGTGTCTTGCTGTTCTTCTTGTTGTTGTCGTTGCTCACCCCTTACTTCAGCCGCCTTCAACCAAACCGAGCAAGGTCGTCAACAAGGTGGCAAGGGCACGGGACTTGGGCTCGCCCTCGTGCGCCAGATCGTCAAGTTGAGCGGTGGGCGACTGGGTGTGCGGTCGCAGGTTGGCGTGGGCTCGACGTTCTGGGTGGAACTGCCGTTGGGCGTTGGGGAGCAGACGCTGCTGGCAAGGGGTCCACCACCGCCGGGGACGGCGGGACCGGCAACGCCGAGAATGCTTGCGCTGCCCTTCCCGGATGCGGACGAGGACGAGGTGGCGATGGAGGTAGGGGCTGTGAGGTGTACCGCTGGCGTGCCAGGGGAGGATGCGGTGGCGAGTGATCAAGTGTCGGGGTCGGGCAAGGGGGAAGATGGTGGCGATACGAGCTTCGAGTCGGTGCCGCCGAGGACACCGGATGCTGATGAGGCAATGGTCGCGCCGTCGTTACCTTGGGGTCCTCCGACGCCGAGCTCGTCGCGACATCGAAATGATTCGTCGTTGGATGCGAGCTCGGTGCGAACCGGGAGGTCGGGGTCGGCGATGCATGGGATTATGGATCAGGGTGCGTGTCAATGTCAATAGGTCGTTGAACTTGGTCTAAAGTCCTCATAGGTGGGCAGTTCGAGCTCATGCTGCGACGGTATGCCACGACGAGCGTGCCGACGCGGACGATGGGCGACTTCGTGATCTCAACCGAGCAACCGTCGCCGACAATACCTCAACTGTCGCCCAAGCTGCCCACTCTTACCCTCATCCCGCCGTCAAGACGAGCTACAGAAGACCAATTCACCATACCGACTACGTCAAGTACCACAGATCCTCCGTCAACACCACTTCGACCCACTTTATCGACGCACCCGCACTTCACGCCCTCGTCAAGGCCGCCATCATCTCCCTCACCCACCGTACCTACCTTCGAGGCGTCGATGAGCGCCAGCACGAGCCGACTACAAGCGCAACGCTTTGACGGCACCAGCGTCCTTGTCGTAGACGACGACAAGACCACGCGCACGCTCATGAAGCGCATGCTCGAGCGCATGGGCTGCACGGTCACCGTTGCTGAAAACGGGGCCGTCGCGCTCAAGCTCATGGGCGTCGGCGAGGTGATCGCGAGCCCCGCAAGCGAGCTGAGCGACCCGACCGCGGCGCTGAACTCCGCGAACCTGCCACCGACGCCCGGGGAGGAGGTTCGCTTCGACGTGGTGTTCATGGACAATCAAATGCCGCTGGTGAGCGGGATGGGGGTGGCGCGCAGGTTGCGGGCGATTGGCAGGGACGATTTTCTTGTCGGGGTGACAGGGAACGCGCTGCAGACGGACCAGCGCGAGTACCTCGATGCTGGGGTCAATCGGTGAGCGTGATCTCCGCGTGCGATGGAGCGAAGTACTGATTCTTGGCACGCAGACTATTGACGAAGCCCGTGTTGGAAAAGAACATGCGGGAGATGTTGTTCCTCGGCCTCGAGCGTCGCAGAGCGCAAGGCGCAGGGTAGCATCTGCGCTCGGCCGGCAGGTCTTCGCCCGATGGTGAGAAGCACTGCCGGCCACAAAATCACTTGCATTTTCCGGACAGATTGCTTGTTCATCCATGCGTCAGATAGATTTAGGGGCTTTTGGGGCATCATGTAGGTACATTGAAGGTACTCTGGTTGTCATTCTTCTACTCTTGCCGTTGCATTGATCATACACACCATTGGTATCCTATCCGCTTCTCGCAGTGCATTATTTACATATCCTTATTGCTGTTGATGTACTCTTAGATATCTTACTCACTGTTAGTTGTGTACAGCAGCCTCCTTCGTGTATCATACTGACCTATCTGGGTATTCCATTGTGGGTTTACTGCGTTCGAAGCGAAACCTTCCGTTACGACATTCCCCGTCTTCCCGCGCTTCGAGCCATTGTTCCCCTTTCGTCTTCAATGGCGTTGACGCGGAGACGTGATCGGGTGAGTGATTCATTGACCTTCTTGCTTATAAACCCCACACTAATTCCAGACACCACAGTGACATGGAGCCCCTCTTCCGCTGTCCCATCGTCTTCAGGTCCTTTCCTATGGCAGAGATGTGCTTTACCAAGTGGGTCAATGGACCAGCTCACGCTGTCGTCGTCCGCTGACACACACTCACAGAGCACACCTTCTGTGGAAGAAGCCTCTCGACATATTTTCCAAGACGAGCCGGGCCCGTGCCCAACATGCCGCAGACTTGTGGCTGCTCTCCACTTCTTTCCCCGCTTTTACGAGCTTGACTCTAGCGCGCACGACGAGTGATACGACGCGGACGATGCGGGGGAAAAGGAAGACCAACGTGTGCTCACTGAGGCCGGTGTTAGTGGTGTCCCGGAAGGCTCGAGTACCGAAGACAGGGATCGGGATCTTACTCTTCACGATGGCGATCAAGCAGGGCTTGAGCGTCGTAACCTGGAGAATGTCTTCCGATGCCAGCAGGACGAACCCATGTCCTTATTGGCGGAGGCGCAGTATGCCTCGAGGGTGCGCCACAAGGTGCGGGGCTCGCACGGCTTGAGCGCTGGACTTCTGCCTTCTATGCCGACCGCATTTGCTGCCACATCCCTCGTCCCTGAGCCGGCACTCTCGTCCGACGATTACTCGATAGGCGCCCGCTCTACACCAGACGCCACGGATTGTCCCGACGGGCATGCTCTCGGACGTGCGCCTCGTCTCCCTAAGTCTGATCCGTAACAAGCAAAGCTGGAGGTAACCTTGTAGGTTGCCCGATATCTGTACCGTGTTTGTGGCTACTTTTGTTAATACATCCTGCGCAGAGGTCGTGACTCTAGGTCTTCTGCGAATGATCCAATATCTTTCATTCTACCAACACTATCGGTGGACCTGATCGCGCCGACGATGCTTCGGTACATTGTTGTCAAATCGGCGACGAAGGGCACAGGTCAGTACGAGGGCCATGCGTCGAACGCAACTACGGTAGGAAGCGCTGACTGCTAGGTCCATCAATGCATCTTACGCGCTCATAAGGTCCGCCGCAACCTCAGTTCGACAGCCGAGCGACATGGAATCCCGCGTTTCCTGTCCCATCTGCTTTCACTCCTTTGCCTTTGGTCAGACGAGCTACACTCCCTGCGGTAGGTTGTTTAAGTCCGTCGTAGGATGGTACGCTGATCGCTGACACCATGCACAGGCCACTGTTTCTGCAATGGCTGCATCGACACTCTTGATATCGAGGGGCGGGCATGTCCGATGTGCCGCACATTCGTGCGCTTCGTAATCCCCTCCCCGCGCTTCGTTGAGACGGACCACAGTGCGTACGACGACCTCAAGAGAAGATACGACCAGCTCAGAGGCGAGTGTGATACCTTGAAGGCCGAGCGCGATGCCTTGCGAGCAAGTTATGAGCACCTGAGGGCTCAGCTTGGCCAGCTGCAGCGCGAAGCGAGAAGGACCAGTCACTACTCTATGGCCTACTCCTCGCCTTCCCCTCCGGCGCCGCCTTCAGCTCACGATAGTGGCACCCCTTTTCAACCTGGAATCCCACCGAGGGATTTGGGGGCTCCGCACGATGCTCGGGCCCTTCGGCAGCATCGCCTTCGTCACCCAACGTGAATTCTTAGTCGAATGGTCCTAACCTCAATAGCGCACCTGCTACTTCTATGTCGGCTTCTTTGGGAGATTCTGAGCTGCGTCTGCATGCCTCTGCGCCCATTCGCCCTACTGTTTGCCATGGGCTTTGTGGCACCCAATTACGCTAGGCTTTTGGACTTGATTGTCCGAAGTTCGTCATTAGCGTCTACTGCTCTTTTCCCATGTAATTACGCACCTCCGTGATGTTAGCCAATATGATCCAGTGTATATGCTACCGAAGGGTCGCAACTAGGATAGGCGTCTTGGGCGCAGGTAAGAGACTAGAGTGCCCAATGAGAAATTTACTTAATCAACCATCGCTTGCACTCGAGGAGTACTTGCGAAAATACATGCAACGCGACTGCGAGATCTCCTCGTCGTGAACCGAGAGTACATAGAATGCAGGGGAAAGACACGGTAACTACTGCATCCATCTACGCGTTCGAGACCTCCGGCATCTTGCGAACCCATTGCCTGTTCTTCAGCTCGTCCACCATAAACTTCGCAAAGCCCTTCCTCGCTAACTTCAAGCCGACCTTCCCATCCCCAACATAGCCCGCAACCGTGTCCGTTCTATCCTCCTGCGACAGATACGGCACCCGCACCATCGTCCAGTCGATGTCCTCCGCCTCCGGCCCGCGCAGGATTTCGCCCAGCGTGTAGAACTCCTTGTATGACCCGTACATGAGCATGTACACGGCGAGCACCATCGCCTTGTGCCCGATGCTGAAGCGATCGTGCTCCGGGTCGGGCGCGGACGCCGTTCCGAGGACGAGGAAGCGCTTGATGCCGCGCTCGCGCATCTGCTTCAGCAGCCTGCTGTAGAACTTGGCGATCGGCGTGTCCTTTGGGTGTGAGGCGCCGACGGGGCCGAGGGCGGACAGGACGGCGTCGACGCCCTCGAGGGCGCGCTCGACCGCGGCGGTGTCTTCGAGCGTGCCCTCGACTATGGTGATAGAGGGGTTCGACTTGATCTCCTCCGAAAGCTTCTGAGGCGAGCGGACGTAGAGGACCAGTTGCGCATCAGGGATATCTTTGAGCGCGGCGCGCACGAGTTCAAGGCCGGAAGGCCCGGTCGACCCGAGGATGAGAAGGCGTGGCATCGTTCGTGAACGGTATTGCTGGAGGTGATGATGGGCGTTGAAGGAGACCAGTCTTGCTGACCTCAGGGGCGAGCGGATACACTTTTGATCACTCCCGCGCTAGACCCGCTTCGTCTAGCTTGTGTCATAAGCTCATCCTATATTCGCCCCTATCTTGCCAACCGTGCAATTTCCGCCTGCCGCGGGAAATGCGACTGTACTGTCAGCGGCCCGTCCGAGTGCCCGTCGATGACCCACCAAGGCGATACGACAGGAAAAGTGCGAATCCACGCCCCAGTCGCACCCGGACTCTAGTCAGTTGTCATTGTCACCAATCAGGAAATTGTTGTGGCGGAAGGGACGATCCCTCCGCCACATCACATCACGATCAATTTGCGCCCGCTGATATCTCCGTGAACATGACATCGGGACTTACAACTCGGAAAGACTCTTATCAGTCAGGACTCCTGGCCTTTACAGCTGGCGCGAAACGGCGCCTGCCACGACGAATATCTTATGTTCTCCTTTTAAAGTCTCTCTGAGTGCAATGCAAAGCAATCTATCACTGTCTTTCAAACCGAATCACCGGAACAATAGCAGAGACCGACGCTTCAAACTCGCGTTCGTAATCTGCCTGCATATGATAATCAGCGCCTGCAGAAGGACCGCGCGCGGAATGGAAGCGCTGAGAAGTCCCTTTTGTCGCCGAACTCACTTATAAGGTCCAATGCAGCGTACCGGGGCATGCTGAACGAACGACATGAAGCTCCGCACCTGTTGTGCTCTTTGCCACGAACGTTCAATTCTTTGTTCAGAGATGCTCGTAGCCAAGTTGTGCGGTGAGTGTCGTAGATCTTCAAAGAGTCTGAACGCTGAGGCTACACAGGAAGTCCCTTCTGTGGCGACTGCGTTGACAAGATCAAATTGGATCCTGAAGGCCATGACTCGAAGGACCAGCCTGCTATACTGTGTCCGGGGTGTTACAACATTGATACCGTGCAACCCTTCTCGCGCTTCGACGAGCTGGATCGCACGTGCAACGATCTGGAAGGGAAAAACAGGTTACTCACTGCTGAACACGATACAGTGAAAGCAGAGCGCGACCTCTCCCGGTCCCAGGTCATCAGATGGCGCGATTTGTGCCAAGAGATGTATAATCGCACAGATCGCGTCGAAAAAGAGAATGCGCTACTTCGTCAGCAGCTCGGCGACCTCGAAGCTCGATGCGACAAGCTCACAACTTCGCTTGAGAGGGCACACTACAGAATAGCTGAACACGAAGCGGAGGCGTCGGTTCGCAACTTCGAGGCTAGTCTTTGGTCTTCCGCGCCGATGGAACTGCCCGATGCCAATGTTGCCGTCTCCCTGTCTCCCGAGTGGCACGCTGATACCTCGCCGTCGTATATCTGCGATCAACCTCACCCAAGCGAGGCTGGGCTACTGGAGTTCTGCGCGTCGCCATCCCCGCATGAGCTCAGCGTCGGACAGTGGCTCTTAGAGTCATGAGCCATGCTCTGCCGTGCGCGCCAGATGGTATTGCCATGTCCTCCCTAGGGAGTTCTGCTCTGAGCCTTCCTCAGTGTCCAATGCTCGTTTTTCTTCCATGCACTGACGCTATTTTGTAACGTTAGCCAGTAGCGATGTAGCAGTCCAGCCCAATAAAATGGCTTATCTCAAAGGGATTTATGACAATACATGCAGCACGACGGCGAGCTAGGTCTCCACGTACGCCATGTGCCGAGGAGGACATGGCGGTACAAAGGCAACTCACAATTTGTTACATCACATCGCGATGGACTGGTTCCGCTGATGTCTCCGAGCACATCACATTGCGGACCCACAACTCGAGAGGCTATTCAAATGGCTGTTTAGTTCGGCCATGTGGTCTTCTATTATGTGTCAGTCGGTGCCTTCCTCGACGGGTTCTCGTCGCGGGATGGAAGCTTCGATTTCATTGAACTGCTTCTGTCAGCCAGCACCTTACACCAATGCCTTTCGACCTCTAATTACCGTCTCTTGAGCTGACTTTGAGAACAGTGGCGCAGCTAGACGCTTTTCAGACCGTCGCTCGTATCTAACATGCGAATCGCACGCCTGCAATAGGACCACGCGGTGAATAGAAGTGTTGAGACGTCAGCCGGTTGATCGCCGAACTGACTTATAAAACCCATCGCAGCGTAGGGCTGGCGTGTATGGTGCCATTAATTTGAGATCACCATGCAGCTCACCTCATCCCACCGTGGAGAGGATTTCTGCGCCTTGCGCTTCGGCGAGAGGGATCGCAACATGCACGACGATGTGAAGGCTGAGCTCAACGGTCTCGATCAAGACAGCGACCACTTGGAGCGGGATAGCAGCACCTTCAAGGCCGAACTCGTCACCCTCAAGGAGGAACGAGATGACTCGAAGGCGGCGCGCGACCTGTCAGAGAGGGAGTTCATAGATTGGATTGATTTATGCGCCGACCTATGCCCCATCGCGGCGCGTGCTGATGACCTCAAACAAGAGATCGACGGCCTTAAGCAAGAAAACACGCTCCTCGACGAACACATCGCCGTCACCAAGTCCCAATACGACGAGCTCATGGACTTACTTCGGATGACCGTACAACTAATGGCAGAAAACGAGGCGAGGGAAGCGGGCGGTAGCTCGCTGCATGACCCCGAGTGCCCATCTTCCACTCCGATGGCGCCTTCGCGTGATGACGGCAGTAGCGCGATGGACCAGTCTCCGGCATCGCACTCGAGCATCTCTCCAGCGGACCTTCAAGTTGGGATCTGAAGCTCACTAGCGCGTGTCCGCCATCATCTATGCGATGGGGTTCTTTCGTGGCCTTCAGACGCGCAGTCCCTGATAGAAGTTTATGGCACCGTCGCTTGCGCGCCGTTAGTGCGCGGACTTCATTCTTTTCAAGTATATACGCCACTTTGTGGTAAAATGGCCAATAACACACAATGCATCCCTCTTGAATGGTTGCGCTTGAAAATACGTCTTCAGCGCTACGGTCCAGGCAAGTACTCCCTCACATAACCCAACGCATCTTGATTCACCCACCCGACCGCCTCCCTCGCCGCCTCACAGAACTCACGCCACACCTCTGCCGTCTCTAGCTCCAACGGCTTGCCCTCCTCCACCCCAAGATCCACCTCCCTCGACATCACCCACACCCCCGGCCCCTTCGCCAACTCTCGCCTCGTCGCGCACTTTGAGAGCCAGTAGAGGAAGCCGCCTGCGAGGACGCCTTCGCGGTCCTTGAAGGTAGCCGTCGGACCGCCACCCTTGGGCCATCCGTTCTTAAGCAGACATTGCTTGCTGGACCTGCACCGCCGGGCGTCCTCGGAAATTCTGTCGTCGATTGCCCTATAGGTGTTCGCGGGAGTCCGCTGGACCCCACCGATGATCCACTTCCTGCACATCTCAGGCAGCGGCTCGACCCTCCGCTCATCCTTATAGCAACAGACTACCCAGACGAGGACCCAGATGAGGGCCTTGAGGTCGTGGCGGTAGAGGTGCTGCGCGCGGCCAGCACGACTGTTTGGCCAAAAGACCGCTAATAGAACGTCGACGGCGGCGAAGGGGTTGGAGATGGCGGGCGGGCGCGGTGTGAAGAAGGGTATGTTCAATCGGTGCATTGAGGGCTCGAGGGCGATGTCCCAGTCGTTCAACGCGGCACAAAGCATGGCGCGGCGCCCAAAGACTCAGTGGTCTCGAGGGAGGTGGCGATCGGGGGCAAAGTAGGCGACGTCAACATGTGCGTCCGCGACACAGAAGACGCAGTCGAGGTCGCCATCGCATACTGAAGCGGGCACGGCGACGCGTTCGTAGGGGGGCTCAGGGGCAATCGTCGGGTCAGTCCTCGCGTATCTGGTATATCGGTCTGGCAAGCAGATGATAGAGCAAACATGGTCAGAGTATGGAGTAAGGTGGATTGACCGAAAGTTAGCCAGACGAAAATAAAATATTGGCCAGACGAGAAAGATATCAGCCAGACGAGAGAAATGTGAGCCAGACGAAGGCTGGAGGAGTCCAGTCAAACAGGAGAGCTTACGAGTAAGTTAGTTCTGAGACGTCGCGGATGACGTGGCGGTTGGCTGGTCGGTCAGGCAGCACGCGCTGACGTGGGCGCGGTTGGTCGACTCGGTCGAAGGGTGGCGAGCAGTCCGGTCGGTGGGTCCGGATAGCAGGCGCCTGCTGGTTGAGGTGAGAGTGTGCTGGTCGGGTGAATTTGGTCAGTTGCGGAAATCGAGGTCGGTCGGTTGGTCGACCGAAAGGCGCGTAAGAGCAGTCGGTCAAGCCGGCGCTTAGTGGGCAAGGTTGGTTGGCCAATTGCCCCTGCTAGCGCATGAAGACGTCGGTGGCGCGAGTATCATTCAAAGCGTGCTGACGGTGGCACGGCTATCGAATAACAATATAGACGCCTTCAGGGTCTATCGGAAAGTCGCGTATAGATCAATTGGTCAGGTGCATAAGGAGCGTTGACCGGTATGCATTGAGCGAGTAGCATCCTTCCGATGAGCGAGAAGTGTCGGTCCGGTGAGCGAGGAACCTCGGTCAAGCGCTTGGCCTCGGTTCGTCGAGCGAGATCATCGGAAAGCGCGTTGGTCAGTCCAGTGGTTAGTCCATCGAGCAGACACTTGTCACTCGGAAAGGTAGGTCTTGCTGACGTCGAGGTGGGTCGCGGCTAATTTTCAGTGTCGGTAGAGCAGGCGAATGCCGGTCAAGCGAGAGTCGGTCGTTTATACGAAGGTCAGTCGGTTATGCGAGGATCAGTCGGTCAGTCAACGCGGCTCGCAGAGGCCACTCGTTGATCACGCGGGAGCTGGTTGATTCTGCGAAGGCCAGCTAGAGACCCTCGGTCGTAAACTTGCTGATGCACTGGCGGAGTGGAGTGGACTCCCCTCCGAAATCGTCGCAGATTCGTCCTATCCATCCGTCAGACATGCGAAGGATAGGCAGGTCAGTCCTACAGTCGAGCAAAAGACACATCGGGCAGCTGAGCGAAGGAAGATTGGGTCATCCGGATGGCGCTCGAAAGGGCGGTAGGGTGGGCGCCTAATTGAAGGTAGCGTAGGTTGTGCTGACGCGAACTTGAAGGTGCTTGCTTCTTCCCGTCGGCTGGGGCAGTAAGAGCGATGAGAAGGTGGATAGTTTGGCGGTTGGTGGGTGTGCGTCGTGGGTTGGCAAACGTAGGTCGTGCTTATGCCAGTTCCGCGCGTCGGTCAGCAGCTGAGCGCTGTTCAAGTGAGGTTCGGTCGGTCGAGCCCAAGGACGGTTATCCGAGCCTGGGAGCGGCTAGTCGAGCCGGAGGACGGATAGTCAATTGTACTGTAGGTCCAATTGGTCAAGTCTTGGTTAAGCGGTCGGTCGAGCAAGTAGTTGAGAGGGAGGCCAGGTCGGTCATGCGTAAGACTGATTGGCGAAGGGGTCGGGTGAGCGAAGGCAGTCTGTCGGGTAAGCAAGGGCAGTCCGGTCGAAGGTTGGCTGACCGAATAGATGGTCAAGTCGGCTGGTCGGCCAGTTGACTGTGGGAAGGTTGGTCGGTCGGATAGAGTAGGTGAATCGGTCGGACAGCCCTCTTTGGTCGGTCAGGATTTCGTCAATCGGTCGGTCCAAAGCCATCGGTTGGTCAAGCGGGCGAGGTCAGCGGCTGGTCGGCTCGCTGACCGGGTGTAGGTCAGCATCGTCGGTCAGCTGCGGATAGGCACACCCACCCCCTCCTTAGCGCGCAGTCTCCACCTCGTGAGGGCTCTGGTGGAGCCGAAATAGGCTCTCCCCTTTGCTGGCTCCCCGTCCCTTCTTTTCCCCCATTTCGCCTCCTCCCCTCACGGTCGGTCATCGGGCCGTCTCCCTTCTCTCGCCCCCATCATCCATCATCCATCTCCCTCCCTTCCGCCATGCCTTTCTCTCGCCCCCCCTCCAATCCCCCTCTCTCCTCTCATCGGATCCAGTGCGACGCACATACTCCTCTTCAAATTCCCGGGATCCGCATCCGCATCCTCCTCTCCTTTGTACGCCACCACGGCTTCCCCTTCATGCCCTTTTGTATCCCCCTAGGCCTCCTGCCCGTTTGCTTCCCCCATCCTGCCCTTCTACTCCCCCCAGAATTTACGCGTCACCTTTTCTTCTTCTTCGGCGCCTCCACCCCTCCTTCGGTCCTCCTGTCTTTGACCCGTTCCACTGTCCTTGACGATGCGACGGGAGAAGGTACGACGAGGTTGCATGTCGAGGGGACGGGGTAGGGTGTATGAAGTAAGGAACGGGCAGGCCTATGAAGTGAGCCTAAGGAACAGGCAGGCGAAGGGGTTGGGTGTACGCGAGTAGATCAAGATGGACCGGGATGGGAGCGAAGGATATAGGAGATGGGGCGAAGGCTGAGCGAGGCAGGAGAGGATACTTACGGTCTGAATCAAGTCGATGTATCCGTGGAATGAATGCGCTCACGTATTTCAGAACGAGGGCGTGCACTCGGTACCTGATCTGGAAAAGGAATTGCTATAGAGCGCATAGAGTTGAGAAGAAGATTTCGGCGCGTAGTAAGTGAGGAGGAAGCCGTGTATGGCTGCAAACACGTCATTGAAAGCAAACGTCGGAGCAAGACACGATGACGCCACGCGACGCGCGACGCCCCGGGCCGATCGAGCGAGCCACGGGTGCGCGCTTCACCACCTTGCTTTACTTCCCGACCGCCATGAGCGCGTCCAAGCACGTCGACTCCGAGCTCGAACCGCACCGCTCAGGCGTGTACGACACGCGCCTGGATGAAATACGCCGCTCACACACCTGGGCGAGCCTTTTCCCTCACACACCTGGGTGAGCTAGTAACCCGCAAAGAAGCCCGCCGATAATCCACACTCTGACGACGAGGCCGCTCAGCACTTGGCTGGCTGGTCCACGAGCCTACACTTGACTGGATGGCCGACAAGCCCACACTTGACTCTGCGCTAGAACCGCTCCCATTCCGGCGCTAGTCGTGGTGGACGAACTGCAGTGCGCCCAGTCCGCTTCCGCTTCCACTCTCACTCCCACTTGCACTTGCACTCCCACCGCGGCTGCTCTACGACGCAAACTGGGCATCTCTCTTTGTACCCATCCTCTTCCTGTTGGACTGGACGACCAGCAGATCGAGGTCTATCGCGTTCTCCGCTCGATCACCACCGAGCACCTGGAGCCCCTGCACAAGCTGCAAGGGTGGGACTTCATCGACGCGTGGTTCCAGTGTGCAGAAGGTACGTCTTGCGGATGCGCGCTTTTCGATTGAGTAGATCGCTCGCTGTACGACACTTCGCTGACTGCCCGCCAGCCCACTACCTCGCATGGACGAACGGTAGCCACCACCAGGATCCCAGCCTGGACAACCTGATGTATCGAAACCGTCGTGCTGGCAAGATATCTCCGGTGCTCAGCGACTGGGATATTGCCAACGACTGGGACCTTGCAATCGACGCCAGCGTCCCACAGACGCACACGGGCTTGACGAGGACCGGCACAATGCCGTTCATGGCTATCGCGCGCCTGGATGCTGGGGCATGGGACGGCCATCTTCCGCACATCTACCGGCACGATCTCGAGGCGTTCTTCTACATCCTTACCTGGGTCGTGTGCTGCTACGAAGACGGCCAGCGCCTCGATTCCCTGCCCCCCATGCTCGAGACGTGGACGAAGGGCGATACGTGGACGAAGTACGACCCAGAAACGTGCTCAGCGTACAAGTACACATTCATCTGCAATGTGCAATGGCCCTATCACAGCTTTCCGACCGACTCGTGGTCGTACGAGATGGCGGCGTTGGCGAATAGGATACGCGCGTTCTTCGCGGACATGTTCAGGCTGTCTGCACCGTCGGAACAGTCATATCACGACACTTTCAAGCTTCAGTTCGAACGTCACGGTCGGGCATTGCCACCCCCAAAGGAGGACGACAAACCGACGGAGATATGGGAGGGTTTCTGCGGTGCCGTGCAGGAAGAGCTACTGACCATGTCCGACTGGGATACCCTTAAGAAGGAGGACCTCCCGCCTAGGCTTGCATCGTTCTTGCCCGACAGTGAGACAAACACGCCCCTGTAGTCTTGTGCGCGTAGTTGTAGTTTTGTACGCCGAGTCATAGTTCTGTGCGCCTGGTTGGGGTCTTGTACGCGTAGTTATAGCCTTGTACGTCCAGTCATTTTTATGTACATATAATCATACATGGATGGCCTGAGGACGATGGTATCAACGTGTCGGAACGCCGCGCAGCCCCACCCCCTCCTTCACCGACCACGAAGGCGTCCTCGTGGGCGGCCTCCTCTATTGGCTCAGGAAGTGCGACGCGAGGCGGCAGGCGGAGAAGGGGCCAGGGACGTGGGTGATGTCGGGGGAGGTTAGGCTGGATAAGGGGGAGGGGCGCGAGTTGGCGGTGCCGGACCAGCCGCGATCAGTGGAGGACCAGCCCACGCCAGTCTGGGAGGAATTTTGCGGCGCGGTGCGGGAGGCAATCGGATGGGTCAACGAGTACGCGTTGAGTTATGTGAGGCAATGTTTGCTCGCGCTATAGCGCGCTTAGGACACATTCCCAGTCCCCCCTCTCATTCCTCCCACTCTTCCCACCCTACCTCGTCGGAGTAACCTCTTCTCCCACCCATCTCGGCGCCCTCTCTCCCATTCCTCGCTCCTGACCTCCTCACTCCCTTCTGAACACATCGCAGTAGGCTCGAACATCCGCTTCGCACGAATCGGGCAAGCTGAGTCGTGCGAAGCGGCTGGTAGCAACAACGCGTCACATGGCAGGGTCACAAAAGCGTGACCTTGACTTAGCGAAATTTCGGCGGACGATTCGGATGACCCGCGCGAATCTTCTTCTGTATGTCATGAAGAGGTAGATAGTCAATAGCAATGATACATAAAGGACTGGAGAGGGATAATTATTCATCTACTTCATCAAAATCGTCACCTGCATCACCCTGCTCGTCTTCGGCCTCATCCTCGTCCTCCTCACCCCCTTCATCCTCCTGCTCCAAGTCGAGATCATCGAGATCCAGCGCTACATCATCTTCCTCATCCACGGTCAGGGTTGGCTCATCATCCTCCACCCATACCAGCTCAAGCTCGTCCTCGCTATCCGAGCTCGAAGTGGAGTCTGACTCGACGGAATCAGAGTCGCGCGTCGAATCGGAGTCGGAGTTGTCAGCAAAGTCCTCCAAGATACCAATTGGGCGATCAGTCTGGATAGTAATAGAGTCGGAAGGTTGCTGAGGCACACCGACTAAAGGTACTCGGCGGCGGCGCCTCTGCAAGCGTGTGAAAGCGGTGTTGTACTCGTCGAGCGGGCTCGATGCGCTGTCCGTCAACATTTGGAGACCAATGCTGACGACGTCTTTTGCAGGTGCATCGTCGTCATCGAGAACACGCCCACGAGAGAGCCGGTAGACGTCGTGTTCATCGAGGCTCTTCATGAGCTCGGAGATGTCGGTGGATAGGTCCGCCGGGGCATGACGCGTGCCCTGCGACTGTGCCCCCAGAACATTGTTCATCGTCTTTGCCAGTTGTCGAAGCACGTTGGCGCAGGGCGCAACAACACCGAGCCACTCCCACGACGAATTGCTTCCATGGGCTCGGTAGAAGATCTCGAAGGTTTGTCAGCCAACCCATGTAGACCGTGCGTTGTGTAGACTACCCACCTTGATCCAAAAATTCAGATGCTCCTGCATGAGATCCACCTCGACAAACGCATTCTTCTTGCCTGTTGGATTGACGAGCCAGTTGTCGGTGATGATCTGCCTAAGAGACAATGTCAATTTCGCTTTCCTTGTGCACAAGGAAGAAACTTACGCAAGGCGAGGCGGCCAAACTTTCTCGATGTTGTGGATGATATGCAGCATCTCATAGGCGTACTTCGTCCTGCCGTTCCCACGGAAGCTAAGAGCCCAGGTCTTCAGCACAAGTAATACACGCCCCGAGTCGCCCGCCTTGATAGCGTCAGTGTACTCCCGAGAGATGAGGGCGTCGCGCATGAACAGAAGCGCATTTTCGAAGACCATATCACCCTGTGTTGTAGGAAAGCCGTTGTCGGGAGCTTGATACGGGACACCGGCCTCCGCAGCTGCCATCTTCGCAGTGTTCTCGGCTGCAGCTACCGCAGACCGATCTGAGCGAAGGTCATCGACTCGCTGTGCATCTGCATACGCCGTGTAAATCTTCTCCGCATCCGCCTCAAGCTGTGCGAAGCTAGTGACCCTCTGTCCATACTCTTCAAGTGAGCCTACACCCGAGACGAGGAGAAGACAGTGGAGGACGCGAGCGTAGAGAGAGACAAATATGAGGTCACGGCAGGTTCGGTAGTTTGGGAGAGATGTAAGGGTGATTGGGAGGCGGTGAAGGCGTGTATTGTGGAACCAGAGGCTGCCGGGATTTCGCGCGCCACTGTTGGGCTTGCCGAAGTGAGTGAAGAGCATGCCGTGCACGTCGGCGATCTTGCCGTGGAACAGCCCGGGCATCCAAGCGCCCCAGAAGTATCCTGCAAGCCCAGCTTCCTGGCCCGCGCGGATATTGACGAGTGCCCGAATTCGTGCTTGCGACAGCTGGTCACCCGCAAAGATGAGAACGTGCTTCCCAAACCATTCCTGCGCCTCAATCTGCAGCTCCTTGATTGTCTCTTCAATGACCTCGCCATTGCCGAGGATCGTAGACTCGTCGATTTCCATGGCAGGAAGAGGATGGATGTCGGTCTTGTGCACGGTGATTTGACGAGGGGTCCTCGGCTGCGAGGCATTGACCTCTTGCGTGTACTTCTTCAAGCCCGGACCGCCATACACGACCATGATGCGCAAGATCGTATGAATCAGGCATCGTCTAAAGGTTGTGCTCTCATCTGGAGTGTGCAGGATATCGTTGATAGCTAGCGGTGTAGCAGAGTTGAACGATTGTTGAAGATCGTCAACGCGCATATCGTCGACCGAGGCGTTGTGCAGTGGCCAGATGGTTGCGCACGTACCATTCTCCTGTGCATCTATTTCGAGCAGTCAGTACATGGAACCGGTTAGACGTGAGGTTAGGACTAACCCGTGCGACCAACAACTTGCTCTGCGGCTCGGAAAACCATGTTGATGTTGTCATATACTGTCGCGTACAAGCCAGTCGAAGCTACACGCCGTGCGGTAGCCCGCATGGACTCCGAGAGGGTGCGAAGAGTGCCAGGCCGCGTGAAGTACGTCTTGATTTCCGTACCAGCGCCATCAACAGCCTTCGTCGTGTACTGCCGTGGAGCTCCTCCCTTGCCGATGATGCCTGAATAGCTCTCAGTGACGCCGATGTGGGACATGACCTCGATCGGCTGCCGCTGGCTTCCGCTGGCGTACAGATAGAGCCCAAGTGCCTTCTTCCCAAGGTTGTTCGCATAACTGTACTCGCCAAGGAGCTGCAGCATGGTATTGGTGACGATGAGGGACTTGCGGGCTGCCCGAGCTACACTCAGCATGCCCGGCTTTAGATGCCAGGGAGCAGTTGCGAAGGCCTTGAAGATGCGCAAAGATACGCCTGCCATAGATGTGAAGTGAGCATGGATCCGTGAAGGGTTGAAGCGCGCGAGGAACTGAGAATCAATGGGTATTTTGGAGCCATGATAGACGCCCGACGTGCTGAGTGCACGGGCCTCGCCACGAACGATGCCAACGGTATGATCGACAGCCCAGTCAGAAACCTCTTCTTTGATGGCCACCGTTGACCCAGGGCCTGTCCATAGGTCAAGAAAGCGCCGGACAGACGATGCGCGCCCGCTGAAGAGACCCCGCCATCGTGCATCACCCCTCTTGTTCTTTGGATCAGAGGTGTGAAGGACGAGTTCGTGGAGTGAGCTTCCCGTGTCGTCAATCGAGGCGAGAAGGCCATCGTTGAGGTTCCGACGCGCCTCCGCTTCTTCAAGTTTCCGACGTGCGCGCTCTTCTCGAGCTGCTGCACGAGCAGAAGACAATGTTTGTGCCCTCATCTTCTGACCCTTGCGTCGCGAGCTCGCAGCCCTCTGAGGTCGTGTTGCTCCAACCTTGCCCGGGCTGGACTTCTCGAAGTCGGGCTCGCTGCTGAGAGGCGGAAGCGCTGCCTCTGTCGCCCGTCGTGACCCAGGTGGCGGCATTTGCGAGCGCGTTAAGGGAAGCGAAAGGCCAAGGCCAACAGTAGATAGTCGTGGACGTACAGGTGTATGGGGTGGGGTGAGCTCGTGCATAGGGGTATCCTCTCCTTGACCGACGTCGGTGTCCAGCAAGTCGCCCTCCTCCCCAAGCCCATCCTCCTCCTCGTCTTCCCCCTCCTCGCTCTTGTAGCCATTGCCAGTGTCCTGCTCGCCCAGGACGTCGCCATCTTCATCTTCGTCTTCATCCTCGTCTTCATCTTCATCCTCGTCTTCGTCTTCATCCTCGTCTTCGTCTTCCTCCTCGCCTTCGTCGTCTTCCTCTTCCTCCTCGTTGTCCTCAACATGGCTGTGGCCTTCACCACTCTCCTCTGCGTCAATTAGCTCGCCATCTTCGTGTTCGCAATGGCTCTCACCTTCTGCTATGTCCTCGTCTTCGAACCCCTCTTCATCTTGATCCTGACCCCACGGCTTGGCGAGACTAGGTGACGACGTGACCTGCGAAAGCGGCGAGCTTTGCATCGACAGCGGTGACGAGAAGCCCGGTGGGCTACTGGGTGGGATAGACATGGGCATCGGTAAGCGGGAAGAGGGGACGGCAATGATCGAAGACTGACCAGTGGCGGTGAAGCTTTTGCTCCCGCTGCCTCCTTATTGTCGACTCCCACTGCTCCTCCTGTCACGCAGCGCAACGGTGCACTCTCTATGATGCCTTCAGTACAGGCCGCACGTCCAAGCCGTGTACCGCTCACGAACCAACAACTACGCGGGCTTCCGGAAGTACTAGCGGCGTCGTTTGGCTATGAGCCTCGCGAGTTCCAGACAAGGGCGATTGCTGCTCAGCTGCAGCGCAAGGACGTCGTCGTGCATGCCGGAACTGGCTTCGGGAAGACCGCAATTGCTGCGGGGCCCCATATGCATGAGAGTGGCAAGGGTGGTGTCACCCTCATGATATCGCCGCTCATTGCCTTGCACGACGAGCAGGTAAGAAAGTGTTGCTATACGCATGATACAAGCTCACCGTGCAAAGGTCGAGACCTTTCGGAGCGAGTTCGGGCTTACTGCAACTGCAGTCAACAGCAGTCATGGTGGCTGCAGCAAGGAGAAACTTCAAGTCAGTGTCATACACGAGTTCGAGGGCTATAGACTCACCTCCGTGTAGGAGATTGTCGCGGGGAAACATCAGATCGTGCTCATCTCTCCCGAAATGTGCCTCTCGCGCCGGTTCACGCGCGAGGTCCTACAAAACCCAGGCTTTGGCGCGATGCTTCTCTCCGTTGTTGTTGACGAAGCCCACGTCGTCTCGCACTGGGGTGCCCAGTTCCGCAAAAAGTACGGGCAAATCGGACAGATTCGAGCATTCATTCCTCGACGAACACCTATTGTAGCATTATCTGCGACGCTGTCCGCTCGCATTCGAGATGATGTCCTGGCTAAACTTCAGTTCCACAAAACAGACTTTGTCAGCGTCGATGTCGGCAACGATAGACCGAATGTCTCACTGGTTGTCCGCGCTATGCAGCACCCGATGAACACCTACGCCGACCTGGACTTCATCATTCCTCCGTCTGTGAGGGAAGTCAGCGACATAAAGAAGACCTTCGTATATGCCGACAACATACAGGTTGGCATTGAAATTGAAGACCATCTCGAAGATCTTCTACCGGAGAATCTTCAATCGACCGGGGTCATTCGACCATACAACGCAGCGTTCTCCAAGGAGTATCGCGCGGAAGTCATGCGACTCTTCAGGGAAGGCACCGTTCGAGTTCTTGTCTGTACGGATGCTGCAGGAATGGTTAGCGCTCACTTGTCCTTCAAGACGACGTGTACTGACAGGCGTGCGCAGGGATGTAACATACCGGACATTGATCTGGTGGTGCAGTGGAAGTTGACCACCTCTTTGTCATCGTTCGTACAGCGCGCGGGGCGGGCAGCGCGAGGCCGTGGTCGCGTCGGTCTTGCTGTATTGCTGGTCGAACCATCAGCGTTCCTTGTCGACTTATCCCAGGCGGTGTCTCCGGATGATGTCGAGGCTGGCAGCATGGGTAAGAAACACAGAAAGAAGCGCAGAAATCATGGCAAACGTACCAAGAAGGCCGCCATCGCCCGCGGCCTATTCCGAGGGGCAGCGGACACAAAGCATGACAACGTGTTCGTGCGCGAGCAGCCGCCGCTCGATTGGTCCTCTGATAACGAGAACCTCTTGGTCTTCGTGCAGACCGGGATCTGCCGACGTGCAGTGTTGACCGAGATCTACAAGAACCAGCCGCCCAGTGAGTTTACTCGTAGGGGAACAGCTTAGCAGAGATGCTCACCTGCTACAATAGGCCCAACCGTCCCTTGCTGCGACATCTGTGACGGCACATTGCTTGACTTAGTCAGACCAGGAAGACCACCCGCCACAGCGCGTCAGACGAAGATCAAACGTGGGATTCCACACACACCTGTTCAGCAAAAACTGCGGGAGTGGCGCAGGCTTGTAGTCACGCGAGACTATCCACGCGGTCTATTCGGAGGGTCAGCCTTTCTCAAGGACGAGACGGTGGAGCTACTCGCATCCGTCGGATCGTTCGACACTGAAGCACGCCTCGTGAAGATCCTTGGCAGCCAGTGGAAGTGGTACCCGTCCCATGGACGAGAGCTCTTCGGGATCCTGAAGTCATTCAGCATCCCCTTCATCGCGCCTTCCGGGAAGAAGACGACGCGAGGGAAGAAGCGCAGCAACGCACCATTAACGACCGAGCTGCCTCGAGAAGCTCCCACTCCGCTGCTCGCGCGCGAAACGCCAGGCGCGCACATAACGAGCAGCGCCTTCGAATCGGAGGCGTCTTCGTCAACTGTCGGTGCAGCCGAGCCCGCTCTCCAGTTCAGCTATGATCCCTACTCCAATCCGCCACTACCTCCAACAACAACAACCGCTCTGAACCCTGAATGGGGGACGATGTCCATGTAAGCTTCCCCAATCACTGCCAATCCATACACTGACACTTTCCAGATGGACTCCAGATAACCCGCCACCATCTCCTAGTGCGAGTCGGGGGCGGACGCGAGGGCGATCGCGAGGTGCCAACTCAAGTCGCGGGCGAGGGCGCGGCGCGAGGATGAGTCGCGGACGGGCAGGGTCAACCCGCGGGGAATAGACATTGAGAGCTGAGTCATGCGGGACGCACGCGCGAGAACGTGCAGCAACAACGTTGGATTGTTTGGGAGGCCACCGAGGGACGGTTTGTGGCTGGAAGCAAGGACACGCACAAGTAAGACGTAAGGGGAAATTTACGCGGGTTTAGATCGCCTGCGGTCATCAGGCGGCGTAGATACGGCCTTGGGAGGCTTTTCTTCTCATTGCGCGCGAAGCAAGGACAGTGGTAGAGGCGCTTGCTGCAGAGCGCTGGCGCGCGCGGTCTAATTTCACTAAGTCAAACTCACGCGCGAGCGCTCCCGCCAAATCGGCATTACATTATACCAGTCGCTCGGCGAGCCTCGCCCGCTCCCTCGCTCTCATTCCAAAACCAGAAAAGTCCGGCTGTCGGCCCGTTTGCCGTCCTCCCGATTCAGTCAAAGCCCTGAATCCGTTCGGGCTGTGGCTCGCCTGCGACTGAACGAGTCTAACATCGCAGCTTCTCGATCTGGGCCCTCCTCCCTCTCTCTCTACTCATTTGGGCGACAACCGAGTCGGGCGACCACCGAGGTGAGTCGTATAGCAGAGCGACCCGATTCGAAGGAAACAGAGTGAGCGATGAAGCATTTCCTCTCTTCTCATCGTCGTGGACGACCCGATCGCCGACTGGGAGAGTGCGATAGATGCGGCGGGGCTTGAAACCTCTGACGGCCGGTTCGGTGGGCGCGTGGCACCACAGTCACGCGTCCCTGCCAAACAAGCACCCACGCGTCGCGGAATTCAACAAACACATGCAGTAAACAAGCCCCTGTCGGCGCACCGCCACCTCCCTTTGCCCCCGCCATGGGTATATAACCCGGCGGCTCTCTCCAGTTCAAACCGTGGACTGTTTGGCAAGCTCCCCGTACGAGGCGTCCTTCGGGGCGTTCTTCATCGGAGTCGGGTATGTGGGGGCACGGGTTGGCGGCTATGGCCGGGCGGCTTGGGGGTTGGGGGCAACCTCAGTCCAAGTCGCCATGTCATCCGCCTGGCCCTGTTACTCACCCTCGGCATGCGCGGTGGCCTGCAAGATCGGGCGCCACCGTGAGGAGTAGTGGAGGCGGCGTCTGGACTCGAGCTGGATGTGCGTTGAAGCGTTATAGTCATCGGTCCTGAACCCTTGAGGCGCTCTGCGTTCCTCTTCAAGGTGAGTGGCCTTGTGTATCTCTCTGACTATCGCTGACACGCTCGCAGATTTGTGCGCTCACCGCACCGGCCGACGATGGACTCAACCGCTGGTTCCTTCTCATTCAAGGTATGCAGTCTTGCCTCTCGCCCCTCGCTCCTACTGACCATGTGCGCCAGCTTCGATTTCGACGGCGGGATGGGAGTTCACGGACGATCTTGTTGCCTCGTTGCTTGCTATGCCTGTCGTACTACTGCTGCTCTCTGTTTGTCGTGCTGCTGTCTGTTGTACTGTCATCTCGTATGTTCAATGCCACGCGCTTTCCCTCATCCCTCTTGTGTCCGTGCCCGTTCCCAATGCTCTCCTCTCGTCGCCGAAACCCTGCAGATCTCAACATCGCTGCGCCCTGTTTTCGACCGTCGTCGCAGACAACCTCCCTCTCATCTCCGCGCTCTCTCCCCTCCTTCAAAGAAATCCTCCCTCTTGCTCTGTACTCACCGCAAAGCGACCTCCCATCTTCCCTTCCTCGCGAGCGCAACTCTTCTCATCCCTCCTCTTCTCTCTCTCTCCTCATCTGCATTTCTCGCCGCAGCCTCCTCTCCACCCCCGTTGTTTTCGCCTGCCTTCGAGCCCTCCCTCTCACTCCCTCTCACTCGCTCTCACTCCCCCTCTCCTCTTACTGGCCTCTCTACCCGCCCTCCCTCCGACTCTTTACTCGTAGCAGCGGACCCCTCTCTACTCGTCAGAGCGATCGCCCAGTCGAGCGACAACTGCTCTCGTCGAGCGGCCATCTCCCCTCATCGCAGCCTCCTGATGACCTTTCTAGATGATCTACATCGCGTGAGCTTCGCACACGGACTACTACTCAGTAAGTAGATTGACAAGATAGTTCTGGGCAGGGACCTTCTGACCCGCCTTTCGGAGAACCTGCAGAAACTCCTTCCGCAGAACCTGCAAAAACTCTTTCCATCCCATCTCCGGGTCATCCTCTTCCTTCGGAGGAATGGCCTGCCCCGTCACGTCATACTCGACTTCTGCCTTTCTGGCATGTTCTCTACTTCTGCCCCTCTGGCCTGTACCTTCCACACAAAAATCCGCAGGGCATCCGTGAGCCTGCCTTCTGCTGCCCACGTCGGGTCGGCTTTACAGCGTTGTGACCGAAGCGGAGAGAATACAACTTGGCGAATTGGTATTGTTTCGCGTCTCCCGATCCCAAGCTCGCGCCTCCCGATACCCAGCTCGCGTCTCCCGATACCCAGCTCGCGCCTCCCGATACCAAGCTCGCGTCTCCCAATACCAAGCCTTCGAGCGATTCGGGCAAGGGTTCGAGGGGTTTTCCGCCCTCGACGCAGCATGCGACCCAGATCAAGATCCAAATAAAGGCTTCGAGGTCGTGGCGATACAGACGCTCGACTCCGTGGCGATGCAGACGCTCGACTTCGTGGCGATGCAGACACTCGACTTCGTGGCGATGTAGACGCTCGACTTCGTGGCGATGCATGCGCTCGACTCCGCCGGTAAACGCGTCGTGGAGCACGTCGATGGCGGCGAAAGTGGTACTGGGCGGTGAGGGGAGCGAATAGGCGACATGCGAGGGGAGCGAGTAGGCGACGTGCGAGGGGAATGAGCCGACGACATGCGAGGGTAGACGCGTGCTGTTGGCGATTGAAGGTAGACCTGTACCGGTGGCGGACGAAAGAAGGGATGGACCAGCGGCGGGACTCGATGGCCGTGGGGTGTCAGTGCAGGAGGCAAAGAGCGGGGGCGCTTCGCGGGCGAGATCCCAATCGTTCAGCACAGCGCCGGCTATTGCTGGAGAAGAAGCATCCATGAACGGAATGGCGAATGGTCGTAGGCGGGAATGACGGACGGTCTCTCGAAGCCTGGCGCGCGACGACGATGCGGTGAAGGCACCGCGCGACGACGACGCGGTGAAGGCGCCGCGCGCCTCGCCCGCGGCGTGAGGACGTGTCGCGCGGGGGCATGGCTAGCGATGAATACTGCGATAACATGAATTCGGGGCAGGAGCACGTAAGCAGCCCATCTGCAGAGCATCCCTGCGCGAGGTTCATGCATGCCAGCGCAGGGAGAAGACTGCATTACCGATCGTTACTATAAGACACCATAAGCTCGATAACCTCCTTCACAGCCGCGCAAAACCCCGCCCACATCTTCTCCGGCTCGTCCACCTCCTGCGGGCGCGGCGGCGGCTCCCGCCCCTCACTCAAAGCCACAATCTCCTCCATCTGCATGGCCATCTCTGCCGGCCAATCTCTGACAGCGCGTCGCACAGTCTCGTCCCGCATGAAGAAAAAGCGTAGCCATTGTGCGATATACCCCGGCTCGCGCCACGCGCCCGTCGGCAAGATGTCTCTAGGCCAGTGATGCTCCCCGATTATGAAAGAGAACTTGCTGTTGCGGCACGTTTGCAGGGGATGCGGGTCCTCGTAGGCCAGCAAACGCGCCATTAAATCGCGAGGACGGATGGAGAGGCTGCCCAGGGCCCACATCTCGAACATTTTTGGCAAGGGATCGAGGCGCTGCCCGTCCTTGTAGCAGCACGCAGCCCAGGTTAGTACATAGAAGAGGGATTCGAGGTCGTGGCGGTAGAGGCGATGGACTTTGCCCTTGAGCGCGTCCTCCTCGAGCATGTCGACAGCCATGAACGGGGGCGTGCCGAACGGCATCAAGGGTGTCGTGCGGGCAGTGGGCGCGCGCAGGTCCGAGGGGTCGATCGCGAGATCCCAGTCGTTCAGGACGCCGCGAAAACCATCCTCCTGTACCATTACACACTTGCCTAAGCAGAATATCAACATAATCATTATCGCTAAACAGGAGTCCCCCTCACTGATCATTTCCTCGAAGTCATTCCAAGCCTTCCCGGGGTCGTCCAACGCATCGTCCTTGCGCGCCATCCCGGAGTCATCCTTCACGCAGTGACTTTCCAAATCGCCCTCCGCGTTCTTCTCGCTGTAATCCTCCCGCTCCAAGCGCGGCCGGCGGTCTTCCATGCACCTCGTGCACGCGAAAGCGGGGCTTCGCTCTCCGATGTACCCTGTCGCGTACGACAGCAGGCGCAGAGCGAGCGCGGATGGCGTTACCGCCACATCCGGCTGCGTTACCGCCACATCCAGCTGCTTTACCATCACATCCACCTCATCCGTAGGCATCGTCCCAGTAGGACCCGCTATCTCCCACATCGCACTCGCCGCCGTCCAGATCGTGGACGGTTTGGCAGGCATCGCGAAGAACAGGTCGCGTATCGGAATCGGCGCTTCCCACATCGGTGCCGGCGCTCCCCACATCGGTGTCGACGCGCCCCACGTCGGTGTCGGCGCTCCCTGCATCGGTGTCTGCGCTCCCTGCATCGGTGTCGGCGCTTCCCACACCGCTGTCGGCGCTCCCCACGTCGGTGTCGATGCTCCCCACATCGGTGTCGGCGCTTCCCACACCGCGGCTGGCTCGCAGCCATCCCACACCGCGGCTGGCCTGCAGCCGTTCCATACCGCGACCGTGGAGAGGAAGGACTCCTTGCTTTTGAGGCATCTCCTAACGCGGGCCACGAATTCGTGCGGGTCAGCGCTGGCCACGAATTCGTGCGAGTCAGCGCTGTTCAAGAGCTCGGGCGAGTCAGCGGTGGCCACGAATTCGCGCGAGTCGCCCCTCAAAATCCAGTTCGCGAACGGCTGGGGTAGGGGGTCGAGTCGCGGTTGGCCAGTGTGGCGGTCCACGAGCTCGCCATTATAGCGGTCCACGAGCGCGCCACGGTGGCGGTCCGCGGGCGCGCCATTATAGCGGTCCACGAGCGCGCCATTATAGCGGTCCACTGCGAGCGCGCCGTCGTAGCAGCACACCATCCAGACGAGGATCCATATGAGGGCTTCCAGGTCGTGGTGGTAGACGGGCGCGGGGCGGTCGTAGTGGTAAACGGGCGCGGGGCGGTCGGGGTGGTAGACGGATGGGGGGCGGTCGTAGTGGTAAACGGGCGCGGGGCGGTCGTGGTGGTAAACGGGCGCGGGGCGGTCGTAGTGGTAAACGGATGCGGGGCGGTCGCAGTGGTAGACGGATGCGGGGTGGTCGAGGTGGTAGACGGATGCGGGGTGGTCGAGGTGGAAGCGATGATCAGTATCGGCGCCCGAGCTGCTTTCTGCGTCGCAGGACGCGATGTTAGGGGATGCGTCCCAGGAGTCGATGTTAGAAGGTGCAGGAGGGACGTCAGCAGCGGCAGCGCAGCGACGGACGCCAGCAGCGGTGGAGCAGCGAGGGACGCCAGCAGCGGTAGAGCAGCGACGGACGTCAGCGACGGTGAAGACGCGAAGTACCTCGATGGCGGAGAAGGCATTGGGCACGGTCGAAGGCCGAGGGGTAGAGGAGTCATCCGGATGCGGATGGGGGACGGCGATGTCCCAGTCGTTCAGCGCGGCGAAGGGACGGACAGGCATGTAGTCGGCGGCTGTCACGGCCGGCGCGCTGGACGCGAGCTGGGAGGCGGAAGGTGTGTAGCTGGCTTGAGGAGCAGGAGCGGCCCTGCGGTCGAGCCTTAGCAGTTGAGGGTAGTGCCGGCGGGCGTCAGGATACCGACATCCAAGCCGGCGGCCGAATATGCGAAGTCACAGAGAACACAACGCGATCTCTGTCTGTCATGGCTGTAGATGCGATGATATTGGGAGCAGATGCGACGATATTAGGAGCAGGCGCGATTCTATTGAGAGCAGGCGCGATTCTATTGAGAGCCGACGCGATTCTAGTGAAAGCAGACGCGATCGAGGTAACTGTCGGGAGCAAGACATGGCGGCGACGCGACCCGCGTCCCGCTCAATCGGCCCGGAGGAGCGTCGATCATGGCGCCACCGTCCGTCCACAACTCAACTGCAGCCATACGCGTCGACTGTGCAATCGCCTACTCCCATCGACACGCGCTCTACTTCCCTGCCTGCCCGCTCGTGGGTGCCAGGCGCCCCACTTCCCTCCACCATCTCCTCCATCCTCCCTCTCCCCCCTTATCCTCTCGCATCCTCACTTTCCGCATGCATGCATGTACTCAGCTATCGCATGTATGTACTCAGCTATCGCCATCTGTACACCAGAATACACTCTATCCGATGAATTGTGTGGGGTATCAGTACGTCTATGCGTGCGTGCTTGGGTTCGTCCTTCTCCTCCGCCCTCGTCCTTCGCCTCTGCATCACCCACTGCTCCCTTGCGTCGCCCCTCCGCCTCGCCTCGCCTCGCCTCGCCTCACCCCTTTACCCCCCAGCTCGCCTCGCCCCGGCGTACAGTCTCCCTCGCCTCTTGAGAGCGGTCGCGGGTTGGCGATGTGCCGCGGCACGCAACTCGTAGCACCCACCACCACACCCTCGCCTCACCCCTCCGCCCTCCCTTCACCCCTCCGCCCTCCCCTTCCCCTTCCGCCGCTCGCGCTCCTTCTCGCCAAGTAGCCGTTCGAGCAGGCGGGTCTGGAAGGGATGGGGTTAGTCATGGGCATCATATCCGACCGCTTCAATCCCTGTTAGGAGGGGGTGGGCGAGGGTGAGGGGGGATAAGGGTAGGGGAGGGGCGAGGGAAGGGCGAAGGCGGAGAGGGAAGGGGAGGGGGCGAGGGTAAGGTGGGGAGAGAAAGGGAGGGGAGGATGAGGGGAAGGGTGATAGAGCCCAGAGGCGGTAAATGGATGAAGGGAAGGGGGCGAGAGTGGAGAGGGGATGGAGGCGAAGGCGGAGAGGGGATGGAGGCGAAGGCGGAGAGGGGAAGGGAGCGGAGGGGCGTCAGGTGTGATGAGGGGTGCGGAGGGGGTGATGGGGGGCGTCAGGTGTGTTGAAGGGGTGCAGCGGGGGGACGCACGACCAACGTAGCGAAGGAAGGGCGAGACCGCGGGGAGGAAATCACTCGCGCTGCGTGGAGGCAATCACGCACCTGCCGCTCCACCACGCCCCTCAGCTCGCCCACCTGCGCGCTCAGATGTGCAAGCGCGTCCGCTTCCCTCCCGGTCGTCCTCCCCAGCAGATTCGCCTCGCTCCGCCCCAGCACCTCCTCGCTTCGTCTTAACATCGAGCCCAGCGAGCTCGCTTCCCTCCTATGGTTAGTCCTGTGCGTCGGCTCCACGGGCGAGTCGAGCGGGTCCCAGTGGTCGGCGTGCTAGGGGTGGGAGTCAGCGAACACATGCAGGGTGCGTGAGTAAACGAAGGGTGGGGGGCAAGGAAGAACGCGTACGAAGGGCAAGGACGAACGATGGGTATGCACGAAAATAGAGAAAATACAAAACTCACCTCTCCCCCGTTGGCACCCCCAAACGCCTCCGCAAACCGCCCGCCCTGCCCCGCCATCCGCTCCCACACGAGCGAGAACTCGCGGCCGAGGACGAAGGAGGGGAGCGCGATGAGGAGGAGGCTGCGGGCATCGGCAAGCATTGAAAAGGTGGGTTGTCAGTTGATGTTAAGAGGAGCGAGGGCGAGCACATGAACACGAGCGAGGGCGGGCATAGAAGAGGTGTTATCAGTTGATGTTCAGAAGGGGAGGGGGGGTTGAGGAGGGAGGGGTTAGGGGAGTGGACGAGCACGTAGAAGGCAGCGGTCAGCGAGCACGTAGATGGTGGGGGGGGGAAGGGAGCGACCTCGGCAAGGCGCCCTTCCCTCGCCATCCCTCCCCGCCCTTTCTCTTCCTTCTCCCCCCACCCCCCTTTCCCCCCCCAAACCCCCTCCTCCTTCCCAACCCCACTCCCCCAACCCCCTTTCTCTTTCTCCCTTTCCTCTCTCTTTCCTCCCCCAACCGCCACCCCTCAAAAAAACTCACCCAAAAACAAGCAGCGGCAGCGTCACGAGCCGCCCGAGGAACGAGCGCGGCGTGATCTCGCCGTAGCCGACGGTGGTGATGGCTGGCGTGGGTGGGTTAGCTTTTCTCTCTTTTCCAAGTTGGGGGCGGCGCAGTGAGAAGGAGGAGGCGGAGGGGGGGAGCGTTGGGGAGGGAGGGGTGGGTGCGAGCGTTGGGGAGTGAGGGAGGGGAGGGGGGTGGGAGGGCGAGGAGAGGGCGATTGGAAGGGGGGGAGGGGAATGGAAGAAAGGGTGAGGGAGGGGGAAGAGAGGGGAGGGAGGGGTGCAAGCGTAGGGGGAAGGTGAGGGAGTGAGGGAGGGTGGGTGTAAGGGTGGATGGAGGCGGATAGGAGGGGAGGGAGGGAAAGGGGGTGGACGAAGACGAAAAGGAAGAGGACAAGGAAGAGGAGTGAAGGGGTGGGTGGAGGGGGACGTGGGTGGAGGGCGTAAGGAGGGTAAAGGGGCGATGGGGTGTGGGGAGGGGCGAGGGGAGGGCGTAAGGAGGGAAAGGAGGGGGGGGGCGTAGCGGGCAGCGGAGAGAGGGGGCGGCGAGGAGCAGACAGTGGGTGAAGGGAAGGGATGGGGAAGGAGAGGGTGGGCGCGAGCGTTGGGGAGGGGAGGGGAAGAGAGGGTAAGGGAGAGGGTGCGAGCGTTGGGGAGTGAGGGTGAGGGAGGGGTGTGGGTGGGTGTAAGGGTGGATGGAGGGTGGAAGAAAGGGAGTGTGAGGGAGGGGTAGTAAGGGGGATAGGGGAGGGGAAGGGTGCGAACGTAGGAAAGGGAGGGGGGGATGGGATAGCGAGGCGGGCGAGGGGAGTGGGAGGCAGAGTGGAGGGGGTGGAGAGGGGGAGAAGGGCGAAAGAGACAGAGGGAGCAAAGGGAAGGAGAGGGGGTGGGGGCGAGAGGGAGTGGGGGCGAGGCGGGGAGGTGAGAAACGACAACAGAGAAGAGTACCACCACTCACTAACGAGCACGAACCAGGCCGCGGCGGGGATAGACTGAGGGAGGGGGTGGGTCAGCGTCGGTGTCGGTCACAGTTAGCGTCAACCGGGCAGGGTGGGAGGGGTCAGTGTCGGTCCCGGTTAGCGTCAACCGGGGAGCGTTGGGAAGGGGGGGAGGAGCTCGACAGAGCGTTGGGAGAGGCGCTCGACAGAGCGTCGGGAAGGTAGAAGCGCGAGGGGATGAGTACTCGCGCAAAGGAGGGAGGGGAGAGGCGCTCGACGGAGCGTGGGGAGGGTGCTCGACGCAGCGTTGGGAGGGTGCTCGACGGACCGTGGGGAGAGGCGCTCGACAGGGCGTTGGGAGAGGCGCTCGACGGACCGTGGGGAGAGGCGCTCGACGGAGCGTGGGGAGGGTGCTCGACGGAGCATGGGGAGAAAACCTCAACACGCACCGCAAACTGGCTCGGATCCCCATCCGTGTTGACGAACGTCTCCAGGATCGGGTCCCACGCGCCGCGCTCGGCGAAGTAGCTGGGGGTAGGGGGTGGGGGGTTAGCGAGGGAGGAGGGATGGGGTTAGCGAGGGAGGGGAGGGGTTAGCGAGGGAGGGGAGGGGGTTAGCGAGGGAGGGGAGGGGTTAGCGAGGGAGGGGAGGGGGTTAGCGAGGGAGGGGAGGGGTTAGCGAGGGAGGGGAGGGGGTTAGCGAGGGAGGGGAGGGGTTAGCGAGGGAGGGGAGGGGGTTAGCGAGGGAGGGGAGGGGGTTAGCGAGGGAGGGGAGGGGGTTAGCGAGGGGAGAGGAGAAGGGAGGGGAGGCGCGAAGGGGGGGAGGGGAGGGGGGATGGAGGAGGAAGAGGGTATCTGGCGAAGTGGAAGAAGGGGATCCCTGGCAGAGTGGAGGAAGGTAGATAAGGGGATCGTGCACAGTGCGCGCGAAGGGGGAGGGATGGAAAATCAACCATAGAACCAGCGCCACTCACAGCAGGGTGCTAAACACGGTGAGGACCATGACGACGAAGAAGGCGATGGCGAGGAGGGCGTGCTGGGAGCGGCGGACGGAGAGGTACATGACCTCGATGGTGAGGAGGACGATGGAGTTGTATCTGGGGAGGGCTTAGTACGTTCAAGGAAGGGTGGTTTGGGAGTAAGTGGGAGGGGGGCAAGTGGGGTGTAGTGGAGGGAGAAGGGGAGGGTTGGCGACGAGCAGGAGAACGGGAGAGAGGAGGGACGAATGGGGAAGGGAGGGAACACGGACCTGAACGGCTTAAAGACGCGCAGGAGCCTGAACATGCGTAAGATGGAGAAGCGGAAGAGGATGGATGTGTCCTGGTGGAGGGCGATCTCGATGTAGTAGGGGATGACGGCGAGGGCGTCGATGATGCCGAAGAAGGCTGGCGACGATTAACGTATGTTCGCGGCAGAGTACACCGCGCACTCACACACGAACCACCTAACCGCCGTGCGCCAGGTGGTGCTATGCGCGACACACCTTGCGACATACTCGATCGTGAAGAGCGCGACCAGCGCACTCTCGACGCCGAACCACACCGCGGGGCTGATACTATGAAACTCGGGGACGGTCTCTAGCACGGTGACGACGGCGGAAACGGCGATGAGGGCGGTGATGAAGACGTGCATGAGGAAGGCTGCGGGGGAGGAGGTGGGGACTTCGAGGAGGAGGTAGATGTGGCGGCGCCATTCGGGGTGGACGTCGGAGCCCTTGGGTTTGGCGGACGGGTTCGGGCTGAGGGGGTCGGACGGGTAGTGGGAGGGGCTGGAGGAGTGGGAGCGAAGAGGCGAGCGCGGGCTGAGGTGCTGGCTGAGCGGGGTCCGCACGTCCGGCTCGTCGTCCGAGTGCGGGTAGGAGTCGTCTCCGCGCTGGTAGGTGTCGTGGTCGACCCAGGCGTGCGTGGGGTCGAGCTCGATTTGCTCGGACGCGCTCATGGCGGGCGGTGAGCCGCGTTCTCGTGCTTGGCTGCGAGTCGTGTACGGCCCGCGTCTGGTCTGCGTGGCCAGCTGGGCAGGCAGTTCGGCCCGTCGCTGCGTCGATCAGCGTGTCGCGTGGCGTGGCGTCATTGACCCCGTCATCGCGTCTTGCCCCCGACGGTCACCTCGATCGAGTCTGCTCAATACTACAATATCATCCCGTCTGCAGCCATAAATGGCGCGGACCCCGCTCCGGTCAACCTCCGTTCGCCTCACCGCAGGTCGACCTCAGCTCGCCCCGCCGTGGTCGACCCCAGCCCCCCTCACCATGTTAGAGTTTCCCTCACCTCACCAACCGTCCGCATCTCTGAATCGCCGCGCCACCAGTCGACTGCATCCCGCCTGACCTTGGTCGACCGCGCCTCACCCCACCGTGGTCGGTCTTCTCTCTGTGCCGCGATACACGACGTCTTCGCCGCGTCAGACCTCTCGCCGCGTATAACTGGTGGATCGTTCCCTCGTGTAACTGGTAGATTGTTCCCTCGCTGCAGTGTACAATCCACCGCCGCGTCAGACTTCCACAGCGACGTAGATACTGTATTTTTAATGTATGAACATATGTACAAGACTAAGACTATATACGCGAACAAGACGATAACTAGACGTACAAGACTAAAACTAGGCGTACAAGACTAAAACTAGGTGTATAAGACTACACGGGCGTGTCCATCTGAGTATCGGGTAAGAACGACGCAAGCCTAGGCGGAAGGTCCTGCAAGTGCGTCTGGTCTGAGTCGGACAAGGCTTTTTTCACGGTACCGCAGAAGCCCTCCCAGATCTCCGTCGGTTTGTCGTCCTCCTTTGGGGGTGGCAATGCCCGATTCCGACGTTCGAGCTGAAATGCCCGACGTTCGAGCTGAAGCTTGAAAGTGTCGTCATATGACTGTTCCGACGGTTCAGACGGCCTGAGCATGTTCGCGAAGAATGCGCGTATCCTATTCGCAAGCACCTTCATCTCGTACGACCACGAGTCGGTCGGAAAGCTGTGATAGGGCCATTGCACATTGCTGATGAAAGCGCGCTTGCTGCCTGAGCACGTTTCTGGGTCGCACTTCGTACTTATCCACGTATCGCCCTTCGTCCACTTGTCGAGCATGGGGGGCAGGGAATCGAGGCGCTGGCCGTCTTTGTAGCAGCACAGGACCCAAGCGAGGATGTAGAAGAACGCCTCGAGATCGTGCCGGTAGATGTGCTGGAGATGGCCGTCCCATGCCTGAGACTCTAGGCGCGCGATAGCCATGAACGGCAACGTGCCGGTCCTCGCCAAGTTCGTGTGCGTCGTTTCCAAGCCCGCGTGCGTCGTGTCCAAGCCCGCGTGCTTTGTGTCTAAGCCCATGCGCGTCTGGGGGACGCTGGCGTCGATTGCGAGGTCCCAGTCGTTGGCAAGATCCCAGTCGTTGGTAATATCCCAGTCGTTGAGCACCGGACATATCTTGCCATCCCGACGGTGTCGATACATGAGATTGTCCAGGCTCGGATCTCGGTGCTGGATACCGTGCGTCCAGGCGAGGTAGTGGGCTGGCGAGCAGTCAGCTTCAGTCGTACAACGAGCAGGCAGCTGGGCTGTACAGCGAGCAGGCAGTTGAGTCGCAAAGCGCGCAGTCGCGGCACACTGTACACGTACCCTCCACACTCTGCAAGACGTACCTTCCGCGCACTGGAACCACGCGTCGATGAAGTCCCACCCTTGCAGCTTGTGCAGGGGCTCGAGGTGCTCGGTGGTGATCAACGAGGGGAGCACGCGATGGGCGTCGAAGGGGAGCACGCGATGGACGTCGTAGGGGAGCATGCGATAGACCATGGAGGGAAGGGCAGGATGGACCATGGAGGGGCGGACACGATGGACGTCGAGGGGGCGCTCGATGGTGATCGAGGGGAGGACCCAATGGACGTCGGAGGGGAAAGCTAGATGGACCACGAAGGGAAGGGCACGGTGGACTCCGATTCCCCGGCCGTCCGGTCTGGCAGGGTGTCGGGTTTGGCAAGGTGTTGAGGGCGAAGAGAGACGGGCGACTCGCGTCGGACTGCGGAGTGTCGACGGGGTCGCAGGCGGAAAACTTCGCCCGCCCACGCGTATGACATGATGATACCGTATGTCGCACACACTGTCGTCCAGGAGTGTGTCGCACACGCCCAGGCGGCGTGGGGTCAAGCTCGATGTTCTCGGTCGGACGCGCTCATGGCGGGCGGAAGTGAAAGGAAAGGAAAACAAAGCGGTCCGGGCGGGCCCTGGCGTCACAGTATGAAGCGGCCCGTCGATCCGCGCGTCCTTGGCGCCATCACCGTGTCTTGCTCCCGACTATTACCTCGATCGTGTTTACTTCCAGTACCATCCCGTCTGCTCCCAACACGCTTGCATCTGCAGTCATGCACAACGCGGACCCGCCGTGAAAGCCTGTCACTGGGCGCGCATTGATTGCGAGCGACGCCTAAGGGACCCCCCGAGCTTGCGAGGGAGGGAAAGGCGGAGCGAGCAACACTGACTAACCCACGAGATTAGGGCTGCTTCCCCGAACAAACAAGTACAAAAAGTGGTTTTCACGGGAAGCGGATGGGAAAATGACTGGGGGTGGGCACCGCCCGCTACCGGATCCGGCTTATTTGGTTGTGCTTGCTCCCCGCCAGATGTTCGATCTCGGATGTTCCCGCACACTCGCCCTTGTCCTCCTCCATGTCGTACAGCTACGGACTCGATTCATAGAGCAAAATTGTACGCCTTTCAATTTCCGAGAAGTGCATGCAACTTTTGTAGCAATATGGTACAAACTCAATATAATATGGTCTTGGGAGGAGCGTGCATGTATCAGAAGAACTCCTCGTCCGCCATGTCGTCTTCGGAGTCGACATCGGCTTCCGAGTCGATGGAAGAATGCTCTCCGTCTACTTCCATAGGGCTGGGCAGCAAGACCGATTTTTCCGCCGCCTTCAGGGCCCCGGGATTGGCTCTGCACGACTGTCAGCTCACGGTAATCAGTAAAGTGAATCACCTACAAGTGGTAGCGCTCGAGGGCCGCCAAGACAGCCATTCTACGTGGGATGAGACTCTTAACCATCCCCCACTTGAACTGCTTCTTGTCAGTGAGGACGGGATCCTTCAGAATATCCTTATGGATCTCCAGCTGCTCGCGCAACTTGGCGAGTGTCATCGCTTCAACCGCCGCTACGTCGGTAACCATCCCGACAGCTGCCAAACGCTCTAAACGCTCCTTTTCGATCGCGACCTTCTTCGCCGCCTGCTGGTCGTGGGTGTCCGCCTTCTCGCGGTAGTCGGCAGCCACCCTTTCTCGAAATTCGCCTACTTGCTGCTTCGCGAAGATGGTGCGCCCGTTGCGTATAACCCAGGTCTCCAGAGAAGGAGTGATCACCTTGTCTATGAACTTCTCTGTACCATTCTTCCGCATACGCTGACTAGCATTGAATGCGACTGTCGTGCTGCAGGGATTCAGGCGTAGGAAAAGCCGAAGAGACCCTAGAGCGCCCTCGTTATGGTCGTTCGTGGCAGGTATGAAGAGGACGGAGCGTTGGTAGGAAGTGAGTGCGTCAATAGGACCACCAGAGGCGAATTCAGACGTGAATCGCCGCCATCCTATCGCAGCCCCACGAAACATGGCCGAGATCACCGCAAAAGCGTCGTCTCCAGTCGAATGGAAAGCCTCACGACACTTCGAGATGAAGCGCGCGTTCCGAATGTTCCTCCTTCAGCTGGTCGTCCAGAGATCGCTTCTGAGCGCTGAGTTCGCGTTTTGCTTGTCGTACTTTTGCCAGAGTCTCCCTCGCAGATCGAAGTTCCGAGGCACTCTGGACGAGCTGCCGTGCCTGCTCCGCTGAAGCATCCCGCAGAGCCGAGTTCTCATCTTGTAAAGCGGCGAGCTCGGAGCGAAGTTTCTCGAGTTCCGCGAGAGGAGGCGTCGCTGGCGGTGCTGGCTGAGATCTAGTCGCGCGACGAGCCCTAGGCTGTGGAGGAGGAGTGTTCTCGATGTCTTGAAGCGCAGTGGTAGACGCCGGAGCACGTTGAGTCGCCCGAGCAGCGGAACATCTCGACACGATGTTCTTGAAGGATTGTGCCACCTTAGGCATCTGTAGACAGAGCTTCGATGTTCTGAGGGATCCGCAGGGCTAGAGAAAGCGAGAAGGCGAAGTCCGACGTCGCCGCAGAAGGCAAGAGCGGAAGTGTCCAAGCCTGGACATATATTTCCACGGCCTACGCATTTGCCTATCTCCTCCGTCAGTTCTTCAGCTACGGCTACGCAAAGTAGCGCGTTCGAAAGCTACGATTTAGGACTACATTCTGGCGTCGATTTTCAATTTTAGGTATTCTAGTGAGCTCAAAACGCGAAATCCGGGCTTCCAATGGGCGAAATAGGAAAAACCGACGTGGAGTCGTAGCTACCGCTCGTCGCTTTCCAGCGATGTAAGAACCAGACGCATACGAGAAAAACTGGGTGAGGAGATAGAGAAACGGTGCGCGACGAAATCCTCCAGCCTGTCACAACATGTACAAATATGCCGGATCCGGTGGCGGGCGGTGCCCACCCCCAAAATGACGGCAATTGCCGTCATCGGCCCCGTGACGCGCCTGCGGCGCGTCACAAGTTGAAGTCTTCAGCGAGCCAGCTACTTGAGTCTTCGCTGCTGGCCTCTGCCTTGCCGCAAGCGTAGAAAATGTTTTTTCCTCGCTCAGCGACTCTAAGGGCTTATACATCTGGGATCAATCACCACAACCTAGGCGCTTGATGGCCTTCAGCTGTGCCGACCTCTCACAATTCTTTTACACGGCAAAATTCCGTATTCGGGAACGAGCGTACCGGCGTCATCAGGAGCAACGCAGTTGCCCTCGACGTTGCCGTGTCCATTTCCCGCGCCATGTTCCACATCAGTGCCGAGGTCCTTTGGCACCAGAGAGGTGAGTGTGAACAGTGTTGCTCGCTTGGTCCAAGCGAGCAGCCCGTGGCTTGCCACAAACTATGTTACTATCCGTCCTGCATCGATCCTACTCGTTCTGAATAAGTACGTGAACGGCTTCCTTTTACGACTAGTACAGTCAGTGTCTACCCCGCCCTCCTTTGCTGCCACCCCGAACTAACCTCTACCTCGCCACACATGCCAATCCCCACACACGCCAACCCCCCTACGCCAATCCCCTCTGCTGCATCCCCCTCCCATTCCTTTCCCTTCATATCCGACGCGAATTCCTGACCTCTTGTGATAGCGATGCGGAGCTGGTCGCAGCAGCCCCAAGGCCTCATGTTTGACGCAAGGCCGGACCTGCGCTCGACCGAAGGCCACACCTGCGCCCGACCGCAGGGCCACTCCTGCGCTCGACCGCGAGGCTGCTCCTGCGCCTCAAACCAGCTACACATCTTCCGCTTCCCAGCTCGCGTCCAGCGCGCCGGCTTGACGTCCCGCCGTGACAACCACCAACTGCATGCCTGACCGTCCCTTCGCCGCGCTGAACGACTGGGACATCGCCGTCCCTCATCCGCATCCGGATGACTCCTGCACCCTCCGGCCTTTGACCGTGCCCAATGCCTTCTCCGCCATTGAGGTACTTCGTGCTTTCATCGCCGCTGAGATCCGTCGCTGCGCTGCCGCTGCTGACGTCCCTCGCTGCTCTACCGCTGCTCCCCCGCTGCTGACATCCTTCGCTGCTCCACCGCTGCTGACTTCCTGCCTGCATCTCCTATCATCGAGTCCTGCGACTCGGGCGCCGACACTGATCCCCGCTTCTACCTCGACCGCCCCGCGCCCGTCTACCACCACGACCTGGAAGCTCTCATATGGATCTTCGTCTGGGTGATGTGCTGCTACGACGGCGGGCTCGCAGTGGACTGCCACGACGGCCAACCGCGACTCAATCCCCTACCCCAGCCGTTCGCGGAGTGGATGTTGAGGGGCGACTCGCACGAGTTCGTGGTCAGCGCTGACTCGCACAAGCTCCTGGCCAGCGCTAGGAGATGCCTCGAGAGCAAAGAGTCCTTCCTCTCCACGGTCACGATGTGGAATGGCCGCGAGCCAGCCACGGTGTGGGGAGCACCGGCACCGACGTGGGGAGCGCCGATACCGACGTGGGGAGCGCCATTACCAATTCGCGACCTGCTCTTCGCGATGCCTGCCAAACCGTCCACGATCTGGACGGCAGCGAGTGCGATGTGGGAGATCGCGGGTCCTACTAGGACGATGCCTGCGGATGAGTTGGATGTGGCGGTAACGCCATATGCGCTCGCTTTGTGCATGCTGTCGTACACAACAGGGCGCATCGGAGAGCGAAGCCTCGCCTTCGCGCGCTCGAGGTCGCAGGGGTGCATGGAAGACCGTTGGCCGCGCATGGAGCGGGACGACTGCAGCGAGAAGAACGCGGAGGGCGATCTGAGGAGTCACTACGTCAAGAATGCCTCGGGGATGGCGCGCAAGGACGATGCGCTGGGCAAAACCTCTGCTGACGACCCCGGGAAGGTTTGGATTGACTTCGAGGATAAGATCAGTGAGGGGGACTCCTGTTTAGCGATGATGATTATGCTGATATTCTGCCTAGGCAAGTGTGTAATGGTACAGGACGATAGCTTTCGCAGCGTCCTGAACGACTGGGATCTCGCGGGCGACCCCTCGGACACTGCCCGCACGACACCCTTGATGCCGTGCGGCACGCCCCCGTTCATGGCAGTGGACATGCTCGAGGAGGACGCACTCAAGGGCAAAGTCCAACGCCTCTACCGCCACGACCTCGAATCGCTCTTCTATGTCCTCACCTGGGCTGCGTGCTGCTACAAGGACGGCCGACGCCTCGATCCCTTGCCAAGGATGTTCGAGAAGTGGGCCCTGGGCAGCCTCTCCATCCGTCCTCAAGACTTCATGGCGCGTTTGCTGGCCTACGAGGACCCGCATCCCCTGCAGACGTGCCGCGACAGCAAGTTCTCTTTCATCGCCGGCGGGCGTCAATGGCGTGAAGACATCCCGTGGCGCGAGCTGGGGTACATCGCAGAGGGGTTGCGTTTTTTCTTCATGGGGGAGGAGACTGCGCGGTGGGCTGTCTGGGATCGGCCGGCGGGGAGGGCCATTCAGATGGCGGAGTTTATGGCTCTTATTGAGGGGCGGGAGCCGCCGCCGCGCCCGCAGGAGGCGGACGAGCCTGAGAAGATGTGGGAGGGGTTTTGCGCGGCTGTGAGGGAGGTTATTGAGGATATCATGATTATGGTGTCTGATAGCAACGCTCGCCTATAGCTACAGCAGTACTCGCCCATAGCAACACTCGCCAATATCAGTACTCGTTAGTGCAAGCTCCTTCACTGCGCTGGGAGGCATGAATATTCGCTCTGGGATGGTCTGCAGGTGAGTTAGGTGCGTGTTCGTGCCTCGACTGCATGTTAACCCATCATTCTGCGCTGGTCATGTCCTCGTGCGATACGTCCTCACGCCGCATGCGAGGCGCACGTTGCCCTCGCGCCGTTTTCGCGCGCCAGGCTGCGAGAGACCGCCATCCCCGCCTACGACCGGTCGCCATCCCGCCCATGGACGTGTCTTCTCAAATAACGGCTGGTGCGGTACTGAACGACTGGGACTTCGCCCCGCCCTTCGCTTCCCGCGCATCGGGCCCCGCTGCCGACCCGCGCCTCCCTCCGCCCGCCACCGACCCGCGCCTACCCTCGCTCCCCTCACCGCCCAGCATCACTTTCGCCGCCATCGACGTCCTCCAGTACGCGTTCACCGGCGAAGCCGAGCGTCCGTACCGGCACGAAGTCGAGCATCTGTACCGGCACGACCTCGAAGCCTTCATCTGGGTCTTCACCTGGGTCGCGTGCTGCGTCGAGGATGGTCGGCAGCTCGATCCCTTGCCCGAGCGATTCCAGGACTGGGTATCGGGGATCGTGAAACGTTGCCAGTACGCTAAGCTCCATTTTTACTTCCTCGGGCACAGGGATGCAGGGCCTACCCCGACATGGGCGGCAGAAGGCAGGCTCACGGATGCCCTGCGACTCTATTTGATAGGGGTACAAGACAGACAGATCAAATTAGAGCTCGATCTGATGGACGCTGCTGCTCCGGAGGAGGAAGATGTACCAGGAGGACTTGAAGATGTACCAGAGGAGGACTGGAAGGAGTTTCGGCAGTTTCTTCGGAAGGCGGGCGAGAAGCATCCCGCTCTTGGTCATCTTGTCGCTTTGGCTGCTGATTAGCGGTACGTCAAGTTCAGGTTCACGTACTACACTGTGTAGAGAAATGTTGCATTGTCGTCCATGGACGCGTTGTTCTTTGTCTTGCCTTCCATGATTTCTTGACCGCGGGGATATGTCGTGGACGACGCTTATGTATCGATGCGCACGAGTACGTACTGTTAACATCTTGCAATGAATTCATTGTGCGTTACACTAGATCCCAACAAGCGAAACCACCACCTTCCCCTCCGCCGTATCCCACCCGCCCTTCAGCATGTCCACAAATGCCTGCGGCGCCGCCTCCATCCCCTCGTATATCCGCTCCGTGCTCTTCAGCTTCCCCTCCACGAGCATCCGCGGCACGTCCTCGAGGAACTTGCCCATGTACTCGCCGGCAATGTAGGGCGCGAGGAAACCCGAGACGGTGACGTTGCGCTTGAAGATCATGTCGGTGTTCTGTAGAAAGGGAAAAATAAGTGACGGAACCGGGGCAATGATAGCAAAGCCTGTTGGGCGCATCGGGAATACATAGCAGCGGCGGGACTCACCTTGATACCGAAGCGATCCTCGGGCGCGACGTTGTACTCAGCGACCTGGCCGCAGATGATGACACGTCCGAATAAGTTCATGTTGTCAAACGCTGCCGCGAGAGCCTCCGCGCCGACGTTGTCCTACAAGGGGGTTAGTCACGACGTTTGGCAAGGAACTGTTTTGGGTTCAAGCAGACGCACGTAGTAAACATCAAGTGGCCCATGCTCCGCCAGTACCTCGCTGTACGCATTCTTCTTGTAGTTGAACGGCACATCGCATCCTAGCGAACGCATATATTCGACTTTGGCGTCCGAGCTGTATGTAATGGGCGGTCAGCACTGGAGTATGCAGAGCACGAATGCTTGCGTGGGCCTACCCCGCAGAAGCGATCACTTTCATCCTGGATGGCGCGATGAGTACACTGCATGCAATACCGGACTACTATGCGAGGACGCACCCATAGAGCTTTGCAAGCTGGATGACCAAGCTACCAATGCGCAGTCAAGCCTCATTTCAAGCCGTTCAGGACTCGCACCCACCTTCCGACAGCGGATGCGCCTGCGGAGACGAACACAGTTTCTCCCTAGAAAGACGATTATCAGCCGCCGTCGACTGGAATTTGGAACGTAGAGCGAACCTTCTTCGCATTTGCGTACTTCTTCCAGCTGACGTACGCAGTCATGCCCGGCGAGCCGGCCACACTGCAGTACTTCGACAGTGGGAAAGCGCCCTTCGGGTCAGGGATCTGCGAAAGGCATGAGCAGCAAGTTCGTAGTCAATAGATGTCAACGGCGCTCACCTTCTGCGCACCACCAAAATCGTCCATGTTTGCAGTCCACCATGGCCACTCCGCAGGGTTCCAGTTACGGCGGGCTATGTTCTCATTGTCAACACACGAATGCCGAATTCAAGACAAAGGCTCGAATTACCCTCCATATACGGCTGGACCGTGTAGAGTTCCCAATGCGACGCGCCGTAGACAAAGTCGCCTGGCTTGAACTCGGGCTTTTCAGAGCGCATGATTTGCATAACGCAGAGGCCAACGACGCTGAGGGTTTTTGGTCAGAAGGACCGCATGAACCGTCGCGTACACATTATACTACTCACGGTGCGCCCGCCAACATGGGGCTACTGTAGCTCGCGATGTGCTCTTCGCGCATTCTCTCTCGCATGTAGGGCTCAGGGCTGTAGAGAGGTGTGTGTCAGTCACGGCGGGCTGACGGTCACGGTTCAAGAGGGGCTCACCTCAAATACAGAACCTTCGTCAGAAAGCCGCCATTCAGCGGTACAGTTTCCGGGTCGATGGTGCGCGAGTTGTCGTAGATGAGGTGCTCGCCGACAACAGGCCATGCTCCCTGAGGGATCGGCTTTGCGTACACCACACGCGGATTCGGAACGGGAACCATGTCTGGTTTGCTCTGTTGAAGGTGCAGTGGTCGGGGTGCGTATGATACTGTACGGTCGTGGACTTATGTTCTCTATTCCCCATATATATCCCTCAAAGATCCGAGTCGGAATGTGCTGGAGAAAAGGATTGCGAGTCAGTAGGAGGCGAGTCGGATCGCACTTTTGTGGCAAGTACTTCCGAGTCGACTCGGTCTTGCGATCCTCAGTCCCTGAAACGATGCCGACTCGGCCATGATCCTAAAAGGTCTACTATTTGCACGAGTGAGCATCAGATAGTCGCTAGCGACACTCTTGCTTGTGCGTGAGAGTAGGAGGCAAGCCTGTAGAGCCGCCGTCGAACGTGGGAATATCCTTTTGTGGCGTTGGCTCGTCTTGCGGCAATCGCCGCATCACCGTGAACAGGCGCTCAACAACACCCATGAGGGGGACGTATGTATGATCAATACACCACGGCTGTCATACTCGGTATCTCTCTTCGCCGTCTTGGAAGAGCTCACGCTCCGGATGTTGAAGTCTATCGGGTGCTTGGCTTGATCACAACTGAGCATACGAGGCCGCTGCAGGAGTTGCGCGCCATGGAATTCGTAGATGCTTGGATTCTTCGGTGCGCGGAGGGTACGTGACTTTTGCGCCGTCCTTTGTACGCTTCGGCTGATTGCTCACCAGCTCATGTCCTCAACTGGACCAACGGTCTTCATCACCAGGATCCAAGCCTGAATAATCTCACGTATTGGCCGCGCGAAGACAACATTTGCGCGGCGCTGAACGACTGGGATCTCACAATCGACTCGGACGCAAGAACGCCCCAGACGCGCACAGGCTTAGTAAAGACTGGCACGGGCCCATACACGGCCACCGATCTGCTCACCCCGGCTGCAATGCGCGGTGAAGTGCAGCATCTCTATCGACACGATCTCGAGGCCTTCTTCTACATCTTGATCTGGGTGATTTGCTGCTACGATGAGGGGAGGCGCCTGGACCCTTTACCGAAAGTATTCACCACCTGGACCCACGGTACCAGGACAGCGTGCGCGCACGGTATCACGTCAGCGTGCGCTGACAGCAAGAACACCTTTCTCGCTAAAGGATGGCTGGAACTCACACCGATAGCGTCTTGGGGCAAGCTGGCATACTATATCGCGGACGAACTGAGGCCATACTTTTATAACTTTTATCGCGCTACCTCCGAACGAGAAAGCAGATGGGCGAGCGAGAAGGCTGCAGCCATGTTCGAAGGCAACGAGCCGCCCATCTTGGACCGCGAGCTGGACGAGCCGAGGAAAGTATGGGAGGAGTTCTGCACCATAGCGAAGAAGGCCATCGGTCGTACAGTGTCTGCCCAGCGGCACCAGCTTCCGCCAAAGCTTGGCTCTCTCAATGATGGCTAAGTGATTGAATCATTTCCATGTATCTCAATGATATATTTCACTGTAATACACGCCAGAATATGCTGGATTTTCGGCAGTGTAAGTCCTCTTTCATTTCTCCCCTCCACATCGTCGATGATGCATGCAGAGCGACCAGGTCAGTCAGTATCTGATCCAAGGTCCCTTCCTTGTGATCAAGAGTTCCAGAACCAGCATTTACCTCAGAGTCAGTAGTGCGAGCTGCTGGAAGAAGAGCCAAGCCTGAGAACGCCGCAGTCGAACCAAAGTCGAACGAGGGAATGATCATTTGTGGCGTTGAACATCACTTACGGCAATCGCCGACATCGAGCGCTCGACCACAACACCCATGCCGTCTCTCGCGATCCCGTCGCTTGCCAATGTCTGCGCCCTCAACGACTGGGACATATCATCAAGTCTCTATGAACCCGGGCAATGCAGGCGCTTTGGCACGGTCGAATTTATGGCTGTCAGTCATCTTACCGCTCGAGCGAGCCGTCTTACCGCCCGAGCGCGCAGTCACCCCAGCACAATCCACCACCTATACCGCCACGATCTCGAAGCCCTGATCTGGGTCCTCGTTTGGACGATCTCCTGCTATGCAGATGGAGAGAAGATTCACGCCTACCCTCCTATGTTCAGTGAATGGGATGCAAACAAGCCGACTCTGTGCGGTATCACGAAGGGCGCTTTCTTGTTCAGCGGCACTCGTGTCACCCCCACCGCTGTATCATGGGAAGCGGAGGTCAGATTGGCAGATTATTTCCTCATCCATCTGGTAGAGATATGTGCGGCTGCGTCCATTCGCGCCCGATTAGCGCAGGCCGTATCGCTCACTGGCATGGCTGAGCCTGGCAGTGGCGAGGTGCCATGTGAGGCCGATGAGCCCGGGCAGATTTGGGCCAAAGTATGGTCGAATATACACCGATTTGAGAAGTTGCGCTATATCTTACCGTACATCCCCAAGGTTTTGCCCGCTATGCCGTAGCACCATTTGTCCTCTCAACCGCACATCTCATACCGACGCGTAGGCTCTGCCTCCACATCTCTCTTTTGCTATCGGTATCGTGACGGGCAAGTTCGTCTGTCAACCCTTCTCTAGGCATAGCAATTATTTGCATGCCCCGCTACGACTTTGAGGCCTCGATTTGGATGCTAGTATGAGCATATTCATATGTATATTCCGAGGAGAACGACAACTTACAATGCGGATGCAGCAGAGTCTAGTTCGTCGACTGGACACACACGGATCCGCACCCCAAGCATACGCCGTCAGCTCTCTTCCTGCTTGACGGAAGCATCAGTTCGCGACGACGTGTACTCCTCTGCCTTGACCGAGTCGTCCTCTGCATTGACCGAGTCGTCTACTTCCTTGAGCGAGTCGTCTTCTTCCTTTAGAAAGGCGCCTCTCGACGAGGAGTTGACGCAGACAGTGGAGTCGCCAACTGGTGGCTTAAGATCCTCCGCAGGCATAAGCTTAAGATCCTTCACAGGCATAGGCTTGAGATCCTCCGCAGGCATCGCTAGTAGGCCTGCCGGGAGCGGTTCGACCTTCATCTTTGCGTCGACAAGGTCTGCCTTCATCGTCCCGTCGACCACCTCCGCCTTCATCCCCGCGTCGACCGAGTCCGCCTTCGCTCGCAGGATCTCGATCTCCGCCTCCAAGCTGCGCGTATCCACCAACGCGAACGCAGAGGTATCCGACCGGCCGGCCTTCGAGTCCTCCACGCACGTCTTGAGGTCGGAGAAGGCCTTGATCTTGGCGGGCATCTGGGCAAGGTGTAAGTCGGCGATGATGGGAGATGCACGCGACATAGTGATCGGAAGAGCATTCGTGAACTAGCTAGTATAGGTCAGGAAGTGGAGGTAGTAAGGCAGGAAGACAAGTATGGGTCAAGAAAGACGCGAACACGCACCCCGTAGTTGGCCACCCGGCCTGAAGTCGAGCCCATGATGAAGAACAGCGTCTCTCGTACACTGCCGGAGCCTTCCGCGTGTACAATCTTGTATGGCTCGAGCCCGTGCCGTGGAGGCGCGTTCTTGCGCTTCGCAACGCGTGGCGGGATCTTGGAGGGACTGCCTGACGAGGGCATGAGGTGAGTCTGAAGGTAAGTCAGTCGGAGGTAGCGTTATAGCAGTGAACAAGAGGATGAGATGGGCTCCAGGACGGGCGAGCGAAGCTTTGAAGGAAGGTGAAAAGTATCTCCACATACCTTAACCACCGCTTCGTACATGATGTCTGCGATCTGGTTACCCACATAGCAAACCACGCGTGGTCGATAGCGAGCGGCTTTGGCGAGAACAGTAGCAGCGCCGGCGCGCATTTCGGCTGCGGAGAGTTCATTGGCCTGCAATGTGAGTCAGTTGTTGCATTGGTTGAGGTGACCAGAAAGACAAAGAGCAAGGGGGAAGGATGGAAGTACTTACCGAATTCGTCGGTCGAGTGACCAGGTTCGTCTGTGTTCTCATGAGAGTTTGGGCGCGTAAGCGGACCGGTCGAACGCACCAGTCCTAGAGAGAATCGTTCTGGCATTGTACCGTCCTCTGACGGGTGCAAAGCCTTCTCGGCCGTTGTAAGACCTACGAGGAGCATATGTCAGGAGTGTAAGTGTACAAGAGATGCGGACAAGAGTGTACCCGACCCATGAAGCGAACGCCAGAAAGCGTTGGTAGGGTTTCCAAAGTGGTGACCTGTCTCTGCGGACATCTCGCCAGGGCTGAAGGTTGCCGTTGGGACGCAGTACACAGCAAGGAGGGCAACGGACGTACTTGAAGCCGCAAAACATCACTTCATCTTATTCAGTATAGGACACAGAGTCGGACAGACGGGACGTACCGTCTAACTCATCAATGAGGTGGTCCGGCAGAGGGGAAAGATGGGCATAGGTTTCCGGGGGCGCATATCCAGCCTTGGCTTTCTTCGCGGGCGAGGCATGGTCTTCTTCTGTCTTCACGCGCTTGCGAGATATGGTAGAGGGTGTGCGACGCAGGGGCGACTTGGTACGTAGGTCCTCTTCCTTCTTAACGCGCTTGCGCGATGACGACGAAGTTTTGGGTTTGACTTCATCTTCCTCCTCCTTCAGTCGGCGTTTCTTAGATAAAGATGCTGCCTGAGGCAACTCGTCGTCATCCTCATTGTCGGAGAGGATATCGTTGGTTGCCCACCGACGCGGAGTTGGTTTTCGTGACGAGCGACGAAGGGTTGGAGGCTCCGAATTCGGACTAGCGAATGCGAAGGAAGAGAGCTGCGTCCGAAGTCTGGCTTCTGGTGACTCTGTCTTCACTTGGGGTTCACTGTCTGCGAGGCCAGAGGACATGGTGGAAGGACGCAAGCACTTGAGCAACCCCACGGGCGATCAAGCGGAATCAAAATGCGGACCGCAAGTCCGAGCCATTGTACTCTTCTGTACTCCCGGAAAAGGCAGCTGTTGTTTTGTCCCGTTGAGGCAGCTGACGCGTGACGTCAACGTGATGCGACGCGCTTGTTGACTGCCACCATCATGTCCGACATCCCATCGTTACACGAGCTCGAGGCTGCGGCTCGTGACATCGTCCGCAAGGCTAAGAAGGAGGGCAGGCTGCAGTGCGCTTACTCTGTCTATGGATGGCCCGACATCACTGACATGTCCCGCTCTCACAGTGAGGTTACGCCCAGTAGCGTACGACGCGAGATTGAGAAGCAGTTCGACCTCGAACGGGAAGTCCTCGATGATGACGAGTACAAGAAGCCATTGAAGAAGGTCACGAGGGATACTGCTGTGCGTGACCCTCTGTCTCTGTCCGGCGGCTACTCATGAGAGGTTTAGAAGGAAGATGACGATGAGGAAGAGGAAGAGGCCGCGCCTTCGCCCAAATCCAAGCCTGTGTCCAGATCTAAAAGCACGTCCAAACCCAAGTCTGACGCGAACAAGAGCCGAGGCAAGAAGCGCAAGTCGGAGGAGGCTGCTCTGTCCATGGGCGAGGAGGAGGAAGAGGAGGAGGCGAAGCCACGCTCCAAGAGTGCGCGCAAGTTCAAGTCGAGGGTGCGTTTCGAGACCGCCTTCATCTCTCACCGTGCTGATGATACGATCGTAGGACATCATCGTCGACTCTGACGCGGAAGACGCGCCTGCGGATGCTGGCGACGACGACGAGTCCACGAAGGAGAATGGCACGAAGAAGGACATCAAGCCCAGCAAGAAGCGCAAGTCGACCTCAGGCACGCAAGCGAAACCACCTAAGACCGCGAAGGTCGAGCGTTCGCCCTCAGAAGAACCCGAAGAATCGGCGATAAAAGAGGCGGACGACGTACATAACTTATTTCTGGCACTTCCAAACCCGACCCTCACGCTTGACCTGCAGAAGAGCGACTCGGAACTGTCAGTCCTGATTGACGAGCCCCCGAAGCGCAAACGCAAGTCGAGCACGAAAGACAAGGGCAAGGGTACGAAAGAGAAGGCGAAGACCAGGTCAAGGAAATCTGGGCCCGAGCTTAGCAAGGATGAGGAGACGATTAAGCGGCTGAAGGTGCGTCTCACTCTCTCCTGGATGCACGCTCCTGCCCAATATACTTCGTCTCTTGCTTTCTTGAGCTTACGCAACTTACCCAGTCCTTCGTCGTCGCCTGTGGCGTCCGCAAAGTCTGGTCCAAGTTCTTCAAGGCCGAAAACGCGGACCGGCCCTCGGACCAAATCCGCGCCTTGCGCAAGCTGCTCGCCGACCTCGGGATGACCGGTCGGCTGAGCTTGGAGCAGGCGAAAGCGATCAGGGAGAAGAGGGAGTTGGAGCAGGAGTTAGGTGAGTGTCATGGAGAGTCTTCCTTACGTTTTGCAAGGGCAGCCTTGCACTTCAATGGGTAGCATATGTGCACTTCACTAACACCACACTCTTTCAGAGGACGTCCAGCAATTCGCCGCCAAGATGACCGGACGCGCGTCTCGGTCGGCGACCAAGAATGCGAAGGCGGCGAAGGGGGAGTCGTCGGACGAGGAGATGGGAGGCAGCGATGACGAGAAGATCATCAGCGACGAGGAGGCGGTGCCGAAGAGGGTGAGCTGCCTTTGGTTCGGTGTGAGCTACTTAGGCTCTAACATTTACTCCAGCGTACAGCGGCGCGCAGTATTATGGCTTTCCTGGCTGATCAAAGTGACGACGAGTGAAAACGTCGGACTGAGGGAAGGACGCTGCGAGACATGCCTCTGGCGATGATGTCAAGGCCAGTAACCACTATTGGGGTAGTGAGCCGAGGGGCTCACATGCTTGGAAGGGTCCGCCGTTGCGCCCTGCGTATAGGAGAATAATGCATACATTTACTCGTCTAAATCTATCGTCTAATCAATCGACGCAATCAACGTCGAGTCGTCTATCGTGCCGTCATGTTACCCTGTCTATCGTCTAATCATCGTCAGGCCTCACTGCAGCACCTTACTGTTCTTTTCGTCGGGCGAGCCCATTGCCTCTTCCTCGTCCAGTCCCTTCCCACTGTCCTTTCCGCTCCCGCCATACATGCCCGCCTCATACGTCTCGTACACATCGACGAGATCTGCCTCGCTGACGCCGGGCGGTGGCCATATCTTGCTCAGTGCGAGGTGGACGGAACCGCTGATAGCGCAGCCGAGGAGCCAGGAGAGGTAGTAGACGCGTCTGGAAGAGGGGCCGTTAGGGAGGTTCATAAACCAAGATGTGACGAGGCGAACGCACATCCAGGACTCATTGACGACTACCGTCTCCGGTGTCACGTCCGCGCAGAAGCCAGGCATGCTTGGGAAGACGCCCTGCGGGTGTGTATGTCAGTCATCTTGTACTTGCGAGTGCGGTTCGGCGATGAGGGCGTACCAGGACCCATGCGACAGGCGCTCGCCAGTTCAGACCGTGCCAGAACCTGCCATCGATTGGTGAATGATGAAGATCTTCACGGGATAGAGGAGCACTCACCAGTAGTCACTTGCCTTCGCAGGCAAAAACAAGTGCGAAAGTTTCAGCTGCCGGCCTCGCAGCAGGTGGTAGTCGGCCTGATCGATATCAGTCGTTGAATCATCTTCCTCAAGGAAAGACACACCAGCATGATTCCCGACATCGGCCCCAGGAAGACGCCGAAGGCAGAGATCGCAGATATAAAGGAGTTGGCGGTCTGAGAAGGATGGTCATTTGCCGCTAAAAATCCAAGGCACAAGGGAGACAAACGTTAAGGATGCGCCATGGGTTGATGCATATGCCAATGATGGCCACGAGCACGGATCCGCGGCGGATGTTGATGAAGCTGACAGGGAGAAGAACGCACATAAGCGAGGACGTGGGCCTCTAGTAGTGGTAACTCACCGAGGGAACAGCGCAGCCAAGTCCATGCCACCCACTACACCGCACGCAACCACCTGCGAGTGAATTTGTCAGTCATGACTTCCTTCGAGGATAGATGTGCGTACATTGACGCATAGCTGAGACAGGAAGAACGCAAACGCAGCAAAGAACACCGCGGCACGCGCCCCCGAGCCACCATGTCGCTGAATGGCCTCCAAAAGATCGTACAACTTCCTGTCAAGTCAATTGACGTCAGCTTGCTCGCTGTCTCATGGTCAGGTTCAGACTTACCACAGCGGCTTCTCATCCGGGAAGAACCCCTTCGCACACGACGTCGCGAATATACCGAGCACGTTCGAGCCAAAAAGGCAGAGCGGGATGGCGAAGAGCTGACCCCACATCTGATCGCCCGGACGGACGGCGTAACGAGAGAAGTCTGAAGGCAGTGTCAGCGCTAGTATGCGAAGGTGTTGGGTGCATATGCTTACCACTTTGGTACAAGATCTAGTCATGGAGAGCAGGAGTCAGAACAACAAGCATGGGGAAAATGCAGGAAACCCAGTACCCCTCCAGACCAGGCGCCAATATGGCTGACGATCAGCCGGACGACAGTCCATGCAAGCGCTGAGCCTTGCAGATGCCCGACGCCATAAACCGCCTCTGGGTTGTTGTACAAAGGCCCCGGTCCGCCTTGCTTGGCAAGCGCCCAGATGAAGATGGTGATTGCGGCTACAGTCACGATGATGGAAGAGACCATGGCGGGGATGCGGTACCTGCGATAGAGTGGGTAGTGAGCTGCGATGCCATAGCGCGGCAATCCTCGTACTTCTCTGGTTTGAGTAACAAAATCGGGCAGCAAAGCACCCAGAAAATGATATACGCGACTATGCGGCATCGTTAGAACCGATGAGGACGTATCAACGACAGAGGCACACCGAACTCGTGCGTCTTCATGCCAATGTTGGGCGGAAAAGTGTTCTTCATGTTATAAAAGCTTGCTGGCGATGAAGTGAGCCCTTCGTACTAGTCAAAAAAATCGGAACACAAACGCCAAATAGCTCCAATCATGTTCTTGACCATCTGTCCGCCGTACCAGCCCTGAACGCCATACCAGCAGCACGATAGAATGATCCGAGCGACGAGAGGGACACAAGCTCCGCGTCTGAAGGAAGACAGTCAGGATCCTAGACCGAATTCTGCGAGGAGTCTGCCAAGCGGCTGAGAAGACGTACATCCCCCAAGAACTACGGTTGATTACGGCCTGGTAATTGTCAGCAACTGCGACAAGGGGCAGGCGAGCTATGCACAGACAAATGGGATGTGCCACTTTCCACCCCCATGACCGCTCATGACCAGTAGTAATGTGACGCTAGCACGAACAGTCAGCGCAGCATTTGAGTTGAACGAGTCCCAGCTTACAGAACCGTTGTGACAGCGTGGACTGTCCGAAAACTGGATCAGCGGCAGCCACGAAGGATAGCTTAAGAGTCAGCTTGCCTGCTAACGCCTGTCCAACGCTCAGGCCTAGTGCCACTAAGTGGGATCAGCATCACAAAACGCTCTAGTCATCGAGGTGAACTCACAACTGGAGGACCCGGCGCCCCATTCTGCAATGTTGATAGCTAAGAGGGGAAAGAATTCATTTAGCGCAACGTTCAAGTTACCAGGACCCACTTACAGGTAGCCATCCAGAAGAAGACGAAGATCCTCTTACTCCATGTCCGACGCGCAGGAGGCAACGGCAGGATATCTGCATTTTGGTATGCCGAGGAATCTGATGACACCTGCTAGTAATCAGTTTCCCTATCGTCCCTTCTTGTAGCGACACCGACCTGCAACCAACTGGTGATCTTCGACATCTCGGCAAGTCGCCCCAGCGGCTCGTTCAGTGGGTCGTGAAGGTGATGATTAACCTCTTCAAGGCCAGCGAGGCTTTCCCTCTTCGCCGATCGATGCGATTGAGCCTGTGGGGCACGACCGGCAGATGGATGTCGCTAGCAAGGTGGCATCGAGTGCTCCCCAGCCCCAGCGCCCTGGGTCCAAGCCTTCACAAAAATGATGGGGCGGCGTTAGCATGCTGAATCGGGAAGGAGCGTCGGCCGAAGTGCGGACATTAGCGGGGTCGCATGCGGAGTTGAACTTGGTGGTCGAGTGTGAAGTGACCCGTCTGCAAGCTTGCCAGACAGATGCCTCGTGATGGTAGAACGCTGCAGCTTGAAGGGTTACCAGACAAGACACGAAACGCTCACCTTCATACATATCATCATACAGCGAGCAAAGCCAGGCGTGGACTTGGGGTCGTAAATACGACACCGCGTGTATGCACGTCTTACTGCCCGAAGGGCAGGTTATGTTTACACTGTGGCATTCATTCCTTCTTCTAATCGGCACACAATGTATCCTACTCCTCACCCGCCTTCTGCATCCCATCCCGAAAGCTATCCGCGCGTAATGTCATCAGCTCCTTGCCGAATGCGGCGTCGAGGATCTCTGGGTTCGTGAAGGCGGAGTTGACGTCGTCGATATACTTGTCGTCGTACGTGAAGATTGAGGTGCCTTGGTCGCGTCTTAGTTGGGGTACGACTACCACGAGGATAGGGAGGACGTACCGTTGCGATTCGCGTTGGTGGCCATCTCGCCTGCGACAAGGCCGATTTGGGATGTTGGGGTCATCGGGATATGCGCCCAGTTTTCTGGATAGGTCTTGGCCATGTTGAGGACGAAAGGCGTCGCTGTCATGGAGCTTTAGCGCCACAAGCCGGATAGCGCACCATCTGCGAAGCACTCACCAACAAACCATGGCGCAAGCATATTTGTCCGCACGCCGATTGACGGTGTATACTGCGACAATCCGCGCATCAGGCCGACGATCCCGTGCTTGCTCGTGCAGTACTGGTATACGCCCGTGTCGGTGAAGTACGAGTAGTATGACCCACAGAGCGTGATTGAGCGGTTGTCCGTTGATGCGCCCGTGCCCTCGCCGTTTTGTTGTCGCCGGAAGTAATGGAGGGCGGCCTTGACGGTGTTGAAGGAGCCAATGACATGGGAGTTGATCACGTCGTATTTGGGAGCTTCCAAGCGACCTTCCGAGTCAAAGGTGTCGTCGAAGACATTCTTGGGCTCTACGGCACCGGCCATGATGAAGACATGATGGAGGGCACCGTACTTCTCCCAGGCGCGCTCGAAGACGGAGTACGTGGATGACCAGTCGGAAACATCTGCGGCGTACGCGATTGCTCTAGACGGACGAGGGAGAACGGAGGAATATTAGAATGATCGCTTCGGAAGAGGGATGAGGGAAGATTGCTGCGCACCCTGTTTCTTGCGCGACTTGCTCTGCCGATTCCTGATTGAGATCGGCAAGGACTACGCGCGCACCAAGGTCCGAGAAGTGCTTCACAATGCCGTGTCCGAGGCCAGACGCGCCTGCACTTCACTTCAGTGTCATCCACCTTGAGCAAACGGAAGACCTACCACCAGTGACCACGATAACCTTGCCCTCCAATGATTCCCTTTGGGCATCCACCTTGAACGCGTCCGTGATGCTACGCGGCTGAGCGACGCTGTAGTCGCGTACGCCCGTCCTTCCAGCGCGAGTCACGCGTGAAATAGAGCGCACAAAGGGAGTAGACCGACGAGCAAGGCCGAGCATGATCGTAGAGGGCAAGGGAGACGATGTAACAGAAAGCGTACGGAGCACGCCAAACGCCCGCACGCTAGCCAATTACCAACCGAGATGGGACCTGAGCCGGAGGTGCATGATGTGGATTGGTGAGGCTGAGATAAGAGAGGCGCAGGGAGGCAGACATTGGCGGCGAAGGAGACCAGAAATTCGAGGTGAAGGTCGCGTTCAAGAGGTCTGTGGCGCGTTTCCTTGGCGCTTCCGTCACATCCAGTCGCGCCACGCGCGATCGAAGAGAGGGTCCGGAATCGCGGACCGGGAGTACCTCTGGGGCCTGACGCGGACGGGCTGCCATGAGCGCATCAATGCTATACACCATCCTCGATCTATGCTACAGTATACATCGTATATGCCAATGAGAGGGACCAAGATGAAGAGTTCGGATGAGGCTGGTCCCAGTGATCCTCAACTTGAAGGGTTCAAAATTTACAGGATCAGCTTGCCCCTTGGAAGAACCTGACACCTTCGCCATCCGCGACGGCAATGGGCTGCGCGCGCCCTGACTTCGCCAATATGCTGATCGCCTTCTTGAGAAGGGGCAGGGGTATGCCGCTCAAGGACGATTCGACCGGCGGTTCCATGATCTCGTAGAAAGTCATGATGGTCCCGAGCTGGCCTGTCGACGCGACCTGGTAGGCAGTGAGCATGAGTGTTCAGCATAGAGCTGGACATTTCGGTTATTACCCATTGGTGAAGCTCTTCAGCCCACTCCTCAGGTGTTCTCCAGTAGATCAGCGCGGCACGAGTCTGCTTTGCAGGCTCGTACGCGGCCTGATTTCGGGAGACCATGCTAGCAAGGATTCTCTCCAAGTGAGATGGTGGTAGTCTTCCTGAAACGGTGTAAGGTTAAGAGATTTAGACTGAATTGACATCTGAACTTACGGTTGATGCGTTCATTCCTGAGGATCTCGTCCCAATCGCCGCCAGGCGCCTCCGCATCCTCAACGCGCAAGGTAAAGAGTCTTCTATGCCGTGCATAGGTCAAAATCAGTCTGCTCCACTGCTCTGTGACCGCCGATTCCGATGATGGGTTCGGCTGCTGCCTACGCGCTCGTCAGCAGGTGACGTGAGCCTGCAAGGAGACGGCTGACGTATAGAAAGGTGGGAACGAGTGTATCGATGGCAGCAGAAAGCCTGAAGTATGGGTTCAGATCAAAAGAGCTATAGCGGGGCGTTCGCCTGACCTGAGGGTGTCTCGTGAGTGCGAAGAGCCATGAGAGTCACGGTTGAGTTTGATGTCGGACTTTGCCGACGAGGGCCAAACGCCACAAACCGGGCTGCAAGATTCTCACACTCAAGGTTACAGTATTCTCAAAGGAGTTGGTCGCTATGCCAGTTGTCGCAGGCGTACATCTAATGAGAAGCATGTACTGGGATAGAAGATCACTCGTAAATGTTACACAAACCGCGTTTAATAGATACTCTATCTAGCTGCTCGAGTGAGTACGATGGGCAGCTGGGACTTCTGCGGCGCATCCTCGACGTACGCCGAAGAGATGTTGGACATGCGCCACCTCACGATCCTATTGCTCGGTGACAGCTCAAAAGCGTCGAGAAGCTCGACAAGGGCTACCTCTGGAATCCGTTGTCAGCACCCAATCTGGCTCAAACAATGGCGGATAACGTACTCATCTCAAGCTGTGCAAACTTGAAGCCAATGCATGCCCGTCCGCCACCCAGGAAAGTCATCAGATTGCTGTATACACCTGTTTACTTGAGTCAGCGGCTGACGAGCGCAAGACAAAGAGACAACGATGACATACCGGGCATGTGAGCATCGGCGACGGACTGAGGGAGCGGCGCGAGCCAGCGCTCAGGCTTCCACTCCAGAGCGTCCGCGCCCCACATATCCTTGCTTCGATTGGCGTTGATGATGGAGATGATGATAGGCGTGCCGGCAGGGACATATACCTCCGTTAGCTCACGGCCGTCGACGCCCATTACGGGCTTGCCGAAGGGTAGGATGGCATCCTTCACGGTCCTGATGCATGATGAGCTCGTGTCAGCAAACAAATGGATTGAAAGCGTACTTTCGCAGAAGCTGAGAAGCTGGCGGGTATCTGAAGGTACATATATCAGTGTGAGACGAGGTAACCAATAGATTCAGGACGTACAGCCGGAGCGTCTCTCGCAAGATAGCATCGAGAAGCGGCAGAGATTCTAGTTCGTCGTACGTCAGTACTCCGTACGTCTCCTTCGCCGCGCGTATCTCTTGACGAAGACGGTCTTGCACGTCGGGATGTTTCGCGAGGAGGTATAAGATTCGTGAAAGTGCAGAGGACGTTGTATCCGTCCCGCCAAATATAAGCACACTAAGAATTGCACTTGTCAGCTCTCTGCTCATGCGCGCAAGACCAAGCCACTTACGACATCTGGCCGACTAGCTCGTCCTCATCCAAGGGGTCTTCTGCCTTCATGTTGGCGCGAACTAGTAGCAGCCGGAGGTCAGCTCGGGGATACAGAAATATAGCGAGCGGTACGCACTCAGCAAGCTCATGATGTCCTTCCCCTGGCTGATTTGCTGAGAGACCGCCGCATCGCCAGCGAGCAATGCGGCCTTCTTCTGCGTGTACACCTCCTTCGAGGAGTTCCATATCAGGTTGACCTTGTCACGGATATCGTGGAGGCTGCGCCACGGGACGAAGTTGACGACGGCGCGTCGGAACCACGCCGGACCGAGCTTGTATACCTCGGGAAGGACGTACGTGCGCCAGAAGATCAGCTTGAAGACCGCTTGGCTGAGATGGCGGGAGTCAGTACGATTGTATAGCAACGAGGAAGACAACATCGTACGCGAGCTCCTTGATGCTAGAGGAGTACGGGTTCCCGGGATCGTTCACGGCCAGGGAGTCGAAAGAATAACCAAGGCCGTTGCGTCCGATGAGCTCCAGAGCCGTGCGGCTCATCCAGTGTAATACATCGACTTCGCGAGGGCCATCTTCCGTTATCTCCTCGAGCGTATTCCGGAGCTGGTATCGAACGTTGGCTCGTCTTCGTGAGACGACTTCCCGGCTTAGATGCTTACCTTGCCGATGACTTCCTGGAACATAGGAACTAAACGGGAAGTTAGCTCGGACAGTTTCGAGAGCCCAGTCAGCGGAAGCGCATACTCATGTTTCGCATATGCGCGATGGAAAAGACGGGGTTCATGAGCTTGCGTTGCTTCCTGTGCTTTTCGCCTACGTATAGGAGATGAGCATTCGAGGTGTGGCTGAGAGTAGAGGGAGATGGCTTGCCTAGGGTAGCGGTGAGGCCTTCGCCGAGCAGGACATGATTGGCCCTGTGAAGGCTGAGTGCATGGAAGGAAGGCAAAGGTGAAGAGCGTACGAGGTGAATTGGGGGTGTTCTTCATAGACATCCTGGTCCTGCTCGCGGTGATCAGCGACTTAGAGACTCGATTCCATAGTCCGAACCTTGACAATTATACTATGCAGCGCCTTCGAATCAGCGACATACAGCTGCTTCTCCTGCAAGACTCTCAATTGCAATGTTTGATGAGATGCGAATCAGACATACGCCGAGCAAGCCAGTCGTGCGGACGATAGGCCCGTCTGCATAATTTCTCAGCAATCCTTGACGGCATCAGCCCGCCAGCGGCACTCACATTCCTCGGCGAGCTTCTCGTGGAAGCCCCAGGCATTAGGATGGAATAGCTGGTAGAAATTACCTACAAGAGAGGGGTTATTCTATCACAGAGAGCGAGAGCAAAATAACAACGAACCTGTCAGCAGGGAAGGCGGTGCTGGACCCGGAATATTGTCCAATGGACTCCGCTGCACGTAGCGAGATAGAATACGCCATATAGTGCGCGCGAGAACCAGAGTGAAGGCGGCTAGGGCTACTTTGGCGAGCATCCGGTCAAGGGGGAGGGAGGGGTCAGCTTCGCTGCGCTGAAGCTACTTTTATAGCGTATCGTCGGTGCCGAGCAACGGGGCGATTAGACGCAGGAGGCCCGGTGGGGCGCGAGGACCGACGGGAAGATGCATAGGCGTAGCAGTCATAAGCGCTCGACGCCTGTGCTTCGCGTTTGAAGATCTCGGCGTCGCTGTTGACTTTTATGAGAAGGCCGACGGCGCTCAGGCTGTGGCCTTATCATTGCCAAAATAAGACCGCGCGAGGGGAGCCTGGCGTTCTTTCGATGATCCGCTTCATTGACGATGCTGTCGTTGCCCGGGTTGAGCGCCTGGCAACGATCTGGTCAAGTTTGAGCTGAAGTTTGGGAAATAGCATGACCAAATAGCATCAGGTGATCTTGATCAATCTAGACACACAACTACTGTAGAAGATCGAGCTTGCTTCTATGAAGGCATGAACCAAGAGAAAAGAAGCCTATACTTAGACGTACATTTGCGCAACCAGATATGCATGGTAATACTCACTGATCTACCAGCGAGACGACCACCTTGCCGTTCGCGGTATCCCAGCCACCCTTCAACATATCGACGAAGGCCTGCGGCGCCGACTCTATACCATCGTATATTCTCTCCTCACTCTTCAGCTTGCCCTCCGCGATCATGGGCGGCACGTCCACGAAGAACTTGGGGGCATACTCTTCCGCGAGGTAGGGCGTGAGGAACCCGTTGACAGTCAAGTTGAGCTTGTAGATCATGTCGGTATTCTGGGAAGAGTGCTTCGGTCAGAGGCAGGAAATAAATACGTCGCTAGGGCCGACCTTGATTCCAAATTTGTTCTCTGCAGCGACATTGTATTCCGCGATCTGACCGCAAATAATGACGCGACCGAAGAGGGCCATATTGTCGAGGGCCGCCGCGAATGCCTCGGCGCCGACGTTATCCTGTGAGAAGTCAGAAAAAAAACTCGAAATTTTGGCATGTAGGATGTACGAACATAGTAAATGTCGATAGGTCCATTCTTCGCCAGAACATCCTTGTACGGAGTCGTCTTGTAGTTGAATGGGACGTCGCAGCCGAGTGATCGCATGTATTCCACTTTTGCGTCGGACCTACGTTCTCTAAGCATGTCAAGCACGTGCGTTTCTGGTCGTTCTCACCCTGCGGATGCGATAACCTTCAGGCTGTGAATAGATAGTCAGCGACGAAGTAGGTATGAAAAAAATTGCCTTACCCATCGAGCTTGGCGAATTGGATGATCATGCTAAAACCGTCAATGGAGACTCCAACTGTAGAGCTCGTGTGCTCACCTGCCGACAGCAGACGCGCCAGCGGAAACAAACACGGTCTCGCCCTACTCCTACGTAAGCCAAGACGTTCCCTTGAATAGGAGAATCAGTGAGGGCTTACCTTCTTAGCATCGGCGTACTTCTTCCAACTTGCGTATGCGGTCATCCCCGGCGCACCGCCAAGGCTGCAGTACTTGTATAGAGGGAAAGCGCCCTTCGGGTCTGGGACCTAGAGAGCCCATCAGGATCTCGGCAAAATAGCCAAAAGCAAGGGAATCGACCTTGTTGTGGACGATGAACCCGTCGATGTGGATCGTCCAGGGAGGCCACGAAGGGTCTCGTTCCCGACGCGCTGATTCCGACTTCAGTGGAAACAACAAGGAAGCAGGGAGATAATCACCTTCTACGTATGGTTGCACGGTGTAAAGCTCCCATTGCGAACCTCCGTACAAAAGGTCACCAGGCTCGAAACCTTCCTTCTCCGAGCGGAGGACCTTCAGAACACACAGGCTGACGACACTGACGAAGTCCAAGCGTTAGTCATTACCTTTGACTTCGCTAGAGCGGACGCTCACGGTGCGCCAGCCTTCATCGGGCTGCTGTAGTCGATGATGTTTTCATCGCGCATCCGCACGCGCATGTAAGGCTCGGGACTGTCATGCCACGAAGTCAATACGCACGGACGAGACGGGAGTTGTAGTGCATACCTGAGGTACAGAGCTTTCGTCAGATAGCCGCCGTTCAGAGGCACATTGTCCAGATCGATAGTTCGCGAGTCATCGTAGACGAGATGCTCGCCAATGACTGGCCAAGCACCCTCCGGAATGGGCTTCGCAAACACAACGCGCGGGTTAGGGATGGGGGCCATAGTGGGTGAGAAGAAGCTGGGAGGGAAAAGGTACGCAGTTGAATTCAGTGAAGATCGCTGGAAATCGATGTCGGGTGTTTTGTTGGATCTTTCGCTCACGCGGTGCGGCAGTCGTATTGGTCCTCGCGCTCGATAAGCAGAAACACCAGGGCCCAATTGTCATGGCCACACGGTTAGAGGGTGGATATGAACGTGGAACATGTCCTTGCGCTTTGCAGCGCGAGGCGAAGGTGTGAACTTCCGAACCGTTCAGCCGATCTGTGACCCATGGTGTCACCCATCACTATGAACGTGCCGCCCATGTGTAATTTCGAATTGTTTTCCCTCTAGCTTAGTCGCTACAGACTCGGAGTCGCAGACGGCCAACTCAGTTCCTTCAACGCCAAGCCGCCCTGGCGAAATGAAGCTCCTGTCCCACGAGAACATGGAATGGAAAGGCCTCTCCGCACAACGAACCCTCATGCGATGCCTTTCCCGACACAGCCTGCACCCCGCCATCCCTCTTGCGACGGATCCTCCAGGCCCACGACACGCCCGGCCAGTGATCTCTGGCATACCAGTTGAATTCGCGAAGCTTGGGGCAGCGTTCGGCCATCTTGCGCACGCATGAGGCGAATTCGTTCTCGCGCCGGGACAGCCATAGCTCGTCGAGGTTCACGTCCTCGTCGTCAAGCGTGACTGATCGACCAAGCATGCCCGCGGCCTCTTCGAGAGCATGTTCTACGTCGTCCATGTCGTTGATGTTTTCCGCTACGCGGAACTCTAGAATACCGCGCGTGGTCATCGGGAAGTCTTCCTCCTCGTACAACGCCACGGATGGTTGCTGTCCGTCGTCGAGGACAGGGTCGTCGAAACCCAAGGCGCTCCAATACCTCTGAATGAAACTAAAGACGAAGGTGAAGGTTTCGAGATTTTTCCACTTCGCGAGTTGCTTTCCCAGGTGCTCCTTGTGCGTTCTCGCGTCAGGCCAGGCCACGTACGAGCACATCATCACGTACCATGAAGTCGCTGACGGAGTCGTCTCGAGGAAACATGCGAAAGGAGCGCGAAGGCTCGATCGAGAGTGCCAAGTGTCGTACAGTCTGCATGGACGACATTTTGGGTGGTTTGTCCAATAAAGCCAACAGTGGATCGGCAACAATATTATCTGCGTCCTCGGCCACCTTCAAGGCAAGGGATGTGAGGTTGAACGGCGTGTACGGTCGGAGGCCATTGATGGGCAAAGCCTTCTCTCGCACGAATGCGAAACCGGTCGTCATGACTCTCCTCCAGAGGTATTGGTAATCCCGCGGTGTTCTGGGATGATCTTCGTCGGCGTTCAGGGCCAGCGGCCATTCACATACACGGCCGGAAGTGACATCGAGTATGTTTCCCAGAATACAGCGACTCTTCAAGTCGATGGAGACCTCCTCGAGCGCTTCGTGCGATATGATCATGCGCAAGACGTGCTTCGAAGTGAGAGGCGCCTCGGCGAGGGCGAGAACCTGAAGGACGGGAAACAGCGTAGCAAGCTCCTCCGTAAAGTTTGCAGGGATGCCAACGTCGCCTCGCATATTCAGCGTACGAAGCGACGTACAAGGGCGCACGAGCTTGCTGCGACGTTCGAGGAAATTGACGGGCGGTCCTTGCAATCGTAGTGTCTCGAGTTGGGGAAACGGCATGAGATCCGGGAAGTCGGGGCCAAGCCAGTACATGGAAAGCGTTGTGAGGTGGCGACAGGAGCGAAGGATATGAAGAGTGGTCGTATTGCATCCAATTAGGAAGCACGTGAAGCTGTCGAGGTCCCAGGAGGGCCTGTCCGTGTCAAGGAACTCCCATGCGTGTTGGCTGGCCGCTTTGAATGTAGATTGGTCGGTAGCTGCATCGACTCCGTACGAGTATGTCGCACGTCCAACTTGAAGATGCCTGCGCATGTCTTCAATAGCGGGAGGGTACCTTTCACTGAGTACAGACCTTATGTACCGTCCGTAGTCCTGGTCATCTTGCAATAGCCTGAGGAGCTTGACCAGAGGCCGCGGCTTTAGAGCATACTTTCCGTTCAGGGTAGTGACCGGGATACGTATCCGAAAAAATAAGTACGGCAATGCGAAGTCGTGCAGGCGGCGGTTGACGCGCGACAGGACACCGTACACGCTAAGTCGCAAGGGAAGCCGTTCCCACGCGCCGGCATCGGCATATTCAGCAATTTGGATCAGCACCTCGTTGGAAAGATCGTCGAGCGAGGCATGAGTTCGGGGCATGGACACGAGCGAGAAAAGACGATGGCAGGGCGCGCGATCGGCGATCGCGACACGCGAAGGGCAGTGAATAGCGCGTGATGTCACATTTCGGCAATTACCGTCATTGGACCTACAAGATCCAGCAGCTCGTGGTTCAACTTCGTCGTTGAATGTCCCTAGCAAAAGGATGACACCAGAAGGAGGAATGTGATCGCTGTGATCATGTTCCAGATGATCTTGTGGGACTGCTCAGTTGCTATCTGTCATTAAACAGTGAACATGCGTGTATTTGAGGTCAATTTGTTGCCTACTCCGCGAGAGGTAGAATAGGAAGCCATACTAGCCACACCTCTATCAGCTAGTGGAATTCGTGGCTATGATGAGAAGCAAACATCTCGAGCTGAGCCGTAACATCGACCCGAAGGCTGTGGGACCTCAAAACTGATGATGGGAACGAGCAGCCGAGGTGGTCCCCTAGCGAAGCCCGAGAACACAGTCTCGCACGTTGATAGTAGGAGAGAGCAACGAGGGCCCCCGAGGAGTTGGCCGTGGCAGGACGCGCGAACGCCGACCGATCGGCCTGACAGGAATGGCAATCACCGAGCTGGACCTACATGTTCGAAATCGCCCTGTACTTAGGCCGATCGGCTTACTCAGTATGTAGGACTTGACTCACGGTGATTGAGCAGTCTGCTTACCTGCTTACGGCGAGTGGGAAATCCGAGGACTCTCCAGAAAAGGCCTCATACTACCCAGCGATCTGTCGGGATCTGCATTCCGTTTGAGCGCCAGATGAGCGTCAAAGAGCATGGAATCGGGACGGAAGCTTGCTAATGGTGTACCGTTGGCTTCGCGATTCGATGTGGCACGAGGTATTCTGTAGTGCGCGACCTTTTGATTCCCAAGCAATAATAGACAAAGAGCGTAGGCAATCAAGCGGTGTGGTCACCAGGTTGGCGTAAGGAGCCCAACGTTGGCAGGAGTCCGCTTTACCTGCTCTTGACCAGGGGTTTAGGCGAGCTTCACATGCTGAAAGAAGTGTTCGGGCGGAGCTTGCACAGCGTAGGGGAGTGGGAAAGACTTGGAGGTAGTAACTAGTGTCGTGGCCTCAATGGTAATAGCGCCTGGTCGCGGGTAGCAAGCGTGCGTGTAATTGAGTCAAGTGTCACGCGCGGGGCACCTGAGCGGATGTCACTCCTTCCCGAAAAGGCAAGTTCATCATGGTCATCTCTTTCTTGACCTCCACGAACGATCGTACCGAGACCCGCGGCAGTCGGGGATGATGGGACATGCCGTGAGTCGCTGGCAAGGGCGAATGGAGTGGAAGGCGCAGCGCCTGCGCCTGGGGAGCGCATGACCGCCCAGGCGCCGGGGATGGACGTCCTGGCGCGCTCGTTTGTCCCCTCTTTCCAATGGTTCCGCGTCTGCATCGAGACCATGACATCAGCCCGAGGGGGAAGGACACATTACGGCCGGATGACGGCTCCGTGGCCCCGGCTGACAGTATCCAGAGCGAATATAAAGGCCATCCTAGTATCCTACGCTCAGTCCCCTTCCATTCAAGCAAACGCACGCAATGCCTGCCGAGATCCTCGACGTTCACCCCCACGACGAGGGCGTCGTCGTTGACGACATCCACCAGCAGATCCGCGATGGCCTCACCAAGCCTGCTGGCGAGAAGCACCTTCCGACAATGCTGCTGTACGACGAGCGCGGTCTGCGCCTATACGACACGATCACCACCGACGCGAAGGAGTACTACCTTTTTGGCGCGGAGGAGGAGATCCTGAAGCAGCACTCTGACGCGATCGTCCGCGCTATGCACGGTGGACGCGACGTAGTGGGCGGAGACGAGGTCGTTCTTGAGTTAGGCGCCGGGTACGTACACGGCACCCTCGGCACGATCACTGGACTGATCCCGTATCTCAATATAAGGGCCCTACGCAAGACTTCCCACATCTTATCTGCCCTCGCCCGCCTCGTCCCCCAGCCCCAAGCCATGCCCCCTATCACCTACTACGCTCTCGACCTCGAGCAGAACGAGCTGCAGCGCACGCTCGACGGCATCGCGCACGATGAGGTTGGTACCGCGCTTGAGGGGCGCGTCGCCACCAAGGGCATGTGCGGCACCTATGACGGAGGCATCAAGTTCGTCAAAACGGGCGGCCTCCTTATGCGCGGCGTCGCCGATCGCCTGTCTTCCGGGAGTCCCTCGTCGAGTCGCAGCCCAGAGAGCTCGCGTAGCCCACCTCGTGACCGCGAACGATCTCTCTCAGATTCGTCATCTGCGTCCACTGAAGAGTCATCCCTGCCAGCCACGCCCCGGAGCGACATCGTCGAGGCAGTCGACATACCTGCCGATAGCCCACCTCTACACATCTTGTTTTTGGGCTCTTCGCTGGGGAACTTCGACCGCGATGCAGGCTCGGCATTCCTCAAGGCCCTTCCCCTCCGCCCGGGGTCTGGTGATACCCTCCTCCTCGGAATGGATCACGACAACGACAAGTCGCGCATTGAAGTCGCGTACAACGACCCCGAGGGCCACACCAAGCGCTTCATTATGAACGGTCTTCACCACGCTGGCCGTCTGCTTGGCGACGAGACCATGTTCGACGATAGCAAGTGGGACTACGTCAACGTAAGTGGAGCCTTCCGGTATCCCATGACAAGACGCTAACGGCATTCTAGCGTTACAATGTGGAAGAGCGTCGGCACGAGGCGTTCCTTGTCTCCAAGATTGAGCAGACGGTTGTCGAGCCCTCGACAGGGAAGGCTTACTCGTTCCTTCCGAACGAGAAGCTGAAGATCGAGGAGTCGCTCAAGGTTAGCCCTTTTCCCTCACCACCACGACTTTGGCTGATGTCCGCGTAGTTTTCCGAGCTGGATGCTTACACCCTCTTCACCGAGGCTGGGCTGCGTCCGGTCCACCGCTGGACCGACAGCGCTCGGCAATACTCTCTTTGGTTGCTCGAGCGCCCGGCTTTCGTCTTCCCTCTGGTGAGTAATACCGACACTCTGTAACGCAGTCGACTGATTCATTCCCAGGTCAAGACGCCCGTCGCACGCATGCCAGACGATATCGTCCTGTCGTCGAGCCCATTTGGAATTCCCTCGGTCTCCGACTGGAATACGATGTGGGCATGCTGGGATACGATAACACTCAGCATGATCCCCGAGGAGATGCTTCACACCAAGCCTATCGACCTCAGGTGAGTTAGATATCGTCGGTACTCCCTAATCCGGCTTGAGCTGAACCAGCACTTCCGCAGGCACATATGCCTCTTCTATCTTGGGCATATTCCGGCGTTCCTGGATATCTTCCTCTCGCGGTACTTCAAGGAGCCAAACACGGAGCCGGAGTATTTCAAGGATATTTTCGAGGTATCTATCTATCTCACTGAGGTTCACGCTTGTATATTGATACATCCTCTCAGCGTGGCATCGACCCCGACGTTGACGACCCTACGCAATGCCACTCGCACTCCCAGGTGCCCGAGCGCCCCGAAGACTGGCCCGCTCTCCAGCAGGTCCTTGACTTCGAGAAGCGCGTCCGGCGGCGCCTTACCAGCATCTACGAGGGCGTTGTCGCTCGCCGCATCCCGCTCACGGCGCGCCTCGCTCGGGTGCTGATGATCACGTACGAGCACGAAGCGATGCACGCGGAGACGCTGCTGTATATGCTGCTGATGAAGGCGGGTGAGGGCTTGAGGGCGCCGAAGGGCTTTGCGCCGCCGCCATGGGATGCGCTGGTGGAGGCCTGGGATGCGGAGCCCGAGCTTGAAGGGGAGACGTTGACGATTGGGCCCGCGGAGGTGACACTGGGGCATGAGGACGATGAGACACTCGACGAGCAAGTCAGCGAGGAGGATGCGCGCAAGCGCGAGTTTGGTAGGTGGCTCCTCATTGGATCGGCACGTGCTAACTTTTACGCAGGTTGGGATAACGAGCACCCTGTGCGCATGGAGAAAGTGGGCGAGGTCCGCATGAGTTGGCGCCCCATCTCCAATGGCGAGTTCTACACATACTGGTCCGCCAACCGCGCCACTGTCCCTCTCCCGCCCAGCTGGGTCGAACCCGCGAAGGACGACAACTCCACCACCAACACCGCTGACCCCTACGGCGGCATGCGTGTGCGCACCCTCTATGGCTCCGTGCCCATGAAGTACGCGCACCGCTGGCCCGTCATGGCCTCCTACGACATGCTCTCCACGTACGCCGTCGTCCGCGGCGGACGGCTGCCCACCGAGGCCGAGCTCCGCCTCTTCCTCGACAAGTTCGAGTCCGGCTACGAGGGTGGCGCGAACGTGGGCTTCCGCAACTGGCACCCGACGCCGCCGCGCGTGGTGAAGGGAAAGGCGGAGGGCGGGGAGGTGAAGCTAACGAATGGGGGCGTGTGGGAGTGGACGTCGACGGTATTCGACAAAGTGGAGGGCTTCAAGGCGTCGGTGCTGTACCCAGGGTACTCACAGGACTTCTTCGATGGGAGGCACAATGTCGTGGTGAGTGTAGTTCTGTTGCATTGTGCGAGGAATCTTGCTGACAGATTGCTCAGCTCGGAGGCTCGTACGCGACCATTCCGCGTCTTGCGGGCCGTCGCTCGCTGCGCAACTGGTACCAGCGCAACTACCCATACCCCTGGGTTGGCGCTCGCATTGTATATGACGCCTGAGCGAACGAGGCGGATCGAAAAATGTACTTCAACCTGTACAACACAATTACGGAACCACGGACTCGGAAGATACGATCTCTGCTCACAAAACGACGTGTACCAACCTCCGTATTCACTCCTTCCTATGCTCGGAATGTTCTGACTTGTATAAACACTGTACTACGGAATCTGTACCCACAAAAATGTTTGTTTGAATATATGGCAAAGCAATGGACTGGATTCAATTGCGTGAATGCTACAGATGCGTGGTGGATAGATATGCTAGAGATTAGAGAAAGAACGAGTCCAGGCGATGCTGATAGTCTGTACGTACGATAAAGGGGAGTTTGCCGGGTAAAAGACAGGTAGGGTGATGCACGACAGGTGCAGCGAGTGACGACGGCGAGATAAACAAGCTCTGAAAAAAGGCTAGGCCTAACATGGACAAGTCGCGCATAAACCATAGACAGGGCGAGTGGAACATGAACAAGTGGTAGAACCCGCGAAGGGGGTGTATGGACCATAGACAGGGCGGGTAGAACAGGGATGTGCATATCGGACGTGCGGCGAGAGCATAACTCAAGCGGGAGCGATAGCGGCAAGAAAGCTGAAGGAAAGTGTCTCTCGTACGGACTACGTCGCCGGGGGACCATAAAGATGAAGCAAAGAAAGCAATTGGCAGCAGGTATAAAGAAGCCAGGATATATGGAGGTGCACAGAACACGTCTATAAGGTAGTAGGGGAGAAAGCACGGTCGAACGAGGATCATGATGGTGTCGCTTCTGATTCTGCTCGACCAGCGGTCCGCATGAGACGACGCAAACGTGCAAGTTCGGCGGCCAGCTCTCTGGAAATCACAGCAACGTCAGTGCGGCCCGAAGCAGGAAGATGGATACCACGCACTTCGCTGTTGCATTCGCCTCTTCGCTGTCTTTGTTGCTCTTCTCCATGGCAGTACGCATTGCACTGATTTCCTCCGCCCATGCTTCCTCGAGCTCCTTGCCGATGCGCGTGTTCTCTTCGCGAAGGTCGACCGACTGCAACCGCGCGGTCTCCGCGGCCTGAACCTCTTCAACCAAGAGGCGGTACTTCTTGCCCATACTCTGCTCCTCGACCTTCCACTTCTCCTCGCGACGCTTGATCTCTTCGCGTAGGCGGTCCGTGTCCGTTTTCCACGACTCGGTCATGCTCTTGATGCTGTCCCGTAGTGTGATGTACTCGCGTTCGGATTTTGAGGACAAGGCGGTCGACTCGGCGAGGGCTGTTTCCATCTCGCGCACGGCCTTCTTGTTGGTCGTCGTCTCCGTCTTGAGCTGTGCTTTGAGCGTGGTGACCTCGGCTTCTGCCTTCCGAGCGCGCTCCAGGACCTTAGTGAGTCAGTAGCAGCCGTGAACAAGAGGAAGGGAAGTACCTCTTGTAGCAAGCGCTCCTTCCGAGCGACTACGTTGTTGAGGCCCTCATTTTCTAGTCGTAGCCGTTCCCGACCCTCCCTGAGGTCTTCGACTTGGCGTGTCAGTTGAGCCACACTCCGCTGTGACAATCGTAGCTGGGCCTTCGTGTTCTCCAGTGCATTCCGGGCGTTGATAACACCGGTCTGCAAATCAGCGAGCACCTTTGTCGTCCCACCGGGAGTCATGGATATCCTCCGGCTCGGACTCGGAGGTGGGAGGTGTGAAGTGGATGATGACTGCGCATCCCCGTCAGGGAGTGGCTTGGAGGAGGACGCCGTGTTCGGCGACCTCGGAGGCACTGCGATGCCGTCATCCGTTAGAGCACGGGCATTGCCTGAATCAGAGGGGGTCTGATCAATGAGCGCTCGACGGGAAAATGCGCCTCAAGTATACAGACCCACAGATGAAACGGGTATGCGACTGAGGGTGCGCGTCGGGCTGGACGTCCGTCGGTTATTCGACGAAGTGGTGGGGATACCCTCTTGTATGCTGTTATCGTCGAGACGCCGCGGCAGCGGCAAGCTGGAGTCCGGGCCCGCGATGCCTTGCAGGACGTCGTAACTTGACCGCTTATTGAGCTTGGGCGTCACTGGCGACGTGGGGGAGTGATCGTCGCCGAGGGATAAGGATGGTATGCGGGGCTGCGACTGTAGCATGTTCTCTAGGTTGTGGAGCTGCGCCGTTTGGTGTCGTATGGAGTGCTTGAGTGTCGAGACCTGATTCCGGATGGAAACTGCGTGGACTAATTAAGAGGCGCCCCAGGCTCTCAATTGAATACGCACTTGGATCATCAAAAGACAAGGCTGTCGAGGGACTTCCGCGTCCTGAGCGTATGGACGTGCGCGACGACGGCCGTGTCGGCGAGTCCCTGCTCTTCACAGGAGAACGCGTGCGCTCCGGGATGGAAGATATAGACATGATAATAAGATAAAAGCCGGAGTGCCGTCGGTGTTAAGGAAAGAAGCAGAGACGCGTCCGTCGTCGCCGCGAGACGGGCGCAGAATGAGAACAATGCAACCGTGTAAGGTCACGGTAAGAAGGGTCGCAGAGGCACGGCATCGGGAGCAATGGCGCGCCCACGTGCGAGTCGAACATGCACGTGAGTAGTCGTTGACCTGCGCCCCGAGAAATTCATGGTGGAGTCAATGCGAGCTTCTACGGCTTCCTTTCTATGCAGATAGATAAGATAGACCATCAGGTATATACAGTATTGAGAAGCAATCGCCAGCTAGCCCCAGCAATCCAGACGCGCATGCCACGCTTCCCTGGCCGCCTGCAGCTCTTGACCCACCGCTACCGTGAACGGCAGCACTTCTCCCTTGAGGCAGTCCAAGCTCGACGTCTGCCCAGTAGTTACTCTCCCCCGCCCGTCCGTGTAGCGATCAATCTTGTATGTGTATGACAGGTTCGGCACATCGTCATCCACGAACCACTGGAAGAACCGTAGCCGCTGGCACATATCCGCTATCTTGCGCACGCCGCGAGCAATGGTGGACTCATGTCGATCGAGCCATATCTGGTCGATACCTGCACTGTCGTCGTCTATGTCGATCTCGCGCCCGAGTGTGCGGCGCAGCTCTTCTACAACCTCGTCCTCGTCATCGGACCATGCATCGTGATGATAACGGAGGCAGTTCCGGAGCGACGGGTGGTTGGTGTTCGCCCAAGAGCCACGGGTCGGAAAGTCTGTGTCGTCCAACAAAGGCACCTTCGGAGGACCGTGCCACTGCCGATCCATCAAGTCGTGGTGGAGCACGAAAGACTCGAGGGACGTCCAGTGCGAAAGCTGCGTGCCCAAACGCGCCTAGAGGAATGACATGCACAGTCAGACGCGCTCGACAAGTTTGGAGGTTGTACGCACCATGAAGTCCTCGACGAACACAACACCCTCATAGTTGAACTCTCGAGTCCCCATATAGCCAAATGTAAGCGCAAAATGTCGCAGGTCGCGATAAGGAAATCCGGCCGGCTGATCCAGTAGAGCCGTCAGCTCGTCGAAGGAGGTGTCGTCGACTGTCTGGTAGGCAGATCGGATGGCGAGGGAGGTGATCTTGTATCGTCCATCCTTGCACGCAGTAGCCTGTGGGTTCCTCTGACGCACGAAGCCGAATTCGCCTACGAGAATTTTGGTCCACAGGCAATGAGGTTTCGTCGACCCAGACAGCAGGACCTCCAGATCAGTCGCTAGCTGCGACGGCTCTCCTGAGTAGCCACGCGCAACGTGGAGAAGGTGGTAAAGAGGAAGGGTCTCGGCTCCGAAGTTGACTGTAAGCTCCTTCAAGCCCGGGTGCTCGGCTATCATCTGTAGCACGTCGTCTGGCGAGAGGGTTGTTCGGTACGCAACGAGGGCGCGTAAGTTGGGGTACAACATTTGAAGCTGCTCTGCGATGGCCTGCGGTAGTCGGACACCCTCATGGATCGCGAGCGTCTTCAAGGACTTGCATGGGTAGACCACTTGCGAGGACAGGCGTCGCCGCTTCCCGACCTTCTTCGCTCCCAACACCTTGGCGACAAGACGCAGCGACTCCAGCCGAGGGAATAGCGACAGGTCGGGGAACTCGCGGTGCGTCCAGCGCATGGACAGGCTCGTCAGGTTATGGCACGACTTGAGTATGTGCAAGGTCGCCGGCGTGCAGGTGATCGTGAGGGACGTGAAGCTCCGCAAATTGACCCAATGAGCCGACTGGACGTGGGAGAGGAAACGCCATGACCAGTCGGTCATATCAACGACAGGGGGGCCTTCGTCGTGCCAATGGAAGCTGGGGTACGACCTTGGGCCTATAAGGAGATGCCTAACGAGGACGTCAACATCGAGCGCGCTCGGGGAAGGATGATCGACGCACTTTACATACTGCACATACCGGGGATCGCTCTGCAGCAAGGCCGATAACGCGGCCAGCGGACGCGGCTTCAGCACGAAGTGCAGGTCCTCCGTCTTCCGTACGGGCAGACATAGTGTGGTGAACAGGTATCGCAGCGCGAACGCGCGCAGGCGACGATTGACGCGCGCGAGGACGCCGTATACGCTGAGGCGCTGGGGGAGCTTCTCCCAGTTGTGCGCGTAACGCGTTATGTGCTCGAGAAGCTCGTTGGGGAGGCCATCGAGGGTCTTCGACATGGCGACGAACTGAGGACGCGATGTCAGAGTGACGGTCGAGTGCAAGATGCGCAGCCGGGCCGTTGCTTCCCGCGTGCCGCCACCGCGTCGGGCGAATCTCTGGCGCCTTACGAGGCTGATTACAATACATTTGGTTCTCAATCTATATCGGTTGTGGATGCTCGCGCATGGACAGGGAGGAAGTGGTCATGATTGAGACAGCATGTTCAATTAGAGCTTCTACATCTGCTACCAGTTGTGGATCGAGAAGCTCACAGGGTACTATGTACCTTCACGCACCACTCTCTCCCCAAGACCCTCTCGCCACACGTAGCTCCTGTCCAGCCAGCATCTCAAAGGGAAAGAACTTCCCTCGTAGTGCCAGCTTCTCCGTCATGGCCGACAGCTCCCCGCCCTCCTCGCGATGCATCTTGTATGCGAGAGACGCTATCGGCTTGCAAGCTCCCAAATACCATCGAAACACCCTGAGCCGTGGACACGCTTCCGCCAAACGCCCAGCGCAACGAGCGAACCCAGACCGATGGCGCTGCAGCCATATCTCGTCGAGGTCAATATCGTCCTGCCTCTCGACTTTTCTGCCCAGTATGCGGCTTAGCTCCCAGAGCAAGGCCGTCGCGCGGACGGAGTCAATTAAAAAGTCGAGGTGGTTGTCGAGGTTATGCGCGAATTCCATCACGTAGGCGAGCTCCGACGGCAGGGAGGGCTCGTCGAGTAAGGGCACGGCTTCGTCGAAGTAGAAGGGTGTCTCCAACTCGTCCATACGACGTCCTTCGAGGTCGTGGTGGAAGGTAAAGGTCTCGAGGCACGACCATTGCGAGAGGACATCACATAGGCGCATCTTTCGCGATAGACTCAGCACTCGGGGCTGTAGCTTGTGTAGATAGGGAACGTACCGTAAAGTCATGGAACGTCCTCTCGTTCTTGAACGTAGTGAACGTCACACTGGTGCCGTATTGACTGAAGGAAATAGCGAAATGACGGAGATCTTGGAACGTAAAGTCGGCAGGTTGATCTAGAAGCGCGGCCAGGTGGTCCGTTGTGAGGTCGACGATTGTATCGGAGATACGTAGGCGAATGGCCAGCGAGTCCAGATGATACTGTGCATTGTCGTGTGCGCTAATAGTGCACTGCTTCGTGCGCACACAGGCAAACCCGTCAACTAGCAGCTCACGCCATGCGTGATGCTCGCTCGCCGTCGATGCTCCAAAGTCCAGTGCTGCACGAGATCGCTTTCCAACTCGCCCGCGAATCGAGTCCATCACCGCCCCAAGTTGGCAGTCGTCATATTGGCCCTTAAAGTCCGCGTTGACTTCTTCCAAGCCCGGGTGTTTTCTGACGATATCCAAAATATCCCGCGGCGTCAGGGAAGTCTTTCGCGTAGAGAATACGCGCAGGTGGGGATGGAGCTCGTGAAGCTGGTTCACGATCGCAGCTGGCATCATGACGTCCCCTTGCAGGTGAAGCGTACGGAGTGATGGACAAGCGCGAGCTCGATGCGCCTGATCATATATTCCGTCGCCGACGTTATGCGAAGCCAAGGCTCTCCCCACCAGGCGGAAGGAAACGAGGTTTGAGAAGATTGACAAGTCCGGGTATCCATCGGAGTCAACCCATCGCATAGACAGGTGCTGAAGGTTGTTGCAGGTCTCGAGTAACGGCTTGGTAGCAAGGCTACACCCGATGGTAAGGGAGGTAAAGCTGTGGAGGTCCCAGGGAGTACTTCGGTCTGCGCTGAGCAGCTCCCAGCAGTAGTCGCCGATGGTTGAGGAGGGATACGACTCTGGTACTTTCCAATCCGCAATGTAGAGGTCCGCCGGGCTGATAAATAGGTGCCTGTAAGTAAGATCATGAGCCCACGAGAACGCTGGAGACGTGGTGGCAGACGCACCTGACATGTTGCTTGTACATAGGATTGCTTGCCAACAGAGCTATGAAGCGTACGAGTGGAGCGGGGGAAAGAACGTATTCATTTCGAATTGCTTTCCTCACCGGAAGTATAGTTGTAAAGAAGAGATGTGGGAGAGCAAGGGTGTGTAGGCGGCGGTTAACGCGCGAGAGGGCGCCGTAAGCCGATGGTCGACGATCAAGCCGCTCAAGTTGACCAACGTAGCACAAGATCTGATCTATCAGTTCGTTTGGAAGAGCCTCAAGTAGTTTAGAGACTGTCATGGGCAGAGTACATCGAGGAGGGAACCAAGCCACGGCGGGCACGCAAGGCGTGACGCGGCTCAGGCGGGCCGGATTTGCCATACCGTTACGCGAAAGAGAAAGGACCGCCTTTCACTCCTACCACCACCACCATCACCACCACATATACCATCCTCTTTCTTCTCGCACCACCACATAGCGGCCCTCTCGACCTACGATGTCGTCGACACAGCAAGTAGCAAGACAGGTCCATACTATCCTCGCCTCCGTCAGGACAGCGGATGCTCGGATACCAGGCGACCGTACCGATCTCACTGCCACCGGGACTCTCCTGCGCGCGCGACGGAAGCTGTGCGACTTTCTAGTTGAGCCCTCCACTGTGGACCCGACTCTTTGGACCCTTGATCATGAGCCTATTCGCCGAATCTACGAAGCCTTTCTTGCCCTCAGGGATGCGTTCGAGGTCTTTGACTCTTTTGACTCTGTCAAGCGCATGGATATCCCAACGGGTCCCACTGTGAAATGCGTACGCATAATGTGGCCATGGATCGCGAAATGGCTTGACGTCTTCCTTCCAACAAACAGTGGGATCGACACGAAAGGCTCGCACGGTGCCGTCCTCCATCTGCTGTGCGCGATCCTCGAGGCCATTTTCATGCGAAAACCTTTCTTCGAAGATGTCATTGCAGAGACGCCATGGATCTATGCCTCTTTATTCCGCCTCTGGCTCCGTCTCGACCACTATATAACCCCTGCGCTGATCAGGAGCATGCCCGAGATCGTAAACGTAGATGCGATGCTTTCCTTCGCTATTGCCGGTGGAACTCGACTGGGCGTCGACGGTGTGATGCAACCGGGCTCGAAGGGGTACCGCGCGGACCCCTTAGCCATCGGCGGGGCTCTCGCTGTCGTACAAGATGCTAATCGCTTCTACCGCCTCGCTATCCGAGCAGCCTTTCGTCTCCTCAGACGCCCCGCACTCACGCCTCCGAACTCGTTGGAAATCGCCCTGCAGACCCTCACAAGTCTCCCGCGCAGCGACAACATGCCAATGGCCACGCCCTCGCGCAAGGTCGCTCGCGCAGCTGTCCGCCTCCTTCGTGAAGTCCTGCTGAGGCACCGGATGTACGGCGATGCGGTGCTCTTCGCCGCCCAGTTTCTCCATCAATTTTTCTGGACGACGAATGATAACAAGATGATGATCTGGTCCATTCGTGCTGGGGCACTGCCCATGTTTCTTCTCGTTAACAAAGTACGACCGGACTTCCCTGCCGCGGCTTACCTCAAGTCGATCGCCTGTCAGACGATCTGCCCTGACGTATTACGCGCGGTCGTCAGATACAAGGGTGATTCGCTCGGGATATTCAGAGATGCTGGCTTTGCGGATGAGGACGTCTTGTCTCGGGTGGACGTGGTCGTTGACACGCGCTGGAAGTTTCTACAGGGTCGCAAAGATGACCTGAGGAAGTGCGGGCACGACCAGGTATGCTCAGCAGACATCAACTGTCAGAAAATATACGATGATGAATCCCTCTCCAGTGCAATGGGCCTGTTGGCCTGACCCGTCGCTGCCCATGCCATCAGATCGCGTACTGCTCGAAGGAATGTCAGCGTGCGGATTGGCCGCTGCACAAGGAAGTCTGTTCACCCACTATCATTGACGGTATGTGATGTCTGCCCATACCGCGCCGTACTCCTAACTCATCACAATGTAGGAATGCGAGACGTGCCAGGCCGAGAGATCGACTTCGCGGTCTCGTGCTCGGCTTTCCAAATATACGTACTGGGCAAAGAAATCGCTGAGTACGTAGCAGGGCTGCGACATCAACATCGGCGTCTACGCCGCGCCAAGGTCATCGTCGACAACTCGCAGATACCCGTGAAGTTCGAGGTAGGCGTGGACATAGAAGGGGAAGGGACGGGGGATATTACGGTGCTGGGATTGGCCTACGTCAAGAGAGGGAATGGCTTTTTCCTTGTGCGTCTGTTCGAGATGACGGTACAGGAGCTTGCAGAGAAGCACGAACTTGAAGACGTCCCGTATATTCCTTGGCTTGAGTAGTACAGTACGAAGATGCATGCCAGGCTGTAATATGCTCATAACTTCTCGCTTTCGAACAAGGTCGTCTCAACTAGTACTAGTACTAGTTGAGGTAAGGGTTTCTCAATTTCTGCTCTGATCTTCGGGGCCGAGATCACGAGTCGAACCGTTCATCACGTGGTGCTGTTGACGTAAGCCAAAATTGCCACGCGCTTGCCTTGCTTCAACCCTGCCCTTCTTTTCAGCAGCTGACCTGACCTGCCTGACTTTCTCACAACGCGCTATACGCAAGTATCTTTCCGACTACTATGAGCTCAACCCGGCAAGCATCCAGAGAGGTCATCAAAATCCTTGCCAAAGTCAAGGCAACAGACGCACGGAGAGCGTATCATCGCTCGGGGCCAGAGTTTACTCCTATCAAAGCGCTCCACTCCGCTCGAGAAAAACTCGGTGACCTCCTCGTAGACCCTCTCTCCCTAGATCCAGCAGCGTGGACTCTGAGCCACCACACCGTCCGACGAGCATACGAAGCATTCGTAGCCCTCATTGATGCATTCGACGCATTTGAAGGTCCTCTCGTAGTCGACGAGACTCCTATTTTTGGTCCTATAACCAGATGCGCACGCATACTCTGGCCGTGCATAGCTAAATGGCTTGATGCCCTCCTGCCAGTCCGAGGCGTCATCAACCTGGAGGATTCGCATGATGTCGTCCTCTCGAAGCTCTGCGCAACGCTGGAGATTCTGTTCAGGCGTATTGATCATCTTCGGGATGTCTTTGCGACCACACCTTGGATCTATGCCACGGTATGCGAGCTGAGTCTCTATCTGCCGCGTTACACGCAAACGGACCCGGCCGCAAAGCGCGGAACGTTATACGTGATGGATACCGATTCCAAGCTCAGCTTCGTGCTCTTTTTCGCGGCCGAGCTCAAGGGCCCCTCGAGCAAGGATAGGGGACCCACCCTGGACCCCCTTGTGCATCAGGGCATCTTGGAAGCGGTTGGCCGCGATCTTGAGCTTCTCTATCACCTCGCCCTTCGACAGATATTCCGCATTCTCGCCTACTCTCTTTCACCTGTCCGTTCATTGACAGCCAGTATCAAGGCCCTCACTCGGATCGCCTCCCGAGGGCTAACTCTGCCTCAGCCAAGCCGCCGAGTCTCTCGCGCAGCTGTCCACCTTCTTCGGGAGTTGCTGGGCCGGTTGCCAGATATCGCCACATATGCGTCCGAACTGCTTTGCACCATCCTCTCCACCGTGACCGATGATCGCATGCTGGCTTGGGCATTGCGCGACGGCGCGCTTCCTCTCCTTGCACACATGAGTCGAGTGCAGCAGGCAGGCGCAGCGGCGGCATATCTGAAGATGATTGCCAGTCAGACCATCTCTCCTCGTGTGCTGCGCGCGCTCGCCCACGGTAATGGCGGCAAACCGCGTTCATTACGCGGGGCTGGGTTTGCAGATGAGCAGACGCTGGAAGAAGTGGATGCTGTCATTGCGGAGAGGTGGCTCAGCTTGCAAGCCAGGAACAAGCGCCTGAAGAGATGTGCATTCGAAAAGGTATGTCCACATTGATTTATCTGTGCCTCCATTCGATAACGATTGACATACAACTTGTAGTGTTCCTCACCGGCTGGGGCACTTCATCGGTGCTCATGCTTCCTGGTTGCGTACTGCTCCCCGGACTGTCAGCGCCGTCATTGGCGTAGCCATAAAATCATCTGCATGCCGCGGCACCTCAGACCTAAGGCCGGCAGACAGCCAGCTATAATTGACGGTATGACACAGACGGCCCATCTGAGCCCTTGTGTTTGCTCATTCTCCCCTTCGTATAGGCATCAAAGACGTGCCACAGTCGGAGATCAACATAGTCACCATGTGTGCGGTCTCATGCCTGTATATGGCTGCCCCGACGATTCTCGCAAAACTCGAGCAGGCACGAGAACAGCCTCTCACTAAACGCATTAAACTCGTCGTCGACTTCTCCTACATCCCGGAGGTCCCTCGCATCTCTGTGGAGGCTGAGGACAGCGCTAGCGAGATCTGGGTGCTAGCATCTGCTCATGTTCGCCGCGGGAAAGGTTTCTACAATGTCCTCCTCTATGAGAAGACACTCAAGGATGTATTGATGGAGTACGGTCAGCTGCAGTGACTACGGCTCAGTAGCGAGATACGCACGGCGACCTGCAATGTCACTTTTGAACGTGTGCTACCACCTACAAAGTACTCTCATTCGTCGGGACGCTGAGGGGAGCGTGCCCAGGCCTGTCCAACTGCAAGAAGCGCAACAATCGCCAGTGACCCCTGCCGATGCATGCACCATATACCTTGCACAGCAAACTACGTTCGGATAAATAATACAAAGATGAATAGAACAATTAGTACGGAAAGTATTCGTTCGTTCGTAACGTTGCGATACGGATGCGAGAGGGACCTCTCCGAGCACCGCCTCTGCCCGACACTAGTCGCGACCTCTACAGCGACCAGACCATCTTACACAATGGCATAATGACCCTTGACGGTATCTCTGCCGTCCTTCAAAGGCCGAAGGGCCCTATACAACGTCACCAGCATCCTCGACAGCCGTGGCCCGATGGCGGGGAGCCGTGCGAGATTCGCGTCGACCGTCACCTCCATTGCGCTCCAAGTAAGCTGCAGGGTCCTTCGCCGCATCCGCGAGCTTGACTAAGTTCGACGTTTCCTTCATCTGCACGTTGGTTGAGTATGCGTTCTCAAAGGTCGACAGACAATCATCAACACGTACTCGGAAAGCGTAGTTATCGATGCCCGTGCCAGTCGCAACAGAGAGCGACAGATACCGCGTGTCATTCTTGTTGACCTCGCACTTCGCGATGGACGTGACAGAGACGTTCAGCAGGAGATTGTGAACGGTGTCCTTGCGCATTACTGACGATGGTTAGCACGCGTAACACATAATACTTGGGAAGAGCTTACTAATGCGAGCATTCTTCCTATCCTCGCGCTTGACATTAACCTTCATGATGCCGGTACCGCGTTCCTTGTACGCATCGCCGTCCATGAAGAATAGCTTGCCGCGACCGGCAAACACGACGTCCTCGTCCTCTTCGCCGGTCATGACTACATCATTGTCAGTGCGCGTTTATCAGATGACGATGGATGTATCTCACTTTCTTGCTCCTTCAGCTGCAACTTCGCCTTCTTTTCATCTTCATCGGACCCTTCTGTATCTTTCCCTGCGCGAAGCTTGTCCTGGAAGGCCTTGGCTTTGTCTGCCTCATCTGCGTTCTCCACTTCGTCCGTAGAAGGCGTGGTCGAGCCCGAATCGGACTTGCCAGCTTTCCCACCAGCACCGTTGGACTTAGCGGCGATGGCAAACGGACTCGCAGAAGCATAGGCGGAGAATGCAGTCGACTTGATACTGGAGATGGGCGCAGCCCGTTCGGGGGTGTTCGGCCGCTCGATGACGGACGCAGTGCCGAAGACATGCGGCTTGTTGCGCGCAACGGTGGCGAAAGGAGACGCGTCTCCCACAAGGCGCGCGAAGCCGGACTTGGCGAAGGGATCCTTGGAAGTAGACGGCGTGGACGCATTGGACGGAGTAGAGGGAATGCTGGGAGTGGCAGGAGGTGGGGAGGCCGTTGTTCCGAATTTGGGTGGAGCCTTGACGGAGGCAAACGGCGAAGTGGCCGAAGCGTACTGCATGAAGCCCTGCGCCCTTTAAGCAAAGAGAAAGAGATTGTACACGTAGGACGCACCTTGCTGACGGGCTTGACGTCTTTCTTCTCGATCTTCTTAGCTTTCTCTTCAGGTGGTGGCGTGATGCGCTTGGGTTCGCGAGGGTTCTGATCAACTTCATCATCCTCGCGGGAGCGCTTGAGTGAGTCGACAGAACGCCGTGGGGTAGCATCGACAGTGAAGGCTTGCTCGGGCGGGGGTGTCGGCCTCTTCTTTTCCCGAGGATTCTGGTCATCATCCGGATCGTCACGAGAACGCTTGAGTGTCTCGATTGGCGTCGAGGGCCCCTCGCTGGCACCACGATCGACTAGCTTGCGCTTGCGCGGCTGCTGCGCCTTGTCCTCCTCCATTGATGCATCCGACACGCGACGCGACGGCGGCTGAGAGCCACTTGCGGAGCCCATCACCACGCTCGCTGGCTTCTGGGACACGGGCGAATTAGAGCGGCCCGACACGCTGAGCATGTCGGCATCGTCGTGCTTGGGCACGGGGTTGGCGTTATCGGATGGGGTGTCGGTGGCCTGCTGGTCCACTGCCGGGTTGGGCGGAGACTGGCGCTCGTTATTCTGCCAGGTGAGATCTTCCACACCACGCCTGATCTGCCGAACGGCCTGTTCCTGGCGGGGTGAGCTGCTGAGGCCTTTAGGGGAGTTGGAGCGCGACCGCGAGGCGGAGCGGCTAGGGCTAGCCTCCTCCTCTGGGTGGGCATCGAGCGCAATCTTGTTCTTCTTCATCGGGGCCTGTTGATCATTCACGTTGACGCTGCCAGCCTGAGCACCACGAGTATCAGCCTGCGTGATCGATGCATCCGCAATCCGACTCACAGTAGACGACACACATGCCGGCGCTGGTTCAAGGGACACTTCTCTTTCGCGTTTGCGGGCTGTCTTGGAACCTGGACCTGCGTCACTAACACTGCGATGCGGTCGCGCACGATAAGTACATACCTGAGGCTGCGGCGCCGTCGACTGGCTCTGGGCTTGAGGGTGGGGTAGGCTTAGTGGTGTCGCGCGCGTTGGCGGGAGCGGGAGGTTGGATAGAGTCGGCCATTGCTGCCGTCGTCGTTGGGGTTCGCGACAAGAACGATGCCCGCTTTTGGCCAGTCCCTGGAAATTCGGCAAACGCCGAGACCCCGGTCTATGCGCCGGCCGGTCATGGCTTCATTGTTCTGACACACAATAGACGGATCGCGCGATGCAGACAGTATTGTTCTCTACTGACGCACGTTAAATAACCGTAGAGGCGGGGTGGTGAAGTATATACTCGCAACAGTACATCTGGTAAGATTAGACTCGTCAATCAGAGCGACACGCAGGTCGCAACTGGTAGAACATGAGCAAGACATGGACTTGCCAAGAGGCGTAATTAATAGCGAATACTTAGTCCCCAGGTATTCCGACAGAGCAATAGTAGTACACAGCAAGTAAGACAAGCACACAAGTCCCAGATATCGGACAGCAACAAGAAGAGACGATGACTGGTCGGACAATTGGATGGTTGGATGGTCAATGCGGTTATTGTGATGGGGGAAGGTCCGAGCGCGAACTGGACTGGGATCGCGATGATGACGATGCTGGTGGTGGGCGAAGCTCCGGAGGTGGTCGCATAGGGATGTTGATAGGGGTTGTACGCGCCTTGCGCCTCTCTCTTGCAGCTGCAAGAACCTCCAGTAGCGTATCCTTCGTCGTTGGCTTGGTGTACACCCTGTCGACCCCTGCATCGATGAATTCTTTTTGGTCTGCAGAACAATCAACACGCCGCGCTTCAGCAACCGGGGTACGTTGACTTACCTTGCACCATCGCGTTCCCAGTCAATCCCACCACGAAGTCTCGCCTCCTCGCCCGCCGCAAGTACTTCGCCACCTTCGTCCCGAACAACCTCGGCATCTGGTTGTCCAACAAGACCAGCGCGAACGGGCCCTCTTCCGCCTCACGCGGCTCCCCATGGATACTATCCGCCGCACCGGTCTCCGTAAACCTCCGCTCGAACTCATCCAGCCCCTTTTCGGACCACGGCGTTCCGGTTGACCCTGGTGTGCCAACTGGCACGGGCACGCCGAGCACCTCCAGCGCGTTCATCCCGTCGTAGGCCGTTGTCACGTCGCACCCGAGGCGCTGCAGCGTTCGCACCATGACGCTTCTTGTCACGTCGTCGTCCTCGACAACCAGGACGGGAAGACCAGACGGCGAAGGCGAAGGGCGCGACCGTAGCGAGCTGCTCGCCGGTGTATCATCTTGGGCGACAGAGCCGTTCGCCCGCGATGTCTCGCCGCTGGCGTATGCTGCGTCGCCCTTGGCTTGCGCCGCATCTGGGAACGTTTCGCCATATGCTCGCACGGTCAAACCACTATCCTCACGCGCCACACCATCTTTCCACACCGCGACACCGTCCTCCCTCAGTCGGGCCGCGTCCTCACGTACTGCTTCCGCGCCTTCGGGGAAATACGAGCCGCTGGCGTCCGACTTCCGGCGATGCGAGCCTGCCACCCCAGAGTCGTCCATGGACGAAGGACTGCAGCTGGTCCATAGGCTCGATGACACCTGCGATCCTCTTCTGAGCTGCGCTGACGGTCGTCGCGCATGTCCGCCACGCCTTGACGGTGGCAAGGAGATGTTGACGTGACCGGCTGCAATGGATTCATAGCATCAGTATTTGCAGGTGATGACGGGTCAGTTTCCGCTCACCCTGCTCCATCAACCCCTTCATTGCCGCCGAAGACTGCGCCTCGCTCAACTTGATCTGGCTCGGACGCAGCGCATACGGCTCATGCCCACTCCCATCCGCAACCGGATCCTTGCCGGGCACATCCGCCATGAGAACCTGCAGATCCTTGCGCGGTATGCGATTGCCCACTCCGAGCGGTACGTCGAACCAAAATGTCGAGCCCTCCCCGACCTTAGACTTCACACCAAGGCGGCCGCCCCATTGCTTGACGATGGAGCGCACGAGTGCGAGACCGAGCCCACTGCCCTTGCCCCCTTGCTGGATGCCGAGAGAGGTTTGATTGAAGGGAGCTGAAGAAGGCGTCAAAGATGATGGAAACGAACAGAGTCGGCGACACTTACAAAACAACTTGCCCTGCATGATGTCCTCGCGCTTGATGCCTACACCTGTATCCGAGATCTCGACGCGTACCAGGATCCGATCCGCATCTGACAGCGAGACGCTACCCATCCCGCGATTGTGCTCCTCCAGATGAACCGTGGAGAGCGGAGCTTGACCGTTGACATCCTCCACGACCGTGCTATCCGTCCGCATAGTTGACAGCGGGTCTCGCTGCGGCTTCAGCAGCCTAGTCGTGAGCGTCAGGCTTCCGCCTTCTGGCGTGAACTTGCAGGCGTTGCTGGTGAGGTTGGTGATGACCTGGCGAAGGCGAGCTTGATCACCGACGACGAAGCCATCATACTGGTCGTTCCGTTCACGTTCGTCCAATTCCTCGGGTGTTTTGCCTAGAGCGCGGTATGCGGCATGTCGGGCGACCTACGATCATCAGACTACGGATAAGGGTAGCGGCTGAGCAAGACACTAACCTTGTCGATGTTAGGGTCCACATTAACCTTGAACTTGAGATTGCGCGCGTTCGTCGCAATCTCCAAGGGGACAATGAGCGATCGTACGGCCTGGTGGAATGCGAAAGGCTATGCTCTGGTCAGCAGATGTGATTGGTCCCTGGTCCAGACAACTTACTGCATTGGCGAACTCGAACCGCCCACTGTCCAGTCGATTACTGCAGCCTACCTTGAATGGACTGCCGAGGTCATACAAAGAAGTTCACTCACAAATCGAGCACGTCGTTCAATACTGATAAAAAGGCGTGAGCAAGGTCCGCATCAGCAAGCGCTTGTATGGACGTACCCTGAGACATGTTGCTGAGGCCCCCCTTCAGCGCCTCGAAGTCTTCACGACTCTGGTCATCGATGACGCCAGTGGCCTCGATGTTCTGGACAGCGAGGACTGGGGCTGTATCAGCCACCGGTAAGGTGCGGCTTGGCGTGCAACTCACAAGCAACGTTCAAGGGTACTCTGACCTGTGCTTCGAAGGTCAGGTCGCGACAAGGATGCCTTGCAGGAATGACTTATCATGGAAGACGTAGCTGGAGAATGATCAGTATAGCGCCGGATAAACTCTCTAAAACAGACATACCTGGTCAGCCGAGCCTTCGATTCGTACGCCTTCGTCCGCTGATACTGTGCTGTAGAGAAACATGAGGCAACGTTTGAAAGGCACGGGCGTATACTAACCGGCGACTACGTCCTGCACGTCCGTCAGCTATGCGCACAGATACAGAGAAGACACGTAAACGTACCCGGTACTGCTTCCGTAACCTCGTTCTCATCTTGAAGAGACGGCGCTCGGACTACGATACAGCATCAGTCAAGTCGTACAGAAGGAGTGAGCCAATGTGCGTACGTCTTCTCGGTGATAATGCAGGATCAACAAGACTATATCGAGGTCAGTATCAAGGTGCGCGTGGGAGGGGCAGAGGACACGGACAGATGTGGAACACTAAGAAGTTAATCATGCCTGGAAAGCGAGGTTAGACAAGGCGCTTTCTACCAAGGGCTAAGGTTCACATACTTCTGGTCCACGTGTGGTGGTCCGGAACGATGAGAGCCATTGAACTATAGGAAGGTCAATCATGTGAGCAGCCGGAGGATAGTTTTCACCTACACGACGAAGAAGCTGACCATGCCCAAAAGCGCAGGCAACCGATGCAGGTTCAGACCGAACAGTGCAGTCGTTTGCAGAGCCTTCGACCGCTTTAGCGACACTCTCACCACACAAGGGCATGCGCGCTTACCGTAAAGTAGTAGAAGGCTGCGATATAGTCCTTCCCATCGCACGAAAAGTATGTATGGTGCCTTCCAGTGTCGTAGAACCCACAGAAGTACCTACGCGAGGTGAGGCCACAAATGCATCCGGCCCGGAGAAGACACTTACATTGCAAGGATCACATAGAAAGACCTGCTTCGGTTGAGTGCGGTGAAAACAATCGATTGCGAGTAGGCTCACCATGACCACGTCGATACGCAAACGACAATTTGGTATAGGATAGGGTGCTTCTTGTGCCACCGAGCGACGATGAGGAACGTGGGGGCGAAAGCGCATATTAAGCCGACCTGGGATACGTTTGAGCAAGTCTGGAGAGGGGACTATCGTCCACGTACCCCGTAGTACCATATCTTGTCCATAAGTACGTCTGGCATGGTGCTTAGTACGGGAACAATGGGTGGAGAGAGGGTGGCTCACGTAGAGGATGAGCAAATCCGATTCCTGGGATGGCTATCAGCTTGTCTCACAGGAGACTAAGAATACACATACCGAGAGCCCAGACGACTATGAACCACACAGCGGCAAGGAAGCGCAGGTTACGGGTCGCGTACCATTGGTCCTAGACCGATGTTAGGACCGTGCAGAGGGTCAAGGCAAGTGACGCACGTCGATGTAGTTGCTCTCCGTCTCCTCATCGCCAAACCTCCTGGTGAAGAAGCGGCCAACAGCGCGAAGGGCACGCTGCTTGAAGGTAGGCGGGTTGAGAGCCATGTCGTTGGCGAGGCCGTCCCGCTGATCGCTTTCCTCGAATGGCATGCTGGACGTACCCGGCGGACTCCAACTGTCCTCGTTCGAGTCCGTTGAGGTCTCTGCCTCATCCAGCTTGTCGACGATCACCTCGTCCACCTCAACACTGGAATCGACCGAAGTCTGGGGGCGAGGTTCATTCCGCGGTTTCGTAGCGGCCGAGTGTATCTTGTCTTCGAGAGGGAAGGGCGGGTCGATGATCTGGCTCGAGGGGGGACTGTCCGTAAGGATGAGGGAACGGATGTTGCGAAGAGCCGACTTGGACTTCCGCAGGAGGGTCGCGCTGAGTGCCTCCCGCCTCTCATCGTCGTCGACCTGACGCGCCGATAGTACTGGGAGCGGTAGCATTGCCGCCAGAGACGACTTCCGTGGCCGCGTCTTGGACGGCTCGAGCTGCGAGGACGAGGGGGTGCGGTCGATCATTGTGGTGGGATCCGTGTCTCCTGACAACCATTGCTCGCACTTGGCTGCTGTCTGACCTGCGCTGCTGCTACTGGAGGGCCAGAAGCGCATCGAAGGACCTCAGGGAAGCACAGCGGTGGCGCCTGCTGCCTAAAATCGCCCGTTCGCTGGCCGAGGGGGTGAGCGCAGAAGGAAACAGTGGTGCCTGTAAATGACGCCCGCGTCGCCCCTGATCTGGTTCCGGTTCAGTCGCATTCAACTTGGCTGCTATCACCCGAAATGGGTACGGGAGCCTCGATGAGACCCCTTCCTCTGATGCAAGTCATTGCTTGAGATTATTGCTATGAGCTCGTCGAGCCCCCCAGCGCGAGCATGGCGTTTTCTGCTTGCTCGCAGAGTTCAACCGAGGATCGGACCGAGGCCTGATTTCCGCATTCCGAATATATTGACCAACGCTCTTCCGGTCCGGTTCCGTTCCCGCCAACATCCCGCCCATCCCAGCAGCTCGCTGCTCCAAGTTCAACTCCCTTCAAGCTCAACCTACCGCCATGCACCACAGCCTGGTCATGAAAGAACTCGGGAATTTCTCCGAATTCCCTTCTCTGCAAGCACACGCTCAATGCACGCAGCGACAGAGTACGCGAACCCGCACTCGGTGTAAGCGAACCCAATACACCGCTCAGCAACTTACTGCACCCCCTTGATCAGCAGACAGCCAAACCGCGCCGAGTTATCGCCAAGATGGAGGCCGAGAACCTCTCTGGACATGCGTGCGGTCACTTCTGGCGACAACGCGGCAGAAGACAGACAGGCCGATGTCACCGCCACTCGATCCACTGCCGTGTTAGCTGGCAACAAGAGGCATGGATGTTATGCAAGAGGACAGTATGTAGAGGATAGGGCGGGTATGCAGTAGTGTATGGGAGCGGTAAGGTAGGTGAGGGAAAAAGAAAGGAAGGTATATCGTACTTGTATAAATACGCACGTACTTAGATGTAAGCATAGATGGCCTCGCAGAGGGCCCTCGAATCCCATAGCGCCGCGAACGGATAACCACGAACAGTTGACTGACAGAAGCGCCACTAGGCGCCGCTAACAGACTCCTCGTCAGCCCAGCGACGGCTGTGTGTCAGGTCAGCTCCGAGAGCAACTCGGGACGAGCATTGGACAACGCACGCCTGCTGCCTCATCGCCTCCGCCGCCGCGTTCATTCCCGAGGTGTCCAAGTGACCCTTGGCCGAGAACAAACCGCTAACAGAGCGGTCAACAAACGGATTCTCATCTACCGCTGTGCCGTCGGACGTCGGCACCTGCACCAAACCGACGTCCTCTTCCTCGTCCTCCTCCAGGTCCTCGTCCTCGAATTCACCATCGTCGACCATCTGCTGGGCGTGCTGCATAGCGAGGCTACCTGCCGCGGTGACCATGGCGCCGACCTGGACGAGCAGAGCGCGCCTGAAGCGCTCGGCATCGCTCTCTGCGCGGGTGCAGCGGCGCTTGAGGCTCTGCGTATCCGCATCGTCCTCGTCGCGTTTGCGCTTCAGACGATGGCATTCACGCTCGAGCTGCGCGACGTAGTTCTTGATACGCTCGCACTCGAGGAGGGAGAACTTGAGCTCGTTACGGAGGGATACGTTGGTCTGACGAAGATCATCGTGGCGGGAAGTATCCAAGGCAAGCTTCAGGAGGGGTCGGTTGGGGCCTGCGTCCTATGTTAGCGTTATGCAAGTGATAGGATAGTTGTTGTCGATCGATGAGAGGTGGAGGAAGTATACAGGATCACGACAATGAAAGAACAATGGGTGCACAGATGGTCGGATAAAGGGATCGCACTCACCTTTGAGCTCTTTCTGGCAAGTTGGACAATTCGCAGAATTTCCCCGTCTTGCCCGCTTGATCACCTCGTTGATACATGCATCACAGAAGACATGGCCTAACGAGCAATTGGCGCCGCGTCAGCGATTCCAACTACCGCACGAACCGCGCTATCACGCACCGCACTTCGTGGATACCGGATCCCTCAGCCCATCGGTGCATATCCCGCAGTCCATTATAGAAGAGGCAGCACAGGGAGGGAGGAGGGAGGAAAAGGAAAGAGGGAGGCAGCCTTGGAGGCTGGAGGAGATGAAAGAACGATGCCGTATTTGTTACGCTACCGGGGAAACGCGCAGCGATCGGCAAGCGTGATCCCAACACGGTCACGTTGCTCGGGCCTGCCCGTCGCGACGCGGGTATTGTTCCCAAGTAGGCAGGCAAGCCCCTGTATTGCGCAAGGTCTTCGCAGTCTATAGGTGGTGGGTCAGAGCAGAGTCTATGCCAAAGCTCGGCGCTCGCATTCAGTAGCATCCGCTTTATTGTGATCAGTAGACAACAATTATTGACAAGATTAGTATATGTGACAGTAGAATGTCCAATGCGGCAAGAAGTATGTGTGTGTGTTGGCAAGTCCGATGCAGTGTTGGGCAAGAAGCATAGATACGCGCCAGTCTACCAGCATCTAGCTGGCATATTCTAGGGCCATATAGGCGTGCGGATCGTTGATTGCAGCAACTAGGTTCTTCGCAGGCTCGACGTCAAGGGCCTACGACTTGTCGTAAGCTTCGCGTGTTCGGGGAGGTCGTAAAGAAGGTTTACCTGGAAGAGCACATATTGCTTCTCTCCAAACTCGGACGCGAACGCAAGACTAATGTACCGCCAGTCGAAAGGGTGTGCAAAGCCGCACTTGAACATGTTCCTTAGCGGGACGTCGAGCAAGACGGTGCGGCCGAGGTCACGGTACATGACTACATGCGGTGAGACTTGAGCTTAGCCCGACCTTGTTAGTAGAGGCACTCACCCAGGCGTCCAGTGCACGTCGGGTCGAGCCTGTTGACGGTGACCTTGACAACGCCCAAGGTGTCCCGGCCGTTGTTTTCGTGCATGTTCTCGTAGCGATGTAGCGTACCACGAGCGCTGCACACAATAAGTTCCTCCTTTGGTCGGAAAAGGGGCGTCTTCTTCGGGCTAGGGCTACTGCTCTTCCTCGGGCTGGTACTCAACCGCTCCTTTTTGACGCCTAAAAGAATGGTCAGAAGGCGGTCCACAGGATGGAAGTAAGTATTTACGGTAGGACGACGATGTCTGCCGAGGCGGCGTAGCTGGAGCGCTGGCTGGTGACGGCGCGTTCTGTCGGCTTGGGTTTACTTGCATCGATGCGACGATGACTTCGCGTAACTGAGGCATCGTGTGCTCATCGATGCCGCCCTTGGCTTGCGCGTAGATGCTGTCGACGGCGCAGTCATAGATGACGTCCAGAATGCGCTGGGCACCGGACATGCCGATGACCTGGCAAGGAGGTCAGCATGATGAGCGAGTATGTAAGGTGGCCACTGACCTTGAACATCCAACTCTCTTCTTCGTCGCAGTAATCGTCGTCAGTCTCGAGCGTAATCCAACGGTCGTCGGAGCCAGTGAGACAGGCCTTGCCGAGCATGTCGACACGGATTTCCATCATAACGATGTCGGTCCCTGCCTCGCGAAGAACTAGACATGCGTGTGGTAAGGAAACGGTAAGGGCAGGCGCGAGGAGTTTGCAAAGGCAAGCAGTCAGTAGCCACACCACTCCTCGGCAACGTAACATCTCACCGAGCCTGCCAGCGGTCTTGTCCTGCTTATTCGCCATTATCTTCAGTGTCCCGGCGCACAGCTCCGCGTAGCGCCCGTCTACAAGTTTGAACAGCTTTCCACGGGCCTCATGACGCGTGTACTCGGTCTCTTCGGAAGTAGGAATGAGCATCTCGCGAGTCGTAAAGGTGCTGTGTAGCGCAGACGGTGTTTGCAATCGTATGCGGACGGAAGGAAGGATGGGTGCCTCAAAAGCGGGATTGAAGATGATGTCGTCGAGGGAGGAAGAGTTGGTCGAGAGGTGTTGTCGTTAGAGATGCGTCCTGGCGGGTGTCGTGACGGGTCGTGAGCTGGGACGGGACACGCGTCGGTCAGCACCGCATCGGGTCATCCGCTGCATCGCGCAGGATGGGATATGCATACGCACTCGTGCTCCGATGATGTGCTCAAGCTTGCGATGAGATATACCGCTACCAGAGCGACACAGTCACGGTGACGATGCAGAAGAGGAGGAAAGAAAGAGAAAGGGTTGCTTACGAAAGTGAAGGCCAAAGCCAAAACGCGAGCGAGGACTCGTCACGCCGGGGACCCTCGTCGATCACGCATCACGGAAGCATTCCATTCAGTTCCGCTCCACGTGGCGGCCGCATTTTGTGCTCGGCGTTCAATTGAGAATCAAAGAGCTGACCTTCATCGGAAGAGGGGTTCCATCCTTCGCATAGTGCAAAAGACTCAGTGCTGGGCCCACACGTTGGGGTGCAAACGAGTCTTTGCATTGCCCCCTCCTCGAGAAGTATGGTCCCTTTATCCCCATATGGCTTCAATGCAATCGTAATATTCCACGCGATCACCGTTAGAAACGTACGCTTAGCGAGGCCCTTTGAGGCTAGAAAAATGTTGCAACAGTCGAGCGGCGCTCTTTATTATCTCCTTGGACCCTGGGCTTTGTTCTTTCTGTGCCCTCTGTGATATGGCACAGCGCAAAGCAGCACGGAGCGTGCGAAACCGATCTTGCCTTTTACGTTCGACAAGACTGAGGCGGACAGGAATGCCCAAATGCGGCATCGTGTCTCGTTTCCTTTTTGTTTTCTCGGGCCCGAGGCCTTCCTTGGAAACCATTCAAAAGGGTAGCGCGGCCTTCGCGCAGTCTGCAAGACTTGCACCCGCCTGTCACCTTCGTCTACCTCCTGAGCTGCAGCTATGACTTCCCCTGAGTTCGCGTTCGCGACGAACCTGACGCCGAACAACTACGAGGACGAGCACACCGCAGTGGACATGGGGGAGCAGCAGCCGCCAATCGCGCTACCCTCGCTGCCCATACGATTTCTAGACTCGGCGAGCCAGCAAGTCCTGACGGCGGACGGCACGCAGGTCGTACCTCAGCCGTCCGCATACCAACGGGAGCCCCGCCGCAAGCGCAAGAGCGACGACCCCGGGCACATACCGCGCCCGCCCAACGCGTTCATCCTCTTCCGCATCGACTTCGTGAAGAGAGGGAGGCTGCCGGGGAACCTGGAGACCCACGCGAGCCTGAGCAAGATGGCATGTGCGTACACATACCCCGCATTTGACTGCGCCACTGACTGTCACTCCCTCAGCTGAGAAGTGGCGAGCACTTACCCCGCCGGAGCGCGCGTACTGGGACGCGCAGGCCGAGATCGAGCGACGCGCGCACCGGCTCAAGTACCCGCAATTCGACACCAAGCAGTATGCGAACAAGGCGAAAGCAGAGAAGCGCAAGCCAGCCCCTCCACCGAAGCCACGCCATATCTCTGTGCCGCACCGCGACCTCCCTCCCGACCTACCCCCACAGCCTAGGGCTCGTCCAGGGGCACAATTAGCGGCCACAGCCCAACAGTCCATGCCCAATAGCCAGCCACACCCGGAGCAATGGCAACAGGAGGGCGTCTTCATGACAAACAACTGGCAGGACGCGGTGCTTCAGAAGCAACTCGTAGAAGTGCAGTGCGGGAAGCACCAGCGTCGCTATCCTCCCGTTCCGCCGCCGGGGGACCTCGGAACGCCGATGGACGAGGACGGCGGTAATCCTTTCGAGAAGTCAGACTTCGACTACTACTATGAGCGCATGATCAACGCCCAGGCTTCGCTAGCGGTGTCCGTAGGGCCTCAGATGCCGCCGCCACCGCTGCCGCTACCTCCTCCAATGGACGTGGACATGGACGTGTCGGAGGCGTCGACTCCTTCCCTGGAGTCGGACCATCCGCAGGAATGGGCGAAGCAGGAAGAGCCCACTACAGTGCATCTTCCACCGCCGCCACCTCCCAAGCCATGCCTTGCCCGGACACGAGAGGCTGCTTTCCCTTACTCGTACTTCGCCGAATCCAAGCCTGACGATGACACTGGCTTTGAAGTTGTCTCCCCTATCTACCAGCGTCTCGTAGGAGCCAAGGAGCCTTCCAAGGAAACCACTCCACAGCCTATGGCGACATAGCCGCATCGCCCTCCTACCACCCTTGCTGTCCTCCATCTTGCTCTATCTACCGACGTCCTTGTATATCTGTTTTCCTGCTACGTTCTCGCTCCCTGTAAATATACCTTACCTGTGCTCGTCTTGCTTGCCTATTACTTCTCGGCCGAGCGCTCTGCTTGGCACATACTACCCAGGACTTTCGGGACTGGGCGCCTCGTCGTATTGCTGTGCATCGCTTTCTTCATACTACTGTACTCCTCCATCTCCTGCTAATGTTTACATATGATTATGCGTATATGCCTTCCTTGCTCAAGGTCCCAGACTTCTCCTGACGTTTGGTCGACGACGTTCAGCCTGTGTTCGACATCTTCTGAAGCAATTGTATTGAACCCATATGGGGATAACTGCTGCCTTCAGCAATGGGTCCCACCCTACATGTACATATTTCCGAGAGCTATCGATGCATGCAGGCCATTACATGAATGTAGTGGAGCAGTAATACATCACTGCTGGCTCGCAGCTCTGTCGTGCCTCTTCCGCGACCTCTTGGGCCTTCCCTGGTGCGCGGAGACGTCATTCAGCTGGTTCAATACGCGAGACAGGTCCTGAAGCGTGTTCGACAATGGAGGTCCGCCAGAAGAAGAGCGTGATGATACGGAAGGACTTCGTAGCCTCTCGGTAAGGTCGCGAACGACGTTCATAAGGGCTGCGGTGTCCTGCGACGACTCCCCAGGCGCCCCGGCAGCTTGCGACGAGCGCCGTGCATGTCGGCCACGACGTCGGGTAGACTTGTCTGCGCCAGTATCTGTGGGGGTAGCCGAAGACGATTCAGGCGATGTGGTCGACGCGGAACGAGCCGAGTGGGGAGGCGATGGTGGCGTGAATGACGCGGGTGCCTGTTCAATGCCCATTCCCCCCTGGACTCCGCCTGTCGTGGTTCTCGGGTCAGAATTGCGTGGTTCGTGTCGACGAGGCTCCACCCACGGCGTTCCCGCATCGTCGTCGTGCGCCGGCCAGCGCGAGTGCGACGCATGGCGGACCCGCTGCTCCTGCGCGACGGGCGAGCGCGCGCGCTGCGACTCCCCATCCGCATCGGACGCTTGGCTCCCGCCACCGAGCCTTGTGTGCGCGTCCGTAAAGCTCTTCGCCGACACCCGGCTCATCCACTCCTCGCGGATGCGCGTGAGGCGCGCGACGGCCTGGCTATAGTCTACCGCGCCGTCTTCGGCCGCCCAGGCGTGCTCCCACTCCGATAGGCGCAGGACGGTGTAGACGAGCTCCTTGGCGGCGGCGGACCAGGCGTCGTAGTCGGCGGCGAGGAGCGCGCGGCGGACGCGGACGGAGTGGCGGCGGATGTCGTCGAGCATGCGCCGGTTGATCGAGTCGCGGGAGGGGTTGCTCTTCCACTGGGGAGAGCGGGGGAGGTAGGCGTGTAGGCTAACGTCGGAGCCGTCCAGAGCATACATCGTTTGGTAGTGAGGCGGAGGAGATGAGAGTACGATTCAGATGCTTGGATTCAAGAGTTCACTGCGAAGAGGCAAGTGGACGTTCTTGTCAGGTTCGATAGGCCCAGATACCAGCGCGCTTCGTTATATGGAGCATCGCTGCGGACGTTACTCGGCCAGTCCGTGGGGTAGCTTGCGCACCAGTCGACGTCATGAGCCCAGGTAACGAGGGGCAGTGAGGAAGATGGAGTGCATGATGGGGCTCCATTTGGGCACCAAACGTGACAAAGGCGTGACTAGTAACGGTTCAACTTCGCTCAAATGAAGGTGAGCGCGGCGTAGATGAGCCGCTGTCGACTAAGGCAAGTCACCGGAGCTATGACTGGAGTCAGCTTGACGCCTTGGAGGAGGCGTACCTGAGACTGTACCGAGAAAGATGCTACTTGACCAGCTCTGAGCGTCAGCAATGGTCACATCGTCCGAAGATAATTTAGCAGGTGGTCATCGTACATACTTACACTCCTACCACTGACAGCGAGCAGAAAGCGTCCTAGAGTAGCGCGGCCTTTCTCGATCAGCCCCTGCCCCATATCCTCTCTCCCACACCAGCGACTGCTCCCCCTACCCACCCTCCAAGCTGTATCCAATGCCGCCTGCTCTCCGAATCCCTCAGCATATCCAACAGCCCACCCCTCTGCCCCTGCTTCTGCCCATACACCGCCATCGCAACCCCCAACACCAGCACCGCACCCGCAACCATCACCACCCTTCGGTCCCTTACGCGGAAGCGCTTGTGCAATTTCCTCCTCGCTCGGCGCGGGTTCTTCGCGTCCCTCGCTGCCTCCCTCTCCTTTCTCCGCGCCTCGAGCTCCTCGTCGACCTCGGGATAGACGACGAGGTCGGGGCGGGCGACCATGGCCTCTGCGTCGTCGTCGGGGATGTGGGTGTTCCAGGTGAAGATGACGGACTGGGGGCCCATGATGGAGGAGAGGTGGAGGGCGGGGTGCGTGGGTGGATATTGGGCGTAGAGGGCGTCGGCGGTTTGAAGGAGGGATGAGAGGGGGATGGTGGGGCGGGGCGGGCCTTGGGGTGTGGAGCTGCGGTTCTCGACAAGGTTGGTTGGGCTTGAAGGGCGGGAGGGTGGGAGGGGTATCGAGGCAGCGACGGTGACATCGCCGTCGTCCTCTGACGGGTCGACCGCTTGGACAGGATATGTTGCATATTGTGTACCACCCTCGCCAGCGTCTGGCTCCAGCGGCAGATACTCGTCCTCTTCTGGTGGCGCCTTCGGGGTATCTTCCTCGTCCGTAATGTTCGGGAGACTGCTGAGTAGGCTATGCACCATGCCTTCCTCATCCTGCTCCTCCAGCCAATGCACTTCGTCTTTTCTCGCCAGCAGCACCTGATAATAGGTTCAGCGAACGGAAGAAGCGCATACTGATGAATGGTACATACTGCGGTGCAGAGGTAGACAATTGCTATGGGCTCTCGACTTAGCAGATAGTCGAACACATGCTGGATCAATGGTAAAGTAGGCATGTCGTGCGCGAACAGTGTCAAGAGATTGGAAAGAGCGTAGAATGGCAGGGGCGCGTTGCTGTGAATGTGGCGTTAGCGGCAGTGATATAACAAGGATAGTTGACTTTACCGTTCAAGCAACTCAGCGTATGGCGGGTCGCATATTCGGAGGAGATTGCGAGTCACTCTGGGCATTGTGAGATCGAGTAAAGGCCTATAAGATTGAGACGCACCTCAGCAGCCCTAGTGTAGGCTCAAGGCTTGCACCCATCGAATCCCTTAACCGGTGCAGGCTCATCTTCTCCGCGGTTGTGAATCGCGTGTCTTCCGGCAGGGTCAAGAAGAGGACAGAAATAATGTCATGGTAGCCCTATACGTAGCGTACCACGAGTCAGCTTCAATGTAGGAAAGGGGGGAGCATGCGTACTTGGAAGTAGCTCAACTTCCGTCGTTTACGGAAGATAGACACGATGAGTTGGTGCAGCTCCTCTTGCAAGGGCGCCTTGTCATCTGAGGGGTCTGATGTGCAGTTAGAGTCGTGTCTCCTGTCGCTTCAAGGAAGGAGTTCACCTACTGGATAGAGGACGAAGCTACGATCGGTGTCGAGCCGGATCTGTCGTTCGTCGGGGTGCGGTTCGTCGGTAGACCCTTCCTCCTTAGTATCTGCTTTCTCGGATGGCTGAGCATCGAGTAATCTCGGCCTATAGCACGATCGTTAGCACATGTTGAACGCATAGATCTAGCAACACACCAAAGCTCCGCTCGACGCGCGCCAAACCCGCCAGGCTGAACGCTCAGTGCACGCAGATTCCCATCCTGTTGAAAGGAGTGTTTCTCTTGAAATTCGGTCTTTAGTTCGCTGGACTGCATATACTGCAGTGTGCGGCCTGGAATACAGCAGGCGCGGTGATGATGGCAGGTGCAGAACGCGTGCGGGGTTCCGGTCCGGAAGCCGTTAGGAGATGGCAATCTCACGCTCAAGCGCCCATGTTGTCGACTTCCACGATACAGGGCGGACGAAGCCCAAGCATGCCTCCCTTTGACTTTGAGCGGGCATCGGCAATGTACTCGTCAGATGAATGACGCTCAAGGGCCGCAACGTGCGCTGTTAAGGCCACAAGACCTTTATCCATGGGAAGCCTTGACTGCCGAGGTACAATACGCAGCTAGCCGCGTCGACTCGGCTTGTCTTAAACCTTCACGAACGAGATACCGACTCGCAGCGCCATGGCTCGCATCCCGCCAGGTCTGCCCTACCTGGCAAAGGTCATCCCTCGCCTCGCAAAGCCCTTCGTCGTCGTCTACGTCGCTCTCCTGCTCACCCGGAACTTTACCGACATCTCCATCCCTGGTTATATTGAGATCGCTGCGTATGCATTCGCAATCCCCGCAGTTCTCCTGTTCCGCTTGCTGCGTGAGGATCTTGCCATCTGGCGTGGCGCAGCGCGCGTTGGAGGCGTCTTTCCTCCCATCTGGCGCGATGACTTCACACCGGGCAGCATCTACACTGTGCTCAAGATGGCCAGGAAATTCAGGACGAATGCGCCTTATCCAGGTATGCGCCCCTGTTCTCATGATCCTCAGATTGGATGACGCTCATAACACGGCCCGTTTGCAGGCGACATGTTGACCGAACATATCAAGACACTGGGCCCCTGCTTTTCTACCCGCACGCTCTTCACCTATCGAGTAGGTTATACACCAGTCACCTACGCTCGTACGCTAAATCTTGGACTCCGCAGGTCTTTACCATTGCGCCTGAGCATGTCAAGGTACGTGCGGCATCGATATAACGTCAATTGAGGAAGGCCGACAAGAAGTACAGGCTATTCTAGCTACGCAGTTCGACGATTTTGAGAAAGGCATGTTTTATGACCTACAAGGATTACAAATCCCCTGACCTAACTTAGGAAAGCATCTCTGCTCCATCTTGTACCCCCTTCTTGGCGTTGGTGTATTTGCCTCTGATGGTAAGCTACACTTGTATGCCCATCTTTCCAGTGACTCACCGAGCAAACTCCAGGCGACATGTGGAAGTAAGCCGTGCCTCTACCTGCCATACTCACCCCGTGCCAAATCCCACTCCAACAGATTCCACCGCTCCATGACCCGCCCCTTCTTCACCCGCGACCGCATCGGCGACTTTGACAACTTCGACCGCCACGCCTCGGACGCCATTGCCCAGCTCCGCACGCGCCTCCGCGAGGGCCTGCCTGTCGATTTCCAGGACCTCGTCGGCCGCTTCACCATGGACTCCGCTACCGAGTTCTTGTTCGGTCACGACGTGCGCTCTCTGGCAGATGAGTTGCCGCGGCCGGCGGACAGCTTCCCCACCGCGAGCTCGAGCGCTTCGCCAGAGTCGGAATTGAACTTCGTCACCGCCTTCAACGACGCGCAGACAGCATGCGCTGGCCGGATGCGCTTCGCGGAGCACTGGCCGTTATTTGAGATGGGAAGGGATCGGGTGGAGGGCCCGATGCGGGTCGTGCGTGCGCATATTGAGCCGATCTTGGCGGAGGCGTTGTTGAGGAAGGGCGAGCGGGAGGCGACGGGAGAGAAGAAGGCTGCGCCTGGGGAGCAGACGCTGCTGGAGCATCTCGTGGATTATACGGAAGGTGGGTGGACCGAAGATGCGCGAGGAAGAGGATCCTGACGAGAGTGCAGATATTGGCGTAATTCGGGACGAGATCTTGAACATCATGATCGCAGGTACGATCCGCGAGCTTGTTCGCCTCTCCTTTTCTTTTGCTAATCTGCCACAGGCAGGGACACCACAGCTGCAACGCTTTCTATCATCGTGTACATGCTCGCGCAGGAGCCGCGCGTCCTGCACCGTCTTCGTCAGGAAGTGCTAGACCAAGTTGGGGAGTCGCGCCGTCCTACCTTGGACGACTTCAAGTACATGAAGTACATGCGGGCGGTCATCAACGGTAGGCTCGACTTGCCCTTCCGTGCCGGATTGGTCTCACTGGCATGCAGAGACGTTGCGGCTTTACCCCATCGTGTAAGTAGTCATCTGCCCAAAGACCTCACGCATGCTAACACAGTACCTAGTCCCTTCAACCTGAAGTAGGCACACTTACCATTGCCTCCCTGCCTTTCTCTCCTGACTGCGCTTCGCAGATGCGCAACCAAGGACACCACCCTTCCCGCCCTCGAACCTGGAGGCAAGCCCTTCTACATACCCAAGAACACTCGGTGAGTCCTCTGCGTCGTCTTTTGGCGAAGTACCGCTGACTCAATTCACAGTGTATCGTGGTCGGTGCTCCTCATGCATCGCCGCAAAGACCTGTGGGGTCCCGATGCCGAGGAGTTCGACCCTGATCGCTTCCTTGACGAACGCCTGCACAAGTATCTAACACCGAACCCGTTCATTTTCCTCCCTTTCAATGGCGGGCCGCGTATCTGTCTCGGGCAGCAGGTGCGTCTACTTCCTCCCTCTACATCTCGTGCGTTTGCAATGCTAACGCATATCTCGCTCAGTTCGCCTACAACGAGATCTCCTTCTTCCTCGTCCGCCTGTTGCAGAACTTCTCTGGCATCAGGCTTGCACTCCACGCCCAACCCCCGCAGTCGCTCGCGCCCGAGGAGTGGCTCGAGGGCGAAGGTAGGAAGGTGCGTGTCGGGCGTGGTGTTTCAACATCAGGTGCTGACGGTCGGAGTAGATTAAGGAAAAGGTCAGGCTGCAAACGCACTTGACGATGAGCTTTGTGGTGAGTGCAGACTTCTCCATCTCGCTTATCGAGCGGGGTATTGAATCGGCTGCAGGGCGGCCTCTGGGTGCGTATGACGCAGGCGGAGCAGGACGAAGGATCTCTTTGATTCCTTGAGGGTAAGTATGTTATCTTACGGCGTTGGTATTATGAACGTACAATAGAGTATGGCAAGCCATATTTTATAATTATGGTTTACGAGAGAAATGAAGTTTGGCATCGCTTGTTTATCCGGCCTTTGCCGAATTCCCATCAACAAAGTCGAATTGTCAGAGGCGAGTTGCCACCGGCCATGACCGTCATGCCACGAGCACGGGGGCCATCACTGGAAGACCTGTCCAACGAGGTTCTCGAGCAGATAACCCAGTACATCCAACATTGGTCGAGGCTTCCTTCCCGCCTCTCGGTCTATGGCGTCCTGTCACGCGTCAGTCGCCGTTTGCGCGCGTTCGCCCTCCCGCTGTACTTCTCGACGATATGCATTCCCGTGAAGATGGCTACGCTTGATTCCTGTGTGATGAAAGCGCGCCCTCTCATGCGGTTGAATGCGTTGTTCGATACCAATCTCCGGTACAAGCGGTATGTCAAGTACGTGCTCGGCCTCGGACCTGACTTGTCTGAGGTCAAACATTCTGAACGACGCATTTTGCAGGAGTCTTACCATCGGTTCGGGGACGTATCCGACCTCTCCGTGGATCAACGTAGATCCTGATGCCACGGAGGGTCTCGGGCAGTACTCCTGCGAGTTCCTCGACATGCATCCGGCATGCCCATGGGACCTGCGCAGCTTCGTTTCGCTCTCCGTCAGCTGTGGGCCATCCCTCATACGGCTGCTTAGCTCTTGCAGCAACCTACGCATACTCTCGATGCGGTGGCACGATGCGACCTTTCCGGACCTGTCGCACTTTCCACTACTCGACACGCTGCGACTGGTGGGACAGCACTGCATCACCGTCTGCGAGGATCGGATGAAGTATCTCACGAAGCCAACGAAACCGCATCCATCTCTCCGCTATCTGGCATTTCACGGTGGCGTACACATACCGAGGAACCTAGTAGAAGACCTGCACGAGCTCTACCCCCGTCTCCGCGTTCTCGTCGCCATGCAGGCCCCGTTTGCACCTCAGGATATCCTCCATATGATCTCCAGGCATCACGACCTCGAGGAAGTCAACGCGGAGTTTCAAGGTATAGACCTTGAGCTACAACGGTGCCGACTGGACAATTTGGTCAATGTGATGTGTGGGCGAACGCGTATCTGGCCGCCAAGACTAGCTGCGACGATACCAGGGCCAGGGCCGTCGCACGCTGCGATGAAATGGGCCGGGATTGAGGTAGTTGGGTTCGCATTCGTGCGGAAGAGGCGCAGCTCGGATCCGAGTCTGTACGGGGAACCTCCCTACAGCGTCAGCTCCCTAGCTCTACGTTGCACCTCCCAAGAATCAGACAACCAGAGGATGCCCGACACGCTACGTAATCTTCTCGTCAACCCCGTTGGGTTTCCCTTCAAGCGAATTCGGCATCTCTCTGTATCCGTCCATGAACCCGGGTTTCGTAGAGATAAGTACGTCGAGGATTTCTTGGTATGGGCTTTCTATGCTCTCATGATTTGCCTCAACTAACAACATGGGTATCTGACAGGCAAAGTTGGGTACCGTGCTTGCGCACTGGCCCGTGATAGAGACATTTACCCTCCATCACGACATCGTGGACAAGGAATGGCCGGAGGGGGCAGGAGTTCCCGTTCTCGACGACGCGGACATTCCCAGCCAGATGTCCGACGTGTATTACGGGAGTAATCGAACGCTCGATGATTGTCTCGCCTACCTCGACGATGATGCCATCGAGAAGGTGGTAGAGGAGCTCAGTCGTATTCTGGGCCGGCAAGTCAGCATTTGTGACGGGGATATCGACATCGACAAGTTATGGATGGAGCGGAACGAGCGCACGGTCGAGCGCGCGGTGTTCAAGCTAGCGCAAAAGTGCACCACTTTGCGCAAGTTTCACTGGTTCGTGTGTCCAATGGGTACACTCACGTCCTGGGCGTATCGGATACTACGCGGCGAGGATCCACGAAGGCCAACGGTGGTGGGGCGGAGATCCTATGAGGGGTGCCTTTCTGGCGAACTGTTCCCATTTACCGCGGTGGTGGGTCAGGAATTACGTGCTGCGAAGGATGGGTGGACACAGCGATCTAGGTATCCTTGCTGAGATTGTACCAGACATATCCACGATGTAGTGCACCACGTACGAATGGGATTTCCTGCGTCTTGAACTCGAACCTATTGCAAGATCACAGTCACGGTCCGACATCCGCCCTCATCCGCTGCTTGTCTTGAACCACCATATGCAGGAATGCCTATAACTCTGGACGACCTCCCCAACGAGCTGCTGGACCACATAACCCACTACATCGAGCACTGGTCGCTACTTCCACCGCGACTATCAGTCTACGGCATCTTGTCTGGCGTAAACCGGCGTCTGCGCGCCTTCGCATTACCCAGATACTTCTCTACTGTGTGCTTGCCCGTACGGGCCACAAGCGAGCGCTGGCAACTGTACGGTCTTGAGCCAGGTCCTTTGGGCAGACTGGACGCGCTATTGAGCAGTCATCCGTCGTATAAAACGTATATAAGGTAACTAAGTCTACTATACGCAAGTATTCGCTCAAAGCGCTGAGCGTGCATCTAGGCATATAAACGTCGGCCCAAAGCAACTTCCATCGATGACAGTGGAATGGCAAGCTCGCCCTGAGCTGCCATATTACGCAAAAGGTCAACATACTGACACCCAAGAATGCTTCTGGCATTACTTCGACTCCGAGCAGACGTCCGACTCTTCATGGGATTTGCTCAGCTTTGTATCATTCATCATTCACTTCGGCCCTTCCACACTTCCATTCTTCTACTCCTGCGAGAACTTGCGTCGCCTGTGCATACGCTGGGACGACCAGGTATTCCCAGACCTGTCTTGCTTTCCTCGCCTTGAAGAAGCGCGACTGGAAGGACGGGCGATATCCCGCGCCGAATATATGCGCACGTGGTATCGTGCACCCCTCGCGAAGCCATGTCTATCCCTAGAAAGGCTGGCTGTTCACGGCGGAATCGCGATCCCATTCAACTTCGTGAAACATCTGCACGAGTTGTATCCTAATCTCCGCGTCCTCTCCGTAATCCGTGCCGCCCTGGCTGCACAGGATATTTTGCACTCCGTTGGAAAACACCTCGTGCTGGAGGAGGTCAACGCGCAATTCGTGCCGGCGGATGCGATGCGTACGTGCCGCTTGGAGAACCTCGTTAAGATCATATCTGGCCTCGAACGAGATTGGCCTTTCAACATTGCAGCTGGGACGAAGGTCTTCTCGCCGGTAGAGGGACGACACGCTGGCTGGACAGAACTTATCGTCAGCGGCTTCGCATTCGCGCGCGAAAGGCGGACTGGACGACGCGCGTCGGACCACGATCCACTCTACGACATCACTTCCCTGGCGCTACAATACATCGAGGCTGAATACCAGCCAGGACATTTCGACATACTCTTGGCTTTGCTCCAGACACCCGCGAAATTTCCCTATAAGCACATTCGTCATCTGGCTCTCTCCTGCTACGACGAAGGCCTCCTTCACGTCCGTCCAGTCGACGACTTTCTGGTAAGTCGACCCAAGCCTTTTATCTCTGCATCGCTTATGTCTTCGACTCCAGGCCCACCTTGGAGTACTCCTCTCAGACTGGGACTCGCTCGAGACGTTCACTCTACACCACGATCTCACTGAGAAGACATGGCCTCACAGAATTGGCGCATACGTTCCGGTCCTTGACGATATGTATGTCCCTACCGACAGGGCCATGTTGGAGGGCTTCGATCGTGCATTGTGGTCCTGCTTGCAGCATTTGCCGCAGCGGCAGAAGAAGCACGTCCTCGAGGAGCTAGGACGCATCGCCGGTCGCGAGATCGATCTGGACGAAGATAACAAGGTCATTGACATCGACGGTTTGTGGGTCCACCGTCACGAACAAACATTTACTCGCGGCGTGCGCGCACTGGCGGACAGGTGCCCCAAATTGCGGAAATGCCGACTATACGTCGATTCGCATTGGCATGAGACGTCCTTGGCGTACACGATCCGTCGTGCCGACGAAGGGTCTCGATGCAAGGCGTTGCTGCGGGCGTCATGGCCGGATTGCTTGTCGGGAGAGACCGCCCCATTCCTGACGCTCGTAGGGAAGGAGCTGCGCGCTGCCAAGCAGGCATGGATCAGAGACCGTGACCGATAGATGTTCTGAGCTTGTACAGTCGTTGACCACGTGATTTGACACCATCAGTCACGTTTGACACCAAAGGAAAACGCCACACCTAGGCCCGCTCGGTATCTGTCTGGCCTGCAAAATGGCTTACAAAATTACCTTAACATATACTGAGCACTAATATGACACTGTATATGCCATATAGGGGCCTCAATGCGAGCAATAGAGCTTGTTTTTCGGTGAATGCTTCTAGTCACCCTGCTTTTCAAGCTGTAATCGCGATGTTGAGTCATATTGAAGAGGCTCCTTACAGCCTCAGCTGTACCAGTACATAGCCACTGTATGCACGAGCATTTTGACATCTGAATGGTGTTAGAGAACTCTCGGGATGCAGCGCTACGACGTGAAAACCAGCTGTCTAAGAGCTGTGTGACAGATGGTGTCACAGTTCAAACTGCTGTACCGCTGTTTCCACGGACAAAGAATCAGCTTGAAAGTTGGTAATTTGAGTTATATATGATGACGGACACTACGCTATACCTTCTCGTGCGGTGAATGTACGTGTGTGAGCCAGAGACAGCGGGGTTCCGTGGTAGGGAGGCCTGGTTTTGACACAGCAGATGTACCTGGGAGCTGAATTCCCTGGAAACTGCCCAATTCGGAGCTATCATGGCTTCAAAGGGGAAATATCTTTCAAAGGCATGGTATGGAAAGTCTTTGAGGCTCACACACCGGTCAGGATGCTGATGTGGGTGTCGGTTTGACCCAGTTCACACGCCTGTCAAAGCACGTTGAATTGGCCGTTTCCCACGGAGACGCAGAGCGCGCGCTCTCCTTCCTTCGTCTTACCTTCCTTCCCCTCCAAATTCTAGTATGCTCTAGAATACATGTACTATTACTCGCCTGATTTTTCTCAGGACGATACAAGGTCAAGGAAACCCTCAGGACCAATATTACAGAAGGGTGTCAAACCACGTGGTCAACGACTGTACAGTCCTGTTCTCCACGGCGTCGTCCCCGAAGTGATGATCATGTCTGAATTCCATCCAAAGTCGCATTCAAAGTGCATGAGGCATGTGCTGCGTAAGAGATAACGTTACACTCCAAAGGTCCTAAGGGTAAATAATGCTCTAAAATACAGATGATAGCTGGATATGAACGCAAAGATAAACGAGTTGTGCGGCGTAATGGATTACCATGAGATGTGCATATTCTACAAGGAAGGTTCTGATAGACCGTAACAGCCTACATCAGATACGATGTCGGGGCGGAGCAGCCCGCGACGTACGGCGTAAAAGCCAACGAAGTTTTGGGCGTGATAGCCTACAAGGCCTTCACCCTCTTGTAAAACAGTACATATGCTTTCTGACTCTGGAGGAGAAAGTTGTTCGTCAGAATAATTGTCAGCAAAGGTGGTCTTTTTTCACGTACAACCACTTGTCTCGAATCGGGCAACTCTTTGGTGACGCTATCATCGCAGTAGTACCAGCGACCCCCGGAAGAGATGGACGCCGTGTCTGCACCGAACAGATCAGCTTACTATTCACGTAGCCGAAAGGTGGATAGTACTCACAATGGCCGCTGCTCAGATTGCCGAAGTGATTCGTCACCCCGTAAAGATCGTACTTGTACGGCGGCAGCTGAGTCCGTGGATCCTCGGGTGACGTCGAAGCACCGTTCAGCTGGCTCTTGTCCGCGCCGGAGGGCAGAGGTGGCGGCATGTACGATGTCAAGTCCAAGCCCTTGACGGGGAAGTCGACGAAGGTATCGATCTTGTCCGAGAACCGGCCGTGCGCCTCGAAACGCTTGAGATGGATGACGAGTACAGGCGGGAGACGAGCAAGCATGAGCGACTTGCTAGCGCTGCGCTTCGTCTTGCATCGCGGGCAGTCCCTGGAGCGGCGGTTCAGATGATGTCTGCGCTACAAAGGCAGTGAGCTCACCATGCATCGTCCTTCTCCAGCGTCTCCGAGTTGAAGAATGCATCCAGGCATTGCTTGAGATGCGCCTTCCCGCCGGCCCTTGCATGTGGCACAGGCAGCGAAAGGATTGAGAACGTGTTGTACGTGGTCGATGTCTGGGAACCGTCATCAGCGGACCGGCAATGGGCAACCTAACAGTCTACTCACCTGCCCACATGTCAAGCACTTGACCTGGTTTCGCAGCTGTCCCTGAAAGTAGTCCACGATAATACTGTCGTTCCGCAACCGCCACGCCTGCCACTCTTGCTCGCTCGCAATCTGCGGCGGCAAGCGCTCGAGCTCAGCTTCCTGCTCCGGTGTTCGCGTGTAGTTCTCGCGCTTCAGAATTCGGTTGAGGTCCTCATGGATCCCATCGAGCAGGAAGCTCAGGAACTCTTGCGAATCATGCTGGTCGGAGCCCTTGTACTGCTCGTTGATGGCTCGGATGGCACGCTGGGCGAGAACGTGAGCACGGACGTTGCACACATCAAAGCAACAAAAAACGAACCATGAACTCGCTAGGTATAAGCTGCGATTCACTTGACCACATCTGATGCACGAGCGCCGCAAACGCCGCAGAGAGTACGCCCTTGCTGCCCATCGTGTTGTGCATGTTGATAGCATTCTTCCACCGAGTGTCTGTCGCGAGTGTCGATAAGCACGAACAGCGTCACTCGTAGTATAACTACTCACCCTTGAAGAACTGCGCAAACGGAATCGTTGCGCTCAGGCACTGCAGAGGTGCATTCGCATAGCAGGTATTCCCCAGGTTCTTCAACCCCGAGACTCCAACCTTGTCGTCTCCCCAGAACACCACCGGATATTGCGAGCTGATCCTGGGCGGGCCAATGGCAGGGACTAGCGAGAACGAGGGCCTTTGTTGGTTCAACCACGGCCGGCTCGCTTGCCGCTCGAGCGCTGGCGAAGCCGCCGCGGGCGGCGGGCGAATCGGCTGCGAAGAAGCGAGCTCGGGATAGTCGATCTGCCGGCTGGGCAAATGCATGAGCGCCTCCTGCGACTGGTCGATGTAGTCGCTGCGCCTGCGAGTCATGGCTGGGATGGACGCCTGAGGAGGCGAGGCGATGTCCATGCCGTTCTGAGAGGAGACGAAAGACGTAGAGCTCCCGGGGCCCATTGCAGAGGTGCGCGGGTATTGCGGGTATGTGATGGTGCCTCCGCCAGACATGGAGTAAGACAACATGGGTGCTGGAGCGACGATCTGGGAGGGCTGAGCAGCAGCTCTCGGCAGGGTTCGCGCACCACTTACGTTATTGCCAGTCGTCGAGATAGACTGCCTTATTGCGGGTCGTCGCGCCAATGGCATCTGCGAGGCCGTTCCGTTGGTGGAAGATTCCGCGGGTGATCTAGACGTGCGTAAGTATTCTGTGAACGTGCCCACAAAGCGTACGTACCGCATGTGCCCAGCGGACTGATCAAGCGAATAATGAGAGCGATGCTCTTGTATCGTGGGTGGTATAGAGCCCGATATTGACGGGCTCGTACCCGAATGCGTGTCCGCTCGCGACCTATACAACGTACGACTATCGAATGCTGGAGGATTGGAAGAAGACGAAGGCAAGGGCGGAGAGGCAATGCCATTGCTGGACGGTGTCTTGGAAATGGGCGTAGAGCTCGAAGGGGTCAAGGAAGTCGACGCCAGGGCCTCCGACGGGGACGACCCGCTATCAAGCTCTGCTGCTCCGAAATCCCTGCGCCACGCCTCGATGCCGCCGACAAGCATCATGGGAGGTCGCTTGAGGGTCTTCGGGCCCGTATATGTGGTATAGATCGCCTCATACAGCACATACAACGGCGAGCCGCGGTCGAAGGATGTGGAGGAGTTGTCGTACATGACGACCAGGTCGAACTTCTCACGCATACGGAAGCAGGATAGCTGCACACCAGCGGAGACGTTCAGCGCATCGTCGATGGTGTCAGCGCTCACACTGCAGTGCAAGGATGAGCAAAGACCGAGTAGCAAATCAAGACAACGACGTACTTGGAGCGTTGCAGTATGATAGGTTCGATGCATACGATGGCGCTGGCCTTGATGTGTTCTCGTTCGAAATCGGCTTGATTGCGGACATCGATGAGGAGTACTTTCCGCTCTCGCAAGTATGCGCGCAAGTCCTTCGGTGTCGTCGCGTTCGTCTTGGGTATGTCGATGGGGCTGGCTCGTGTTGATGGTGTGTTGTTGATCGAGAGATTAGATGGTTTGCGGGGTATAGGTGGCTTCGATGGTGACGCAGGACGACTAGTGAAGGTATTGACTGTCGGAGGAATGGGGGTACTAGACGGACGCTCTATGGACAGCGGAAGGTTCTTGAGGGAGAAAGACGGTGATACTTTGGAGTCACCGGTTCGATGATCCCTATGTGACCCTGTCGATCCGTTGCTGACGCCTGTTGGAACAGACGGTAGGCCAAAGCTCTCGTCCAGCTCGTCGATGGATGGGAAATTGGTAGAGAACTCGGATATCGATTGTGAGTAGGTGGGGATTAGCGGAGATGAAGATGGTGACGAGGTGGGGGAAGGCGGTCCCAGGGTAGAGGGTGGGACGAAAGCATGTGTCGGCGACGCAAACGTGACAGGAGGATTTGAGTTCGACGGAGTGGGTTTGAGGGGTGGCGATGAGATACTGGCGAAAGAACCAGCAGTATTCTGCACTGAAAGCCGCCTTGGAGATGTAGGTGGAGTGGGAGCAGGCTTTGATGGTACTGAGGGTCGTCCATTTGAGACGTTGAGCCCGTTTTCTTTCAAGGCGCGCACGCGATCCGCTATGCTCTTCGGAGCATCGCCAGAATCATTAGACCTGCGAATACGTGAGAACGGGGGATGTATACGCAGCGAACGGCGCACGCTGACGATTGCTCGATGGTCCGGAGCTTCTCTTCAATAGAGCGTATCTTCGGTGCTAGGTCCTTGTAATCGTGCTGTGGCCTCTGTTGAGCCAACTCGACCCAGAAAGACGATGGCTAGCGACGCACCTCGATGTAACTCTTGACCTCCATCATGAGTACACCACCCTTGTCCTTCTTCTCCTCCAATAGGTCTTTATGATCCAGAGTGCGGAGTGCAAGAGCTACAGCCTTTGCATACGCGCTGAGGGCCTCCTTCAGCTCGCCTCTGGGCTTCGTGGTCCTTGCCCTTCTGGGTCTGCGTGCGCGCAGACCTGAGCAGGGATATTCCAGAGGCACCCCTCGTCTCCTTGATCACCGCGTCCTGCGCAATCTTTTTGATTTCGTTGATAGAGTCATCTTCATCCGACCGTCGGGAGCCGCTGGCAGGGGACGCGGAGACGGTCGACTTGGACGAGGACGCGAGAGCCGGTGATGAGGGACCAGCGGAAGAGGGGATGCCGGTCGGAGGGCTGGGGAGAACAGAGATGCCAGGCATGGCTGGCGCCGTCGTCTAATCCAAGAGAACACTTAATTGTTGGCTCACCGTCGGCGTCGACGACGAGGGTCAAGACTCAGCACCTGTTTTGCTTTATTTGTTCGATACCGCCACATATACCGTCGTGCCTGGCAGTGGCAGTTGCATACCCCAAGTCTTATTTCCAGCAGACGGTAGGCTGCTCACACGCTCAAGGGAGTGCAGTATCCCGACGACGTTAAATAGAACTACGACAACAATATACATATGCTCGGACCAGTGCATAACGTCGCATGTTACGCTGATCCTCGAGTTAGCCAGTGACTGGGTTGGGGAGGAGTGTGCTAACCGTCGACAGCCATGGCAGTATCAGCAGCATGAGCACCCGGTGGAGTACTGACTTCATGCTCTCCATCTGCGTCCGCGTCCCCATCCGCCATGGTCGTATCCTCCTCCGGGCAAGCCATTCTGCGGCGCACCATTCTGAATAATGACACTATTGGTAGGCCCATCCTGCCTGTGCTTCGACTCGAAGAAACACCGATGGCAGAATTTGTCGCAGTCGTCCGTCATCGTCGCATCCGAGTCGTCGTCCCCATTGAGAGGATGCCACAACGGAGTGCAGTGCGTGCCGCACCTTATGCACGATTTCTCTGTTTCAATCTCGTTCGTGGACGGTACGTCCTTGATGCCCAAGACCTGGTCGAAACGGCGGGCCTTGCGCAGAAGGCCGTGGGCCTGATTCACGGCGGCTTGCTTGTACGCTTGGCAGTACACTTGCAGCGCCGTCTATATGGGGCAAAGTTAGCGGACGTTCGCAGTGACTACCAAAGTCCCAGCGCCGAGTCAGCGATCGCATTTGTACTCACTTCGCCGTGCTCATTGGTGTCGCAAAGCTCGTACATGTTGTTATGCAGGCCCTTGTGCTCCTTGCATGACACGATGGCCGTCATACATCCCATGTCGCCCTTGAACGACGTAATCACGGATGGGTCCTTCCGACTGTTTTTGACCTTGAAGAACCTTGCATTAGCTAGCGGTCTGCCTGCAATCTGGAAGATACTCACGGGCGTCATTTCAAAGCCGAACTTGTGCCCCACGCGGTACGCGCAGGAAACATGGAACTCCCTAGTGCAATCGTAGCATCGAATGACCGCACCGCCCGACACCCCACAGAGAACACATTTCTGAAGAGCGACCAGTCAGCAAAACTCCTTCATGCAGCGCGAATGACGTTCAAGTGGCGAATTACGCCCACGCGACGTGGCAATCGAGGGAACGATACTTACATTGACCCATCGTGCTCTCGGGATGACGCTGATACCCTCGACGACACGCATCGTCTTCGTATCAGTGAAGCACGTATCCGGGACGAAGACCGAGCAGAGGATATGCGCCCAGCCTTGGCCCTCGGTGGGTTTGCACGCGCGAAGGAACGAGTCGGGCGGCGGCCCGCGGATCTTCTGCTTCCCGTCCTTGCGCGGGCGGGGACAGAGTAGGCAGACGGGGTTCTGGATGAGAATGTGAGCTAACGAATCGACTGGGATGGATAACACTTACAATCGCCGCTTCCTCTGATTCTTCGTTCTCGCAGATTTCGCAGAGCCACTTATCTGCGTTCTCGGGGGTGACGGTCGCACCGCAGATACCTAACGCGAGTTACAGATCGTCTTCTTCGACACTCAGTATGATACGCACCGGCGTGGAAGCGCGCCTGACAGACCCTGCACTGTACGACCCGACCGCCATTGGCGCGATGGCAGACCATGCATCGCGTACCCGACCCGATACTCGAAGCCGGTGGTGTGGATGCAGCGGAGGCGGATGGCTACGTACCCAATCAGCACTTCGACTCCATTGACAATCATTCGACCCCCACTCACCCTGAGCCTCTTTGCACCCGGCGCCGGCGTCACGTCCCTCTTGTCCGTCCCCCGTTTGCCATTCTCGTTCTTCTCCTTCTCCTTCTCCTTCGCGACCTCCTCGCGCACCGGGCGCATGTTCAGGTCGGCGTACTTCCGCCAGTTCGACCCGCATGTGTCGCACAAGACGTTCGTCGCCAGCCCCTTCGGCGCCTTCCACCAAACGGGAGACGTGCGCGTCCGACACGCGCCGCAATACGCGTTCTTGCCCGTCGGTGCGTCGACGGTCGAGGCCTCGTCCTCGTCGACGTGCTGGCCAGCAGCAGCGGAGCTCACGTCGCCGAACACGGTCGGGACGGTTTCGGGCTTGCTCTCTTTGCGCGTGCGCCGATGCTCCTCGCCGAGACATTTGCTGGGAGGGGCAGTGGTGAGAATAACAATCTGGACGATCGAGGTACACAACGTACGCTTTCCAATGCCCGTAGAACCGGACGACCTCTTTAATGGTGCGAGAGCGCACCGCTTCGCGGACGGCGCGAAGCTCGGCGCCGTCCTCTTTGATGGCGTTCTCGAAGGCCACGATCTCCTGAGGGGTCCAGTCGGCGTCCCTCCAAAGCTTTTGCTCCGTACTCCACTGAGAGAGCGTCAGCTAGCGCACGCGAGCCAGACATTCGGTCCTCACCTTCTCAGTACGGTACGGAGACTTCATTTCGACCGACGACAATGAGCGACCCGCGAGGAAGGCATCTGTAAGCCTGTGCGTGACCTCGGTTTGATAATCGACATCGCTGAACAAATTGATGTCAGGAGCTAGACGGCGCTTGATCTCCTCGTCTACATTGGCGTCAGTACAGGCCGCTAACCTACCGTTTCCCTGCTCACATTCCGCCACTGTAAGGATGAATCGTTAGTTCAATATATGCAGATGCAGAAGACGATGCTCACGTTGCGCCTCGTTGAACTTATCTACAGCACTGAGGATCTCTATGGTGTCATCACCTCCGCGCTGTTCAATCCCAGGAGCGATGAGGGGCTGCATCTCCGGCGCAGAGGGTACGACAGCTTGGTACTTCGGCCCCACGCGAGTTGCTGTCCTTGGGAAGATAAGGTCGTCGGGATCTGTTGCAGTACATCAGTCTAACTCTCTAGTAAGCGTGCTTGTTCCTCACCTAGTGTGTCCTCCGCAACCGTGTACAAGCTATGAACGTACTTCAGCACCTCCACGCAGATAGGGCGTACCTCGACTTACCCGAAGTAACGGAAGGGCCATCCCTTGAAGTGCTTGATAGGCAAAAGCTCTTCCTTCATTTCTCCGCTGCGGTCCTTCCGTGGACGCCCACGACCGCGCGTCGCGATCGCCTTAGCCTGATTTCTTGTCTGCACCGAATGATGGACATCGTGACTGTCCACCTCTTCCTCATGTTGGCGCGAACAAGGTGCGCACGTCCATCCATACCCGCGAGCCGGCTTCGCAGCCAGCGGTGGCTGCACACATCCCATGTGGAAATACTTCTTGCATCGGGCGCACTGTACGGATTCCGGGCTGCAGGTCGCGGGTTCGAATCATGCTGAAAACGGAGAGAAATAGCGTGGCTCACTTTGGACACCACTGCGTGCAGGTCTCGCAAATCCGGATGTCGTCCGTGAGGTCAGGGATGACCTCCTTCTCCGCGACGACGTATTCGTAACGCGAGCACAGCGTCTCGCGGATGTTGTCCGGCACTGTCCAAAAGGATTAGATGAATAGTTTTCCCACGCCCCTTCCGCATGAGGAGAGCCAACCACCGAACGCACAATTGTGGACATCTGAGCTCTGTATGACCTCGAACTCTTTCTTGATGTACGGGTCAAAGAGTCGGCAGAAGTAGAAGCGGTCAGGGCGCTTCTTGTAGCTGCTGAGGTCGGGGATTTTATCCCGGTGCAGGACGTAGCACTTGCCCCGCAGCGTGTTGATGGGCAACACCTCCGAAAATATGGTGGCGAGCAGAAGGCGCGAGTCTCCGCTCGGCCTGTCGCTTACGTCGATAGGACGGTAGTACCAGGCCAAGCGTACGCGGGTGTAGTGATAGATCTCGTCACCATTGCCTGACGGCGCGTTCTCTGGGCCGAGGAAGGCAACAATGCGTGCTATCGAGTACGGCGTCCCATCGCGTTGGGACCAAGACGGAGAGCAGTAAATATGGTCTGTATGAGTGGTTATCAACGTGAAAGAGGATGCTTTGTTTATAGGCGCCTTTACCATTTACTCTGACCTGCTCGCCGTTCTTCAAGTAAACCGGAAAGTCTACTCCGCTCATGACACCACAAAATCAGAAGAAAGCTGCCGTATCTCGGCAAGCCAGGTATGAAGCGGATACGGGAAAGAGGGACGGATTTTTGGGTTGTATGCGAAGTGGCAAGGTGGGCAAGGTGGGGGTTGGAGAGAGAAGTGTTCACACGTTTTCAAACTCCGATGCCATCACTGTGGCCCGTCCAGAACTGGGCCTACTTTGACCACTTTCGGCTGACAAGGCAGTGGCGCGGCTGTATTCATGAAGGTGTTCCCTGCGCTATAATCATCGCGGAAGAAGTCCACAGGTATATTCTCAGGAAACCAGGACCGCAAAGCGGCAAAGCATACGTCTTACTCATCCCTTCTTCGAGTGACTTACTCAAAGAAAAATGGACAGAGAATATGCACGTTCTCTCATCATTACAGTCCCGTGGTCATACACTACTACAAATCCTTGCAACACAGATAGTCCGATACCAGTACAACAACGTCCGTTAGTGAGTCCGTAAGTCCATGCCATGATATCGGTTCGGAAGAGTGCATACACCCAAATGTTCGTGGGTGGTCCTGTCGCACCGATTAGCACAGATCACAATCCATGCTCGCGAGACACCCACCATTACAGCCCGCAGTGCTTGACGTTGACCTGCTTCACGGTCGCGTCAATGGACCCCTTCTCGACAGCGCGCCCGCCGGTCAGCTCATCGAGCGCCGTCTGGGCAATGTTGAAGCCGCTCGTCGCGTAGTCGATGGCGAGGACGTGGATGGAGCGAGTCGTGCCGAACTCGTCCGTCCAATAGAGCTTGTAGCAGGTGCCGCACTCCGCGGTCCCGTGCGAGGCGCCCTCCTTCGCGCCGATGTGCGGAAACTGGGGCAGAGACCCGAAGGTGGTGTACCCGCGGGTGAGCAGACCGTAGGGCCCGTCAGAGCAGGAAACGGTGGCGAGCGACTGGCCCGCGTTGTCGTAGACGGGGTCGTAGCGGATGGTCGTAGCGACGGCGGCCGAGGCGGCGGCAACGGCGGCGACGATGGCAGAGATGAACTTCATCGTAGAGGTGAAGAGGGTAGATGAGATGGGGAGGTGGCTTGAAGGCGATTGAGTAGTGAACGTGCTGTTCGCTGGTCTATAGTGCCTCCTTCGCTAACCCTTTATACTCACCAGCCATAGCCGGGAAGGTCCTAGAACGGAAGATTTGCGGACTGCCCTCGCCGCGGGAGCGTCGACGTCTGCCAATCCGAGCTCTTCGGCAGGCCGTGGTCAGCCTGCCATTGTATGCCCCCGGTCTTGTGTTGCCGCCTCGCATACACCCGCCACACGCCCGGACTATCACTTGTCACTTCTTTCACAAGGGACAACGTCATCTCGAGGCAGAGAAGCACTGCTACACAAGGTTAATCGAAACCCGTGGACGGTGGGACAGGTACCGAGGCTGGCCCAGAAGAACTATCGGGCAAGGGCGCACAGCCGTTCGTGTTACCTCGGTATGGTCTTCCGTCTACTAGCATGATCCGGATTGGTGCTCTCTGGCATGTCTATGCGAACGGTGTCATATAGCGATATTAATTTACAGCGCGACCGTTCGTCGTAGAGGACCTCTCCAGTGGGACCGCTGGAGAAGGCCTCAATATTCGGCTCCAAGTACGAAGAAAGGAAGAACGCACCTTTCCACCTCCCCAAAAGCAAGTTCGCTCGAACGATTAACAAGTCTCGGAGCATCTGCAGCGAGGCGGTGAAGACGTTCAACTTGCTTCCCGGTACCTCATGCCATTCGATGGGGACCTCTGCGACTGGTATACCGAGCTGCTTCGCTAGTAGAAGTAGCTCGACGTCGAATATCCACGTCGGAAGGTGCTGTGCAGGGAATATATGCTGCGCGGCCTTGCGAGAGAACAGCTTGAAGCCACATTGTGTGTCGCGGATATGGCCGACGCCGACAATACGGAGGATGGTATGCAGGCCATACATGAGTACGTTGCGGATCAGAGAGCGCTATACAGAGCTGAGCGTCATCGTGATGAGCAAGGAGAGAAGCACGTACCTTTACAACCGCCTCCGTCTTGACCAGATGGGCCCGACTGCCAACGGCAATAGCGGGCGCGTTGTTCGGTCCTATCTTGTCCATAGCCTTCCACAGCGCGTCGAGGTCCATGAAGCGGCTAGCCCCGTCGGCGTCCACCATCAGCAGCCTCTCCCCGCTTGAATGAAGCATGCCGTGCCGCACGGCGCCTCCCTTGCCCAGGTTGTGCTTCAAGCTTACAACACGGATATCAGAGTCAGGATATTGTGCTGCCAACTTGAGGGATGCATCGGCAGTACCGTCGGTCGAACCATCGTCGACGATCAGGATCTCGTAGGAGAGCTTGAGTGGTGTCACGCGTAGATGGTCGATAGCGGAAGTGAGCATGTCAGGTAGCCGCTCCGTCTCATTGAACGCAGGAATTACGACCGTAAGGTCTACCGTGCTAGGGTCGGAGAGCGATGGGAGGGGCAGAGGCTTCTTCGGTGACTTGCGCGACCGGTACTCCTTCTCGGAGTCGTGCGTGACGATAGCAGGGGGAGACCATATCACAAGTAGCGCGTAGAGCTGTAGGTCTGCCGTGAGTGTCGCGCTCATACACAGGGGGAATGTACGAGGGATCAGTACACGAGCACATAGCTCGCGACCCAGAGGTTGTCGTCCTCGACTCGGCGAAGCAAGCTTCCCAAGTCTCGAAGAACAAGGATGATGTGGGGATCATCATGCAAGATAACATTGGATGTTACATACCACCGTGAACAGCCCAGCTAAGGCACCCCCGCCCCAATAGAGTATGGTTTCCGTGTCCATGGCTGCGTCGGCGCCTGCTTCGCTCGTCGAAGGGAGCGACACTAGGTAGGATAAGGAGTGACAAGGTGAGCGTTGTCCTCCGCAAGGGAGGATACGTATGGACTGCGCAGAGATGCTGCGACGCGACGGAGGTGAACGATGAGCATGGCCGTGCGCGCTTGGACTGTGGGAAACAGACGTGGCGGAATGCTGCGTGCCAATACGGACCACGTGCATCCACGTTTGTGGACCCACAACTGGGTCATAATGGGGCGAGGCTCGAGGTGACCGCAGACGCACACACTAAAACTTCAAGGAAAGTGATTGCGGGTGACTGAAATCGACATTCGTATGTAGTAAAGTACTCTCAAAAACGTTCTCTTAACCCCATCTCGCGTCGCCCTGCCCAAGGCACTCTACCAAAACCCACTCACACTCATGCTCCTTAATCGTTTCTCCTGCCTTTGAAAGAATAAGAGACCATGTATCCTCACCATCCGAGCGAGGCACCCGGAGAGCGTTTGAAGGCATCGAGTAGGGCTGTTTAGCAAGCCGGCCTATGGGCGCCTGGAGACAAGGTTGCACCGTTATCGCTATGAAATTCGCCGTGTCGTCGGATATAAGCCATGTTCTTCGACGATGAGAACACGATGAAAGTCGAGCTGAGAAGCGCTTACCTTAAGACAACGTCCAGAATGGACTTTAGGAAGGCCGGCGACAGCAATCCTCGCCAGCGCAGATGGGTAGCGTTGCCAACCGATGATGCCTCTGGAGGCTCGTAGATCGCAATATATGGATCTGGTCGATCATTGTGGGATAGCCTGAGTGAAAGATCAGTGGAGTTCTCCATGAGTAACGATCGCTGTATACCTTTGAGAGTTCAAAGCTGCTAAGCCAACCCACCCGAACAAACTGTTCATCCTAAGGTGCCAGTCTTCCCTCTCGTCCTCGTCGGTCTTTTCGCTCGGGAAGGGAGAAAGTTGCGCGGTGGGCACATGACAGTTGTGAAGCTGTTTGGTCTCTGGGGTGATCTCTTGAACGTCCGCATGCATGGCTAACTCCTCAAAAAGAGGCGATAGTGCAGCGGATGGGTCTGCTCAAGCATCAGCGCGCCTTTAGATAGAGATATTGAGTACCTGGGATACACACCAACAGTGGCACAAACGCAATCCCATTCCCCCAATCCTTCTTCCTCGCGCTTCGTGTCCAGGACCTTCAGCCCTGCTTTTACCCTTGCGAGCAGAGCAGGCTGCGTGAATATCTTATGCAGAGCTACCGTCACGACTGCTCTGCGCCCATCTCATTAACCCCCACGCGAGATCTCGCTGGCAGGACGCACCATACGCATCCGAATGGATGGAAGGAAACTTGAGCTTCGCCCCCGGGATACCCATCTGCTGATACATGCGGTCCGACACGAAGAGGGTGAGCTGGCCGTATGCGTCGATGCACCAGGTGTCGTCGCAGGCGCCGCTGGAGGTGCCCAGCCAGATCATGTCACTGCGATAGGTCCATTGGTATAGGAGAGATGAGGCGGACGGACAGAACCGAAAGGATGGGTTGGACGGTGGACAAGTAAGGTGGACGGGCAAAGAGGGCCATTGTGAGAGACTGACCTGCTCAAGCTCCCCGCCTTCACGAACGCACTCGACCGCGCGAAGAGTTCAGAGAGCTTCGTCTTCCCCTTTGCATATCGCGTCTTAAGGTTAGAGAACGCTGCGAGAAGGTTGGGAGAGGAGGGGAAGACTATGTCAACCTAGGACGCGCATGATTAGTCGAGGGAGAGTGGGCAAGGGAGCGCCATGGCTTAGCGAGGGAGAAGAGGGGGTTGTATTGGCAAGGGGAATTTGCTTGTGTCAGCCAGGGAGGGTGGGTGCGATCGGTGGGGAGAGCGCGTTCAATCACCAATCTGAGCAAGCCCGCTGAGACTGACCTGGTCCGCGCAGACGCGCGATTCAGTCAGGACGTTCAACCGATAGAGGTTTTCAGGCAAAGTGCCAGCCAGTATCTTCAGCCGTCGATGCTCGAGCGAGGCAGCCATGATGGAAGGAAGCAAGATCGCCAGCCGCTCTTTCGACGCGACGCGCTTGTCCAGGTTTTGGCTTCGTCTTACCGAATAGCAGCTCACCGCCGCCCGCCGCATTCGCAGATCGTTCTATTTTTCAGAATCCCGCTCAATTAGCAGAGCACAAGCATCAGAGCCTTCAACGCCGACGCGAGATCCAATAGGGTTATAAGTACAAAGCATTACGATGGGTTATGTGTCTATCCGAAGTATCTAGGTATGTGTGTATGTGTGCCATAGGGCCCTGCGCCAGTCCCCTCTATCCAGGACAGGCGAGTAGTCAGCGCCGTTGAGCGAGTGATCACCCCCGCTGAACAGGTAGTGGTCGCTCACGCAAGCGGGCGCTTGGCATACTTGCGCCTGTACTTGGAGTCGATGTTCTCCAGGTAATACGCCCCGGGCCAGATATTCTCGACCGAGCCCTCCGGGGTGAAGTCCTTCGCGTTGTGGTTCTTCTCACGGAGCTGAGGGGTAGTCAGTAAAAGTGCCGGGGTAGATGGAAGATTGAAAGTACTCACGTGCAGGGCATCGACAAACTCCTGCGGCGGGACGACCTTCATCTTCGACAAGCGGTCGATGAGGTCCATCTTCTCCCGAATCGCCGACGTGTCGCCCTTGACGCGCACGGTGAAGAAGCTCGCCGCGCAGCCCGAGCCGAATGCATACAAGCTCACGCGCTTGCCCTTCAGCTCTGCCGGCGCGACAGTCGACAACAACGAAGCCAGGCACCCATACAGCGACGCGGTGTACATGTTGCCCAACCGCCGCGAGCACGCCATGCCCGGGTCCGTCTTCTTCGCGAAGGAGGCCTTCGACGCGGCGACGAACGTCTTCTCGACGTTCTTGTCGCGCAGCGACGCCTCGTAGTCGAGCGCCTTCAGCTCCTCCGCACCCGGCAGGTTCGCGAACTGCGGGTCCGCGGGGTTCGCGATGAAGTCGTTGAAGAGCATGCGCGCATGGCCCTTGAGGGCCTGCTTGCCGTACGGGGAGTGGAAGATGGCGTAGTCGACGTCGGATAGGGAGAAGGCGGAGAGGTCGGCAGGGGCAGAGGCGACGCCGGCCTTGGAAACACCGCGCTTCAACGCCTTCGCGGTCTTGGCGCGGTAGGCGGTATACGCGGCGTCGAGCGCGGCGACATAGGTGACAACGGAGACGGGGCCGTCGACCTCGGGGTATTCGGAGGAGAGGTTCGGCTTGTAAAAGTCGTAGGTGTTGCTCATGTAGTTGCCGTGAATGGCTAGAGGGATGCATGTTTAGATCTGATCGCAGAAGCTATGGGCGATCGCAACTCACGTTCGAAGACAACAGGCGCGTCGGGGCCGATGAGGATGGCGACGGCGCCGGCACCACCTGCGGGGCGAGCAGCGCCCTCTGCGTAGACGGCAATGTCGCCAGCGACAACGATGGCGTTGCGACCGTCCCACGAGCTGGACTCAATCCAGTTGATGGCGTTGAAGAGCGCCGCGGTCGAGCCGTAGCACGCGTTTTTCGAGTCGATACCCTCGATGTCGTAGTTGCCGGCCTCAGCGAAGAGGTCCATGAGGGTCGTCTTGACCGACTTGGACTTGTCGATGATGGTCTCGGTGCCAACGTCGATACGGCCAATGGACTTCGGGTCGACATTGTACTTCTCCAGCAGACCAGCGACAGCTGGAGGGGGGATCTTCAGGACACGCGTGAAAAGTGAGGCATGTGGGTCGCACCGTTCAGCGCGAAGGAGTTGATGTCCTCGCGGTCGTCGGGCCAGGCCATGTATTCCTGCCCAAGACCAATGGTGTACTTCCCCTTCGACACTCCGTCGTACTCTTCGAGCTCGGCCTCCGATATGCACTTCGCCTCATGTTAGCATTTGAACACGTTTTCAGACGCGTCTGCACACTCACTCGGTAGGGGAAGTAGACCTCCATACCGAGGACGCCGACGTCCTTGGGGCGGGGGATATCCTGCTCGAGCACGGGGACAGTCATGTTGGAGGCGGGGGCTACGAAAAGGTGACGGGGAGTGGGGAAAGGGAGACGAGGGGGGCTGGCAAGCACGCGCTGGCTTTATATGGGGCGATTTCGGATTCGGGGCCAGATTTTTCGGAGTGCTGGGATGGTACGATTCGATCACGAACGATCAAAGCGGGATATTCCCCCCAACGCTCACGTCGCAAGCAACGCCCTCCTTCCACTCACACCATCGCAGGAGTGCGAGGTCATCTCTGTTGTACCAGGAAGTGGTCTGATTCAAGACGAGTTGATGCCTATACTAGTACTGATACCGTTTCCTATCGGCGTCAGAGCGCGGCAGGCAGCCCACCCATTCAGTACAGCCATCGCTCCGATGCTTGCCCATTTTCCTCCCCTCCGATACCCTCGCGGTGTCGATTCCAGTCAGAGAAACTCCCACCGGCGCGGCAGACATGTTCCGGGGCCCTGCAAAGGATCCAGACAAGCGCCCCCAGGTTCAGCTTGTGGTCAACTTGGCATGTGCGATCACAGATGTGCCAGCGTTATCTTATCTGATCCCATCACGACCTTCTTCCGTCCGCTTTTGGCTCTTTGAATGCCCCTCGCGCATCTTCGACACCGGTGACCTACCTGCTTGAACCTAACCTCAACCTGGGGCTGCTATAGACTCGGGCAATGCTGCATCGGATAGCCGATGCTTCAGATGACAAGCTCGCTTGGCTACTTCGTCTCAGAGCCTGCGGTACACCGACTGCGCCGTCCCGCGCCCTGTCAAGGCGCCATCGATTGTACGCACCAAGGAGACTCAATTTGTAGCGCTGGCAAGGCGTGCTGTCGGGACAGGGACAGGCCGCCAGCCGCTGGGCAACACCCGAACGGCCGGCGGCATGCGCGTACCAGGGTGGCGCGTAAATGACGACTCGTGGCAAGAGGCTTTATTCACAACCACTTCAACTTTGACTTTCACAGCTTCATCGCGTCACCAAACCTCTTTCAAACTGCTGTGGATGCTAGCTCGCATAGTAATGTTAACCTTTAAGCGCCTTTTCCGAGCTTTCAAACCTGCTCACGCGTACGTCTGACTTCGTGTAATAATTTTGCAGCACGACAAACCGAAGCTGTCTTCGTGCCTCCAGCTACACGTATCGGATTGCCTGCACGACTCATGGGAGCCTCTAGCTCGCCTTGCACCCAGCGAAAGGGTATTTTACGTCAAAAATCGCCCGCTCGACACGAATATCACGAATACGCAGACGCCTATTGGATTGTCGCAGGTATACTCTACCTCGAGGATTTACGCTCGTGTTCAACAGTGATTTCTTGGAACTTCAAGCGTGCGACTCCACGTCAAACCGCATACTTCTCGCTTGTAAAGGCGTCGTACTCTATCAGCCTCGAGTGGCATCTTCCCAGGAGTCTTGCTGTCTGGCCCTCCTTCAAGCGTGTTCGAGCGCAGTAACACAAGCCGCTCCCTCGTACACATTCGCACCTCGCAAGCATTTTGTTCCCTTCCGCATCCTCGACATCAGTAAATCGCTAGTCAGTATACAAGGACTCATGTCTTCGTCATAACGTTCGTCGCCCCCGTCTCTGGCACTCGTCGTCTCCGATGTTGGCTTTCGTCATCCCTCGTTCACAGCGTGTACCGATACCCACTCCATTCGTCCCCCTTGTCCCGCCTCGCCGCGTCCACACTATCGTACACGCCATTGCGCGCGTGTCCTCCCTTCTTGCCCTCGTCGCCTTCCTTCCCCTCGTCAGTGCCCTCCGCCCTGATGACCTCGTCGCGCTCCCCGCGGTCCCGCCGCCGATTCTCCCTGTCGGCAAGGAACAGGTAGACCGTGCTGGAAATGAGGCCGAAGGCGATGTACATGAGGACGAGACCTGGGTGTGGCGGTAAGCCAAATATGTCCTGTCACAGGGTCAAGGTTGGCAACGCGTACCATGTCCTACATCGAGGAAACCCCTGTTGTTAGTCGAAAGTGCAGGTCAGGGATGGATGACGTACCGAGAGTGTACCAAGGCTTGTCCTTGTCGCGATACTGGAGGAGAGGGTAAGTTGAGTACTCGAAGATAGCCAGCAAGGACGTACGACGTTCGAGCTTACGGCGCCGTTGATGTTACCGCTGCAATCTGAGTTAGCGAGATGGACAGACGAGAAAACTGCCGACGGACAAGCCTATGACCATAGCCAGCGATACGCTGCGTTTGTACGAGCCCTCGACGTTGTTGGACATCCATGCACTAGCCGGAGCGGTGAGTCCATGACAAACAGGCAGATAGGTTATCCTCACATCGTGTTGGCTGAAGCAACGCGTACCAGGTCAACGGCTACTACAATCTGAGAGAATGTGCTGCGTACGAATATTGGGGTATATCCCACTGAATGAAGTTAGTGGGTCAGTCAGTAGCGATTGAAGGGCCAATCATGCTGACGCACCATGCTGCCAGATAGACGCCGACATACGATAGCGCACCGCTGCGCGAGACGATCAAGATGATGTATCCCACAGCGCCCAAAATGAAGAAGCCACTACAGTTGAAAATGATAAGCGCCTGCCTCTGAACCCAGCCTGAGCGGTGCTTTCAATGCGACGTACATGTTGAACAACCCTCGATGCCCGTACCGGTCGGCGCAGACGCCCACGATACACGTTACGATGCACGCAAACACGTAGACCGGCACGGTGAGGAGGTTCGCGGGCGTCGCCGTGTAGCCAATCTAGGCGGGGTCAGCGTCAGCTCAACCTGCGCGCCACCCGGGTCGGAGGCCGGTATAATCGTACCTGGTTAATGATAGTAGGCAGGAACACGGAGAAGGAGTACAGTGGCATGTCGCAGCCCACGTAGATGATCACTAGAGCCCGCGCGGGGCGGATCATTGTCAGCCCTCGGACACCTCAGCACAGCCAAAGTAGCCCAACTCACTCCCTACCCACGTCTTCCAATCTGCGAAGCTCTTCCAAATATACTTCATCTTCAGCTGCTCGCCCGCCGCGCTAAACTGGTCGTCCGCCTGCAGCCGCCGGATCACGACCGCGCGCTCGGCGGGGGAGAGGAACTTTGCGGTATCCGGGAAGTCCTGGATGATCCAGAAGGAGATGATCCCGGCGAGCACGGTCGCGAGCCCCTCGAGGATGAAGATCCACGCCCAGCCGGCTTTGCCGCCGATGCCATCCATCTTTGAGATGGCGGCAGCGAGGAGGCCGCCGAAGGCGCCGGAGACGGTCGCGGCGGAGAAGAAAACGGCGGCTCGAATGCCAAATTCGCTGCGTTTGTACCAGCTGTTAATGTCGCTAGCTCGGTAACGAACCTGCAAAGGAAGGATATTTGGACATACCATGAAAGGTAGTAGTTGACGCCCGGAAAGAGACCAGCTTCGAAGGTACCCAGCAAGACACGCATGCCAACAAGGCTGGGATAGTTCGTTACGATACCTTGCAGCGTCTATCCATGTCGTCAGTACATTCTCAGGCAAGTAGATTGAGCCCTACCATCATGATACCCCAGAATACCATAAGACCTGACAACCTGCGCACCAATTGAGTCGTATAGTCACTTGTTTGGGTGGCCGACTGACCATATCGACGGCCGTAAGCGCTTGAGAAATATATTGGAAGGGACTTCAAGGATTGAATAGCTGTATGGCAAGTCAATCGCCCCCAAATCACCTGCACTATGGCAGTCAACCTACCTGAAGTAGAACACAGTCAAGCTGATCAAGTACTGCTTGTCGGACATGTGCAGATCGGTGGTAAGATGATACAGCTGATCAGGGATCCACAGCTCAGCGGCGTCGTCAATACGTCCCAAACAACCCTCTGACCTTCGCGCTGTAAAAGAGACTGTCAGCTCGGCGTCGCTCGACAGCGGGCGGATTCACACACGCACTTTCCGATACTCGTGCGGTCGAGGAAGCTCAGCAGGTAGAGGAGCGAGAGCCATGGGATGAGTTGCAGATCGATCTTGCGGAGGAGTTTCTTCTCGTCGACGCCGCTGGTGTCGATGGCGGCGGCGGGCGCGTCATCGCTTAGCGAGCGCGCGTCCACGGGGACGTCCGCTGACACGACCGTCGCGTCTTTCTTCTCGACGTCTGCCATTGCTAGTGAAGCTTCGTGATCGACCCAAACTGCCGGGAGGTTGCAGGTTGATTCAAGGGTGCTCGGGGCAATGGTCGTCGCTTCAGTCAACCTGTCGTGTCCGAGCGATTTAGGGAGAGGAGAAACCCGCTCGCTGGCAGTCCGTGCGCTGATGACGCCAGGAACCGCCAGATGGGTGGGAATCTATGTGAGCAGGTGAAGGAAAAGAAGCATGCCTCTATGGAGTCCCCAGGTCGCGTGAGCACCCTTGGGTCAATCTGACGAGATAGCGCTATGATGAGGGGCAGGGCAACGCGGGCGTGCACCATGAGATGCCATTGAATTGAACTTTGGAGGCAACTGAGCAAAAGACACCTCTATGTCGCCAACGGGTCGGCGCAGATTGGCGTTCGCAGCTGCGGCGTCGGTCATGCGTAGATCCCAGAATGTTCATAAATGGACGGCGCGGCCAGCGATGAGAAGCATCGGACTGGAAGACGTGCAGAGATGGACATGCTGAGAGCGAGCGACCTAGATGATTGCTCAAGACTACAACGATACAACGAGGACAGAAATGCCAAGTCATGTTGAACGGAGGATCGGGCCGGAGCTAGCTGCACGCTCCTCACGCAACATTCACGTACCATCATGTTCGACAAGCGTCCGAATTGAGTCTCGGAGGCCTCATAAAAAATAGAAAATCACAGGCGCAGCATGCTCATTGAAGGAGAAGACACCTGCAGAGGCCATCAAAATAGCTCTGGAAGAGTGAGCGACGCTAAATAGCACAAACGCACGCTAAGTTGGATATTGTGGCAAACCCCTCGAGAGATGAATGAACCCCGCACTAACCTCAACATCGCCCCACAACATCCACGGCCCACCATGCTCATAGTCGGTCTTGTGACAACGCAATGTCGGCCCCCCACAACTCATCGAAGGCCAGACGTTTCTCCGCCCCGCATCCCGGGTGTTGCCCACCTGACGCCCCCACAGTGCGGGCGCTATTCGAACGCAAGCGCGTCCTCCAAACCTCGACTCGGAGCTCCGAGGCGGCGCGTGGCGAGCAATGCACCGACCGAATCGTATGATGAAGAGCGGACGCGTACTGAAGGATCCGGCGGCGCGCAAGTCTGACCGCCCCGCTGAGCTTGCAGACCGCCGCGTCTCACATGTTGCCGGCGCCACACTGCTTTCGTGAAGGGCGGGCCACAAAAGCGGTCAGGTGGGGGCGTATTTCGAGAAGCGGGCTAGTTTGGGCGCAAGAGTGCCACCGTGAAGGAAGCATATGAGTTCTGGTGACTGCCAGCTGCGACGGATGGTGGTGCAGGACGGAGTCGTGGCGTGCCGGAAGAGGCGCGCGACCCGATCTTGCGATCAGCGCTCGCGTATGTCAACTGCCGTATGAAGAGGCTGTTGATAGCAGTTACCGTTCCTGTGCTAGAGCGCCAGTCCCATACCAGAGGGGTGCGTCCGGGGAAAGAGGAGATTGCCAGAGCAGAATGCAGTAGCCGGGTCGAGGCAGAGCGAGTTCCGAGAGCGTTTGCTCTCACATGCGGACAGCGAGCATGCACGCTCATGAGAGGAAGTTCGCAGGCTGGAAGGGCCTCTGCTTGATTCCCCACATCCAGCCCCGCGGGGGCTTTACACAGGAGTGCTGCACCCTGATCCTCCGGCTATGGTAAATGCGGACATAACGGATTTTCGCCCAGGCACATGAGACGATGAACTCACAGAGGACCCCTGACAATACGCACAAATGCCTGTCGGGGGTGCGGATAAAAACGGGTAAAACGCAAGCGATGGTCAGTGCAAAGTGCGGATAAAAATTGGCAGGAACCGGCCGTAGGCCTGTCGAAACTGTCGGATAAAAATGGGTAGTTCGACGGAGGCCAGTGCAAGTGCGGACAAAAAACTACCGCCGGGTTCGAACTTCGGCCCTCCGCATACAACGCTAGGTGGCTTACCCCCTGCGTTAAACGACCTTCAACAGTACATGTACTTGTGAGTTTATACCAACTTTCCAGGGCAAACAGGGCGAACAAACGGTAGGCCAACGCCGATTCCGCCTTCTATCGGGACGAACTCGTTGTTTTGTGGGTCACTGACGTGCCTATTTACGGGAGGTAGGCATTTAGGCACCCTTGGAAGCGTCCTAGTCAGTGCGAAGGAAAACAGCGATTTTGGCGATTTTTGGCGATTTTTACGAATTTTCAAGGCCTGTCGGGCGGTGCGGACAAAAATTGGCACTTCGCTCGACCCCTCCGCAAAGTGCGGATAAAAAGGGGCAGAGCCGCCCAAAATCGGTGCGGACAAAAAAGGTCAAAAGGCCAAAATTCGCGAAGAGGCATTTGTTGGTACTGTCAGGGGTCCTACTCACAGCGACGTCGAGGATGTGTGGCACGCCGCCGTTGTTGATGAGTACGAGCGCCTGACGGCTGACGCAAATCCACGCTAGAAAACAGCTGGAAGCCGCGAGGGGGCGCACGCGAGGCGGACCTGCCCCCGAGTTTAGTCGAGACGCGCGAAATGACCTGAAATGACCAAGGGCCTACGGCGGGGGAGAATAACGGCTCGCAACCGTATCTACGCCGCATCAGGATTTTAGGAGGCCCCCGCATGAGCTGAGAGAGCGGCACGGTGGCGGCGCGCCTATGAGACAGCAACCGGGTAGAGTAAGGTCCGTACCTGCAGGCTGCGATCTCTTCTCGCGTATGACTGGTGCCGCGGAGGCTCTTCCATGTTTCTCTGGCTAGTCTCAGTCCAGGCGTACGATTGGGCTCGACGAGCCGTAAGTTGCGACGGCTCGCGCGGCGATGGCGGGTGCGGATCTTTGCAAATGAGACCGACGCGGAGGTGGAGGCCCTCTCTCGCCCATGACATTGCTGGATACGTCGCTGTGGCTCTGTCTACAGGGTGAAGGGCTACATGTGAATATTTTTGGTTAGCCCCCAGGCGCTCGCAGCATCGCAGCACGGTGCGGCGGGACGACTGAATCTGACGTCGAGGAGGAGCAGTGCAATCAATTGGGGCACCGGGTCCCTAAACGCTCCGAGCTTTCAGCGCTGCCGGAGAGGCAGGGAAAACTTCGTTGGGCGCGGTTTTTTCTGGGGTCGTCCCTCGACGAGGCGCGCAGTGCCCGACGCGCAACGCTGGTCGCAGGGCGCGGTCGGGCGGCGGGGGGATTGCGGGTAAAGTGCATGTGGAAGCTCCGTAAGCACCCGCACCTGGTCCGTACGTCCGGAGGCCGGCCGGCTGATTATATCGATCATTATTTGTACCGGATTTGGCGGACTTGTCTTGTGCCTTTTATTTGCAAATTCGCTTTCTTGCCAGCTTCCTCGACCTTTTATCGCATCCCCGCCGCCGACAACGTTGCCCACGACATGCTCGAAGCGTAGAACGCCTTCGACATCGACGAGCACAACTTGTATCTAATGGCCGCGTACCTTCCCCTCCTAGTCGGCTCTGTCGCCAACAACAACGCCATCTCCGATGACTCCTCCGTCACCACCCAGCCCAGAGGCCAGGTAGACTATCTCTCCCACCAATGGCTCGAGGAGGACGTGTGGAAGTCATGGCGGAACATGACGAAGCAGAAGAACGAGATTGCGAACGGCGCGCGTCTCGAGAACGCGAGCTGGAGAACCTGGTGGAAGCAGAGGAATGGGTTGAAGACGATCAGCCCAGAGACGCTCAACTGGTACGTGTCCTTCTCCCTCCCAGGGCCTCTGGCGCTGACCAACGGCGTCTTTCACCGCTAGGCTGAAGGACTCGGATGTCACATGGCTCTATGGTCCGCTTCACACGGCCGTCGAGTGGACGCCCCCGCCAAAGCCCAAGCCAGATCCCACATCTGTCGACGACAGAGCCGCTGCTTCCGCTCATGACCGTCTCAACCTCTCCTCGCCGTATATTCGGCATAAACCTATTTTGAAGCACCGCAGTATATCGGAGCTTCTGACGAGCGAACTTCCCGCCAGCCCCCTCTTCAGTCCCGCCGAGAGCGAGGACGAGGGTGAGGGCAAGCTGGGCGCAGGGCACAACGGTCACCTGGACACCGTTCCCGAAGCCGAGGAGGAGGACGACTCCTCGAAGCGCCCCTCGCTCATGTACACGAAGTCTGATTCGCACATTGCGAAGTGGCCTGATCGCACGTTCCGCAAGGACTCCCCTCCTCGAGTCCCTCCCCCCAATCACCCGTCGGAGCATGAGCAACGCCCGACTCACCACCTCTACTCTCATAACAGCGATCCTTCCAAGCAGAAGAAGCATATCAGCTTCAACACCTTCGTCGAGCAGTGCATAGCTATCGACAAACCCTCCGAGCCTGGATCGACACCCATCGATAGCGCAGCACCGACCGAAGTCGTCCTCGGCTCTGACGCATGGCGGCACAAGGCTGGTCTCAACAAGGCACATTGGGTTGGCTATGACGAGTGCGTCCTTCTTTGCATTGAATATGGTTCCCCGTATCTGACTCTATGTCAGGTACGACGACGAAGACGACGAAGATGATGATGGCGAGGGCTCTCCCTGGGACAACACTAACGAGAGCGCTATCGGCAGTGACGAATCCGACGAGGATGACGAGGGTTTCATCCAGATGCGCGGATCATCGTATCATCAGGCGCCCAACAAGCCGCGGTCCAAGTCCAAGACATCGGACTCCTCTGCATCCACGTCCTCGTCGTCGTCCACGGGCTCTCGCCCACGGCGCAAGTCGTCATCCGGAAACCGCCTGGCGCCTTCCTTCCACCGCGCTAATGGCCGTAAACCGACTCTGGAAGAGCCCAAGCCGCCCGTTCACGTCACTATAGCGCCTATTGCCCCGACGATGCTCAAAGTCGGCAAGGAGCCCGAGGACAGCGTGAACGGCTGGACCGAGGGCCTCGGCGATGACGGCGACGACGACAGCGGTTACAAGTATTACGGCAAATGGTCGCCGAACAATCACAGCGATGTCAACGCGCCCGTCGAGTTGGTCTACGCTCCGCCAAATGGCAGGCAAGCTGACCAGTTTGACGCTGTCGAGAGCCCTACGCCGCGTGTCGGATTTGGGCCGCACAGCGCGGTCGCTCAGGATGAGGGCGCGGAGGAGGAGCGCGTCGACGATGTGGACGTGCGCGAGGACAATGGGCCAGAGGGTAAGCTGAATTGTCTTCGTGGCCTCCGGGTGACCTGAATTTTAACAGTTACGCAGACGCAGGCGCGCACAATGTAGGCGTGCGCCAGGTCGTGCCCGTCGTGACCAGGACATCCCCCACGACGGTGTCACGAGATTTGGAGGACGAGGACTTGCGGGAGGAGGACGCATACGAGTACTTCTCGAGCCCAGACATGGGTTCGTCGGAGGACTTCGGTGCGAGGAGGAGTACGCGTGGGGGGAGGGAGGAAAGGCGGGAGAAGAAGCAGGAGATAGAGGAGGTTCCCAGAGGACGTTCGCGTTCACGTTCAAGATCAAGAACACCGTCGCCGCAGCTAGTCTCGCCATCGTCGAAGGCAGATGTCTTAATACCACGATCATCATCCGGATCGTCTCTACTTCCGCCAACTGTACGCGGCCGGCCGACATCACCAACACATTCTACACCCAGCCGCGGGCGGTCATCCACTCGGACGTCTTCATCACTTTCGGACCGTGGCTCGCCGATTGGCAGCATTGGAAGCTGTAGCTCGAGTAGTTTGTCTCCTGAAGGCATTACGTCCCCAGGCAGCGCTTACGCGAACGGCCGTTCGAACGGACGAGAACGAGAACGAGGGCGGGATCGGTCGGGCAAGCGCTTGAACTCTAGTTTGAGCCCTGGCTCCCCGGACCCGGTTGATGGGACGCGCGTCAGCCTCGATGCGGTAGCGGCCAGCGCGGTGGCGGACAAGAACTCGAGCAACAGCACGATCAACGGCAACGCGAGCGACACTACGATCAACACGCCGGTTGCGCAGACTGGTCACAACGAGGTGCAGGCGAAGACCAATGGGGTCCCCAGCGGTATCACGAAGTCACGACCCGTTGTCGCCCCGTCCACGCCTGCGCCCACGTCACCTACGCGCACGCATGCGAAGTCGTTTAGCGTCTCGCTGCCTGTTGTCTCGACGAGTACGACACCGCCATCGAAGAGTCCTGAAGACTCTCCTATACGTCGTTCACCGTCCTCGCCTTCGTCTCCCGATCACGTCAAGTCGTCCAGCGTCAACGCCCTTCAGCACAATATGGACCACGAAGGCGGTATCGTGGGTCGCGCCATCGACGCCGTCTCGCACGCCGGTGCTTTCCTCGGGTTATGGCACAATCATCACCACAACCACCACGCTACGCAGGGCTCGCAGGCCCACTGAGGGGCTGCTCTGGCGTATTGTAGGTCGGCTTATTCACTATTTATCTTCCTCGCATGCACTACACCCGGCACCGTCCACACGGTGTCGGACCCCACCCCACCACCATTTACGTGTAATTCCTACCGTCTTCCATACGCCTTGTCTCACCCCTTCTCGCTTGCACCTTTGCCTCATCTGTTCTGGACCGCGTGGTGGCATTTGGCCCGTGTTCGTCGTCTGCAGCCTCGAGTTCGTCGGGACATCGTATGATACTAATGTCCATTAGTGTACATAATTGCTTGGCTTCGCAGTTCGCAGCTTATATCCCCCCTGCTTTTGACTACCAATCTCACTTTCAATCGTCTCACTCGCATTGCCTACTCGCCTGAACATTCGCGTACAATACCTCGTGTGGTACCATTGATTCGCGAGCTCGCCAATAGATTGCATGGTTTGCATGAGTTGGCGGTTCGACAGCTGTAGGGGCACGATACATGGCGTGTACGCCTGGCGTACATCATGCCCTGGGAAGGTTTCCAGCACAGTTCTGCCGCGCATGGCGCACCTTCGCTGAGTGGCCCGCATCCTAAGTGGAGCCAATAGATTCGTAGCAATCGATTCTGCCGCTGAGTCTCCTGGTCGCTCCAATCACCGTCTTCCATTTTGGACCGCGGGTGACAGGCGGGCGAGCCCGACACGGCCTCTGGGCAAGGGTGGGTTGAATCAATACGCGCAGGCACAGCCCGTGGGATCGAGACAAGGGGAAAAACAGACATTGACGCCCGATAAGGCAGGTCTACAGCGCTGGGCACCCCTCGTCGTCTCTTGCCATCCACTTCGAGGGTGGCATCAAGGTCGATAAGAATGAGTACGTTACTAGCGACTGGGCGGATGGGCTATAGTTGGGACGCTGTATACGTGTAATCCCCTCCGATAGGCGCAAAAAGCTGTCAAACGCGTGAGATCGTGGGTGCGATTGTATGAAGGGAAGGTCTTCCATAGATCCAGACGCGGTAAGAGTGCCTCTGGTTGGCGGAGACATCGGCAGGGGCTCGGCTCCTACGCGCGCTATGTCCGAGTTGGCCCCGGGCATCACGACGGACGAAGGGAAAATGCACTCGCCGAGGGTGCGCGCCACAGCTCACCGAGCTTCGGCGTGCGGTAAGCCATCCTCAGACGAGGAGATAGCATAATTGGGCTGCGGACGGGAAGCCTCACTATTGGAATAAGGCGATCGTCGGTGGACTGTCGCGGCAGAATCGGTGCGTCACGTCCGCACGGCCATAGAAGATAGACACAAAAAGCGAAGGCTTCGCTGAAATCTCAGCGCTCAGTGTTGGCGAGCGCACGTTATCCTAGACCCTGTCTTCGAGCAATATGTAGGGACGAACGAGGTCCTCGGGTCAACGCATCATCTCAACTTGAGAAATTGAATCAGAAGGGCGGTGGCTGGCTTTTGACGAACGAGCGCTGAACATGAGTTATCAGATACATGTACTCCCAAGAAGTGCCGTATTGGAAGTCATGGTAATGCCATGACTGAGTCGGTCCTTATAGAAGGTGATAGATTGTTAGCCGCTTTGCAAAGAGAGTAACTGCCCAGTGACCTACCTCATGAGGATTGCGAGCCACTATTTTATCCGATATTTGTATGCGTTGGATCTGGTAGGGCCTCGCGACTGGGTACAAAGACAGTAAAAGTCTCGAGGGTGCCTTCGACAGCGTCCTCGGAGGGCCCAGCCAGGTTCATCCCAAGAGATGCTTCACCGATTCGGAAATGTCCGTTGTTTCGATATCGATCCCCTTCCCGTCCTGGGGATGCCGTATACTAGGATCCCGTGATTTGGCTTTGTTGACATTTGTGGGTCCAACCCGGACATCGCGTCCGAGACTCACATGACTCATGTGGATCCGTATGGATCATTGTGGATCTTCGTAGAAGGTCCTGGTCTCTTTCCTGTACGACTTATATACAAGCCCGAGAGGGCAGAGAAAATACTTAGAGCGATTCATTCTTCCCTTTCCCCCTCATCTTCGTGTGCCTCAAGATCTAGTAAGGCTTCCGCATTCAAGCTGCGTCAAGAGGCTTGTTCGCGCTTGCATACATTTGGCGCCTAAAACCCTTCTTGCCTCTCACGAGCACCATCGCGATACACGAGGCCATGGCGAGCGGGAAGAAAGCCCGTGCTCGTCGCGCACAGGCGCCCTTCGACGACGCAGAGGCGGATGTCATCCTGCGCAGCTCCGATGGCGTCGACTTCCGCGCGCATAAGCTCCTTCTCTCCTTGGTGTCGACGTTCTTCAGGGATATGTTCTCGCTGCCGCATGTTGGTCAACGAGGGCCAGACGACGGCGATCGCGCGGCTGGCGGAGCCCAGACACCGATCGTAGAGGTCGAGGAGAACGCCGACCTGTTGGAGAAGTTCCTGCGATGGTGCGATCCCCGGTGCACCCCATCGCCGATAGCGACCTGGGAGGACGTCAACTCCTTGGTGACCATTTCCATCAAGTACGACGCGGTGTCGGTATCTCGTCGAGCCTCTGAGATCGTGCAGGGTTCAGCCCTTGTCGCTCAGAGTCCTCTCCGATCGTACGCATTGGCCGTCCGATCCGGCAACAGGACGCTGGCAGAGAGAGCGGCCAAGAAGGCATCACGGGCAGGCCTTGACACATGGGAGGTCTATGACGATATGAAGCACATGCCAGTACTGGCATATCATCGCCTCCTGGTCTATCATCTCGCGCGCGGGCAGCGAGCAGCTCAGATAATCGAGGAATGGGGAGGTCGGCCTCACGGAGGATGGGGTCAGCAGGCGGGGCAACCCGATTGGGATCACGTTTACGGAAGTGGATGCACAGGTCAATGGTGGACCCTGTACATTCGCAGGCTTTGTGCTGAGGCGAAGGATCGTCCGGATGGTACGAGATCATCTGCTTTGCGCCGCTTGAGCCACGATGCGCCTGACAGCGTGGACAAGCGAGGGCTGCTTTGTCGTTTGTGCGAGAGTTATGCAAACGTGCACGCGTTGCGGTTCTTGGGTGACCTCGCTCCTGCTCTCGACTTCGAGTTGGGCAAGGTGAGCCGTTTTCCTATAATTCTGCGCACACACTTACCAGCATCGAAGATTGACCTACAATTCGATTGAGGTCACCTCGAGTCGACGGGAAACATACTACTATATGTACTCGTATCAGCACAAAAGAGCGCTTCCGCTTGCTGTCATTGATGCATGGCATTCCGAATAGGCCGTTTGCTGTCCCTTGCCCCTTCGAGTGGAAGAGAGGCCGCAGATGACATCGACGTCGCGGATTTGCTGATCTCTTAAGACCATTGTTATACTGCTTGAAGCGATGATGTGACTGCTCGACGACTGAGCAAGCTAAGGATTAGCAAGGCAAGCGGTCGGAAAATGTACCGTTGTTCCATCCCTGATACACCAGAGTCCGCGTTCCGAGAAGGTCCCTGAGTTGGCGCGCGCGTAAGAAGAGGGTGAGCATGCCGTGTACTAGGATCTCGTGACTCAGTCTTGGACATGCGCTCTGTACGAGGTCTCCGGGTCTCAACACTCACCATGTCTCTGACGGCCACCATCGCGGCGAACGTGGCATCGACGGGGGCGGGGAACGCGCCTGCCCGTCAGGCGAAAAGACCGTTCGACGACGAGACGGCAGACGCTATCCTTCGCAGCGTCTACCGAGTCTTGCTCTCGCTGGTCTCCTCGGTCTTCGGTGACATATTGTCGCTTTCCGTCTTGCAGCCAGGGAGGGACAAATAGCGATGGCGGCGGATCAGGCGGCCAGGAGACACCCACCATGGACGTGGAGGAGGATGCCGATACCCTGGAGAGGTTCCTGCGATGGTGCGATCCTCGATGCACGCCGCCGTTCGTGCAGGACTGGGAGGATATTCAGGCCATGATGGCCATGTCGATCAAGTACGACGCACCGTCGGTGGGCCGCCATGTCTCCGAGTGCATGCAGGGGTCGGCTATGGTCTCCCACTCTCCCGTCCGCGCGTACGTCTTGGCGATGCGGACCGGCAACAGGAGACTAGCGCAGATGGCCGCTAGAGAGGCCTCGCGCGCAGGAATCGAGACCTGGAAGTCTTGCAAGGAGATGGAGCATATGTCCGGGCTCCTCTACCATCGTCTCCTCGACTACCATATCGCCCGCGTCAATGAGGCGGTCAGGATAGTTGAAGATCTGGCCGCCCTGCCAACCACGGATTGGGAGATCGGAGTCCCGAGATGGAGCCATGTAGAGGGAAGTGGCTGCACCGGGCAGTGGTGGAAGCTGTACGTTGAAAGACTTTGCGCGGAGGTCAGACAACGTCCGGACGGGTTCGGATCTTCGAGGCTGCGTGAATTGGCCCAGCACACGCCGACCGAGGTGGACAGGGCTGGCGTGCTCTGCGAGCTGTGCGTAAGCAATGCGCACCCGCACGCCATGCGCTTTTGGAGCGAAGGCGCCGTAGAGCTGGATTTGGCGTTGGGCGTCGACGAGGTAAGCGGTCTTCATTGCGTCGACGCCAAACATTTACAGGGATCCCAGATAGTCCTGCAGCTCGCTCAAGACCAAGTCAGGGACGGGGGGAGGGCGAGCATATGTACTTCTGAGGCAGCGGATAGTGTTCGTATGTATTTGGCCTGCAGAGTAATCGGAAAAACATAGGTTTATGTCGCGTATGCATCCTGCCAAAAGTCAGCGTCAGCTGCCTAGAGCACATACGCGCCAGGTATGCTGTATCTTGCCTGGAAGAATGCGACTTGCCTATCCACGCCGTGCGCCACCTGGGATCCCGTGACACGGCCTGGCGTGCGCGAGCTCGGGCGCCTAAAGACCCTTCTTACCTCCCACGACCATCATCGCGATACACGAGGCAATGTCGAGCAGCGAGAAAATCCATGCGCGCCGTGCGAAGGCGCCCTTCAGCGACGCAGCGGCAGACGTCGTCCTGCGCACCTCCGATCGCGTCGACTTCCGCGTTCACAAACTCCTGCTCTGCCTGGTCTCGACATTCTTCAGCGATATGTTCTCCCTCCCGCACATCGGCCAAGGGGGGCCGCTCGCCAGCCCAGGAGGGTCCGATGGCGGCGATCGCGCCTCTGGCAGGTTCTCCATACCGGTTGTAGAGGTCGAGGAGGACGCGGAGACGCTCGAGCAGCTGCTGCGATGGTGCGACCCTCGGTGCACGCCGCTGCCGCTGACGACCTGGAAGGACGTTCAGACCATCGCAGCGCTCGCCGTCAAATACGACGCACCTTCGATATCCCGCCGGGTATCCGAATTCCTGCGTGGGACGACACTCGTCAAGGAGTCACCCCTCCAGGCGTACGCCTTCGCAGTACGAGTCAACAGCATAGAACTGGCGCAGCTGGCAGCTAGGGAGGCTTCTCGTGCTGAAATCTCCGCTTGGAAAGCTGGCATCGAGCTGAACTTCATATCGGGGTCGGCGTATCATCGCTTGCTGGAGCACCACTTCGCGTGCGCTCGTCGCGGTGTGCAGATTGTGGAAGAGTGGACTGCGAGGGACACGGACACTAATTCGCCCATTATTGGGATCCCTCCTTGGAAAAGTGTATGGTCAGACCACCATGGGCTCAAGAGAGGCACGTGTAGTTGCGGCCTGAACTGGTGGAAGGTGCTCACCCAGACACTGCGGGTCGCCGTTGAGAAGCAACCGAGAGGGTTGGGGTCGACAGGGGTAGAGTTTCCTCCCAAAGGGTTGGATGGCACGGCACCCTCACTGTGTGAAATCTGTATGAAACAAGGACCTATGTATACAGTCAAGTTCATCGGTGCGCTGGCCACTCATCTTGACTCGGAATTGGACAAGGTGAGTTCTCGATATCGCTTTAGAGGCGTAGCAGGTGTACTCATCCACTCCATCCCCCGTCAGATACAACTGAAATACGATTAGTTTCGCGTCATGTCTTCTTTAAGATGCGCACTGTAGCATACCTACGCAGGAATCTCGCCGAAAGAATCATAACGCCAGCGTCTGTCAGTCCATGTAGCTTACGAATGTAGTCATTCCTATCAAGACACAATGCGCTTCATTTGTGCCAGATAGTGGCCTTGCCGGGTTAACTTGGCGCGCCGTCTAGAGACGCTGCGGACTTGTATAATGACCGAAGGCGTCCGTGTAATAGCTGACCGAGTGTTCGACTGTTCCCTTTAGAAATTTGTAGACAGCAAGACGAAGGCAGGCGCAATGATATTGGCCATTCTCGGTGGGTTTGGGCGAAGGATTGTTGCACTTCGCAGAAGGAAGTGACCGTCCAGGACAAAATCAGGATCAAAATACTGTACGTGTGACAAGGATGTGACGGCGCCGCGATCACGTGTAACCCACGTCGCCTTGACTCCGCCACATCCAGGACGGCGAAGAGCAGAACATGCCCTATCGGATCTCGCTCCCCTCATTTGAGGATGACTTGGGTGGTTCCCGAGCGGCTTCGCTTTCCAGGAGAGTCACAAGCATATCTCGCCGCAGGCGGCAAATGATGTGACACACCGCATTGTTACCCTTGCCTGCTCTCTCGTCCATAGCTATGTGATTGTTGCTAGAAATCAAGTACTGACGAGCGCGCGAAGAACGCCCTGCAGCTATGCGTCTGACTGCCTCATCACTCTTGCGGTCACCCGATAGCCATTATCAAACATCTACATATACACGAAACAGAATACAAGGGCGCATATAATCTACATCTGCATGCAAGAAAAGAGTCTAGTCATAGATAGCATAACAAAACTGCATAGCTCGACTCGGTCAGAGGAAACATATGACGTTCGTGGTAACGTCGCAAAAAAGTGGGGAGGGAGAAGGAACGCTAAAGTCATTACACACTCAAGCTCAAGACGACTTCTGACCCTGCCGCACGGACGATCGCCTTGCCTCTTGATACGCTTCCTGGATCGCCGTCTTCATCGCGCGCTGCTTGCGCCAGCCTTCCGATGCGCGTCTGCATGGCTCGTCAACACGCATTCACTCCTTATATGGTGAATTGTCCTACCTTGCCCGAGCCAAGAAGATCACTGCGAGAGCGGCGCTCTTCACCGACTGCACCCTCGGCCGCTTCACCTCCTCTGGTGGCGCATCCGTGAAGCCAATCTGGGCAATGGCGGAGATGATGGTGCGCTCGCTGTGAGTCGCGTCAGTACTTGCCGCGATGCACGAAAGTCGATTTACGCACCTCTTCTCGAACTTGCCCAACAAGACTAAGAGGTACCGCTTCTGATGCGCCAGCTCGCCGCGCAAAGTCGACTCGCGCGTGAACTTCGCCTTGAGGTAGCGAATCTGCACCAGCAAGCCCTTGCACTCCTCCTTATGGCGCATCTCGATCGCCTGCACCCGGATCTCGTCGCTGCAAAAGCTCCCATCAGCACACCATCAATCCACACAAATACGTTCCACTCACATCTCCCCCGCCCTGCCCTCCAGTTCCATCCGCGCCTTCCGCGCACTCTCCTTATGCCGCTCCACCTGCTCCGTCAGCAGGCGAACCTGCGCCTGCGCCTGCTTCCGCGCGCGCTCGTCCTCCCGCCGCTTCGCCTCCAGCTTCTCCTTCTCCCCGCGCAGCGCCTGCAGGTCGCGCCCGAACGCCTCCGCGTCGCGGCGCACGCGCTTGAGGTCCGCCTCGAGCACGCCGACGGTCTTGGCGACATCGCTGCGCTCGGCCTCGATGCGGTGGCGCTCGGCTTCCGCACGGTGCAGCTCGTCGGCTTGGTCGGAGAGCGCGCGACGAAGGTCCTCGATCTCGAGGAGGTGGAGGTCGAGCTGGTGGCGGCGACCGTCATGGGAGGTTTGCGACTTCAGGTATTGGTCGTGGAGGCGGCTTGCGCGCTGTGATTATGGATGAGAGGGGCAGCGCAAGCGGGCGCCAAGACTGCTTACCTCGGACGTCTCAGCGAAGCGTTTCTGCAGCTCCTTGTGGTCAGCTGCAAGCATGGAGCGTTCTTGCCTAAGCTGCTCAATGGTTGCCGCATTCTCGCTGACGCGGGCCTCCAGCAGACGTGTCTTCTGCTCAGCATTCGCGTTTGCTGAGCAAGCATCAGTTGAAGCTGAGGTCGAACAACAAACACAATGCATACCTCGCAACTCCCTCTCCAAGTCGTGGTTCTCCTTCTTGAACCTATTCAGCTGCTGGCGCACATCCTCCATATCCTCCTCCGTCCTTTGCAGTTGCGACACAACATTGTCGCGCTCCCTCTCCGCACGGCTCTGCTCCGTCATCAACGAGCGCAGTCTCGCACGCTCCGCCTTTAGTGAGCCTTCCAGCTCAGCGATGGTCAGCTTCGCCTGGTCCAGCTCGCCCTGCATGCCCGTCCGCGCGCGCTCGCCGTTCGCCGCCTTCATGGCCTCCTGGGCGGCCTTCCTGGCTTCCGCGGCGGCCCGGTCTGCTTCTTCCCTGATCTGAGCATTGAGCCTGTTCGCGGCGTCTTGGAGGGCGTTCTTCTCGTTGGTGAGCCGACGACGTTCGTCGTCCCACGACCTCTTCGTGCGTGCGAGCTCCTCATTGAGCTGGCGAACATCGGAGCGGAGTGCGTTAGTAGTCTTGGTCGGCGGCGTTGGGGGTTCGCTAGGTAGCGACGACTGACTGATACCGAGGTCGAAGGTGCTGAGGCAGACATCAGCACAAACTAGTCAGTCAAAGGCAGACATGACGAACCTCTCATTGGCATTGATGTGCGAGACGTCGACCTTGACTTTGCACTTCTGGCAGCGGAGGCGCTGCAACCGCTTGACCCGGGACAAGCGGCTGAGCTCAGACTCGAGAGTGCGTATCCTGCCACGGGCTTCTTCCAACTTCTTGGTCAGGCCTACGACACCGAGACCCGCGTCCTCGAGCTTGTCGAGCTTGTCGTCGATGCTGTCGTTGGCGCGGTCCAGCTCCTTCTGCAAGCGCTCAATCTCGGCGACAAGCGGCGCATGGGTAGAGTCCGCGCGTGTCGAGTTGAGCCACGACATCTGAAGGATGTATTAGCAGACAGATAGGCGGTTCAATGACACCGACTCACGTCACGCAAAGGCGTCCCTGGCGTCTTCGGCATGCGCATCGACATATTGATCGCATGGCGGGCGATAGGCGAGATCCCACTATGATTGACCACCTTACTCGGGGAATTCATCTCGTTCACCGTCATCCTTAGCGCCCTGTTCCGCTCCAGCAGCTCCTCCTTCTCCTTCTCCAGCATCTCGATTCGCGTGTCCTTCGCCTTCTCAATCGCCTTCCGAGCGGGAGACTGCTCCAGCAGCGTCGTCAGCCGCGCGATCTCCTTGTTCGCCTCGTCGAGCTCGTTCTCCAGCGCCTCGACCTCTTCATCGGTCGGGCGGTCGACGGTGGGATCGTGCGGCGTGCTCCTGTTCATCATCGAGGCGTCGCGTGCGCGCTCGAGTTCGCGTTCGAGGGAGGCGACCTTGGCCTTGAGCTGTGCGATTTCTTCGTCGTCTTCCTGCATCTTCTGCTCCGCGGCGTCGAGGGCTTCCTCGGTTTGCTGCGCCATGCCCGCCGTGCGCTGCGCGTCGTTCTCCAGCTGGTCGATGTGGTCGTTTGCGGCGTCCTGGTCGACCTCGAGCACACGAATGTGGTTTTCGGCCTCCGCAAGGTCGTGTTCGAGGGTTTCGATGCGCTCCGACGCGGCCGCCGCGCTGTCCTCAAGCTCCGCAACGAACTCCTTCGTGACCTGAAGCTCGTTCTGCGTCTGTCGGAGCTCATTCTGCGCCGTCCGGAGATTCGTCTGCGCCTTCTCCAGCTCCTCTCGCACGTCCTCCGTCGTATTCCGCTCCTTCGCCAGCTCCTGCTCCCGCGCCCGCAGGTCATTTTCCAGCTCCTCGTTCACGTTCTTCTCCTCCTCCAGCTGCTTCTCCAGGTCGTCGATCTTGTCCTGCGACAGCAGCACTTCGTCCTCGAGCTGCTTGATTTGCATCTTCGCATTTCGGAGCTCCGCGCTGACCTGGCCGAGGTGGGCGTTCACCTCGCGCAGCTCGCCGCTCAAGTCCTTGTCGTCCTCGAAGCGGCTCTCCGCCTTCTCCGCGCGATCGAGCGCGTCGTCGCGCTCGTTCTCCACCTGCAGGACCTTCCGCTCGAGTTCCTTCGTCGCGCGCTTGTGCACCGCTTCCGTGTCTTTGAGCTTCGCCTCGGTGTCCTTTAGCCGCGCCTCCGCCGCACGCGCCTTGTTCTCCAGGTCGGTCACGATCGCCTCGACGCCCTTTTCCACCTCGGACATCCGGTCGCGCCACTTGTCCTTGTCGCGCGCGCGTTCCGCCCGTTCTTCGGACAGCGCCTGCTCGGCCTTCGCTTTCTCCTCAAGTGCTTGGGCTTTCTCGTCGAGGGCCTGCTCGCGCTCGGCCTTGTACGTGTCGATGATCTCCTCAAGCTCCGCCTTCTCTTCCATCCAGCCCTCGGCGCCCGGATCCTCGCGGACTCCGCTGAGCGTGCTGCCAGTGCTGATCCTACGACTGCTCCCCGCGCTGGTCCGCCTGTCGCTCCCCGACCCACCACTCAACCGACGCAGCGCGCTGCTCGCCGCAGGATCACTCGCCTCCCCACTCGCCCGTCGCTCCTCCTCCAGCCTCGTCAGCCTTGCCACAAGCGCCTCGTTTTCCTCTTGCAGCCGCCGGTTTAAACCATGCAAATAATTGTTTAGCTTGCCCGCGTTGAACCGGTTGACAGCGTGCCCCTCGGCTGCGCTATGCAAACCCATCGCCGGGTCGAAGGACAGGTTGGCGCGCGGGTTGTGGATGAGGTCGTGCGAGGACGCGGTGGAGATGAAGGACGCGCCATCGTTCATGGCCTGGCCCTCGGAGTCGGTCATGACATGCCCCTCGGAATCGGACCCGGTCGCAGAGTCGCCGCCCGAGGAAGGTGATGGTACGAAAGTCTGCGCGAGCGGGTGCGACATCCGGCGCCCCGCAACAGGCGCCTTGGAGAAGCGAGGGGTCACGCCAGCGAACGCGACCTGCAGGTTCGTCCGCGGAAGCGTGCCCGGCATATTCGACACGGTTGTGTCGTTTCCTGGCGTCTCGGGTACAGCAGCACGGTACGGTGTCCCCTTCGTCCGCATGCGAGGTCGGGCCGTCGAGTTGATGACATCGAGGAGGAAGGACTTGCGGCGGGAATACGGTGTGGCTTGGTTCTCTTCGTCTTCGGACTCTTGCTGCGTGGGCTTGGGAGTTGACAGGAAATTACTCTGAGGCGGCTTAGGTGTAGTCAACAAGTTATTCGGCGGCGGCGGTAAGTCGAAGCGTGCCCTGGGTCGAGGGAAGGCCGGGGTCGGGGTGTACGTGAGCGAGGGCGAGATCTCGCGCTGAGTATCCTCGCCGTGTTCCTCTTCGGATGAGAAGGTGGGCTCGCGCGAATCCTGACTCATGCGCGAGTGCGAGTCCTGGCTATTGCGCGAGTGTTGAGACGCCGAGGGCTGATCCCCGTGCGATTGCTGCGACGCGTCAACCTCTTCTTGATCCGAAACTGGCTGCCCCGGTGACTGATGAATCCCCGTCATCTCCATCGAGTCGCTCTCGTGCAAAGAGGGTTCTTGACTTGAACGCGCGTCTTCATATTCGCGCTCAACCGCGGGCGACGCGTTGTTCGAGGGTGGGAGGGGGATCGCGGCTGCTGGAACGGGCGACTCTTCGGGGGAGCGTGCGTTACGCGACGAGCGGTGGCTTCGTGGGGTAGACTGCGTGGGCGAGGAGGCACCGGTCGAGGACGTGCGTGAAAGGGAGGGGGTTCGCATGCGAGAGGGTGGCCTCCGATGGGATATGTTCTTGAAGGGCGAGGGCTTTGGAACTAATGAATCGGGCGTACGCGTTGGATACTGTGATGACGCACCTTTGGCTCTGAACGCAGAGATACAGAGTATTCTACGTAGCTCTCCGAGAACTTCTTCTTCGGCGTCGCCTCATCTCGATAATCGCGCGCCGAGAGTGAAGGAGAGCCGCTGCGACTCACGGAGCGCAACGCGTCAGTGATCGATAGGTCGTCGTAATCGTCCTCGTGTTGAGTGTCCTGGGGTGGAAGATACGCGTTGGGGACGCTGTCTTGGCTCTCGTCCAGTTCTTCGTCCGACACGTCGGGTGCTGGCAGCGACGGAATCGCGCTGACGTCGAAACTTTCGTGTTGCGGGGGCAGTCTTGAGATGCTCTTCGAGGACATGAACCCCGCCAGGGAAGACCTGCTCGACCGATTGCTCGAGCGTATCGAGTTTGCGAACCGTGTCGCACTCGCGGTTGCCGAATGGCCATAGATCGTCGACGCCGTATGATGCGAGTTCGTCGGGGCAGGGGTAGAGGTTATGGGGGTCGATATGCTGCTGAGGTTGTCCGAGGAGTCGTCGCCGTGGTGGCTGCTCGTGTCGGGGTCGACCATCGCCGAATCTTCGAATGCAGGGAGCGAGGGCAGAGAGGGCATGTCCCGCTCTTCGCCGTCCTGAATGCGGCGCCATATGCGTGAGGGTGTTTCTGAGATGATCGCCATTGCGAACGGGCGCCTACAGAGGACCTTTTCAACCTAATGATGGCGGAAGACAAGAGCGTGCACGTGCGCACAAACCTCTGCACAGGCCCTTTCATACACCCCGTCACTCACTTATGTCAAATCATAGCCTTTTTGTAAGTTATAGCATCACAGACGCGGCCTACTATATGCCATATATGCAACATACAATATTCAGACATATATGTCCCCCTACCTCCACAAAGTCACGTGATCGCGACGCGCTCGCGTCGTGTCACAAACATGTCACAAGCAAAGGCAGCGCGGAATGCAAATCACTGGCATTCACTGCCAACTACTAGAGAAAAGAATCACTAACCTTTCACTGAGAGATCGCAATCAGGAAACATGACTGGCGCTATCGGAAGATAACAACTGGAGGTCCAAGACGATGATCAAACGGCGCATCGAAGTCCAAAGCCTACGAAGTGTAGACCTGGCTGTGGAAATCCTGAATGGTGGTCATAAAGTAAAGACGGTGATTAGCCACCAGCGGTGTGCTATATAGGGGCAATAGAAATGACGCAGGCCCTTGACTTCCATTTTCAGAACAAGCGGGTAAGGTGAGCGACGTCGGAAGCAATCATGGTCTTCCACTCATTAGAAGACTGGCCAGAACGATGGGCCACTTTAGATAGGGAATCAAAAACCATGCAGGTCGTCTGCGCGGCAGACGCAGAAGTCGTCTTCACCATTGGTCTTCCCTTTTTTGCGTCTTGTGGTGCGACCCCCATACCTTCGGGGGACTCGGTAATACTGACTGGCGATAGCATCCAGTTTGATTCTCGCAACGCCACCCAGACGAACGTTTTTTCTGACCGAGCCATGCAGTGTTGTTTTGCAATCTATGACTAGACTCTTTACTAGCCCGTGAAAGTAGATTATACGCGCCTTTAGGTAGACGGTCGATGAAAGCCCGTGCGGTCGCATGCCGATGGAACTCTTCAGGCGAGTTTCCTGAATGCAGTGGCAAGTATCGATTCTCGCATGAGCCGATCCAAGTTCCCCCAGGAACGACAACGGCCGAGATGTAGAGGCAATCTTCGTCATGGCTTAGGCCCTTTCGATAATATACGGACTGCGTTCTTGGAGAAGACGTAGGATAAGCCGCTTGATATTGTCGTAGCGGCGACGGTCCATCTGGGAGTTGAATGAGTTAGCGAGGTAAATAGAGGTGAAGGAGTGTGAAGACGCACTGTAGATACCACAATGGGTCGGCGAGGTCGAAGGGCAATATTGGTGCTACAGTGGCCGCGCCCATGAGGAGCAGCTGTAGCGCGGTGTTGATCTATAGGACGCGTTAGTCTCGGCGGATGGAACGGCGCGAAGCGGCATGACGAACCTTGCTGATCATGGTGGGATGCACCTCGGCAGACGGTATTGAAAAGTCCCAGTATCGTGCCATGGTTTTCTGGACGCTTGAGGTCAGTGGAGGGAAGCAAGGAAGATGCGGAGAGCGTACCGGTGCCGGGAGGGAGGTATAGCGGATGTAGAACGCAGACAAGCTAAGGAGTACGTCTCGGCCAATGATCAGGACCGCCAGTGGTACTGCGTAGAGTCAGAGGACATTCTGATATACAATCAAGTGAAGCGCACCAGGTATGAGGCCCTTCATGCCCAGCGTCACGGTCAAGGTAGTCATAAGCGTCTTGTCCGCCGCAGGATCCAGGATCGTCCCAAGCACCGAGCCCATCTTGAAGTTCCGAGCCAAATACCCGTCGACCTTCATAGACGAGCACGCGTTCAGCCTCTGTCAGCCAGATGCGTCGCAGGACGTATGCGAACCAAGTCAGTCAAGCCCGCGTACACCAGCAGCCCGGTGGCGATGTGGAAGTTCCCGTGCAGGATCGCGTAGCCGAGGAAGGGGCACGCGACAATGCGCGAGACCGTGAGCAGGTTCGGAATGGTGTATATGTTCTCCTTGGGCGTTAGCTTCTCCTTGATGATCTTGAGGCGCTCCTTCGGCGGGTTGAAGCCCGGGGTGCGCATCGGCGAGAGGAGCGGGCTGTTTCGGGTGAAGGGGCGTGAGAGAGCTGGTGCGCATCTGAGTGTATAGGATGGGAAGATGGGTGAGGCATGACGGGGGAGGGGGACGCGTCCGACGCGTCCGCGGATGATGGGGGTGAACATTGTGAGCGGACAAGAGCGATGTCGTCAGTTTCGCGTGCGTCTGGCATTTCACATCAAGGTTGGACCCACAAGGGCAAATATGAGAAAGCAAAGGAGCAACTACCGAGCACTAGTAGTGGAAGTATGTGCTACTTGGTTCATGGACAGCGATTGAAAATGCATAGATGAGAGAACTCAAGAATGTTTTGCCCGATTCACACCGCCGAAAGTTGAGAGTGGCCTCCCCTAACGAGATCCAAGTCATACTACCCTCCAATTCGTGGTGCAGTGAGATGCACCCTGACAAAATCTTTCGTTAGAGTAATCCTTGGGCCGAGTAGCGGTACTGTACGGAGTTGACAAGAGTATATGCTCTCTTGGATCTTCGACGGCTCGGTCGTCGCCGACAGGCGCCCTGCGCTCGCGCAGGACCTCCGGTTCCCCGGCGCCAACTTGGTTACCGCTCGACCGAGCTACAGTTGGCGGCTCGGTGGTGATAACGCTCGATGATTCCCCGGAAAAAGGCTCTGTGACGATGGATTCGAGCCTGAAAGAGTCGCGCCGCTGACGACGCAGGGGCTCAAAATTCTGGGCAGCTGGTAGACGCTTCATTATGTATGCAGCACTAATGACCATGTTCAGCCAGAATATGACTGGAGAATGATACAAGACATCGCTTACATGGTCGCCAAGATACCCAGAGCGCCGCACACAGTCACGGGAACGGGGTTGACCTTATATGCTGCAATCACTGCTGCAGCATTTAAAGTAATCGCTAAGAGCCCTAAGAAAGTGCTAGGCTTATGTAGTCGAAGCAATGAGGCCATGGTGCGTCGAGACAAAGGTGTCGAATTGTCGCTGCGCAATGCGTTGGTAGTCGGTAGACCCTGGGATACAGTGGGAGGAAGACTGCGCTGCACGGAGCCATCTCCCTCGTCCTATATGAGTGCCAGGTGATGTGGCTGTAGTCCGTGAACCCTCAAGCTGTTGAAAGAAGGTCTTCTATCGTGTGGACCAATGCTAATCGGTACAGCTTATGCAGTGATAGCAGGTCAGCCGACACGGACATCCAGAGAGCGTGGCATGGCCTCTTGCGAAGAGCTATGGGAACGACAATGGAATCAAGAGAAGAGGGTAGAAGGAAGGCGGAGGGTCGAGATCGTCGTATGTCACGTGTCGCGTCACGGTTGAAGTTGGGCACCAGGGCAAATACATAGAATCAAACACGGTGATATCGGATATCGAATTTATTTACATCTTCACTGGACATAAGCGCACGCGAAACTTCTCAGCTCGTAACAACATCACTTCCGAATCCTCACTGGCGTAGATTTAAATCCCAATCACTTACTTGGCCGGCTCCGCGATGACCTTGACATTCAACCTGAAGAGAGCCAGCGCGCATAGGCCCTCTCACTTCGTGTACTTCGCGGCGGCCTTGGCGAACGCGTCGTTGACCTGCTTCTACAGATCGTGTTAGCTTTTTCGCCCTCGATAAGCGCCCGCCGGCCTTTCAACTTACCATCAAATTGGCCAGCTCGGTGAGATGCGCCGGGAGGAGGACGTTGAGCCAGCCTTGGTAGTTCTGAAATACTGTCAGAATTCCTTTTGGGGTCAAGGAAAAGGTATTATAGGTACCGTGAGCTCGTACTGCAGGTCGGCAATCTCCTTGGCGATGATGGCGCCGTCCGGGGCGAGGGGGCTGCCCGAGGAGACGAGCACGTCCTACGAAAGATTGTGAGCACAACCGAGACGTGCTAGACGGAGACGACTACTGACATGCTTATCGACAAGAGCGATCATCAGGCCGCTGCGGGCGTGTGAGAGGTATTGCCTGAATGGCGCACGTCGAGGAGAGCATACACGTAGACCTGAACGTAGTCGCCGAACGCAAACAGCACGCGCGTAGCAACATTCTCATCAAGGGGCGACTTGTTCTGTAAATAGTTGAGTAAGTATCCAAGAGTCGGACGACCAGCTTACCTGCGCGACCGCATAGTTCCAGCCCCTGCAGGCCGAAGTAGGCGCCGTTGATGCTGTACTCGATGGCCTGTACGTGGAAGGAGACATCGGTCAGACTACGCGTGATCGTCGTGTAATGCTACTCACAGCACCCTGGTCCTTGATGTTGGTAATGGCGGCGTCGTTGACGAGGTCGCGGGCGCTAGACGCGTTCACGACGAACTGGTTGAGAGACTCGAGGACGACAACGGCGGCGCTCATGATGCTGCTGAAGATGTTGGCGAGTGGTTGCTGAAGGGATACTCTACCATAGTGGGGGTGGTAGGCTTATATAGCTACGAGAAGACACCATGCAGACCCATAAGATATGCGACGGCATGGCGATTGTGTCTGCGCGCGGTCACCCCAGTACGCTCAGCGGTCAGAAAAAGAGCACACACATCGACATGTCCTCCATTGCGCGAGAGCAGCTGACGAACCGGAAGACTTGAACGCCGTAGAGGGTTTGACAGATGGTGGCGAACCAGAGTCTCTTCTTCGTATATACAGAGCTGCGCAGGTCAGACAGGCAGTAAAATATTGAAACTCGACCTCGAAGACCTGTCAGACGCCCAGGCGTCTGCCGGGAACTGCCTTGCTATGTAGATGGCCCAATGTGTACAATGGTGTTTATTGTCCTGATTGCTTGGAAGCCACATGAGGTCGGAGGAATTACCGTACCGTGATGCTAGATGCATAACGCGTCGACCAGAAGGCCCTCATAGGCACACAATCCGGTGAACAGTCCCGCCGATGGGAAGCAAAGTCGCGTCCTAAAAACCTTGATAATCAGCGGATACTGACATCCGTCTTGCACAGACATAGGGCGCTCCTGCGCAAGTGATAGAGTTTAGGCTTCAAGCTGCAATGCTGCGGGATTGTATTTCGGTGGGAGAAAAGAGACCTCTTTAGCTAGTCGCGATGCACATGAGCGTTCTGAAGAAGAGGCGGGCCGGATAATTCCGAGTCGTCACGATCATGGTCATCAAGTCACGCTTCATCCACGAGTTGAACTTGATCAGAACCATCATGTTCCCTGCAAAGCCCTTGCGACTTTCCTTCGTATCAACTATCCAATCATTCCAGAATATGGAAAGACGCTTGAAGTGACTGTGGTCAACAGACGCCACATGTCGGGCGCTTTGTCTTGTAGTGACCAGCAGCAATTAGTCAACGAGCGTCCCTTGATAAAACGGAGGATGTGGCAATCTCGTGGCAAGCCGGCGCGCCCATTGTCTCTTCATTCCCCCCGTCAGTCCGCATTCTGACTGAACTTACCCTTTTCAGCAGAGCCTTCCGAGATGCTTCACATCGGAAGGCTTGTTCACCGGATAAAGCGTGCCTTTGGGTGGACTTCTGGTGAGCTCGCAAGCATTCTGGATCACGGAGAGACACCTACTCCGAGTCTTTCTCTTCAGATAAAGAGTTGGAACAATAAGCTGACCGTGTACACCGAATTCAAGGTATGTAGTTGTTGACGGGGGTTATGTGACCGTTTGGCAGATTTCCAAGGCCCATGTCCACGTTGGCACTGCTCGTCGCCACTTTCGTTTTGGCTCGTATAAGAAGCAGATGCGCAGGGCTCTCACTGTCTGTCAAGCGACTACGGCGAGATGAGTCCCCGGTTCATCAGCTGTTCGTACAATGGCGTGCGCTTTTGATGTTTCTTTTTTCTCTTTCTGGATTGGCAAAGGTATATAAGCTATACGATCTCTAGGAGAGCTCAGCAGCCATCCCAGCAGCAACCGACTCTAGCTACACTCTCAGCATCATCATCATGAGCGCCCAAGCTGCCGTCGTCATTCTCCAGTCCATCAACGAGTTCACTGTGGACTCGACCAGCGCCCGCGACCTTATCAACGACGCCACCCTTACCAACGTCGCTCAGCAGGGCTACGTCGGTATCCATCAATCGCTGGCTCCCGCATATTCTGACTGCTTCTTCAGGCCGTTCTGTACAGCATCACCGGCGCGTACTACTCTCTGAAAGGCTGGAACAACGCTGTTACGCAGGTCTGTCAATCGCCTTGCCTTTCGCCTGGCGCAGCTCACTGATATTCGACGTTGTGCAGCTCAACAAGTCGGCCTTCGATGAGACTGTTGCGATTCGCGTGATCAACGCGTTCGGCATCTTCGCCCAGGACTACATGTATGTCCTTTCCCTCGACATGTATACCAGGCAGCACCTCTTACAAGCTCGCAGCGGATTTCTGATTGCCCTCATCAACAAGCATGTCAGTCCTCGCATCGCTATCGCACATGTCAGTCGTCCTAACACCTCACAGGACGTGCTTGTGTCGGCGACCAGCCCCCTCGGCCCGAAGGGTGCTCAGGTCGCCGAGCAGATCGCCAATCTGCAGTACGAGCTCACGGTATGCTTTTCTTCCTGTCGTCTCACAGCGCTTTTATTGTGACGCCTCCCTCGGCAGAACCACCAGGGGTGGCTCGCGGTCCTCATTCCCGCGCATCTCGTCGAGCTCACCAAGCTCATGGTGCGTGACTTCGCGCATCTTCCAAGTCGAGTCTTGATCTGACCCTCCCTCTCATACCTTCAGAACCAAGTCAACGACGCGTTTGCCAAGGCTGCTGCGAAGTACCCCAAGCTCGGCGCGCACGCCTCCGAGGCCGCCGTCGAGGTCAACAAGAACGTCTCCGAGGTGTCCAAGTGAGTCATGCAGGGACCCACGCTGCACCGCCTATAGTCTCCAAGTGGCCAAAGGTTACGAGCCAAATATGTTCCAGTGTGCCCATAAATGTGATCGTGTTTACCCGCTGTAAATTGTGACTCGTATTAGTTGAATAAAGCTCGTTTTGAACACAAAAAGTTGCCCTAGCCCCTCGCATCGCATTGTTTTTAGTCATTCAACGAGCTCTGTGACTCGTCGTGTTTCCGTCGACCCCGCTGATATCGAGATCTTTGAATGATTCTCAGGAATTATAGGCCTTGGATACCGACGATATCACACAAGGTACGGTTCGTTCAAATGGGCTTGAAGACTCGTTCTCATGTGCGCACGTCGACGTAGTAGGCAGGCTTCCTTCAGACGGGCATGCATTGTACAAAATTTGGGCACTGAGACGACTATTAAATTTTCTATGTTTCCTTCGAGGCTTGAGTCAGGGCTGGCGGCGACGCAACATCTGGCCCTCCTTCGCGCTCACTTCGCCGGCTCGGAAATGTTTAGGTCAAGGCCACCTGCGGCCTTTAGGGAGCTTCCGCCCTTGCCTTCCGGCTTGGGGTACTTGGCCGCAGCCTGCTCGTACGCGTCGTAGGCCTTTTTCTGCGAAGGAAAAGGGCATGAGCACACATATTGATAGCGATCCCTCAAGAAACGTACCCCCAGCTCGTTAAGCTCTGCCAGGCGAGTGGGGACGAAGATCGCCAGCCAGTTGAAATACACCTGTCGAGAGTCAGAAGAAGGGGTAGACGGAGCGGTGAGCTCTCACAGCAACGGCGAATTGCAGTGCAGCAATATTCTTTCCGATGATCGCGCCGTCTGGGGCGAGAGGACTGCCCTTGGAAACAAGCACGCTCTGCAAAGTCGCATTAGAACGAGGAAATGTACTGTAATCCTGCCTACACTCACATACTTGTCGACGAGGGCAGACATTAGGCCGCTAGGTGCGTCCATATGAGCGATTGATTGTTCATCCGAAGAGGCTGCTTACGAGTACGCGTGAACGAAGGGGCTGAGCGCCGAGATGACCTTGGCTGCAACCTTGTCATCGAACGGATTTTGGTGAAGCTAGCAAGAAAATGAGTCACAGGTCGAGAATCGAATATTGAATGCCAGTCGCAATGGCCTCGGTAAGCGAACGCCATACCTGACCGATGGCATTGATCCAAGCAGCGATAGATGTGAATGTGCCATTGATGCTATACTGGACAGCCTGAGAGTACACGTCAGCATCACCAGCATCCGAGAGCCTCATGCGTCGAGAACTCACATAGCCCTGGCCAGCGACGTTGGCAAGGGTAGCGTCGTTGGTGAGGTCGCGCGCGCCAGCGGTATTCACGGTGAGGACCTTGATGGAGTCGAGAACGACGACAGCGGCGTGCTGATCCTGGAAGGCGCTCATAATTGCTGAGGAAGTTGCGAGTGTCAGTGGTTGTCGAGTATTGGATAGGAGGACTGCAGCAAAGCGACGATTCACCTGCCTTACATACCTCTCCTCCGACGACCCGAAGAGACCGGCTGGATAATGAAGACGTACGCACCCTGCATCGTCCACTCAGCTGACGTGCCCCAGTCTTCCTAGTCGCAGCCAAAATGACTGAGTGGCAGGACGCCTGCGCCGCATTCGGGCAGTAGCCTGATCATATGGACACGCCGCCTATGCAAAGTGGCGCGCAGAACTCGGCGAGAAACGACAGCCGACGTATGCAGAGAGCCTGGTTGAAAGCTCGCCTTGGAGACCTGCCAAGACGTGACGATACGGCCGTCAATGCGTGCAGCGAGTTGTCAGTAAGAACGCCAGCTCAACGTTATTCTCGCCCCATATCCCGGGCTCAGAAGAACTTGGTGGTCGGAGAACCTTTCCTACCATGATGCGAGCTCCGCACACAATGGCCAGCTGAACGGGCGAAAGAAGGGTGATCGAGGAAGTCCAACAAGTACATACATTCCACGTATACTCCTTCCCGACTTCACAGGTTCGTCAAGAAGTTGACTGCCGCCTCTGCCGCATTTTCCTGCGCTAGCCTTCTCTGCGCAGACATTCCTTCGAATGATAGAATTCCGTTGACTCGGAAATGTCAGAGGAAGAACAGATGCATGAACGATAGGACGCACCTTGTAGTCGACAAAACCACGTAGGTATATGCTTCGGTCCATCCAGAGTGCATTCCTCGCTCATCGCCCAGCCATTCTGCTTCGCAAGGAACCTCAGACGCGCGCGCCAGCGGGTGTAGCCGGACAACTTGTCGATGCCTTGAATGGGCAGAATCAGAGGCGTGACCTCTGTCGTAATCATAGCCTCGTCAGACGGCGATGGCAATGACGGGGTTGGCGACGATGACCATGGAAGGGTTGCCCTGTCCGCCCACGGATTGATTAATGCAGAAGTGGTCTCCGGACTTCGTGGCGGCGATGAGGAGCAGAAGGAGGACGTGGAGGTTGCTGGGCTGATGGCCTCCGGGCAGCTCAGTTGGGTCCATTGGTCGTCTTGGACGGCGGCGTCGAAGCTAGCTTCGAGGTCATCACGACGTCGAGAAGAGCGCCACAAAGTAAGCCGCTTTGCGAATATCCCGAGGCTGGATGTTCGATGAGCGTTCATCAAGGAAAAGGGTGGACGAGGGAGTTGTACTGACATGGCTACGACCGGGGCTAGAGACCCGCAGATGGTCACGAAGACGGGATTGCTATCGAACGCGCCGATGACCGCCGCCATGCTGAGCGCAAAGGCCAGGAAGTTAAACAAGAGTCCCGTGTTACTGAGCACGCGAAGTAAGAAGCGCGACACGGGTCTGATCACGGGTACGCTAAGCATAGTCTGGAAAGTTGAGGGTTTGGTGAGCGCTATTCGGACGTTCACTGACTGCGAAGGCGAGATACTGGTGTACGGAACGTGCCCTACACTTTCTTCCCGTTATATATATCGCTCAAATCGTAGCATCGCATCCACCTGGGCCGATCAGGTCTGCGGGGTGATAGCAAAGAAGGAGGGGAAATCCCCTAAAGAAGTATCAGATTAGGTGAAGCGATTGCGAATCTAGGCGACGAGGCGTACCTTGTTCCGATCGAAGGTCTTCTCGACGTTCAATAAGCTATCCTGAGTCACCGCACCACCACCGCCGGCTCGAGTCGCAGACCCTTGAAAAGCCCACTCTGCTGGAACGCGGCAATCACTGCGACCGGGAAACGAGCAATGATACCAGAGGATGTCGGATTCTGAGGGCCGGTACGGGTAATAGAGACAAGGCAATGCGTCTAGCTCGCGCGCACAATTGAAGTAGAAGAAATCTCCTTCGTCTTAAGTGGCCGAAGGTGAGTTTCAGGGAGAAACTTGTTGAACACGGTTGTGCACATACCAATTATACCAGCCGATAGGGTTCAGGTGAAGCACGCGCCTACTCTAAGCCAAATCGTCGGAGCGCTTCTCGAGCTGCCCCATCCTCGGCATGCTTTTTCGTAAGCGCTCGGCCCCTGCCCATCTCCTGCCCGTTCACTGAAAGCGTCGGATGAGCTACGGTCATCCTTGCCCTTCATCGACAGAGAAGACTTACAATGCACCCTGCAAACATGCGTCCTCGCGTGGTCGGCCCCAAAGGAGGTGAAGACGTTGTTGACCGACCATCCGTTCTCCTTGGCGAGATGATTTAGTCGACTGCTCGCCCTGCCGAAGGACGAGAACTTGTCCAGACCCTTCAGGCCACGCGATGAAGTGGGTAACGGTGGCGCCTGGGTCAGAGCCGGAAATGCAAACGTATTTTGAGGAAGATCTGCGATGGGTTGCGGCACGGGAGTTCGCGGAACCGAGGCGTAGTAAGGAAAGCTGGGCTCAGACGCATTGTTGTTCAATAAAGCCCCTGTCGCTCCCAAGCCTCCGCCCGTATAAGTCGGTTCAGACCGAACGCTCTGCGGAGGAGACCCACGAGGCATATAGCGTATTGTTTCTGAGTCCGGATGGCTCGAATGTTGGCTAGCGACATAAGACGAAGAGGTGGCAGACGACAAGGGACGATCATCCGTCTCTTCCGCGTCGCTGACCGGCGGAGACTCGAGGTCATATTTTGGATAGCGAACACGTCGTCTTGCCAGGTGTCTCGAGAAGACGCCAAGTCTGAATCAGCGGTGTCAGAAGCGTGATCAGAGAAAAGACTGGGAGCAGAAAACGTACAGAAAAGCAACGAGCGCAGACACTGCGCCGCATACTGTCACAAACATGGGGTTGCTGTCATAGGCCCCGACGATGGATATAACATTGAGCGCGAACGCGACAAACTGAATGATCAAGGCAGGATTCTTGAGTGTGCCCAGAAGTCTGCGCCGAACAAGAGGTAGCATCCTGCACTGGTGAGCGAAAGGGAGGTTCTCAAGTATTGGGGCTGCTGGGGTAAGGGCGGTTAACGCAGGAAGAGCTGGAATATATATCTCTGCGCCGCCGCGCCCTGTGTATTCAGTCCAAACTGGGGAGCCGAGCAAGTCACGTTAGAAGTTGGAGAGGTGCCAGAAGAACCTTCACGTCCTTCCGCCCCGTCGTCTGGGTGTTGTAAGTCGAACGCCGATTGGCAAAGCGCGTGTCGATACAGTGGATTGATTGATATGGATATGGGCGAGGGAAACGAGAGGAGAGAAGAAATCAGTGCGAGAACTTTGATCAGTCCAGATATAATGTTGTACAAGGGCAACGAGGAAGCCCGAAGTTCGAAAACAGAGAAGTCGAAGATTGGCGCGGGTGGCGGTAATGAAGGAAGCCGCAGCTAATCCATTCACGCGATCTATCTACACCTTGTAGAGACGTGCCTGAGTCAAAAGGCATGGTGTTAACAATGCTTTGTACATGGAACGAGACTTTGCTATACCTGAACGACAGAGGTTCTGGTGACATGATGAGAGTCGGAGACAAGAGTTACAACGTGGGAATGCTGCGGCAAAGGCCGATAATCAACAATCGCGTGGTCACGCGTGACGCGCGCCTCATGTTCGACGTTCAGATGTGCGCGTTTCGTTTTCCTCCTCCATCTCTCATCCTCGACGTCTCCACCTCCGCTCACTATCACCTCCGGGAGACAGAGTCACACGGAAAACGAGCTGGTCTCAATCACGCTTTCTGGCCCCGTGCCGCGTTCTTCAGGCCCTTGCAAAGCCCACCACGTGCCCGGTGTTTGCAGTCTTTGGACCGCCGGTCATACACAAACACAGGCAGTTGGTCCAAGCACCTTGCATCGCTCTTTCACAGATAGAGGGTGGCATTGATAGGCTTATCTGTCGCTCACTACGAACAGCGCATCCTACACGCAGATATGCCGACCAGCACGTTCTCCAGCAGGCTGAGGTCAGATTCGACCTCGTCACGGTACTCGACCGTGTCGACGCCCACCAGTGCCACTCGTCCACGACGCGTGTTCAGTCCATCAATACGCGGGCCAGATGGCTCACCCAGCCCTTCGAGCTCCAGCCGATTTGCTTCGCCAGTGCCACGTCCCAGCACGCGAAGCACCTCCGGGGAATTTGTTCGTCCCAAGGCGCCATCTGACCGCTTGTCTGACCGTCTTCCTGCCTCTTCGTCTCCCTCGTTGCGCTTGCGTAGCCCAACGCCACTAACCAGCAATGCCCCGAGGCTCGCACCATCGCCGTCGCCCTCCGCGCGGTCTGCCACCCGAGCCGCCACACCAAGTGGGCTCGGGAATGGCCTTCGTGTGCGGGTCGATAGGAATATCACTCCTAGAGGGCTATCATCGTCAGTCCCAGTGGACAAGCGCACTGTTCGCTTCGCAGACGAGCTCGACGACGAGGTTGATCATACGGACCTAGCGAGCCCACCCATGACGCCCGCGTCCGCCCCAGTGCGGGTTCCCAAGCTGACGGGTGGGCTGTTCTCCCGCAGCGAGCCGCGTCCAGTGACGCCCCTGCGCTCGCAAAGTGATGACTTCCGGCCCTCTAGTCGTAACGGGTCGCCCTTTCTGGAGAGCTGGCTGGAGGACGCATCTTACTCAGGGACGTCGCAGCGTAGCGCGTCCATGTCCTCCATGTCCTCCTTGTCGCGCGTGTCCACAGCGCGCACGCGGGGCGACTATACGCCTCTGACTGTGGAGAACTTGTCGAGTTGCTCCCTTGACGCGGAGACGCGCCATGCCAGGCGCTTGTCGGCCCGATTCGAGCGTGTCAATAACGTCTGATGAATCCGACGGAAGCCTTGAATCGGCCAGTCTAGCTTCGTTCTCTGCGCCCAAGTTAGCTTCACCTCCGAAGCTGGTGCAGTGTCAAGGTGAGCGGCTCAGCATGCATAACCATCGTGTAGTCTCATAAATTATTTGACAGAATGCCGCATTTCCCTCTTAGACGGAGAACACCACTTCATCGTGGAGGTCAACATCGCGGTCACTGTAAGCTCTCAAGCCACTCCTTTCGTCTTCATGCCTCACCCTCGCTCCCAGCTTTGCAGCAACCCGCGCTGCCTGTCGCGCTGGTGTTGTAAACTCTGCGGCTACTCGAGATTTCCCTGCGACCACGTCACCAACCCGCCGGATGACCTGGACGACACCATCCATGCGCCGCTCTCATCCTAGGGGCTTGCGCCACTTTGTCGAGGTCGTTGAGGTTTCGTTGCTTCCCATGTCCCTCTCCGCATCTCAGTTTCCCTCCCGTACCTCGAAGGTTCTCCCCACATCCTACGCCACTGTCAACACTATCATCTTCGTTCATTCTTACTGTACATACCACTCTTTAGTGTCTCCCGCTTTTCTAGGTCTCGCTTTGCTAATCAACGTCGATTCTGTTTTATCAGTCATCATTGACTCTGCTCTGTGCCGCGTTATAGCTATTCGATACGGTAAATCTTCAGCTTCAGGCACCTAATTCTGTAGTACATTCTCTTCCGATATCGTTTCGTCAAATGGAAGAACGGCTTGGATAAATAGATCTGCGAACCTCGTGCCCAAGCTGGTATCATTTGTGGCAATCTTGGAGCATTCCGTGTCGTGGTGGAACCCATGTTGTAGGTTGAGCGTGTCCTCGCCGCCATTCACCCGATGCTCCCACGAATGAGCGACGTCCGAGTGGTGGCGATGTGTGAGAGGCTTCAAGTAAGGGGGATGGATCGATGAAACGTTCGTTCGATGCCCTCTACAATTTAGGGTCAGCGGACGGCCTCTAGTCGTCCGTAGCTCCCTCATATATTAAGAAGCATGCCTTGCTATTGCTTATCATCGTTCGCCTCCGCAAGCACTGTCTACTATCCACTAGCCCTGTCTGCTAGTATTCATCGGCTACTCCAATTATCGATCCTTTATTTGGCGCAACGCATTCGTTTGACGCACTGCACTCGTTTGACCCAGCGCATTCGTTTGACGCACTATTCACTATGTTCTTCTTCACCCCCGTCGTCGCCACCCTCTCCGCCGCCGCCACCCATGTGCGCGCATACACCCTCAGATCCGTCTCGACGTCGCCGACTGGACAGTCCGCCGGCAACTTCACGCTCCAACAGAGCGCGCGCGGGTATACCCTCAGCGGCGGGCAGCCATACGAGTCGCACTGGCAGCGATTTGGGCACCAGAACGCATCCGAGCAGCCCATCGCCGTCCACGTCGAGGGCCTGAAGCTCAAGATGACCTGCCCCTCCCAGATGCAGGCCGTCCTCGTCCCGAGTGGGTCGAACAACCCGCCATCCTGGATCGTCGAATTCGTGCTGGAGACGGAGGGCCTGCCGGAGGGGACGGTCGTGGACGGGTGGACGACGACGGACGATAAGATGGGCTTGCCAGCGACGGGGAGGTATACGAAGATCGTGAACTCGGTGAGTAGCGAGGCATTGTCGCGTCAGCAGAGGGGAGTGTTCTCACCCGCACTGGTCCAGATCGGGAATTACGGCGGCTACTATGCGCCTCTGCTCCTCGGCGATGGCGAAAGCCAGGCGCTAACGTGGTTCAACCAGGACGTGTCAGCACACGGGAACGCCCAGTGGTGGATGGTTATCGACGAGGGTAGCGATTCTCTTTGCTGAGGGCGGGGGGGGGGGGGGGGGGGGGCTTGCTAAAGTATGGTTCTCATGTTCGCCATCGACCTACGCTGATATGAGATGTGTATAGATCGGCGTTGGCGCGGGTGGCTAAAGGGCGAGGATCATTCATGCAGCGATTGAGCGCTTAGGGGGTCGATATACTATAGAAGGGATTGCTCGCAAGATAGTCTTTCGTCGACGTTTCGCGGTTCATATCAAATGGTCGATGGACCAATGCAACGAACATATGATTGGACTGGTCGAGAGATGAGTACTGAGTACCCGAGACTATAAGAGAGCTGAGAGCGCGCACCAAGGACCCTTCATCGAGAGGTAGTAGCAAGTAGAGCGTTCAAAGTCACTATCGGCGGTGAGGTATAAGTAGTACGAGAACAAGCGAGATATGTTGCAGGAAAAGACGAGACGGACGACGTGAAAGCCAGGTTACATAGAAAGTTCAGACACAGCATGGCAGGACAAGCTGAAAACATCGAGAGCGAGGACAAGGCTGCAAAGAACGTGAAGTCGCCGGAAGACAAATTGGATCTGGTCTCGATTTGTTAGTGAGTTCGGAAGAGGGCGGTAATGCGCTGACCCACCCGAGAGTGAGCATTATGCGTTGACATGGAGTCGCGACGGGGCGACTTGTACGTTCGACTACCGGCGGCGCTTCCTCGAATGGTAGTTTCCGGAATTCCGGAATTGTTGTTATGGTGCTGTTGCGGTGGTGGGGCACGAGCGGCAGCAGCGGCGCTCATAGCGGAGTCTGTCAGGTCTTGCCAAACGACGCGATTGAAAGCGCGCTGCTCGAAGATGGTCGCACGTAGCGCGCGCTCCGTAGGATAGCAATCGGCAAAACGACGATCGACATCCGGTATGTCACAGAAGAAGTCGAAGTGCTGTTTGAGCTGAGCGGTGATGTTGGTTTTCTCGCCGATCGCGTCGCTCAGGGGGGCGAGAGTCTGGCAAACACGAAGGAGATTCTTGAAGGCTGGCTCCCAAGTGTAGAAGTTGAGGCCGTTCTCTTGATCGTCGGGCCAGAATTTCTTGTCCATATGTTCCACGTCGATGATAGAGACTGTTACAGGCTTGTTGCTCTCCGACAAGAGCGTGATGTCTTTTGTCGTGACGCGGGATAGGTCGGTAGCGCGACGCATGATATGGTCCAAGAACCATGTCAAGGGTATATGGCATCCAGCAAGAAGCATGGCACGGTAGACGGGGGGTACAGGAAGGAGCCACGAGTTGCCCAAGCCGCACTGGGTGAAAGGCTGAGCTCTCCAAATGAGGGTATCGCGCTCTGCCTGCGAAGCCTTCTCTTCGGCGAGCAGCAGTGCCAGCTCTTCGCGGAGGAAGGAGGGGAGAGTGTTCCAGTCCAAGCTTCTATCGTGTAGCAGGATTGTGCGCTCCTCGTCGGTATACGCGTAAAGAGGCTTGATGGGAGCGCCGAGATGCGGGTAGTGGTTGGGGTCGGCCTTGTAGCGCCAGGTCGTTTCGCGGCTCGCAGTATTCGCAGATTCGATTCCGATATTCTCCTTGTGCTTTAGATTCATCGGCAGTGAAGCATCGAAGACTTTAGGCCGGTCCTTCATCCAGTCGCCCAGGTCGATAGACGCGGCGTTGGGCTCGGTCTTCACGGTGCTCGCCATGCTGTCCCTGCGACGTTATTCTGCTGTGAATATCGTGGGAGAAGTATGGAAACGGGCACAATTTGCAACGACGTGAGCGTCAGGGAAGAGTTAGAAGAACGCGTTGTTGGCCTTTGTTTGTCAGAGAAGGATCATGGCCGGCTCCCGGGCCGGTTGCCCATAATGAGCTCCGTCGATCGCGCCAACTCGTCTTGTTCCTTCAAGTCCAGTTCGTCCCGAGTCCTGCCCAAAATTTCGCTGCTTACCCAGCGCGTTCTGCGCGCCTTCCGCTCTCCTCCAAGACCCGAACGCTCTCTGCTGTCACGCTCGCTCGCTTCCCTCGCGACCTCTGGACTAGCTCAAGCAATGGCGGAGTCCTCGACTATGGCCACTATGGCATCTGCATCGACATCATCAGGCGTGAAGCAGAAGCTGGGCGGCTATGATTTCTATCGAGAGGTCTTGGGCAGCCCGAAGTACGTTGTGGCGCCGATGGTAGACCAGAGTGAACTGGTACGTCCGGTTCCGCACCCGCGTCGCTGAACTTCCCTTCCCCCATAAGTTGCAGCTGACGCGCACTCGAAAAGTAGGCATTTCGCATCCTCTGCCGCCGCTATGGTGCCCAAGTGGCGTATACGCCCATGATCAATGCCCATGTGTGTATCTCCTCTTACTCCCCTCCCACTCCCCACCCTCATACCTCCCGCCAGGTCTTCCCCTTCTATGGCAAAAAGCAGCAGGATAAGAACTTCGATGTCTCCGAGGGCGAGGAAGGCGCTCAGGGCCTCGATCGGCCCCTCGTCGTCCAGTTCTGCGGCAACAATCCGGACGAGCTGCTCGCTAGCGCCCGGATCGTGGAGGCGCACTGCGACGCGGTCGACCTGAACCTCGGCTGCCCGCAGGATATTGCGAAGAAGGGACACTACGGGTCGTGGCTGCAGGACGAGTGGGAGTTGGTGTATAAGCTGGGTGAGTTCGTCCGGTGACGTCGAAGGACAGAAACTGATCTCGTCGCCCAGTAAACACGCTGCACGAGAACTTGTCGATCCCTGTGACAGCGAAGTTCAGGATATTCTCGGACCCGGAGCGCACGCTTGCGTATGCGAAGATGCTCGAGCGCGCCGGGGCGCAGATCCTGACCGTTCACGGGCGGACGAGGGATCAGCGGGGAGTGAACTCGGTGCGTACTTCAGTTCTTCCACTGCATTCGCCTTCCTAATTCTTTCATAGGGCCTCGCAGACTGGAAGCAGATCGCCATGGTCAAGCAGGCCGTCTCCGTTCCCGTCCTCGCGAACGGGAACATGCTCTACCAAGAGGACATCGAGGCCTGCCTTCAAGCGACTGGCGCAGACGGCATCATGAGCGCGGAGGGTCTGCTCTACAACCCTGCTCTTTTCGTCGGTCTTGCTCCCCCTCCCCGTCCGTCTTCTTCTTCCAGCGTTCACCCACTGCTCGCCACCTCATCTGGATCCGCACCGAACCTCCACCCCTCCGTCACCGCCCTCGCCTTCGAGTATCTAACGATCTGCCGCGAGTTGAACACGCACACGAGCCTCGGCGCCATCCGCGGGCATTTGTTCAAGATCCTGCGCCCGGCTCTGGCGAAGCATACGGATCTGAGGGAGAAGCTGGGTCGGGCGCGCGTGCGGGATAAGGGGAAGGGGTGGTGGAAGGTGCGGGGAGAAGATGGGAGCTTGACAGAGTACGAGGAGATCATTGGGGAGTTGGAGGATAGGTTGAAGGCGGATGCGGAGAGCCATCCGGCTACCATAACGGCCGATCCGGAGACTGGACTGAAGGAGGTACCTTGGTGGCTGACCCAGCCATACATACGGCCTTTACCTGAGGTCACCTCGAAGACAGGTGCGTATCTTTCGAGCACTTTCTTTCCTTTGGCCCTGGAATCTGTATTGTGCGGCGAAAGCTCCCTATCGCCTCTCACATGTGTCTATCACTGTTCGCTTACGCACCCTACTACCTCCTGACCGTGCCTTCATCATCTTTCCCATGTCTCCGTTACTCGCTAAACGTTCCTACGTGCGCTAACGCCGCTTTACTAGGTTCGGCGCTGAAGAGCAGATTAGATGCGCTGCGGGCAGAGCGAGCCCTGTCAACTTCACCGGAGACCGAACCTGGGATGGATCTGTCAGCGCTGGAAGGGCTCGATGAAGGCAGACTTGTCGGTGTATCGGCGTAGCCGCGTTCCTCGTCCGTTTCTGCAGGGGAGGGCCTGAGAGCCTTAATAGCAGATGTAGAGGATGGGGTTTGTCCTGGGACCTAGATAGACGTATCGCACTAGACACAGCTAATCTTCAGGCCCAAGTATGGGACCACAGATCAGGAGTCGACAATAGCGGCGGCCTCTGAACGGCGCAGCCAATAAAGGACGGACAATAAAGGGAGGTCCAAGCGAGGACGAGCCCCGGGCCGGATGTTGCCAAGATCCGCACAAACACCGCCACGGGACTCACGGTGGCGATGCACAACAAACCCCGATCTCAGGAACAAACAACGCGTCTGCTCTTGCTTTCATCCTCCGTCGTCGTCCTCGCCGCCGTCCTCCTCGTCGTACCCAAAACCCAGACTCACCCCCATTTTACCACACACAATGGGCCGCGCACTCTACTCCTCCCGCTACACAAAGGCCCACCAGTCCCAGGTGGAGCAGCAGGCCCAAGCGAACCCCACACCAGCGCAGGACCCTGCAGCGGACGCCACAGCACCAGCATCCGAGCCTGCAGTCGCCGTGTACGAGAAGTGGAGCTCTTTGAACCCCTTCGACCCCGACTCGGACGAGTTCTTCATCGACGCGGAGTACGAGGCCTTCGTCGACGACGAGCATCCGCAGCCCGAGCCCGTGGTCCGCGTCGAGATCGTTCCCCAGCGCAACGCGTCGCCGATTAGCAGTGGCAGCTCCTCCTCGGCCAGCGAAGACGGTGACCGCGAGGAGGGTGCGAACGGCAGCCCCATGGCGGTCGGCGTCGACCCCGCATCCCTGCTTGCGGGCGTGTATGCCCCAGGCGACTGGGAGCGCCGCTTCCTGCTCGCAGGTGCTGGTGGGGTGCCGCCGCAGCCGTGGCTGCAGATGGACCACTATATACGACCGGTAGTCTCGGCGCGGCGCCAGCCGCTGCGCGCTCGAGCGTCGTCACTCTCGTTCCTTCCCACGTCCGCTCCTTCAGCGCGCACTGCCATGCAGCAGCCTTCGGTTGTCAGAGACAGCCACGCGGGTTACACGGTCGTGCCGCCTCCAGCCAGCCACACCTCTCGGGAGCCTTCGCCAGATGACGACGACTCGGAGATTCCCCTGCCGCTTCCACCTCCATTCATGCCGCCTCGGGGCGAGGCCCACCGGCTGTATGGTCACGACAGTCGCAGCGCCTTGCCTACCGTCTCACCAACGGTAGAAAGACGCATGCCAGCGGACAGAGCCACTCCCGTCTCCTCCTCCCCACCGAGCAATCCCCTCACCAACCCCAACGCGCGCATGTCGCACAGCCGCATCTCCCCGCGCGTCCCCCTTACTGCGATGTAAGCGCCCGCCTGGCCACGTACTCCACACCCCGCCCTACCCCGTGGGACAACCTAAAAGGCCGACCCGACTACCCCGGCCACCTACTTCACTTACATCGGCTATCCACGTCTCGGCTCCCTAGACTGTACATATGTCCGATATCTATGCTTCCCCACCCCTCCTCTTGTCTGGTGTTTCCATCTTGTTTGGTACCTTCCACTCTGCTTGGTATCCCCAACCTGATTGGAATCCTTAACTTGTTTGGTATTCCCGACCCTTCCACTCCTTTGGCACATCTCGCTCTCCCCTCTATAACGTCTGTGAATTGTCGTTTTTATCGGTATTTGGATGGTTTCGGGCTTGTGTTGGCGAGGGCCTCATGAAGTGCGGTGGGATTATCTGGATGGCTTGGCTCGACTGTAAATAGTTTACGTTAAACGTCCGCCGTCTACCTACCTCTACCGCCTCCTCGCCGTGTACTCGTAGCGTATGTCGCTCGCACATCTATATCTATCTGAATACGCATGATACCTGACTGTACGCAAGACATCCACATATTAGCGACAGGAACATCGACGGAGTCTGGCGAGTGCCCTTCTGCTCTGAATACTGCGTGCGAAGGCACGGATGTGGTGAAAGTAAAAATCATTGAGTGCAGCGCGCGCAACAAATATATCAACCTAGTCCAGCATTATCCCCCCTTCCGCGACGCGGTCTCCGCCTATGATTCGCTCGGACCGCGCCTCGCAGGTAATCAGGGCCGTCAGCGCGCGCCGTACGGCCCTCCCTTCCCCAGAATCGGCGTCATTCAGAGGATCTACGCGAGCTGAGCTCGCCAAATGAGACATACGAGTGAGAAGCTCACCGGAATCGCTTCGCGTTTCTCCCCACAACTTCATTCCAGCCTCAATAACCTCAGATCTTCTGATCCGCGGCCCCCATATTGAGCCCTTGTATACGTCGACGAGGCGGATTTTCTCCAAATGGGGCGCATGGCCGCCATTCTCGTCGCCTGTAGTGCGCACGGTGGGCAGCACGTAGCTCAGGGCGAACCGCGCCACCTCCTTCGGATCGAGGAATACCGCTTGTCCGATGTGCAGGCGGCGTAGAGAGGGGATATGCGGGAGGATAAAGGGGCCCGTAGCGTCAGAGTTGACGGGCGCGGGGAACGATATGCTGGACAGTGTGAGCGTTTCGAGGCGCGAGCACTTCGGGAGCGCAGTGAATAGAGCTTCGGTGGCTCCTGGAACGATCTACAACCATTCTCTTGAATATCAAGGGCCATATCTCTACCAAAAAAAGTCTTACCGCTGTAGAAAAGTGATGTGGTGGATCCGGCCCTGTCCAAGTAAAGCTGACCGGGCTATGGTCGTTCAGTTTCCCGGGCCGATAAGCGCATTATCAACAACGATGCATACTTGATGAGACCAATCGCATCTTGGAGGTTCTCGTGCACGTCATGAACATGCGAGTTCATGCAGAAGCGGACAGAGTCAAGCAGCATACGCCCATCGGCATCGACTTGACCAAGATCCCGAGCAAGGTTTCTGCACCGACTCAAGCAGTTCCGTATGAGCGCAGAGAGCCCGCGGCCGGTAGCGCCTCCAGCAAGGTCAAGTTCGATGCTCTGTATAGAGCACGCGAGGCGAGGCGTGCACCGCGCGGCGAAGCCGGCAAGCTGGGCATTGGACGTGAAGCGCATGCGGGAGTGCAGGAGTCGGCGAGCGGGAATGTAGAATGCACTACACGTGAGCATAAGAGGGAGGGGGGAGCCTTTGGCCAGGAAGTAGGCCTCGATAATCTGATCGAGAAGCTCTGGGGGGATATCTGTGAGGCTCGTCATGGTAAGAGGCAAGCGGGGGCGGAAGCAGATGCACGTGGCACATCAACCGTGACCCCGAGTGACCCGGCTGGCCGCCTGTCCATTCATCATCCAGCAGAGTACAAAGGCCTCGATAGCTAGCCGCATAGTAATGCGAGATTCATGGAGGCTTCGCATAATTGTATGTTAGTCTTGAGGATGCTGATCGTGAAGCTCCTGGCCTTCCATGATCGTACCTCACATTCCAATGAAGTCGACTCGCGCGTGGTCAGAGGCGGCATAGACCTCGTCATGAGCTTGAGCATGCACCTCAAGCTAGGTCAAGTCAGAGAGCGGGATCGGGGGCACTGTCATGGCACATTAGGTGAGAAAAGAACAGCGGTGGCGGCGGGCTGAGAGACGGCGAGGCATCACCTAGGCCAGAGCCGGACTCGTCCCGGTCCTACACACGTCGTGCACTTCTGCGCCTAGCAGTTAAACGCTGTGCACTCGGGCAACGATACCCTGCCAGACTCACGCCATCGCCAGTTGTGGGCCGATCGAAGTCCCGGAAGCAAACACAATTACCGGATGCGGAAACAAGGCCTTCCCAAAATGGCAGGTCCGGTTTGACGCGACGACGGTGACGCGACCCTCCCGGTCACAGCGTTCCCCCGCACCGCTTCCGCCCGTTGAGCGTCCGCCGCACTCTGTACGATATATCGCCACAAATCTAAAACATCGCCAAGTTCATTTTACACGGTTAAAGAACGAAGGACTATATAATGATGCGTAATATAGAGTTTCGAGAGTTATCGCGAGGATACATACATGCCTGTGATACAGTATAAAAGCTAAAAGCTATCCAAAAGAAACCAGAGCAAGAGCAGAGACGAACGGATGCACGAGATTATGACCACCTTTAGGAATTGGGATCGACGATAAGGATGAAAGAGATTATGCAGCGATGGGGAAGAGGACTACAAGTCGGACCCGTACTCGCACTCAGGCGGATCGGAGTCCTCCTGACGCGTCCGGATGTTGCTGATAGCGAAGTGCGGCTTCTTTGGCCTATCCCACGAGTAGACTCGCGAGCAGTCCGTGGGGGAGGTGTATAGAGGCGTGACGCGCTGGTATGAGTCGTACTGGGGGCGGAGATGGAACTCCTCGACGAACGGCTCAGGCACCCGCGGCTCAGGGGAGCTCGAGCGGTCGTCGTATTCCTCCTCTTTGACGTACTCATCATCCGTCTCCTCGAAGTCATCGTCGACGGTGAGCGGTGGGGTGGAAGAAGTCATGCTTGCGGGTGGCTGAGGGGTGGCCGGGGGTGCGGGGGACGCCTTGGTGATGAGGTTATATTAGCATATATGCGCCCGCATATATCGATCCACGCACCTGAGGCTTTGCCTGCTTGGCCTTGGCTGCCTGCTCGCGCGCCTTCGCGAGGGCCTGTGGCCCCCGTCCCTTGCATCGGTTCTTGTGAACGGTCCAGTGGTAGAGGTCCCACATGCTCTTCTCGGATAGCTTGATACGATTGTTGCACTGCCGACATTGTACATTGTAGGGGTCGATGACCTCGGCCATCTCGTCGTTGCGCAAGTCGTTCTCGCGCCGGAGCCGGGCGACTGCCACAGAGTCGGAGCCGCCGGTGCTGCTGTGAAGACAGGAGGACAATGAGAATGGGCACAGCCGATCAAGACACGGATACTAACTATGGCTGCGCGGACGACGAAGCCTGCTTGTTGCCACGGGTGGAGGCGCTAGAGGAGGGGACCGTCAGACAATGGGGCTGGATACGGCGTCTGCTGGCCACGCACCGTGACGATCTGACTTTGGGCATCTCGCTTTGTCGCTTCTGATATTATATAGTACTAGGTTGCTGGGGAGGGGGTCCTCGGTCGCTCTTCTAGGCGGGGGACACGTCTGGGGGACGTCGTCAGCACGGCGAGCTCGTCGCCAACAGTGGGGCGGGCGCCGCGGGGAGCGCGGGGCTCACCTGGCTGGCTGGGGGCCCGCGGGATACTTGCTGGAGTCGGGGATGCTGCTGGCGGCGACGGACGTTGAGGACGGCGGCGACAACGGCGGTCGGGAACGTCAGGAATGGTAGCGGGAAAGTGGTCGGCGCCAGGACTCGCGCCGCGCGCGGGCCTTTATGAGGGTCTCGGCAACCGCCGGCCTTCCTTTGGGCATTCCAAAAGTGTCTTCGCCACATATCATGTCTTTGTGGGCGCATGTTGTCCCGCCCCGGCTCGTGCTCGCGACGCGTTTCCCAGGGACGCGTCTCTCATCGCGAGCTGGCCGCTGGACGCGCCTGGGGCTCGACTAGAGCCGTTCGGCGCGTCGAACGCGTTCATGATAGATGTTCCCCGCATCATGTGCGGCACGCCCCGCGGCAGGGGGCAGGCCCCAGGCGGGTATTACATTTATCTAATCTACGCAAAGCTGCTCTTAAACCCCAGCGCCCATCTTCCTTCCCATCCCCCGCCTATCCTGCTGCGCTGACCATCGAGAGCGGGACGTACCGACGCAGGCACCTTCTTCGCTACGCACGCACGAGTTCTCGACCGCCGCCGCTGATGACAGAAGACAACGTGTCAGACATGCGGTTGGCATCGGAAACTGGAATGGAACGAACCGTCCCCATTCACTCCAAACGAACCCTCATCCAGCTGCCCGCGGGACGAGGTCATCGTCATCTTCAGTGGGGGGTTTGACGATGCCACTGCGCAGCATCCTCTGCACCTCAGGGTCTTCGTCGGCTCTCGAGCCCCTGCAATATGGAGTCAGTGATATGGCCGTCGGGCGTCCGTCCCGCCTGTGCTAAAGATGCGCGCCACCGCGCGACGAAGGCGCGGGATGGACACGATTGGTTACTCACAGCACCAGCCGGACGACGTCGCGCAGTATCGCACCGCTTGCGATTTCAATCTTCTCTACACCTGGTAGGCCATCTGCGCGTGTGGGCCCGACGTTCAGCAACAGCACGGGCTTCTTGAGCTCCAGAGCATGCTTGACAAGTCGAAAGGCGGAATACGTGGCCAGCGTTGTGCCAATGAGCATCACCCGCGAGGCGTGTTCAACGTCATGTATGCTGAAGAGACAATCGATGAGCATTATGAACAGCATGAAACGCGGCAGAAGCACTCACGATCTCTCTTTCCAGTACTCTGGTATGGATTCGCCAAAGAAGATGACTTCCGGCTTGTGCTGAACAACAGAACAATGAGATCAGTGATATTCACTTAACAACAGGGCTTATTCCGGACGTACCACATTGTTGTGTGTATGTTCCTGCAGGCATGTCGGGCACTCTGGGATTACAAAGTCTTTGTAGGAGACCCCCAGATGCTCAATCGCGACCTAACACCCCGTCAGTCGCACCAGAAGACTGCCAATCAGATATGAATGCGCACGTCACCGTCCGGGTTCGTCCTTGGCTGCTGCCCAGTCCGCTCGAAATCTTCTGCGAACTCCTTCCACCGGGGGTTCGCCCCGGATAACCAGTCTTGAAAGGTCCCCCTGTCGATCAGGTGCCCCCGCCGGCAGCGCACTTGCTATAAAGGATCACAATTAGCGCTCGCCACGGCTATGGAGGAAGCAAGGGGAGGAAGCTCACATGTAACGTTCCGTGCAGTTCTAATATGCGCTCCTGCATCTGCGCAGGGCCCCATACTCGCGCTAGGGCGCGATGGTGGAGGCCGTCGACGTTCTGCGTCACCAGGCGGGTAACGATCGAGGAGTGCTGCAGAGCAGCGAGCGCGTAGTGACTTGTGTTCGGGAGCGCGTCGCGTACTGGGGGATAGCCGAGGTACGAGCGGAGCCAGTACCGCTGTCTGTGGAGCGCTCAACAAAGGTAGTACACCAAAGGAGGGAGAGAGCGAAGCACCTGAATAGATGCCCTACCGGGGTCGGGTCGACCAATTCGTGGTAGAAGATGGGCTTGTAATCCGGATTCATGTACTGCATGCATCGTCAGACAAAGCAAGATCCTTCCTAGATATGCACGCACCCTCCCATCGTGACCCCTGTATGCACGAATCCCGCTATCCACACTGATTCCAGCCCCCGTTATGACGGTGACATCGCCCGGCGCGAGGAAGGTCGCAACCCGCTCTGCAGCCTCTGCAGGGAGTATCTTCGTCGCCGCTGCGCTACTCGCAGCGAGGATGGAGGCGGGGATGGTGGGCACGCTGACACGGACATGACGGGGACAAGAGACGCGCATTGCTGACATCTCCGCGGAGCGACGGCGGATTGATCGGCGTACGCGGTCACGTGGGAAATGCTCCTATTGCGACGCGCTCATTAATTTTGCGGTGGCAATGTGCTTGATTTGTGCGCGTCAGAGTACCTTTGAGTCCCGGCAGATAAGGGAGATATATGTGTATTACTTCGTATGCCGCGAGTAATCTCACTTCCTCATACTAGCTGGCTCTAGCCTCGCCATCTGCTCGAACCATCGAACCACAGCTTCGACACGACGTAGTGCTGGGTCTATCCCTCCTAATCGCAGATCAGGGCGAAGCAAGTAGTCCGAGCGTTCCGCAGGCATTGTGCGATAGCATATCTCGAGCCTCGACTGCAGGAAGGGCGATGCAGTCAAACTCGGTGAGGTCCCGGGCTCGCAAGCGGCGTTAACGTCTGCAGAATCTGGTCAGAGGATGCGCAACAAAGGATTAGAAGCATGCTCACTTTCCAAAAGTACCACATCCCCACGCCTCACCCCCGCGGCCGCCCACGCATCCGCCACCTCCCGCCACGCAGTCAACTTGCACACCTTCCCCGCCTCATCCCCCAGCACCATCCTCAACACGGACACCTCCCTCCCCGCATCAGTGCCTGCCTTCACGCGTACGGTGTCCGGCCCGTCTACCTCGAGGAGGGCGAGTAGGAGGGTCACGCGCCGCTGAGGCGATTTAGCGGCTTCCTTCTTCGCGGCGCCGAAGAAGTTGGGAGCGGGTTTATCAGAGCCGGCAGGATTCGATTTTCCGGGTACATGCAGCTCGCTGAGCGAGTTCAGCGCGTGGAGGCTGAAGCGGAATGCTGGGAAGTGGGCGATGGAAGACGAGTTGGAGTATGCGGCGCTGGACTGAGTCTCGTCTTGTGTCTCGTCTCCTCTCGGTAGGCGCGAGACAGAGGCAAGCGCAGCGGAGGCGGAGTCCACTGCGTATGCTCGGGAACAGCTGACACGACGCGAAACACTGGCAGTCGAGGGCCAACTGATGTATGCCGACTGTTCGACGGTTACTGCACAGAAGATGTTAGGAGGAAATGAGACACGTAGCCAGATAATATGGGGTACCTTCGAAGCTGCCCGAATCGCCCTGAGATGCTCCTGCGCTCCCATCCTCCTCTTCATCCTCGTGGAAGATTGTGTTCTTGTAGACCAGCGAGATCCGTGCGCTGGAAGCCTCAAGGGTCGCAGGTGGATAGATCGGGAGCTCGGAAGGAAGAGTCATGGTTTCAAGCGTAGCAGAGGACGTGCCGTGGGTTTGTGGTATGTGCTGCGAGATTGATGGGATGTCTGACGGATCCGCCTGGCCATCGCTCGGTGGCGCGGGCAAGCTTGACATTCCAATGTTCGAAAAGGTGGGATTCTCGAAGGACGAGTCATTGAAACTCGACGAAGAAATAGGATTGGATGAGTGTGAGTCGACGGAAGGGCCTGAGGCGTTGATGGTGGCTTCATGAGATGCATTGCTGGGTTCGTTCAGCGAGTGGTGAACTGGAAGTGATGGCTCTACATTCTCTCCTGAGAACAAAAATCTGCTTGCAGTCTCAGGCTCATGGCTAATTCCCTCGTTGTTCTCCGGGGGCATTGAACCGGGCTTCGATGAGAAGGTAATCCAGCGACGAGGTTCATTTATGGCAATCTCCCTGGCAGGCGGGGCACCCAGGAAGACTCGGTAGCGCGTCGTAGTCATCTTAGGGTAAGATTTCTTCAAGAACAGTTGCTGTTCCTTTCAATTCTTGCTCGACTCTTGCCGTCGTCAAGTTAGATAAGATGGATGCAGGAAGCAAGAAAGGAACAATGCTATTGATCTCCCACGCCCCACGATCTGCTGTCGGGTAGCCGGACCGGCCGGCAATCACATCGACGCGTCGGCGGCGCGGTCCTCTCTGTCTCCTACATACCCATCGGTGACGAGGCAACTTCTTGTCGACGACTTTTGCCTGTAAACCGAGCTCAACTCACAAGATCGCCACTGTTCATCGTATACACTAGACGATGAACGGCGCACGCCCACCCCCAGCCGTCATCCAGACGCCCGGCTTTGCGCATTACGGCCTCGCTTGGTCCCCCTTTCATACTACGCGTCTTGCACTTGCATCTGCAGCGAACTTTGGGCTTGTAGGGAATGGGAGGTTGCATCTACTAGCCCTGGGCCCGGATGGGGGGATCCGACTGGAGAAGCAGTATGTTGCTTCCGCTTGGTCGCTCGTATTGCGATGGGCGAAAGCGCGGGATTGCGACAGGCATGCTCATAATCAACCAGGTTCGACACACAAGATGGACTGTACGATGTCGCCTGGTCGGAGGTGCACGAGAATCAGCTTGTGACGGCCTCAGGAGATGGGTCGATCAAGTTGTGGGACATGATGCTGAATGTGAGTACGGGGATCTGAGATGGTATCTGCACGTTCTGACAAGATGACCCCAGGAGCTACCAATACGAGCGTGGCAAGAGCATACTCGAGAGGTCTTCTCCGTCGACTGGTCGAACATCCAGAAGGACCTCTTCGTGTCCTCTTCATGGGATGGGAATGTGAAGCTCGTACGTCTTACGTTGGCATTCGCCCAACGAGATTACTGACCCAATACCCAGTGGTCACCCGATCGTCCTCACTCCCTTTTCACACTTAACGCACACCACGCCTGCGTATACCAAGCCCTCTTCTCCCCTCATCAACCCGACACAATCGCCACTTGCTCTACAGATGGCACCCTCAAGATTTTCGACATACGCGCACCAGCCTACGTCCCCGCACCACCCGGCACGACCACCCTACCACCTCCAATGCACGCCGCTGCCCTCACTGTACCCGCCTCTCCTACGGAGATCTTGTCCCTCGACTGGAACAAGTATCGACCCTGGATCATTGCGACGGCGGGCGTCGACCGCGCGGTGAAGATATGGGATTGCCGGATGGTGAAGGTGGGCGGAGACGCGGGGCAGGGGCAGATGGGCGCTCCGTGCGAGACGCAGCTTCTGGGCCATGAATACGCTGTGCGCAAGGTGCAGTGGAGTCCGCATCGGGCAGAGATGCTGGCGACGGCGAGCTACGATATGACCTGTCGAATGTGCGTCTTGCCTTCCTTCTTGCAAATGGGCGATATCGATGCTGACGATGTATCCAGATGGAACACAGCTGCTCCACCCGGGCAGCCGCAACTACTTGACATCTTGGACCCTCACACTGAATTTGTAGTTGGCTGCAGCTGGTCGTTGTACGAGCCCGGACTGCTTGCTACTTGCGGCTGGGACAGCAGGTTGCATATTTTCCGTGTATGACTTCACCCTGTATCATAGCATATTTATCACCTCTTCGTCCTTGCTGCACCAAATTTCTGAGTATTCAAGAGACTTGTGAAGAAAGTGAAGAATTTGTGCTTCAGCCTGCGGATATCCATTTTTGTTCGCCCACAAGGCCTGCCTAATCAGGCGATGTCAGCTGCGGGCCGGTGGCGCGATCATCTCATCTACCTCCGTCAGACGGCCATGTCGTCCAACACGGCGCCCAGAACAGCGCCGGCGACGTTTGCGACAACTGCACCAAATGATGAGCTGACCGCTGCCGTCGACAAGCTAGCTCTGTTGGAAGACTCGGCTACAACGAGCGCAGCACCGGCTCCAGACCCGACAACCACACTCCCCACCTCGTCAACACCAGATCCGAATCCGTGGCGGACGATGACGCCGGGTATACCACCAACCAGTGCGACTGAGACGGTGCCGTCCGAGTCAACGACGCCGAATCCGTGGCAGGCGCCGACGCCTACGCTACCCCAAGAACCTACAGCGGTTGCGGATCCAGCGACATTAGATCCTGAGCTCAGAAATAGCGCCGCTGCGTTCGGAGGGGCGCAGAAGACGGTCACTTCCGAGCAGGAGAAGGAGATACTGGCCGCATTTGACCCCTACGCGCGCGTGGAGAGCGAGGAGCAACGCAAAGCTTGGGACGACGCGCGTACCAGCCAGGACGAGGAGAGTAAGGACGGCGACGCTGCCAGCGTCTCGAAAGCGGAAGCAGGAGTAGAGGGCGAACCACCAGCAACACCCTCGAAAGCCGACGCGCCACCAGAACCACCTTCGAAGACACATACCCCGTCCTCTTCTGCCTCCGGCTTCCCCTCTCTCAACTTCTCCTCCATCGCCCGCTCCTTCTCGATCTCGTCCCTGAGCAAGGACAAGGGACGCCCTGTCTCGCTGGACGCGAAGGCGCAGCCCGACAACGTCGACGCGCGGACGGTCTCGCAGGAGCAGCAAGATAGCGGGCAGCAGGGGAACGAGTTGAGGCCCTCGAACGACGGCAACACGGCGGGGTCAACGCAGAATCAGGCGCGGCAAGATGACGGCGAGCCACCACCGTTCGACTTCCAGAGGTTCCTCGAGCAGATGAACTCTAAGAGCGCGGAGCCGGTGTCGAAGTACTTGAAGTCGTGCGTGGCGTACTTGCTGGTGTGGGTTCTGTTAGGTTGACGCACACGGATAGGTTCCTGTCGAACTTCGCCAAGCGAACGTTCACGGTCAATGACCAGATCAAGATCATCAACGACTTCCTGAACGTTAGTCGATATCCTCCCTGTTTCCCTGGCAAGTCATTCCTCATCATCTACACCCCAGTTCATCGCCCAACGCATGCGCCAAACCGACCCATGGCGGAAATGCACCGAACAAGAGTTTGACAACGCCATGGAAGGAATGGAGAAGCTCGTTATGAACCGATTATACGACTTGTCTGTACACCCCTCTTGTCTATGCTTTAGTCCGCCTGACACCTGCGTAGCACCTTCACTCCGTCGATACCCACCCTTCAGCCGCCTCGGCCAGTCACAACAGACGATCTCGAGCGCGATCGTGTCCTTGCCCAGAGGATAGCGCTGTTCGGCTGGGTAGAGGAGAAGCACCTCGACATCGACCTCACGAGCGAGGAAGGAGATACGAGTAGCGCCAAAGGGTTCTTAATGTTCGCGCAGCAAGGTCAGCGTCTGTCGTTGACTTGTATCATGGATCTTTGGCTGAGAGCGTATACGTGTAGAACTGCTCAAGATGAACCACTACAAGGCGCCGAGGGACAAGGTTATCTGCATCTTGAATTGCTGCAAAGTTATCTTCGGTCAGCGCCTCGTCACTGAGGCTGGCTCTTTCTTACGGAAACTAATGTGCAGGTCTCATCCGACATTTGAAGAAGGACGAATCCGCGGATGCCTTTATTCCACTGCTGATCTTCGTCGTTCTGAAAGCCAACCCAGAACACCTGTTGAGTAACATGGAGTGAGTGGGCCCGATCTTCGACACTTCCGATGATATACTCATGCCCTCCAGATTCATTCAACGTTTCCGAAATCCGGCCAAGCTACAGAGCGAAGCTGGATACTACCTTAGTAGTTTAGTGCGTGCATTCTACTGTCATAGATTCGTCGTACTGACCCCACTTGTAGATGGGCGCGGTATCGTTCATCGAGACCATGGACCATACGTCGCTATCTAATATCACCCAGGAGGAGTTCGAGAAGTGGGTGGACCCATTAATAAACAAAAGCGTTGCTGAGTTTTCACAGGAACGTCGAACAAGCCATCCAGTCTCTTCCTCGTCAAGATCAGTCTCCACCTCTCCCCTCTTCAGGCCCACCGTCAGGGTGGTCTACACCAACACACCAGAGGACGCCGTCCGCCCTCTCAGAGCGACCGCGGTCTTCCTCTATGGCCTCCCTCCCTCCACGACCTCCGTCATCCATGTCCGCTCCCTCATCTCCTTTAGCGGCCCAGATCCCTACAAACGCCTCGCACGCAGGAGAGGAGTCCGCAACACCACTGTCGCTGCCTTCCATTGACATCGCCGACGACGCCCGGCGGTTATTCCAGAAGACTGGGGACACGATTAGCAAGCCGCTGAGCGCCATCGGGCGAATATTCAGCGAGGTCGTCGATGGGGTCGTTCGGCCAGATTCGCCGCCGCCGCAGGGTGGTGAGTCGCCTTCATGGCTTTGAATGTGCGTAATGCTAACTATGAGCAGGACCCTCGTGGGCGCATCCGGACCAGGTACGACAATACATCGTTGGCAGTGGCGCCAGCCGGCCGCAAACCCCAACGTTCGCGCAGGGACAGCCGCAGATCCAGACGCCCTACAAGCCTCGCGTGCGGCGCGTCCAGTCACCCGCCGCCTACGCTCCAGGGCACGCTCCAGTCTTCGTTGGCGCCGACGAGACGCCATCTCGACCGCCACAATCCTCGAACTCCGCATCATCCTTCCTCTCGCAGGCGACGCAGTTCCTCGGCGGCACGCCTCCGCGAACACCTCCGCCGCGGACGCCGCCATACTCCGTGTCGCGCACGCCGACGCCCGGGCTGGACATCGCGGGGGTGCAGGCGCAGATCGACCTGGCGACGCAACGAGCGGCGGAGGCGAACCAGGCGACGCTGATGCAGATCTTCCCGAGCATGGACAGGGAGGTGGTGCAGCTCGTGCTGGAGGCAAACGAGAACGACGTGGGGAAGAGTATCGAGAAGTTGCTCGAGATGACGGCGGGGTCGTAGTACTGTGCGTGATGGACAAGGAGAGGGAAACATGGATAATACGGAGTCACCGGTATGTAGTATAATAGTCCTGATTACTTTTTTCTCGGGGATGCGGCTGCGATGCTCCCGCTAGGGTCCAGTGGCCATTTCGAGTGCGACTTCATGCGGTGAGTTCTGCTAGACGGTTCGCGACCCTCTCCCATGCATCCCCTGTTGGGGTCGCGGTGTCGTCCAGAATTTGCCTCCCATGATACACACCGTAGTCAGGGATCAGTTCCCGTAGATTCGGAAAGGTTGAGTGTAGGAACTGGACCACTTCGTCCTGGTTCCCGATGGGCGCATACCACATGAAGCGCAACTCGACCAGGCTCTGCTGGGAGGAAGCTACAGGGGGAACCAACGACGCGTTGATAGGAAGTTCCAGTTTATGAAGGTGAGGGCACGCGCGTGCGAGGGCCGACAGGGAAGCCAACGTAGGAAGCGGGCCATCATCACGGGTATGATGGAGACAGATCTGAAGAACCTCTAGGAAAGGCCACCAGGATGCCATAGCGATCACATCGTCGTCGGTGAGTGAATTTCCGTCCTCGTCCAGCTCGATCTCGAGGGTGGCCAATTGACGAAAGGACGACAATGGGAACAGATCGCCGAAGGAGAGTTGAAGGCGAGTGTTCTCGGTCCCCAAAGTGCAGTGGATCTTGAGGTGGACCAGGCTCGCATGCTCGCAGTGTCGTTGGATGCGTTCGGTTGTGGCTAACAGCGCCATCCCCGGTGGACGTCTGATCTTGTTGAGACGAAGTGTAAGCAAAGGTTTTACGCCCCAGGCATTCATCATCGTGTGCAAGGTGGTGAGATATATGCCCCCGTATAGAGTGAAGGAACGCAGGCATGGGAAGGCGCCGGAAGGGAGTGAGATATGGGTAGGATATCCTTCACTGTCGTGATACCTCATCAACTTGAGCGTCCAAAGGCGAGGCATACGGGCTAGAGAATCGAGGACCTGCACCAAGTCTTCAGAAAGCATCAGGTCCAGGTTTGTCAGGCTCTGGTGGGCGTGGAGAGCGTCAATGAAGGCTGCCACTCGACCATCGCCTGCTTCGAAGAATTGCAATTTCAAGGTTCGCAGGTGAGGGCTTGTGCCGATGATTTGCTGCGGGTCGGCGTGCAGTGCAGAGTATGGACGTCCAAAGAGAGATAGGCTGACTGTCCCTCTGGCAAGGAACATACCGAGAATGCAGCGGAGCTCGTCCGCTTCGGCGAAGTACCGTGCGTTCACGGTTAGTTCCCGCATCGACGGACAGAGAGGAGCGGCGGGCGGACAAGCGACGACACTTGCAGCGACTCCATCATCGAGGACAATGCGGTACGCTCCATTCATCACCTGTGGAACATAACGGACGAAGCGTGCGAGTCGGGAGACCGGGGCCCAGTCGTCCTGTTCGAGTGGACGACTAAGAGTCTGCCAAGGTTTCGTCGGCTACGTCACTAGAAGCAGGATGCAAGACACGAACTAGTGTTTTCGATCCTCTCCTGACTTTCTTGGGGAGGGAAGCTGCAGGCAAAAGTGCGAGGAGATGACCAATGTCCGGGATGCGTTCCCAAATCAGTGGATTCGCGCAGTTGAGCCAATCCTTGGACACTCTTGCGATGCGGCAAAGATCAGCTTCTTCAGAGTGCTGACAGATGACATAGCATATGTCTGGTATGTCTAGAGGGTTCATCACTGGGAGAAGGAGAGATCGATAAATCCAAACCCGACATCAAAGGAAGCGTGACCTCGTGTGACTCGACATCACCTCAAGCTGAGTCGGACGGCGAATGGGGACGCTTAGCTCTATCGATATTTTGCGAGGAACACGGTGTAGCTCATATTGGGCGCGAAAAATGATGCTCTGCTGTCTCCGGTGTAGATATGGGATAAGGTCACTAGACAAGTCGAGCTATAGTAAAATCAACGCTAATTCGTGAGTTCCGCTAGAAGGCCTTCATTGTGCGTATATATCGACCCTTGTTTATTCATGGGACCTGCTCCTTCAGACGCACCCATACGCTCTCCCACGCCCTACTTCTGGGAAACGTGCCATCCAGATACATGATTCTCCCACTGTATCCGCCGAAGCGCATGCTCCGCAGCTTTGGGAAGGTAGAGCGCAGGAACTGAAGCACCCCATCCGAGTCCTCGATAGGAGCATACCACATAATCGACATTTTCGTCAGACTCTGCTGAGATGCGACCACCGGCGGAATGAGCTGGGCGCTAAAGGGCAACTCCAGGGTGTGCAGACGGGAGCAGCCGCGCGCGAGGGACGACAAGGACGACAATGTGGGGAGTATGCCGAGGTCAGAGGTCTTGTCGGGCATGATGCACAGCTCCTCTATGAGCGGCCACCAGGATGCCATGGCAGCGACATCATCGTCTGTGAGCGCGCATCTCCCATCGATGAGGTTGATTCGCAGGGTGGCCAAGTTACGAAAGGGCGACATGGCAGATATATCGTGTCTGTCGAGGTCGGCTCCGGAGGGTTCTGGGGAGTGGATGATGATCTTGCGTAGAGACGCGTGATCGCAGTGCTGTTGGATACATTCGGTCGTATGCTGAAGCTTCCAGCCCTGCATATCAGTCCTGCTATTGGTAGTCTGTAGGACAACGCTTTGCAGCGGACGGCGCGTCGACCATGCGCCCATCATGGTGTGAAGGGTTGTAGGATGCATCCCGCTGCCACCCAAGACAAGCGAGGTCAAAGCAGGGAAGCTATCCGGTGAATAGTTGGGAGTAGAATGGTTGCAGATCGCCGACAGATCCATCATACTGAGCTTCTTGAGGTGGGGAAGGCGCGAAAGCGATTCCGGGACTTGTACAGGAATATCGCAGGCGAGAAGATCGATGGTACTGAGGTACGTATGCGAGAGAAACGCATCGAAGAGGGTGCCCAACTGCCCATCTGCTGCTGAAAGAAAGTGCAATCCCAGAGTTTGCAAATGTGGACACGCGTTAACGATCCGCGACGGGGGGACCGATAGTGGAGCGTTAAGTTGATCAACCGTCAGATAGAAAGTATCGAGGTTTTCTCCTAAGAGCATGTCGAGCATGGTCGGGAGCCATTCACCCGGGATCCGGGTGGCGTTACCAGTGATTCCTGCAAGCCCGAGTTCCCGCAGCATGGGACAGAGCGGTGCAGGAGGCGGGCAGGCAAGGACGTTTCGAGTCAAGCCTTCGGAAGGCATGATTCGATATGAATTACTACGCCCTCTGCCCAAACAGCGTACGAACCGACCATACCGTAGGACCGGCAGCCAGTCATCCGGTTTGATCGTCCGGCATAATGTCTTTTGGAACGACGTCAGATACTATGATACTATATCACAGAAAGCGTTAGAGGCAGTACGCACCAAGATCCTCTCAAAGTCTATCTCTGCTGACAGTGACGCTCCAGGAAGTAGCGCGAAGAGATAGAAAATATTTGGCAGATTTTCCCATATGAATGGGGTCGCCACGTCGCGCCAGTCTCTGGATACCCTTGCAAGACAGCAGAGATCATCTCTTCTAGTCAGTTGACAAATTATAGAGCATATGTCGGGTATGTCTAGAGGGCTGATCATGGTCGGACACAGAAATCGATCAACCAGAGGTTGACATCAAAGGAAGCGTGACTTCTGAATCGTGTGACTCGACATCACGAGCGCACCCGGTAAGATCTCTTTCCGTATGGGGTATGTCCATAGCTATTGTTCCAAATAGGTAAGTGTTCTGCGCGGATTCAGGAAGCACACAGAGCAGCATTCCAGATACATTGCTTGTAGTATACATCAATAATTTGCAAACGGGCTGACATTTCAGCATATGATGCTGTCCACATCGCCCAAGATGTAGTTGTCGATTAACCGCGTCTTATCCACCCATATAGCGCCGCTCAGGATTACTGGATGTGGGGACTGCTGCGCCCATGTTTCCTTTGTCCTGTGTCCGGGAACCTCAAAGAACGTGTCCGCGTCGTTGAGTTGAATGTAGTCTAGTCGAACTTCCGCCGCACCATCGGCGCGTGCGCGCTCTGCCACCTCCGTCACGTACTGCTCCGCGCGCTTGACGCACTCGTCCTTCGTCAGACCTGCCTCCCATGCATCGCGAGCGACATCGAGAGCAGATGGCATGACGGTTGCGACACGACGGGCCGAAGGGGAAAGGTATGCATTCCGGGAGGAAAGCGCGAGTCCGTCGGCCGGGTCTCGCACCGTCGGTACGATGTGCAGGTTCTCGGGGTAGGGGAGGGTCATGAGAAGGTCTTTACACATGCGTCGGAGCAGGAGCGCCTGCTGTATGTCTTTCTGGCCGAAGTACGTCCGCGTTGGCTACGTACGTACGGTTAGCTGCTCGGCTGCTCCACCACGTATGTAGACATACCTGCACGGCGTTGAAGAGCTTGGTGACCACGGTCGCGACACCGCGGAAGAATATAGGGCGACTGCGTCCCTCCATCTCCTGACCATAGCCCATGACCTCGACGAAGGTTCCTCGTTGAAGGGCGGGGTCCTGGGAGATGCCTGACGGGTACATTTCTAGAGCGTTCGGGACGAAGACAGCAGATGGCGCCCGTCCCCTAACCTCTAGAGCAGAGAGGGCTGCAAGGTCTGCGGGGAGAGTTCGTGGATAGCTCGCAAGGTCTTCGTGAGGCGCGAATTGAGCGGGGTTGACGAAGACGGAGCAGACTGTGAGGTCGTTCTCTGCGAGGGATCGACGAACTGGAGGGGCTGTAAGCCACAATATACAAGCAGAGACAGCGTAGTACTCACCAAGAGCCATATGTCCCTCATGAAGCGCACCCATCGTGGCGACGAAGCCCACCGATTCGTTCTGGGCGAACGCGCGCGAGCGCCATTCGCGCAGCGCGTTCAGCGTGTTGAAGGTCGGGATCGTCGCCGTCGCTGCTGTGCTCATCGTGTGCGAAGAGAGGAGGGTTGCCTTGGATGGAGGTCGTTGGGTAAGACCGAGACGTACGATGCTCCTAATGATCATGGTGCGAGCCAGATGCGGACAAGGCGCGAAGCCCGATCGTGCCATTTGGTCATATCCGGTCCCGCGCGGTCCGCGGAGATTGCAATCACGTGAAATTTGCTTCCCACTGGGCTGCTCGACTCGTCTTCGACGTTCATGCTGCTGTAGGCTCAGAAAACCAGGGATATTGTGTCTCCCCCCAACGCTCTCTGATCTTGCCAAAGTTTTCTATCCCTTTCCAGCAACTGGGTATGTCACATCCGATGACTTCGTACAGGCGCCCTGATCTTAGCGTGTAGCAGCTTTCCCTACTCAGCTCTCGTCATCTGTCCCCCGCATTACCTATCGCAACATGACCTCCCCTGGCCTTGACGCGTGCTATGTCAATCGAATCTCGGTTGAGCTTCTTGAAGCTATATTCCTCTACGTCTCGCAGAGCATCTTTTCGATGGTGACGACTCGCGTCTGCCGATACTGGCGGGAAATCACGCTCAATAGCCCGCGGCTCTGGACGGAGATACGCATGGAAGGACGTCTGACAGAGGGTCAAGTCCAACTCGTGCGCGCTGCTCTCAGCCGTTCACTGCCATACCCTTTGTGCATACGGATCACCGAGGACGCGTTCGTGCAGACCAGCGAGGATCTGCAGGTCTGGAAGGAGGCATTCGACCATGCAGGGCGATGGGAGGAAGCAGAGCTCATGCTACCTCGATCTGCCGAGATGCTTGTCGACATAGAAGAAATCGATGCTCCACGACTTCGTGCTCTGACGCTGAGCGTCCCAGATGGGGAGGAAGTAGAAGATGAAAATGCGGACGAAGATGTCAACGACCTGAAGGGGCCTCCCGAATGGCAGTTTGTTGCGCCGGCATTGAAGCAGGTCAAGCTGTCTGGCAGTTATTTTGATTATAAAGCGCGACTGCCCCTGCCTTTCGAACAGCTGTCCGATCTTCGATTGCAGCTCGCAGAGGATGCCGGCTCGGTTGAGGAAGTCATCGATATCCTGCGGCCTTGCAGCTTGCTTACGCATCTTGCCCTCGACATACTGCATTGGGATGATGAAGCTGCTCCGCCTACACCGTTGACGCTGCCCGCGCTGAAGACGCTCGACATCAATAACGCCGGCACCGAGATCGGCCGTTACCTGAAGGCGCCAGCCCTGCGCAAGGTTATCTTCCGCATGGAAGGCGTTGACTTCGGAGATCCTGCGCGCTACGCCAACACAGAGCTCGACGCCCTCCTCGCGCTCGCGCAAAAATGTACATTTACCTCGTTGACCCTGCGTATCCAGGCGCTCGCGGATGACGACAGCTGGGATGTGCTAGAGGAAGTCCTAGGTGAGATAAGCGAAGTTACCGAGCTCGAAGTTTGGGAGGGATTGGGAATGGAGAACGCCGTTATTCGCACGTCCATCATGGCCGACGTATACCGCATCCTGGCGTACAACAAACCTTGGCCGCCTGCCTTGCCGAGTCTCACAAGGCTTTCGACACATTCGCGGATCGTCGACCTGTTCCCAACGTACTTTCGCGAGGTGCAGGGGATGGTAACGTCTCGGCGAATGCCCGACGCGGAATGCTCGCCGCTGCAGTATCTGGAAATCAGCCAGGATCCGCACCCTAACTTCACCTGGGGGGTGTATAGCCGAGGGAAAAACCTGATGAAGGAGGAATATTGGTTCGAAGAGCAACCGGCGGGCTTCAAATGGATGCTGAAGATGAGGGAAGAGGGTTTGGAGGTCAAGTCCGACCTCCTGGACAGATACATAGCGTATCACGACAGAGCGGATCGTAGCTAGGATCAGAACGCAGAAGTGCGGTCACCACTGGGCTGTGTGAACGCGTCGAAGCGCCTGGATTTTTCGCGCGCAAGACACCACTTCGTCTCCGGAACCCCGGGCCGTGATTCGAACTTGTTCTCAACCATCATTGCGCGACTTGCAATGGCTTTCCCGTTCACTGCCCTCTCGCCCTTCGCTATTCTTCCCGCGGACCTACACATCCTGGTCATGTCCTTCCTGACCCCACGCGATATCATCGCGGTCCGGCTCGTGAGTGGCTCGCTCGGGTGGCGCACAGCAAAAGGCACTGAACGTAAGGTCATCCAGACCTGCAAGGGAATGGTGAACGTAACACGCACGCGCACCGTATGGCTCGACGCTCTCAAACGTGTCTGCCTCTCGCATGCCATCCCCTTCGTCACCCATAACTTCCCGAGCATGACTACGGCCGAACTGGAGTACGCTGCCACCATGCCGGACCGCTTCCGCTACGCTGGGCGCGGGAAGAAGAGCTTGCGCTACCACATTCTACGACCGGTGAAGGAGCGGTGCATCCCCATACGAACAGCGGACTTTGGCCCAGAAGGATGGGAGGTGGACGAGCTAGAGAGCCTCGCCATCGTGCCCGGCGGTCGCTTCGTACTTGCGCGAACTCTGGACACGCTTCTCGTATGGGACTTGTGCTCCGACTCCATCAAGCCTTGTCTTGCGAGGTATGGCGTAATTGAAGATGCCTTTGATGGCAGATTCGCGTGGAAAGACGCCTATATGAGCTGCTCTGACCTGTGGTACGATCCTGCTAATTCGAAGATGAGATTCGTCCTGGATGCGTATAAGTGAGTGAGAGAAGGTTCTCTTGTATATAAACGCTCCCCGAGCTGATCCAACGTTTGTAGTAACGGTCTACCAAACGACTCCGAATACTCATGTGGTTCCATCGCATACGAGCTCGATCTATCATCAAATCCACCTCAGCTGAACATGTTGAACTACTTATGGGGATCCAGCACATTATCCTTCGCCGGACGTAGCGGCAACCGCGTGATCTACAACGGAGGATTGATCGACAAAATTGGTATCTGGGACTTCGAGCACAACACCGCTGTTGCATGGCAAGATACGTCCCAAATGGTAAGAGCATCGTTACTTCGGGGCCCACCTATTCACCAAGCTACAGCCACCCGTTGCGACAGAGTACCATGTCATCGAGAATGACTGGAAATCACGCTTGAAAGCCTACGAGATTGCGCCTTTCGTGCCGGTTGTGGACCACAGAATGCCGGCGACAACGCAGATTCGTCTGGTTCAGGAGGTGACACTCGCCGACTTCGACCCCGACACTCTCGTGAAGTGCAGAGGCACGGAATACATCAACGCAGCATCGGCCAACGACTTCACTGTCTTGAACGCCTCCATCTTAAAGAGACTGGACGAATACACCGAGGTCGTGACCGACTTCGTGCATCTCTACGTCCACTCGACGCCAGGTGATACGCCTATTGGGAAGCCGACGAGGATAGCGCAGACCAAGGAGATCGAGCGCTCGACGGCGCCGAAGCAGAGCGACGACCGAGTGACGGTGATCAGCCAGCACGGCGACCCCAAGCGAGGAGAGATGCTGGTGCACTTTACGACGATTGGGCGCGAGGAGGAGCAGCAAACGGTGTACCTTGGGCCGAAGAAGGGCAGGTTTTTTGCCAAACCCAAGGACTGGCTGGATGGGGGAGGGGAGTATGATTTCTGCCCAGCGACGGGTAGGCTATGCGTCGGGAGGGTCGACAAAAATATGCTGTACATATACGACTTCATACCGATGCCCGCGCAAGGTGGTCGCAGTTGATTTCGAGTCGTTGAAGCACTTGTGACCCTGCTCTTCCTATGTATCGCTCCGCCCGACGAATATTTCGGCGAGGACATGGCCGCTGGCAAATGCCGGACGAGGCGCGTCCAATTGTTGGCGTGCTGTTTATGACATCACGCATGATCAATCAGGAAGAAGGACCTGGTTCTTGCCGCCTCCCGCCATGGACCCCACGACTCGCTCTTGCTCTCTACCACCATCATGCCTGTTCCCCGTGCACTTTTCGAGCAGATCAAGCAGATTATCCCACCGTTGACTGGTGTTCTTCATAAAGGGCAATCAGGTACGTGGGCGTGCTAGTGAACGAGGACGTAGCTGACGGCAGAGCGTAGGACGCGTTGGTGTACTTGGCGGCGCGCTAGAGTGAGCATAGCGATCATTAGAGCGCGTCAAGCATGCTGACACTCTACCAGCTATACGGGTGCTCCGTACTTCGCGTCAATATCGGCCCTTCGCTACGTATGTGCAGCGTGTTCTCTCCCGTACGCGGGTGGATGCTGAAAGCGTTCCAACAGGGAGCCGACCTCTCCCATGTCATCTGCTCGCCCACAGCTGCCTCAGCTATCAAGTCCTACGCTCCTGACCTGATTGTCCATCCCATCTTGCGCGAAGACTCCAGCCCGGAGAAGCTCAAGCCCGAACTCGATTCCCTCTTTTCCCGACTGCATGCCATCGTCATCGGACCAGGGCTCGGGCGTGAGCCCTATATGCAGGCTTATGCCCGCCTTGCCCTCTCGATTGCTCGCGAACGCGGCATGTACATTGTGCTTGACGCAGACGGCCTCTTCATGATCCAGCAGGACTTCAGCTTGATCAAGGGCTACCGCCGCGCTGTGATCACGCCCAACGTCGCGGAGTTCGCGCGGTTGGCGGACGCGGCGGGCATCGACCCGAACACGCCGAAGGACAAGCGGGCGCACAGCCTGAGCAAGATCCTCGGCGGCGTGACGGTGTTGGAGAAGGGTGGCGTGGATACTATAGCGACAGACACAACGGGGAAGGAGGCCGACCTGAGGGCGAGCAAGCTAGACAATAGGTCAGGAGAGAAGGAGACGACCTCGGAGCAAGTCGAGGTCGACGTGGAGGGTGGCTACAAGCGCTGCGGCGGGCAGGGCGATGTTTTGAGCGGCGGCGTCGGTGCCTTTCTTGCGTGGGGTAAGTGCTACGAAGATGGCGCTTTCGGGTAAGTTGATTTTTGTGCACAATCTCCAGTCTTCTGACGATAACTTAGCGACCATTCCCTGCCCATCTCACGGGTACCCCTACTTGCCGCCATCGGAGCCAGCATGGTGACGCGACAAACCAGCCATCTCGCCTACCTGAAGGCGGGCCGTGGTCTGATCACGCAGGACTTGCTTCCTGAGATCGGCAAAGCCTTCGCAAAGACCTTTGGCGAGGAGGCTGCTGGGTTCAAGAAGGGAAGCATACCCGAACTTGGGCGGACGACGAAGAGTTTCTACTGAGGGGCTGATGCCTTGTTGACCCTCTGTTATCTCAAGGCAGCCGCAAAATGTACGATAAGTAGTCGATCTGTGTAACATCTACTCGTTGATGCAAGGACAATCGTAGTCATCTTGTATTTTGAAAAGACCCTCGCCGATTTTGGCTGTTTTTCCGAGCAGGGAGATTTTGGGTCCATCGTACTTACTGTACGAGGCATGGGCGTATTGTTGTTCTGCTTACCGGTGGCGCAGGGCGTCCTGGATCGCCCTATGATATTGTGGCATATCCTACTCCCTACTGCTGGATTGAGCCGCCGATCAAGGTCAAATTCCCTGATTGTGGCCTCCACACAATAGCCCTTGCTGATATCGTCACGCATTACAGGCGTACAGTTGTAGATATCGAGATATTCTTTGTATGAGCTGTATCGCTTCGATCTGAGATGTGCCGTCAGCGTCTTTCGGGCCCCTTCCACACCTGAACATGCAGGTTGAGCTTTGTGCGGATATGTGGGTCCATGCTTGGCCTGTTGATGTTTGACTCGTGACCATAATTAATTTCGAATCGTGGCCGGCTCCGCGCCGTGCGCGTGTCGCCCGTCCCGGGCGCTTCGAGTTGCCCCACGACGACCATGTCCAGCCCCTTGTCGTCCACCACCAAGTATGCCGCGTCCCCTCGACCATTCTACGCCCAGTATTGACATGATATCAGGAAGCCAGTGAGGACCTACAAGGGTCGCTCAAAGGCACGTAAACAGACCGTACAACATAGCATTCAACCATTGATAGTGCATTCATAACAGCGGAGAGGCAAACCGGCCCAGGACAAGTGCGCTGTATCGTGTATAAGAAGGGGGGACAATAACTGACGCGCCGCAGCTCTGACAGTTCTTCCTCTTCCGAGTGGGAGGACGACGAGAAGCCGAGGACGAAGATGCCGCCACCCGCAACCCCTGCGAGCAAGAAGCCTGAGCCAAACTTCAAGGTGCGTGGCCTACTAATAGACTGTGTCCCTCAGCTGATGGTGCTGTAGGTCCCTGAGCCCAAGGGCGCGACGCCCAACGCGAAGTGAGTGCTCAGTCGCGTCAACAGAGCGCGTATCTCAACGAATACAGGACCGAAGTCACGTCCCCCGCCCAGAGCAAGCCCGAATCTGCGAAGAAGAAGACGCACGTCCGCAACTCTTCCTCCATCAGCTCGCTCAGACGCGCCGCCCAAGGCTCGGACATCGCCTCCCCCGCGTCGCTCACCAAGCCCATCTCGCGTAGCCGGTTCGCGCCTGCGTGCGTATTCCCATTCTATTCTTCTACGAAACCACACATCTGACGCGTCTACTATCTACAGTCGCGAAGAGCCCGACCCCGATCCCGAGGAAACCGACGACGGCGCGTCCGTGGCCGAGTCCTTCGTGAGCAACACCAAGATCCGCCGCACCGAGGCCGAGCGCATCGAGTATTTCCGCAACCAGCCCGAGTGCGGGGAGATCGAGCCGCACCGCGCGTTCTGCACGCGCTGCAACAAGCACGTCGGCCTCGGGAAGAAGCAGACGTACACGGTCCGCCCGTGGGAGACGCACAGGGCGAAGTGCGACCAGAAGCTGCCGGTATCGATGATGTGAGTCAGATGCTGAATGGTTGGGTGTGGGTGGCTGATACGGTGGTAGGCCTGGCGATGATGAGCCGGAGGACGAGGCGGGGTCGGGGGCGACGCCTAGTGTGTCTGAAGCAACTGTGCGGCGCTCGGAGGCGGAGAGGAAGGCCATCTTGGAGGCGGATACTCGCGCGGAAGAGCTAGAGCCACACCAGGCGCTTTGCAGGAAGTGCCACAAGTGGATCAAACTGTCCACCCAGCAACGATACGCGTACGTGCCCAGCGCCCCTCGTCTTGGTCTCTTCTCACTCCCTAGCAGACTGTCCAACTGGAACCGTCATCAGCGCAGCTGCGCGGACGCTGTGTAAGTCGTGACTTAACTGCCGTCAGTCTGGCGCTTACTCACAGACGCTCTATAGACCGAGTGCGCGTGTGTCGAGCGCTCAGCGGCGGGTCTACTTGTGCAATGACAAGCAAGCGAACGACCCGCAGCCGGATAGCGTTGAGTGCAAAGCGTGCGGTGTAAGGATAGCGCTCGAGGGCGATGGCGAGTACAATTTATCGAGCTGGCAGCGACACAAGAGCATCTGCAGCTTCACTAGGTATGTCTTGCCCTTTTTCTAGATATGCTCATTCTGACCAAGACCTTTGTACTAGCCCTGCTGGCGTTTCCGCTCCTGCCACCGCCCCCGCCCCGCCCTCCGTCGCCTCGACTGACGGCACGCTCATCCCCGACGGCAGCCCCGTCTCCAAAGGCAAGAAGCGCGCTCGCGAAGAGGACCCCGAGGACGAAGCCGCCCCAGCTGTACCCGCCGACGAAGACGAACGCCCCACGAACCGCCCGCGAACGGAGAACTACGTCGCGCCCGACGCGAAGCCACCGCCAGGCCCTTTCGGCTGGTTCCTGGAGCTCCCTCCGGTCAAGAGCTTCCTGGATGGCTTCCGGGAGCGGTTCGGGGGTGGGAAGACGCCTGCTGCTGGGGCGGATACGGAGGGTACCTCGCAGGAGAGTGCTGCGAAGGCGGAGAACTGAGGATTTTGCAGAGGCAAGGAGTTTGATGCCCCAAAGGCAGGACACGATGTAGCTTTGTTTCTCAGTAATCTCTGTATACGAGACACGATACCTTGTTCAGACGTAGGCTTTGCGATACTTATTGGTTAGTTCTGTGTATACCCGAGAGGGACTGAACTGAATTACCCGAGCGGTCGAGGGGGTTTGAGCTTCAGTCCAATCGGAGGGCGTCGTGAAGGCGGAGAACTAGGTTGCCTCAGAAGCTTGGAGTCAGATGCCCCGAAGGCAGGAAATGATATTGTGGCTTTGTAATCTCTGTACATAGCCGGACAGCAAGTCGGGAAGATCCGAAACGCCGCGCTTCGGAGGGCGGTTCAAGTTCCCCCTTGAACAGCAACTGTAAACCCGTACTTAACGCGCGTCCACGCGCGCATCGAGAATCCAGTGTGCAAGACCAGCCCACGATCTCAGGCGCAAGGTAAGGTTAGAGCCAGCAAAGCCGGAGCTTTCTCGCGTATCATGTACAGTAAGTTGGCCATATCGGAAATTCAGTGTTGTGGGTGCGGTTGGTTGTAGATCAGGGGCGTCGATCATCAGAGTCAATTGTCTCTTTCCTCCTGCCTTGTCCTCCCCCTATACTGACATCAATATGTACATGGAGGTTTGTAATATCCTTCATCCCTTTCTTCGCGAAGCTGATAGAGTACTAACACGTTTATCCTTAGATACCTGGAACAGGAGTTACTGCATGGGTCGCGGACCAGACTGATCGCCTCGCCGACAACTATCCTCGCGCCTACACTGATTTTTGGGGTAGCGGCATCCCCTGCGTATACAAGACAGGCTCTTTGTGGCCCGCTCTCACTCCCGCTTACGGAGGTTGTTGGCGCGACAGGATCCTTCGCGAGGCCCGGCCTGTATACGGTCACCCTATTAGCCCTACCTGGCTTTCTACCGGCCGGAAGATTTGCGGCGTCCTCGACCATCATGAAATCAAGTGGACGTCCGTCGACCCCCTTGCCTGGGCGGACGCTGGGGAAGCCGAACCCTTTTGTCCGCTCCTCATCTTCATTGGCGTGTTGCCACGTTCTCTCCCATACGACGACGCCGTAGTCATCGCTGGTACGGTCAAAGGGCTTCTCGCGGACGCTGGGCATCCCGATGTCGAGGTTGCGCTCGCCGAGTCGCTCTATCGTGGGTCCTCACGAGTGCGCAAAACGAACCCCCTCGACATGATGTACCATATCTTCGACGATAATTTGATCCTTCGCAAGGCATTCACCGCAACGCTTGGTATTCCCATCGCGCCGCTTGGCGATCCACAACGCGAGGGTACGGGCGCGCTCTACTATCGCATTGGTGCCGGCGATTGCGAGCGCATCGTTCTCCTGACGTGCGCGCACGTCGTATGTCTCGATGGCTGCGCGGGGCAGGCGGGGTGCAGCGCGCGACAGGAGGTTATCGCCCCTGGCGAACAGGCCTTCAAAGACGGCCTCGAGCACCTTCAATACCTGATCACCGACAGCACAAGGCGCATACAAAATGCGGAGGCGAACCTTCATGAACTCGGGGAACACGTCGAGGGAGAGCCTTCAAACACCACCCAGGTGCGCGAAGTAATGAGGGGAGCAATTGAGTGGACGACCGCATGGAGAGAAGAAGCGAACACCTTACGCGACACATATGAGACCACCCGCTCGCAGCCCGAAGAGCGTGTCATCGGCTCTGTCCTTCACGTCGAGAAGGATGATGCGCCCGCTGAAGCGTACGGTTACCCTCGTGACTTCGCTTTGGTGGAGATGTACAAGGAGAAGATGGATTGGTCAACTTTTCACGGTAACAAGGTGTTCATTGGTATGTGGTCTCTCTCCTCATCTGACACTGTCGACCTTTGCTTCCCTCCGTGACCCTCGCTAACTTCGATTCTTAGGTGACAACCTCTCTTCCCATCAGTTTCGAAGAGCACTGTTCCCCCAGGAGTATGCCCGTTGCCAATATCCCGCCGACGGTCTACTGCAAGCCCGTGGTATCGTTACCGATGACGAGTTCCGAAACCCCCAGGGCGTCGACAAATATAAGAAGAAGTGCCTCCTCGTTGTGAAGACCGGCGCACTCACTGGAACGACTGTCGGCTGCGTGAACGGTCTCGAGTCTTTTACGCGCATATACGACGACCACGGCGCCCATCACACCTCAACTCAGTTCGCCATTTTATGCTTGGAAAAGACCATCACGGATTTTAGCTGCTTTGCCGAGCAGGGAGATTCTGGGTCTATCGTACTTACAGGGGATGGGCGCATTGTTGGTCTGCTCACCGGTGGTGCGGGGCTTCCTGAATCGCCCTATAATGCTGTATCGTATATCACTCCCTACTGGTGGGTTGAGCAGCAGATCAAGGCCAAGTTCCCTGATTGCAGCCTCTACGACGGCCCTCGCTGATAGCCCGACGAACCGACCGCGGACGGAGAACTACGTCGCGCCCGACGCGAAGCCGCCGCCGGGGCCCTTTGGCTGGTTCTTGGAGCTTCCGCCGGTTAAGAGCCTTTTGGATGGGTTCCGGGAACGGTTTGGGGGTGGGAAGACGCCTGCTGCGGAGGTGGAGGATCGAACAGAGGACGCTGCGAAGGCAGAGGGTGCTGCTGAGGCAGATAACTAAAGTTGTCGCTAAGGCAGAGAGTTCGATGCCTCAAACCTCAAGGGCCGAGAATTCCGACGCTTGAGAGGCTACATATCAATGCCTTGAAGGCAGAGGACCAGAACATCTCGAGGGCAGGAATTTGGCGTCATGATGTAGCTTTGTCTCCCAGTATTCCCTGTATGCGAGACACGATAAGTACCTTGTTTCGACGTAGGCTTTGTTGAGGCTTTGCGATACTTATTCGTGTATGCCCGGGTGGAGGCCTTGAAGGCGAACCTTGTTCTAACTTGACGTTGCACTGGGATTCTGCGCCGCGGTCAGGTCAATCGGTCACACGGCTGACAAGTTCGATCCACCTTGCTCCTGGCTTTCATCTGCTTTGGACTAGACCTCTCGATATGTCGCTGGTTTTCCCGTCAACCAGTCCGTCCTTTCTGTCTCTCCCTCCGGACCTACACATCCTGGTTTTGTCGTTGCTGCCTCCCAGAAGCATCATTACAATCAGGCAGGTGAGGTCGCCTTTATGCCAATACGCGACTGAGTTGCTAACAACACGGGTTACAGACCTGCAAAGCCTTGCGGGCCTTCGCTGAACTGCGCACGGTATGGCTAACTGCTCTCAAGCGCATCTGTCTGGCGAATGCGGTACCTTTCGTCACGTACAACTTCGAGCGCATGACTCGCGAAGAGCTGGAGTATGCTGCTAGCATGCCGGATCACTTCAAGCACGCTGGCCGCGCCGCGTATTCGAAAACAGGCATACCCATGATCCATGCTATCAAAGAGCGACGTCTGCCCATCCCGCTGCCTGACGTTGGCTCCGACGAATTTTTACAGGAGGGATCCGAAGTGCACGGTATAGCAGTCATTCCTGGGGGACGCTTTGTGCTGGGGAGGACGGAAGATGCTCTGATTCTATGGGACCTGAACAAGAGCTCCAACAAACCTTGTTCGATGCTCCATGGTGATATCGACGCGTACCCAGGCTCGTCTCTAGCTGACGCGGCCATCAAATGTGCCTACTTGGCCCATTATCCTGAGGAGTCTAAAGTTCGCATATTTGTCAGCGCCTTCAGGTGGGCTACTGCTTGCAATGTCTGCGACCCCGCAACTTATACTGCCTTTGGATCGCTGAGAGACCCCGACGAAGACGAGGACGAACATGCATGCATTGTATACGAGCTCAATCTCGCCGCTGAGCCTCCGACTTTCACGCCCATCAACCACATGGACGGTGTAGTCTTCATGGGCTTCGCGGGAAGTCGAGAGCGTATCATCGTCAAAAGCATATCGGATGACCTGGTCGGAATCTGGGACGTCGAGCAAAACACCGCAGTCTCATGGAATATCCTTGCTGAGGACGTTGATCGGAATGTGAGCCCGTCAAGATGCACCAGCATTTTGGCACTGAATCCTTCGCTAGATACCGGCAGCCACAGACTACCACGTCATCCATGCGCGCGAATGCCATCTGGCGGCGTATCGGCTACCTCCATCCCAGCCCTGCAATGGCACATTGCCAGCTCCGTCACGCTTGCAGCTCGTCCAGGAGATGGATTGTTTTGAACCGCACATCAGCGACGCAATGACATGCATGTCAACGAGTTACAGCTCGTCGTGCATCGGTGACTTTGTAGTCGTAGAGGTCACTGTAAACGACGTCGACGCGATGCGGCTCGTGAAGCGCCTCTCCGTACGGTCGACACCCGACAACACGCCCATCGGTCCCCCATGCGTCCTTACTGACGATGACATCGTTCGCGTGGCAGCACCCAAGCAGGGCGCGGACACGGTCACTGCGGCCTACGAGCTCTCGGATCTCATGCGAGGCGAGCTGATGGTGAACATCGCGCCGCTAGAGGAATTAACGCCGGGGCAAACGATATACCTGAAGCGGAAAAGGGGCAGGTTCTTTCCTCAAAACGACGAACAGCCGTGGAACAGAGGGGAATACGACATATGTGCTGTAACAGGCCGAGTATGCGTGGGTCGGATGGACAAGAATATGTTGCTCGTGTGCGATTTTGTACCGCCGTTTCTGGACAGTCGACCAGACTTGGAGTTCTATGCCTCAACCCCTACATTCTAATGCTATATCATCATGATTGCGCTGGGCATGGCCGCTGCCTTGCCAAATCAAGGTAATAGAACTAAGTAGAGTCGGATACAAGAAGGGTCTACGCTTTCTTCGCCATCCCCTGCACCAGCTGCTGCAGCATATCCTCGATCCGCTGCTGCCTGGCTTCCATCTTGTCCAACCGTGTCACCCAACCCGGCGCCGCGCCCGTGTCTGCGCGCGTATCCACAACTTGCTGCGCCGTCGCCGAAGGCGTAGGCGATGTCGCATCCCTCGCGCTGGCAAGGGGCGTCGGACCCAGCGGGCTGCCTGCCGCCACGGCGGTGGGCTGGTTCACAGCTGGCCCCTCGCCCTCTCTCCCGTGCAACACCCCACCCGCCTGCTCCGGGCTCTCCGACAGCACACCATTGCCGCTCCCCTCGCTCACGACACGGCCCAGGATGGGGAACCGTCGCACCCCGGACTCCATGCGCGGCCGGTGCATGGACGACAGCCGCCGCCGGCTCGCGGGACCGTAGCTCACGCCTGGGGGCGACGGGAAGTGGACGCCCATGTTCTGCGGCGGACTTGAGGCTTCGCTTGCATTATCGTCCTCCTCCATCAGGTCGTCATCGACAACCAGCGGCTGGAAGATCTGCGCGAGCGGGCTGGTGAAGCTCTGCGGACCGGTGATGGAGTTCACTCGCGCGCGTAGAGGCGGCTGGTTGGGAGCAGGGTTCGTCACGGCTGTGGGAGACTGCAACGGCGTAGACGGTCTGCGCTTCGTCGCCGTTGTCGACGAAGACAGCCGCCGATGCTGAGGCGATGGAGGCAGCGCGCCGGACGCGTAGGATGTCTGAGGTGGTCCGTTCTCCACCTCGCCCTCGGAACGGGTGTCGAGGGCACTCGTGCCGAGTTCCTCTTCAATCTCAAAGATCTAAAAGAGGTCAGCGATGCCTGCTGTATCCACCAATAGCCACTCACAGCTTCGATGCCACCATCCGCACCCGCGAAACCCTCGAAAATAGCTGTATAACTGCTTCAGCAAAGCCAAAATCCCCGATAGAACATGTACTCACAAAGCCTCGTAATTTGCCTCGGCAGCGCATCGAATATCCTCTCCACCGTGGCGGACAAGGTGTCCGAGAACGTGGTCGTCCCGTGCTTCTTTGCCTGTCTCTCATAGAGCGCAATGCCGAGCAGGATGGGGAAACTGGTAAGCCGGATGCAGAATACATTGACCTGAGATCTTGTGAGCAGTATAGTCAACTGACAAGCATTCGAGCAGCACTCGCCTTGTGGAACCAGCGCGGCGTGAGAATGAAGCTCAGCGGGAACATGACGCAAACAGCGAGAAGGTTGATTGGAGGATGGTAAGAGAAGAGCGAGTCGGCCTTGACTCTGGGGACGAGCGTCATTAATGAGAACCCCTCAACAAGGGTTCCTTACCCCTCGATGGTGGAGACCGCGCGACGGAACATGGCCTGTACATCGGTGAGCCGGGAACCTTGGCATCGACATACGAACGTACCTCAGCCAGCGCGTCCTCGCTTATCGTCGCAAACGTGTTCGTGAGAATCTAGGGATGTGCCTTTCAGCGACGACATTTTCTCGGCAGTCAACGACACATACAGAAACGAGCACTGCAAGCAAGTCAGTCAGGCGGGCCCTCGACAAAAAGGCTGACAATTACCAGTTAACAACAACGTATTGCTCAAACAGGCGTACGTGACCATGAGCACAGGCCCGAAGTATGGGTGGAAGTTCGCTGCAAGGGAAGCCAACATCAGTAACAACAATCGACCACAGAATATACCATCCAACTCACTCGCTTTCTCGAACCCGCTCGCGTCGAGCCCGAACCAGATGTCGAGCATCCACCATGCGATCTGTCTGGCTCGTCGTCAGCATCCATATCCCGCCATTGAAAGAAGTGCAATGAGAAAGATGCCACTCACGTCGCACTATACGGCCATGGCTCGTTGCGGCTTAGTCTGTTGTCAAACAGTGTCAGCGGCACGACACATCGACGCCAAGATGTTGACACGAAATTGCGAAATGTATACGCACGTCCAAAGCGCATACAGAAACCCGCAGAAGCAAAATGCTGCGATCATCATGAGGAGCAGGAATTGCACGATCATCGCTCGGAGGGCCAGGACCATGAGGTTGTCCTTGAGGGTGACGAAGGCGAGTCTGGGTGCAAGAGTCTGAGTCGATTGTACGACGTCATGACTGTCGAGGGGAGTACCTTGGGAATAACAAGCATGCTATGATGGCGAGGAGGTCGATCCCGAGGGAGCGGGCCCATTTGCCTGCAAGATAATGAGGACATGGGAATGGGAAGGCGAGAAACGGGGACCTACTGTTGTGAAGTTGACCGTAGAGTCGCAGGAAGAGGTAAACGAGGTAGGTCGAGACTGAAAGCGAGGATGAGCCGTCTGTTCACACATTGAATATAGTGAGATATACCGAGAGCAATGTCGAACCCGTTCTGGACTTGGATTAGTTGATGTTACTGGGTGCTCTGGCAATTGTGACGACGCACCCATGTTCCCTTCGTGTACACTGTAAGCAGCATGAGCAGAAGGAACAGCAGTCAGAAGATGGATCACCTGCCTCGAATTCCGTGCTCCTGCATGGCTGCGAACTTTTCTAGACTGAAACCGAGGGCGTATACCATGAATACGATCTCAGCCGTATTGATATGGTCCCTCTCTGAGTATTCAATGGCTACGACGAAAAGGATGAAGAGAAGCACGAAGCTGAAGGGTAGCGAAAGATCAGTCGAATATCGCAGATGATCTCTGCGGAGGACACGCACTTCCAGAATTCAAGAACGGCCCGCACGGACGGGACCTTCAGGCGGTAGTGATCAAGCAAGGGCGCTTTGTGAGGGTCATAGTAGTGTATAGGTGTCCGTTTGTACGTCTGGAAAGGCGTCAGTCAAGTATGCCACCCGTGCCTCGAATCACTGACGTCAGACAAGATAGAGTGGCTGCTCTCAGCCTGATACACGCATTTGCCGCTAGTCACCCTGTCAGCACACTTCCACTTCCTCATCATCACCTACGCACCTCCAAATCGCATCAATAACCTTCTGACACGGCGAGCACTTGATGAAGCGCTTCGCCTTCCCTACAATCGCCAGCTCGATCGCATTCCCGACCCGCTCCTCCAGATCATCCCTGTCCTCCTGCGCCTGCCTTAGCACCTCCTCATCCGCGCCGTTAAACACGGGCCACGCGGTCGTGACGACGTGCGCGAGCGTGAGCGTGTCGTCGCCGTAGTCGCGCAGCGTGCGGATGGCGAGCAGCTCGCAGAGCTCGGCGCGCGTGCGGGAGACGAGCGCGGTGGACATGTTCTCGTCTGCGCGGAAGTGCGCGCGGTTGAGGAGGAGGCAGAAGACGATGGACATGTTGCCGCCGCGTTGGAGGGAACTGTACTTTTCGTGCAGCGGGCGGATGAGGGTGTAGGTGAGGTCGGGGGCGGTGAGCGCATCGAAAGTGAGGGGGGTATCTGTTCGGTGGGTATCGTGAATGAGTACACATTTCTAGATTTATGAAGGAAATACGCGCCTATGAAGTGCTATACCAGGTGTTCGCCATGAGGCCGATGTGCGAGGAGGGAATAGTGAGGGTTGACGTACAATCATGTCCTGTACGCCTTCTCAGCTATATCGGAAACCTGAGAAGCTCATGTACGAACGTTCTTAATCATGTGTATTATAGGATACACCGGCGTCGACGCGATTTCGGCTCTTCGATCGGTGAGCGTCTCCGCGGCTAAACGTGAGGTAGTGCACGCACTTGCTGAGAAGTGGCTCATGCTCGCCATATCTGCCGTTCTCGCCCATGGTGGCGGTGGGGGAAGGAAACAAGGAACCGAGCGTAGTCTAATGATGTTCAGTCGATCTATGACCTCTCGATGACGGCTCTCGGTAAGCCAGTTGCTAGCTTGAAGTTCGGGTGAAACCTTCCTCGCCTAGTTCAGCGAGACTGCAGCGACAAAATTGCACTTCAGCCCGCTACTCTGGCGGAATATATGGTGGATGGAAGCAAAGAGAGCAAGGGAAACTTCGCGACGCGGATGATAGTCCTCAAGCGCCGCGGTCCGTGATCCGGGATCGGTCGCCAACGTCATTCGGCTTTCCGGCGCGAATTCCGGGCTTTTGTACCCGCACGTGTTCCCCTGCCAGTCGCGTCCACGACATTTCACCCCCACCATGGACAGTGAAGAGGGACCTCCCAGAGTCGCCCTGGACTTGACGCACATTGTCTGTGCGTGAAGCTCACTGTTCTGAAAGGGATTCAGTCCGAATCACGCAGCTTCACAGACCCCGATGAATCCCTCTTCTCATGGTTCCTTGCGCTGTCCTCGCTCACTCCTATTCTACTAATGGTGATCTCAGTCGAGAAAGAGCTATATGCCTCCATTATTGACGATTCGAAAGCCAGCGTACGCTGCCCTAGCCGTACAAACACGCGAATACCTCGTGCTTGTGATGTGGACCGGTCAACTGGCCTCTGAAGGCTTCAACTGGGTCCTAAAACATATTATTAAGGAAGACAGGCCATATGGTAAGACTATCAATCGTAGCCCAGTAGGTCTCTCTCTCATAACCTTCGCAGACGAAGTAGGACAAGGCTACGGCTTCCCCTCCTCCCACTCCCAGTATATGGGCTTCTTCTGGGCCTTCCTGACGTGCCACCTATATTTTCGGCACCGCTTCGCGTCGACCGGCAGCGCTGCTCTTGACAAAGGCTTCAGGCTCTTTGTATACGCTGCGATCGCATTTGTGTCCGGCGCCGTGGCATACTCCAGGTGTGCTCTTCCTTTCCTGCACGCGTCTCTGTCGCCTCATACGCTTACCTGCCGCCCCCAGATACTACCTTCGATATCACTCCGCACGACAAGTCCTCTGGGGCTTCTCCATCGGCGTCGCCCTCGGTACCGCACTCTATGCCTTGGCCGTGCACATCCCGACAAGGCGCCCGAAGTCCATCCTAGGGCGCTTCAAGACATGGCTAATTGCAAACCCAATATCAACATGGTGCCAAATGAGGGACGGATGGGCAGTATGGCCGGACGCTGGACGCGAGACAGAGTGGAAGAGGTGGAGGGAACAGTGGGAGGCGTTGAAGGCCCGGGAGGAGAGGGAGGCCATGAGGAAACACACGTAAAGTCCTGTATCTTTGTGCATGCCCTCCCACCTATCTCAGGCTTATACGATACTGCCGAGCGTGCTGCATGCATCAGTGGGAGGCGAGTCATGCTGGTCGGAGCAGAACACGAGCCTGCTAATCGCCGCTTAGGCGGGCGTAAGATGCCTGTTTGATACTCGTTCGCGCGCGCAGTTCTCCTCCGTCTCGCGCATACACGTATACGAAGCATTTGCTCGCATACCCTCGCAACCCACCCTCCCCTCGAGCAACGCGCCGCCAGGGCCTCAAAGTAACCCCCTACGCACGTGTGGACGCCTCATGGTGACTTCATAAGGGCGTCGAAATCGCGATTTCTTCTGTCATTTCCATCGCATCCTGTCCCCAACTATCATGTCGGTCAAGGAGATCTCCACGAAACCTTTCGAGGGCCAGAAGCCTGGCACCTCCGGCCTGCGCAAGAGGTGCGTAGCGCGCGCAGCTCGTCGCTTATCGCGCTAACACGACGCGTCGCGCCTAGGGTCAAGATCTTCCAGCAGGAGGTGCGCAGCGGCGTCCTACGTCCATCGATGGGCACCACCCACTCACCCGCACGCAGCACTACACCGAGAACTTCGTCCAGTCCATCTTCGACGCGGTCGACCTGCACGGCGCGACGCTCGTCGTCGGCGGCGACGGCCGCTTCTTCTCGCCCGAGACGGTGCAGACGATCCTCAAGATCGGCTCCGCGAACGGCGTCGCGAAGTTCATCATCGGGCAGGCGGGCATCCTGTCGACGCCCGCCGCGTCGAACGTGATCCGCAAGTACAAGGCGAACGGCGGGATCCTGCTCACCGCGAGCCACAACCCGGGCGGCCCGGACAATGATTTTGGGATCAAGTACAATGTGTCGAATGGGGGGCCGGCGCCGGAGAATGTGACGAACAAGATCTATGAGAAGACGAAGGAGATCTCGAAGTACAAGGTCATTGAGCTGCCGGAGGTGCGTGTTCAAGACTGTCGATCATGGCGCAGCCTCGGCGTACGTTCATCTAGCTGCGAGGGGATGTATGTGCAGCCTGCTTGCAGTACGATCTATGGGCTTACGCCATGGGCGGCAATGGGCAAGCGCCCTGCTGGGCGGCAATGGGCAAGCGCCCTGCTGGGCGGCCTTTGCGCCAGCCCATGTCGGGGTCATGGATCGTTTTGCGTCAGATGGAACTGTACGCAGACGGCACTCATCGCAATTGGATTCGACTGCGTCGGGGTCTCCTGGCCGTGCCTTCATCGTCTAGAAACTAACGACGCGCTCTCAGATCGATCTGTCCAAGATCGGCGAGACGACGTACGGCCCCTCCAAGGTCCAGATCATCGACTCCGTCTCGGACTACGTCGAGCTCCTCAAGTCGATCTTCGACTTCGACCTCATCAAGAGCTTCCTCCTCACCAACCAGGACTCCTTCAAGGTCCTCTTCGACGGCCTTCACGGCGTCACGGGCCCGTACGCCCATAGGATCCTGGTCAAGGAGCTCGGCCTGCCCGAGACCTCCGTGCAGAACTGCAAGCCGCTGCCCGACTTTGGTGGCGGGCACCCCGACCCGAACCTCACCTACGCCCACTCGCTCGTCGAGGCCGTCGAGAAGAACAACATCGCTTTCGGCGCTGCCAGCGACGGCGATGGTGACCGTAACATGATCTACGGCAAGGGCGCGTTCGTGACACCATCGGACTCAGTGGCAATCATCGCAGACTGGGCCGAGTCCATCCCATACTTCAAGAAGGGTGGCGTCAAGGGTCTCGCGCGGAGCATGCCTACCAGCAAAGCCATCGACCTTGTAGCGCAAAAGAAGGGTCTCGAGCACTTTGAGGTTCCAACGGGTGCGTATTTCTTGCACTCTGGCCCGCGCATCTTCTCGCAAGTGCAAATGGCAGCCGTGCTCACCTGAATTTCCCTAGGCTGGAAGTTCTTCGGCAACCTGATGGACGCTGGCAGGCTGTCCATCTGCGGCGAGGAGTCCTTCGGTACCGGGTCCGACCACATCCGCGAGAAGGACGGCATCTGGGCAATCATCGCCTGGCTCAACATCCTCGCCGCCGCCAACCGCGAGTCGCCCAACAAGCTCATTGGCATCAAGGAGCTGCTCGAGCGCCACTACTCCATCTACGGCCGCTCCTTCTTCTCGCGCTACGACTACGAGGAGGTCTCCTCCGAGGGCGCGAACGCGCTCGTCAAGGCGCTCGACGACCACCTCGGCGCGAGCTCGCTCACCGGGCAGACCTTCGGCCCCGGGGGCAAGTTCAAGGTCGCGGACCTGTACAACTTCGCGTACACGGACCCGATCGACAAGTCGGTGTCGAAGAACCAGGGGCACGTCATCACCTTCGACGACGGCTCGCGCGTCGTGTTCCGGTTGAGCGGGACGGGCAGCCAGGGCGCGACGGTGCGGCTGTACATCGAGCGCTACTTGGGCCCGGACGCGAGCAAGGAGGCGCTCGCGGAGGACGCGGCGAAGGGGCTGAAGGACCTGATCGAGGTCGCGCTCGAGATCAGCAAGTTGAAGGAGTTCCTCGGCCGCGACAAGCCTACAGTTATCACGGTACGTTGCGCATCTATTCATCTTCGGACATGGCTAACGAACGTCTGTGGTAGTAAATGGATAGAAAATGGAAGGAATTGGAAGTGGCTTCTGTATCATACGTAGAATGCTGGGACACTGCTTTGAGTTGAATATCAACCATGTCGAAGTTCAACGTACCATGCCTATGCGCGTTAGCGTGCCGTGGTCTACGCGCTTGCCCCAAACCGCCACCCCATCTGATCATGCCCTCCACGGCTTGCCTGTTTCTACGCGACCATTCAGTCAGTAGAAGTACCTTCCCCACTGGCAGACAGCACTAGCCCCATGTCCCTACACCATGCATGACGACGACTAGTGGTTTGTCTGTCCTGGACTGACAGAGACGATCGAGGATGGCGCTCATGTCATCTTCCGCGAAGGCCTTTGTCATAGGACCTTGGAAGTAGAACCTGCGCAGCATTGGGACGAGTGGCGCATAAACGCCGTCGAGCCTGAACGCAGAGGGCGCCATAGCGCGGAAGAGATCCAGACTGACGCTAGAAGACTGGTAGAGCGTGTCCTCATCGCAGATACCGTCAGGTTGCCAGCGACGTTGGTCCGGGCAATCCGTGATCTCCACCTCTTCAAGGTAGGGGAGTTCGCCTAGGAATGCCAACAGGAAGGCGGCGGGGAATGCAACAGAGAAGAGTGCCAAGTGCGTGAGGCGGCACTGGGACCGCTCTGTGAAGTCCTTCATGATGGCGAGAGTATCCTCCTCCGAATCGCGATCGATATCCAAGAGATAAAAATCCCGAGATTCTGGGTTTGGTACCCCGTCATCAGCTCCTCGGAGGGTGAGATGGGTCAGCGAGGGCGCATCGAAGCAAGCGAAGAATTCTACGCCGGTTTCTAAGGTGGAGCAATCGATATGCAGCCACGACAGCTTGGGTAGAACGGAGGGGATAGGTCTTTCGAGACTCCCATCGGTATCTGAAATCGCGAGGCGAAGGGACTCCAGTCGAACGCAAGACTGCAGCGCTTGTTTCTGCGGCAGATACAGTCCCATCCATTCATTGACGTGGATTTCCGTAAGTTGTCCCCAAAGCAGGTCCAACTTGCACACCTGCGGTGCTGTGACCTTGCGAAGGCGAGGGGTATGCTTCGGCGACACCAGTGCATCGCCGGAAGGATATTTGTTTGGATGACACCAATCCAGGTGTAGGCTCTCGAGCCTCTCGAGTATTGGGCTCTGCACGAGGTCCCACAGCTCGGCGAACATGTTCATTGGCACTCCATGCAATGAGCGCCACAGAGAAGCATGCGCTGCCAGGCATTTGCATATTGCACCGACCTGCGCAGCGTCATGATCAAGGAATCTTTTGCTGCCAACAAAGCGGATATCGAGTGGCCTTCCCCTAGAACGTCGCACATAGTGGTCAAGAGCGCTCCGCATCATCGAAGCTCGCTTCTTGATTGTGGATACGTAGGTTCTGGCTCGCCAACCCAAAACCACGATGGAGATGGTTGTTTCGGGAGCCCAGAGCGACGCCGAGTTGGTGAGAATATTCCGCCACCGCTGGCAAACCTGGCTGACGACGATAGCCGGATACTCTGGGTGGAGTATACTGAATTGAACTTCGGCACAGACGTAGCCAAGTATCTGCACCAGGGTTTCTGTGGGTAGAAACTGGATGGAGGAGATATGGGCGCGCTGCTGAGCAGAGAAGGCGACCGCCTGATCCCTGTGATATTCCATGCTGACGAGGGGGGCTTGAAGTCGATCAATTTCCTTCGTAAGGATGCCAGCCTCTCGGTCGGCGCTATCTGCGAGCGCGCCGACCCGACGTGTATCCTCCCAGGACGTTGCGACACCGGGAGGGGTTGGCGACGGTCTGTGCGAAGCGTCCACCACCAAAGCATTATCACGGGAGGAGCACAGATGGAATTCTTCCTGAGCCGCACGCGCTGGAGGCATCGAAGAGGATCCGGTAGGAGACCCAGAGGCTCGCGATTGACGATTGGAGAACCTTCCAAACCGACTACGATTAACTCTGCTTTGCGAGTAAATTTCTCGAGATTCATGTCGACGATGAGAAGCAAATCAGCTCACAGGATCCAATCTCGCAAAGAAAGTAAGATGGTCGAGTGGTCGCCTCTGGCAAGCGTGCTCAAACACGTGCGCGCAGGGATGCTGCGTGACACCGTAACGGATGTCGTTGTGACAGTTCGTGTTCATGCCCTCGCTCTGCCTTCAAGTTTACGCTTCTGGACGGCCATATTTCCACATCCACGCTCTGAAGGGAAGAAGAGTGTTCGCACCGCAAAATTAAAGGTAGAGAAAGTGCTTGCATGGTCATTACAGTAACTCTTGCAGTCGGTGTTTGGTTCGGACATACAGGACAGGGGCATTCATATTTCATTTGCCTCTTCCTTCGATATTTTCCCCTGCCCCTCGCTATTTGTTTCCGCGCCCGTGAAGCACCGGATAATTGTCGTGTGGACAGACCTGGGGCCCTCGTTATCGCCCCGGTGCAAGCCCCGGTCCCCTATCCCTCTGATCATGCGGGGTCTGGGGAACGTCCGGGCCGTCTCGAATGCCTCCAGCGGCCATCGATGAGCCCCAGCGTTAATTCTCTGCCCGAGCCCCCTCGCCGCTGAGCACGAAGCGCAAACAGCTTGACAAAAACCGCCACCAGCGAGCTGCCCCTTTTTCCTATTCCTGACGCCCACCCTATTCCCAACGTCCATCCCCCGCCATGGTCCTGACCGCCAACCACGCTATCTACGACCCCACGAAGGTCCTGAAGGACCCCAAGTTCCGCGTCGTGCCCCCCGGGGAAAAGACGCCGAAGGATGCGAACATCGCGGCGTTCTACAATCCTCAGCATGAGGTGCACCTCGTCGAAAAGCCTAAGCCCTCGCCGGGCCCTGGGCAGGTCCTCATCCACGTCCGCGCGACGGGCATCTGCGGGTGCGTTTCCCCTTGCGCTCACCTCCCTGCATGCGACGCGGCGATCGCAAGCGATGGTGGACGGAAAGGGAAGAGATGACTGACGACGCTACAGGAGCGACGTCCACTTCTGGAAGCATGGCGGTATTGGCGACATGATCGTCACTGACGAGTGCGGGTCGGGCCACGAGTCTGCGGGCGAGGTTATCGAGGTCGGTGAGGGTGTGACGGAGCTGAAGGTTGGCGATCGTGTCGCGCTCGAAGTCGGCATTCCGTGTTCGCAGCCGAACTGCGAGGCCTGCCGTACTGGGAAGTACAACGCCTGCCCTGATGTGGTGAGTAAAATATGGGTAATTCAAAAGGTTGAAGGTGCTGAATTCTTCTGTAGATCTTCTGCTCTACTCCTCCTTACCACGGTTGGTCCTTCCATTGCTTGAGACGCGCGCAAGCTGACGGATTGCGAAGGCACCCTTACCCGCTATCACGTCCATCCCGCACAATGGTGCCATAAGCTGCCCGATAACATGTCATACGAGGAGGGCGCGCTCTGTGAGCCTCTTGCGGTCGTGACTGGAGGTGTCGAGAAAGCAGGCGTCGGTTTGGGTGACCCCGTCTTGGTCACGTACGTATCCGTAATCTCGTTCTATTCTTCGAGACTGACTTTCGTGTAGCGGCGCTGGTCCCATCGGTCTCGTCGCCCTTCTATGCGCTCGCGCAGCCGGTGCCGAGCCCCTCGTCATCACCGACCTCTTCCAAAGCCGCCTCGACTTCGCCAAGAAACTCGTCCCGAACGCGCGCACCATCCTCATCGACCCGAAAGACACGCCGAAGCAGAACGCAGAGCGCATCAAGGCCGCCGCGGGCATGCCGATCAAGGTGACACTCGAGTGCACGGGCGTTGAGACGAGCATCCACTCGGCGATCTTTGCGACGAAGTTCGGGGGAAAGGTGTTCATCATCGGCGTTGGGAGGGCTGAGCAGAAGGTCAGTCAGTTGGTCAAGGGGGTAAGGAAAGTGCTGACCTTGTTGTAGTTCCCCTTCATGCACCTGAGCGCGAACGAGATTGACCTCGGATTCCTGTACCGCTATGCGAACCAGGTAAGTTGCTTGAATATCAGGTATAGACGCCCTCGAGATTGCTAACACGCGCGACAGTACCCAAAGGCCATCCGTCTCATTGCTGGAGGGATCGTCGACCTCAAGCCGCTTGTCACCCATCGCTTCCCTCTTGAGGACGCCATCGCGGCGTTCCAGACAGCCTCTGACCCGACGCAAGGCGCGATCAAGGTGCAGATCCGGGACGAATGAACGTTGAAGTTGTAAAAAGGCCGGTAGAGGTCGCAATGTAACACGAGGGAACGCGGTGTATTAGTCTGAATAATTCATTCCTACCGGTGAACCCCTACAGCGTTATGAGTGAGAGGTGAGAGGTGATTAGAGTGAGGATGTGGCGTCGGAGGTCATTGTAATGAGTCTGGGTCGACCTTCTGCGCGCGTTCGTAGATCTCGCGTTTCTTCTTCGATTCCTCTAGGTCGAGTTGGCGCTGGAGCATCTTCTCTCGTCTTCGGACGTCGTCTCGCAAAACACCTTGGTACATGGACTAAATATTCCGGTCAGACAAGCAGTGCAGAAGTACTGAAACGAGATTTGAACCTCTCTCTCGGCCTCTTGTTGGTAATGTACTCCCCATACCTAACGTTCCCTTCAGCATTCCGTTCAATGAAAGCATACCCATCAAAGCTCACAGTGAGTGCGGAGAGACAGACAACCGTCCCCAATGTCAAAGCCGCTTTCCGAGTAGACATCTGGCCGCGGTTAGGCTCACAAGGGAGCCTCGGTTGACCACGGAGGAGATGAAGGACGTGAGAAGGAGCGTGAAGGCCTCGATGCTGCTCCGTTCAGCGGTCGCCAGCGGCGCCGGCGATCGCGCCGTTGACGCCGGACGGCCTGGAACGCGGCGCACGGGCCATGTCAACAACCGTAAACTCCCATTTCTTCCTGCGCCCATCGTCCCCGCTGCCGGCGACGAGGCCTCACGTCGTCGCCAAACCCCCGCTAGGCTCCCCCTTCGTTGATGGTCAACAGCAACCATGACCGATATCAGTGTGAGTGCTTTCAGGGAAACAATAGGCGCCGGCTCACCCTCAACGCAGTCTTTCGAGTCGGCATTGAAAGCCATAGTGCAGGCCAAGCACCTATCTGCGTCGAAGATGCAGAAGCTGACTGCAGACGCGATGCAGTTGCTAGAGGTGCGTTTACCGCCTTCTCTGTGCGCCTATCTCGCTGATGCGCGGGATCGGCACAGCACGACGCTCAGCTGGTCTCTATTCTCGCTCGCACCCATAAATCTCTGTCGGGCTCCCACAAGATCTTCAGCCTCTACGTGATTGACTCTGTTGCTCGTGCTGCGCGTTCAAAAGCGAAGAAAGATGGCTCTGCTGGCTCCAGCTCCTCTGGCGGCAACGCGTCCTCGTTTCTCACGAAGCTTCAAACCGTGCTCAATGAAGTCTTCCGCGAGATGGTCTCCGGCGGTGTTCCTGAAGGCAAGGTGAGCAGAACAGTCCATAGATCTAACTCGGTCGTGTGTGTCGTATAGCCCGTGGTAGCGTCTGCCTCTAAGCGAGGTAGCGTGTAGGAGCATACTGACGTGGCCGGCACCGCGGACAGCATGATGTCGTCGTATGCGATTGCTACTATGCGTAGACGAACAGCTGTATACGGTCGCCTCCATCCTCGCTCTTTGCGTCAAGTAGACCAGTCGACCTAATATTTCGCGCTTGTGCGCTTACAGGAGAAGGCAAACAAAGTCCTTGATATATGGTCCAAGGGGAATACCTTCCCGACGTCAGTGCTGTCGGGATTGATGGCTACGGTCTCAGCGAACCCAAAAGGTGCTTGTCATATCGAGTTTGCGCTAAGTACTCATTTCATCTGTACAATCTACGTCTCGATCGCCCGCGCAATTGAACCAATTCGTGAACTGAATCAAAAATGTTTGCTTTCGTCAGAATCCGACGTAGCCAAGTCGAGCGATCCGCGAATACGTAGCGCTAGCACGCCGACCGGCCACACCCCGCCGAACGCACCGCTGGCGCCGTCGGTGCAGGCAAATGCAGCCAGCGCGTCGACGCCGCCTGTCCAAGCCACACCGGCGCCGGCAGCGGCCGATGCACAGGCTGCACTGCTTGCACTGCTGACGCAAGCGGCTGCAGCAAAGCAACAGCCTTCAACGTAAGTGAGCTTCCTGCGAGCTGCGAACACTTTGCTGAAATGCGCATAGACAAACACCGACAAATAACACGCCGCCTGGACAAGCACCACAACTCGGTGCAGCACTACTACAACAGCTCGGTCTTGCCGCACAACCCAACAGTATACCTTCGCAGCCCTTCCAGCAACCCCAACCAGGTTTCAATGGCCCAAATGGTGCTTACCCGTATGCTAGTACTTCCCAGTCACCTCCTTATGAGGGAAACGGCCCGTACGGACGGCGAGAATATGTGCAGGGCCAGCCCCGAAGCCCCAATGACGGAGGGCGACCGTACGAAGGTTACCCGCATAACGACCGTGGCGGCGGTCGCGGTCGCGGCTTCAGAGGCGGGTTCCGCGTTCGCGGACGCGGTGAGGGCAGGGGTGGTCGGTGGGAAGACCGGAGCCGGCCCCGGGACTGGAACGCGCCCCGGCGAAGCAGCCGCTCGCGTAGCCCGCCCAGTAGATACGGTGGTGGCGGTAGTGGTGGCCGCGGACGCGACGTGAGGCCGTACAGCCCGCCTCACCGGCCGTCCCTCCCACAGCGCTCGCCCAGCCCGAGATCGCGCGACCCGCGGGTGGCGACGCCGGAGACGGGCAAGGACGAGTTCGGGCGGGATATCCGGTCGCCGACGCCTGTGCCGGCCAGCGCGACGACGACGGCGAGTAGTCAGGATGGTATGGAGGGCGTAGTTGCGACGTCGCCCGCGCCAGCGTCGGGGCCGCAGCCCATATCCACCGTGCCCATGTCCCCGTCCGTACCTGCGAATATACCGTCTGCCCCGGCGCCCCCACAGCCGCAGCCGCAGCCTCATCTCGCACAACCTCAGCCTCAGCTCACTCAACCTCAGCCCCAGGTCGCTCAGCCTACGCTTGCACAAACTCCTTCCCAACCCGCACAACCTACCCAACCGCAACCACAACCACAACTAGGCATCGACTCCTTCGACCCCACCACCTTCGACTTCAGGGCTCCCGAGTCCTGGGCGGCCTTGGGGCAGCTGTGGCAGACGACGTACGGGTTCACGCCGTCGGGGGAGGTGCTGATGCAGTTTGTGGTGGAGAAGCAGTCGGAGTGGCTTGCCGCTGGCGGGATGGGGATGGGTGGGATGGGTATGGGTATGGGTACGGGTCAGCAAGCGATGGGTATGGGTATGGGTCAGGGTGGGATGGGCCAAGGGATGGGACAGGGAGGGATGGGTATGGGCATGGGTCAGGGCGCGATGGCCATGGGTGGGGCAGATATGGGTGGTTGGCGTGGCGGCGCACGCGGGGGAAGAGGCGGCTTCCGCGGGCGCGGGAATGGCCGAGGGAATTTTTCGCATAATGGCCAGGCTGGCTTCTCGCATGGCGGTCAAACTGGCTTCTCGCATAACGGCCAAACAGGCTTCGCGCGCAACGCGGCAGGGCAGTTCACGCATAGCGCGGCAGGGCAGAGTACGGACGCTATCGTGCTCGGCGGGGACGATGGGGACAGCAGCCCACCTCAGGCTGAGGCGTCAGCCGCCTCGCCGACATCGGGAGGTGGCGGACCGGGGGGCAGGATGCAGAAAGTGGGCGACAAATGGATGTTTGTACGGCAGCCGGCAGCTGCGTGAACGCAATACATTCCATGCACGCGATGCATACCGTACGTACTTACATACCAGCAAATATTGGGGACTCAAACTTCTTGTAAAGCCTGTTCTGCCTTGTGCATAGTACTTATCCTCCATTGTGCGTGGTACTTGTCCTCATTTGCACGTAGCTAGTAGCACCTGTTCTCCCTTACACGCAGTGCAGGTCGACTTTCATATCTATCTCCTTCATCCGTACTTATCCTGCTCTCCGTGTATGTATTACATCGTGTCAACAATATTCTCCCTTCACCGTGCTTATACGCCCTCATCACACCGTATTATCAACCCCCTCATCCACGCTGTACAACCGATAGTGATCCCTGTCCCTCCGCCCGTCATCGCGATACAGAGCCCTCGGGAGATGCGAGACCTCCGCGAGGAGGGGGGAGGGCCAGTACATGAGGTAGGAAATCGTGGCGAAGCCGGCGCCGAGGAGCGAGCCAACGATGACGTCTTCTTTGTGGTGGCGCTGGAAGGGGTATGGAGGTCAGAGAGGGTTGGAGGGGAAAGGGGAAGGGAAGGGAAAAGAGAGGATGGACAAGCGAGAGAGGGAAAATGAAAGGCAACAGAGGGTTAAAACGCAAGAAAGCGTAAAAAGACTCAAATGACAAAATTCCACGCACGTAGTCTTCGAGCCGGCTAATGGCGACCCAGGTTGCCCAGACGAGGGGTAGCATCGCTATGAGGAAGCGCAGCATGCGGCTTGGCGCTATGCTGACTGGTGCGGGGCTCGAAAAGGACCACGCGCCAGTTTGGCCGGCTATCCAGAGCGAGAGGAGCATCATTCCGCTGAATGCCCTGCGATACGGAGGTCTTGAGAATGAGGTCTCGTTAGGAGAGCAGCGATAACCTACGTCGACGAATGTCCGGAAGGGAATGATTTTCGACCTTCTTCGATAGTGGATAGTTTGCTGGGTAGCGTCAGGCAGGAAATCGCCAGTTGTTTGGCCGAACATACCCAGTGCAAGCGGCGGTGGCTGCGTCCCATTTACAGCGATACAGGAAGTCGGGACGTAGGCGACCTTGCAGACGGTCAATTTAAGTAGCGAAAACAAGACAAACATGTCAAACTTACCGACGAGGTGCTTGACGAATTCAGTAATAACAGCAGTCCATCCTCTGCACCGATGAGATACGAACGGCGAAGTGGTCGAGAAACTGACCTGGACGATGCAAGCGCTAATGCTCCGTGATGTATGTCCATGAGTGACCTCCTCTTCAAGCCGACAAGCGCCATTAGGGCAGCGGGTACAGCGAAGGCTACAACGTGATTTAACCAGCTTGGTACTCTATCATTTGAAAAGTGAGAAGTATACACATGCGAAGCTCGAAATTAGCTCACTGGTTATGGTGATGGTCATGAGATATCAGGGAATCATCGGGAGAGAACTCCCGGTGATAGACAGGAAAGAGGTCGATAACATAGGAAGCTACCCAAAGGCAGCCCACCACAATCCTGCATAATTAGCTGTTGAGCCTCCTGATCCCGGATGATGTGGAATCAAATACCAGTCCATCAGGTAGGCTTTGTCGAACCAGTCAAAGCTATCCTCCCCAAAGGTTTCGCGGAGTCTTTGCAGCACTAGGGCGCGATCCATGTCGCGAGCAGCGTCCTATGACGCACACGTGAGGGTTGGGAACAACAAGCGTGGGAAGCACGCGTGGTGTGACATTCTTGTGACGGGTCGCGTTTCGCGGGACGGCGCGTCTTTGCAATCATCCTTTGCGTAAACCACTTTTCGAGGGAGCTCTTCGACGCGCCATGGCGCAAAAGAGCCTCTTCTCTTTCGGCTTCAAGGGCCAGAACCAGGCGAAGGCAACGACGAAGGACGACGCCGACGTCGACATGCCTGCCGCGAGCAGCTCGAAGAAGTTGACGAAACCGACGAAAGCCAAGGTGTCGCAGTCCATGAAGACGAAACCAAAGCCCAAGCCACAACCGAAGAAGAAGCCAGCACCCAAGCCCAAGCGCAAGGGTGGCGATGACGACGAAGACGAGGATGTCCCCTCGAGTGACGGCGAACACGACGCCCAGTCAGACGACGATTACCAAGAACCGGAGGGCTCGGGGAAGGAGGACAGCGACGAAGACGCGCTCGAGGCGGATGAGGACGCGTCAGATGACAATATGGCCGTAGAGGAAGACTTGGAGGAGAGCGAAGACGAGAAACCGCAGCGTGTGAAGGCAGGCAAGGGTCTGAAGATGCAGGGGAAACTAAAGGACAAGGATATCGCCAACCTTCCTCCCATTCACGAAATCACCGACATATTCCGCGACATTGTCCGTCGTAGCCCCGCCCTCAAGGACCTCGCAGAACATATCACTGGACGCAAACTCCGTGTCGCCACCATGTGTTCGGGCACCGAGTCTCCGCTGCTGGCGCTGGACCTCATCTGTACCTACGTGAAGGAACTATACGACGTCGAGATCGGTGTCGAGCATGTTTTCTCCTGCGAGATTGAGCCGTTCAAGCAAGGTTACATCGAGCGCAACTTCATGCCGCCCCTTCTGTTCCGAGACGTTTGCGAGCTTGGTGACGCCGAAGCGTGCGTTTTCGTACTTCATGCACACCCATTATACTGACATTGTATGCAGCCACACCGCTTTCGGAGCCCTCGCTCCCGTCCCCGGTGACGTAGACCTCTTGGTCGCCGGCACGTCCTGCGTCGACTTCTCCAACCTCAACAACCAGAAGCAGACCATCGACGGCGCCGGCGAGTCCGCGCGCACCTTCCGCGGCATGATGTCGTGGATCACGAACCACCGGCCCCCCTTAGTCATCCTCGAGAACGTCTGCAGCGCGCCCTGGGACGAGGTCAAGAAGCACTTCGAGTCCAAGGGCTACAGCGCGGCGTTCAAGCGGTTTGATACCAAGAACTACTACATCCCGCATACGCGAACGCGAGGGTACCTCGTCGCAGTGGACCAGAAGCATTCTGGCGTGCCCGCGCAGTGGTCGCAGATGGTCATGGCGATGCAACGACATGCGTCCTCGCCTATCGATGCGTTCCTGCTCGCTTCGGACGACCCTCGTATATTCCAGTCTCGTCAGAAGCTTGTGCAGGAGTCGGCTCAGGCACTCGAGAAAAAGTCAGGACGTACAGACTGGGGACGATGCGAGTCGCGACATGCTCGTGCTCGACTTGAGGAAAGGCTGGGCAACAAACGGCCGCTGACCTACTGGGAAAGCGGTAGGTATTACCGCTTGCTCTATGTTGTCGTACCCTGATTTTTCGTACCAGGTGGCACCTGCAAGTTGCCAGAGCACGCCTGGAATGACTGGGGAAGCGCCCAGGTCGAGCGCGTCTGGGATTTGATGGACATCCTCACGTTGCGTATGGCTTCAAAGGACAATGTAGACCCCAACTACAAGACGTAAGTCTATTTTTTGGCTGCCTTGTCTCGCCGCTCATCCTCGCAGACATGTATGGAACCTGTCCCAGAATGTGGATCGCACCACCGGCAGCAACGCCATCGGTATCTGTCCTTGCCTGACTCCGAACATGATCGCCTTCATTACCAACCGCGGCGGCCCCCTCGTCGGCCTCGAGGCCCTCTCGCTGCAAGGTCTCCCGGTCGACAAGCTTCTCTTGACGCGCGAATCCGAGGACCAGCTAGCCGACCTCGCCGGCAATGCCATGTCGTCCACCGTCGTCGGCTCTTGCATCATCGCGGCGCTGATCACTGGCAAGAAGCTCCTGAAAGCCGGCAGCGAGAGCCAGTCGTACGAGAAGAAGAAGGACTTGGTCGACGAGGACGAGGTACCTCAGGAGACGCAGAAGGCGGTTGAGAGCTTGGCCGCGCGGACGGAGGATCGCATCGTTGGCGAGGAGGACTTGGTGTTCCACAAGCTGGAGCTCTTCCCGACGCGGCAGCGCCCACTTCCCGAGTTGCTTAATCTCGTGTATCGCAGCAGGCGCATGTGCTCGTGCGAGGGGAGGACGGACCAGACGAAGAATACCCTCCTGCGCTGCTCGAACTGCCTGAGCACGATCTGCAACCGCTGCGTGCGCACTGGCGAGCACCACGATCTCCAGGTGGTCGACTTGGCCGCTGAGGCGCGTCTGTACCCCGCGGATGTGGCCCGCGAGCTGAAGGAGGCGCTGCCGATGTGCATCCGTGTGCCGGATGTGACCGCAGAATTCCTCGACGACCTGGCCGCGAAGGGAGGCTGCGACACGTCCGAGAAGGACTACGTCAAGTGGAGAGACGCATTTCTTCGCGCATGCTCGTCGGATATCCGATTTTCCGAGGTCAAGCGCCAGGAGGTGTGGACGGCTGTCTATACCTCGGTGCACGCCACGCTGGAGCTCATTCTGGAGCCCAAGTGCGTCGAATGGAGGTTGTACGCCAAGGCTGACCCAGAGGAGCTCAGCCAGTCTGAGATACGGCGTACCCTGTCGAAGGCAGTGGCGCGTCTGCAGTGCGATGGCGATGACCTCACGTCGGGCAAGTGGGCTATCGCATTGCCCGTTCAGCGGGATATCACCATTCGTGTAGCTGCTGTCGGGGAGCCGGTTCCTTCCTGGCGTAATCGCTTGGGCTTAGAGGACTTCAAGGACGAGTTTGCATCGTCGCAGATCAAGGTCAGCGTCGCTCCGGAAGATATGCCACATCTGGATAGCGACATCTCCGGCGTCTATGACCTGTTCCCGAAGTGCGGGACGGCAAACGGTGCGCTGCATAAGAAGCAGAGCGATGATCCCGAAGCGCGTCCTTTGTGGTTCTTCCTCGACCCGCACCCGGTCTTCAAGGATGACCATTTCGTGTTCTCGCACAGCAAGCGGCGGCACGAGTATAAGGAGACTCGGGCGCTGGTGTGTCGGGTTGAGGATGTCAATTGGGCGCCGCCGACTGGGGAGGACGAGCAGGAAGTTCAGTGCCGGACGCCGTGTCAATGGGTTCCTATCGAGTCCTTCAAGTTACAGGTGAGTCGCTCATTTGCGTCCATGCTTAACAGCGCTGACATGCTTCTCAGGTCACAAGTATCCAAGACGCGAAGTTTGGCACTCCCGCGCGGACGCTACTCGATTCCATGGGCGACGATGCCTGCTCGTATGCGACCGCACTGCTGTCCTGCGTTATCCCCATGCAGGCCTCGTCGGCCATGGACTGGCCGCAGGGTGACTGGCGCACCGTTGACAAGATCCACGAGCGCACCGTTTTCAAGGCGACGGCGTGGCTCTTCGAGCGCAGTCGGTCCATGAGCGACATGTTCAACCAATGGCAGCCCGTCGCTTGCGAGCACCCTGGCCGCTGCGATCGCTGTGCGCCCAAGTCGCCCGCAATTCACTGGATTCCGGCCCGTGGCAAGAAGATGGTCGCCATTGAGGACGCCGCGGAAGCTGGGGAGTACGAGCGCCGACTCAAGCGGCGTCCGAGCCCTTTCGTCATCCAATGGAAGCGCGACGAGGCGGGACTTTGCCAGCTGCGGATTGGCAACAACATCCCATCCCTCTTGCATCGTGCACAGGCGAATTTACCCCCAACGATCCTCGACGCTTCGCCCCTCAAGTTGTCCTTCCGGTTGAACACAGCGTACATCGCCGCGTACACGAGCTCGTTGGCGAAGTTCACCATGAAGAGCAATAAGCAAGATCCCGAGCACAAGCAGCCGCCGCACTTCAAGGTTCCCTTGCGCAAGGAGCAGCGGCGCTCGCTGAGCTGGATGATTGCGCAGGAGGCTCCCGGTGCGCCGCCCTTCCCTGAGGAGGAAATCGCTGAAGCTGTGCTGGAACCCATGCAATGGCGTGCAGAGGCCAGGGCGGTCCGCGAAGTTCGTGTCAGGGGTGGTGTCCTTGCAGATGCTGTCGGGTACGGCAAGACTGCGATTTCGTTGGCGCTCATCGACTGCAACCAGAAGAAGGTCGAGGACGAGCACGAGGATGCAAACGACATCTTTGGCAAGATCTCCATCAAGGCGACGCTCATCGTTGTCCCTCCGCATCTGATCAAGCAGTGGGAGTCCGAGGTCGAGAAGTTTACGAGGCAGCATTTCGAGGTCTTGCTATTGTCGTCGCATGCGAGCATCAACACGAAGACGATCGAGGATTACGAGGATGCGGATATTATCATCGCTGCCTCCAACCTCTTCAAGAGCGACAAATACCTGGACAACCTTGCCGCCATCGCCGGCTGCGGCTCGTTCCCGTCCAGCGATGGTCGTTACTTCGACGCGCACCTGGACCGAACTCTGGAGGCCATGAAGGAGAAGACGGAGATTCTGAAGACGAAAGGTCCGGCGGCTTTGTTGGCTAAGATGAAGGAGGACAGGAAGCGAAGTGAGTGAGCCGTGTACACCCTAAATCCAGGTTTCTCATTTCGATGCAGTGCGCGATGAAGAAGCGGCTGCCGCTGCCGCTGCGGCGATGCCTTCGAAGCGCCTGAAGGGCAAGAAGCTGCGCGAGGCCACGGAGAAGGTGACTGTCGCGACCAGCAGTGCAGCTTCTAGCAGCGCAGCACCGACTCCGGTACCCTCATCTCCTGCCAGCGCCACCTCATCTTCTACTCGAGTAGAAGTCGTCATCGCAAGGCGTCCGGATCTGACTGGCATCGCCGCCACCGACGATGAGGAAGACGAGACGCCGAAGCGCAGCTTGGGCAAGCGCCGCTCTGCTAAGAAGGTGATCGTCTCGGACGATGAGGACAGCGATGTCAAGCCCGCTAAGCGCCCCGCGATCAAGAAGGGCAAAAAGCGCGCCCTCGACTCCGACGACGACTTCGAGATGGTGTCGGCAGGTGACGAGTCCGACGAAGAGGTTGAGGACGACGAGGACGAAGATGCGCCGGCTGCCAAGAAGCGAAAAGGCGCGACTAAAGCGACGGTGACGCGCAGGGCGCCATCGACGTCTGGCAGCTCCACTGCGGCCTCTTCAGACATGGAGGTCGACGACGCCCCCAAGAAGGGCAAAAAGCGAAAGGCGGTTGACGACGACAAGAAGCCCGCCAAGAAGGTCGATCGTATGGCCACTGACCCCTGGAAGCTCGGGTCGCCGGCAGTCAAGAACAACTGGATCAAGATGAAGGCGCCGCCGCTGGAGATGTTCCACTTTGCTCGCAAGATCATCGACGAGTACACCTACCTCGATGGCAAGGTGCTTTCTTTAGTCACCAAGCACTCTGCGTCGCGGATCTGGGTCTTGTCTGGCACGCCGCCCATCCATAACTTCGCCGCGTTAAAGACGATCTCCAACTTCCTGAATATCCATCTGGGGATTGATGATGTCGGCGAGGGAAATGCGAAGACGTCGGCCGAGCTCAAGAAGAGGGCCCGCGATCAGACAGGTGCGTGAAGTAAGGCTTTTTGAGATTACAAGCTTGTCTAATACATTTCTGTAGCCGCCGAAAACTTCCACTCTTTCCGTGAGGTTCACAGTAACGAATGGCATGCGCACCGTCTCGAGCACGGGCAGGCGTTCTTGGATCAGTTCGTCAGACAGGTATGTTATGTTGTACTTAAATGGACCTCCTACTCATTCGCTTTAGAACGTGGCAGAGATCGACGAGATCCCATGGACGACGAAGGTGCATTGGGTCAAGCTACCCGCTGCGGAGTACGCTTGTTATCTCGAGCTGGCACACTACCTTCTTGGACTGGACATGCAGGCCAAGAAGACGAAGAAGTCGGACAGCGATCGCGAAAAGCGACTTGCCCAAGCGCTCGGCGAGAGCCAGTACGTATCTAGTGTGTTCCGGCGTGTTCAAACTAATCATTCCTTGCAGAGACGCTACTGAAGCCTTGCTCAAACACTGCTCTCACTTCGACCTCCAGCTGAAGCAGATCAACGCCATCACCGCTTGCGATGCTATCGTACAAGAACGCGAGCGTCAGAGGGACGACAATATCGGGGAGCTGAAAAAGGCTGTGAAGGAGCGGGCTAAGGAGGAGGAGAAGATATGGTCCGCCATCCCGCAAGCGCCCGAATCCCTCTTCCACTCGTGGGTGCGCACCATGCTTACGAGCGGAACGGAGGACAAGGAGGCGACGGGTATCATTCGCGAGATTCTCTCGGCTCTCAATGTCAAGACGCGTCCCAAGACTCCCAAGGACAGCAATGACAAGCTGCCCGAGAAACACAAGGAGCGTATCTGGGCGCATCGCGAGGCCACGCACGAACTCCGGAAGCTCGTTACCGAGCTCATCGGCCGCATACGCGCTTTGCGGTTCTTCACCCTCATTCGCGACTTCCAGCAAGAGCGGGACGAGGCGTATACCATCAGCTGCTCGCACTGTGGGCGGAAGGACGTGACGAAGGAGGAGGCTGGAGTGTTCTCGTCGTGCGGGCACGCCGGGTGCTTGACATGCTTGCATGCGTGTGCCGCGGAGGAGAAGTGCGTGGAAGAGAACAATGGTTGCAGGGCTCTTGCACGCAAGATCAACATCGTGGAGGCAAAGGTTCTCGGCGTTGACAACGTGGCGAGGGATGGCAAGGGGCGCCATTACGGTCGCAAACTGGAGGAGGTCGTCAAGCTCATCAAGTAAGCCTTCATTTCGTCAACCTTCGTGCATTCGCTGATTTGCTCGCTCTAGTGGCTTGCCAAAGAACGAACGCGTTCTTCTATTCGTCCAGTTCGCCGACCTGACGAAGAAGGTCTCGGAGGCGCTCGACTATCACAAGATCCCGCACCTCGAGATCAAGGGCAGCGCGTCTGCCCGTAGCACGGCACTGGACAAGTTCCAGAATGGCAGCAAGGAGCGTGTCCTGCTGCTGAACGTTCGCGATGAGAGCGCGAGCGGGGCGAACCTGACGTGTGCCAACCACGCGATCTTCCTCTCGCCTCTGCACGCGCCGACGAAGGACCTGTACCAGGCATGGGAGACGCAGGCTGTCGGCCGTGTCGTGCGCTACGGACAGCAAAAGCCCGTGCAGATCCACCGTTTCATCACGATGGACACCATCGACTCGGAGATATTCGAGAAGCAGCACGCGGACTTGGCGCAGCAGGGCAAGGCCATTGAGGATGTGACTCGCGCGGTGGACGCGATGGAGGTGGATTAGTGCGCGTCGATCTTTGGGGTAATTTATGATCTTTTACCTATCTGTATACCATCTGTCTTGCATAGAGGCTTAATCTCCTGGCATTTAGAGATACGCTGTACGTACTTGCTTTGATCATCGTGTTGTCCAGTGGCTTGCAACGTTGTCGATACCTATGCTCTCGTCTGAAGTTTGCTAGACATGGACTGAGGAACTACAAGACTGTAGTGTGCGTAATTTTCGAGGAATGGGAAGAGCCTGCCCGTCATTGTCATTGAAGGACTTCGAGCGAACCAAGTGAACAAACAAACATTTGTTTGTTCCCCTTCGATCGCGACTTGACACGCACGCCATCATTGTCCCCCTGCGCGGTCGCGCGCATTGTTCTTTGCCCATCGTTCTCAACGAGACTACTGCCCATCATGGAGCTCACATATGATACCTTGATGGACGATGGCAACTACCTGGGCTCCGAACGCGCACGCGCCGAGAACCAGGCGCTGCTCGATGAGCTCGAGCGTAAGAAAAAGGCGCGCGCTATGGCGGTCCCGACCGACGACAACCGCGTCAAGATGCGCCTGCGAGAGATTGGGGAACCTATCACGCTTTTTGGCGAACGCGTATGTGGTGCAAGTGGGCGTAGAGGGTCTTCGGCTAACAAGCGCGCAGGCAGCAGACAGGAGAGATCGTCTCATCTATGTGCTGTCCCAAATCAACGCCGCGCGGGGGGACGACGGGATGCAGATGGAGGTCGAGTCAGACTCAGAGAGCGAGGAGGAGGTGCGTACTCCCGCGCATCCCCCCCAAACCCCCCTCACCCATACACATCGCAGGAAGAAGAATTCTACTCCCCCGGATCGCTGGAGCTGCTTGAGGCGCGGCGGCGAATAGCCGAGTTCTCTCTCCCCAGGTGGGACTCTCGCCTGTGCGCGCACACATAAGGTGCTTACCACCTCTTCTCTCCCGCGTCATGCCAGAGCTCAGAAGCGCGTCGCCCAGCAGCGTCTGGAGACCAAGATCGAGCTCAAGCGGCTCGTTGATATACGGAAGAAGGTTTTTGGCAACGTCAAGGTGTGGTGCAAGCTCTACTGCTCGATTTGACCGTCTAACGTCCTTCACTTCTAGCGCTTCGCAAACTTGGGCTCCCAGATCGGCGATGAGCGACCTATCTCGCAGGTCCGCTTCTCCCCTAACAACGAAATGCTGGCGACAGGTAGCTGGTCAGGCTGCGTTCGACTGTGGCGCGTCCCATCTTGTACCCCTATCCGCACCCTCCGAGGTCACAGCGACCGCGTCGGCGGCGTCGCATGGCATCCTCAAGCCACCCTATCCCTTGGTCCCGACCAAGTTAATATTGCAAGCGGCGCGGGAGACAACTGTGTCAATCTGTGGTCACTCAACAGTGACCAGCCGCTAGCGATCCTGCAAGGACACCAAGGCCGCGTATGTCGCGTTGCGTTCCATCCTTCGGGCGACTATGTCGCGAGTGCGAGCTTCGATACGACGTGGAGGTTGTGGGATGTTAATACACAGAAGGAGCTGTTATTGCAGGAGGGTCACTCGAAAGAGGTCTACTCCGTTGAATTTCAGGACGACGGCGCGTTGATTGCGTCTGGGTACGTCCCGTGCGCGCAGTCCTCATTACTGAGTCTGATGTTCATGCAGGGGCCTTGACGCAATTGGACGCGTATGGGACCTACGTACAGGACGCACTGCAATGGTCCTCGACGGGCATGTACAGCCAATCTACTCAATGTCTTTCTCCCCCAACGGGTTAGTGCTCCTCCCGCCTGTTCACAATCATGTGGCTGACCCGACTTCAGCTACCAAATCGCTACTGGCGCCGGAGACGACACCATACGCATATGGGACATGCGCTCACTAAAAGCGCTATACACCATCCCCGCCCACTTGTCCAACGTCTCCGACGTTCGCTTCTTCCGTGCGAACGACAAGTTCTTTGTCGAGCCTACCGCTACGACGCAGGACGCGGACGTGGAGATGAAGGACGAGACGTCGGCGCAAAATGGGGACGCGGCAAAAGTGAGCTCGCAGAATGGCGACGCGAAAGACGGGGATGGCGGTGAGGCGAAAGACTCCCAAGACGCCGCCGCCGACAAATCCTCCGACAAGCCCGACACCTCTGCATACACCTGGGAAGAGTGGAAGTATCGCTCGGGCTTGTTCTTCGCGAGCGCGGGCTACGATGGCCTCGTCAAGCTCTGGAGTGCAGACGACTGGCAGTTGCTCAGGACACTGTCGACGGACGCGGGCAAGGTTATGTCGTGCGATATAACCAGTGACGGGGGGATGATTGCGTCAGGGACGTACAATCGGAACTTCCAGTTGTATGGGATGGAGGATGTGGTTTAGGGAGGTATGTGTGGGGGGTGTCGAGGGAGTAGATTTATCTCGAAGATGGACTATATCTTGGTCGCGGAGTCCCACTACCCATTCCTGCGAATCACATTGTCAGACGACTACGGTTCCTTCTGCAGCGAGAAGTTGAGAATCGCCAATGTGCGCTTGTGCGAGGATATCAGGTGCCCGCGTAAGATCCCCCCGTCTAGGATTTGGGACCAACCTTTCAATCATGGAGCCGTTCCTCCTCAGAGGTCACTCGCAGGTGGTACAGAATGGCCGCGACTGGCCAACGTCAGCGTGCAAGTTGAACTTTCTTCGGCCGTTGCCGTCGGGCCGGGTCACGGACCGGAGCCGGAACGCGTCGCGCGTTTGGAATCGCGCGGCGTGACGTCCCGTACCTTGGCTCTCCCCACGTCGCGTCAAGATGCAGAGCGCACGTCCCGCTGGCAATGGCCAGCCCCCAGTCAAGATATACAACGCGGTCTACTCCTCAGTCCAGGTATACGAATGCATGATAAGAGGGATCGCAGTCATGCGCCGCCGCGCTGATTCCTACGTGAACGCGACTCAAATCCTGAAAGTCGCGGGCGTCGACAAAGGGCGTCGAACCAAGATTCTCGAGAAGGAAATCCTTCCAGGGACGCACGAGATTGTGCAGGGAGGGTATGGGAAGTATCAAGGGACCTGGTACGTTGTTGCGCAAGGGGCGTCATTCGCGTCAACTGATTCATCTTAGGATCCCCCTTGACCGAGGCCGTAGCATCGCTGCCCAGTATGGAGTAGCTCCTCTGCTAGCTCCCCTCTTCGACTTTACGCCGAGCACGAACTCTCTCGCGCCTCTTCCTGTCGGTCAGTGATAAACTGCACGCGTCTTTGATCTGCTCACGCCCAACAGGCGGTTACATGCCCCCGATGCCATCGTCGCTCGCGCCCCCCACCGATCATGCCAGGTTCTGCTCTGCGCTTGCTCAACCAGGGACGCGCTCAGGGACTGTTTACCCCCTCGACCTCTGGCATGTCTCCTAGCATGGGTCGCCCCGGGTCGGGGTTCAACTCGCCGATTCCGTACTCCTCAAGCTTCACAGCAGGGCAGTCCCCCTTCTCTGCTTCGTCGCAGACGCCTCCACCTGCCCAGTCGCTAAAGCGACACCGCTCAGAGGCTGATGTGGATGGGTCAGTTACCCCTACGCAGCCGCCTATGTCTTCATCTCAGCCGCTACCCCTCGACGCGCCTATCGACATACAAATGTCGGATGCGCGAACCGAGCCGGATGACGGACCATCTCCTAACAAGCGGGCTCGCAAGGAGCCTTCTCCCGCGCATACGAATGGCGTCGTCCCGTCGCGTCCGGAATCTACGGCGCCCGCGAGCACGAAAGCTTCTTCGCCGCAACCACCTCCAGGACGCCACCCTCGCCTTGCATCTCCGCCGGTACTCCCTCAAGCTTATGACCCTACTTTACCGCTGAAGGGTACGCGCCAGCACACAGCCATCGCGCGCATCTGCCAGCTCGACGACCCCGGCCCTGTTCTCGAGGTACTGCGCGAGCTCTCGCCAGCAGCACCCGGGGGCAGCCCCGCGCGCTTTGAACCCGACGTCATCCTAGACGAGAGAGGTCACAATGCGCTGCACATCGCCTCTGCGCTCGTGCATACGCAGACGATACGTGCGTTGCTTGACGCGGGTGCGGATGTGCACCGGGGCAACCACCTCGGCGAAACGCCCCTGATTCGTGCATGTCTGTCGACGCAAGCGTACGACGGCGCCTCGATGGACAAGCTGCTTGAGCTCCTCCATCCCTCCATACGCACGCTGGACACGTCTCGCAAGAGCGTGTTACACCACATTGTCGCGCTTGCTGGCGTGGTCGGCCGCTCCCCCCATGCGCGCTACTATCTCGACGCGCTCTTCACGTGGATCGCGAAGCGGGAGGACGGCGATTACAAGAGCTTTCTTGACCTACAGGACGAGCACGGAGACACGGCGCTGAATATCGCCGCACGAGTGGGCAATCGCAGCCTTGTGCGTACGCTGCTGGATGTTGGCGCGAATCGGACGTTGCCAAATAAGCTTGGTCTGCGTCCGGGCGACTTTGGCATAGAGACAGAGGAGCTTTCGGTTGGCAAGTCGGAAGATATATTAGCGGGTCTGCGTGCTGGGCCGCCAGTGCCCGTGCAGAAAGCTCAGGACGTCATTGCAGGTGTGCATAATCACTTCGACCGTTGTGCTGTCTCTGACTTTTGCAACAGATATGACCGCGATGATCCAGGCATTGAGTGCAGATTTCCAGGTGGAAATCAAGGCGAAGCAAGACTCGCTCGACCTGACGCAAGCACACCTACGCGCTGGCACCCGCTCTCTCGCTGAGCAGCGAAAGACGATTGCGGCGACGCAGGCTCGCTGTGCAGAGCGCGAGCATATTGCTGCGAAGGTGCGCAGCGTGCAGCGCGCGTTTGTCGATGAGGACGGCTTCGACTGGACCGGGCGGGACACGGACCCACCAGAAGAAGGCAGCAACGCGATGGACGTCGACTCTTCAGCGAAAGGAAAGGAGAAGGAGACGAAGAGCGTTGTGAGCTCTGCCTTCATCTACCGAGGGCGGACGGCGTCGATTGCGGGGCTTCCCGCGCCTGCGCATCCTGCGGAGTTCGACGCGGACCCGCCGTTGCCAGCGGAGAACAGCGCGGCTGCGCTGGTGCGTATGCGACGCATGCGAATGTGGCACGAGCGGATGGAGGGGGTTATTCAAGCGCGAATGGACAAGTTGAAGGGCGCGGGGGCTGAGAAGGAGGTGCTATGTCGGCGGATTGTGGCACTCTGTACTGGAACGCCGGTGGAGGAGGTTGAAGAGGTGAAGTCCTCACTGTTTCATCTGGCAATTGTGCTAAACCCGACTGCAGCGATTGGGCGATCTCCTCATTGCGCTGGAGAGCGAGTCGCAGGTGATAGATGTGGCGCGCGTGTCCGGCTTCTTGCAGAAGGTGCGGGATGGGCAAGTGGGATGAGTTGCTATGATACCCGGACGGTCGGAGAACTGTGTCCATGTTGAGTTCATGCTTCCTGTCTATCTTCTTTTGTTCTCCTTGTAACTTGCTGTACCGTATACCGAAATCATTCAAAAGCTTTTGTGGGGCTGGAGGTTGTCTTTATTGCGCCAGCGGCTGATGATTGAGATGTAGGCCACCTAAATCAGACCACACTGAAGCTACCGAATGAGAAGATGGACAACTTGGAAGACGAGAGGGCAAGACACAGTTCGACCTCGTGATTGACGGCAACCCCCGGAAAAATCGAACTACTCGTTAACTTTTACGTTCAGGCGTCAAGACAGCGGCCATGGATACAAACCCTGTTGCTCTGGCCTGAACTCTGCTCACCGCCCCCGAAGAATAATTATTGTCTGCGCGGGAGCTTCCTCCCGACGTCTGGCGCGCGCCTGCTGTTCGCGGCGTTCCCCGCGCGGTAGGTGCGAACCTGGTCACGGGCGCTTATTGTCGTTCATTTTTGGCAAGCGCGCGTATGTTAGAGCGGCTCATGCTCTCGTCGGCGGCGCGCATCGTCCGCACGGGGGAAGCGCGGCGTCCTTGGGCCATCTGGAGCCCGCGCCCGCCTTCCCGGGCTCCGAGGAGGGCCTACACAAAAGGATTTGCGCCCCGACCGCGGGAAGGGGTCGCACGCCGTTGGGCCCGCGTCCTCGAGGATCGGCGCGTCGCGGTGCTGGGACAACTAGTGCGCCTGGGGAGAAGCTTCCGCTCGCCGTCGCTGGCAACCCCCGGCACGGCGTGGTCCTCGCGCTTTATTGGCTATTTGTCTTTTGGCCCGAACTCTTGCGCGCGAGGTTTTGTAAGGGCCAGGACAGCGCGGGGAGGACGCGTATAAAAGACATGGTAAGTGAGCTGGAAAGCAGCAGAGCAAGAAATGGGAGCTCATTCACGCCACGCATCTGCTAGACGCAACGAGGCGCCGGTTTCTGGGACGTACCGTGTTCCAGACGACGTTCTCGTATGTATTCTCGTCAAGCTCGATCCTGTTTCCTTGCTGCGCTTCTGCAAGGTGCGTCGCCCACCTCTCCCTTCTGTCTTCGCCTCTGCTGACATATTGTCAGGCATTTGACCGCGCTGCAGGACCGACCAAGTATTATAGTCCCCTGTCCTATAGGCTTGAGCTTGCCAAGGCCAGTAAGGACGACAATGCGCTCGTTCGTAATGTCGCTGTTGGCCAGAAGCTCGTCGCCATAAGGGCCTACAGGAAGGAATGGGGTAGTCTTCAATGGGGCCACAAGTTCCAAATGAAGCTGCCGCCCACTGCGGTCATGGGCGTGTCGGGTGGGTTTTTGCATCGGTACTACGACGCCGGCGGTACTACGGTCTTGGAGCTCGCCGAACTGCCGTCCCCGCGTCTGGACCGTGCCCCATCGACGACGCGCCACCTCCGCTTCCGGCTTGACGGTGCGAACCTGCGTGCCTTCGTGTATGACCCGGCGCAGAACCTTGCCGTGACTTGTGAGCTCTTGCCGTGAGTACCTGCATGAGTCACATACTAGTCAAGGCCATGCTGACCGAAACATACAGGCAGATGACGATCCGCGTGTCGCTGCGCGAGATGCCGTCCTTCACTCAGCACCAGCGTGCGCCGCACATGTTCCGCGACTTCATCGCGGGCAGCGCCGTCGAGTCGATCTCCCTCGCCACCTGCGGCAGCCTTATCTCTGTCACCGCCCGGCTTCCCTCGGGAGAGTGCAAGGTTCTCCTCTTCAATTGGAAGACCTTCGCCTCCAGCGTCAGTGCTTCTCTCACGCCGAAGCCTACACCCCAGCTGATCGCACATTGTATTCATATATAGTGGATCAAGGCCGAAAGTGCGTATCTGATCACCGAGCGATACGTGCTTGCTGCCTACCACGGCCGCCTCCGCCTCTCGGATGTCTCCGATGTTCTCAAGCCGCGCACGCTCCGCGAATACGCGCTCCCAGACTCGTGGGCCGACCGCGAGCTCGTCTTCGCCCCGAATGCGTGTCCCCTGCGCTCGGCGCCGCACGCGCTCTTCTCTGCCACTACCACGGAGCGTGTCATCGTGCTGCAGGCCATCCCCGCCGAGCCCGAGCGCGCGCACTCCCAGAGCTGGCTCATCGTGCGTGAGGCGGTTTTTATGGCCGCTGTGCGCTCTGAGAGCCGCGCGATGGAGCCTTGGGCCTTCTGGGCAGCGCGCTGTGCTGTCAAGGAGGTTCCGGTGCGGGCGAAGGGTCCATGCGTGGCCGGCAACCGAGTCGCGTATGCAGTTGCTGGGCGCGGAGGGAGCGCTACGCTGCATGCGATTGAGTTCTCCAGCGAAGTGGCGGGCTCTGTACGCCCCGGCGCCGCCTGGTCTTGGGTTGGGGCTGCGGCGGGACCCGTGCCGCTGGAGGTGGAGAGGGCGATCCCCGCTGAGCATGGCGAGAAGATGGAGGTGAAGGGCCTGAGCGCGACGGAGGATAACATGATACTGGAATATGTGAGCCATTGCTGTCACTGGCCACAATTTCGCGACTGATGAGACATCGCAGGAGAGCCGCGGTGGCGGAAAGCCTGCCGTAGTTCTCACATTTGGTGTGCATCGCGAGGCCTGAGAGAGGGATGGGGGAAGGGAAGATAAGAAGTAAGAAGTCGATTCGTTCCTTTGTATGAAGTGTTCTCTTCTATGTGACGATGCATCATGACCCTGGCTTCCACTTGAGTACGATCCAGAGAACCCATCTTCGCCGCTCTTTGTCGTCGTCGGAATCTGCATGCGAAACATCCCAGGCTCTGCGTTCTGTCCCTCGCGCCTCCCGTTCGACCAGGCTATCCACAGTGAGCCTCGATGAATTTTCTACCGCGTCCAAGAATGCCTGAAGGGTATATCTCCCGGTGTGAAGACCTGCAACGAGGTATGCTCGCGCATGGTCGGTTTGCTTAAGCGTTGCCTGGATGCTGGCGATGAAGGAGCCCCGCAGCGTTGGATTCCACAGCGTGTCGGCTGCAAGCACGACGTCGTAACCGGACGGTGCGTAGCGTAGGACGTGCACAGGATCTGTTCCCCAAGCATATCCAGCAGCACGACAATGTGAGGCGACGTGATTGCTCTCGATATTCTGCTGAAGAGTGGCGAGCACCTGCTGGTCCGGATAGTCCGTGATGGTCACAGATGCGTGCGGATGAAGGGCAGCGAGAACGATGCTGGGTAAACCTGCACCTGCGCCAAGTTCGAGAACAGAGGCTTCTGGGGGCAATTCTATCTCCTCGATGTGATCTGCAAGATAGACAGCAGAAGTCCAGATGGATGATGCGTGCAGTTCCCAGTTCGCGGCATCGGTGTCAGGTGTAGTCAAAATGATCGAAAGAGGTCGCTCCGTCGAAGGATAATTGTATGTGTACTTCTGCCCTGCCGACGCATGGGTGATAGGCTGATAGTCGTATAGCGTATAGAGGGCATCGGAGAGGACATCTTCTGCGCTTTCGACTTCGTCGATTGTTGTCTCTGTCTCGGATGACATTGATAAGCACTGGTGCAGGTAGATAGATCAGACATTCACATCGTGAGCCCTTAAAAGCCAGAAGATAATCACCGACCTGAACAAATGGTCGTTCGGAAGAGAAAAGAAAAAGGCCGTCGTCACGTGCAAGTCGAACATGAGTGACAGTCACATTGCCTAATGCGTCATTCCTTATGGTCTCGTGGCAGCAGCCCCTTTGGTGCTGACCACGATCTATGGTGTGCACGAAGTGCGAGAAGGTGAGCTCGTGAGCACTACCCTTCAAATAAACTGACAAATACCCCCAGAAATTGTCTCAACTTGCTGCTCCCGATCCTTTCAAGTCAAGCTCGAGCAGTATCAAGGACGGAAGTCGCAAGGTCGGCGAGAACAAGCTTCTCTCCCGGCCAGGGAGCTCGAAGAATCGCTTCCAGGTGCGCGGCTACACTCTTAGTAAAGTCCCCCCTCTGACGAGACACTAGCCTTACCAAGGAAAATGCAAAGACTGCAAGTCTAGCGTTTCCCAGAATAAGGCGAAGTACTGCCATGGTGCGTGATCGTCCCCTTCGTGCCGATACCTCTGCTGATCATAGCTTAGGCTGCGCATACAAGAAAGGTATCTGCGCAATATGCGGCAAGCAAATACTTGACACGACAGGCTATGTGATGTCCAGCAAGTAGAGGCGCACTCCCCCCACCATATTATCCGGACTGTACACTAGGACGACGACGCTGTACTATACCTGTATCCTCGACAGTCTCTCTAATGATCAGTCTCAACGTTCCGCGCCACCTCACGAACTCGAAGTCAATCTCAAGATCGCATAACGACAGCTAATATACAAGATCTACTACATCCATCACATCTCTACAGGGTAGGCCAGCTCAGGTCAATAGGCTTCAAGTCACCCGGGCCCTTGAAGTTCTTAACTATGTCCGCCTGCTCAGCGAGCAGATACCTGTCCGTCTGGGTTCCAATCTTCGCCAGGCCCCGCCAGCGTTCCAAGTCTGCCGGATTCCGCTTGTCGCCGTGCGCCTCCACCGAGTGCTCCCAGTGGCCCTTCGAGAACGCGATGAGCGTCGTGATGCGTTGCTTGAGGATGTCGTAGACGATGGACACGATGGTGCCCGTCTCTGCGTAAGAACGTGAGTTGGGCGGCGTACGTCTTGCGTCTTGGAATCGACTGACCTTCGAGCCAGTTAATTTGCCACAATTCACCGGGGCGGATGCACTGGTACTTCGTCTCCTGGTAGTTGTAACGCCCAGCCATGGGTCCGCCGTGGATGGCGTATGTGACGCGGTTCTGCATGGGTGTCAGGACTTTCTCGCAGTTGACCTTTCCGCATCGAAGCATACATACCTCATGCGAGCACCAGAGCTCGTATCGCCACTTCTCCGTCGAGCCGTCTGGCTGCTTGACGTCGTAGTCGTACAACAAATGCACGTCCTTCAAGTCTTCTTCCCAAGTGCCAGGCATATTCGAGTCAAGTAGTCGACGAAATGTGAAATATGGGGAGGAAAGGGTGATCCGTAGAGGGATCGTCCTACATACCTCAATCGCCAACTGCCAACCTTTTATACCTCTCGCTACCCTTACCATTCTCGGAGCTTCGAACTCCAGACGAGCCTCCCGCGTCCCCCATGTTTAGGGCCTCCCGCGTCCGCGTATTCCGTTTACGCCGTATCGCATAATGGGCTCTGCTGACATCGCAGTAGACAGTGGCATAATGGGCGTGTTATGCAGACAGATACGCGGCGGTGCACGTCACGGCGCGTCGGATAGGGGTACGTACCAGCCACTGACCAAAATACGCCGACAAGCGTCGGAGGGGCCTCACCTGCAGGGAGAGCTATCGCGCGTGCATAGGGAACGATCGCGCGACCCAAAGTCCAGCCGCGGACAATTGAAGTCCAGCCGAGAGCGCCTGAAGGGCAGCCGAGACATGTAGGCTGCGGCCTTAGAAATCGATTGGACATGATATTAGTGTCCATCCGCTACGGCGCACGCACGTTTTGCGGTCCGTCGCGCTGCTGGAACGGTCCTCAGCGGGGGGACGGACGGCGAGCTGGCGCTTATCAGGTACACGGCTCGTCGATAGGACTCCCTGGATTAGACCGGGGCGATATGAGGGTCCGTGTTTATGGGTGGATGGGCGACGTTGTATTGATGGGCGATGTTGTACTAACGGGTGTTCGTTGTGGTTTTCATACTATTGACTGACTGCATGCCATCTAGCGCCGACCTCCTTTCCATGCGCGTCTAGTCATCCAGCTCGTCCTCTTCCTCCTCTCCGTCGTCTGCGCCGTCGCCGTCGTCGGCTCCTGCGAGATCGCGCTCGACCATGCCCACCACCGCGTCCATCGCCGCGCGGGACATCTTGGGCATGGCCCCAGGTCGCAATAGCGGATGGTGCCGCTCGTCCAGTTCCATCGCGTCGCCGTCTCCATCTGCCTCCGCATCGTCTCCGTCCGCCATCTCCTCGTCGCTCGATGCAGCCTCGCCCTCTTCGTCATCATCTTCTTCTCCTTCCGCGTCCTCGCTCCCCGCCACCTCCTCTCCCGACTCCGAGCCACTGCCCTCGTCTGAGCTGCTTCCCTGGAAATCCTCGTCCTCCTCATCGTCCGACTCCGCCGCCAGCTGGTGGATCGTAATCGGCCCGACTGGCGCCGGCGCCCTCAGCGGCTTGCTCCCGTTCTGCTCCTCCCTCGCCGCGTCCTCCGCGCTCTTGCCGAAAAGATGTCGATGCTTGCGCACCCACAGTGCAATACCGTCTTGCTCCCGCCCGTCTATCATGCTAAGCTGCGTCTCCTCCCCAAGATCTTCTCCATCTTCGTCCACTTCCGCGCTGCGGCGCGTGAGCGTGACCGAGAGCGTGCGCCCCGTCGCGCTTAGGATGCGCACGCCGTCGGTGGCGCCCAGCAGGTCCTGGACGGCCCAGAATTCGCAGGGCTTGCTTTCGCCCCAGAGGAGGCCCTCCTCGAAGAACCACAGGGTGCCGGGCTTCGCCCCGCGGTACGCCTCAACGCCGGGAATGCCGTTGGTAGAGGCGCTGGTGCCGGCACTCGTGGTGTGTGCGCTCTTGAGGGTGTCGCCGGAGGGCTCGTAGATAGGCGCGCGGGCCGCTTCAAGGAAGGCGCGCAGATAGGTATGCACAGAGGAGCCCTTTTCGAGTGTGGTGGTCTGTCCGGTTGTGGGTGTGACCTTTGTGTTGGCAGGCGCCTGCGCGTCAATGCCGAAGATGACCTGTGCGGAGGCTTGTGCGGCAGTTTTGCCTTTCGCTGGACGAACGACGTCCGCATCGAGCATCACCACCGTGTAGTGAGATTTCGTTTTTCCCCGAGTAGGCAGAATAAACGAGCGTGTTATCGCGGAGCGCGGCACACTGGCCTCGACCGCTGAGGTCGCCGGGTTCACGAGGACAATGGCATCGTCAGTCACGAGAATATCGACCTTCTTGCGAATCGGAGAGGTCACAGAGATCCCGTGCAGCCGGTACCGCGTCGTCTCTTCCGACACGCGCTGTCGCTTGGGATCAGAGCCAGATGCCTCATCCGCTTCCAACGAGCGCTTCGTCCCAGAAGAAGCCCCGCGAAGCCCATTCAGCGCTTCCGCGAGCGTTCGCTGCTTGTCCTGCCATGCATCGGAGACGGGAGTGAAGGAAGCAGGCGCAGGCGCGGCGCCGGATAGAAATCGGGTGAAATTCTCCAGAACATGGACGTTCGACTCGGAAGAGAGAAGAGGGGCTATTTGGGCGCGGATCTCGTCGGGGAGATGGGAGAGGGTGGTATTGAGGAAGGTTGCTTCCGGTGGGGCTGTAGCCATCTGGCGCAGCACGTTGGAAGATGGCGAAGGGCGGAGGCAAGTTGCTTACTGCTTCTTCTCCGGATGAGCGGATGGGAGGGTGTTTTGCGGGTGTCCGTAGGAGTCAAGTCGTCGATGAGTTTCTTTTCCAGTATTTGTGCAGAGACCGAGGAGCCTGTGCAGCGCAACTATCACGGTCAAAAACAAGGTGCCAGCGACGCGTCTGCATCGCGTGCGGCGTGAGACGCGTGACGTCACTTAGCACATCTAACACGTGATACTGTTTATCGACACCCACAAGTCGGACTCGAGGTCGACAAGCCGCTGAAGTGTGTATCGAGTTCGTATTCGAGGTGTGGAAGGCCTGTGAGAGTACCCAAGGACGTCGAGAGCCGAAGGGAACGTGGAGGATTGTGAGAGCTATGTGAAGGAGAGCATGAGAGTGCTGCGGTGGTGGCGCATGAGGGTCGCCCTGAATGTGCCTCAGGTTATTGTCGCGCTCAAGTACTGCAATGCCAGGAGAACCCTGGGCAGGGAGTCACTGTTGTCCGTTGACAGCTCCATCACGGCCCTTCATTTCGGACGTGCACATCGGGGCGAACCTGGCAGGAAGGGTCGCCGACTTCGAGGATGTCTTCATTGACCCCGCGGGCTCCGCTGCCTCAGACTGACATTCGCGACACTTTCTATCAGACCGGAGTCTTTCACCGTTCCCAGTTCCAGGGGGAATTCCCCGTTGTCAGAGCGGATTGCGTGTGGCACAGGCTGGGCGGGCGGGCCGCTGGGAGTCGGTCACTCGAGGACCCCTGCTTATTGGCGTGGAGGTTTATGTTGGATGCCGGACAAAATTGGGCTTCGGAACGCAAAAGGTCTCTGAAAACACCAGACAAATTGAGGTTGGGCGTGTGAAGCTCTCTGCGGAGGGCCGGACAGGATATGTTGGTCGCCAGCAGCTCTCTGAAAGACGTCGGACAGATGGGGCAGTGAGAGGCTCGACAAGGCCCCGTCCGAGGGCAAATATTCAATTTCCCTGCATTTTCACCCGAATTTTCGACGGTCTCTGCGCTCATCCGGACAAAAGTCAAAGTCAAAGTCGAGGTCCCTGAGAAAACCGGACAAAACGTGCCGAAAATGCCAAAAAGTGTCGGACAGAAAAACCCGGATTTTGACGGTTTCGGCAGAGACCTCCACGCCAATAAGCAGGGGTCCTGTCACTCGGTGACGGGACTTCGGAGACCAACAGACGATTTGAAAATATTTTTCGGAAACTGCCGCCGTTTCCATTCTCGCCTCTCCCGCGATTTGTACAGGGTCGCCGTGGATGCTATCTGGGCTGTAAAGCGTCCGGCGGGCAGAGTATCCTGCCAGCGCCGTCTCCCTCTCCAGCTCTTCCCCTTACTGTGCACAGACGCAGTGTCTACCCTCCTATCACGGGACAAGCCTGAGACCAGGGAGGATCACACGGTATCATATACGCAACAATCAGCGCGGATTCAGCCAGGTTGCCCGCCCTAGACAGCTCAACGACAGCCAGGCGCGCCGACGACGAGCCCCACGACAGCAATGAGCTCGCCTCCCGCCGCCACGACATCGCCCAAGCGCCGGCAAGGCGTTCCCCACCTTCTCGAGTCCTTCCCGGCACCGCCCACATTCATACCAGCAACGCCTGCAACGCCGGGGTCTCTGCAGCTGCCCCAACGCTCAACCTCGCCATTCGGGGGCACGACACCAACGACACCTCTTTCAGCATACCACACCCCACCCACTTCCTTCATCTCCACGCTGAGCGGGAATGCATATCCGACGACGACTAGCCCTCCCCGACACATACCGTCGCCTCGTACTCAGCCGGCCTCGCTACCATCTGCGTCGGCGAATCCACCACCCTCTCTACCCCCCTCACAGCCTCTACCACCCGTTCCCCAGAATGACACGCCCAGTCTTCTTTTGTCAAGCGCGCGCAGGAGCACCTCTGACAACGCTAGCGTACGGAGCGCCAGCCTGCGGAGTTTGGGGAGGGAGAGCATAAGGTGCGTCCTCCCACGTCGCGTCGGACAGCGCGTTGACGCGGTGACAGGTCGGGCAGGTCATCCGAGCACGGGCACCGGTCTGGCAGGTGCGTTGCTGGGCAAGACGCGAATCCTAGCAGAATCACTAATGTCGTTCCTGAAGGCAAGACCAGCATGATGGCCGTTCCCCGCGCCCCTCCGTAGACTCGGCAGGCAGACCGCGCCCATCACTCGATTCATCGGCACCCCCGCGCCCATCACTGTCCTCGGTCCACTCGAACTCCCCCGCTATCTTCCCGTCACCACCGCTAAACAGAATCAGCGAAGTCTATCACAACCCTGCCAACGATAATGAGGACGTCCTCAGCGCGTCATTCACTAGACGCGCTAGCCCAGATGCTTCGTTCACGTCTGCTTCATCTACGCTACAAGCTTCGACATCTACTCCTCCGACATCTAGTCTACCCTCGCCGAATTCGTCTGCATGCCCGTCTCCGCTGCCCAAGGAGATGCTTCAGGACCCTGCCGCCTTCCACCGCGAGCTCCGCAGCGCAAGATCTCGCAGTCGCGGTCACAAGGAGGTCCTTCGGTCGCGCGTCACCTCTATGGACATCCCCCCTAGTCCAATCCGACCTATCCTGCCACGTTCTGTCTCTGACGGGACCATGTCGTTAGCAGACAGTAACGCGGGTACGCCGAGAGGCAGGACGCTAGGGAAGCCGAAGAAGGTGGCGGCCGCTGCGGCTACCTCTGACGCGGATGGAAGGGACTCGCCGGATATCAATGAGATCATCGAGCGCACACCGAGGCCGGCACGATCGTCGAAGAGCTTGGCGCGTTCCGCGTCGTCCTCGTCGAAGAGCCTGGCAAGAAGCGCGTCGTCGAAGAGTCTCGGGACCTCGACACGGCGAAGTAGTGCGCGGCTCTCCAAGGAGAGCAGCACATCGAATGTCAGCGCGGACCCATCCAGGCGACGCCCCTACGCCAAATCCTTCGGCGCTGACACCCCGCACGCAAGAGGCAAGCGCACGAAGGACGCGATACCCCCACCTCCCTCTAGCTTCACACATCCCGTCAAACAGGAGCGGGCCCTGTCCCGAGGGGCATCCGAGCAGAGTCGGGACAGCACCATCTCGGCGTTCTCTCTAACCGCCTACGGTGTCAACGACGCGCCTTATAAGCGCGACAGCGCGTACTCGAACGATCCATACTCGAGTGGTCGGGAGGGCAAGTCGCCCGCTGATCGATCGCCAGCGTCGAGTTCCGCGCACGAGCTGCCGACTGCGAGACCGAGGCGCGGCGCGAGTCCGTTTGAGTCGCTGAGGCGGTCGATACACTCGATGCAGAGCGAGTCGGACAACCCGTATGGTGGGATCCACCCCGACGACGAGAAGCTGTTCGCGGAGATGGAGCAGATGCTCGAGGGGCAGGTCAGCGACACGGAGGAGGGCCCCAGCATGAGCAGAGGCAAGGCGCCCGACGCGTTTGCCGTCGAGGTCGTGCGGAGCGACGATGAGGGGGAGGAGCCCTTCGACGACGAGGTCGTCGAGTCGGACGAGGACAGCGACAGCTCGATCGACCTGCGAACACCACTCTCGTCAGTCTTTATACTTTATATTTGGCGCGGCTGCGCCGAGAAGTCGCCTGCTAACAATGAATCACAGGAAATTGATGCTTCGCGACGGTGTGCTGTCGCCGAATTCGAAGGTGCTTCAACAGCAGGAGGAGGACCTGTTGGGCACGCCTGGCCGGGGCAGTGTTATGAGCTTCACGAGTGGTGAGCTGGGCCCGTTTATGGAGGGGTCGTGTGCTAAAGTTTGAACTTCAGCGATCTCGACGTCGTCTATACTGAAGGACACGCGGGATACTCCGTCGCGCCGCGTTCGTCATCGCGACGGGAAGCTGTTGCGAGGCGGCCTTGGGCTGACGACGGGGCTTGGTTGGAGTGATAGTGAGGATGAGGATGCGCCTTCGCCGTTCACCAAGCGCGTTTCTTCTCTGGCGCTTAGCAGGTCCAAGTCGGTGTCTAACTTGCGCTCGACGTCGACGTTGAGCCTCGGTGCCATTGAGGAGGATGTGCCGTCCGCAAGGGAGATCATGTCGCGCAGCACCAGCAAGACGTCCTCCCTGCGGAGTATGCCGAGCATGCCGTTGTCGAAGTCGCTGAACTCGCTCTCGCGGATGTCCTCGCGGTCAAGCGGGTACAGTGTACGGCCCAGCCATGGACACGCGCATGGTGGTAGCACCCTCTTCGAGGACGACGAGGATGATGTGGATGGCGCGGACGAGTTTGGCCGGTCGAAGAGCTGGAAGACGAGGAGTCAGCCGACGACAAGAAGCCAGCCGCGCGAGTTGTATGCCATGCAGCCTAGTGAGGGTACGCCGTCGAGCGACTCGACTGCGAGCATCTCGCTCCCCGACACGCCGGCCGACTACGAGGCGACGCCGACGTACACGGGACACTCGTACAATCGGAACAAGGTGCGTTTAGACTTTAGTTTGGCCAAGGGCGTTCAAACGTTCCGGCTTGGGCTAAGAGGCTGAGTAATTCATTGACCCTGTCTTGCAGGAGTTGCCAAGGCTGCCGAGCATGGGGAGTCTCCGGAGGCAGGGGAGCACGGCCAGTGTCCGGCGCACGGTCTCGCAGAAGAGCGTGAAGAAGACGACGTCGATGGCGAGCATTCGTGATCGGAGTGTGTCGGAGACGAAGTCGCGCATGCCGGAGTCCCAATCCTACTCGCGAGTGCCGGAGCCCCAAACCAGGTCACGCATGCCAGAGCCCAAGACGCGAACGCGGACGCCAGAGCCCAAGTCGCGGATACCAGAATCGAAGTCCCGATCGTCGACGCCGGATTCCAGATTGCGAAGGCCGAGCTTTGGCAGTACGTGTTCGTTTCTAGATGACCTGCTCTTCGTCTCGTCTTCTCCCGCTTAATGACTGATTTCCACCTGCAGGCAGCTCAATACCAGCGCCCCCGTCAACCTCCAAGGCGCCGCCACTCCCGACTCACCGCCCAATCGAGATGACGCGCAGTCCCCGGCCGCTGCAGCTGCCGACGCGGCTCACCTCCGACCGCCCCGCAGTCCCAGTCCCGCGAGTCGCTCATTCGTCGCTCGAGGCGCCCGCCCAATCGTACAGCGGGCTGCCGAGCCCCTCGGCGCGCATTTCCCCGCATAGTGGGCTGCCGTCGCCGGCGTCGTCGAGCGGGCTTCCGTCGCCTCATCCGATGGGGTCGCCGCCGTCGCCTAACCCGCTGGGTCCGGATGGGAAGCCGAGGCCGCGCACGGGGACTGGGATGGTGTACAGGAGCTCCCGAGGAGGAGGCGCCTTGAGGACACCATCGCAGATGCACAAGCGGAGTGCGCCGCCGCTGTAGGTGCGCCAACTTTCCAAGGTTGGTCGCCAGTGTGGTGTCGATCGTCGAGGGTGAGCATCGATAGCCTTTTGTCTTGGTATCTTGGGGACCGAGGGAGGAGGGGGGAAGGGAATGCATCATCATCTTGTTGTGGCTTTTATATGCTCTGCTGGCGAGGCTGTTTTGAATGCGCCGGTGCCTGTTTGACCGCCGTGCTTTTCTTGGGGTGCAAACAGCGCTTCCTCGGCCAGGCAGGGTTGATACAGAGCAGAGGGTTGACGTGTTCGCTACCCTACATGATCAGCAGATCTGTCCATCGACGAGCGTAATCACCCATCGGCCAGCGTAGTGTCATACAAGCATCTCATCTCTCGAACTTTACTTCATCCTCTGTGGGCCTTCCGTTTCGTCTGTTCCGCTGGATATCCCCATTCATCTGAAAGCTTGATACTTACGAGATGCCCGCAGAAGTACGGAATGGCCGCAGAAGACGTGATCAGCTCGCCAAGTCGCCGATGCGGTGCAGCTCTTTACGGCAGGCTTTCTGCAGCTTTACGGCAAGCTTTCCGCAATGCTCGGTTGCCCGCGTCCCGGCCGCAACCCTCGGAGCCTTTACGGCTGCGTATCTCCCTCTCTTCCCGCTCACCCAACCTCCCTCACCCGATCCCACCAAACAAACAACATGTTTATACCAATTATTTTCCTCACACTCGTTTATACCTGTTCAAACACCCTGCACATCTGCACACTATCCCTTGCGATCTCCCCGCCCTGTACTTTCTACTACTTTCTCCATCTTTTTTGTCTTTTCCCAGGTGGTGTGTATTTGTTGTGCTCCTTACTTTCCGACCCCTCCCCACGCAGACTACGTTATCTCTTGGTTTGTGGATATACCGGATGACTCGAAGAACATGCTCAGACTCTATTTTATACGCTCTATTCTGTCTCTCACGTATCCCTCCGCCCCACGCTACCTTCCGCTTCGTTCTCCTCATGTCCCAGACGTTGTTCAGTCCGGTTACTGTCTATGCGTCCTGCTGAATAAGTGGAAAGTACCTATCCCTCTGGCAGTCTATTACTGAATAACCTAGCATGTACTTTGTTTATATACCATACTACAGATGCGGCGCACGCATCTGGGTCTAGGAATTAGTTCGTGTCAGAAGTTTCGTCAAACCGCCGGCCGTAGGAGACTCAAGTTTAGCGCAAATGGCGGTGCGACCTCGGGAGAGGTTGAAGTTCAACAACGCCACAAAATTGAGCATGTGAGCGTGGGAAAGGTCGGCGCAGTGCCACGACGCGGTGGTCCTTCCCAAGTTCGGACTCGAATTCGGAACAAAGCCTCTTTCCCCTCCCCCATCAACCCTCGCCATGGCTCAGCGAGTCAAACTGCGCCAGCGCATCCCCGACGAGCCTGAGGACGTTGCGTACGGCCGCTTCCAAGACGATGAGCACGTTCAAGATGTATTCCAGAACCCAGTGCGCAGTCTTGGCAAACGCGCGCGTCCATTGTTCGCTGAGACCCGTTTTTCAGAGGCGACGCAGCCACATCGAGCAGCTTCTGGACACACAACAATCCAGTATCATAGTCATATCCGTCATCACCCTCCTCTCCCTCTTCTTGCGCCTGTACAAGATCAGCAATCCGGACCAAGTTGTGTATGTGCCGCGGTCGCGTCGCGTCTGCACGCGTTGTATTGACGTGTCTCCCTCCCATCCAGCTTCGACGAGGTCCACTTCGGCAAGTTCGCCGCGTACTACCTGCAAAGGTCCTACTACTTCGACGTGCATCCTCCATTTGCGAAACTCCTCTTCGGACTGGCGGGCTGGTTCGTGGGGTTCGACGGCAGCTTTGAGTTCGAGAACATTGGCGATAGCTACATTACGAACAATGTCCCCTACGTCGGTATGCGCATGCTGCCGGCGCTCCTCGGCACGGCGACGGTTCCCCTCGTGTACTTGATCATGAAGGAGTGCGGTCACTCGACGGTGGCGTCTGCGCTTTCGGCTGTCCTTGTTTGCTTCGGTGCGTTGCACGCGTCTTTCCCTCCAGTATCGATGCTCATGCATTACAGACAACGCCCACGTCGCGCAGAGCCGTCTCATCCTTCTTGACGCGACCCTCATTTTCTTCGTCACGGCCACCATGTACTGTTACATCAAGTTCATGAAGCATCGCTATCTGTGTGTGACCTTCTCTCGCCGCGTACTTTCCATACTTAGATTTTTGCAGGGAATTCACGCAGATGTGGTGGTTCTGGTTGATATCTACTGGCGTCATGATGGCCTGCGCATGGGGATCGAAGGTCAATGGCATCCTCTGCGTTGTTAGCGTTGGCATTGCTGTCCTCATCGACCTTTGGGACATTCTCGACGTCCGCAAGGAGGGGCACACCATGGTATGAGGCTTCGAGACCACGTCATATCCTTAACCTGACAGCCTATTCATAGGAATACTTCTGGAGGCACTTTGCGGCGCGTGCGCTAGGCTTCATCCTCGTCCCCTTCATCATCTACCTCTCGTTCTTCTGGGTGCACTTCAAGGTGCTCAAGAACACCGGTCCTGGCGACTCGTTCATGAGCCCTGCATTCCAAGAGACGCTGGTTGGTAACGAGCTTCTACTCAACAGTCAAGGTATGCTGTAACCTGTTATACTGCTGAGTATACAACGCTGACAACCGCCCAGAGATACGCTATTACGACGTTGTCACGATCAAGCACAAGGACACGAAAGTCTTCCTGCATTCTCACGACGCGCATTACCCTCTGCGCTACGATGATGGGCGTATCAGCAGCGCCGGGCAGCAGGTCACCGGCTACGCGCACGCTGACGCCAACAACAACTGGCAGATCATCCCCACCAAGGCGCTGCCCGAGAAGGGCCGCGGCCGCATCGTGCGCAACGACGACCTCATTCAGCTTCGCCACGTCGAGACGGACACGCTCCTCCTCACGCACGACGTCGCCTCGCCCCTCATGCCGACGAACCAGGAATTTACCACGGTGGCGAAGGACGATATCTCGCGTTACAATGACACGCTGTTCTATATGCAGCTGATCGACGGGTACGACGACGAGGTGTGGAAGAGCAAATCGGGCTACTTCAAGCTGGTACATGCGCCGACGAAAGTCTCGCTGTGGACGTATCCGAATCAGCTCCCGGACTGGGCCTTCAAGCAACAGGAGGTGAACGGGAACAAGATGGCGTCGGACCGGTCGGCGACGTGGTATGTGGATGAGATTGTGGCGGATGAGGGTCAGTTACTCCGTCTTCTCCATCAGTGCTCGAGAGTGGCTGCTAACAACACCTCGCAGGTCAAGACGACCTCTACGACCGCCTCGGCGACAAGAAGCAGAAGGCGCCGAAGAAGATGAGCTTCATCCGGAAGTGGGCCGAGCTGCAGGGCTTGATGCTCGCGCACAACGCGGGTCTCACCCAATCGCACCCCTACGCGAGCAGCCCCATCAACTGGCCGTTCCTGATTAGCGGAATCAGCTTTTGGACGGACGCGGAGACGCAGCGCCAAATCTACCTTATTGGCAACCTTGTCGGTTGGTGGATCTGTGTCGTTGGGCTATCGATCTTTGTTGGCATCCTGGGTGCTGACTTGCTGGCTCGCCGGAGAGCCGCGGATCCGATTCCGGATGGTACGTAGATGCACTTTCGGTCTTCGAAAACCTTCGTCTGACGCTTTTTTCCCTCCAGCCGTCCGCAACCGCCTCTGGAACTCGACTGGCTTCTTCCTCCTCTTCTGGGCTGTGCACTACTTCCCCTTCTTCCTCATGTCCCGTCAATTGTTCATCCACCACTACCTGCCATCGCACCTCGCCTCCGCCCTCGTCGCCGGCTCCGTCTTCTCCTTCATCCTCTCCGAGACGATTAACTATCCAATCTCCATTCGTGGCCCGAGCACGCGCGCACGGCCGTCACAGTACGCGGATCTGGGAACGAAGGGTGTCGTGGGCCTGGGTGTGGTGATGATGGCCATGATTGCGATGTTTGTGTTCTTGTCGCCGTTGACGTATGGGACGCCAGGGTCAGTGTTTTCACTAATCAGTCGTACTGAGGGAATGGGTCGCTGATGAAACTCGACAGATTAACGGGCGAGCAAGTGAACGCGCGCCGGTTGCTGAAGAGCTGGACGCTGCACTTTGCGGCGAAGCATATTGACGAGGTGCCCATACCGTTCGAGTAGACTACTGATGTATGCGGTATGAGATTGCTGATGTACGCGCCTCTTGAAAATGTACCATGCCTTGGGATGTACACCGTGATCAGTACGGCGAGGACACTATTTCGCTGTGTGTGAGGCGAGGTACGTTCGAGGTGCATTGAGTTCGAGATAGACCAAGATACAGCATAGGTACTCACTCGGTGAGCTCCGTCCATTGATTGACCAGAGTCACTAATGCTGATGGGTCATGTAGATATTACTTAACCCACTATTCGATGAACACCAAGTCTGACGGCAAGTTCCTGCCTGAAAAGGAATGCTTTGAACGCAAGTGGGTTCTGCGTTTCAGTGTTTGCTCCGTCGGCTCATCTTGCGGATCATCCGGTGCCTATCTTGTGGCTATACGTCCATTGTTCAGATACTGACTGACCCACGATAGACGCCAGGGCTTTACCTACCTCAGCGACCGTTCTGGCGAAGCTACGCAGATGTTCAAAAGCAGTCTTGCCTCAACTTCGCTCTCAATCCCTCCCCCTTCCTAACCTTCACTCACTAGTCCCGCCGCAGACGAGGACATCCCGACGATGGCCGCCCAGGCGCTCGCATCAGACCCACAGGTAATGGGCACCATGCGTTCGCCCGTGAATTGTATCATCTCGCGATCATCCCTCACCATCCTCCCATCTTTGCCAACCCGATAAGCACCCTCAGGGCGGTCTATATGTAGTGAGAACGGATCCGCGGGGACCCTTGAGCGTCCCCTTCCTGCTCCCCCCTCCCCTCTTCCCTTCCCTCTTCGGCTCCAAGGATTCTTCACCACTTCGTCGCTCCTACTTTGCGATTTTCAGGGTCCTGCATCGTTCGACCGCGTTACTCTGATCGACTATGGACATACCGACACTCACGAAGACGAAAACTACTGAGGCGGCAGTGGTAGAGACGCCCGTGGACGAGAAAGTGCCGACGCCTATCTCTGAGAAAGTCCCGAGCGTCACGGATCTGGAGTCTTCGGGGACTGATGAAGAGGAATGGACATACCCGGATGGGGGATGGCGAGCTTGGGGTGCGTTTCGACTGCTATTGAGTGCGATTCAAGTGCTGATCTGGCAATGAACTCATTTGCTTTCTCCCTACTACAGGCGTCGCGTTCGGCTGCTTTCTGCTGGGTGCGACTGGCTTGGGATGGGGATATACGTGGGGGATCTTTCAGAGCTACTATCAGGTACATTTGTTCCCAAGTACGCCTGTCAGTGTGCTGGGTCTTGCGGGAGGGCTGATGAGCTTCGTACGTTCTTCCTTTGTGTAACAGACCGTACTTCGCTAATCCATAGGGCAGTCATGCATCATCGCGACGCTGTTTGCTGGCAGATTGGGCGACAAATAGTAAGTGGGATGCACTTGACGTCCCGGTATATCGTCGCTAATATGCCTCTGTTCAGTGGATACCGCGTACGCATTCTGTCCCCCTTCACAAATGTCCTCACTCAATGAACAACACAGCGCATGATCATTCTCAGCTGCTTACTCACATGGGCCTTCATGTTCGGCTCTGCGTTCTGCACGACCCTCGTGCAGGTCTTCATCGTCCAATGCGCAGCCATCGGTGCCTCCATCGGCATCGGGACGCCCATGTACATGGCTCTGCCTTCGCAATGGTTCCTCAAAAGGCGCGGGCTAGCAACCGGAATGGTCGGTGGGGGAACGGGTATCGGGAGCGCTGTGGCGACGCTCATTTTGAGGCAGCTGTGCGTGTTTCCCCTCGTATTTGACGGTTCAAGCGACGGGAGAACACGAGCTGATGGTCGACTGTTATACAGGATCACGACGGTCGGGCACAAGAAGACGCTCATCATCTACTCTTTCGTTCACGGCTTCTTCTACATCATCGCCTGCTTGCTCATCAGGGAGCGCCGTCCACCAGTTAGCCGCGCAGTCCAGGCGGCACCGATGCAAAGCAAGTTGGCGACGTTCAAAACTTTCTTGACGGACTTCCGGTTCTGGAGCTTTACGCGTGAGTAAGGCATGAGTTCCTTGTCTGGAGAAGGCTGATATTTTCCCAGTCTGCCTGATCGTGCTGAACTTCGGGTATCTGGTATGTATGATCAAGTAAAGCGCTGTTTATCAGTGACTGATGTGTTTGAATAGCTACCGGTATATTACGTACCCCAGTATACTGCCGAGAAAGTGCCGTCTCTTGACCCGAATTCACTCACGACTGCGGTGCCAACGACGTTGCTGAACCTCGCGGGTGGGCTTGGTAGGGTATGTTTAGTCCCTTTACAACCTATATATTGTCCGCGTGATCGCTCATTCAAACCTAGATTTTTGTCGGGTGGGCGGCAGACGTCTTCGGCACCTTCAATGTTTTCTTCGTCAGTGTCTTCCTAGGTGGTGTTCTCCAGCTCGTCTGCTGGCTCTTCGCCGAAAACTTTGCATCCATCATCGTCTTCGCAATCGTCAGTACACTACCCTTGCATCCCTCTATCTTTCTCGACGACTCACTCGTCCTTTAGCTATGGGGCACGTTCGCCGGATGCTTCCTCACCCTCCTGCCCGTTATGTGCGCAGAGATATGGGGCGTCAACAACCTGGCGACGATGACCGGTATCATGATGCTCATGATTGCGCCGGGTCAGCTTAGTGGTGGCGCTGTTGGGGGTGCCATCTTCGACGCGACGGGCGGTAGCTGGACGGCGTTGATTGTATATGCAGGCGTAATGATGACGGTTGGTTCGTTCTTCATCCTGCCTTGTGAGTGCATTCTCTTGCGCCTATATACTCTGATTGTTAACACGATACAAAGTGCGATTCAGCAAGGACAGGCGGATATTTGCCAAGGCATGATTTTGAGATACACGACACTGCACGACCATAGGGCCTGTATAGGACACGCATGAATCAGAAAGGAGACACAAAAGGAGACTATGTACATGCTTCATGCCATAGGATATACGAAGGCCTAAAAGCGATATATGAACACCCAGTACCTGATCAGGCGAGAAATCGTTGAAAAAAGTCGAACATGCTACCATCACGCATGCACGTGATTCCCAAATTTCCCCAGATCGGAATCGGATGCATTTTCTTCGTTCCCCAGACTCCCCCATCACCTTCACGGTTCCCTCATAACCCTCACGGTCACTACGCCGGCACTCGGCCTTGGTCCTGCTTGCGGCACATAGACAGCATAGACGACTCTTAGACCAGAACTACCTGGACACCTTCTCCGACATAGACGACATCCCATAGACCGCCGCTTGCAGCTCCAAGGCCGCCGCCTAAATCAAAAAATCACCAAACAACGACATGCATCAAGCCCTCCTCATCGACGAGATCCTGCGCGACATCTTCGAGGAATGCAGTAGGGGCACGCTCAATGCTGCCGCTCGGACGTGTCGCGCGTGGACGGATCCTGCGCTCGATCAACTATGGCGCGTAACGCGTGGTTTGGATGCCTTTCTTTCGCTTCTCCCTCAAGTTAAGCTCGAGGGGAAACATAGGGTGCGCATATATGTCCGCCTGTATCTTTCGCTGCTCATGCGAATACTTCCATCAGGTGCTCACTCGCCAGCCTACCGAGACGGAGGTCGCACGCGCAGCCACATACGCCCGCCGCATTCGCAAACTCGTGATGCTGCAACCCTTCGTCAAGATTCCTGCGCTGTATAATGTGGCAGACGGTCTCTTCCTGGATATCCGCGAGCTCAGGCTGGCAGCCTTCGCCGACAAAGACGCAGCCAACCTCTTCATCAACCCGGCTCTGAGGATGCTGGAACTGGACACGTCCCGTGGGACGGAGCTTCAAGACCTGTTAGCGCTCCTTCCTGCGCGCTGCCCCGCCCTGGACAACCTTCGCATCAGAGGACCGATCACGGAGGACTGCGATGGCGCACTTCGTTCCCTGTCCGGTCTACGCACACTTTCGCTCAAGGTCGGTGCCTCTCTGCGTCCTGCGATCGTAGCATCGCTCTCGCGGCTGCCCCGCTTAGAGTCGCTCGAGCTGCTTGCGGAGCATCTGGATGCGGACGCACTACCCGTACCTGCGTCCACACTCTTCCCCGCATTGCACGACCTGCATCTTCGAGCGCACGCTCAGGTAGCGATCGCCTTCCTTAATCTCGTACCCAGAGACGCCCTGCGCTCCCTGCGTGTCGACCTCGAAGACACCTCCCTCTCCGCGCAGACCGCGCGCACCGTCTTCGCTTCAGTCGCTTCCGCGGCCTCGAACAGTCTTACGAACTTCACCCTCGAATGGCACCGTGATGGAGAGGGCGAACTCACCGCGGATGCACTCGCGCCGCTAGCCCGCCTGCAGCGCCTCCGCCGTCTGGTACTCGACACCCGCGCGCTGCCAGACCTGACGGACGCGGAACTTGACAAGCTCGCGCAATGCTGGCCATACCTGGAAGTGCTCGAGCTCGGGTCCGCACCCCTTCCAGAGCGCGATGGGCGCGCAGACTGGGCGTGCCGCGGCACACTGGGCTCGCTGAACATACTCGCGAACGCCTGCCCGAGGTTGCGCGCATTGATGATGCCGGTGGATCTCGGCAAGGGAGTGGAAGGGAAGGAAGAGGAGGCCGTGTCTCATGCTTCGCTCGAGTGTCTGAGCCTCTGGTCGCCGTCGGTGTTCGAGCCCAAGGAGGTGGCAGAGAAGTTGGAGGCCATGTTCCCCGCGCTCAAAATCGTAGACGGGTCACCGGAGCATGAGAACCTGTGGATTGAGGTTCATAAAACGATGGGCTTGCCCTGCGCTCAGACCATCATGGATGTTTGTATGTGAGCTCGCCTAGACGGCCAGGTACACTGGATCACACTTAGACTAGACTATGTTCGCGTGTAATGGTAGCTATGTATGTAGCTATAATTTATGGACGGATATTTATTCCTTTCTCGAAGCGTTAAAAAGACGAGCTCGACCGTGAGCTGCAGTGGTCTCGCAAAACAGCCTCCATATAGGCTGCAGAGTGGTCTGCAGGCTGCCAGACCGAGCTCACCTTTGAATGTGAGAGAGATCGGACCTCCAGGTGTTCAGGCGTTCATCAAGCTTGCCGTCGGTTCTTCACGCAAGAACATTGGCAGTACACGTCGCATATCGCATATCATGCTACATATCGATCACAATCCTAAGCTACACTAGACGGCAGGGGGCTTGGTGCCGGGCTGGAAGGTGTACGTGAGGCCGCACTTGCCGCAGTACTGGCGGTCCTGGTGGAAGGCCATGAAGATACCGGCGCCGCACTCGGCAGAGGGGCACTCGCGGCGGAGACGCTTGATCTTGCCGTCCGAGTCAACCTTGTAGTACTTGAGGATCGACATCTTGACCTTCTTGCGCTTGTGCTTGATCTTCTTGGGGGTCTGGGGGTGGGTTAGTAAGGGTGTTTGGCGATGGGGGAAGGGTGGGGGGAAGTGGAGGGTGAAGAATGGGGGAAGACGGATGGGCGTCGATGGGTGTCATACGCACGTTGTAGGTCTTCTTTTTGCGCTTCTTGGCACCGCCGCGAAGACGCAGGACGAGGTGGAGGGTGCTCTCCTTCTGGATGTTGTAGTCCGAAAGGGTGCGGCCATCCTCGAGCTGCTTGCCGGCGAAGATCAGGCGCTGCTGGTCGGGCGGGATGCTGCATCGGTCGTAAGCATTGCTCCCCTTTGCTTCGACACCACAACTCACCCCTCCTTGTCCTGGATCTTGGCCTTGACATTGTCGATCGTGTCCGAGGACTCGACCTCGAGGGTGATGGTCTTACCCGTGAGGCTGCGTCGCCGTCAACAAGCTGTCCTCGCCGTCAAGAGGAGGTGGAGCTCACGTTTTAACAAAGATCTGCATGGTGCAGACGCCTCTGTCTGTTCAACGAGCCGAACGATGAAGTCCTCGACTAAGGCGTTATGATCACAAAGCAAATCTGCCCGCGAATTTTGTGTGGTGATCACGTGTGTTGCTTCAGTTAGAGTTCAGCGCCACATAGCTAATTTGAGCTCCGATGAGTGGTTTGTGGCGTTAGGCGCGTCGCGTCAAGACGCGTCTTGGATTGCCGATTGACGCGTCGCGCCGACGAACTGCTGAAGACCATACCCTGCAGCTACTGAAATGGACGTTGACCAGATACCCACCGCGGCGAAGGGGAAGGGAAAGGCTGCGGACCACCCATATGACGATGATAGCTTGCCTTGGTACGAAGCTCTGCTAAGCGCGCCTCGACACAGGCTAACGCAACATCAGGGTAGAGAAATACAGACCAGTCACATTGGACGATGTTGTCTCGCATAAGGATATCACTACAACGAGTGCGTATGCGTCCTATGTGGTGAGCGGAAGCTGATACAACGTGTAGTCGACAAGTTCATCGAGAAGAACCGGCTGCCGCATCTCCTGTTCTATGGACCCCCTGGTACGGGAAAGACATCTACAATACTAGCGGTGGCGCGCAGGATCTATGGACCGGAGTATCGCAAGCAGATTTTGGAGGTGCGTCTTGGCTCATCTCAAGAGTCAACTTGGTCTCACTTCTCCTCCAGCTGAACGCCTCGGATGACCGTGGTATCGACGTCGTTCGCGAGCAGATCAAGCAATTCGCGGAGACCCGCACACTCTTCTCCAAGGGCTTCAAGGTGGGCGTGCCCAGCTTTAACCCAAGCGCACATCGACTTACTCCCCCCCTTCGTCTAGCTCGTCATCCTCGACGAAGCCGACATGATGACCCAGGCCGCGCAAGCCGCTCTCCGTCGCGTCATCGAGCAGTATACGCGCAACGTTCGCTTCTGCATCATCTGCAACTACGTCGGGAAGATCGCGCCTGCGATTCAGAGTCGGTGTACGAGGTTTCGCTTCTCGCCCCTGCCTATCAAGGAGGTGGAGAGACGGGTGGACTTGGTGATCGAGGCGGAGGGGTGAGTCGTGTTCTTTTGCGGTCGTATCATTTATGCCGCATCCGCACCTCGCGTTCCTTGTGTGACACAGAACCTGAGTTGCTGACCTCTGTCCCTCTCCAGCGTCACTATCACCCCCGACGGCAAGGCTGCCCTCCTCCGCCTAGCGCGCGGCGACATGAGACGCGTGCTCAATGTCCTGCAAGCCTGCTATGCCGCGTATGAGAAGATAACCGAGAACGAGGTTTATGCCTGCACGGGCGCACCGCATCCGGCAGATATCGAGACTATCGTCAACTCGATGTTGGGCGATGAATTCACGACGGCGTACGAGAGTGAGTAGATGTTACAGACGCTTTTCTAGGGTGGTATGTGCTTGGTGCCACAAACTCGTCGCTCAACTTGCCCCCGCGTTCTTATGCTCGGGGCTACGCTTCCATTGCTGACGAACATACCTCCACAGTGATCAGCAAGATGAAGACTGAACGCGGTCTCGCGCTCCAGGATCTAACTGCCGGCGCGTTCGACTACATCGACACCATCGAGCTCAAACCACATGCCAGGATATACCTGCTCGACCACCTTGCGACGACAGAGTGCGTCCTTATTCCTCGCTCTCTGCCCGCGGCGCATGCGTCTTCGTTCCACGGCTTGTGGCGGCGGCGCACGGACGCTCATTTCCTACGTACCTTGGCTAACGATACCTTAGGCACCGACTATCTACAGGCGGGAGTGAGAAGATACAGATGACTGCGCTGCTCGGGGCGTTCAAGAACGCGGTAGAGATCTCAACACGGTAGTCTTCTCGCCCGTTACATGAGCACTTGTGCCTTTGCGTTAAACCCATGACAGCGGTCGATTGTTCCTTTCGTTTGTTGTAGGCATCTCTGCGGCTGCCGCAGTTCTTGCCAGTTGTTATTGAGGAGGACTAACGTGGAATACTTCCCTGTCGGGCGTCTGGAATGGTCATCTCGACTATCTGGTAAGATCATCTTGAAGACGCCAGTGTCGTCGGCTGCAAGATGCATGCGACGCCAAGGTATCTGCTAATTGAGGCTGTCACCTGTCCCGGCGTCCTGAGCTTGCAGTACGTTCGGGTGTCTTGCTTCTGAGTGTCGTTATATAGCTGCAGGACTAGTGAGCATGTCCACCTTGTCCCTCTTCCCCCCTCGATCATAGCGTAGCCAACATGGCGCAGCACACGCAAGCTGTCCTTAATCTATCCGCTGCAGTCGAAGCTGGCGCGGCCCGCGTCCTAGGGCACTGTCAGACCTTCCAGCAGCTATTCCAACCTCGCAGGATGTCGGAGATCGGCTTGACGGACCAGTTCATGATAGGCGCAAAGGCCCAGGCGGGGACTGCGCTTGTCATGGTGCGTAGACTCCCGCACTGCATACAGGACACGACCTGATGCTTCGACAGGACTGGATGAACGCGGAGAACACCTCGGGAGCCGACATGGTCTTCACCTCTGGTGGTGTGACATATGTCTTCCAAGGTACTTAAGGTCTCATTCATTGATACCTGTAGCTGATCACTCAATGTTGCGCAGCCAAGGTCGCTGAGCGCGTCGGTACCCAGCTATCGGCCGACTTCCTTTACGAGTCTGTGACGCCTTCCCCTTGTGCAAATCGAGCTTGCTGAATCGCCACAGGAGCACCATCAAAGTGAACGGCCAGACTGTCACCAATTTCCAAGCCGTGCTCCTCGCAGACTACGCGGCGTCGATAAATGGACGAGCGTAGTGAGTCGAGCACCATGTTGGGCGATAGTAAATGCCGCTGGCAACAACTGACGTGCCTTGCCTTGCAGCTACGTAGTTTACGATTATACGGGCGTTTACTGGGTCAACGCAACTGCTTTGAAGAACTATCTAATGAACAATGCAGGACCGACGAATCAAGGGGCCTGGCACCTTGCACGTAACAACCTCCTTGCAGTCTACTGAGGAACGATGAACTTGGACACTGCGGTTGTGTTTCAAAATCGATGGATGTTAGGTAGACAACACTTTTTTGGCTTGTGATCACAGAGCGATGCGCAGGATCCCTGGCTGTGATCTTGATTTTTCTGAGATGGAGTTGGCAGGTATCTACACATTATAAGTACGCCATCAAAAACTGCAACGTCTGCATGGCTCAGTTGGTTAGAGCGCCGGTCTCATACTTTCAGTATGCGGGTCAACAGATCCCAATCCGGAGATCGCCAGTTCGATCCTGGCTGCGGACATCACTTGTCGACTGCGTCATTTTTTTCTTGCATTTCGGCTCGGTCCTTCTAGGCAGATACATTCGAATCAACAACGTTAGGAGATCCAGAGGGTCACTTTCAGGCTTCAGAAAGTCTGAAGCCCGATTGACGGCTAGTCTCAGAAAGCTTCACGGGCTCCTACTCTCAGTTCAATGCCACACGACTTCGGTATCCCAAACTTCACATCGATCCAGATACATATACTCATTGTCAACTACAAGCACTACCGATGTATCCTTTTACGAGAAAAATTACGAGAGAAGGTCAACCAGCGCGGTATACGCGGGCTTAGGGCTGTAGTTTCCATCGAAGAGAAGAGGGCTGGTCTCGGATCGCCATGAGTTCTGCGCATCACTGTCAGCAACAGCCTGTGGGCCCTGAGCAAGCCTTACCGGGTCTGCCACACCCCACGTCGTGATGGACACGCACAGCGGCTCGTCAAGGCAAGCCTGAGCAACCGCGACGTAGTCCGCCGCCGGCGCGCTCGCAATGTCCAGCTCCGTCACCGCGACCTCAGCACCGGTCGCCGCGAGCGCCTTGATGGCGGCAGCAACGCCTGAGGAGCCGCCCGCAGACAGGTGCGTCTGCGTGCCGATGCCGTCGATGAGCTTCTCGCCGGAGTTGACGCTGTTGACGAGGGAGACAAGGCCCTGGACCTTGGCGTTGACGGAGTCGAGGTTGTAATCGTTGATGTAAAGCTTCGCGTTGGGGTCGGCTTCGCGCGCGGCTTGGAAGGCGATGGTCACGAAATCCTGGCCGAGGACGTTGGAGAAGACGCTGGAACGGAGGGTCCCGTCCTCGTTGAAGATTTCACTGGAGAGGGCATGAGTGGAAGTAGGCAATAGAGAGATACGAGCGCGTACTTGACGACGTCCCACTACAATCGCATGGGCGTGTGGTCAGACGAGGCTAGATGTAGTTAAGTAGCACAACTCACAGCTACGAAGGGGCTCTGTCAGTAGTTGTGATGGAAGAGAAGTAAGACATATGTACCGTACAACTTGCCAGCATAGCGACCCGCAAGGTTAGAGATGTGGTTTTGGATGACGCTAGTCTATCGAAGACTTCATCAGAGCACATTGTGGCCGCACAAGAGATGCCTTACCAAGCTCGCCGCGTCGCCAATCGATTGCACCCAGCCGGGAAGCTGCGAGTGCCAGACTACATACCTGATCAGTATGCGAAGACGCCAAGTCGCGCGAGCGCGCCGCGAGAGTCACATACCCAGCGTATGACCGCGAACCTGCTTGTTGTTGGCGGTCGCCCAGTCGACGACGGCGTCCGAGCCGGTGTAGCTGAAGCCATTCTGCGTCGCTGAAATCCCGGAGCGCAGGTCAGTCCGCTGTCACGCGCGAGTTCCAATCGCCTTCCGACTCACGCTCAGTCGCGTCCCACTACGAGGTGAGGTGGGGTGTTAGCGACGGCGATGAGTAGCATAGTGAAGACCGCGTACCTTCATCGAGTTCTCCGGCGTCACAGCGCCGAACTCGCTGGCGAGGATGGCCTCATTCTGGCTGATGCCGAGCGTGTTTGAGTCCGCGATATTCCCCCAGAAGAGTTTGCCCTGCGCAACGAAGAGGTCGTTCAGGCCAGCGAGCTGACGAGGCTGGGGCGCGGCGCTGACAGCCACGGCCATCGAGACGAGCGCGAGGAGGGCCTGCATGATGTTCGAGTAATAACTGAGGGAGTCGGTAGGTGACGACGACGAAGAGACCGAGATGCTGAAAGCCTGGCTGCACGAGAGGTTATATACCATGTCGCGCGTCCTGCAGCGTCTCAGTCACAAGATGTCGAGGAAGCTACGAGGGTCGTCAAGGCATATGCTGTTGGAGCGGGCGGGGAAACCTCTGGGACGACTTCACGCACGAGTACGGACGATCCGTGAGAGGTTTAATTGTCCGAAGGAGGATGGCTCTCGACGATTATTCCGAGGGCGCCAGAGGGCTTCACCGAGGCTGGAGAGCTTCGCCGCGTCTGGGGTAGCGCATCAAAGTCAGTGAAGTAGAGCTCTGCGTCCGTCTGGGGAACAATCATCCTCGACGGGATTCCGCCTTTCCGTGTTCCCCAGAGGTAAATTGTGTCGGTAGTGGCGGTGTGGCTGAAGTGACAGCGTCGATCCGAAGTTGACGATGATCGGAGGCGTTACCATCGTCCGTCGACGCATACCAAGCGTTTGGAATGACCTATACTAGGCCTGAGTGCTCTGTCCGACGAACAAAAGGACGTCCACCATAAGGCGCACTGCTGTGATAGTAAATTTGGCTAGAGAAATGCTGTGATTGTTGGGCTCGGCCGCCTCGCGTGGTCAAGAACTTCGGGACCGAGAGTTGTTCCCCCGACAATCCATCCTTGTGATGGTCAAGCACATCAGCGTCCAAGGCATCTAATGACGTTGTTCATTGAGTGAGGGAAGACATCTGTTCACGTCAAGTCAGTACGCGCAGCACGCCAATTAATACGAGACGAACCTCTTTGGCCACGGCAGTAGCGACACCGGTCATGGAAATGCGCTCACATACAAAGAAAGGACTTCCGAGTACGGTGAAATTGAGGCCCCGTTCAGCGAAGTCGTCTCAGCGAAGCTCGCGCCCAGTAGAATCCTCCGATGAAAAAGCAATGCATTCGAAAGCAAGTGAGACGAGCATTGGGTTATGTACATGAGGAAGGCCGCTCGCTGACGACTCGTGAGCGCGTGTGTAGACACGCGCCTCGTCTCCTCCCTCCTCTATGTTTCCTCCAGCTTCTCCCTTTGATGTTGTGCTGCCTGGCGACGGCCAAACTGGCCCCCTTATTATGTGTCCAGCGCAAGGGTGACCAAGCGACAGACGCGAGGGTGAGGACAGGGGACGGCGATTAAGTAGTGAAGCGGTCAGCGGACGCGTCGGCCTTAATGACCGCTGCCGCCCGTAAAGCGCTTGAAGGTGAAGCTATGGGTAGGTCGTATGTCAGCATACGCGCGCCACGAACAAGGATATGAATCTTACCCCAAGAAGGCCAAATCCTTCTCCGCGCCGACACCAGCATCCTTCGGGAGCGCGTCGGGTACGTTGCCTAGAATTACGGTCAATCCCAATCCTTCCTGCGCTTACATCGACTTCGAAACTCACCCAAATCGTCCGTCGGGAAGTAGCTCGTGTCCGTCATGCTCTGCAACCGCGGCACAAACGGCGGCTCGATGTGTCGCAACGACGACCAGTCCGCGCCCTAAGCAAGCACGAGTCAGCCACCAACGATCCCATGACACGCCGCTCCTCGAGGTCATGCAGCGCGCACAGCACGCAGGGCCGCCACGACATGGCAAGCCACACCCTAACTCACGTAGAAAAATGGGTGCGTCTTGATCTGTGTCACTGTCAACCGGTGCTCGGCCCAGGTCATCATCCCTCTTATGAGGTCTTCTGCCTCGCGCGAGACGTAAACCTGGATGGACAATCAGCGTTGGGTTGGAGTGAAAGGCATGGTGAACATACTTCGTCAGGGAAGTGGAGGTACTTTGGCCAGTCGATGATCTTCTTGTACGTGTCTCCTGGGTTCTCCGAGCAGAACGGGGCATAACTGAAGCAAATGTCAGAAGCGTGTATGAAGGAAATGCGATGCCACTTACCCGACGAGACATTCGAAGAAGATAGCGCCAAGAGACCACCAGTCGCACTCTTTGCCGTAGCCCTTGAGAAGGAAGACTTCTGGTGCAATCTATCCCCAGTTGAGTGAGGTGACGACAAGGAGGCTTGCAGCACTCACATAGTCTGGCGTGCCGACGGTCGAGTATGCAAGCTTGCGACGGTTGGCCTTCCAAGTCGCGATCTGCTCGCGGCTCATAGTGAGATTGATCGCGTTGACCTGACAACTCCACGTCAGACCAAGCCCAGCACACGATGGCCACGATAACGCACCTGCACAGAGTTGCGCGCGGGGTCACGCTGCTTCTCCTGCTCGAGATAGCGCTTGTAGATCTCTCCATCAGTCGCCTTGTGCAGGCCGGTACTCAAGCCAAAGTCGGACAGCTTCAGATGGCCGTACTTGTCGATGAGGACGTTATCGGGCTTGATGTCGCGGTGGATGTAGCCGAGGTTGTGGACGGCCTCGATGGCGAGGATGCACTCGGCCATGTAGAAGCGCGTGACGTCCTCCGAGAAGACGTCGTACTTCATGAGCATGGACATGAGGTCCCCTCCGGGGAGGAACTCCATGACGAGGTAGAGGAAGGCCGAGTCTTGGAAGGAGTAGAACAGCTGAACCACCCACGGCGACGTGCTCTCCGCGAGGACATCGCGCTCCGCACGGACATGTGCAAGCTACGGCGGCACCTGTCAGCCCTCTTCCCCACCCCCCACCGCCCGCCCCACGCACCTGGTCGCGCTTCAGCATCTCCGCCTTCTGCAGCGTCTTCATCGCGTACACCTTCCCCGTGTCCACCTTCTGCACCAGGCGCACCTCGCCGAACGCGCCCTTCCCAATCACCTTCACCGTCCGGAAGTCGTTCAGGCCGATTTTCGTGCGGCGCAGGCGCAGGTGCTGGCTCTCCGTCTTCGCGTGCTTGCGGATCTCGCGCTCGCGCGCCTCCTGGCTCACCGCCTGCGACAGGCGCGTCTCGAGCTCGATGCGGCGTGCATTGCGCTCGATCGCGGCGTCGACCGCGACCTTGTAGTAGGACTCGAGCTTGAGCTTCGCGGCCGTCGCGCGCGCGACCGCATCGGAGGAGAAGGTGGATGTCGAGCGGTCGAAGTACACGTAGTCGCTGTCGGTGGTCATGGTCGCAGACAACCACAGGCCGCCGACATCCCCACGCGGTAACCTGTAATTCTTACTTGGTAACGTGTGGCGTGTGAATTCGAAACTTCAACCGTTCCCGTGACCGTTATGCGGTCCGCTCCTTCCAGACAAAGGGAGATCGCTACTCGGCATTGCAAAATCATCAAAGAAGAGAGGAAGCACGCATTTGATCCAGAAAAACGGCCCAATTCTGCATTCATCTAAACTACCCTCGTCCTGAAGGCTTCCTGAACGTTTTTGGAAGCGAGCCTGCGAGCCCTTCAACCTCGTACTTTCCAGTAAGTAATACACACGAAGCACAACTACCTCGCGAGAGTTCCAAGTGCTCAGCTGGTCCATTAGAAGACCTGATATGCCCCCCACGAAAAGGCCCGAATCCTTAGCTGGCTCCATCGTGCAGGGCACAACACACCGCCGCTGTGAATTATGCCGTCAGCTTTTACCTCCTAAGAGCGGCATCGGCCTAGAAGCGAACATCGACTTCCTGCAGGAAGATGCCAACTCTCCGAGGGTGCGATAGCCACGCCCTGCGGGAGCGACGTCCGCTCCCCGGAAGAGCGATGTGCACTCCCTGAGAGCGAGACGCGCACTCCCTAACGGAGCGACACTACCTCCGCGAAGAAGCGTAAAGAAGCGACGTCAACTCACCTTTGTGGTGCCCATTATATTGCCGCACAGTTTTTCCCGACGCCATCTCCCACAGGCGCGCCGTGTGATCGGAAGAGGCTGAAGGGAGGAGGTCAGCAGTCCGTAAGAATCGAGTGATTATCCCGTGAGTAATGAGTGAGTGTCCCGTAAGAATCGAGTGAGTATCCCGTAAATCAGGCTGCACGCTTTCTGCGTGCACCCTCGAGGCTTCAGCCGCATCCTATCGAAGCCGCCGACCCGCACACCCGCCTTACGCTCCCTCCGTCTCTTCGCCTTATGCTCCCCTCCCTCCCTTGACCTGGCGCTCCCTCCCTCCCTTGACCTTGCGCTCCCTCCCTTCCCCTACCCCCTCTCCCTCCCCTTCACCCACACCCTCCCAATCCATCCCTGCAACTTCTCCCAGAAGAAACCACACTCACCCGTCACCAAATACGCCGAATCCGCGCTGAACGCGCAGTCCCACACCCATCTCTGGTGCCCCACGAGCACCTTCTCCTGCCGGAACTCGTAGCTCGGGGATATCGACCAGATCTTCACCGTCGTGTCCGCGGAGCAGGTCGCGAGGTATCTGGGTGGGATAAACAGGTGAGTGAGTTTCTTGCGTGAATTCTGAGAGTTCTGTGACAGAATTGCAGGATGTTCGAGAGGGCAAAACACGACTTCAAGGAAGGTAGAAAGGTAGAAACGGAAATACCATGCTTATAAATATGCTACTCGTGACCCTTGAGAGCAAAAGAGGAAAATACGCACTTCGCATCCGGACTGAGCAAACAACGCGTGAGGTACTTATTATGTGCCACAAACTTGGTCACGGCCTGGAAGCGCGGCATCCGCGGGTCATCGTTAACTCGCCAGACGTAGCAGCGGCCCTGATAGATGGGGAGGTGAGTATATGAATGTCGAAGAGGAAAGCCTTGAAACCGACCTTGTTATTCCCCGCGACCAGAAGCGACCCGTCTGCTGCAAGCGTTACTGAGCGGATTGGAATATCGCCAGCAGGTGTCTGGCATCATAAAATCCCTGTGAGCCCTAGGCCTCACTCAGCCGCGAGGCGCAGCAGACGTACTAATTCGTGTGAGCAGACATTCTCGGATAGATCCCACTGCTTGATGCTTCCCGCCTGATCACACGAGATGAGTTCGCCCTGATTGGGGTGAACGCAGACATCGTTGACTAGGGCCCTTCAGCACCATTAGCAGTAAGGCCGATATGACACCAGCATACCAGGCGCGCCGTTCACGTAACCTCGGTGGACTTGGGAAGTTCTGCAAACGGACGCTATGAGAATCGGAACAGCCAGGGTTCGTCGCGTATGTTTTTCATTACCTCAGATCCCAGATCTTGATAGTCCCATCTTCGCTCCCGGTCACCAGCCACTTGCCCTCGCTATGGAAGCACACCGACGTGACGTTCCCTGTGTGCCCTTCGAAAGTGACACGCTAAAGTAGCAAGGTCAGGGTGCGTCTCCAATGTCGCGCCCTAGCCCGAGACGTACGGGTTCATTTGACGTATTGTTTATCTCGTAGATGTTGACCTTCTTGTGGATAGCTGCTGCAAGGAAGCGCTTGCTGCAGACGATCAGGTGCGTCAGTGCCTCACGTCCAGCCCTCGCGCGATGGATTACCTACTCCGGAGAAATAGCCAGCCGGTTTACTTGCTAATGCAGGCAAGATGCACCCGTGAGCCCTGGGGAAACTCACCCACGTCAAAATGGACTCACACCAGTCTCGCCCGCCCTGGAAATTGTCCGCGAGCATATGCCGCTCCATGCTTCCCAGAACCGGATATCATGGTCATACGAGCCGGTGACGAGCACGACAGACATGGTGCGCAGAAAATGGGGGTCGAGGGACAATTACCCGAGCAGGGCGCGTCCGACAGGGCGCAGAGCTGATGGAGGTCCAAGTTGAGCGCTGTTTAGGGCACGCCACAATATCGGGAGGGTGACCACGTGCGGATTTGAACATCGGCACGCCCCGATTGGAATTTGGCAACTTCGAAGTTCACACTTCACCCTCGCGGTAGAAGGTTCTCTGCCAGGCGAACGCATGTCCTCCGCACCTCAGGCGTTCAACAAACTGACGGCAGCTCTGATGAATGACCCGAGGGCCAAGGATTCACTCTCGCTCGCTCATCGCGCACGAACACCCACGACGCTCGCTTCGCTCGGCTAGTATCATTCAGTAACAAGACCTCATCAGAGGCCCTCCCCCACCGCAAACCCCTCGTTAGTGTTGTTGATTAACTCTTTGCCTATTGCCGCCGATGTTTGCCTGATTCCACCGGACTCGATTGACGTCCTCGCCCGCGCCATTCTCCCACCCTCATTGTGCACCCACCCCTTCTCGTGCTTCTCATGATCGCGCCAAACGCCTGCGTCATCCCTGCCCCTTCCTCCCCCCGACACCCACCTTCTCTTATCCCTGCACGCTCTGCAACCGCCTCGACTTGCGTAAGGCGCGCGGCGGCTTGACGCTCTGATAGTGCCTTTCTGCCACCCTCCTTTCGCTCGGAAGGCGCCGTGGCCCCCCCTCGCCGATTACCAGCCGACGAGATCGAACTCCTTACCCTGGTTCACGCCTTCTTCCACCATGCTGCACATCGTATAAAAAGACGCGCGCCTCCCGATCACCGCTGAGCATCGTTCCTCTTCGCTCCGCCCCCTTTTTTGTCTGCGTATTTTGGCTATGAATCCCTTTCGGGTGCGTGGGGAAGCCGGGCTTGTGTGCGTGCGAACGATGTTCACCAACGTCGCCTACCTCGCAGGTCGGTGACAGAGTCTGGTACTGGGACGGCGCGTCCCGCACGGTCTACGGAACCGTGACTGCCATCGAGCGCCTTGCCGATGTACGTGCGTACTTCCTACTGACCGCATCCGATCGTGATCAATTCGCACGCAGGGCACGCAGGTCCTCGTCATCACAAGAGATCACGGTGGCCAGATGAGCCTCCCGTAAGTGCCTATCGTCCCCATCGCCTCGCACGCACTTACTTGGGTTATTCAGGGCCGACACGGTCACAAAAATCACCTGAGCTGTCGCGTTCTTTCAAAATAACACGACAGCTACATAGGTCTATCCGCTCGTTCTTCTCATACATCGCAACTGTCCATCCGCGCTCGCACGCATACCTACCCACAGCGACTAGGCACGGACATTTCATCCTGGACTTGCACCGCGCCCTCCCCTACATACCTCGCACCTACATACGCGCCCATCGCCTGCCCCACAGTAGTGACATACGCAAACATACTGTATTGTCATGTCATCGTACTTAGCAGCGATTGCACATGTGCATAGGTACACCATCCCAGCGTCCGGCTATGAATCCAGCCATGTAAGGTGAGGTATGCAACAAAATAGGTGAGGGGAAGGAGTCAAGGTGGGGAAAGATGATGTGAATCGTGTCGAGTTGTGTTGTGTGTACGCAGCAGCACAGTGCAACTGCCAACAAAGTATGTCAATGTATGTATAGCTGGGGGAATATGGTGTATGCTGTGGGGGATAACAGGTATTGTACATTGCGGGGACGTCCAAGAGGTGGTGAAGTAAAGGCAGACTAGACAGACAGGGAGACAGACAGCCGAGCCGATAACTAAACAAAGGAAAGGGGGAGGAATAGTAAACTACGAATAGATAAGTGGGGAGGGGAAAGCCAGCGGCTATTATTGGATATTGCACTGGCCAGACGATTTCGATTCCCCGCGTCGTTTATGTCGGGGTCGCTCGCCTGAGGGAAGGGAGCCGGGGATCGCGTCGGCGCCGTCCGACTCGACGCCCGAAGGCGTGGATTGGTGACTCCCGAAGGTGCCGACCGCGTTCTCGGGTACGGGATGGATGGACCGCCCATTGCTGGACACCGTGTCGCCCGTGCTTCGCATGCTGTACGTCGCCTGCGTGCTCGTGCTCTTCAAGGACAAAGGCCGCTCGCGCTCATGCGCGTCCTTGTCCTTGTCCTTGTGCAGATTCGAATGACTCTTCGTGCGCACATTCGACGATGAGGACTGGCCGGACTCGGGCTGCGACAGGGCCGACTTGCCCTTATCCTTGTGCTTGAACGCATGCACGAACTTGAACGCCGTCGGAGGGTGCAGAAGATCTTTATCGGGTGGCGGCGAGGCGGGCGTGTGCGCGTTCGGCGTGTCCAAGCTGCTGCGTGGCGACCGCGCGACGAACGCGACGTCCGACATCGGACTGCCCGGGTGCTCGCCGATGATGTCGACGGGGTTCTGGTACACGCTGCTCGGGTTGCCCTTCTCCGCATACTGAGCATACATTAGAAGCTGCGCGCGCAGGTCACAGGTAGGCGGCGCGTCCTTGGCGCATTTCGCGTGTGCGATGAGGCTGCATTCGGAGCAGAGCACGGCGCTCTTCTTGACATTGAGCAAGCACACGCGGCAGACCATGGCTATACATTTATGAGCAATTGCAGAAGAGGAATCTGATGAAGACTTACGTTTACTGAATGTGGTTTTAACGAAGGAGTGTTCGCGAGGAGACTTGCTTTCGGTCGGCCGCACGGACTGGCTGGACATCCGACGGCGAGGCGGCGAGCCGCTAACGGGCTCCTCCGTCTTGATGGACTTGTCCGATGACCTGTCCGGCATCTCGACTTGGGAGAGCAGCCGCACTGCCTCCGACTTCTGAAGGTCTGTGCTGACGCGGCGAAGGAAGGGAATACTGTCCTGCGGACGCAATTCCTGCAGACGCGACATGAGTGACGCAAACAGGATGGTGAAGGGAGTATAAGCACCTTATGAGCGCCCCAGTTCTGTTTCAGCCAAGGGTGCTCGAAAAGGATGTCTGCACTAGGACGCAAGGTAGGCTCCTTATTGAAGCACTGTTTCAGGAAGTCTTCTAGGAGGTTAGAGCAGCTCTCCGGCAGCGGCGGCATCTTGTCTTCGACGATACGGAACATCACTATAATGCATGTTAGGATCCATGTCAGAAGCTACGATAGTCCAGACGCACCAGACATGCTATTCCCGACGTCCGAGTAAGGTGGTTTGCCCGTGAGAAGCTCGATGACCGTGCACGCCAAGGACCAGATGTCCGACTTGGTAGACGCGCCCTTCAGCTCGATGACCTCAGGCGCCATCCAGTTCGGAGTACCGGCGACATCCTTGATCTCGCGCTCCATTGCTCGCAGGTTGAGAGAAACACCGAAGTCCGACAGCTTGACATTGCCAGTCTTGGTCGTCAGGATGTTGGCAGCCTTCAGATCGCAGTGGACGACGTCGTTCTGGTGGAGGTAGTGCAGGCCTTCGAGGATCTTGACGACGTAGTTGGCGACAAGGCGCTCGTTCAGCTTGCCAAAGGCCTTCAGCGTGTGGACGAGGGAGCCATTCTCGGCATACCTGATAGAAGGTCAGTACAGAACCAGAGTGCGGATCATATAGACGCACTCAAGAACGATGCTCAGCGAATCATCGTCCCTCGCCATCCCCTCGTACTTCACGATACTAGGATGCGACAAGCTCTTCACCAGGTCCACCTCCCTCATCAGCGTCGAGATCTCATCCTCCTTCAGACCCTCCAGCCGAATCCGCTTCACCGCGACCATCTGCCCCGTATTCAAGTTCAGCGCGCGATACACCGACCCGAACTGTCCGCGCCCAATGCAGTTGCCCAATTGCTATCAAAGTAACATTAGCCCACATTAACACAGCCAGATGCCTGCCACACGCACGAAATGGGTCGGCAGCTTCCCGTCGTCCTTGATGACCAACGTCTTCCTGACCGCGCTCCCGGCCGAGTACACAGACTCCCGCGTCATCAGATCGCTCGCGCTCGCGTCCTTCGACACGCCGAGGTTGACCATGCTCTCGAACCGCGACCGCGAGGGCTTGGCTCCCAGCTCGTCGTACGAACTCGGTCGCGGGCGCTGGCGCACCGCGGTGCTCTCGATGTCGCTTTGGAATCGCCCGCGAAGAGGGCGAGGGCGATCGGGCACCGACGAGGGACCAGCATCGCTCTCGCCCAGCGGGAGAACCTTGTGCTCGCCGGACGGTGTGCGAGGGAAGGGTACGGGCCCGTCAGCGCCAGGACTGCGCGGTTCGTCTAGCCGCGGTACGAGGCCAACAGGACGTTGACCCTGCTTCGAGCTATTCCGCCGGAGCATAAGCTTGCTCGACATTGGGTCGGGACTAATGTCCCGCCGAAGCACGGCCTCCTTCGGCAGTAGCGCAGTGGGCCCGGCTGTGTCGATCGAATGACGAGAGCGATGGGAGGGGCGGCGAGGGAAGGGCTGGAGGGAGTCGACGCTGTCATTCCTCCGCGACGCACCTACAATGGCGAGTTTGCGCGGACCGCCAGGTGAGCTGGACAGAGGCGACGGCGGTGGGTCCGAGTCCGGTGGCGGCGACCTGATCCCAGTACGTTGCTGACCAATGGCGTCGATGAAGTCGTCCGGCCACTTGCCCTTGCCCAGCCGCAGAGGTGGCTTGTCAGGGTCCTCGCGCGCCTGGCCTTTCTGCAAGTTCCTTGCCGACCCGAACTCGTCCACCTCCTCCACCCGCGAGAGATCCACAACAGGCGAGCCGCTCAGCACGCGCTCGCGCCCATTTGTATCCCGCTTGCGCATATCCTCCGCGACATTCCCGCCCTCCGCGCGCGTCAGCGACGGCGACTCGCTCGTCGCCTCCGTCGTGATGGTCCTGATCGTCCCAAAACGGCCCCCTCCGCTATTCGTCCGCCCCGCCTCCAGCAAGCTCGACGCTGCAGTCGTCACCGTCGTCTCCGACTGCGCCGTCGACGCCATCGACTGTCTGACACTCACATCCGGCGCCACCGAGTCCCTCACCGACGCCCCATCGCCAATCGTCGCGCGCGCGCTGTCCGCGACCGAGGACCGAGCAGGCGACATCGCGTTCACCGCCCAGTTGTACACGCCCGCGTCGTCACGCTTCTGAGACCGCGAGCGCAGAGGAGATCGAGGGGGCGGTGCAGGAGCCACCAGTCGATCGACGTTGTCAACGTTATGCTCCCGCTTCAGCTCCCGTGCGCGCTCGTCAGGGGCCTCGTCCATCGCGTTATGGGAGTGCCCCGAGCTGCTGGGGCTGATCGAGCGCAGCGTCGGCAGGCCCGCGGGCGGGCTGTAGCGCTTCTTCACCGGCGAGCTCGGCGTCGTCAGATTCGGGCTCGAGGCCGCCGCGCCGCGCACGGTGCCGTTCGCGTACGGGCTGTTCGTGGCCGTGCTGGTGGACACATTCAGAGAGGGGCGCTTCCCCGTGAGCAGCTTCGACCGGGCCGTCGCGGGGTTCTCCGCGAACTTTATGAGCGCGACGATCGTGTGCGCGACACGCGCGAGCGACTCGCCGGTCGCCTCGATCAGGTCATCGCGCAGGAAAAGGTCCTCGGGCGGGAGGCCCCAGGACGAGCACGCAGCGAGGAACTTGGTCACGTTGGAGGTTCGGACGAAGCCATCCTCGCGCGGGTCAGGCTTGACGACCGAAGCCTGGCGCAAGCGGTTAATGAGGCTGGAGAAGGGTCAGTCACCGGTCGCAATGAATGGAAGCGCGATACACACTGGCATAGAACGTAGCCATCTCGCAGGCACTCGCAGAATAGCCTCCGCTCCCTCTCCTCTCCGCCAGCGCTCAGGCCACTGGGGCTCAGCGCCGACGCGCCGTTCACGTTCGTGGTGCTAGGGCTTTTCGACCACACCCGCTCGAGTCTTATCAGAGCCCGCGTGCGAAGCTCGACCTCCTCCCAGTCGCGGATAGCCTGGTCACTCCGACCATGCACAGGAGGCTTGCCAACCTCCTTGCAGAGCATCACGGTTGCGGTGCGGATCGCTTCTCTCTGCTCAGGATTGGGTGGGTTGACCAGCGAAGACGTAGAAGCGTTCATATGGCGTGTTTGCGATACGGACCGGCGGTTTGGCGACATCGTCGGTCGCATGCCCATTGGTGAGTCGCCGCGCATGGGGATGGGGCTGCCGCCTATTGACGGACGTCGCTGAGTGTCGAGGGACGCCCGACGAGGTGCTTCTCCAGAAACACGTCTCGACGCGTCTATCGACGGCCGCCGCTGCGAGTCGATCGACCCACGCCGCGGCTGAGGCAACGGGCTAGGAGGCGACAACGGTAGCTGCGACGCCGAGCTAGACGTCAAGCCTCGCGGCACCACGCGCGTCCTTGCTTGCGACGTCGACGGCGATCGTGCGCGGATGGGGCTCCCATTGCGCGGTGTAATCGGCGACTCTGAGCGATCGCGCAGCGGCAGGTTCCCCGAGCTCTGCGCCGCGCGCGAGTTGCTACGTATGTGACCACGGGACCCCGATGCGGGAGTGGGCGTGGGCGGCGGAGAAGGCGTCTCCTGGCGCAGATGCGTCTCGTTATTCGGAGTCGCGTTACGTGGGTAAAGGAGGGAGGGTGTGGATGGGGAGTTAGGGAGATTGACGGGCTGTGATCGAGTGGTGCGGTGCCGGCTGGAGGACTCAGTCGGCTGGAGGTAGGAGCCCGACGACCTGCGCGTCTCACGCTTGGTTGGCGTGGCTGGCGGCGCGAAAGACACGTCGCGCTGGAGAGGTAAGTGCGCAGGGCGCTTGCGCTCTCTGGTGGGCGACACCAAGGCATCGCTCCCAGAAGAAGATGACGCAGGAATAGCCGACTTGGAGTTCGGCGAGGGAAGGGCCTGCGATGACAGGTGTAATGCAGGTGAGGAGATAGAGGCCTGGCGCAGCGACGGGGTGAAGCTGACGCTGTTGCTCGCATGACGGCCTTTCGTCAGCTTCCTCGACTCCCGAGGCTCCTTCGGTGGTTTCTCCTTGGGAGGCTTCTCCTCCTTCGGCAGCGGCGGACGCGCAGGCGACGTAGAGTCCCTGCCTGATCGGCGAACAGTTACTTTGGACCCCAGCCGCCTGAGCATGTGGGACCTCTCCTTTGGCTCGTCGGTCGCCTTCTCCTTACCCTTGTGCGACTTCGGCGTGATGGTCGCGAATTCATCGGCTTCGAGGTGTGCGGTGTGTGTAACCTTACGCGAGCGCGTTGCTGTACGGATGCTCTGTTCGAGCGACGAGCGTATGCGCTGGAAGCCCTTGTGGTGCGGCTCGGGGGAGGACGGCTTGGAGGCGTCGGTGCGCGCCGAGCCTGCGGTTGAGGTGGATGACTCTCCGTTGCGGGAGGATGCGCGGAAAGGATTGACGACCGAGAGTGTTGTTGGGAGCACGGCGGCTGCCATGGTGACTTGTTAACGAGCGGAATGCGCGGAGAGCAGATAACGGGCAAGTATGGGTAAGGGGGCCTGGGCGAGGCGGTCCGATTATGAACGGCGCACGCAGGGAAACGTTCTACAGCAGCCACGACGGCCTGTAGAAACACAGGGTCAGTATTTGACGCTCTGGACCGCTGTTCCCCTCGCCGAGCGGGACAGCGGGTGCTGTAGTATGACGACGGACCTGGCTACCGCGTCTGTTGTGCGAGTGAATCCCTAGTTCGACTAGCGCGCCTGACTGAGACTAGTACAGAAGCTGTCGATGCCGGACGCAGTGGGAGCACCCCGGATGAGCACCCGCCGCAATCGCGGTCGAAAACAAGCCGGAAAAGGTATGAACGATACGCTGATTCAGATTCAGAGGGCGAGGGCAGGACAGGAGGTCCTGATGCCGGGCGTAACGGGCGTCTGGGTACCGCGTAAGCAACGGCGACGTCGTGGGCGCGTCGTCGTTGGATTAGGTGTCGTCGGCGGCGTAGACGGCGACGAGGAGGTGGCGGCGGTAGGCAAGTGATGGGACGCGCCTCGCGGTTCGGACGTTCAGCGGCTTCGATCAGACTGTCCGGCACCAGCACCCGGCCGCCGTGCGAACTCAGACTCGAACATTGACCTCATCGCCCGCTCACAATTCTCTCCAGAATGCTGTCTCACTCAGGACGCGCGCAACTCGCACAGAAAGGCGCATTTGCCGATGCAGAACGCAGTGGCGCGCGCGGCTCGCCACCGACGGAGAACGCGCCATGACGCGCACAGATCTTTACCGATCCTCATTCCAAATCACCCATGTTCGAACCACAGTCCGCCCGCCGCCCGCCGCGACACGCGTTGCCAGCTAACCGAGGATTCGACGCCTCCATGCGGGCGCACGATCCACGCGCCCGAGACGACCCGGACGCGCCCCGGCATCCTTCCGCTCAGCCACACGGTACACCTGCTATACCTGCGAACACTGACGCACTCATGACATACCTCTGTCAACACATAATATCTTTCAAGACGGAGAACAACACAGCACGGACGAAACATGAAATCCATCAACAGACTGACCTTTGTTCTGCTCCTCTCCGACTGACCGCGACTGGAGCTGTCTCCCCTCACCCGCACTCTCCGTCTGCCTTCTCCGCACTCGCTCCTGCCTTCTCCGCACTCGCCGCGCCGCCTTCTCCTCTCCACCCTGCCTTCTCCCCGTCACCGTCCGCCTCCTAACAGTGATAGCGCACCGCCTCGACCCCGCGTCGGGTCAGCTGCACCTTGTCTCCCATCTATCACCCACGTCCGCTGACGCACTAGCACGCACGCGTTCGACGAAGAAGGTAGGCGCACGTATGATTCCCAATCATACCTGCTATGAACCCATACCAAGAAGGCAGGGATTCCCCAACAGACGCCTGATTCCTCTGTGGGATGCCTGATTTCTCTGTGGGATGCCTGATTCTTCTGTGGGATGCCTGATTTCTCTGTGGGATGCCTGATCCCTCTCTGAGATGCCTGATTCATCGACCCATATGCCTGTTCCGTCCTGGTCCATCGACCCAGACGCCTGATTCCACCTCGACGTCCTGCCTGCCATATCACGATAATCCGGCCGTATCGCTCGTGCGATCCTCCTACGAGGCCCCGAGGCTCTATCGATGGTTCTCCGGGCGGCAGCTGACGGGCTCTTCTCCGGTGGCGAGAGGCGGGTCTTCCCCATGGGCCGAGTCGCGCGTACGTTCTCGTGGGCCGAGTGGCGCATACTTCCCCGCAGGTCGTTCGTCGTGCTCCGACCCTCCTCTGGGCAGCCTCATTTCGGCAGTCTCTGTCGAGCAAGCGTTGAAGGACACCGCCTCAAGCACTGTGGCTGAACCGCGCCAACGTCTAAGGCTGGAAAACACCGAGAGCTAGTCATTTTGCTGTACCATAGACGGCGATCTGACGCGAGACGCTAGGAAGGTGATTCCATTGAGTCGGGCGAGGGCTCCATCTAGTTGAGGACGTGAAATTCATATTTTCGCCCTTCTCACGCAGCGCGTATCGAACAGGCCCTTGACTGGAAGCAGTCGAGCACTTGCACTTGTTTGATTGCTAGCCCGAATAGCGCAAAGCATCGTAGACTTATGAAGATCAACAAACCGCTCAGTTGGAGATCAACGAGCCGTTCAGTTGGAGATCAGATCAACGAGCCGTTCAGTTGGAGATGAGCGAACATCCTCTGGAGATGCAGACCCTTCCTCTGGAGGTGAATGCCCTCCCCTCTGTATATGAATGCCCTCCCCTCTGGAGATGAAAGTCCTTCCTCTCGAGATATGGAAACCCTTCCTCCGGAGATGAAAACCTGCCCGTGATTGTTGCCGCATCGAGATGAATGGCACAACGTTCAGCGGGGAGCCGTGCATGAGTTTGGATGGCATCGGTACTTCGACGCTGAGCCGTGCAGAAGTCATGGCGAGCCGTCGATATCTCGACGCTGACATTGCATACTCGTCCTGACACTGTTGGAACCGCTAAAAAAATCCTCGTAGATATTGACGGCGATACGGCAGGGTGCGCGGGGTATAGCGGTGTCCTTGAGTGCAGTGTCACCTAGCATTGAGTACGACAGCGTCATCGAGCACTGTATGGCGGGTGAATCCAGTATACAGCGGGGTTCTTCAAGCCGATTGTACAGCGGTGTCTTTGAATGGCATGCCAGCAGTCAGTCGTCATTTCCGTGTACACGAGCGATGGATCGACAATGCAGCGGAGCGCTTTTCTTGGTTGAGGCCGTTTCTACAGCGAAGGCGGTGAGATGGACGTCTTCCATAGCGAAGGGCGAGGCGGGAAAAGGTATTCTAATGAGGCCGACTGTATTGAAGACAGACTGGGAAGACGCAGAGCGGTGGCCTCGAAGTGCGGTGTTTGACATTGAGGATCGTATAGAAAAATTGGGACGTCGTTTAGCCGCGGAGAAATCGGAGAGTGCGTGGCCGACGTGCCCGCGGGACGTAGACAGAGGTGAGCGCTGAAAGCGACCGGGGAGCCGTCGCCTACGTGAGTGTAGAGAACAGTAGACGCACAAGGAGGGATTGCGCAGAGGATCAAACGCCTCGCCAAGGTGAGAAGGGACCCAAAAGCGCGTGAGTGTACACCCATAAGACGCGCTTGAGTCGCGCCGTAAGCCCAATAGACATACGAAGACTCCCAGCAAGCGCTCCAAGGCACGCAGTAGATGAACGGGACTGTGTCGCCATCGTGAGAGGGGACGCTCAGTAGACGCCGCAAGGTGTTCAAGTTGTTCGAGAAGTAGCACAGCCAGCAATAGAATCGAGTACGCCTAGTGGACGCCTCGCCGAGATACCCTTCACCCATTCGAAGAGATACTCAGCCCCCACACGAAGAGACACTGCAACAGAGAAGAGGTGGAGCAGGGGTGGGAGGCGAAGCGGGCTTACGAGGGAAGCGAAGCGAGTCTGCGAGGGGCATCAGAGCGTGTAAAGGGCAGGAAGGATGTATAGATGCACACAGGCCAGGCAATGAATGCACGCGCGAGAGAATCACTGTGTGTCGGAGGGAATTAGTAGCCATATATGGAAATTTGACAGAGCGAAGGGTAAACAGACTCATGAGAAGCACGAAAAGGCGCATGGGAAGCTAAACAGGCGTATGAGGGTCGAAAGTGTGGACTGTATGAGGGCGCGAAGCACGCATGCAGTGTGGAGGAGGAGGCAAGCAGGCACAGAACAAAAGACTGACTACACAATTGTTTGACGCAGCTTGTGTGTTGCCCATACAAGTCTTGCGCCTCGTTGAATTAGATAGAACAGCCCTCGAGGCCTATATCCTAGGACAAGTAGTAATCCAACAGAAATAAGGAACAGAATAGAGACAGAAGCAAGCCGTACACACCTTGCATGCGCATTGCGCATTGCATCTGAGTTCTATCGCAACAGATACAAGTTCCATGTTGTTCTATCGCAAAGACGCGAGCTCTATCGCAAAGATGCGAGCACTATCGCGTTGAACACGAGCACTATTCCTCTAGACGCGCGAGCCACCGCAATAGACGCTATACACGAGGAAGAGAAGCGGCCCTGACGCGGGGAAAGGCGCGCGCGGGCCGCCGAAGAAGTTCAACTTCGGCAACACGTGGGCGCGATAGGGTCACGTGGATGGTTGAACTTCGGGGTCGCCGCGGATTCGACTTGCGAATGAACGGCGCTGAACTCGGGCTCTGGAAAGCAGGGCAATGCAATGCAAATGGAATCGGATACTCACCACAGGTGAAATGATACTTGAAGCGCGAAAATGGAGACAATCACCGGGTCACTAAACATGCAGAATTTGCGGTGAATGACGATCGGAAGGCACGGTGAGGGCCAAGAATACTGGGTGAAGGAGTAATCAGTGACGCTGCTGTCGAGAAACAGCCCTCGCGTTGTACAGTCCATCCAGCTGCTGCACAAGGAAGGCGTACCTAGGTCTACGCTCGTGGTGATCAATTTCCAGGAACTGCAAGGTAAGAAGCACAAAACCATGCTTGCAACGGAAACTGACGGATAGCTGACAGTGCTTTGTACGTGGGCAAAATTTTGTCCGCAAGACGGTGGATATGATAACCCACCGAAGATCCCCATTGCGAGCTCTCGACGATCATATCGCAATAGTTCAACCTTGTTAGCGACATGGCCAGCAGCTGACCGCGTATGTCGCCGACATGGAGACAGTGGCGCCACTGACATGGTATTCGTCCCACTGAGACGGCAAGAGAGTCCCGCTGACTTGGTATGCAAGTCCAACCGACACGGAACGACGGCGTTGGTGATCTTCGAGATAAGAGGACTGCTTGATCCGTGTCCTCGAGCTATTGAGGCGGCTTGTAGACCCGCGAGCTTCGCGGGGATGATAGCACGAGCCTCGACTCGCGGAGACCGGGCTGTGGGAGCGAACGTGGGCCAGCTGATCGGGGAGCGGATGACACAGTGGTATGGGCTGCTTCAATTAGCACGAGGTACTCCAGCGAAGGAGACAGCGGACCTCACGTCAAGAAGCTGCGAACACTCAAAGACATGTCGTGCTAGCATGACGAGCTACTCACGGAATCGATAGAGCCTCAAAGGTCGACAATTTTGGCTAGTTTCTGAGGCTGAGCTTCGATATCACACAAGCGACTGGTGATCTTGAACTGGGCAATGGGCTAGCACTAGACAAGGTATTCTTGATCCTGAGCAAAGGACACCGACCTTCGGAGGTCGAGAGATGGGCCAAGGGTTTTGTGTACTTGGGCAGTAAGCTATGGAGGCTGGGCAATGGGCATAGAACGTCGAAGGAGTCGATGTCGCCTCGGCGACGCAGAGAACCAAACGCGGACGAGGAATCGTCCGTCCACCGCGGCAGAATTTGAGATCAAGGCGTAGGTCAGGAGCGGTGGCGCGAGTCTTGAAGAAGATTGTGGCGTGGGTACATACAATGACTGTGGCGTGAGCAATTCGACGGCACAAGAAAACGCAAGGCAGTGTGTTCAATTTCTGTGGCAAATGATGCAGCTTGAGCCACGGAAAGAGTTCCTCTTTGCGGTAGTTCCGATGAGCAGAGACTCTGCGACAGTGAATATGGCTCCGGAAGTGAAGGGCGTTGGTGGCCACTGGCCACGCGGTCTATGAGCAGCTGTTGTTCCCTAGAAAGAACGAAGCTGATAGAGGATACGCAGAAGTACCAGTCCCTCGTCGAGAAAAGGGAGATATTTGAGCGACAGACACGAGCAGCAGAAGAGCAACGAAGGCATAGTACGAGATCAAGAGGCTGGGCGCGTCGGGACTTGCCGATTCCTGATTCGATCCGCAGTCCGTGGCTGACTAAGCTGATCATCCCTTCTCCCTGACGTCCATCTCGCCACGACTGCTGCCCGTTGGTCCCGTCTCCTACTGACCTGTGATCTTTGAGACTTCTGTCAACAGCACTGGAGAGAGTTTTGCAGTGACCTGTCTTTTGCTGCAGAAGCGATCGATTTTCGATTTTTACGCCACTGAAGACTCACCCTTATTTTGTCCAACTTGGGCGACCAGAACACACTTGGAGCAATGAGTGGTCGTAGAAATAGCTCAGCTAAAGGATCTGCCTCGAGGAGGCGTAAAGACTCTTCTGCTCGTCCTGCTGAGACGCAATACTGTATTTGCCGAACCGGTGACGACGGCAGACCGATGGTCTATTGCTCCCAGTGTGATGACTGGTGCGTCCATGCTGCCTGCGACAGATGTTTGCGCTGTCTCACTCTGCACAGGTACCACTTTGAATGTGTCAATCTCACCGAGGACGATGCTGCCGATATCAGTGAGTTTCGCCATCACACTTTCAGCTACTCGATCACTGACGAGTTTGTCCCCAGACGTTTATGTTTGTCCACCATGCTCAGAAAGTACACACAGACAGACTGCAAGTGAGTTTCGCTGTTTCTCACCTTCATCGTATTTAGAAAGTAGCTACGAGTTTCCATGTATCTACGTTGTGAACCTGTCTGTTCGGCACGTCCCATCTGTTCAGACGGTACACCGCGAGGTCGCGCTCGTGGTAGCACACAAGTACATAGTCACGGATAGCGACGTGAGACGACGTCTTGGGCAAAGCTATATTTTGTGTCTTCGATGGCCAATCTATGCTGTCTTTCGATTCGCTTGCTTGTGCTTCGCCGTGTGGCCGCTGCGTTCAAAGAGAACCGTAAACTGACCATGATGGCAAACAGTGACATGGGAAGGCCCGGAGGCCGTCGAGCCCGTCGATGAGCGCGAGAGCAAGCGAGCGCGACTCCAGCGGCTCGCGCAGAAGAAGGCCATCGAGACCATATCCGAGGACGAGGAGAGCCAGGATGGCGCGTCGAGCGAGGACGAGTTTGTCGTCGAGGTGCGTGACTATCCGATCCTCGAGAGCAGTGTTCTGACCCGGTAGCAGTCGTCGACGAGGTCGAAGGGGCGCAAGATGGCGATCGTGAGCGACGACGAAGATTCTGGCAATGACTCGGACCCCTCTTCCTCCCATCGGCGCAAGCGCAAGCCCACGTCCTCCAAGCCGCCCCCTTCCAAGCGCAAGAAGACCCAGCCTGCGCGGGGTACGAGCACTAGCATCGACGACGACCCCTTCCGCAAATTCACGCTTGGCAAATTCACATCCATATTCAGCGATATTTTCCTGCGTTTCCCTCGCATCGACGATGTGGAGAAAGCGCCAGGCTTGCTGACTCCGGAAGAAACTGAAGCTGTGCGTGCAGATGCGGCAAGGTATGCAGAGGAGCTCGAGCGGGAGATGAGCAACCTGTACGTGGAAGAGGATGGGCGTGCAGGCGCCAAGTACAAGTATGTACATGTTCTGCTGCTTTGTTTGCATAGAGCTAACGTATGTCGCAGGGACCGCTTCCGCATGCTCACCGTCAACCTGAGCAAGAAGGACCGCGAGATCGTCCACAAGCGCATCATCGCGCGCGATGTCACTCCCGCCATGCTCGCCGTCATGTCCGTCCACGAGCTCGCAGACGCCGCGACGCAGCGCACCATCAAGAACGCCGAGCGCGAGGCGCTCGACCACTCAACCCTGCGCATCGCCACCGCGGCGGGCCCGCGTACGAAGATGACGCACAAGGGCTTCGAAGAGGTAGAGGTCGACGGCCCATACAACCCGCGCGAGGAGCAGCGCCAGGAGGAGGACAGCGCGCGCGAGATGACGCAGACGCCTATCACGCCTAGGACGCCGCAGGTGGATCCGTGGGGACCATCGTCGGCAGTTATACAGTCGCCGAAAGTTGAGCACTCGGCGCGTCCGCCTCTGTTCATGCACACGTCGACGGAGTATCCGGTGGCGAGTGGGGAGCCGGAGCTCAACATCGACGATTTGATCAATATTGACGAAGAGGGTATGGCGGCGCAGACGTTGGCCCTGCCCACGCCTGTTGGCGAGGCGCCTGCGCAGGATATGGAAAGCGGTCCTCCAGTTTCAGCGTCTCCCATCGAGCCTGTCAAAAGCGAGTCTGCGAGTGTTGAGCCTGAGACCATGTTCGACCTGAACTCCTTGTGGTCTGCGCCGCAAGAAGACGGCGATAATGAAGGATATGTGGATATGGACACCTCGTCGAACGAACTCCACGAACCGAATGGGCCCATGGACGTAGATAGCGGGCTCCATGATGGCGGGGACGCCGACTTCGATATGCTGCTGAACAACAACGTGGACACCTCGCATTCGGGACGTCCGCCTACGCCGCCGACACCGGTGGCGTATGAAGACACGCCGCAAGTATGGTCAGGCATGGTAAGCCAAATATTCATGAATCGCCATACAAGAGTTTGACTGATGTTGACCTCGCAGATCAACATGCCGCTCGACTCAGCAGTCCCTCAAGACACTCCCGTCGTCGCACGCCAAATGGGTGGTCGAACCATGGACGAAACCTCTCCGCTCTGGCATACGCTCTTTCCAGCGGACGTCCTACGCATCGACGGTCGCGTACCGGTGGACAAATCCAGCGACTACCTTCTGCAAAGCCGCATGAACCCCTCGCGCGAGCTGGTGGGCGTCACCTTCGCACCAGCAAGCGCAGAGCATGAGGCGTCGTTCAAGGCGCTCTCGGATTTCCTCGTAGGGAAGAGGTCAGTAGACTCGTTATATGATCGTTTGGCAGCATGCTCATGTTTCACAGTCGCCATGGACTGGTCTTTCCCTGGGGCCAACGCCCGAAAGAGCATCACCCCGGACGAGAACTGTACATTATACCTTTGCATGCGCACGAGCCGCTCCCAGAATTCATGGAGCTCATGGACGACCTCAAGCTGCCCAGGGACCGCACCCGCGACTACCTCGTTGGTATCTACGTCCTCATCCGTGGCAAGCTTGTAGCACCTCCCCAACCGCCGCAACAAATACAAGCCCCCGCGCCTCAGCAGCAGCAACCACCCGTCCATACACCTACGCCTCCTTTCGGACCGACACCGACACCGACGTCGCAGATGTACGCTACCGTGCCGCCAGTACCTGCGCAGGCTACCACGCCGCTCCCGCTGCCGAACCTGTCGAATATTCGACCAGAAGCCCTCGCTGCCGAGGTTGCGTCGCTCACTCCGGAACAAATTCAGGCTATGCTGCACACGCTGCAGGGGACGGCGCTCCTCCAAGCTGCTCAGCCGCAGCCTCCGCCGCAACCACAATTTACACCCCTCCCGCTGCCTGCGTGGTCTGCTCCGCCGCCGCCTGGGGGCTACCCGCCTCATGCTCCGGGCGGTTACACCCCTCCTCAAGGCGGCTATCCCCCTCACGGCGCCCCACCATATCCTGGGCAGCCACCCTATGGCGGCCAACCGCCGTATAACCCAGAATACGACGGCTATCGAGGTGGAGGAGACCGCGGTGGGTGGAACAAGCGTGGTAGCAATAGGGGACGTGGCCGTGGGCGAGGTGGTCGGGGCCGAGACGGGGAGAGGTTCAACAAGGCGGACAACGGGTGGGGAAGGGGTGGACGAGGTGGCGGACAGCGTGGTGGATGGTGAAAGGTTGCTTGATGGGATGATGATAGGGGTCGCTGTATCGGGGAGGTTGCTTGGTTTGCATGGTTAGGAGACGTTGTCAGCCGTGAGGCTGGTGAGGGGTCGCTTGCTCGTAATGATTGCTGTTATGGTGTGTCCGAAAATCAAGGGGAATGTGCGCGAAGATCATGTGCTCATGTGGTGTACGATATGCCTCTAGTTCATGCTTACTCTCTTACTGCTTAGTTCCGTTGTTCCTTTCGATTCCTTTACTTATGACTATGCCTTCAATCAATCTGCTCATCAGAGCTCATTCAGCCCGACTTGCAAACCGTGAAAGTTTCCTTGTTCAAGGCCCCGAAACGACCGAACCATTCACGCAGCCACACTCTAGCGCAGAACACCTTCATAGACATCAACAAACATCAAAGTTTGTACACAAAGTTCGTACAAACGGCCACGAGGTAAGTGGTCGCCGTCGTAAGCACATCAAGGGGCCCGGTGAGGACTACCTAGCAAGGTTTCTCTCATACTTAGTGTAGTGTACTAGTCCAGTTCGCATGTCGTACGAGTTCGCGGGTCACAACAGTCCAAAAGTCTAGGTACGTAGCCGATGTACGTAGCGCTCAGTTCGAGTCCGATCACACTTACAGCCCTTATAGATAATACAATGTCCGATTCGCAAGAACGTCCGAGCTAGCCACGGCGTCTGGAATCGTCGTTGGGGAGAGGCGCCTCCGCGCTTGATGCTAACGCCTTGCTTGACCTTGACGTTGCACCGACACCTTGCTTGGCGCCGCACAGAACACGGGCGCCTCACTTGATGCTCACTTGACGCTAGCGGAGGCGCCCCCGTTCAGAGTTGTCCGCTTAGTCGACGAGGTAGAGGTTCTAAAGAGAATATTTCGTCAGCAAGGGGTTGATTTGCGCGCAAGGTTGCGCAGGAATAGGCCGATTTGCGGAGGGATTGATCAATGTGCGCAAGGATAGGTGAATCTGGCGCAGGAAAGGGTTGATTTGCGCAGAATGTTGATTGAGGGACGGGTTGAGTTATCGCAAATATTGGATTGCGCAGGCACAGGAAATGATACATTGTCACAAGGATTCGCATCACTCACCACAGCGCCGGCGGGATAGTAGTCGAACTGCTTGTTGTACGCGGCGAGGTCGCCGACGAAGAAGAGCTCGTTCGCCCGCGCGTCGTACGCGAGCTGCGTCTTGGGCTTGCTTCCGTCGGGGTTCACGAAATGGGCTGGTTAAATATGTTAGCGTACAATGGTGCGCGGAATTGCGCATACGCACCAGTGAGCGCCTTCGTCTGCGGATTGAACGTCCAGATCGCGGACTCGTACGAGTACTCGCCGGCCTTGACGGGCTTGGAACCAGCAGGGGCTAAGGAGGGATGCATCAGAGACATGGCCCTTCGCGGATGACGTCGTACGTACTCTGGCCGACGTTGGTGAAGGCGACGGTTCTGCGATCGAAGCATCAGAAGGCGTCGGAGGCGAATCAGGGTGCGCGGACTCACTTATAGCTGCCCTTGGCGAGAGGGCCGGTACCGGAGGCGCCGACGTAGTAGGGCGCAGGGAAGTTGGGGTTCTGCGTCTGAGGGTGAGGGAGGAGGGAGGAATCGTGACGGTGAAACGCACGGTGGCCAGGATGTCGAAGGGCTTGTTGCCGCCGGAGGTTAAGAAGGAGACGTGAAGCTCTTCGTCGCTTGTGCCAAAGTTGATGCCGGAGCTTTGCAGGGGTTAGTGGTCGCCTCAGTGGCGATGGTTCAGACGTACATGGACGCTGCGCCCTCCCAGTTCCTGATGAATCCAACGACAGTGCCATCCGCTGTCCTTGCCTGAAGACGACCAGAGTACCTGCGACAGGTCAGTTTATCGTTTGATTAGATCAGAGGTGACTTACGAGACAGGTGGCTTAGCAGACGGGTGGCCATGCTCAGCACCTTGTTTATGGAGAACAATAGTAAGCGATTGATCGCTGCCAAGGGTCCTCGCACTCACTGTCAGTCCCCGTGCTCGTTCTGCGCAGGTTAGCAGGCGCCAAAGGCGGGAGGCCGCGGGCGAAGCGCTGGGCGTTGGTCTCGAGCGGTGCAGCGCGCGCAACGAGCACAAGCGCGCTGAAGAGGACCAAGAGCCAGGACGAAACGCGGGCAGCGGAGAACATGGCGGCGCGCAAAAAGCAATCGGGGGATCGCTCGAGCGCCCCCGCCCGGCCTGTGCGTTTTATACACGGCACGCCTTTGTCCTCGCGCCTCAAGGGGGCCGATCAGGTCGTAGAGTGGGCCGGCGCCGGGCCAGGCGGGGTGCCTCATGCCCGGCACGGAATAGATGATGTCGATGGGGGCCCGTGCCTTTCATTGAAACGGGGCAAAGCCCCCGTCGAGGGCTGGGGGGCTGGCCAATGGCACGACACCGCCCACGGCCCTGGCGTGCATTTGCGGGCTGGGGGTGCCGAAGACTATTATCACGCACTTACACGTGTATGTCGCCTGTATGTGGTGGGATATCCTGATTATTCGAGAAGGGAAATCTAGGTCGTTTGCGCTGAATGGGCGGTAGATGCACGTTTTCCGCTCAAGGACCGCGCTCACGCGGCGGGGGAGCGCCCCCGGTGGCTTGCGAGCTGTATAAGAATGCCGGCAGCTGTATATGAACTTGAAGCACGACATCCATCTCGCCATGCTTCTACGTCCTCCCGTCAATAAATTAGGGGCCACGCACCAAGCATGCACTCATCATCGACGCTGGCCAACACGCAAACGCGTACGCGAAGCTGACGTGCAGCTTGGCGCGAAAAAGGGTGCGCGCATTTGGGGTGATTAATTCGAAGTACGTTTGTAGTACGCATCCCTGCCATTCAGCATTTTCCAGGGCGCCAACCTTCGGAATGGAGGCTGGTAATTCGCTGGAGATGATGGACGCGGGGAACAACAAAGGAATTTCCGAATTCGGCAGTAACGCGTCCCGTGATGCCGTCCGATGATCCGAGCCCCGCGCTCCGAGTCCGAGGACCGAAGTCGTGCGATTAGATAACGCACGAGTAATATGCGCCCCGCCCGCCAGCGCGGCTCTTCTCGCGACCGGCGCTAGTCGCACACCACTGGCTTGCCTCCTGCTCTCACCACGATGAAGAACACGACGCGCCTCGGCGTCGTCCTCTGCATCAGCCTGCTTTTCTTTATTGCCGAAATCGCTGGTGCGTTCCTTCCAAGGGCGCCAACAATTGAACGGGGCCTGATCAGGCTCTGCATACTTCCCAGTTGGGTTTAGAACGAAATCCCTGGCGCTGATTGCGGACGCGGTGCGTGTCCAGTTGACGCGTCAATGAGATACATTGCTCAGTCTAGGTCTGCAGTTTCACTACCTCAACGTACGTGCGCGATGCCTTTATCCTGCCTCGCTTACAGACGGGCGTCCTCGTACAGGACATCGTCGCCTAGTACGTGGTGCCTGTCTACTCACCTTCCCCGGACGCTAATTAGCGCTCAGTGCCATCGCGTTCCTAGCTGCATACGTGAGCTCCCCCTAAATGCACAATATCTGCGAGCTGCCACTCATTCCTCCCAGCTACAGGACAATAATCAGTCCGCAGTACGCCTCCTCGCCTCCTCTCTCCCCACCTCTCCTCATTCTGACCGCGTGCCCAGAGCCTCGCCTTCACCTTCGCCTATCACCGCGCAGAACTCGTCGGTGAGTCCACGCGCCGACCTTGATATCCGTGAGGCAGACTTGATATCCGCGAGGGGGACTGAACATCCCCGAGGCGGACTGGATATCCCCGGACTGACCTCCGCCCATTCACACACATTGACCCCCATTGATATGCATCCGTACTTACGCATTCCCAGGCGCCTTCTTCAACGGTGTCTTCCTCCTCGCGCTCGCGCTCTCGATTTTCCTCCAGTCCCTCGAGCGATTCATCAATGTAACGGAGGTCCAGGACCCCATCATGGTCCTCACCATCGGCTGCATCGGCCTGGCGCTCAACATAATCAGTGTCCTTGTCGTTCATGGTAGGTCCTTTCTTTCGTGATGCGTCCCTCAATTGTTTTTCTTTAGACGTCCCCAATTGTTCTTCGCGATCCGCCTTATTCGTCCTTGTCTATCCGTGATACACCTTATTCTTCGTTGGAGTGGTACGGGATCTTTGGCGACAAGCCATGGTACCGAATCTTCTTCCGCACGCGATGTCAAGGACGCATCCTGACAAGAATTCTTGTTCTTAAGCGTGTTTTCCCCCGCTCAATCCATTCATCCAATAATCCTCCGCTGACTGCTTACCATTATTACAGATCACGGAGGGCACTCACACGGTGCAGGAAGCCACTCGCACGGCACAGAGGGCCATTCGCACGGCAATGTTCAAGAGCTTCAGGCGCAGGGACCACAGGCGGCTCCCGCGACGCCCCCGCATATTGTACGTCGGGGGTCCTTGTCCTCAAAACAATCCTTTGAGTCCTTGTTGCTCCTGGATAAATCCCCTCCGGGGGGCCTTGTCCATCACTCCCTTTCTTGGGGGCCTCGTCCACAATTCGTCCTTCCACCCAATCATCCACATCTCCCCTCATTCATTCAATTAGTGGCTGACGGATCACTGCTTTTTTCCTTCCTTCCGTCCTTCCTCCTTCCTCCCGTCCTGCCTCCTCGTACCTTCCGTCGTCCTCGTACCTTCCTTCCTCCTCGTACCTTCCTACCTCCTCGTACCTTCCGTCGTCCTCGTACCTTCCTCCTTTCCTCCATGACTCCATCCACCCAATCATTGCCCTGGTCCCAATCACCGGCTGACGGATCACTCTTCGTAGCACGAGGGCCACAATCACACGCAACCTCTCGGGCCCTCAGCGGGACACGGCCACGGCCACTCGCACGGGAACCTCGGCCTCGCCGGCGTCGTCGTGCACCTGTTTGGCGATGCGATCAATAGTGAGTTTGGCCGTTCTTGCTTGTTCTATGTGACTATGTGCGTGTGGGGTGGATGAAAGGGGGTGGATGAAGGAGGGGGGGAGGGGGAGGATGAAGGAGGGGGGTGCATGAAGGAGAGGCTGGGGGGTGAAGGAGGATGGGGGGATAGTTTCCTCGCTTGTGCATCAGCACACAACAATGCTCCGAGCTGGCATTTCCGTTCTACATCGCGCGACTCGGATTGGTGCAGGAAGATGCTAACACGCGCTACACCAGACATCGGCGTCATCATCGCCTCGCTTGTCATCTGGAAGGTCCACTCGCCGGAGCGGTTCTACGCGGACCCTGCGGCGTCGCTGATCATTAGCCTCATCATCTTTAGTAGTGCGATTCCTCTTAGTAAGTCATCTAAATGGTAGTGTTGCATACGCCGCTGACTGGTCACCTCTCAGCCGCGAAATCGGGGCGCATCCTGCTCGAGGCGGCTCCTGTGGACCTTGACCTGGAGAAGGTTAAGGATGATCTTTCGACGGTAGGGTCGCTTTTCTCAGCTTTGTGCAGAGGAACGCTTTTCTCTGCTTTGTGAAGACGATGTTGACGAGCGAATGCACTAGATCCCCAACGTCCTCTCGATCCACGACCTGCACGTTTGGCATCTTTCCCAGTCGTACGTGCTTTCTTCTACTCCTACCCCCTTCCCTGTCTCCTTTACCAACCCTTCTTTTCCCCTCCACCGTCGCCCCAAAAGCTAACGCTGCCCAGCGTCATCCTCGCCTCCGTCCACGTCTGCGTCTCCCCCGAGATCTCCATGATCGAGTGGCAGGAGACGGAGCACTACCTCCAGCAGTGCTTCGCCGAGTTCGGAGTGGGACATGTTACCATCTCGCCGGAGCTGCATGTCTCCTCGCCGCGGGACACGTCGGAGACCCCCACTATATCCGGAGAGCCTTCGTGTGAGGAGTTATTGGGTACATGCCGGATGCCGGTGGCGGAGGGGTTCAAGTGCAGCGTGGGCGATTTGGTGAAGGCGGGCGGGATGAGGCGGCGGAAGGAGGGGAGGGGGGCGGCATAAAGGGGGGGCAGCGGCGGCTATGAGCGTAAAGCGGAGATGGCGGAGGTGGAAGGGAGAGGGGGGTAGCGACGGTGAAAGCGAAGGGGGAGGAGGAGGAAGAGGAGCAGCGGACGGGGGCACGTACTGATGGTGCGAGGCGGGTCGATGAAGGAGTAAGGGTGGCAGATGCCTTCGTTCGCGAAGGCATGGTAATGTGTACAGTAGAAGGGTTGATGTCGATGGGCGGAATATTATGGACGAAGGGTTGACGATGCATTGACACGGCTGATGTTCTTACGAGACGAAGGTGCTACAAGCGTATAGCTAGAGCTGAAGGTAAGAGAAGGATAGCTGTCGCCGCCTTTCAAACAGTATCTCCCGTCGTGCAACGGAGGAGAACGGTCTGCCTGCTGCTGTCGATATTGCCAGCGTATTTAACGTCAGTGCAGGTAGGTGTCCATGCGCTGCGTAGATGAATCTGGCGTAAGGAGCGAACGCACAAAGACAGAACAAGACTTGCAAAGCGAAGAGGGTGAGCATTGATATCTACTGCGTACACGAAGGATGGCTGATGACGGTAGGATGGGTGTGCGACATGAGAGACGGAAGAAAGAAACGTCGGCGGTCGCCGAATAAAATTGTGTCAACTTTGGCCTTGTTTGTTGACGGGAGCATTGCGGACCCACGGCCCGTCATCCGAGTCCCATTTCCCGCCATCACTGCACCCTCTCTCAATAAGCGCCCAACTCACTTTTTCTGTCTTTGTGAAAGGCATGGTCAGAAACGTGTCCAACAAGTTCGACTTGCCCGACAATCCAGAATATCTTGACTTCCCCCGCAGCGACGGTGACTCGAGCCGTTGGCCTCCACATGAGCAGACCGTGCGCGTTGTGGGCGAGGATGGGCATGTGGACTATATGCAGTATACGCCTATAGATGCGGGCGTGTGTGTCAGATGGCGGTTCGTTGCTGGTCAGGCCGTCGCTCGCTACTTGGGCTTGCCTGGTAATGTTTATGATTGTCTATAAGATGCCGATGTCCTAACATGCCTCACAGAGGGCAAGAACTATGTGCTCAGAGACTGGCCAGCTGGATATCGAATGTATGACCACCACAAAGGGCCAGAACACGGCCCGAGGCACGACATGTACCTCTTTGGTGGGCGAAGAGGCCCTTTCTCTTTTGTGCAGACCGCTCATCGAAGAGCAGGCTCAACCAGCCGCTACCGCTCCATCAACGAGTTCATCCCCCATGCGCACTGGCTCATGTCCGACCCGACGATGAACACCGCGAACTGCATCTGCAAGTACTGCCAGCGCACGCCCCAGCGGCTCATCACGCAGACGATGACCCAGGCGAACGTGCTGCCCGCGCGCGGGAGCGGCGGGATGTACGCGGGGAAGCCCAAGGTCGCGCGCCTGCGCAACATGCCCCAGAAGCCCGCGGCGGCGACGCGGCTGCACGTCAGCGTCCAACGCCCGCTCAAGCCGCTGCGCCCGAGCTCGGGCGTGGACCGCACGCCGATGAACCAGGATAGGAACCACGACCTGCGCGTGCTGCACGCTAGCGCGCACCGGCGGTTCAAGCGCTGGTTCCGGGACGGGGAGATCGTCTGGGGCGCGCTGAGGACGCCCATAGCCGGAGAGGGACCCCCGATATCCACCTGGCCGTGCATCGTCGAAGACTGCAACCTCCATACGAGTACTAGACCCCGCACGGCGGAGGATCCGCCAGGCCCCGTCCCCTGGATCAGCGAGCAGTCCGTGCGCTACCGCCTCCGCTGCCTCGCCGTCTCGCACATCCTCTTCGTCAACGAGGACGGCGTGCTCCCCTACCTCGCCCACGGCGCCGACGGCGTCATGGACTGGGCCCGCACGCAGCCGCGCGACCGCTTCAAGTTCGACGAGGACACCTTGTACAGCGTCAACCCCTCCCCCGCGCCCGACGCCGCGGACGCGCCGCCGCCGGACTACATCGACGCCGTGTCCGCGTACATATTCGCCGTGCAGATCGCGGGCGAGCACTCGTACTTCTGGACGCCCACGGACGAGTGGGAGTTCCGCTATCACGCGCCCGCGCACCGTTCGGGCTCGGGCTCGCGCGACAAGTCGAAGGAGCGAGGCGCGTCCGCGCCGGGGAGCCTGCAGGCCGCGCTGAATGCCGCCGCCGCGAACAACGAGCGCGTCGAGCGCGAGACCTCGCGCGCGCCGTCGCAGGACGCCGCGGGGGTGGAGCCCGACATGCCCGCGGACGAGCTCGACGAGGTGCGCACCCGCATCCTCGGCGACGAGCGCCCCGGGAAGGCGCACACCCAGGTGCGCTACCAGGGCCTCTGGTGGGGCCCCGAGCGGATCTGGGTCGACGACCTCGTGCGGCTCAAGGTGCCCCGGCAGGCCCTCGCGCCGCACGGCGCGCCGCATATTTACGCGCCCGCGCCGCCGTCCGCGCACGTCGTGGAGATCGCGCGCGCGCGGAACGTGCCGCTGCCGCCGGAGCAGATGGGCGCGATCGCGCGCTCGGTGTTCATGCGGCTCTCGGCGCTGGTCGTGGTGGAGTACGAGCGCGGGGGGAAGAGGACGAAGGAGTGCCGGGCGGTGGGGGAGCTGTACGAGCTGGCGGATGAGGGGTATGAGGAGCCGGAGCCTGCGCTGCGCGCGCAGGAGAAGGTGCCGGAGTCGGGATCGCAGCAGCCACCCCAGGCGGCCACCTCCCAAGCAGGCCCATCGCAAGCAGGCCCATCACAAGCAAACCCACCCAACGCAGACCCCCCATCCAACGCCACCGCCAAACCCGCCCCCGGCGACGTCCTCTCCGGCCCCCTCTGGAACGACCGCTTCCCCCTCCCCCCGCCGCCCGCCGCCTACCGCTGGCGCCGCATCACGCACCCCGGCTTCGAGGCCGTCGTGTCCCTCCCCGTGCTCAGCGGCCGCTACTACCCCGGCATCCTCCAGCACCCCCTCCTGCGGGACGAGATGGAGCGGGTGATGAGCGAGATGGACGCGGCGTCGCCGCTGTTGGAGCTGGAGGGCCTGACGAGCGCGTTCTCGTGCGCGCTGGAGCCGTTTAAGTTCAAGCAGGTGAGGGAGCAGCAGTTGGTGGCGGCGGATCAGGTGGCGAGGGAGGTGTTGGCGAGTTATGGAGAGGAGGAGGAAGAAGAGGAGGAAGGGAATGCGATGGAGGTTGATGAGGTAGGGGATGTGGAGATGGGGGACGCTGGGCCATGACACTGTAGCCCCCTTGCGTATGTATCTTTGACATCTTGCACGGCCTTCTTGCTTGCGAATATTCTGACTGGAGAGAGATTGTCTATCCTCAAGCCGACTTCCCGGACATGCGCTCCATGGTGCAAACTCGAGAATGAAGATAGGATAATCGCGAGGTATCATCATGACGCATATCTGCGGTACAAAATAGTGTTACACAGTACAATAGTAAACCCGAAGCAAGAGAGATACGTAGACACATGGACGGACCAACCCAGAGATCATGTCCGAGTCGCGACGAGGTCAACGAAGGCCTGGCGCACCGAGATGATGAAGCCGTAGATATCCTGCGTCTTATTTAGCCGGTCTAGGAGTATAGGCAGGGTGGGTAATGGCGGGGTGGAGGTGGGGACTGAGGCGCAAGTCGGTTAGTGGGGACTTGAGTAGCAAGAGGACGGTGGCGCACCTTTGAACGGCGTACTGGACACGTCCAGCACGAAGCGAAACTCTCGCCCAGGATCCGAGGGTTGTATCTCCCAGAATCGGATGAGAATGGGTTCCGCGCCTGCTGCGCCCTTCACGCCTTCGATAGCGCACGCAAGGGTCCGTTCGCAGGCTTCGAGGTAGGGCATAACGGACATGGCATGAGCATTCAGCAGGTTGCGCTCCTTCTCCTTCTCTAGATTATACCGAGTCAACATCATGTAGCATCGGGGCAATAGGATACACGTACCTCGTTGCAGGTTCTCCGCCATCGCGCGTACGTTCTCCACCTCTGTCTCATCCTCCACGGTCTTCTTTTTCAAGGACTCCACCTGCCGCTTCACGGACGCAATCGCCACCTCCGCCTCCCGCTTCTCCTCCTGCTCGCGCTCCAGCTCTGCACAATCCACCCGTCAGCCCTCCATCCGTGAATCCATCTCAATCCTGAACACAAAACGCACCAGCCAACAACTCAATCTCCTTCAACTTGCACTGATTCGTCTCCGCCTCCGCCGCCCGCATCCTCTCCGCCAGCCGCTTCTTCTCCGCCTCCACCTGCTCTCTCCGCTCCGCCATAGCTGTGATGTACCGCATCTTGTGCTCGCCGAGGGCCTTGACAAAATCGCGGTTCGTCTTCTCGAAGGCTTCGAGTTTGAGGTCGATCTGGGGATTGTCTTCCGCTAGCAAGGACGCGAGGTCAATACGCGGCGCTCGTAAACGGCGGCCCATAGTGGTAGGCGCGCGCGGGGTGACGCGGTGGCGAGGGGAGGAGGCAAGGGGTGACGCGATCACGTGCGATCACACGGTCGTTTGAATTTCCGTTTCTGGCCTCAAGGCCTTCCCATTTCGGAAGTCAAGCCTTTGAGTCCCTCAGAGTGGTTGTATACTGAGAGTCAGAGAGAACTCCGCAATCCCTCTCCGGAAGACATGAGACGCAATAAGAAATCGTGATGATATTTCATGTTCGAAATCGCAGAAGAGTCGAGTCGGGCATAACCATGGAGCCCAGAGATATCTATGCAGCACAACACCCAGTATCTACGGCCGACTACATATAACTTAGTAGCGATCTAGCCGTACAGCGTACTATAAGTACAAACCCCGATATATAACGATCCGAAGAGATGGGCCAAAAGCCCGGCATGAATAAGAATGTACGACGAAGTGGCCTGGAGGAAGGGAGAGGTAGCGGTTGGAGGCAATGGGGAGAGTAGGAGAGGCATGGGGGAGAGAAGGTGCTGATAGGGAGATGAAGAGGAGGCGAGGGGAGGTACAGGCGCACAACGAACGTATAAAAGTGGGAACAATATAGTACTTATCATAGGTAGAGCAAACCGAAAACACAGCGACGGAAAAAGCGAGCGATCATGACCAAGGACGTGTATGTATGCATCATGATAAGTTTCATGAGGACGGATGGATGATGAATGCGTATGCTATGATTGTGTGTTGTTGTTGAGCGAGGATGGATGATGCAGAGGAAGTGAGAAAGAAAGATGCGAAAAGAAATATGCGAATCAAAATGTGGGCAGTAGATGCGAGTCAGTTCAAGGAGGGCAAGACGGGTCTATAACGCGGCGTGCGCGGAGTAGCGACCCGTGATGTTGTGTTTTCGCCGATAGCGCGCGATATTGACAAGGTCCATCAAGCGGCTGGGAAGATCGTCAGCACACCATACACTACACTTGACGATGAGAAACAAGACTCACTCTCGTGTAAGTGGCTTGGTGAGAATCATATCAGCACCCGCATCCTTGTACTCGCCCTGGTCCGTAACGAGCGCGTTGCCAGTGCAACCTACGACAAAGTCCAACCTCCCCGCCCCCCGCAACTTCCCCACCGCCTCCAAGCCCGTCATCACCGGCATCGAGTTGTCCAGGCACACAAGGTCGAACCGTCGTTCTGGCGGGCCCAGGAGGATGTCCAAGCACTGCTGCCCGTCCGTCGCCGTGGTGACCTTGGCGCCCATGGATTGCAACAATCTGGCCATGATCTTCCCGGTCAGAGGCTCGTCATCGACGACGAGAATTTCCAAGGGCTCTTCCGCTGGGATGGGCCCATTGGCGACCGAAGGTATTGAGGGTGTCATGCTAGGCGCATGTCGGGGAGGCTTGGGTACTTGCAGAGTCGACGGGGTCGTATTCGTTGTGTTCGACAGAGGCGCAGGATGTGGACCCTTGTGGTCAGCCGCCGAATCTACCGGCGAGCGCGGCACAGTTGGCGACAGCGAAGGCGGTGGCGTCCTCGACACCGGCCTCTGGAGTGGCTGCGGCATCGGCATCCGTGCCTTCTCCCCCGAATCCAACCTGAACTCTCCCTCTTCTCCGGGCGTTTCCGCCAACGCCGCGCCTGCCATATCCAGCACGCTCGTCCGCTTCCCCGACAACGGCCCAGGAGACCCCGCAAGCGTGCTCTCCGTCGCCTCGGAGCCCGGCGTCGGAAGGAACGGCTGCATGAACGCGGTGGAGACGGTGGTGTCGGACGCCATGGAGGTAAAGGCGAAAGGGGCTTGCGGCTTCGCGAAGGGTGAGTTCGGGGTGCCAAGGGAGGCGGGGCTGGAGGGCGTTTGGATGCTGGGCGGTGGTGGGATGCTGCTCATCATTGCCTTGGCCGCGCGGACCTCGCCTTGCGTCGCGACCGGGAATGAGAGCTCGAACCAGAAGATCGCGCCTTCACCCTTGCGGGAGATGACACCCTGGAGGAAAATGTTAGTAGAATGCGTGATAACCCAAGTGTGCCTACTAACCATTTTACCGCCACTCAGAGCGATGAGCTGCCGCACAATAGGCAACCCAAGCCCACTCCCCTTCCCGCTATTCTTGCCAATCGCGGTCTGCACAAACGGCTGGAACTTGCGCAGTTTGCGGAACTCGCCCGGCGTCACTACGCAATGGTCAGCATCCTCCGTCCCTTCATGTTCAGAGAAGGATAAATACTCACATCCCGGCCCCTGATCATGCACCTCCACCCTAAACTTGAACATCCGCATGCTCACCGACTGCGGCGACCCCGTCGAGCTCTTCCCATCCGTCGACGTCGCATCCTCCGTCCGCCTCTCCTCCTCCCCCATCTTCCCCATCTCCACCGTCACGTGCCCCGGATCCCTCTCCTTCTCCAAATCTCTCTCCGGATCCAAGCACCCATCCTCCTTCTCCCTATCCCTCTCTTCCCTATCCCTCTCCTCCTTCTCCCTCACCCGGCCTTCCACAATCTCCCTCTCCCTCGCATCCATCGCCAACCGCTCGTCCTCCTCCTCCCTCATGTGCCGGTCCGCCGGCGTCTGCACCAGCTTCGTCACGATCGTCACCGCGCCGCCCTCGCCCGTGAACTTGATCGCGTTGCTGCCCAGGTTCGTGATGATCTGCCGCAGCCGGATCTCGTCGCCGATGACCCAGAGGCCTTCGTCGGGCGTGGGCGAGTTCGGGCGAAGGCGAACCTCGTCGATGTTGGCGTCGAACTTGACCGCGAGGGGGATGCCTTTGGCGGCGGCAGCGACCTGAAGGTGGGGTCAGGTGTTATTCAATGAAAGAAAGGTTTTGTATCTCACGTTGAGGTGGGAGAAAATATGCGACAGCGTGCGATGGAACGGGAATGGACGCGGCTTGAACTCGAAAAGGCCAGTGTCCATTTCTGAATTTCATGTCAGTTGCGTTCTCCAACAATCATTGCATGACACGCACTCTGCAAATCCAGCACGTCATTGAGCACCTGCTGCATCTGCTTGAGGCTGACTTCCAGCGCGTGCACCTCGAACGTTTGCGTCTTGACCGTCTCCTTCTTCAGTGTCCCGGACGCTTGTAAGCTGTCGAAGGAGAGCACTGATATATGGTCAGCGTCACATACGTCCCTGCTATTATTTTGTAACCGGCGTGAAGAGCAGCTACGCACTGGCAGTATTCAGCGGCACCCGAACTTCGTGGAAGATGTAGGCCGCAAAAAGCGAGCGGCTTTCGCTCAGCTGAGCCTCTGCTTGCTTCGAGGACTCCAGCTGAAAGTACGCTTGCTTGAGCTGCGCGTTGAGCTGATGAAGGTGTCGGCGGGCCTGAGAGAAAATGTCGTTAGCTGAGGCATACTGACACCACCACGGTGAGCGCACCTTCTCCATGCGGTAGGATAGCCACTGGACAAAGATAGAGAAAAGGGCCTGAATTTTGAGCTCAGTGTACAGGCGGACGGCGAGAGACGATTGCATACATATCCGACGACGTTCCTCGCGTAGATGGTTTGATCCGGAATAATCATCGTGTTGAGCAGAACGAAGAACACGACCTGTGAAAGGATAGCGTAAGCGAGATGAACAGCGGAAGGACGGGGGTACGGGTAAATGGGGTTTGGACCATGGAAGGGCAGGAAGCATGAATCACGGAAGTGAATGAGGTATAGTCCATAGGGGTGGATAGAGGGTGTACCCCGAACGGGGAGAAGAGTAACCCCAAGCAGTGCGCAACCGAGCCCCAGATGGCGCGCAACGGCACCATGAAGCTACGCCGGAGGAGAGTGAATGGAGGATGTACGTACCTGGAAGAACGCCATGTAGGACCTGCGCGCGCAGATGAACAGCGCAATGACAGGGAAGCCCGTTGCATAGTAATCTAACCGCCAAGTGAGTGAGTTGAAGCGGCGCAGAAGGGGCACTAGAAGGGTGAGTGGGGTTGTGGAAAGGTGACGTACACATAGCGAGGAAATCCTGCAACAATCTTTCAGATTATGCTCTGGTCAAGGAGACGAAAAGGCATACCTTGCCGTGGCAGTTTTTCTCCGGGGTGTAGAAGCCACATTCTTTGATCTAGTGGGCCAATGAGAAGATGTTACACGATGCAGAAGAATAAGTAATTTACTTGAATGACCTCCGTGAGCGCGCAGTACCACGTCGCAATGCAGAACCAAGTCTGGAAGATGAACGGCGCCTTGTTATTGAGGTTGATCGCCACCATGACCGGAACGGGCAGCGTGAACAAAGTAAAGACGCCGTACTGCACATGTTCAGTGGACGTGCATGGCGAATCCGTGGAGTCGTACTCACAAAGGCGATGTACTCGTACAGTGTCACGCTGTGATTGAGCCACAGGTACAATGCCCAGTTGATGACGAGGTAAAGTGAGAAATAGCTGCACCGATGTCAGTATGGCAGGAAGACGAGAAGCAAGACAACAGACCCTGCAGCCATCTTGTTGTTGTGCCACTGCTCCTTCTGGTACCGGATCTCTGCGTCCTTGTCCGGGAACGTAGGGTGGAAGAAGGTGATCACGGCATAGTACGCCTGCCAGAACAGGGGAGCCCAGCGCAGGCGCATGCGCATAGAGTCCGAGGCATGAGGGTAGTCGGGGTAGTACACCGGATCGCTGATCGGCGGAACCGACTGGTTATCCTCCTCTCCGGACACGACGACCTCATCCACGCTCCAGTCGGACTCTTCGTCGTGGTGCTCGACATAGTGCCGGTACTCTGGGTTGTTGACACTGGCTGCGTAGAGACTGGCGGGAGTCTTGCCGTACAGCGACCCCTCGACGCTCGTCCCGCGACTGCCGGCGGGCCCCTTCCCGCCGAGCCCGTCAGACGGCGTCCCCGTATTCGTCTTCGTCAACTTGCTATGGAGAACTGAGCCCCAAATATTAGTTTGCAGCAGTTACGGCAGCGCCCCCCACGCACAGTGAATGACGGTCCATATGCGCTGCGGCCACGGCGGCCTTGCATCCCTCTTGACGCGCTCGTCGAAGTTGACGACGTGGACGTTGTGTAGCGGGAGCGCCTGACCGTTGTCCATCGCTGTGGGAGACGGTGGGGGGTAGCGGTGGACGCTGTGGTCCGCGTTGAGCGGCGGCGTTTCTGGATCGCCCAGCGCGACGACGAGGGGAGTTGACAAGCAGCAGCGATGGTCACATTCGCTGCGCCCACGATCGTAAGGAACACTTCCGCATGGGGAAATTTCATAACACCGCATCACCGATGATGACATCACTCCCTTTGCTTCCCATTCAGGCCGGACCCTGAATGGACTCGGAGAAGGACCCTCGAGCATCTCCTGCTGCTTTACTCCTGCCTTTCGACGCTCATCGACACCAGAAAACACTATTTTCTCTCATTTTCTGGGGCGGAACATAACCGACATCCGCGCTAGCAAGGACTCAGGTTGACCCGTGTCATTGGTGGCGATGCAGCAATTAAAGCCTTTATGGACTTTTGGGGCTCAGAATTCGCTCGCGCTCTCGTCAACACCAGATGCTTGGCAGACTAGAGACTCTTGCGCGCAGCTGGCCTCCGACACTACTTGTTGAAGGGCTCGTCAAAGTGCAACTCAGATATCACGCGCCAGTCCGCCGTCGACACGCACTTTTCGCGATGACCACACGCGTGCTCACATGTGTGCCTCGGGACTCACCAAGAGACATCGCGCACCTGCTCAACGCCGTACGTACAACATCCGCCGACGATGCAACCCCTCACGCGTGGTCTGCGGCGAAGCCGCCTCTGGCGAATTACTCGATCCTACTATAGTGGCGAACCCGACGGCTCCGCTACCCTTCGCATACCATCCCCAACACAGTATTGCAGAAGCTCGCCCCCGTCGGTCATCTTCACGTCTTCATCCTCCGATTGGATGGAAAAAATTAGTTTACCCCGCCGTCGCCACGTCTTCCTTCCGAGGTTCTCGTCTCTTTCACCACATCTGTCACTTCTGCAATTCAAGATCCACTGCCTCATTCTTCCCCGCGACTTATCGTCTCACGGGCATCAATTTTGTGCAAGATCTGTTGCTGAAGACTACATACTCTATACGCGCGTCCAGTACGGCGCCACCCACTCCGAGGACCTGCACGATCGCGAGTGGTCCAACGGATTTTCGTAGGCGCAAAGTCGGAGTCGCCGCTCAGGAATGATCTACGTCTCTTGGTCACTTCCTTCGTGCTCCGTCAAGTCGCACGACTGCGCCTCATGTACTCCCAGGTGCGGTTCAGGGTTCGTCATCCTGAAATCATAGAGCCGAGACCTCGACATCGAGGAAGTGCGAAACATCTACATCCGACCCTCCATACTTCGCAAGTAGAAACTCCTAATGGTTCAAGCAGGTCAGCTTGGCCATGCTGTCTAGCGGTCTTGATCGTTCTCCGACGACCAAAGCCACACTCAGGAAGAACATGATGGCAAGTCATAACAAAATTCCCTGTACCTTCAATCAAATGTCTGCAGGCCATTGTTTGGGCGGATTCGGGCTTCACGCACCATCTTTGGTCTAGGCTATAGCGTAACGTTGCCAGGGAACCTCTGAGCGGCGAGGACGTACGAATGTGAGCACCTTCATTGTTCACGTTACTCCTTCAGTATATCCGGCCCAGCGGACCCTCGGGCCCTTCATGTCCGGCGAGCCGGTTCCCTTTGTGACTCACCACATGTCACTCGACGGCGGTATGTGCTGCGTCGTCCCCGCCCATCTTCCGTGCTCACGACGAGCTGTACGGCCACCGCAACCGGCGGGCTTCTAAGCTAGATGGCCTATGGAAATTCTGGGGCATCCCAGGCTCCCGCAGGTGAGCGCTTCCCCAAGTCAGAAGGCCTGCATCCTACAGGTGTTGGGCGCCATCCACTCAGGGTCGGATCACTTGCGGTATTCTCACTGGAGATACTTCCCCGTCGTGTTGTCTCCGCCTTGCTTTGTTCTGGTGTTCGAGAAGGAGGGGCAGGACGTATGGCTGTACTTCGATAGTCGAATGTAGAGCGCAGATCAATACGTATTCCCCCGCGGGTCCTCGTAGGGTCTCCCACAAAGGCAAGCCCATTCCGTTCGCAAAGGCAATACCCAATCCGGGCGATTCCCTTGTGATGCGCCACTGATCTGACATATCGGCGGCCGCGGAGGATTGGAAATCGGCTTGTGATGGGCCAGAAGTTGTCTCAGCTCTGACCCACGCGTCCGGCACGCGTCCCTCGCCTTTTTGTCTTTCGCGGCGACCGCATACGGCGCCTTGTCTGCGCCCACCACGATGGAGATGACGCTCTCGTTCAGCAACGCGACCGCGGAGGACTTCCGCGACGACGGCAAGCCGCCCGCGGCCCCAAAGCCCAAAAAGCTGAAGAAGACGGCGCCGGCGATGCAGCCTGGGCACGTACCGCGCCCGCCGAACGCCTTCATGCTCTTCCGCTCGGACTTTGTGAAGAAGGGCAAGGTCCCCTCGCACATCGAGTCCAACCACGGCTCGCTCAGCAAAATCGCGGGTGCGTCCGCCGTCACATGACGGAGACAATCACTGACGGGGGCTGGCATCACAGGCGCATTGTGGCGAGCGTTGCCGGACGAGGAGCGTCAGTACTGGTACCGCAAGGCGGACGAGGAGAAGGATATCCACCAGCAGGAGCACCCAGAGTATGAGTTCAGACCTTCGCGCCCGTCGAAGGAGACCTCCGATGCGGCAGCAAAGGCACGCAGGCAAAGTCGTGCGGCGAAGGCAGCCAGCGACGGCCTCTTCCTCACCTTCGAGGCGAAGCCCCAACCAGTGGGCAGGACCATCCCTCCGCCTCCCTCGATCCTCAGGCAGCAGCAACAAATACCCCCGGTCGGTGCTCCAATTCCATCTGCGCCACCGCCCCCGCCCCCGCGTCAGCCAACCCCACCCACCTCGGGGTCCGCATCAGACAGGCAGCGCAGGACGGTGCACATGTCGAGCTTCCTGCGCGAGTACAACACCGCGCGCTGCGAGTTCATCGCCAAGCTCATGATCGAGGCCGTCCCCGAGGAGGACTACCCCGAGCGCATACGCAAGTGGGAGGAGGAGTTTTCGAAGAAGGACTACATCTTCGACTGGCGCTACGTTGGGAAGGAGCAGGCGCTCGCTGGGCACAGTGCCTCGCCCGAGGCGCACGAAGGGAGCGACGAGGAGATGGGTGATGCGGAGGACTACTATTCAGACGAAGGCATGATGCGCATTGACGAGGATGAGGTCGGGAAGGCTATGTATACCATGCGGCTCGATGACCAGCCGCGGTATCCGCAAGCATACCCACCCGTCCCGCCGCCCTTGCCGCCTCAACAAGAGGACATCAAGCCCATCCGCCGCTCATCCATGTTCGACTTCGCCGCTGGCACGCGCGACGTACACATGGCTGGACCCCCTCCCTCTGCTTTCCCTCCCGTCCCCATCCCTGACCCTCGTGCGATGCCCGACCCCCGCGGGTACGCCCCGCACCCGTCGATGAAGTCCATGTCGCACTCGCACCTGCGCGAGTACAGCATGATGCAGCACACCGCGCCGCCGCTGGCTTCTCCTATACGGGAAGACTGGCGCGCACCGCCACGGAGCCTCTCCCTGCCAAATACGCCGCACCCGGATCGTGACCCGTTGACGCTCCCGCGCTCCTGGTACGACGCGGAGGGACGTATACAGCTGCCGCCTCCCGTACCGTCGCGGCGCCAGTCGTTTGCGCCGGCCGGACAGCCTACGCTCCCCAGCAAGTGGATCCACGAATAATCGCGGGTCTAATGCTCGCTATTGGTCTCCTTCCTGCCTGTCGCTGTCACCCTGCACTTGCGGGTCGCTTACCTGTGCCCACCCGTTCGTTAATTTATCCGGTCCACCCCAGTCTTTCCTATCCAAGATCTCTCCCCATCTCACCATACCTTACAGCGCACCCTAAATTTGTAGCATTACTGTTGTCCTGGCGGGCTGCCCTCTATAATTCGCGAATGGTCCGTCTGGCTGTTGTTTGTTGGTCATAAGGGCGCCTCGCGCCCGCTCGATGGGTACTGGAGTTGCGCTACCCCCTGACGTGTTACAGCTCGCGGACCTAGCTAGTCTACTACTGGCCGCGTTGTGCGACACGTCTGGCTTTTTCTTTGTGGATACATACTACCATGGTTCAAGACACTACTGGAATACTCAATCTGTCGCATTGCTTTCTACCCAGTACATTACCTTTGTGCTTTCGTCTTCCTCAATGTAATCTTTCGTGAACTGTGCCGTTTGGAATGCCCTGCTGGCAGTCGCTCGGGAACTTGACTAGGCCGAAGCCCTTTGTTGCTGAATTTCCTCAACTCAGTTGCTCGATGTATTATGGGTCAATGGTCATAAAATCCAGCAAATGCGCGACAGGGTATCTGTGCATTGGAGAGGTCCATAGGAGACATACACACTTGCAAAGGGGTCATGAAAGTCGTGAGGAATAAGGTACTACCAGATATATACGTGCTGCATGCATGGAAGGGGGTTTGGGAGTATCCGTGTCTTTCGGTCATCATCATGCTTTGGTTGGTACCCACAGCATGGGCCCGACCGCTCGAGCTCCCTGCATCCCTCACTCCAACGGCATACTCTCCACCGCCTCGCTCAAGGCGTTCCAGTTCGCCAGCACGCTCTCCGTAAACTCAGTCTCCTCTCGCGCAAAGGCCTGCACGAGCAGCGTCGGCAGCGTATTCTCGCGGTTGTGAAGGACGACCTTGAGTTCGTGCCACATGCTATAGGGATCGTCAGCGTCAGAGAGTATGATATCAACAAACGAAACTGAAATCTCACCACGCCCGAATGAACACCCTCCGGCTCAGTTGTGCCGCAATCGTCGCCTGGTCGCGCTCGATCTGGCTCGCCAGCTTGTCCGCCTCGATCTCCCAGCCCTCCTTCCGCGTCGACTTGATGCCGTCCATCTTCAGGGACGTCGTCTCAACGCGCTTCTTTAGCCGCTCGACCTGATCGACGGATAGGCGGTCATGCCGGACGAAGAGGTCGCGCATGGCGATGTAGAGGTCGCGTTGAGCCTATGTTGTGCGTCAGTTGCGGCGTTTTTCGTGATGAGCGAAGAAATCATCACCTTCAGCCCCTCCAGCGTCGTATCCATCAACGAGCGAGTCTGTAACCCCCGTCAGTCTCCTCGTTCTCGGACTAACATCAACCGAAGACTCACCCTCAACTCCTGCATTTCTGCATACCGCTGCGTGTGCGCCGCAACCTGGCTCAGCCCCGCCCGCACCCCGTTCGACAGCTCGCACTCCTCGCCCCGCCAGCACGGCGCCCCAACCTCGACAACCGCGCGAAGTGTGTTTGTAAGGCGCGAGAGGTCGCTCTGCTCGCCGAGTTCCATGGAGAGGACGGAAGCATTCAATGGCGGTAGTGTCGTCGAGCCGGACATGTTAGGCGCATATGAACCAGACATGCCAGCCATGCCAGGGGTATACGAGCCGGTCATGGACGCATCGGAGGGTAATAAGGTGGAAGACGCGCTCAATGGGGAGGCGAGGAGACCATTGTTATGTGAGGACGATGGCAGGACAGGGTTTGTAGCGGTTATCGGTGAGTTCGGTACAGAGTTGAATGCGCGTTTTGCAGAAGGAAGACCGAGAGCAGAAGCGGACGGGAGCAGGTGAGCCGGGATGTGTAACGCACGACGAAGACTGCTGGTCCGTACCGCAGCTGCCTCGCGCTTCTTGACGATGCGCTCCGCGAGGATACATGCGCGCTGCCAGTGCTCAATGAGCAGGGGCACCTGGGCTCGGACGTGGCTGTAGAGGGGGTTAGTATGGTTATCTGAGGGATCACACTGGACGAAGCATTCGCGGAGAAGCGCTGCAGCAATGAGAGGGGGACTGCTCACGAGAGTTTGTCCTCCAGATCACTTGGGATCGCCATCTCCTCGACGCGGTCGACGCGCTTGCTGGCCGATTCTTCGTCGAGGGTGACGGAGTTTTGTTTCCGCCATACCTCGAACGAAGGTTCGGTTAGGAAAACACCCAGAAGAGCGTCGTCCTTGATGACAGGGTGGTTGCTGATCTCCTCGTGAGTGAACGCGAGATATTGGCAGGGGCCTGAACTTACACGATGAAATTCAAGACGCGCGCAAGCCCTCGTCTAGAGATTCGTTGGTCCGTGGTTCATTGGTTTGTTTAGTGCTTACCTCCGCTGCTCGATAAAATATTCATCGGCTGTGAGAAGAATGAGATACAGGGATGGCAGGGGAATTACAGCCACTTACGCCCAATACGCTTAGGAGGAAGCGCAGGGAAGAGCCTGAAAGGATAGCGTCTCGTCAAAACCTCCCAGAGGTATACAAACTCCGAGTATCGACGCGTCACTGGAGAGCCTCGCTGCATATCGTCAGGCACAAGCCGACACGCAAGTAGGGTACATACAGATGAAGTTATCTGGTACACGGTGTAGCGGTTCAAGATGAACCCCTGCTGCCCAACGATACTGACTTGCACTTTCTCGAGCTTGCGCCACCACTCCGGTGGAAGACCCGTCCCAGTGAAGTTTGACGACGCGCCGTTTGTGAGAGCGGGAGCATCGGACGTTGCGGCGGTGGGCTTGGTGTTGTCGAATCCGCTGCCAGTGGTGAATGGGCTAGGGCCCCACGGGTCAAAGGAGGAGTAAGCGGGTGCAGGTGACGCGATAGGTGGCGATGCAGGCTTGTAGAACGTCGACGTCGACGGCACGAGGGAGTCGAGGTCCAAAGCAGGCTCGGGGAGCGAGTTCTCAGAGGAGAGTGCGGCCACTTGTTCGATGCTGACGTCTACTATTCCATCAGTGATGTGCTTCTGTATCAATAGGAGTGACAACGCGCCTTTGCCCGACTGCGCGAGAGCGACGAGTGCCAGAGCGACGAAAAACTCGAGTCGGGATACCCGCGGGCGGGAGCTGACGAGGTTGACGATCTGCGCAGGGCTCAGTCACGTTCGCGCCACCTGAGGGCAGGGGAACATACGCGGTCGATCGTCGATGCTGGGAGCGATGATGTCGCCAGAGCCCGCGAGAGTGAGTTGACAGACACGTCCCCCGTGTTGTCCAGGTCGACCGCGTTGAAGGCTCGGTTGTATATCGCCGGCACTGTCGCATCCGCTGCGGACATATGGTTAGCTTATCGTCTTGCCGGTTGAGTGACGACTCGTACCTATAACAGAGCTGAATACCGAGTTAGCGTGCGTCACTGGGGGAGGGGCGGGGCTGGGGGCATTGCTCCAGGGGTCGATGGTATCGTAGACCGACGACGCGAGCGGGTTCTCGTCGACGAAGCTGCCGAAGCCGCCGCTGGTGTATCGCTGTGTCGAGCGCGGCGCGTTAAACATGGTGGTTCACGTCAGGCCTGTGTATAGCAGTGTGTGCGTCGTGGCCGCTCCGCGAATGCCCTTTCGTCGCTGTCGTCGACGTCGTCGAGCTCGTCAAGTTCGCCCGCGCCAACCGCGTCTGTGTGGCAAACAGCACCACGTGCGCATTGTCCGCTTTCGGCGCGATAATAGTCTTTTTCCCACGGTACATGTGTCCCTTCTCATCCTCCATCAGGCGCCGCGACCCCGAGACGTACGGCTGACCTTCGCCGCCTCCCACTAGCCATGTCGCACGCAAAGTCCGGCAAGGGCAGAAAGTCAGCAAAATTCACTACCATACCCCCCAATCCAGTGTATCTGGACTTCAAGAGCAGCGATGGAGACTCGCGGCGCTGGCCTTCCCAAAACCACCAACACAGAACGGTAGATCACTTGAACCAAATCAACTGGTACCGCTACATTGGGCCCGACGAGCCAGAAGCAATACGCTGGCGCGTCGAGGTTGGTACAGGCGCTGCTGCAGTATTACAATTACCTCGTATGTCTTTGGGGCGCAATTCGGCTCCCCCTTGCTCTGACACTTCGTAGCGGGCCAGAACTATGTTCTCCGAGGCTGGCCTAACGAGTATGCATTCTACTGCCACGAAAAGGGCAAAGCGGAGAGCCCTCGCCGTGACCATTATTTGATTGGTCAGTGTTTTGTTTTTGTCTCGTTTGCGCCTGACAGCCCTAAATACTATGACAGGAAGCAGGATGCGCTTTCGGTCCACGAAAGAATTCATCGAGCATGCCGCATGGCTCATTGACGGCGCTGTCAACTCTTGCAAGTGCAAGAATTGCTCAGGACGCCCGCAAACAGAGGTCTCTCGGGATCTTGCCGCTAATGGAATAAAGACAAGGGCATCACCGTCGAAGGCTCCGTCTGCTGGACCCAGCACGAAAAGGTCGCCTTCCAAAACCTCTGCCAGACCGTCGACGAGCAAAGTGCGCACGTCGATGCCACCACCGCCGCCTCCGATGCCTCTGCAGCCATCGCCTGTAGAGTCGCCGCCGTCGCCGCCTCCAGCGCCCGCGTTGCCATCACAGCCCACTACAGAACCTCCGCCACCGCAGATAGCTCTACTATGCGAAGAGCCTGCTCCTATCTCGAGCGACCTCATACACACACAACGAGCGATCGAGCTGAATGAAGCTCTCGTGCCGGACCCCACCAAGATGTGCCGCTGGTACAGATTGGGTGAGGTCGTATGGGCTCAATTGGATCCGCCACTCTCTGGGGAGGGTCCACCTATCAACTTCTGGCCCTGTGTCGTCACGAGCACCGCGGCCGAGATACCCTGTAGCGACACGCTAGGATACCAGGTCCGCTGCATCGTCGTCGACCATGCACGCGAAATATTCCCTGGGAATCGGCTGTTACCTTACCTCGCTTTCTCGCCGTCTGCTCTCGTCGATTGGGCCTTGGAGCAGACACCAGCAGACCTCGACTTCCCACATAGCGAATTGGAGAACTTCCAGCCGTTCGCGCCGTGCGAGAATTACAAGCTTGCAGTATCGGCCTGTGTACATGCCATACAGGTCGGAGCGCAGCTTGCAGATTTTTGGGCCCCAGATATGGTTACGATTCCGACGCCGCCTCCACTCCATACGCCGAGCCCACCGCTGGGTCTACCCAACCCCTCACCGTCACCCGCGCCTACGCAGCCACCTGTCAACTCAGCCCATTTACTCTCAGCTATGACCCGCTGTCAGGGTATATGGTGGGGCCCCGAGCGCATATGGGCCGGCGACCTGGTACGTCTTCGCCTCCCTCGCAGCGGCCTCGCGCCCCAAGGCGTCGACCATGTCCTCCCGCCCTCTCCCTTGGGCAAGGCCGGGCTCGACTACCTCGCCAAACTGGGCCTCACACCCGACACCGCCCCCGGACCCCTCGGCGTCCTCACCCGCGCAACATTCCTCCGCATCGCGCGCATCGGGCCGCCCACCGCGACCGAGTGCTGCGCCGCGGGCGTGCTCTACGAGCTCGCCGACGAGGACGTCGGGCCTGGGGTGTGGGACGACGTGCCGGATGCACCCCTGCCCAAGGAGCCCACCGGCTTCCGATGGCGCAGGATCACGGAGCCCGGGTTCGTCGCGTCGGTGCCGCTGCCTCTGCTCGCGGGGCGGTACTACGCGCGGATGCTGAAGCACCCACTGCTGGACCATGTCATGGCGACGCCGCAGGAGCTGACGGCGGAGAACCCGGTGGTGTCGCTGGAGGGGCTGATGCCTGCGGGGAACATCGAGACGGACCAGTTCCAGCCGGATCGCGGATTGCAGCTGGCGAGGGCGAAGGAGGAGGCGTTCGCCATGCTACGGACATACTTCGAAGGGGGCGATGCGGATGCGGAGGGCGAGGACGATAACGAGGTCGACCAGCTCGCGGAGGAGTCAGCGTAGGTGTTTGCGTTGGGTGTATCTATATCGTTCGCATGGGTGTTCACTTGCTTCGCTGCTTCGTGTTTCGTTTATGTATAAAGGCGTGCATCTATACTTCATTTACCTGTTCTGATCCGTGAGCCTTCGGTAATTGCCAATGCAGCCTCATGTAGGGTGCCTGCTCGTCGATATCCGCTCGTTCCTGATCCTAACTTTCACGGAAGAGCAGTCTAGCTATGACGAACGGTAGCACCTCATCGGAGGTGTACTGCAGCGTCGACGGTAGGTATTCCTACTTCCCTTTCTAGCGCGTACTGAACTTTGCATCTACAGGCTGCACACTCCCAATAGACGTCGTCTTCAAGTCTTCAGACGGCGAGCTCCTGGGCGCGCATAGCCGGAACCTGGAAATGTACGGCGAAGGATTTCCGGCAGCGCCTAACGGTGTCGCCGATCCTGAAGCCGCCTTGCTCACCGAGCCTGCGAAGACGCTGAAAACTCTTTTGGCGTTTATGCACCTTGTTCCCCAACCCAGGATCCGTAACCTGTCGTGCAAGTCTGTCCTGGAGATTGCCGAAGCTGCGGAGAAGTACGGCGTGCACTCGGCAACGCAGGTTTGTGCCATAGTGCTCGAGTACGTCGGACTGCTCTCCACTGGTCGGAGGGGTGAGAACGCTCATCTCTTCTGCTTAGGTCGAAGGGGAAGCAGTGCCCCTCGGATGTTCTGAGGTTCGCATTGCGACACGGCTACAAGGAACTCGCAAATACTGTCGCGCCGTATACGCTGGAGTTCTCCGTTGCGGAGATGAAGGTCATGTACAAGGACGACGACTACGCGCTGATGAAATGGGTAAGTAATGCGTTCCTCATGCGTGCCCTTCGCTCACCGAACACCTCAGCTCCTTTACTGCTCCCGCTGGGAAGACCTTACGCGCAGAGCGGCAAAGCCGACCCACTGGCGCGTACATCGCGGCGGCAAGCTGCATTGCGACGACTGGCAGGACTTCTGGATCCCTGTCCTCGGTGACCTGATATCGCACGGGAAGAACGCGATATACGGTGGGCAGCTCCAGAGCATCGTCGACAGTCACCTGTACCAGCTGGACGACTGCGATTACTGCTGCCCCGACGTGCGGTTCTGGGTTAATACCTATGAGAAGGAGGCGCAGAAGTTGGTGGAAGAGGGCATCATGTGAACACGTCGTACGTAGCTGGTCTATGCGATTCCTTGTCGGGCAATCCTTGCTTCTGGCTGCCCACGATGCGATTCTTCGGGAGTTCTGAGCTGAGAAGCAGATACCATGACCGCCAGCGTACGATCCTCATGGAGACTGCATGTCCGCCGCTGTGAGTCCACCTCCTCTTGCTCTTGACGCTCATCGCCCGCAGTCTCGCTCCTCCGATGTCTTCCTCATCTACCTGTAGCCAAGCGCCAGCTCCTGAGTGCAGTGTGAAAGGTCGGCTGAATGTGTCTTGTTGAGCCTCCACGCCACTGACCGTCACGGTAGACTGTACGCTCCCCGTGGACGTGATCCTCAAGTCTTCAGACGGAAAATTCCTGGGCGCACATGCGTGCAACCTGGCCACGTATGGGGAGGCATTCCCTTGCGTAGACGGCACCGTCGTCGCAAGCGAACCAGTGGCTCTCACGGAGAACAAAGCGACCCTCAAGACGCTCCTCGCCTTCATGCATCTGGCCCCGCAGCCAAAAATCCGCAATGTACCCTGCACTGAGGTCCTAGCGCTCGCCGAAGCGGCGGAAAAATATGGCGTGCACTCAGCCACACAGGTCTGCGCTATCGTGTTGGAGTACGTGACAATTTCTATATGCGCGGAGCCAAGGGGCTAATCAATATCGGTGTGAAGGTCGAAGGTGGCCTCGCAGCCGATCAGTATTCTCAGGTTTTCCCTCAAGCATGGGTATAGAGAACTCGCGAATGCCGCCGCACCCCACACGCTTGCGCACTCGACCGACGAGATGATGGATCACTACAAAGAAAACGACTATGCGCTCATGAAATGGGTGAGCCTCCTATGCATCTTCGGGTGTTATCTGCTGATGACTCTCCTCGATAGCTCCTCTATTGCGCCCGCTGGGAAGAGTTGACGCGCAACGCATCGAAGAAGAACTCTTGGCGTATCCATCGGGGTGGATCTGCACACTGCGAATATTGGGGAGGTTTCTGGGCTGCGGTGCTAGGTGATCTCTTACTGTGGGGCAAGGGTGCGATCTATGGAGGAAAGCTGCGCACCCTTGTCGAACCCCGCCTTGATATGCTGCATGGTTGTGAATACTGCACGCCGGATGTGAAGTACTGGATCACCTTTTGGGAGAAGGAGGCCGAAGACCTGGCTGCCAAGGGAATTATGTAGCATTCCGATATGTTTGTAACCACGGATAAAAGGAGATTGTGAATTTATGTGCTTTCTTCTGTTTGGCGGTGTGGGTCCGGTTGAATTGCCCGGACCGTAGGGTGATGATGGTGATGTCATGACGAGTTCTCGATGTCTCCGAGCCACACGCGGCTCTCGTCTGACGATCCTCCTTCCCTCCTACCACGACCACCTCGTCGACGTTGATCATGACCGAGAAGTCTTCCCCTCCGAACAAGGGTCTCTGGAAGCCGCCGATGGTCCGCGGCCGCTACGAGACCTCCGTCGGCGGCATCGTCTCCATGCTCGTCGGCCGCGCCGCGGACATCCCCCTCCAATACGCGCTCTTCAAGAAAGGCTACGCGCTCTCCGCCCTCGTTAAAGTCGGCCTCATGCAGCCCATCGAGATTGGGAATGCCGCGCTGACGACGGGGCCGGGCATCGGCGGGCTGGGCCCCATCCCGACGCTGCTGCTGGGCATGTACACGGTCGGCTCGCTGCGGCACGCGTACTGGGTGACGCGCACGAACACGATGTACTTCGGCCCGTCGGGCGGCGCGATCGTGTCGCTCTACAACACGTTCATGAACACGGCGAACACGCTCGTCGCGGCGTACACGACGTCGCACCTCGCGCAGGTGGTGACGAACGTGACGTATGCGGACTCCTTCGGTGGATGGGCCGCCTCGCTCGGTTGGCAGCAGTGCGTATAGCGAGTTTCATCTTCTGAAGAGGCCTCTTGACGAAAAAGCGCAGATGGGTTGGTCTGGCTCTGTTCGCGTCTGGCATCACGATCGAGATGTACTCGGAAGAGACGCGCAAAGCCTTCAAGAAGGATCCCAGGAACAAGGGCAAGGTCGACGACACGGGCCTCTTTGGCATTGTGTTCGTAGAATCGCATATATGCGCATCGAATTCTTACTAAGACTCCCTACAGTCGTCACCCCAACTACCTCGGCTACACGCTCTGGCGCACTGGTGCATCCCTCGCGACCGGCTCTGTCCCCGCTGCTCTCGTCACCCTGTGCTTCCAGGTCTTCCAGTTCGCGAGCGCCATCCCGCACTTGGCCGCGCATATGGCTGCTAGTGAGTCCCGGTGCTGCGCTCCTAGCACCTATTCTAATGCATGTCTACAGAATACGGCCAGCAATGGAAAGACTACGAGGACCGCGTCCAGTACAAAGTCATTCCCGGCGTATACTAAGCTTATGAGCATATAGGGATACCACGTTACTTTCGTTGTGCAAGATTGCGTACATGGACTGCGAGGTATACTACAGCGAGACGTCAGGCTTATGAGCAATAATTCAATGTACTTAAGTTGGCGGACACTTGGCAGATGCGCCCTCCATATATCAACGGGTACAGCAAGATCTAGGCAACGCGGGGCATTTGACGGTCTCAGTCGGCGTGCGCGCGATATCCTGGGCCGTGCAGCCTCTGCAGCCCCTCGCTTTGTCGTGTATAGGGGCACGACGGCGACCCCCTCGGCTGGCTCCCCAGCCGTGGGCGGGGACAAGGTAAGAACTCCGGTCTTTCATCGTTACTACTCGCTCAAACATGTGTAGGGCTTCGACGACTAGTCAATATATGGGGAAACACACCCCGGGTGCCTAGGCGCTACCATCATCCTCTCAGCGCAATGTCTTTCCTCCTCGCGGGCGCATGGGATCAAGTGCGTCTCTTTTTCGGACAGCGACTTCCTTCCTTGTGTTTCCTTACCGTCTTTTCTCTCAGGCCTATGGATGGAACTCCCTCACCGCCGACGAGCGCACCACCATCAAGTCTGAGTGCGTCAACGCCGGCATTAAGCTGATCGTCGCCGTCTTCGGCGCTGCTACAGGACCTCCGTGTCTTCGACAAGGGTGAGGGCTCCGGCGAGAACTAGCTGATCGACTTCACAGTGCAGCTGCGCTCGGACTTGCCTGCCGGCGATTGCATCGTCCCCCATGCGCGTGAGTCTTCTCTCGGCGACTTTCAAATCACTTAGACTCACCTGTCACAGCCGTCACACCCATATCCAGCCCTTCTAAGGGGGCGGTGGGGGCTATCTCGCCGTTAACGAGAAGGTCGGCGACCTCATCGGCTGGAATAATATCCAGTTCTACAACCGTGCGCTCCCTTCTCTCTCTTCTCCTCCCCTCTTCTCTCCCCCTGCCCTTCTCTTCCCCATCTCCTCGTTCTTCTGCGCCTCCAACACCACTTCTTTGTCCGTCTTCCCTCGTCTATCAATTTCCTGCCTTCAACGTGCCACTCAGAGGGCAGCACAGAATATACCTCATGCTATTCCCTTCCAAACACCTCTTCCTCCACCTGGCCCGAGTCCGCCCTGTTCGAGATCATCACCAACAACGTCGACGCTGACAAGCTCGTCATCGTAAAGCCCGCGACCTCGGGCGACGCCAAATACGAGTACATCGCGCTCGAGACGCTCGCGAAGTGCCTGCAGTCGGCGAAGGCCGCGGGCTGGCGGGCGACAACGGTCTCGTTTTTCGTGACTCGGACACTGCAAGGTACTGACAGTTCAAACGTATGCAAACGCTAGGATCAAGACTCGATCCCAGTAGCTTTACCCGTACGAGACCTGTGTACACCTGGCTCGATCAACTGTTTGGTATCCGAATCAGTGGACTGCATAAGCACTCCAGAATGAACCGCGTCGCGGACAAACGTGTAGGGGTCAGTAATTCTTTATGCTCAAGATTTGGTACTTGGCGGCTAAGTGGTACTTTTCAGGCCCTTATGGCGGCCATTCAACACTGGCAAGATATACGCATGGTTGGGTACGTGACGGCAACATGCATTACCGAGATGGAAGGTACAGTTTGACTAGAGTACATGTGTCCTTAAGATCAAGTCTTATGCTATATACACCTAGCATGCAGGTCTCGGCGCACATTCGACCATGTTCATCACGGTCAAATTGAATTGCGTCGGGATCTGCCGACTGCCAGTGGAGTAGCCGCAGGGAACTTCTGATTCACCGCCGCCATCATCTTGTCCAACTGTGCATCCGATTTCTCAGAGCCCCATTGTACTGCGTCAGGCCACGAATCATGCTTGATGGGAATGTTGTCAGAGGTGTATTCGCGCCAGTCTTTCAAGGGCGTGCCATTGACAATTTCCGCACGCCTGAACTGGCTCCACGTCCAGTAGTCGCCGACCATAACAACGCCCACGACGGTATCCTGGTGGCGGTACTCCTCGCTCATCAACACGTACAAGATCTACAGATCGAGTTAACCATCTCATTCTGAAAGTTGGTAAAGTCCATACCTGAAGGATCAAGCCACGCATGGCTAGGTACAATAACTGATAGAAGACGCAATGGAATTGTGCGGGAGATAGGTCACGCGAAGGAAAGCGCTTCGCCTCCCACACCATCATGATCGTAGTTCGCATCTCTGGCTTTATCTCGGGCTGTCTGAACGTCTGCTTGAGGTTGCAAACCTGGTCTCCTTCCTCTCCACTCCAGCCCGCCTGTCGTATGCTCTCACCAATCCAGTCAAGATCCAAGTTCTCCTCGCCCTTGTCCGACGGATCTGTTGCATGAATTGCCCCTTCATCCTGGTTATTCTCCGGTTCAATTCGCATTCTGTTGGCGTCTTCCGTGTTTTCCTCGCCCTTGTCCGACGGATCTGTTGCGTGCTTTGTCCCTTCATCTTGGTTATGCTCGGGTTCAAGTCGCATACTGTTGGCGTCTCCCGATTGTTCCTCGCCCTTATCCGACGGATCTGTTGCATGTTCTGCCCCTTCATCTTGGCTATTCTCCGGTTCAGGTCGCACCCTGTTGGCGTCTTCGGAGTCATTGCTCGAGCGACTTGGTGGTATGGGCTCCTGTCCAGCATCGCTCTGCATGCTTTGATCAGCCAGATTGTTGCTGGCACTGCTTTCGTCAACCGTATCTGAGTTCGAATCTCCCGGTTGACCCGAGTGCCAGTCCAAATCTGAGGAGTGATCGCCACCGGATCCTGAAATGTCAGTTTCCTCCGAGTATGAGGCAAAGTGTACACCCGCGTCGCTTTGGCTGGATATAGGACTAGACATGATGGGCTCTGCTGAAGCAGGAGAAGCAGGAGAAGGATTGTCGTGAGGGTCATTCGATCCGCTCACACTGCCAGAGTGATCCTCTCTGGGCGACATAGGGGGCAAGACATCTGCTTTAGCGTTGGCGAAGCTCTGCACGATACCGCTGCTCAAGCCGCCGCGCAAGATATCAAGACTGGGGGCGTTATCCGAAGTGATGGAATTTGAGGGAGCACGCCAACTTCGCGTCCGGGACGAATCAGAGCCGGATTCCGGCAGGTAGTTTTCGTCGTTTGAGTGGTCCCCTCCGGAACCCTCTAACGAGTCCTCTGCCGCTGCATCATAGACTTGGTATCGCTTAGGAAACTCCTCGGGCAATCCAATTGGACGATGACGACTGGGATCACTTGCAGACCTCTTGTATTTTGCGCGAGCCTTTGCACATGCATCTCGAATCTGTACGGCATCTGCGGGAGGCGCTTCGAATTCCAAAGACACCACCGCAAAATCGGAGATGGCCACCGGTAAGCTGCTTGTGTGTCGGATAGATTGGTCGAAAAGCTGTTCCTTGTCCAAGTCCAACATGAAATCCTGCTCGTCAATCATATCCTATAGAGAAGTTGGATGAGTAAGACTATACTTTCTGCAGCGGCCACGTACAATGATTTCTGTGATTGTTGCTATCTCGGAGGTGGCGGAAGTATGCGTGTCCTGCTGCTTACAGTTAGGCAATCGCCATTCATACAACTGTGCACACTGACTTGAGCCTGCTTGTCTCGCCACGCAAGAGCTGCCTTCCAGAATTTCTTGAGATCCTCTTTCACAGCGGCTTGATCCATTTGTAACCGAACTTCCTTGGGAAGCAGATGGAACTTGGATTGAGGAAGAACAAATGCAAGCCGGTCCGTTCTCGTCTCGACAATCATCGTGATCACAGTATTCCAGAACCCGTAGAGGCCATGCTCGTGACGAAGCCGCGCGGCGTACAGGGACAGATGCAGATGGGCGAGCAAGCGCCTGAAGCGATCGTTTATGAGGTCTCGAGCATGTTTGATATACTTTTTTCTGAGTTTCTTGATACTTTGCTTGAATGGGTTTTGAAAGATCCACATGGTAGTAAGAGACGGAGGAGGGGAAACTGCTTGCTCACTCTCGCTGCCCGCATCTCTGTTTTATATGGCTAGCAAGTTGCGCCACAATGCCAGCGTTGTTATTGAGGCTCAAGGAGTTACATATAATTCCCTCAATTACCGTGGAAACTAAGCCGTATCGAAGAGCAAAGAAGCTGAAGCAACAGCAGCTGCAAAAGGGCGCGGGTGTTCGATTGAGAACAGCCCACCAATTGAATCGCAAAGGGAAGTCGCAGACCTTTGCAAAAGGCACACAAGGGAGGTCAATGCATGGAAGCTTTGGTCGGGAATAAAGACATCACGAAGTCAGGCAGATGACCGTAGACGTCGCAAATGAGTGCAGGAAGAGGAAGTCATTGATGTCCGAAAGGGGAAATCATTTGAGGCCATATCACGTGCCCTGCTCGACCGATGTTAGAAGACTTCATCCTTGGGACCGCCAGTGACTCGGAAGCAAGCCTGAAGACGCGGTAGTGCTTCTTTTTGACATTGTTTGCCTTCGCGTATAGCTTCTACTTATGCAAACCTACCGGATGCATGGCTCGGTTCATTGCCGCAAGACCGTCGTGTCTTCGTGCAGCTTCTGCAGGCTGTCCGGCTTCCGTCTCAATTTGCGAAGTTGGTCAGGCTTCCACAGGACGAAGACGGGGCCTGATCAAATCCTCAGATCATCGCGAACAACGCCTTTTCTTCGGGCCTTCCATCGCGAGCAACCGAACGCGCCTCGTCAGTTGCATGGCAGACACTATCGCCACACTACCGGCAACGTCAATGCACGGCACGAAGTTGCATATCCACATAGGCAGCTGAGCTCTATTACGGCGCGGGACTATGTTACACAGCACGGGCGATGTATATAGATGATAAGTTTACAGGCATGGCGCGTCGAACAAGTGCAAGCGAGCATGGCGCGTGGAACAAGCACGGCGCGAATAAGTGTATGGTCCAGCGAAAGCAGTGATGGCAGAGCGGGTAGAGAGATGGAGGAGAGGGAAGATAAGGAAACGGTTCAAGGAAGAGAGAGGGGATGAAGTCTATGCAAAACCGATGAAGGATCCGGGAGCTGTGAGGGGGATATCGACGTGTAGGAGAGGATGTCGACGTGCATGCGAGCGCGAGGGGAGCCTCAAGGACGAGGTGGATATCGAAGGGTGAGAAGGTATGACAACGAGAGCAGGACTGATCCAGCGAGGTCGGGGACGGCTATGTACATGCAAATGGGTGTGGCGGTGAACTCGGGGCGGAGAGGATGGCGCGGACTATACACACAGGAAGCGCGCGGATTAGACACGTTGGAAGCGCGCGGATTAAACACATCGGAAGCGCAGGTAGCGCATGAATCCAGGGCTGCTTCGCGTATTTGGGGGGATTCAGCCGGGGCCGAACGCGTAAGCACGGCGGCGAGAAGCTGACCGTAGTCGGTGCGGTGCGTGCGAAGGGCCGGCTAACGGTCCAGCCACGGAGGCGAGGAGGATGCGGGCGAATCTTCCGCGAGGTTCCTCGTCAGGGAGCCCGAAGCAACTCGCCCCAAGGCAGCCGATGCAGATACGTCCGATACGTGCCCTTGAGCAAGTACCAGAAGAGCCATCCCCAGAAGAGCAGTGAGACGAAGAGCGAGAGGCGCAGCGCGGCCTTCCACCGCCACGACACCGGGCTCGCGGACGAGAAGATCGTCGCGCGCCACCGCTGGAAGAAGCCGGTGTTCAGCCAGGTGAGGTCGGCGACCAAGGCCTGTGCCTTGGGGGCGGGGTCAGGATAGGGGCGCATGACATCACGGTGGGCGGCTGCGCACCTTCTTCCGCCCGGAGTCATAGGCGCTCTGGATGTCGGCGACCTGCGTGCGGACGGTGGGGAGCGTCTCCTCGAGCTGCTCGAGCTCTTCGATGGAGGTCTGGAGGGATTCCTTGATCTGGGGTGTTTGTTGGACGAGTGCGCGGTCGGCTTGGCGGGAGGCGCGCTGAGGAGGCCATCAGAGGCCGCTACTTCCAGGGAGAAAGGCACACGCACCCGTAATCTGGAGAATGCATCTTGCAGCGTGCCGTCGATCGCACGAAAATTGGAAAGACTGAGGGCGAGCTTCTCCTGCAGCGACAGTGAGATACAGAATGTGATAGTGCGGATTGGTACGCACCTCCAGCTCACGCATCTGGAGCTCATACTGCACGGCTTGTTTGGATACGCGCTTGAGAGTCGCTTCGAGCTGGCTGTTGGCGAGTTAGACAATCGATGTTGAGGTGTTGATGTCTGTTACCTACCCAGTAGAGACCGCAGCGCAATCCATCGGAGAGGCGCAGGCGAGGGCGAGAGGGAGCCAGCTCGCCTCCTGCTCCGACGTGAAGCTTTGTATCATGGCAAGCCGCCTTCCTTTACGTAACCTACCCGCGCCGCGCCAAATGAAGTGCGACCCACGTGTTCGGCCGATACGACTGCCCCTTGCGCGCCGCCCCTTCCGGCAGTGCCACTGCTCCCAAGCGCCTCCCATCTGGCCAGCTGACCAGGGAGTCTATTGCAGCTGGCAGTTGATTGCCAGTCTATGCAGCGTGATAGACGGTCGCCTCGCACTACCAAGCTGGCCCTTTTGGCGCGAGCATGCGTACGGCCTGCCGCATGTCGACGTACCTCGCGCCTGCAGGCGATGGCGGCGTTGCGGCGCACTTCGAGAAAAAAGTATTCCCCTGCGGTCTCTGATTTCCCTTGCGTTCCCTCGCTGTCCGCGTGCTCTCGTCGCAGGACTGAAGCCCGTATATGTAAAAGTGGTAATTGGGGCGGCAAACCCCGACTGCCTCCAGAGTTCGCCTTTTCCAGCCTTTTCCTCAGCCACGGGCGCCGCTGCCATCGATTGTCTTCAGAAGTCACTTGCTCCCCCGACCCCACATCCCTTTCATTTTGCTCCCCAGAATCATTATGCCGAGCCTTGCGCTTTTCGTTCTGGCTTGCGTTCGAGTTGCCTCTGGAACCTCGTCAATTCTCCCTCGCTGATCCGAGAACCTGCCATCCCTTGCACGTCCAGATGTTGAGGGGAAATACAAACCCTCTTCCACCCTGATTCTGATCCTTTGAACGCTCACGACAAGATACATTCATGATGGACTTTCAGCGAGCGTGCCTTCGACGACTAGAGTGAGGTCCGGTGACCGTGCCTTTGATACGTATTCGGCAACTGCCTGTCCACAGACTGTCCCTTCATCTTGCTTCATTATGCCTAGGGGAGAGGGCCCTTCGCGCTAGCGCTCGGGGCTTGCCCTAGCCCGCTGATCACTTATCACCAGTTCAGTCGTTGCCCTCGGAAATCCCGACGAGGTAAGCCTCCTTTTCCATCTACTCAATGTAGCCTCTTGAACATTGACGGACCTGGCGGCGCTCATCTATCAATATTTAGCAGGTCACTCGAAAGGAACAGCAATGGTGACAGCAAGTTTTCCTGCGAGGGAGGCTTTTAAACGATAGTCGACGGGCTTCATTGGCACCGTGACTTACCTCTGCTCTTTCAACCGCCGACATCGCTTTCGCCATGCCAGACACTCCTCGCGACCGCAACACGGATCCCGCGGACAAGGAGATCGCTAATGTAAGAGCGCGGATTTACAACTGAACCCAACCCATTGACAACTCGCGCTCACACCCATCCCGACCAGCTCTACATGTCCTGGCTGATCAAGACGCACACCGCGGACATCCTCGAAGACCTCGAGCAGCTCACCGACGTCGCGCTCACCGGCCAGGTCGACTTCGCGCGCATCGCGTCTGTCCTTGTAACGATTGACGCCCTGAACTTGACGGTGCCCGGCAAGCCGCACCTGCTGCTGGCGCCGTTGTTCGCGCCGCTGCAACTGCGGTACTCGCAACTCCTGACGAGGACGCGCCAGATCGCTGCGCGGGAGGTCGCCTATGCCGAGCGTGAGGTTCATCGCTGCGTTGTTCGATGTCGCGCTAATTGCAGATGATAGGCTATGTCCACGTCGTGCTGCCCATCTTGAGGGATGCGAGTTATTCGAATGAGGAGAAAAAGGAGGTTGTGCAAAGCCTGGTTACGGTCAGTGCGTTCTTCTGGTGCAGGGAAGCCCATGCCGAGCTTGCAGGGAAGCCCATGCTGAGCTGGCTGGGAACCCCATGACGAGCGTGCAGGGAAGCTCAATCGTGACTGATCTTTCCTCTCCAGTTCCTGGAAACCGTCCAGCGCGAATCGGACGAGCTGCACGACGAGTTCGACACCCTCCGCCGCCAACTCCTCGATTTCGCCGACTTGCTCAAGAAGTTCGCCCTCGAAGTCGGCGTCGAGCTCGGTCTCAAGCTTCGCGAGGTGCAGGCGGAGATTGATAGGGTGCTGCGCGAGATGGAGAAGTGCGTGGACTGTTCCTGCCCGCTGGCCCTTTGCCATCTCAATGGCCTATTGCTATCCCACTGGCCCTTTGCCTTCTCACTCACGCGAGCGCAGGATGCAACGTCAGCTCAAGGACGACAAGCCGTCGTTCGAAAACACCAGCAAGACGCTGCTCACGATGAGCGCGATGGCGCCGGCCATGGCGGGAGCGGCCGGGTACGAGTTCGCGGTCATCGCCGCCGGGAAGACGCTCGCTGGGACGGCTACCGCGGTTGGCTCGGCGGGTTGTGTGGGCGCGTTGAGTGCTGCTCTGCCCGTCGCAATGGTGGTCCTGGCCGGATGGGGCATTTGGGCCGCGATCAAGAGCGCGCAGGTCGTCGCGGATCTGGCTCGTATATCGGGTGAGTGGCAGAGCCGTATGGGTGTTCTAACGGGTATACTTACTTTTGGATGCAGCACTTACTGCCGAGTTGGTCGTACATCAGCTCCGTTTGGCCGAGTTGCTGCGTCAGAGCGCCACGCTTGGTGCCGTCGAGGCGCTCGCGCACAATGCTATCTTGTCGGTCGTCACAGCTTCTACTAAGGTTGGCAATCTAGTCAAAGTTTGGAGCATGGTGAGTGCAGGTCCTTGCTATTAGTGTCCGAGTCAGCTTCCGACCTCAGAATCACTCAGGTCTCGCAAGACGCCAAAGCCATGCTCGAACTTCTCGATAGCGGGGCCTCAACCGAAGAGGTCAGTAAATCCATCATCCTGTCATTCACTTGGCTCATCTGCTACAGATTTTCAACAACGCTCTCCTCGCCGAGTCTTGGTACGGACTGCTCGTCTCTCTCTTACGCAACTTGTCCAGCAAGCTGCTGCCTCGCGCCGAGACGCCGACGCGTGCACCCATTCCGAGCCTGCAGCGCCTGCTGGAGCATTTCTCGTGCCAGGGTGAGCATGCGTCGCCGCGGCAATGCGCAAGCTGATCTCCTCTACAGGCGGAACATCTCATTTTTTGCCTCAATCTCGTCCGATGCCTCCCTTGGCTTCGACGGTGCCATCCCACGAGCTCACGATCGGCGACTTTGTTCGCGAATTTGACGATTATCTTGACGGTCAGTTCTGCTCTCTGTGAGTGTTGTATATATGCTGACATGATGACAGGCTCGACAACGATCAACGACGAAGATCTGACGGAAGACCAGCGAGCTCTGGCGGAAATTTTGACTGGCATGCGTGCGTCCAGCCCTTCGACAAGTTTTTCTTGTACTGACCAGGACACAAGGCCACCCTCAACCATTCCTCTTCGATGCCGCTTCCGGGGCCGCTCTGGGTGATGTCGGCGTCGCGACTCTCACGTACGGCAGGATCGCCAGCAGCATCGGCCGATTCGCCAAAGCGGGCGTCCTCCGTGCTGGCATGCTCCGCTCTGGCAACATCAGCGCCTTCTTCGGCCCGCGGCTGACCCGCCTGACGGGCAACGCCGACGTCCGGAGGGAGCTGTTCAAGGAGATCCTGGAAGCCGCTCGGGACGTGCCCAAACTGCCACCCAACCCGGACCACAATGCACCCGCGACGCACGAGAACATCGTGTGGCTGCTCATGTGGCGCCATCGGCTGTTTGAGTGGATTGTGAGGGAGGGTCTGTACGCGCCGTGGCGCGTTTGGTATCATCCTCTGTGGTCCAACCCGGTGTTGTTCGAGCATATGCAGGATCTGCTCGGGCAGGCCGCTGATAGGTTTGTCTTCTCTGTTCTGTCGGTTAGATCTACGCTGACCGCCCTTAGTATACACCGGGCGTTCGAGGAGTGGTGCGCCAAGCGGAGACACAAGGACGGAGAGGACGAAGATAATAAGGACGGGAGCAGCGATGATCACAATACTCATTTATTTTTTGTGGCGACCCCGCCTGCCGTCGCCCCCAAGACCGATGGTACAGCTATCTTCAATGTCGACGACGCCGAAAGTGACCTTCTAGATGACGATCATGTCAGCAAGGTGAGAGTAGCTCTTCGTCGCAGCTGACGACCGACTGAAGTCCCCGAAGCTCGCAAACAACGCTGATTCGCTCGATGTCGGCTCACCGGCGACTCTCAACAAGTGGCAAGAACCGTTCAAAGTCGAGCTAGCCAAGTGGCTGTCGCAGAAACTCGCAGCTGTGGTATCAACCTGGCTTACGGACGGCGACGAGGCGCACTTCTGGCAAGACTTCGGCCGAGCCGTTTACGAGGATAAGTTCGAGCTCATCGATCAGATTTACCGCCTCAACCTGCTGCAATTGGGCCTGTTGACCGCCGATACCAGGTTGTGTGAGTGTTTTCAAGCTTTTCTGCAGATACTCGCGCTCAACGCATACGCAGCTCTCGATGGGAACCTGTTCTATGAATTGGTCAGGCGCATGGACAGCATCTACGCGCAGGCTGTGCAGCAAGGATACGACCATCGTATCGCATCTGCGGCGCTTTACTTCTATGCTGCGCGCTGCCCGACTTACGGCCGTCTTGTCCTGGCCCTGGCTCTGCAGAACGCGCTCGTCAAAGTATATGGGAATAAGCGCACTTGAGTGGTCATTGCCCATCATGTAATCAAAAGGAAAGAGGCTTCACTTTAGTACGCTGTATCGTGTTTACGAACTGTATAATGGTATGTTCAGCCTAAATATTCGCGTGTTCTGGAGGCGCCGCGTGAGCGTGAGACACGTCACACCAGGAAGATACTTACTTCAAGGCAGTTTTGAAGTGGTTCCGTAGACCGTATACAGTTATATTCAGAGCAGGGTTTTGAAAGTTCAACACTGACAACACACAAAAGTTACGCGGTGTGCAGAACCTTTCCTTTTGTGGCGCCAAGTAGGCGCCTGAGTCACGGGTAAGTCACGCACATCACATGACCCATATTTGTTTGTTGATGCCAATCCTAAGCTGTTGAACCAAAGCTGTTGAACTGAGAAACGGGCACGTATAAAACCACGCTGTCCTTCCCCTCTCTCTCCATCATCCCCCCACTTCTCTTTCTCCTTTTCCCCCTTTGTTTACCTCACTTCCCCTCCCATCTCTCTGTAGTACCACACCGCCCGCGATCCCCTGGACCGGGCTTAAAGTGTCGCTGAACCTTGGCTCGTACGTGTCTCTCCTCGCTGGGGTCGTCCTTGGGCGCATAGCGAGCATTCACGACGGAAACTGGCAGTGGCGACGCAGTGTGGGCTGCAGGGAGAACGGCCGATATCGGCGTGCGGGGTCTCACAAGATCTCGCATGACCGGGCAGTCGTCTTCACCTCTTTTCATCCTCTTCATCTCTTTCCGTGGCTCGGCACCTCACTGTCAAAGGGGTCATCAGAGCGGCATAAGCGTCAGATAGTCCCTGTGTGCTCGCCCCTTTTCCTATTGAGGTCGCCTTTCCGGTGCGCAACTCAACAACATTAAGGCCCAGACCACGAGACTGGCGACGCAGAGGGGAGTCACATATGCAGAGCGGCTGCTCAAGCGTGTACGCAGATCGAGTCTCACGTAGTCTGTGTATATAGCGTGCGGTCAGCGTTGCACACGAAGGAGCGAGCACTTGTCACGACAATGAAGCGTAGGTTACAGGTGCTTCAAGCTCCTACGATGTGGGCATCTTCAGACAGGTGGTACGCAAGCCATCTCCGCTGAAGCGCGCTACTGTTATGAGTAGCTCGCGCTTGTTGTTGACCGCGCTGGCCGATCGGAGTTCGTAAAGGGTGGCTGAAGGAGGCGATGATTAGCCACTTGCGGGATACTAGGAGAAGTGCATCTTACAGAGATTGAACAAGAACGGCTCCGCCACCGCAATCGTCGCTGGCGCGGCATGCAGAGCTTTCTCCAACACGGCGATAGCCTGGACATACTGAGTACATGCAGAGGAACGGAAAGGCGCAGACGTACGTCTTTCAGCTTGCCCTGCGCAAGCATCGCGACCGCGAGGTTGTTGATAGCCTATCCGTCTGTCAGCATCGACCGCTCCTCCTATCACTTCAGATAACGCACGCTGTAGTTGTCCTGCTCCCTCTCGAGCAGGCCCCTCAGCACCTCGTCCGCCTTCGCCCACTCTCCCTTTGCTGCCGCCATCACTGCCTCATTTGTCTCCTTCTGCGCCTCGTCCGCCTCCTCATCATCCGCGACGGCCCTAAAATGCCTCCCCGCGGCCGCGAGATCGCCCGCCTGCAGATATATCCTGCCTACCGCCGACCTTAAGGGCGCCGACTTCGCCAGCGGCTCCAGCAACCGCGTCGCCGCCGTGAAGTCCTTCGTCTCGACCATCTGCGACGCCAGGATCAGCGCGATGCGCGCGCCGCGCTCCTTCCACATCTCGATTGAGGCCTCGTCGCGGCGGGAGGTCAGCCGCGCCTTGACCTTGCACTTGTTGAGCAGGCCGGCGAGGGCGTCGGTGTAGCCCATGGGGTCGCCGGCCCAGTAGCGGAGGCGCGCGCGCATGACCTCGAGTTCGAAGGGGAGGATGCGGTCCATGAGCCACGCCCGGGCAGAGGGCGGGTCGACGGCATCGAGGACGTTGAAGAGGTTGGTGCATTCGGCCGCGGTCTGATTGAAGAGGCGCAGGCGCGCGAGGGCAGAGAGGCGTAGGTACCAGAGCTAGCGCAAGCGTTAGGTAGATGCTATGAGGCGGCAGCACTCATAAGACTTACGCCTAGAACAAGGGTCAGGTCCTCGGGGTCGGCGGCGACAAGGCGGTCGCGAGCCATCCTCGCCAGCGCGCGCCAACTATTCGTCATCTAACGCTTTTTCTCAATTCGTTCACTCGTCTCTCACGCGCTCGCACTCACAACAAGGGTATGAAAGTCCGCCTTATGCCAATCGCCAGAAAGGTCGCGCGCGGGGCGCTTGTCGGGCGGATAGATATATTTGTTCAAGAGCGTGGTCAGTGGGTCTGCCTGTCCGTAGTAATGTACATGCGTGCGAATGAATACCAGGAAGAGAAGTCAACAGAGGGCAGGAGGTCGCGCACGTTGGGGATCGGGAGGAACATCGTCGGCAGGACGAGTTCTGGGAGGTAAAGGTCCGGCGCCTCCTCTTCATCCTGATCGCTTTCGGAGGATGATGGCGGCTGCGGGGCGTCAGCAGGTGGCGCGGCCTCAGAGAGGGGGACATCGTCGGCGGCTAAGGGCGTGGCGTGTTGCTCAGGCTCGTCCGCAGGCTCCTCGGGGTCGTCGACAATAAAGGGATCGGGAACTTCTGGCTCGATAACTGGCGCGTCAGGAACAGGGGATGGGGTCTTGGCTTCCATGACGGGAGCGGGTTCCGGTATTACTTCGAAAGTTGCAATCGCGTCTTCTGCCGGTTGTTCGCGTGTTTCCTCCTCGAGATCGACTTCAGGCGCGTGCGATATCTCTTCTGCTACCGCTGGAAGCTCTGCGTCGGCTGGAGTAACTTCAACAGAGGCGGGCGGCTGTTCTTGGGTTGCCAGAGACTCCTGAGGAGGGATTGGCCAGGGAGAAGAAATGAGAGCTGAAGCTGAGATGAGCGGAGGAAGCAAGAAGCGGACGATGCGCGCACCTGCTGTATCCGGCATTTCCTCGTGCTCTTCGACTCGGGCCGGATCAGCCGACATGTTCGCGGACTTGTCCGTAGCGAGTTGCCTCTCCTCCTCGCCGTTGCCGATGACCTTCTCCTCCTCAACTTTCTCCGCAGCTTCAAGAGTCCCCTCTGGCCTCTCCTCGACCACCTCGACCACTGCCGCCCCAGCGAGCACCTCGAATCCATCGATCGGCTCTTGTTGAACTTCCTCCTGGAGGACCTCCCGATCAAGCTCGACTGCCGCTTCCCCCTCATCTCCACGATGCTCCTCGACCGGGGGCGAGTTAACCTGAGGCTCTTCGCAATCTGACTCGCCGACAGGGACTGATTGCGCCGACGCTGGAAACAATGTCAGCACTCGGTCGATCGGAAAAACATCCCAACACGCACCTTCCTCTGCGCGCTCGACGTCATGAAGAACTGGTTCTGGTGTCGAGCCTACGCCCTCCTCTTCTGTGAGGATTGCGGGTGTCGGTGCGTCCGCGTCAGTTCTTTCCGCTATCGCCTCCTCGACGCGGTCCTCGGCCTGCACCGTGTGGGCGCCCTCCACATCATTTGGCATCGCCTCTTCCAGCTCCTCCTTCCCATCCTCTTCGTCGTATTCCTCTGCCGGAAGAGCGTCGTGCTGCTGTTCGTAGCGACTCGAGTTGTAGTCAGGGATCGTTCTTGTCGATGCTGCAAACAATATCAATATTTGATCGACCAACAAACATCACAACACGCACCCTCCTCGCCATACTCAAACTCATGGAGGACCGGCCGCAACCTCGCCTCATCCCCTTCCTCTTCCGAAACCAGCACAGGGACCGGCGCGGACACCTTGTCCTCGCCACCGCTGCTGCTGCTCTCCGACTCCAGACTCCTCCTCTCTTCCGACACCTTCAGGCTCGGCGCGACCGCCACGGGCGCCGGCGACACGGGTTCAATATACGGCGCCGACGCCGATCGCTTGTGCTCCGGCTGCTGCTCGTCCGACTCCTCCCTCCGGTGCCGGTGGAAATCCAGGTGCGACACGCGCCGCGCCAGCTTCTGCAGCGGCGCGCGCAGGTGCAGGCGCCCCGGGCTCCTCTTTGGCGAGGTCGGGGGCGAGACGGTGGACGAGATCGCAGACATAGTAGATGTAGATGTGATTGTGGATGCTTCGCGGAAGGCAAATAGATAGCTTCGCAGATATAGACGCGCTTCCTTCGCGAAGCGTAGATGTGTTGAATGAACGAACGAGAAGTCAACGGGTGTTGCTACCTTCCCCGCTTCATTGTGCGCCTCTTATATACGTCTCGGGGCGCGGAGCCCTGCACAATTGACGGAATTTTACGGGCGGACAGGCGCAGAGGGCGGGGCCCCAAATTAGGCCGGCCTCGGCTACCGTTTCGAATCGCCTCTCTCGGTCTCGCACACCGCCGAGCAGGCCTCGACGCTCAAGCAACCCCAGTCATGCCAGGCCGGAACCAAGTGATATATCGACTCCGCACCTCTCGAACACTCACCGGAACCGGACGCGCTCCTCTGCACTGTAATCGACCCTATAAACACCGACCCATTGACCCGATGATAATCGATCAAGACGAACAGACTGCCTAGATTACTGCATAGTACTGTATCCATGATGAAGGGGATCCATACGTACGAAAGCACGATAATGAGCGGACATGGGGTGCAAAATACAACTGAGAGAGAGGGTCAAGTAAACTTCCCATGAGCGGACGATACCCCGCATTGAGGTAGACGACCATCGTCGGCAGGGGCGGTCCAATCGTCCCAAAGGTCTCCTCTTCCTTCGCAAGCGATACGCAGGGCCTCCTCGGCGCGAGCACCCTCGTACGTACTATAGTAGTCCAAACACAACGAGTCCTCCGGTATGGCGAGTCGTTCGCGCACGAGGGGGCCCTTCACGACGCGGCGCCCACCCACGTAAAGCTCCCTCGGCAATAGGGGTGAAGCGCTTACATGCCCGCCTGGCGATTCAACATGTACAGATTCAGATCCTGCCAGCCTACAAGCGCAACCCAAATCAGTACCCCTTCCTCGCACAGCAACACCAAACAGCTCACCTCCCCCCACGCGCACCATCACCTTCTTCGTCGTTGTCGGGCCCGACACCTTCCCCGGTCGCACCAGCGTCGTCAAGCGGCACGTCACGACCTTCCGCCCCAGCGCATTCGAGAACGCGTACTGCGCCTTGATCTCCTCCCCCTCCTTCGGCGCCTTCTTCAGCGGCGGATCCACGCGCTCCACCAGCAGCCCGTGCGCGATCGAGTTCACGATGTTCGCGACCTCGAGGTCCAGCGGGTCCTTCGTGCTCGTCGGCACGTACTCGTGCATCGGCAGCTGGTCCGCGCCGGGCGTGTTGGCGCCCTGTCGCGAGCCCGGGCGCGAGGGCGCGCGAGCCGTTGACGCGTCGCGGCGGAAGCTGGAGGGTGGGAGGTTGCCCAGCGAGGGGCGGCCCGCACGGACAGAGCCCTGGTACACGGGCACCTGCTGCGCGCGCGAGCGCAAGAGGTTCTCCGGGGTCTGCGCGCGCATGGCAGACGTGCGGAAAGTCGAACCGCCGCTCGGGCTGTCGCCGTATGCAGACATCGACGTACCCGGGCGCGACATCGCGGACCCAGGTCTTGAGGGAGTGGAGAGCTGCACGCTCGGAATGGGGATCATGGAGCGACTCGGAGGCCGCGGTGGGTACGAAGATAGACCACCGGCAGAAACGCCACTGGTCGCGGACATAGAGAACGCCGGAGAATACGACCGGTTCTTCAGCGAAACATAGTCGTCGTCTCCCCAGTCAGACGTGCCACCCGGCGAACGGTTCGCAGCGGGCTTCGGTATCTGACTTGGGGTCTTTGGCCTTGGTCGCGGTGTCTGCGTAGTAATCCGCGAAGGTGTCTGACTCGGCGTCTTCGCCCTCGAAGGAGGCCTGAAAACATGCGATTTACCCGGACTCTGGGGATTCGACGACTGCGTCGTCGTAGAGGAAGTAAGAGGAGACCACGGCCTCGACGACGCCATCGAAGTCCGCGATAAACTTCGTCTGTACGGCGTGCCGGGACCAATGGGAGGAATGGGGGGTATCGGGATATCTGCATAGTAGCCCGCCGCCGAAGGTGTTCTCCTCGCTGGAGATTGCTTGATTGTGGACGACGGGGTTTCGACCTTCGTGGAGCTGTTCCATGGTATCTTCGCGGGGCCCTTCTCCTTCTGCGGGGTCTGCCGAGCCTTGACGGTCGTGATGTCTCTGGCCGAGAGGTCCCTCGCATGGCGATTAGGCGAGGACTCTGGCGTTAGGCTCTGCGTATGCTTATGCCCCGGCCGGTCAGGGGTGACGGGCGTAGTCGGCTGGCTAGGCCGCAGCGCATTGAACAGAGACTTGCGCTTGCTCATCGGTTCCGAAGACGGCACGCGCGTGCTCTTGATGTTCAGCGGCGTGACGGGGGTATTTGGAGAGCGTTGCGAGCCCGTAATCTTCTTCGCGAACTTGCGCAGCGGGGAGATGGACCGGGATATAGGAGCCTTGTTTCGACTTGGCGGCGTCCCGAGGTATCCGTTCCGCGACGCACCCGATGCGCTAGAGCCGCCTTCGCTTTCCGTTCCTTCGCCCGTAAGTATCTTGCGCACGGACTCCATTTCAGAGTCCGTTCTTTGGATGCGTTCGCGCAAGTTCTTCCATCGTTGTGCAGACTCTGCATGTCGTCGCAATGTCTCGCCATTCTTCGTGACGCGGTCGCGAACGCCCTTGTCGATGATTGATAGGACCTTGGACGTCGCCGGCATGTAGTGCCTGCATAGTTATTAGCATAAATCAGACAGTCACGTAAGGTATTACACGCACTTCTTCTTTGCCTCAAAAGATTCTTGTAGCTGCGTGAAGACATCCATATTGATAACCGGCGCCTTGTCACTCCGAACACTTGCGTCGAGCGAGACTGTTGACCGCGACAACGGATCATCGACTCCAAATTTGTGCACTTGCCATATGAATTCCTGCACACAGAGTCAGCCAAAGAGCGTGTCACCTCATGCCACGCCACACACCTGACATCGATTGACGGCCTTCTCCAAACTCGACATCATACCGTCCGCCTGATCAGTGACGGTCCGGAAGACGGTGAGCCATTTGTCCTCCTTGAGCTCCTCCCTAAGCACTTCGCTTTCATCTTGCACGGCTTCCCATTCGGCCACGAGGGCAGCGTGCTTGCGTAGCAGCGCCGCCAGCTCGCTGTTCTCGCCATCTTGGTCGGCCGTGGGGGTGAGGTGTGTGAGGGGTTCCACAGATTCGTTGATGGCCTTCATGCCCTGGGCGAGTGCTTCCAGACGTTCGTCGAGGCTCATGAGGGACTGGTCGATGACGCTCGTCGTTCCTGCTGTATCTCCCGAGGACTGTGACTTGTGGCGCAGCTCCTGAATTTCTGGAATGCATGTGAGACGATGTGCGCTGGCAAGACACACCGCCACGCACCAAAGATCCTCGTCTGAATGTCGGATATGGAGTACGACATTTCCGTCATGTTCGTGGATATGGCAAGTGTCCGGAGCTCGTTGTCACTGCGAGGGCGAGAGTCAGTGGCGGTATATACTTTGGAAGTGGCGAACGCACTCTTGACTCTTCTGCTTTCCCTCCATCTTCTTCGACAGCGGCGGCCCGGCGGTTATGGTGATATTCTCTGCAAGATCCCGCGATGAGCCATCGGCGCGCGTTGCATCGCGGACGCCGCTCACCCTCATCCGCCTGGTCGAGCGATAGCTTGGACGATGACGCGAGGCTCGAGGACGATGATAAAGGCGATTGCGGGACGTGGTTGAGGCTGGTTTGAGACGCGGAGCTGAGATTGGACTTGGAGCTCTTGGCGGATGAAAAGCTAAGCGAGACCATGTTGTGGAGATGAAAGGCAAGGAAACAGAGGAATTATCGGACGGTGGCTGCGGAATAAAGGAAGAATAAACGAGGAGCGAGAGGATCCGCCGGTGCGAGTGCCGCGGGGCGACTCGAGCGCCTTCAAGCCTTTGGTCGTTACAACAGAGATGCTGGGGTATGATAGGCGAGGGACTCTGACACCGGCGGATTCCCGATCCTTGCCTCCGCACGGTGAAGCGGCAATTCGATGGCGAGAGACGAACTGGGATGAAAGTACGAGGACAGGGTTGTAGCTGTCACGCGTCACGTCCATCCTCCTCGTACCGTATCATTATGTTTCCGCGGAGGTTTTTTGTGTTCTTCCTCTAGGCTATGACGGTTGACGAGTTCGGCACTCATGCAAGACCTTCGTGGGCTCGGAAGTGCGACTCCTTGCTCAGCTTGTTCGTGCTGTTTGGTCATATCAACGGCGACCTCTGAACTGAGTGGAGAAACACTGCGCTGAAGTACAGTAACCATGTCGAAGCCATGGCTTTCAGTATACTATGGCTGTAAAATGCATCTCCCGACGGACCGCTCACGGAAAGCCTCTTTCCCCTATTTTGACAATATCACAAGGCGAAGCCCTCATCGAGATCTCCTCGGGCGTCCTGTCAATTTTGCCCGGTTACCATGCATTCACTGTGCGGTCCATTCATTCTCTTCTCAGAAGCCTCTGCAGGCGGACGCAGGGGACCCGGTGGCTCCGCGTGCTCATAGTGTTTGCGCTCACGTTCGATTTTATCTCCCGGCGTATTTCTGTCTTATCTGCTCTCTGCTCTCGATAGCGGCCGACGTAGCACGCTCTATAACCAGGTATGTCCTTCCCATCGTTCAAGGCCCCAGCCTCAGCTCACCCGCCGTAGACCGGAACAGGCCATCTACCGCTGTGCTGCGCAGGAATCCATGCTCACGACGATAGAAGGTCGGTCTCGTGATCCCCACCGCAACTTCACACCCAGTCCTTCCATAGACTCTACTTACCCTCTATAGCACCGTGCCTTATCGACCGTAGACAAGTATCGATTACCCATGCTGGCCCGCCCGTCGTTTGACAAGAAGCAAGCGTCGAACATATCGAGCTGCGCGCCCGTCGCGCCCCCCTTTCCCAACAACAGACCCGGCATGTGTACTGTCTCCGCCCGCACTGCTATATCCGGAACCCTTCCCTTCCTCTGGCTCTGGCGACTGTATATAAGAAGGTATGAAGGACGCCCTGATCTCCCTCAGGCCAAGGTATACTCTCCTTCGCAGCCTTCACTTTCATTATGGTTTCGTTCCTTACTACTTTTGCTGCTGCCGCTCTTTCCTTTGCATGCGCCCGCGCTGCGCCGCTTGACGGCCTCAGTCAGCGTGCGCGCGATATCCTGGGTCGTGCTGCCCCTGCAGCTCCTCGTTTTGTTGTGTATGGAGACACGACGGCGACCCCCTCTGCTGGTCCCCCAGCTGTAGACGAGATCAAGGTAAGCACTCTGGTCCTTCGCGCGTCACTCCCTACTCACATCTTCGTAGGGCTTCGACGTCTAGTCAGTACTTGGAAACCTACCCCAGATGCCTAGGCGCTGACGCAACTTCTCCAGCGCGATGTCCTTCCTCCTTCTCGCCGGCGCATGGGACAAGGTGCATTTCTTCTCGTACTGTAGCTTCTTTACATGTGTTTACTGATCGCCTCCCCTTCCAGGCCTATGAATGGACCTCCCTCACCGCCGACGAGCGCACCACCATCAAGTCTGAGTACGCTGACGCAGGCATCAAGCTGATTGTCGCCGTCTTTGGTGCTACCGACGTGCCCACCACTACTGGCGCCGACCCCGTCGCCACCGCCCAGAACATCTCTTCCTGGGTCAAGGAGTACGGTCTCGACGGTGTGGACGTGGATTACGAGGTTTGTTTGTCCATCGCCATCAGAGAATTGACCTTCTGACGTCGCGAAACTACCTACAGGACTTCGGTGCCTTCGACAAGGGTGACGGCTCCGGCGAGAACTGGCTCATCGACTTTACGACGCAGCTGCGCTCGGACCTGCCTGCCGGCGACTACATTATCACTCATGCGCGTGAGTCTTCTCCTGGCGACTTCTAACATCACTTGTACTTACCCATCATAGCCGTCGCACCCTGGTTCAGCCCTTCCAAGTGGGGCGGCGGAGGCTACCTCGCCGTCAACGAGAAGGTCGGCGACCTCATCGACTGGTACAATATCCAGTTCTACAACCGTGCGTCTGCTTCTTTTCTTCCGTCTCCATGTTCTTGTTCCTTTCTTCTGCCCCTTCTTCCTCGCCTCTTCACCCTTTCTGCTTTCCCTTCGCCCTAGCCTTCGCTAATTCCCTTCCAGAGGGCACCACCGAATACACCACCTGCGACTCCCTCCTCAACACTTCCTCCTCCACCTGGCCCGAGTCCGCCCTGTTCGAGATCATCGCCAACGGCGTCGACGCGGACAAGCTCGTCATCGGGAAGCCCGCGACCTCGGGCGACGCCAACAACGGGTACATCGCGCCCGAGACGCTCGCGGAGTGCCTGCAGACGGCGAAGGCCGCGGGCTGGAGCGCGGGCGCGATGTCGTGGCAGGTGAGTTTGGCCGTGAGGTTGAGATTGAGCTTCGGAGATTCTTTATTCCTTCCTCCCGGTTCGACTCTGTTCTTTGATGTTGGTCCAGACTTCGGTAATGGAAGAGCTGACGGACTTTCTGTAGTACCCACACGCTGCTTCGGATTGGATCTCGACCGTGCGCTCGCTTTCGTGGCCAGTTTAGAATCCTTTTGGGCGACAAAAGCGCGGGTTATAACCCAAAAATAATACGCTTCGCTGTTAACTGGTTCCGTTGTATCTCACGTACCCCTTCCATCTGACTTCTCCAAGGTTCTGACCGGCTCATCTATATAAAAAAGTGGTGATCAGTGTCTCGGCAAACCCCGGTCACGCCGCAGTTATAAGGCTCGCTGTTTCCTCGGTACTCGACCGGCCTCTTGACCTCGACGTCCATCTTCACTCAAAGGCGGCCACAATTAAGCTGTATCTGCTGCACGTTGATCACTCATCGATACCCACCATGTCCGAGAACACGGTTTCGAAGAGGACGTCGCGATTGAACGTTCACTTCGAAGATGGACCTCAGCCTGGGGAGGAGGACGACTCCAGAGTTATGCATGCGACTGTCGCAACGAATCCAACTACCCCCACTTCTGCATCGCGGTGGCATGAGCACACCCTTATAATATGGAGAGATGCAGCTCCCAATGTCAACTGCAAGGCGGCTGATCCCATCTACCTGCTTGGCTACATCTTGGACCCTTCCAAGATCTACGCATCTTATGTTGAGCAGAGGGCACAAAAAGGGACAAAGGAGGCAACCCTCAACGCCTACCTGGATGATCTTCAAAGATCGATGGGTATATGTCTAGATAACGGCCTCAAAAAGATCATGATCAACGATGAGGAGACCTGGTTGATCTTCGCGGCCTCGTCGAAGCGCAAGGAAGATATTTTGGCCTGTGCCAGTGATGAGGAATTTGTGGATCGGCTCAAAGAAGCCGTCGACAGCGACAACGACCCCTGGATCATTACCTGCATGGTACGTACTTGCTAATGTTTCCATGTGATTTTGCTGAAACTAGCCAGATCTGCCCTGCCTGAATTCTACTGGGATAGTTCGCTCACATTCAACTGGGAGCTTGGCGTGTGCAGAAGTACGGTTGCTTCGGGAATATGGTGTTGTTTCAAATGAGGGATCTCCCGCTATGACCGCATTATATTACTTGTCGGATTGAGTACAAGGACGATGTCTCCGAAGGCAGAGTCTAATCCATTGCAATGAAGCTAAGATGAGATAACGTACAATAGAACGACCATGTAAGTAAGGATGACTGCCCGCAGACAGTCAACCTCTGTCAACCTTTGTCGAGTTTGAACATGTGTTTACTCAAGTCTAATCACGCCTCATGCTCACGGCCTCAGGGCCTCGCCTCCGGGCACCCTCCGTTGACGGACTGCTCGCGACTTCGTCGCCGTGCCCTTTCCCTCTCCGGTCCTCGAACTGCGCGCCACCCGGCGAATTGCGGCCCGCCCCGCCCTTTTCGGCCTTCGTCTCACCTCCTTTTTCCTCAATCCTTTTTCTCGACTTTTTCCGATCGTACTAGCTCTTTGCACCTGCCTACGGCAGGAGGGAGGCGGCGGCGACCTTCGGCCGCCGCCGAGGGTCCCCCAGCGCGAGGCTTACCTAAGCAAAGCGAGTAACTCGCCAAGCTTACATAAGCAAACGCGTCGGGTCAACTTTGACGTAGACTCGAACCAGTCCCTGCTGTGAGAATCAGAGACCTTCGGGAGAGCACGGATATCGAGCTAGTGAGGCAACGATAAGCTCAGTGCTCGGTCTACGTAGTGAGAGCAACTATATTCACCTAGTGAGGCAACAATAAGCTGAGAGAGAGTAAGTAAACGGTAAATAAGGAGCGGTTCGGGCAGCTCACCTCAGTGCTCGGTCTACGTAGTGAGAGCGACTGAGGAGAGCGGCCGATCGGAAAGTGAAGATATACGGAAGCTTATGTAAGTATGTGGGACCGTATGGGTCCGTTTTGTGGGTCCGTGTATTGTACCCTATAAGGAAGGAATGCATAGGTAGTGAACTTGCATCCGGATTGTCCGTGGGTATATAGGTAAGTAAAGTATGTACTGACCTGCATCTCATTACCTGCTACCCGGGTGTAGCTAGTCTGGGACGAGTGGTAGTGGGCGTCGCACCCCAGCTTTCGTGGGAAGAAGTTTGACGGTTCCGCGACGTCGGCCATCTCCGAAAGCAATGGCTGAAGACCTTCCGTTTGGCTTTGGGCCGGCCTTCCAACTCACTCGTCATTGCGCCCCCGACCCAAAGGATCCCTCCATCAGGTATATTCCCATCCCAGGTCGCAGATATCACATGCGTCTATGGACCGGTTGGATGGTCTGCTGGCAATTTCTCGACAACAAGACGAAGCAGCCTAAGCACAGGCCCGACAAGCTCAAGATCTACGACGTGTCCGACTCCTGGTACCCACAGCGCCTCGTCTCGCTCGAGGAAGGCCAGCACTACGACAAGACGGCCAGCAAGAAGAAGCCATACTCCTGCGACACCTTTGCTGCTCCAGATGGCTCCATCGTCGACTTCGTGCAGAAGGGCGAGCCCTTCACGCGCATCCAGCTGCCGAATCGCCCGAAAGCCGGCCCTCCGAAGATCGAGACATACATCGAGCACAAGGTGTTACCTGTCGACCCCAATCAGCGATACAAAGTGTTTGATGACGAGGGCGAGGATGAAGGCCTTGTGGTCATCAGCGACAACGGCGAAGAGGATGAAGTGCTGCAAGATTCCAACAGTGATGCCGATTGATTGTTTCCTTCACGGTGGCCACGCTCGAAATCGGTGTGCTTTTGCATGTGAGCGCACCGCTGATTCACATCTATAGTCTGCGCATCGCGTCGCTAGCCCGTACAACTGCACGTAGTATGCCTGGAGGCGAGGCGGTAGCATGACGGATGGAGAAGACACTACTATAGTGAGATAATCTGCAAGGTCTAGCATGTAGATTCCGCCCGTATCGACAGATGACACACTTTGCCACACCTCAGCTCGCGTACGACTTGACCTTGGAGAACCAGAACGGGCGCTCGTTCTTCAGCGCCACGGGCGAGATGTCCCCGGTCTCCAAATTCATCACGTTGTACGAGGCCATCTCGAGCTTGTTCCAACGCCCAAGCGGCCGGGAGCGGAGCTGGAGGTCCATAGTGAAGGCGTAGCGCGGCCGAGGGGGCTCGGAGGTGTTGTGAGAGGCATGCGAGTGCGCTGAGTGGGAGGCATGCGAGTGCGCCGAGTGGGAGGCGTGCGAGTGCGTTGAATGGGGTGCGTAGGTATACTGCGTGACGTTATGTTGCGCGTGCGAGCCCCGGCGGGGGCGTCGCGGCTCGTAGCGTCCGCTGGCATCCATGAGGTTGGTGAGCTCGACGGTGTCGCCGACTATGCGCCAGTGCCCGCGGAGAAGGCCCTACAGAGCGGTGAGCGGGTGAGGCTGAGAAAAGCTGCAGCGGACCGACCTGCATCCTAAGCTCTGGCTTCAATTGCGGGATGATATCCTTCGGCGCATGTTCCTCGTTCGCGAGCAGCGTGAGGACATCACCGTTGGGGAAGAAGCGGCTGAGATTTCGATGAGAGGGGATGCTGGACTGGGGGACGAAGGGACATACAGGAAGCGGTTGTAGGTGATGAGGTGGCTGATGTTCACCCAGTGGTTCTCGCTGAGGCCCTGCCGACTGCGAACGATCAGTATACCGCGTTCTAACATCGCAGTCGGGTGCTCACACGTAATGACAGACAGCTATGTAGACGCCATCCAGCCGCACTCGCGGGTGCTCAATGTATAACCTTCGGTAGTCCGACTGGAAGCTCGCGACGACGGATGTCAATGCTTCCATTGAGGGGACCTGGGGTGGCTGGTACGTTGAGACTACAAGTGCTCTGCGTTTCGTTGGCATCAGCTGACTGCGTAGAGGCTCACGCTACGCACCTCCATATCCCAGAATCCAGAGTCAGCAACCGCGTCTTCTGACTGACAGTGGCGAACCGCTCCAGCGTGGTCACGTCCACCATCAGAAGTATGTGAACAAGGATTTCGTCGGGAAGCATGTTGAGTGGGACGCCCTGCGTCTCGTCCTCTGGCTGGAAGGATACATCGTGGGGGAACTCCGCGATCACGCTCGCCAGTGTACCAGTCACGACGCCCTGCACCTGCACCGCTGGTTGCGGCACGAGTCCCTTCTGCAACTGTCCCGCTAGCGTCTCGTCCGCGGAAGGGGGTGCGGGTGGAGGCTCGAGCATGGTGAGAATCATCTCCTCCCTCTGGTACAGGCGGTCGATGTTGGGCTCCATCCGGAACGCTTGCCGGTAGAGCGTGAGCGCATCGTCGAGAGCTCCCCTCTGCTCGCACTGGACAGCGCGCCGGTAGACGTCGAGAGCGGCAGTAAGCTTGGGGTTCAAGTGGACGGTGCTGGTGGAGGTGGGATGGACAGTGGGTACTTTGCCTCGTATGCGGGGGGCGGCGTCCGGAGTGCCGGTGCTGGTGGAGGGGAGGCATTCCGAGTCATCTTGACCGTCCTGAACATTGTCGACGGTGTCATGTGCAGTGGAGTCGGTCGAGGGGTGATGACCGTGCCCTCGTCGTCGTTGTACTTCTGCCTTCCAAGCTTCTCTGAACTTGCGCAGGTCGTCCGAATCGTCGACTGGCGGCTTCGGTGCGGATAGGATAGGCATTCTGGGTAATAATCTTCAAATCTTATTCGTTCTTTGTTGCAGGTCAGAGAACGTATAAGATTTGATGATTATTAGCCGCTGCCAGTCGTCTGAGTAGAAGGAAAAGCAAAGGTGCTGGTTAGCTTGCAAGCTGACATGAGCGTCTAACGGCGCACCGGGCCGGTGTGCGCAACGCCACAAAAGATCCTATGTGCATCCACGTTTGCTCTTGACCACCAATCCCCTCCTCCCACCACAATCTCTCCTTCCTCCTCGCCCCCGGAACCCACGATGGAGGGCAACAAGGACGAAGCGCTGCGGTGCCTGCAAATTGCGCAGAAGCACCGCGACGCAGGGAACTTCTCCGCCGCGCGCAAGTTCGCCCAAAAGTCCATATCACTTTATGAGACGCCCGCGGCCGCGAAATTCCTGGCCTCGATCAACGAGGCGGCTGCGGCAGGAGCGGACAGCGCACCCGAGCCCTCGACGTCAGCAACAGGTGCGGAGACGCACCCGTCGGCAGGGGGCGCGAAGCATCGGCATGCGTCTGCGTCATCCAGCGCGACGGCGAATGGGGGCGGGAGCAGCAATGGGACTGCGGGTGGCATGGGCGGCGAGAAGCGCGAGTACACGGAGGAGCAGCACAAGGTGGTGAAGCGCGTGCGCGCGTGCAAGGTCACCGAGTACTACGAGATTCTCGCGATCAAGAAGGACTGCGAGGAGGCCGAGATTAAGAAGGCATATCGGAAGGTGCGTCGTCGAGTTTGGTACGCGACGAAGAGGGACTCACGAATTGCAGCTCGCGCTGGCATTACATCCGGACAAGAATGGTGCACCTGGGGCGGACGAGGCGTTCAAAAGTGCGTTTGCTGGCGTGATAGACCCACGGTGTACTCATTACATGCGCAGTGGTATCCAAGGCCTTTCAGGTCCTCTCAGGTATGTTCAACACTTAGACGATGGAGAACGTCATCTCACTCCCCTCCCAGACCCCGACAAGCGGTCAATATATGACCGTAGCGGAGCTGACCCTGAGAGCCGGTCCAGCGGCATGCCTTCACGGTCAGCCTCAACGGGCTTCAGGACACAAGGCTTCAACTCGTTTGACGGTGAAATGAGCCCAGAAGACCTCTTCAACATGTTCTTCGGTGGCGGAGGTGGCGGAAGCCCCTTTGGCCCTGGTTTTGGTGGCGGACCAGGTAAGCACTCGAAGCCCTTTTCATCCCTCCTTCTCCTTACGCTTCCCAGTCTTCACCACCACTTTCGGCCCCGGCGGCTTTCGCACGACGCACGTCAATATGGGTGGGCAGCGGAGACGTGCAGCCGCCGCGGACGAGGCACCGCGCTCGCTCTTCATCCAGCTCCTTCCTATCATTGTCCTCTTCGCGTTCTCCCTTCTCTCCGCAATTCCGTCCTGGTTCTCGACACCGCCGGTCGCGGACCCGCACTACAGCTTCCAGGGCTCGCACAGGTACAGCGTCGAGCGCACGACGCCGACGCTGGGCGTCAAGTACCACGTGAACCCGGGCGAGTTCGCAGGGCACCCTCTCATCGGCGTCGAGCTCGCGAAGGACGGGCTGGACGTGCGGCGCGCGCCGGAGGATCACGCGCGCGGTCCTGCACTGCGGCGGTTCGAGAGCAACGTCGAGAACTCGTGGGTGAAGGAGGTGTACGCGCAGTGCCAGCGGAGCGTGGACCTCAAGGAGCGGCGGAAAGAGCGGGAGATTGGGCTGTTCGGGATCGGCACGGACTGGGAGAAGGTGAAGGCGATAGAGGCGGAGGAGGTGCCCAGCTGCGAGGAGTACAAGCGCGTTGCGAAGATTCTGAGCAGCGGGAGGAGGTAGGGATGGTGGACTTTAGCTTATCTGTACTATTTGCTGTCGTGTAATCTATGGTCCATGCATATGCTGGTTTATTCACGATGAGAGATTTCCTCTGAAACGCCTTTGCCTTCGGATCGGCGACGATAGATGAAAGGTTTGCTGACAGCAACGATTCGTGAACACGCGTAGTAAGAGGCATGATGGCTTCGGTGATACGACCAACATAGAAAAGTGCTAGAGAATCGCTACGACACTACTGCTCCTTGCAGATGAACCATCGTGGGATAATGGCGTCAATCTCTTTCAAAAGCCTGGAGCGCAATGTCGTGTCAGATACTGCAGACTACCATGGAAGAACAGACAAACGTACTTTTCAAAGAGGCATGCAATAAATGCTGCTACGTCGCGCAAGTCGAGCTCGCCATAGAATTTCCCGTCCCTACCCGCGAGGGTGTACTCGACGTACACGCTGAAAGGCTTCGAGATCTTGCCCCCAACCCCCAGCATTCCGCGCAGCGTTCCCTCCAGGCGAATCTTCCTGATGTCGACGAGACTGAGCAAGTGGTCGGCCAGCCATTTGCCTACGCGCAATGCCAACTCAGCCGATGCTTTGGCGAAGTCGAGGGCTTTGCGAAGAGCATCAAGGGACTTGAGCGCCTCCTTTGCCGCATCGAGGACTTTCTGAGCAGCGGTGAAGGTAGCGTATTCACCGCACTGCTCCACGGTGTCAATCGCCTCCCGGGCAGCCCTGAACACGGCGTCGTTCGCTTGATGGAAGGTGGACAGTGCATCCCTCGCGTGCTTGAACGCGATGTACTGACCACCCCATTTGACTGCCCCTAGAGTCTCGTTCGCAGCATTGACGGCCTCGCGCGATGCATGATCAGCAACAGTCACAGCCGTCTGAGCGGCATTGATCGACTCCGTGGCCGCAGTACGCGCACCCTTCAAGGCTTCCTGAGCTGCGGTGATCGCACCCTCAGCAGCGACGAACCGCGCGCTGTGCAGTACGGCCTTCGCGACGTCCAGGGCAGCCCATGCAACCTCTCTGGCAGAGTATAGCGCGCCTAGGGCGATACCGTGCCCAACGATCGCGGCGCGGCGGGGATCGTACCACGGCAGACTATTGCACCAATCTATGGCATTTCGGGTCTTTCGGATGTCGTACTCGATGTCAGCGACCTTTGCTTTGGCGCGATCAATGTCGCGGGTGGCATATCCTACAGACGTGCGTCGTACGTTAAACAATTGTGAGTGGCCGAGTGAATGAGAACACACGCACCAAAGTGGCGGTTCATGTCGTCCTTCGCCCGCTGCAAATTGCGAATGGCCGAGTTGATAGCTGCTGCCGCATCGCGTTTGGCATATTCGAGGGCCTTATTGGCATTGCGCATGGCGGCTGCGCGGTCGTTATTCGCCTGCTGGACAGCCATTTGAGCGTCGCTGAGCGCCTAAAATGAGCGTCAGCGATATCAACATTTGGACACAATTCAATTGGCGGCGCTCGCACCTTCTTGTAGTCCGTCTCCGCGTACTTGAGAGCATTCTCAAGATCTCGAATCGTTCTCAGGTAGTTGTTGATGGTCGCCTGGGCTTGGTCGACAACTTCGTGATACTTGGCATTCCATTCTGCCCGCGCTTCGTCAAGCGCTCTCTTTGCGTTGTCCTTCAGCGAGATTACCGTCAAAGGGATGACCATCTTGAGCTTCCTTCAAGACTTACAATATTCCGATCGAGCTGCTGCTTTGTGCTGTCCAGTTCTTCCTGGGCTCGCTTGATGCCCGCAGCGGCACTGGACTGGTAAAGCGCGAACTGCTTGTCGATCTCGTCGCGCACGTATCGCAGGATATTCTGCTCGAAGTCCGCCATGAATACGAAATCAGCTCCATCCAGGGAGCCAAACGTCAAGGCTCCCATGAGCTGAGCCTCGAGCTTGAAAACGAGGAGATCCGTAAAGTGGAGTCTCTGGGTTTATTGGTTAGTAGATCAGCGGAACGATGACACTGTGCTGTCGTTGACCCACCGTAAAGAACTGGAAGATTGGCTTCGGCATGACTTGTACGTCGACATGCACCGCGGCCTCCGCATCGAAGAAGGTAATGGCGCCATCGATGAAGATGCGCTGTTCACTGACGCCGATAGCAATATCGACGGAAGGACTGGCTTTTCGCATGCCACGGACGGCGATAGGACCGAGAGCAAAATTATCGAGCTCGCCCTTAGCGGTCACGGTCCTGTCGAGTATGGCGCACATCGCGGATGCGCGCTTGCCGAATATGTACATTGATGCCTCAAAGGAGAATCCCTGAGGGTAGACGCGAGTCCCAACCGTTGTTCCGAAGGGACAGATGTAGAGGTCAACGAGCTTGAAGTAGGCGAACTCGGGTGGCTTTGGAATGCTGAGACCCGTGGCGGCGTTGGCGAAGGTGATAAGGTCGAGAACACCAAGCTCATCTGCGTGTCCTTTGAGCAGTTCTCCTACAGATGTAAAAGGACTGAGTATCAGGAGGAAGACTGGAGCAGAGAACTCACGAGAAGGGTCTTCCGCTATTTGCATAAGCACGCTAGCAGCCTTGCTGCCGATCTTTAACCCTCCTTCAACTGCGAACTCACTGAAAAGGATGAGATACACGACAAATTTGGAGGCAAAATGCCGACCTTGGAATACCAGTCGTCAAGAACTGTGCAAATATAATGCCGATAGATAAGACAACTTCCGGTCCCACTGCAACGTCTTTCCCGAGTCCCAGTGGATTGACCCACCAACCCTGCATTTCAGCGGCAGCGTTCGCGCCTTCGGGTCGCAGACCCAATGTGAGAGCGAAGTCCAGGGTCTCGCCAGCAGGCAGCGCAACGGGCACCTTTACACCAGCAATGAGAATAAGTTCAGGACGAGGACAGGCGTGTATGCGCATGCGGAAGGGGTCAGTGCGGATTCCGTTGCCCAGCTCCAGAATCGTGTCGGCAGGCATGGTTATGTCGAGTTCGAAGCCGGTGCCACGGATCCAGGCTGCGCGAAGGATGAGGCCGTGCGTAGGCTTGTCGGGGCGCCTCAGAAGCGTATCCAGCGTAGTTACAGGAGCCATGATGGCGCAGATCTGAACGCCCTTCTTGATCTCGTACGGAATGTAGAACAAGTCGTTGGCGGTGTTCGCGTCGTCATGAGAGGCGACCACGAATGCGACGTTGGTCAAGGCCAAGGACCCGACCTCACTGCCCTTGACATCGGGAAGAATGTCTCCGACAGATATACGACCCAAGTCGCCATACACCGTCCACTGCAGCCCTTCTCCCTTCTTGCCCTTCTGGAGATAGACAAGAGCACGAATGGGCAGGCCGGCGAACGTGACATCGCCTCCAAGCGCGACGGAAGAACGACCGTTTACACTGAGATGGATTCTGGCATAAGCCGATTGAATATCGACTTCACCGAGCGTGATGCAGGTCGTCTGCAGGAGCCCCGTGATCGTCACGCCCTTGGGTCCTATATCGAGCGAAGCCAGCGCCACGGTGTAACCGGCAACCTCCAGACCCTGGACGACGATGCTGAGGCCGGATTTGGAAGAGACCGTAAGGCTTGCAGATGCAACCTCCATGCCAATGTCGGGGAGCTTGAGCACGGTACCCGTCAGCGCCGCGTACATGTCGTTGAGAGATTGAAGATCGAAGTCGTCGATGACGGCCGACAACGTCACACCCTCGGTGGCGCTGTACGAGCCAGAGAGGATGGCCGAGGTGACACCATACCCAAAGACGGCCGAGACTTCGAAGGCGAATGACTTCAGGGGTGCATCGATACGAACGTTGCTCGTGAGTGTCACTTCGGAGAGCTGAATTGAGTATCGAGCGTCATTAGTCAGTAGCATACGACGAGAGCGACTTGGTCGACTTACGCGTAGACCAGTGATCCCAAGCGGCGAGTCCCATATGTTGCCATGCAGATCGGCAGAGAGCTGCAAGACCTTGCCTACTTCGCGAATCTTGTAGTCGAACTCGAGCGGCACAACCGATCCGGGCATGGCGATGTTAAGCGTCCCGAATATGCCGAAACCGTACTCAATGACCGAGCGAGGCTCGGGTGTCATCTTCAGGCATCGTATGCCCAGGAGTTCGACCCCAACAGACGTCAGCGTCAGCCCGTCGCAGATTGCGACCTTCGTGCCCGGGAAGGTGCCGTCAAGGGTGAAGCTGTGAACACAAAGTTTCTTCCCCCAGCTCTGTGCCCGCCCTAAGCCTGCGTGCAGATGGACGACGGGCTCCTTGACGCCAAGCACGGTGCGCAGGACGTCGTGAAGAGCACCGCAGCTACGCTCTATCGGGAGGTCGACATCGAGGTGCCACCCGACCGGCTTCATAGAATCGAACTCCGCATCCTGATGCGTGACGACGGCGTAGTTGAACGTGAGGCGGTCGAAGAACGTGCCCTCGATGCCGGGAATGATACGTGAGAGCTTGAAGCTGTCGCGGACGATGGCGCGATCATAGACGGCTTTGGACCCATCTTGCGCAAGTTCAGAGCCCTCGGGAGCAGGGCCGTTCCACTTGGAGAACTCTGCCGTCAGGCCAGGTACGCCGAAGAGGTCGATCTCGCCTTGCACAGTAAATTCGTTGGCTAACGAGCGGTGCTGCGCGTCGGGACCATACAAGAAAGAAGGTCCACTTCGAGCGGACATGAACTGCACTCCTGGGCGACTCGCCTTTTCTTCCGAGTGCACGTAGACGCGCGGCGAGCGAATGACAACATCATCCATCACGACCTCATCCTCCCTCTCCCGGCCGGCGCCCAGTGCGATCCTGGAGATACCAGACGCAGCGCCCGGTGCCCAAAAGCTAGGTTGTTGAGTGGAGACAGGAGGCGAAGGTGGCTTCGGGTACGCCAAAGAGTATAGGTCGACCGCTAGCGAGTGGGCCTGCGCTCCCGGAGAAGAACGCTGCTTTCGCAGCAGCTCGTCGACAGTATCAGGCACGGGATGCAGTGGCGGGATCGGGCCTCGTGGGGCGTCACGCTCCCTCTGCCAGGGCAGTCCTCCGGGGACCCTTCCGAAACGAGAATCGTCCAGCTCAGCCGGGATACGAGCAGACATATCATCGATGTGGAGACGGCGAGGAGTTACGAACGGCGGTGGATTGGGCGGGAATGAGCTAAGGCCTTTAGACGTGTTGAAGAGAGATGCGTCGATGGGCGAAGAGGTGGAAGACGCTTGCCCTACAGATGCAACGGGTGAGGTCGTGGATGTCGTCGCACGAGTAACACGAGGCTTTTTGGCCGGCGACGGCCCAGCGCTCGAGACGAGGTCCTTCAGGATGGCGCTGTCGAGGCTTGCTTCGATGCGGAAGGGCACATATCGGCTGAAGGGGTCAAAGTCGACGGACATGTTCAATGCGGCGTTCTGCATTGATGGGGTCAGCAGGATCCGAGCGAGGAAATAATCGCAGTTCAAAACTCACCAGGCGAGCACTGGTCAGAGTGAACTCGTACTTCAGTCGGAAGCAGAGCCACCACAAGCTCCCGAGATGCGCCTCGCGTTGCGTCTTCAGCCACGTTGGAATAGCGACCGAGTCAAAACCGCCATCATCTCGACGGCGCCGCACATCGCCCCTCAGTATATTCTCCGTCACAAGTGTGCCGCTCTCCTCCAACCCTTGGACGAGCTCCGTGATGGCGTTCTCGGCGCGAATCATATGAGTGTTGCACTCGTGCGTGCCGAAGATGAAGTTGCGCTTCTGCTGCGCGGAGCGGCAGTTCGAGCTGGCGCCTAGTCCACCGAAGCGGAATGCGACGCGGTGCAGCCACTGTATAGACGAGGGTTAGAGTGGTGGACGAATGAAACGGAGAATGATACGCGCCTCCGCCTTGCCCTGACTCCCATGCCACAGCTTGTTTGCTACCTGTTCGACCACTTAGCGCCTGCAGACCGCGTCATCGCGATGACTTACCTCCGTAGCGCTGGCACCAGCCACCTGCTGTTGACCACCCGCAGCATCGCGCATCCCCTGAGCCGCCTTAATCTTGTTCAGGGTGATCGTCGCGTCCACCGACTCGTCCGTGTCGCCCTTCTTGCCAACGAGCTTGCAGTCTGCCTCGATCTTGGTAGCGTCGGCGACAGACCCCGGCCACGGCCTCTGAAGCGGGACGGTGTCCACGGCCTGGCAGACCCGCTCGTACTGCCCAACGGGTATCCAGGTGTGAAAAAAACCGAAGGGCGACGAGCTGAGTAGGATGAGGGTCCTGTCCGCCTTGGCGTCTGCCCAGGTTTTGACGACGTAAGGGCGGGATCGCTTGACGGAGGATGGAAGAGAGTCGAGGTGCTTTTGCAGCTGATCACGGTTCAGAAGGACCTCTCCATCAGCGGTAGAGAAGACCAGATCGATATCATCGGCGGGCTGGATGAAGCGTGCGGTGACACTGTAGCCTGCGGAGGGCGGCGTCGCGGTGCGCACAGAAGGGACGACCTTCTCGGTCCATGACTTGCTCTGCCTCGCGGACCAGGACTCGAATGTTTCGTTCAACTCGACGTCCAGGACGAAGTTCCTCGTTGGAGCTGCGACGAAACCGCCAGTCCGGTTCCAGATGTTGAAAGCGACTTTGCCCTCCTTCAGCAGATCGTAATCGTGGCGAAGCAGGGTGCCATCACTGCGCTTTTCGAAGTCGTCCACATCGATGAAGAAATGCCCGTAGGATTTGCCGAGGGAGAGAAATCGGCGACCATCGGGAGTACCGCCGTTGAGCGGTATGCCCTGGAGGATGAGTTAGGAACACGTGTTTTCTACTCAACGACGTACTCGATAGAGGGTGACGCTGGTTCCATCGACAATATATGTCGCGGGACTGTCGTTCCCAACGATGCGCTCGTAGTCAATAGCGGGTGTACTCATCAGGGTCGCTCTCTGGAGGGATGGGACCAAGTTACAAAGAGTCGAGAAATATACTCACCTGCGAGAAATACTGGTACAGCAGCGCATATCTGATTGACAGCAGGACTGTTCGGTGACAGAAGAACAGGACGGTAGACGGCCCGCGGGGAGCAATGAGATGCGGGGTACGATAAGGTGGTCGTGCTCGCTTTCCCTTTCACCACTACCGTGATGCTGCGCGCGGTGGACAGATCGATTTCTTCATTTCCCTGCCAGTCTTGCAACAGGATTGCGCGCAGTAGGAGAACCAGGCATAGCGAGTTCTCGTGACGAGATGAGGCCGATATGAACCTGAAGAGTCGCAAGGTGCATACCCGAGCGTCGAACGCAACGAATACATCGTTCGCGCAGTAATCCGCGCCGAGTTGGACCAAGAATGATGAGTGAGAAACGGTGGTGTCGAAGGTGCTTTTGTGAGAGCATGACAGGTTGACGACTCCTGCGCTAGCTTCACATTGAACAGGTCCTTCGCAGGCTCGACGGATACGAGCAGGGTCTGAGTGATACTCCATCGCAAGCGTCGGTCGTCCGTCGCGACCACGCCACTCCGCCGCCCGCCTGAGTTGGCGTGCATCGCGGGGAAGCCGCCTCTTATAGGTGTCGTGAAGACTTGTGGGTGTCACTAGTGTGTCAGTCCACGCATGAAAGGAATGGAAGAAAGTACTTCCCTGGGTCGCTAGCAATCCCAGATCCGCAGGGGCTGTCAAAAAGTATGTTAAACAGATCTCCTAAGGTCATGCCGTCGGAAGGGATGGCGCCTTACGCGTACGTCCTAAAGTTTGACGACGCTGGTAGTGGAACATGCCGCTGGGCCGGTTCTCCGTTGCGAACATATTCTCATCAAGAGGAGAAGCGGGGGAGTTTGGGCTGTTTGAGGTTGGGACGGCATGGGAGACGCTGTAACGATAGAGGCGAGGGAAAAGGTGCCAGTGCTGCCCGCTGAGCTGCAATTACAAGCGCGTTGTGAATTCGGGGACTGGGCTAAAGCCAATCTTGGGCCCAGGTGCTGTATTTCCAGAGGTAGACTTCCTTGGGGAGGAAGAATCTCGACCTAATGCTCTTAAAGATGGTGGAGGTTTTGGTCAAGGAACGCGGAGACCGAATTCAGTTGAGTGCTTTGACTGGCCTACCGAATGGAGTAAGCGGCCTTCTCACCGACCTCATACTCGCCAGGCAGAGTCCTGCGATCCCTGAGCACCCATATTCCTTGGGTTCCTTCATCATACTACTCTGGACTCTGAAGCTTCAGGCGCTATCAAACTTGCGATAATTGTGCCGGCTCACCATGGACGGCTTCGACGACCTATTGACGCACTCCCGCGCCGAGCTTGACCACAACCCGTTCTCGGATCCCTTCCAACGCGCCGACTCCCCAGATCCCTGGTCATCTCCCTTCGGAGGTACAGGCCAACAAGACGAACCCAACGCATTTCACGATGACAGCCACGCGTTCAAGGACGATGACCACCACGCGTACCAAGACGATCACCACGGTCATGAAGACGGCCAGAACGCGTACGCCGATGACGGCAGCCTCAAGTCACCAACGCGAAGCGAGGAGCCTGCCACGCCAGCAAGCGAGGCGCCTCCGACGCCCGCGACTACAACACCGGCAGACCCCCTCGATTCGGCCGCGTTGACAGCCGACTCGGATGAAGAGGACAACACGCGCTTCCCGCGCAAACCGGGCTTCAGGCAAGCTTCGCCGCCCCGCGAGCCATCCCCAAAGCCAGAGGCAGAGACCAAGGCAAACGCGGACGCGGAGCAAGAGACACCAGCCCCCACACCCGCCACGTTCTCCGAGACCGCGACCATCCGGCCCTCCGAGCCCGAGGAGTACGCTCCGCCGCCACCTTCTCATTCCCCTACCACGTCGACTCCGGCCCGCTCCCCCTCTCCCCCATCCACCGCTGCTGCTGCCCCGCGCCCCGCCCACGCCAAGGTGCCCTCGCGCACGTCGGCGGACTGGGGCCCGCTCAGCCGTCCGCTGCAGCCCGCGGCGTATGACGCGCTCGCGATCGGCGGCGAGTCCGCGGGTGGATGGCAACAGCATCAGGACACGGCGGCAGCATGGGGTAGCGCGAGCGCGCCGGCGGTACCCGCGCCTGCACCGCCGACTGCGCAAGAGGAGGATGACAGCGATGACGACAAGCCGATTGGGCAGAGGTTGGCGCAGAGTCAAACACTGCAGGTGCGTAGCGTGCCATTGATGTAGTATGCCCTGGCTCACTTTCCGTGCAGGCAAAGTCCCCTACGCGGAAGGACAAGGACGGGCCGTCCGCGACATTCATCATCTCCGTCGATGACCCGCAGAAAGTTGGCGACCCCATCCGGCCGTATATCATGTACACTGTACACACGCAGGTACGCATCCCATCTTCTCCCTCACTCTCCCTCTCCCACCAACTCCCCTATTCCCCATTCCCTCACTCACCTCCCACCCCCACATTCTCAACTCTCGTCCACTCACCCCCACCCCCCAGACCTCCTCCAAAGAATTCCGCAAGCCCTCCTTCTCCGTCCTCCGCCGCTACTCCGACTTCCTCTGGCTCTACGAGACCCTCTCGCTCAACAACCCCGGCGTCGTCGTCCCGCCCGTCCCCGGCAAGAACCCCTTCGGCCGCTTCGACGACCAGTTCGTCAAGCAGCGGCGCCTCGGGCTGGAGAAGTGCATCCAGAAGATCGCGAATCATCCGGTGTTGGGGAAGGATGCGGATCTGAGGCTCTTTTTGGAGAGCGATACGTTTTCGTTGGATGTGAGTGAGCTATGGCGCCATCAGTATCGAGCGGGTGAACATAGGGAGGACTGACGCGTGTGGCAGATTAAGCATAGGAAATCGGAGATCGCGCATGAGAGGGGCGGCATGTTGGGCTCGCTAGGGCAGGTATTGACGGGTCCGCGGTTTCATGAGACGGATGAGGTGCGTTCCTATATCATGTAATTCATCTGAGAGCTGACCGTAGCTTTGCAGTGGTTCGACCGCAAGAAGGTCTACATGGATGGGCTGGAGAACCAACTAAGAGGTCTCGTCAAGGCTATCGAGCTCGTGTCAAAACAACGCTCAGGTCAGATGCACTTTCTTAGTACATGTGTTCTCACCGACTTACCCAATTTCTGTAGACCTTGCCACTGCCACCGGTGACTTCGCTGCAACCGTCGCCGACTTGTCGTCATCCGACGTTGGGAAGGGGCTCTCGACCTCTCTGGCAGGGCTTGCGGACATCGAGCGCAAGGCGCAGGACTTGCAGAACATACAAGCGGAGCAGGATATCATCACGCTACTTGCTACCGTCGACGAATATGCGCGCCTGATTAACTCTGTCCGGGTACGTCCTATCTTTCTCTCATTCAATCCTACTAAGTATCCGCATCTGACCCGCCCCTTAGATGGCCTTCACGGGCCGGATACGCACGTACCACGCCTGGAAGCAGGCCGACGCCGACCTCGCGCGCCAGCGCTCTACGCACGACCGCAACCGCGCGCAGGGCAAGATCCCCAACGACCGCATGGGCTACGCGATGACGCAGCTCGCGGAGGCCGAGCGCCGCGCGCTCGAGGCGAAGCGCGAGTTCGAGCACGTCTCGCGTCTGGCGAAGGAGGAGGTCGCGCGATTTGAGAAGGAGCGGATCGAGGACTTCAAGGCGGCGCTGCAGGCGTTTCTGGAGGGGATGATAGGGAGGCAGAAGGAGGTGAGTGGGTGGTGGTTGCGGTGGTGCTTTGGAACGACTCGATGATTGACGACACCACCTTACAGTTGATCGCTGCGTGGGAGGCGTATCAGCAGAGATTGCTTACGCGGATGGGTGCGAGGAGGGAGTCGGTGGAGCAACCGGTAAATGTTGCATGAGGGGATACCTAGGAAGGATACCCAGGTTACGTATGTTCTGTACTTAGCGTCACTGAACTTTGACTGGATGGACATTGTCGTGGTCGTGACGTGCTACATTCTTGCGAATGTTAGGACAGACCGGGCCATGATCCTGCACGTTAGGCGAGTATGCTAAGGCGTTCGCCTCGCGCGAGTTAGTCCTCGTTGCTTGTAGCTGTATGCGTGATTGGCGTTAGGATAGTGGCGTCCTGACTGTAGACGATGGAGGAGTCAACCCGGCCCACAGGTTGCTTTAAGCTCGAATTGGTCCCGTCCGCATTTTGCCGTGATCGGAAGCAAAATGCCAAGCGGATCACGACCCTTTCTGAGAACAATAGCTGCCGGTGACCACCCAAGGATACGGACTAAGACTCGTGCTTCTCCAACTGGTGGGGCACAATTTATAGCGTGTTTACGCTTACCTTTGGTTGCGTGAATATAGAGCATTGAAATGCCGCAACTGGTGATCTCGAGTCTGATCGATTGCAAAGCCATTCATTCGGACGTCAATCAAGCGAGCAGGCATAAAGTCCGAGAACATAAGCATATACAGAGTATCATCAACAAGACAGCAGAGACAAACAGCAATGTACAGCAACATAGCGAAGCAACAGCGCGTACGAGAAGGATAGAGGCGGCCAGCCGCAACGTCCGAGTCAACAAACCGTATATATATGGAGTAAGCGCTACGACTATATGAGATCCAATAAAACGTTAGCATGCAAAAGTGCGCCCAAAGAGAGCCACACTACCTTCCAGTGAAGGGTCAGTCGGCATCATTGTCGGAGTCTTCCTGGGCGCCATCCTCTTCGCCGTCGTCAATGATGACGAAGCCACCATCTTCGACGACCACGTTCTCAACCGCCTGATAGAGCTGGTTCGGGTCGACGGGTAGCACCTTGTGCTCGACGTATTCTTCGATCTTTGGAGGGCCAACTTTAGGGCGATTAGGCAGCTGAATGCGCATGAGGGGCTTCCCCTTGTGCACAAAATCGACGATGGAGCCATCCGGGGCAGCGAAGGTATCGCAGGAATACGGTTTCTTCTTGTCCTCCGTCTCGTCGTAATGTTGTCCCTCCTCGAGCGAGACGAGGCGCTGTGGGCACGAGGAGTCGGTCACGTCGTAAATCTTGACCTTGTCGGGCCTGCGCTTAGGCTGCTTCGTCTTGTTGTCAAGGAATTGCCAACAGACCAGCTCCGCCTCATCCATCCGACCGGTCCACAGACGCATGTGGTACCTGCGACCCGGGATGGGAATATATCTGATCGAGGGATCCTTCGGGTCGGGGGAGCCCTGATTGAAGGTTAGCAGTCAACGATGTGAAAGAGGCAAGCGGCACGCACCCCAATCACTTCAGAGCCCTCGTAAAATCTCTTCATGAACTGGTGACCAAGCTCGACGTCCCCAAACTCCGCTTTGAGGATGATGTTCACCATCTCTTCAGTCCACGCCATATGTCGTACGGCGCCGCCGAACGACGTCGACGGCACACCTGGCTGTACTGGGGTGCTCTTCGGGATGCGAAGGTACTCGTGGTTGTAGCTGTAGATGGAGGAGTAGACAGGTGGGGCCTCTCCCTCAGGTGTTTGACCGAGCCAAGCATCCTCCATCTTCTGCCTGGCCTCGTGGAACTCCGGTATATCGACCATGCTCAGCTTGTATCGATGGCCTGGTACGGTACAGCTTTCCCAGAGTTCTTTGGGGTTCACATAGGGTACTGTGAGGCGCTTGGACATATCCGGCAAGCTACTGCTTGCGAGTGCGTCCTCCGGCCCCGAGGCCTCTGCAGGGCGTTGCCTAGAGGAAGCGCCTCTGCCCTTGGCCTGGCGTGTCTTTGTGGCGCGGGCTGGTTGGCTGCGGGTCTGTGGCTGCTGGGTCGCAGTCCGCCGCGTCTGGCGAGTAACGCGAGTACTGGTCGTCTTGGGCATGAGGAATGTGGCGACGGGAGTGCGAGCACGATGAAGGACAGGTTCAAGTTGTGTTGGGTGATGAGCAAGGACCGATGCTTACGTTTGAGTCTGCTTCCATCTGCTTTATCACGCTGGCGCGCAGCGCCCATCCGGCGGCCGCAGTCCATGTGATTGGGCACGTGATGCAGTAAAAAGAGCAACAAACACAGCAGGATAGCTCTGTCTTTGACCCGCATTGAAAGGCAGCCGTTGGATAATCCAATGTTTTGATAGTAATGAAAGGCAGATCAGTCAGCAGCATCGTATGTATCGGGCCAGTCAAGGGCCAGTGGATCGGAAAGCGTGCCCCCTGTGTACTTATGGGGGAATCCCGTGTGACGCGTTACAAGTTGAACTTCAAGGCAGGGGTTACTGGCCGCGCTACACGTGCATCTCGGCCACTGAGCCTCGCTCGAAGTAACTTTTCCCTTGCGCACTGCTCAGAATTCATCCAACTTTGCAACCACGGTCTGGGACTTGCCACTCGCCCATGATTCTTCAAGTTGATGCACCAAGATGACACCAAGATGAAGGATTCGCGCATTTACGTGGGAAGTAAACAAGAACTAATGCAGTACAACACGAGGCATAGGATTTTGGTTCGGTACAATAGCGATTTCGTCCCGGATCCTTATCGAAGAGACATACAACTTGAACATGATTCCGGAAGACATAAATCTCCATATCTGCCGAGTCGTCGCGCCATGAGTTATGTGAACAAGGTTGGACTGCATCATGAATTACGCACCATCTGCAACGTACTAGTTCTTCAGCGCCGCACGGTAGTTCTGGACCTGGGTAGCCCAACGAAGCCTTCGGAACCAGTCGCCCTTTGAGCCGGCCGGTATCTTGATTTTTGTGAGGTATGCCCTGCCCCTCCGCGTGTGGGGGATGTAGTACATTTTGCGCACGCCATTAGTCCGTGCCTCGGTCTTATGGTGCCAGTAAAGCCTGACGCCATTTGCCGGAACCTGAGGTCGCGGAGCGCCATTTGGGAGAGGCCCGGGGTTGAGGTCGTCCACCATCATCTGACCGTAAACCCTCATCAGCGGCGGCGCAGGATTCACAGGATTATGCGGCCCACGCCAGCCAAAATCCATGACCGTGAGCGGAGGCGGCAGGAAGTAGTTGACCCACTCCACCAACCCCGTTACCCCGTTGTGCATGTAAACCTGGGAGTAGAGGTACACCCTGTTGTTGGCCAGGGTATGGGCTACTATCCTATGGGCGCCAAACTGGGGGACTCCATTTGGGTGCACTCTTTCGTTGAGCCAAACGTCGAACTGGACGCGACCTGGATAGAACTTCCCCGTGGCGCCCAAGAACCAGAAGGTGCGTGCCATAGCGGTGCGCGGCGTGAGAGATGCTGAGGTGGAGGATAGAGGGTGGTGGTGCGAGATATGTCGAAGGCGTGTTTGCTGAAGTCTGCTGTCCTATCGCAAGCCTTTTGTACCTGTCAGCCTCGCTTAGCGACGGATAATTCGCACGTCGATCGCGACGACGAACTCACCAGAACATGTTCGACTGAGTAGCTGTGTACGTCCTGTGCTCTGCCTTCCGTAAAGGCGTGAATGAGGAAGACGGAAAACCGGCTGGCAATCAAGCTTCGCGGAACCAAAGTGTTGGAACGACGGAGTTGCCATTCTGGGAACAATAAGAATTACGTGTTTGGAACAATTGGGACACGCCTTCTGAGCGACGGGCTCACCGTTTCTCGTGCGGTGTGCGGCTAGGCGTTCGATTTTCGCATCAAAAATGTGGAGCCTTGGGAAGGAAAATGCGTCTGGTGTCGGGCATACGTGAAGGTGATTAGTTTTGCGCGGAAGCCGAAGCCGGAGGAGCCTGATGCGTCGAGCTATCAGAACTGTTACAGCCCGCTTCACACCATTAGCCATTCCCCCGCAAAAAAAAGTCACCAGAAGACCGGTGCATCCGACGATGCCCTGGACCCTCACTTGCGCTTGAGGATAGAACTCTCCCACGACCGGTGCCACGTATCCTGCACTTAGTAGCCAGCCGCGCGTTGAAGTAGCCTAGGGAGAGATTGTATTCCACGAGAGTTGGGATTTCTTGGACCATAAGTTCGTTCCGCTTGACCTCGCAGTTCAAGGCGCGTCTACACCAACCCAAACACGGCCGCGAACTCGTCATCATCCTGCCCCTTCGCGCGCATCTCAATCACGTTCTGGATCGTCTGCGCGGTAGCCTCGTCTGCGATCTGCGTGACGAAAGCGCTCGCCATGTCTGCACCTGCATTGAGTTGAGTGGTGAGCTTCCAGTACATATCGCGAGTGTGCGAGGACTGAGCTTACCTGCCGTCACACCCGAGCTCGTCCAGAACTTGCCGTCCACAACCCAGCGGGCGCGCGCAACCCACTGGATGCTGTGCGAGGCTGTATCGGCCAGCATCTCCTTGAAGACAAATTTGTTGCCGGTGGCGCGCTTGCCGTCAAGGAGACCCGTGCGCGCGAGGACCCAGGAGCCTGTGCGCCTTCATTTAGTAACACGTGGAGCGACTAGTTCACGAGCAGACTTACCAGTACAGATCGTCAGAACGTACTTCGCCCCGGGCACCTGACGGATCAGGAAGTCGTTCAGCTCTTGCGGAACCTCCGGGATGCCTGTGTACCCATCGTTAGTTCCACGTCTTCAACTCCACGGCAGCAACTACTGACCTCCCGGCACCATGATGATATCGAACTGCTCCTTGGCCTCGCCGAACGTCTTGTCGGGCGTCAGTCGCGGACCCGCCTCGCCAGCATAACCCGGCGCGACAGGCTCGAGGGTGTGAGAAAGGTACGTGAAGGGCCCGAGCGTGGGCAGGCTATCCGCCTTCTCCTTGAACATGTAGGGCTTGGTCTTGGCGGAGAGCGCGGCGAGAAATTCGATGGGACCCTGGTAGTCGAGTGAGGTCATCCGGTTGTACATGCAGACCGCGACGGAGAGGGAAGACGAGGCCATCTTGCAATCGTGGGTCTGATGAGGGAGGTGCGAGTGGAATACAGTGAACGAAGAGCACAGAGGATGTGGCTTGTCGGAAACGAGAAAAAATAGAGAGCTTATAAGGTGGTGGTTCGCCGTCCGCGCATATCAGCGACACCGTACCATCGCCGCACCGCTGCCTGGACCTCTGTAGTCATGAAGACCGCAGTGCTGACTGAGAATCCTCAAGCGCCCATGGATGCGTACAAAGCATCCTCGGCCATGCCGCGCGTCGGATCGGCGCAGACGACGTCGAGCCACTTCAGATTGTATCGCACGAGTGAGAAAATCGCGCCGCAGACAACGGCAGACTTCTATGAGCGACTTCGCAAGGCCCCATGCTCGGCGTAAGGAGGTTCTGCGCGATGGTCGGAGGTCCTCAACTCAGCAATTCGGATTAAGACTGTAGTGCATCGTCAGAACAATCGCACCGCAGGGCAACGTGGAGCAGTACGCGGCGCGGCGGCAGCGCTTCAAGTCGAGGCAAGCGAAAACAGCATGCAGGTCGGTCGGGGTCACATTGACAAAATGGTCACCGGACTAGTGGGCCTGAATACATTTTAGGATGGTTCGAATGCGATGAGCGCTAGATTTTTGTGACGTAGACTAAAGTACAATCAGTGTGCCACCTACCCTGATGCGAATAGTACACGCACCTACACGCCTCTACGTCCAACGACACATCACAATTATCATAACACAAGCACCTTCAGAAAATACTTGCACCATACAGTGTCTAATACCTGGCTTGTTTCGAGTCCGCCTGCCCTGCCACCTCCGTAAAATCCGACGGGCGATCGCGCTTCAGCGGCCTCTTGTTCGCAGCCAGTCCACCATTGAACTGACTCCCATTGCCCCCAACCCATCCCGACTGCCCACCCATCATCCCATTGTTGCCCACAAAGCCCGACGGCCCGCCGTTGCCCACGAAACCAGACGCGCCGCCATTACCAGTGAACCCCGACTGCCCATTGCCAACAAAGCCGCTGCCGCCCCCGCCGACGAAGCCTGAGGCGCCGTACGCGGCGGCCATGGCCATGTTCTGCGCCTGCGCCTGCTGTGCGAGCGCACCCAGTGTCTGCGCCTGAGCGAGCTCCATCTGGAGTTGCTGCTGCTGCATCTCCGCGGTCTGGCGGACCTGGGGCGGCAGGTTGGGGTTTTGTAGGGCTTGGGAGACCTGCGTGATCTGCGCTTGAAGCTGTGGAATGTTCTGGCTGAGCATCTGCACCATTTGCTCGAGCTCGGAACCGGTGAGGCTGCCGGGGTCAACTTGGGTCTGGCAGGCTGGTCAGACGAAATAGAGGTTTGCGCTGGATGAGGATTACTAACCTGTTCCCCGTCTTCATGATTCTCTTCCCCTTCCTCGCCTTCGCCCTTCTTACTCTCCTCGATCGTCCGCTCGATGTAGTCCCATACCCGCGTCCGCGCGGGCTTGTCCACGAGCAACTTGTCGAGTGACGGAATCTTCTTCCCACAACTCGGACAGATGAAGTCGCGCTCGAGTAGGTGCGTCTGAATACACTCTTCGCAGTACGAGGTACCGCAGCACGGCGTCTTGACAGCGTCGCGGAAGAGCTTGTTGTCGATGGGGCACGACAGCGACTCGTCGCTGGGTGGTCGCTCGCGGACTTCCGCTTCCGTAAGCCCCTTCGGTCGTTGGACCTGCTTTTGCCAGGATGCCCTTGTTCCAAGTCAACAATAGAATGAGAAGCCAGATACGGCAGGGCTTACAAATCTGGCTGGGCAACGACGTAGCCACCCTCGGGGGTGACCATGACGCCCTGCCCGAGCGTCGCGCCGTCCGGGTTCTCGACGGCTTTGAGAAAACTGCGCGGGATACCCGTTGTACGCTTGATACGTGGCCGGTTGTCGTAGTCACGGTCGTTATTCGTAGGACAGTCCTTGATCCAATGTCCTACAAGTCTATGAGCAATCCGTCTTCCAGAGCCCGGAGCGCTTCGACTCACCTTTCTGCCCACACCTATAGCACACATAGCTTGCTGGCAGCGGCCTCTCTGGCGCCGCGTACGGTGTCCTGGGCTTGCCCCGTCCAGCGAAGCCTGTTCCGCGCAAAGGTACGTGCGCCGCACTGAAGGGGACAACAAAAGGATAACATGCATTAGAGGCGAGGCTACTACATGAAGGAGGGCTGATGATACGGACTGTGAGAGTTTCTCCTGCGCCTCTTCCCAGTTCGCTGTTTGTGTCTGGAACATGGCGGCGATCGCAGCTTCTTCGTCGTCCGTAGCGCCGGGGATAGAAGGAGGCATGGCGGGGGCGGGTGTGGCGGTGGACTGGAGCGCAGGGCTATATCAGTACACTGGAAGATCGGAAGTATAGTGGAACGCACATTGGCTTTTGCTTCGTCCTTTCCGTCGAAGCGCTTCGACATGGCGCCCTTGTACCATGTTGGGCCGCCCCCACCACCTCCGCCGCGTTGGTTCGACTCAGAGACAGGCAAATTGCCCCCTACGCCAGCAGTGTAGTATGCTGCCTTTCCCTTTCCAGGTCTTGCCGCAGGTCGCCGCTTCACGATGACTGATGAAGACCGAGGGATGATTGTGGTGTCGTCGGCGTACTCTGCATGACTGGTTAGGTTCTCCCCTTCGTACGATGTAGGCCCACGCACCTTCCTGGGTTGCCGGATTAAAGACATAGAGGTCAAAGTCGTTCGCTTTACTCATGTTATGCGCGAGGATGATCTCGCGCTTGAGGTCGAAGATGCTGATACCCGTGCCGTCGAAAGTGACGCGAGACTCATCTTTGCGAGACGCAAAGCGGTAAAAGACTGATGAGGCCATAATAGGGGGTGAGGAACGTATATATTCGTGGACACTAGAAGAACGATGGGAAGCCAACCGCGGAGACGCGGCGCAAAGATGAGGGGAGAGAACAAGGAGGGGTTTATTCAATTGTTGGCGTGCGACTTCATCGCGGCTTTCCGGACCGGAATCCCTTCCCCTCGATCGGTGGCTCACTTCCAGCGCGCTGCATTCATCGACAACCACCATCCTTCTAGGCTCAAGCATATCCTCACATCTACCCAAACTATACGCATCATGCCGAAGCCGTCTAGAGTGAAATGTCAGGTCTGCAATGAGACCGAATCCAAATACACTTGCTCTGTCTGCAGCATCGTATAGTCAGTGAGCTCGGAGTTTTCATGCAAGTCCCCTTCAATGCTCACGGAGGGCTAGTTGCTCTGTTCCATGTTATAAGCAACATAAGACATCCACATGTACTGCAGAGAAGCAAGCCTCCAGCAGCGCAGGACCTTCCACTCTACTCGGAGTTGGGCACAATAACACAGGTCCGTGTCATCCTCCTAAACTACCTACCCTGATTGATACGGTAAATTACTAGCAGAGGCGGAAAGGACACCAGCAGAACAAGGGACCACGGTAGAACAAGGACAAGAAGTTGTTCAAGACGAGAAGCCTCTCAAACCACTCACGTCACTTAAATGGCCATATGTACCAGAAGAGTCTGTATACCCCGACCCTCTTACGCGCGACGACCCAAAACCTCTCAGTCTCAGACAGTACGAGGGAATTGGTGCGCAAGTCAAGGACTTACAGATGATCATGACTGACTTGTCTTCAGCGACATCAAAGCCCCTGCGTGTTTTGTTGAATGAGCACCCCGGCCTGCGCGATACCCTGAGGCAGATAGACCAACTGCGAGGACAAGAGCGTGTTGACGCCCTGCACCGTGCACTGCGACTGAATCAAAGGGATGTAGAAGCAGATGTAGGGGAAGATGTGTTGCTTTTGCGGCAATTTGCCCAGGCGGTCGAGGACGCCATCCGCGGAGACCAACAAGACGGCTTGCGATTGCAATGGGGAGATGAATGAAAGAGAGTAGGCGAGGCGTTCCGAGGAGTAGGAGGTCTGGACTTGATCGTACATGTATTCGGGTGAAGCAGGCAGCCAGAGTCGCATACGGGGTCTAGACCGCTGTGGGGAACATGGCGATTTCGAAGTAAATTGATTGGTCTGCCTCCCGAGCGCCTGTAGAACGCGCGCGAAGTACGCCTTTATGGGTGTACGAATGTGCCCGCTTAGCCCTCTACAACTTCTCCTTCTCAATCTTGAGGTAGTACTCCTGCTCGAGCTTGCCTGAAGGTGGCGTGTCAGAACGCGTGCGGATGGAGGGTAGGGGGCGCCTGAGTCTTCTGATGCGCTGTACTCACGAGTGTGGAGGTGGTGGAGGTACCTGCGGGGGTGGTGTGAGTTGCTTGTTGGATTGCGAGAAATCCCGAATGGACGCACCAGTAGCCGTAGGCAGAGGTGACGCCGACGCTGAGCGCAAAGCTGAGGTCGAAGAAGAAGCGCTTGCGGAGCATGCCGGTAATGGGGGCGATGGCGGCCATTGCGGGCGCGAGTGTAGTGCAGACGACGACGATGAGGTGCGGAGAGAAGGATCACCGCGCCGAACGCGGGCTTTTCAGGCTGTTGACGGTTATTTATTCCGGAGGCCCCGCTGACATAACGGCGGCGGCTCGTTTCCTGAAGCGTGCGTTACGTGCTTGTTCTCCTCCATCACCCGCCGGAAAGCCCGCCAGCGACACATCTCGACCGCAAAAGTAGGCGGCAATATCGCAGGAAATTAGTAGCATGCTCACCGCTGCTCCCAGCGCCCAGAATCAGCCCTCGATCTCCGTATCTCACCGCGCATCCATGGAAGACCCATCATCGTCTGGGGGCTGGCGATTCGCCCAGTGCTTCGGTGACAAGGGAGAGGTTGAGGATATCACCGAGGGTGCGTTTTCCAGCCAGCGGGACCGCGACCGACACGCGTCACCGCCCCCCGCGACCGCCGTCACTCACCCACGCGTCTAACAGCCGATATCATATCCACCGTCGAGTTTGACTCTACGGGCAACTACCTCGCTACGGGAGACAAGGGCGGGCGTGTTGTGCTCTTCGAGCGGAACGAATCTGTGTGTGACTATCGCGAACGCCCGTGTGGCGAATGCTGATTGATGCGCGCGCGCCCTATGCAGAAGAAGGGCTGCGAGTACAAGTTCTACACCGAGTTTCAGTCTCACGAACCGGAATTCGACTACTTGAAATCACTCGAGATAGAGGAGAAGATCAACAAAATCAAGTGGTGTAAGCGTCAGAACCAGGCGCATTTCCTCTTGTCGACGAATGGTGCGTGGCCTAGTAGCGCGCGCAAATACATGACTGATCTTTCCTTTAGACAAGACCATCAAGTTGTGGAAGGTGTTCGAGAAGTCATTGAAGGTGGTATCCGAGTCGAACCACTATGACGGCCAACGGCAATTACCCCCACCTGCACACTCCAGCCACCTGCGTCTACCGCGGATGACGCAGCAGGACAACATTATCGCGGCAGTGCCACGAAAAGTGTATGCCAATGCGCACGCGTATCACATACACTCGATTTCCGTGAATTCCGATCAGGAGACGTACATTTCTGCCGATGATCTGAGGATCAACTTGTGGAACCTGAACATTTCCGACCAGAGCTTCAGTGCGTGGCCGCATTTGTACTGCTTTTGCTCGTACTAACGTGTTGCAGACATCGTCGACATCAAGCCGGTGAACATGGAGGAACTTACGGAGGTCATCACTGCCACCGAGTTCCACCCTTCACATTGCAACCTCTTCATGTACTCGAGCTCCAAGAGCAACATTAAGCTCGCCGACATGCGCGAGGCCGCGCTTTGCGACCGACACGCCAAATGTGTGTCTACCGGGTCAGTGACTCGCCACAATTTGCTGACTACGCGTTCCAGGCTTCGAGGAGGAAGAGGACCCGACAACGCGATCCTTCTTCTCCGAGATCATATCGTCGATCTCCGATGTCAAGTTCAGCCACGACGGACGATACATCTTATCGCGTGACTACCTGAACTTGAAGATCTGGGACATCAACATGGAGTCGCGACCCCTCAAGACGATCCCAATCCACGACCACCTGAGGGGCAAGCTCTGCGACTTGTATGAGAACGACTGCATCTTCGACAAGTTTGAGTGTATCTGGAGCGGGGACGACAAGTGCGTCTTATCGCTACCGCATGCGACCCTCTGCTGACATCATGCAGGAACGTGCTGACGGGCTCCTACCACAACTACTTCCGCATATACGACACGGACACGCTGAACGATGTCGTCTTGCAAGCCGACAAGTCCGCTTTCAAGGCGAAGAAGATTGGCGGCCCGTTACCCGGCAAGCCTGGCGCGAAGAACCGGCCGGGAGGACTGCGGGACGCTATGCAGCTGGAGACTCTGGACTTCAACAAGAAGATTCTCCATGCGAGCTGGCATCCAAGGGAGTACACGATCGCCGTGCGTGACTCCTTTTGCTGCCCTGTGTGCGCGTTTGCTGACGGTCAGCGGGTCTTTGACAGATCGCGGCGACGAACAACCTCTTCCTGTACAGCGCCGCGTAACGTCCTCATCCGCACGCTCATGCTCGGCCTGCCGAATAGACGGTCACGATCACGGCTCGACGACATCTACACACACTTACGCACGCACGCACTTTGACGCCCACATCCTCTTTCTCCGTTTCATCCTCATCCTCTACCCCCATCGCACATCGGGAACTCACCCATCCGCACGTCGGGAATCCACCATCCGCACGCCAGGGACCTTATCCTCCACTTTTATCTATCGACCCCGGTCTTCTTTCCTGTATCGCACGTACAAGTATCCCCTATCCTCGCTCGTTACGGTATAATGCCCTTCGTACGCCCACGTCTTTTCTAATCTTTCTCGTGCGGGTGGGAGTGTGGGGTAGCCTGGCATTGAGCGGGAAGGCCGATTTCCGACCTTGCGCCGGCGATCGCGTCGTCTCTGCTTCCTTCGCTGTGTTGTTGTGCTTCTACTGCTGCCGCCGCTGCAACGCGGTACCGCGCCCCATGCCCCCGCCTACCCCTTTCTTTCTATTTCTACCTACATGCCGCATCCCCCATACCGCATATACTTACCCTACTGCCCCCGTCCATTGTGCTGTTGCTGTCTCTGTGTCATTTGTTTTTGGGTCGTGGTCGTCTCCCGTCTTTCTCGTGCTGGACGCTGGCATGGCTCGGTCGTTCGCGTCGTTGTCTTGCGTTCGCATAGGCACGATTGTCTGTCGGCTGGCGCGGACTCGTCGTTGGTTGTCTGGCGCTCGGTCGCCTCGCGCATAGCTACTCATCGCCCGCATACCTACCTACTTGTAGAAGACTGTTACATATATACTGGTGGAAGTGAAGAAGAATCAATGCAAGAAGTTTTTATCTCATCAGCTTGAGTGGATGGATGACCCTTCGCGGGGGAAAACAAACTAGCGCGCCTCGAGGCTGAGAACATAGCAAGGTGGCTTTACACTTGCAAGTATACGCAGATATATTAGCCTTCTCTGCTTCACTTTCACTGACAGGCCTGCTTCGGGTCTTGTTCCCTGCATCTGTGACTATTGAAAGTCCTGATAGACCGGCACGAATCCTTCGACAGCTCTACGTGTACAATATGGGGGATAGGTGTACAGGATAATCTACTGAAACTCTTAGGCGGTGTCCATGTCCTCTCTTCAAGGCGCGAGACTCGTCCGCGAATTACTTCTTGCCCAAGATACCAGCAATGGCTCCCGCGAGCGGCGAGGGCTCCTGCTCGAGTGCCATCTTCAGGAACCACGGCTTGCTCATGTAGTTGCGGATCCTGCAAAGCCATCAGTCATCGCCTCCCACCGCGTACATCGATTTCGCTCACCCATCCGGCAGCACGACCACCACATTCTTCCCTTCCGTCTCCGCCACCTTCCGCCCCTCCTCCGTATCACGCAGCCACTGCATCGCTCCGGCCAGCGCAGCGCCGCTGCTCCCGCCCACGAGCAGACCCTCGAGCCGCATGAGCGACTTGGCGTGCTCGAACGAGTCCTCGTCGGCGGTCTTCTCCCAAAAGTCAACGACGCCGGGCGCGCGGGAGAGGACCTCGGGGATGAAGTCGTAGCCGATACCCTCCACGACGTACGGGTCGCCGGCGGAGGAGGCGTTGAGAGTCTCGGGGAGCGCGAGGATGCTGCCTTTCTGCGAGGAAAATGAGATCGGGATACATGAAGATGAGGTAGGGAAAGACATACGGGGTCGACACCGATGACGGCACATTCTTTGTTATGCGTCTTCTTGATCGCGTTCGAAATGCCGGTGACAGTTCCGCCTGTACCGGCACCTGCGACAAGGACGTCGACCTTGCCGGTAGAGGGATTCAGAGGCGTCGATGGCGTGTTGACTACCGCCTCAATAATCTCCGGGCCCGTAGTCAACTCGTGCGCCAAGGGATTGTTGACCTGCGAACGTGCGTTCAGTGGGTAGGAATGGATGATAATGTATAAGATCGCACATTGCGATATTGGTCTAGGATGATTGCATGGGGAATTTCACGTTGCAAGCGCCTGGCCACTCCTAGAGTCGTTAAGGAATTCAGCCACGAGAGGGGTATGGGAGCAGTTTGATGGGCTACCTATGTGGCTATCGGGGGAGTCCCAGGCGGCTTCGGTAGGTGTGCGGACAACCTCGGCGCCTAGGGCGCGCAAGGCAGCCTCTTTCTCCTGCACATAGAGTGAGATTGGTTCCAAGGAGTGGAGGGAAGAGGCGCACGATAGACATCTTGTTCGGGAGGGTGATGATCACCGAGTACCCCTGCCCTATAGTATTCAGCATCCATAGTGCAAAGCGTGCTGCCGTCAATACCTTTATCGCGCACGCCAATGCCAGACCAATGCCTAGCACATCGTCAGAGAGGACTCACTACACGGTGACAGGATACGCACCAGTATTGCCAGATGTTGGCTCGATTACCACGCTCTTGCCTGGAATGAGCTTCCCCTCCTTCTCCGCGGCTTCAACCATCGCCTTTGCAATGCGGTCCTTGACGGAGCCGCCAGCGGAGACGTATTCTACCTTGCCCACTGTTCGCCATGTCAGCCTTCTCGCCAAGTCTGATCACATAGCACGCACGGAGATTGCACTTCAGCCCCGCCTGCTGCGCCACCCTATCCAGCCGTATGAGGGGAGTGTGACCTACAGCGCCGAGGGCGTTGTCGATGATTTGAGCCATGGCGAGTGTGGTAGAAGATGAGTAAAGAGAGGTATATGTTCGTGAGAGGAGAAGAGGAGACGCTGAGAGCAAACTTCCGAGGCTATATACGGCCGGATCCAATCGAGCGGGCACGTCAGATGGGCTCCGGTTGATGCAAGATTGACGGCGTGACGCTGGGCCGATTCGAGGCACAAACCCAGAGCTGGCTCACTTCAGGAGCTTTCAGGCCTTCGCAGGGAGCCTTCGTCGCACACAGAACCAGATGGGAGGATGGAGATGGGCGGGGTAAGAAGTGTCGGAACGTGGCGGCCATTACCTCCGTCTCACTCGGGTGCGATTAGCAGTGGAGATAATCGCGTGGCAACGGACCGAATGCCGTCCCCGGGATTGAAGAGGAACGCAGAGGAACACTCGATGTAAGGGATGGCGTTGAGCAGCGTGCAATAGATTCGTTTGGTACTCCTCTAGATGAAACAAATTTAAGTACAATTCCTCGAGCAAAGCAAAAGCTCCATTGTGAATCTGAACTGGGATTGCGAGGCTTTACGATGATGGACAGAGATTTACAGACGTAGTCTAAGCATAGAATAGAAGCTCAATCATTGAATCGCCATTTGAGACGCAGTTTTAAGCGGAAAGAGTGACAAGGATGCGCGCAAGTCAGGCTTGGCTAAGTTCAACCACAATGTGCATGACCGTGAGAGAGTAACCGGCAACAACCGGAGACTGTACAGTTATCCCGAAAAGTCAATCTTTGTTCCCCGACGCGCCTTTCCCCACACCCTCGTCCCCCTCACCTTACAGCTTTGCTGAGTCCCCTTCTCAGTAGGCATATATAAATCAAGATGGTTTGTGCTGTCCGATCACATATTTGAACGCGTTCTGAAAGTTGCATGCGCATAGGTTAAGCCCACGACCTCCCCCAAGCAGAAGTTCATCATCGACATCTCGAAGCCCTCAGAGGAGGGTATCTTCGATGGTGCCGAGTTTGAGAAGTTCTTGCACGACCACATCAAGGTATGCCTTGACTTGATCCGTGTAGACAATCATACTGACGGGAAGCAGGTCGAGGGTAAGGCTGGCAACCTCGGGGACGCCATCAAGGTCACCCGCGATGGTGCGTATTTGTCCATAGCTTGATGAGTCCCCCCCTCAACATACAACTCTTTCAGGCAAGAAGAAGGTCATCGTGACCGCCAACATCCCCTTCTCCAAGCGCTACCTCAAGTACCTCACGAAGAAGTACCTCAAGAAGAGCGGCACCCGCGACTTCATTCGGTGCGTTGACCCACGTTTCCCATCTGAACGATCACGCTCATATCGCTATTCAGTGTTGTTGCCACCTCCAAGGACAACTACACCCTCAAGTTCAGCAACACCCTTGAGGAGGAGGAGGATGACGAGGAGTAGATGCTTCCGCTTACTATGCCACATGCAATACATGCATCATGACCGACAACAACCCTTGTGTGACGCTCAAAAACTTCGGATAGACTCACCTTCCAGCCAAGACTCGTCCTATGCTATCGCGCGTTCTCCTGTCTCTCCTGCCCGCTCGTACGCGAACCGCAAGGCCAGACCTAGCTTCGCCGGCATGCTCTGTGCACACAGACTGAATTATGATGCTGATTACATTATATAGATATCAATCCTCCACCACTCGACAAACCCTCCAGAGCACCTCAGAAAATAAAATAACGACCGACAGTTTATTGGGCGCCCAAAGCCTCCTTGGCTTTGTTCCAGTAATCGATTCTTCCTTGGTCGACCGTGGTACCGATGCAGTCCGTGATGTACACCGACCAGCCGTCCTGGGTACCCGACTGCACCCCCTCGCGCACCGTTTCGTCGCACTGGCTCGTGAGGAACCACGCCGCCGACGCGAAGCTCGGCCCATCCGGGCTCACAAGCTCGAGGATCCCATCCGCGCCACCAGTCGAATTCGCGGTGTTGACCTTGTTGTCACCAAACAGCTCCCGCGCGTACATCTCGTTGTACGTCGCGGACTGCATGTTCCGCGTGCCCTTCCCCGGCGTGTGCACGGTCTCGCCCGCGACGAAGTGGCCCCAGTTGTACTTGAACTCGCCGCTCTCGTAGAGCATGAGGGAAATGACGGCCGCCTGCTCGTTCGTGTTGTTGAGCGCGTAGGTGGCGAAGGAGTCGAGGATAGGCTGCGCGGCCTGCGAGGCGACGCGGCACTCGTCGGGGTACTTGGCGCCGACGCATGAGTTGGTGTTGGGAGCCATCGCGAGGAGCTGCGTAGTGAGCGCGTCCGCTGTGCTGTTGTCGGCGCGGGGGCTGACGCCGCCACCCGGGGTGTGCGAGACGCGAGGCGCCTTCACTGGGCGGAAGGGCGCGGCGAAAGCGGTAGTGAAAAAGAGCGTGAAGAGTAGCAAGGACTGCATGTTCGTGAGCGTGGCAGACTGCACACTGAGTGTGGCGGGTTGAGGGCAGGTGGACCGTCGGAAGAAACACCTGCAGGACCTCCTGAGCTTTTATAGCCCGTTGGCTATCTGCAGGTCTAGCCGAAGGGACGGCCGCAGGCAGTGATCTGCAATGCAAAGATGGTTATGAATAAACGGTCATGCAGGTCATACGCCGCATCTTTGACACACAAAGAAGGATTTGCGGAGGCGGAGGGAGGTGGCACTGGCAAAAGCGGGCGTGTATGCGGACGGAGGATCGGAACACTGCACAAGGACGGGCACGTCCAGGCTATTTCTCGCGATCCACGAGAGCAGATCGACGGAGATGAGCAAACCCACTTGCGAGAGAAGGGCCGATCTTAAAGACGCTCTGCGCTTGTACGAAGCGGCCTTTGCCGTGCCTTGTCCTTCACATTCAGTCGAGTCGATTCTGAGAGTCAACGTCTTCAACATAAATAAGCACAGCACAATAAAAACTCCTAAAACTACAAAGCACACAAGACATCCTAGAGTGCGACAGAAAGGCCTGCCCTCTGTCGACCGAAGCCGCCAGTAAACAAACACCCATCTTTATACACCAAGGTCGTGAAGGTCATAAGCATGCCTGCGCGGTGGTGAGGTTTGGATGGGCGCCGACGCGGGAATGGGGGTATGCATTGCAGTCGTAGGAAGGGGAAAGCCTGCGCTCGGGGGTATGACTTCGAGGATCGGGCAACTTAGTTCTTCTGGTCGTTGCCGTTGTTGAACCAGGGGAACCAGTTCCACCAGTTGCCGCTGTCGTCGCCGTTGTCAGAAGAGCCGGGCCACTGGCCCCCGGGGGCGCTAGAGCCAGAGGACCCGGAAGCGGCGGGGGCGGACGCGGGCGCGCTGGGGGAGGACTCGACGGGCGCGGAGGCGGAGTTGGCGGGAGCAGACTCCGACGCAGAGTCAGAGCCGGCGGGCTCAGACGCGGACTCGGTAGCGCTAGCTGACCCGGACTCAGAGGCGGTTACCGACGCAGAGGCGGGCGCAGAGCCGGACGCGCTGGCGGAGCTGGACGGCGCGGCGCTCGACGAGGAGTTGCCGCTTGAGCCAGAGCCGGAGAGCGCGGCGAAGCCGACCGCGTTCTGCTCGAAGTCGAATACCGTGTAGACGTTCTTCATGAAGCTGTGTGATGGTGTGAGCTTCCCATGGCAGGAGAAGAATGCGTAGGATACTCACGCGTCACCGATGAGCCAGGTGTTGTCGCCGAGGCCTAGGTCCTGGCCAGCGAGGGCACCAACGCAGTCAGAGCTGCCCTGTTCGGTCTTGCCGAGGTTGAAGCTACGTATCCGTATGAGTTAATTGCTCCAGGAGCATGACAGAGAACTCACTTCTCAGCAGTGACCTCCCAGTCCTTGCCACCCCAGTTGAACGCCACAGTCGGCGCAGAGTCGCAAGGGAAGGTGTACATGCCGTTCGCCTCATCGTAGGTCGTGCTACCCTCGATGCTCGAGTACACCTGCTTCACGACCTCAGGCGGGCCGTACATAACTACCGTAACCCATCAGCACATTTCTCCCCTACAGCCGCAAGGCTAGAGCAAGAAACTCACTCGTCGTGCCAGAGTCGATGATGGTCTCGAAGTCCTGCGCAGCGGCCTGGCCGTTCATGTTGAGCGTCGCGCCGGTCGTGAGCCAGTAGCCCTCCGACGGGTCGGTCTCGTGGTACTCAAAGTCGCCCGTGTAGAGCTTCTCGTTCGTGCCGCCGACGAAGAGCTCGGAGCCCTGCTCGGCGAGGTAGAAGCCGAAGGAGTTGCTCGCGACAGCACCCTGCTTCTGCGCGTTCGTGAACCACGGGTCCTGCTTGAGGTTGCTGATCGTGGGGTACGCCATGCCGAGGATACTAGGGCATTATTAGCACAAGTGCGCAGGCGGGGGCAATGCGAGTACATACCCATCGATGGGATCGTCAGCAAAGCTGTCCGAGAGCTCGGACACGGGGGAGAAGAATTGGTTCTCGGCGGATACGCCACCGACGGTCACTAAACAAAACTCAGTCGCTGCGTATGCACGGCATTTCCTCCTGCTTACCGGTGTCCTTGCGGATAGGGCCAGACACGTTGGAACCGTCACCGTACTGGATCTGGAATTCGCCATCGGCCTCGGCGCTGGTGGAGGACGCGCTCGCGTCGTACTTGTCCTTGGACGAGCAAGTGGTCGACGAGCACTCGGACGAGGGGACCCAGAGGTCCGCAGAGCCGGCTGCGCGATGTCGTAAGACAAAAGAATAGAACAATAGACTAGAATAACACGCACTATCGAAGACAACGTAGAAGTCCTGGGCGGGCGTGCCGACCGAGATAGAGCCGGGCCACTCGACCTCCTCTTCGTCAGTGAGCTCGACAGCCTGGCGCTTCTTGAGCGCGGCACGCTGCTCGAGGTTACGCTTTACTGGCAGGGGGATACGCGCGACATCTTTGATGGCCGCACCCTAGTCAATCGTGAGTGGGTGCATTTGATAGATCTCGCGATGCGCGTACCTTGCGCAGGGCAGACTCGCCGACGTTCGCGATGAGGTTGACGAGGTTCTGGCGGTGCTTGTTCTGGGTGAGGACCGTGAGCTGGATGGCGCGGTCGTGGTCGAAGATGCCGTCGTCCGTGGTCAGCTTGGCGCGGCGGCGGATGGGCACGGACTGGCCCGCGGGGAGCGTGACGGGGATCGCAGCCGCGGAGAGCGCGAGGGAGACAGTGGCAAGCAGCGAGTAGTACGCAAACATGGTAAGGTTGGTCGTTCTGTCAGAAAAGCTGGTTACAAGTGAGTGTCAGGTGTCAGGCGCGCCTTCAGCTCGCTGAAGGTTGGGCAACAGAGAAAGAATGAAAGACGAGGACGATGACCGGAGAGAGAGAGATGAGGGAGAAGTGCGGGCACGGGGCCAGCTCTTTATCACCCTTTCTCCCGCCGTGCGGGATCGCACATGACATCAACAGCACGAGGCACCTATGCTGGACGTGGCAACCGTTGTCCGGCCCATGTCAGTCGAGTCCGCCGGGTCGTCGCCAGGTGTGTAAAATGAATCGCTGCCGCGGGGGCCGCAGCGAGCAGTGCCAAGGCACACCTCGAATCATCCGCAGAGCAATACATCTTGGCGTTCTTCTCTCACCATGCTCGCGGTGCGGACGCGTTTGAGACGGGTGGGACCACCTTGAGCTCGCTCGAGGGCTACCGGAAGGGTGTGGTACGCCTCCTTCCCGCTTGTGCGCATGGGTACCCGTGTTCACGGATCCGGGCTCGGGAGACGGTCTTTGCGGAGAAACTCTCGGCATACAGCCTTCCTGCCTTCAACGAAGCTCCCGCATAGGTTCTTTTCGCACTGAAGGGGAGTCAGAGAGGAGTTCAGCTACATAAGCTCCGGTGCTAGGCCCAAAGCGACGCACCAGCCGCTTCATGATCGTCGAGAGCAGGATTGACATGAGCTGCCATCTCTCAGCCATCGTTTGCCTCTATTTGTCCGAGTTCGTTACAGAGCAACATACGGGAAATTTCTTTCTATTTCGCGCTCCTGGAGCCATTTGTGTGAGCCAGTCACTTCTACAGATGGTGTATACTACACTGAAGCTACATCCAGCGCCGTTCCAGCGGCTATGCTACATTCACGGTTCACACATTGCGCAGATACATGTCGTGCAGGAGTATTCAATTGCATTGTCCGTTAGCCTGACCGAAGGGACGTTAGGGTAAGCCAAGATGTGGCGGTGAGTAAAGCAGGAGGTGAGCAGGCAGGCTACCGAGTACGGGAAGTGAGTAAGATAGGACAAAGCAAGTCGATAGCGAGGGGTGCAGAGTGCGTGCGGGTAAAGGGTTGCGTGAGGCGTGAATGTTGGGGTAGGGAATGTGTGGGTGTTGTTGTCTATTGCGAGGCGCCGCCATTGGCAAGGGCGGCAAAGCCGACAGCCTTCTTGTCCATGTCGAAGACGGTGTAGACGTTCTTCATGAACCTATACCGCAAGCCTCAGTATTCGAGGGAGTTGAGAAGATGAAAGAGAGCACGTACGCGTCACCGAGCAGCCACGTCCCCTCACCCAGACCAAGGTCTTGAGCCGAGATAGCAGCAATGCAGTCCGATGAACCCTCGTCGACCTTGCCCAGGTTCAGGTTATCCTCCGAAATCTCAATATCCATCCCGCCATAGTTAAACGCGATCTTCGGCGCCTTGTCGCACGGATACGCGAAGTAGCCGTTCGCCTTGTCCTGCTCATACGCGCCCTCCACCGCGTCGAACAGCTTCTTCACCGACTCCGGGGGCCCATAGATCAGCGTCGTGCCCGAGTCGACGATGGTGGTGAAGTTGTTCACAACCTCCTGGCCAGCGACGCGCGCGGTGGCGCCCGTGACCTCCCAGTGGCCGCTCGACTCGTCGATGTCGTGGAACTCGACGTCGCCGGTGTACTTGTCCTTGTTCGTGCCGCCAAGGTAGAGCTCGGAGTCGGAGCCTTCGGTGAGGTAGAAGGAGAACTGGTAGGTGGAGAGGGCGTTGCTGGACTTGGCATGGACGAAGAAGGGGTCCTGGGCGAGGTTGGAGATGCGAGGGAAGGCGAGACCCATGATGCTGGAGGGAGATTAGTATGCTAAGACATACATACGCAATCTTACATACCCATCGATGGCCTCGTCGCCGAGGGTGGAGGACACCGAGTCGACCGCAGAGAAGTACTGGTCCTTGACCTCAATGCCCGCGGCATTGACTGCGCGTCACCTGTCAGTCGCAAACCAGGCTTTGAGTTGTCATTTATACGTACCGGTGTCGGTAAAGATATCACCCTGGACATTGGAGCCATCCGCATAGTTGATGGAGAAGTTACCCGGCTGCTGCTTGTTGGAAGACGACGCGCTCGGGTCGAACTTCGACTTGTCCGCGCAGTCATCGGTCGTGCAGCTCTTCGATGGGACCCAGAGGTCGGCGGAGCCGGCTGGGGAGGTAGGTTTGGGATTAACAACCATCTTTCGAGGAAGTTTGAAGACCACTCACTGTCAAAATCGATCCGGAAGGACTGCGGGGGCGTGCCGATCGAAATATTGCCCTGCCAGGCGACATCGCCGTCGATGGGCTGCATCGGAATAGCCTGACGAGCTTCAAGGTTACGCTTCACATGCACAGGGAGTGACGACTTGGGGTGGATGAAGCGCTACATTCGCTCGTCAATCCCACAATTATCCTATCAGCAGACGCGCCACTCACCCCCAGTCCTCCAAAGACATCCTCCCCGACATTCGCAAGAAGGTTCGCCAGGTTCTGCTGGTGCTTGTTGTGCGTGCGGACGGACAGGGCAATCGCGCGGTCAGAGTCAAAGACCCCGTTCTCCTTGGTCAAGAACGAGCGCTTGCTGATGGGGATGCTTGCACCCGACGGCTCCTCGCGCGGGGGAAGGGACACGCCGACATGGAAGTGGCGGTCCATCGGCGCCGCAGTCGCCAGCGCGGCCAGCCAGACAAAAGACAGTGTGAGTTGCATGACAATGAATCTGAGTGCGGTAGTTGGTTGGTGTGTTGTCGTTCAGCAGTTGGTGGTATAGATACGCTTTCAGCTAGCCAGAGAACGTAAGTAAGGACTGGAGGTTGGCAAGCTTAGAGAGAGACAAGTTGGTTGGTGGGCGTAAGAGACAAAGAACGACGGTGGGGGAGATGACGGGCAGCTCGGAGAAAGAGCACCGCGTCGCGCAGCAGGGTCCTTACGGTCCACGGTCTCGCGTGTCGCGCCTCGATCGGGGGGACTCCCGCGCTTGATGCCAAGCTCCAGCGTGGAGTTTCGGGATCAAATGTTATTGATCGCATGCCGGAAGCAAATCGCCGTGGACCCACAACTTCGTGGCCAGCTCGCAGAAGTCATGCCTATTAGGGTAGGCGATGGTAGGTGAAGTGGCGGAAAAGAAGTCCGAGTCTCTGTGAGAATCCCTTCTGGTCGCATCGCTCATGCGTATCGCTGCCGACCCCAACGGGCTCCAACTTGGACGGCGGTTAGTACAAACATCACGGCACTGATCTTTAATTTTGCGCAAGCCTATAGCCTAGAAAGACCGCCTTACCGTCATATGACACCAGAAGGGGCTGTTCTTCAGGACGATAGAACGGCAGCTGGCGTCTGAACAGGCTGGGTGATTTTTTCTGGCCAGAATTAGCTGCCACGGGACGAACATGACGCCTTTAATTTCGTCGTCAACACCGCCGCGCCGCTTTCAGTCAGGCCGTGGTAAAGCAACAGTACAGCAGACAGCGACAGTCAACGAACCAAGAAACAACTATATTACGCGGAGACGTATACGCAGAGGAACATACGAGTACAGTACGAGTATACTAAACGGTAAGTATAGGGACGACGTACGAGACCAGACAAGCGGATAACTGAAGCGTATATGACGACGCAGAGAGCAGAGACAAGCACGACGGAACAGCAAGAACGTAACACGATACATATATGATACAGAGGGGATTCGACGCACGGGGACGTATTTTTGCAATGGGTGTTGGTGCGCATGAAGTCAAGAGGTGGATGGAAAGACGTCAGGATGACTGACGGTGGGAGACGTCGAGAGATTGCCGAGGTCGCGAGTGCCGACGCGCCAGGGCTAAGAGACGATGCCCATCATCTCTTCCTCGGGCTCATTGGGCGGGAGCCACATGAGCTGGCGCGGCGCCTCGAGGAAGATCTGGCTGTTCACGACGGGGTCGTCGAACGTGATGTTGGGCTGCTTGGGGGGCTGGCGCCGCTCCGCCTCCTCGTACTGCTGCGCGAACTCGTTCCCGTGCGCGTTGCGCCGGTGCCGCCTGGCGTTCGACTGCACCGTGAAGCGCAGGTTGCACTCGTGGAAGCCGCAGACGTAGGCTATATGTAATGAAAATGGAGTAAATATTCTAGAGCCTCGCGTAGAGACGGCCACGTACGTTTGACGTTGTTATGCGAGTTCATGTGCGTCTGCAGGCCCCCGGGTCTGTCGCCGATGGTGAGCAGGGAGCGAAGGGAGCATTGGGCAGCAGGCTCACCGTGGGAACCACTTCTGACATACAGGACACTGGTGCATCTTCTGGGGACGGCCAGACGGTCCTTTCTTCTCCTGTGGACTGGCTGGCGGGGGAGATGCGGTCGTAGCGACCGATTCTATCGCAGATCGAGGGCCGGTGGATGCGTACGGCTGGCCAATGGGATAGCGTTGACCCTGGGATTCGTCTGGAGCGCCTGCAGCTGGTAGTGGCGTGCTGTAGCTCAGCGTCGGGGAGGCGACCTCCATCTTTGGGTACGGCGAACGCGGTTGGGCGTATACATGGTCAGGCGAGACGGGGGTGAGCGCGTTAGCGATGGTGCTATATAGGGGAGCTGGCTCTGCAGAGGGACCATCGAGGCGAGAGCCAGGCTGCACAACATCACGTGCGGCTGGATTTCCCGCCCGGCCAAAGGAAGGCGGTTTCGACCAGTAGGATGGCGCAGCGCCGCCGCTCGGCAGCTTCGAACGATCTCTCCTCCCGCCCTCGCCAGCGCTGGGGCCTTGAGGCTCAGCGACACCTCTCGCCGACCCGTACGATGCGCCATACCCGTCCTGGAAGTACGCCAACTCCGACTGTGCTACGGCAGACCCTGCGCGCCCTCGCGAGATCACATCTGGTGGATAAGCGCCGCCATTTACTTCGTTCAACATTGTGGCACGCTGGTCGTAGCCCTCCCAGCCCGATGTCGGGGTGTTGTATCCCTCCGAGGCATGTCTTTGGCCTATCTCGCGTCAACGTCGACCCAGCCACACCGTTGATATGAGGCTTCTCACCTTTGGTGCTATATGGGCCACCCGGGTGCTCGGGGAACCCTCCCAGGGAACCGACATCTGCGCGCCACGATGACTGGTCATTGGAGCGATGATACGGCGACGTTGGGGTGTAGGTAAGCTGGTGTAGGCTCTCACTGTAAGCAGGGGGAGGCTGGCTGGCTGACATCGTCCCTCGAGATCCATCCGGCCCTACGAACCCAGTAGTAGAGTAGCCCATGGAAGGGGAGACGGCGAGACAGGGTTTTTCCTCGTACGAACCCCATTCTGGCGCGCCATTAAAGCGGTCGTAATACCGTGAGGCGGCCTCGGCATAGTTAGAGTCGAAGGTGGGTTCACGAGGGGGATAGGTTCTGGGTAACGCTGACATATCGGCAGACGATGAGCTTCGTTGTCGGTTCTCTGCTGAATCTGTAGGCTGTACCGTCAGCGGACCCAAGATCCTCGAATTATAACGGCCGTACGCACCAAGCTCTGCCCTCTTCGCCGTGGCCACCTCGACAGCCGTAACTCGCGCGCTAAAGTCTCTGGGCGTTGCTGCCGACACGGGTGCTCTTCTGGGGCTCTGTGCTCGTCGTGGGCGCCCCCTCGTGTGCGATGGCAAGCTATATGGACGTCAAGTGCTAGGTTGGAGGCGAGAACAATGCGCCTTCTTGCTGATGTATCTCCCGCTCCGGATATGCAGCTGACAGCAGCCTTCCTGCTGGCCCGATCTCGCTATATCGATACTGGAGGTGAGTCTGCTCGTCTATCGTTGGCAGAAAACGCTGAGTTGCTGCGGTAGATTGACGCGGGAGCCAATAGAGGAAAGCGCGCGCCGCGATTCTTCAGCGAAGCGTGCGTGAGCCTGGCCTTTGCCCCGTGCTGGAATGACGAGACAAGTTCGGCGGGCTTCTGCCTCGTATAATTCCACGTCATGTGCTTCAGTGGGCTATCGTTTCTTAGGCGCAAGTAGAGTCGCAGGAATTGGCATGGGAGATGTACATTGACCGCTAAAGGCAACAAACGGATTTTCGACTGCTATTTGTCACAGTTTGCGATGCACCCCCGCTCCGGCTATTTGTTTTTACACATGTTCTCTGCGACGACCATGTACAGCGACGGTATGTACAATTCCTCGCATTCCCGCAAATCAGGACTCTACAATGACCTTGTGTGCGCAGGCCGAACTACGCGTGTAGGTCTTATGTAGGCCTGGATGTGACAGAGTTCATGCCACTTGTCCTCACCGCGCCGTTCACCGGGCGGCTAAGATCTGTGGCAGGCCTCCAGTTGGCCATCTTAACTCCTCCCGAGAACCTCGATCCTCAGGCCCACTCCGCTTTTCCGCGTCGGCCTGCGCTTCCTTGGCGGAGAACCATCGACAAGGGCTGATACTTGTTCACGCGTCCTACGGTATGTCACCGCCGGTGAACCATTCGACCTCCCTCTTCTTCTTGTATTGTAGGCCCAGCCAGTTCTCCATTCAGCCACGTATCTCTTTCTCATGTGCAGCGCACCATGCGCCAAAGGCCCGGCCGAACAAGAGGCTCAGCAAACCGTAACGATGGACATCAATAGACAATTCAGCCCACTACGACCGCGGAAGGTGCCGTCGGAAGGTTCGATGCCAGCATCTTCCATAATAAGTGCGGGAAATCGCTCCACAGCCGCCCTTCAGTAGCGCAGGTCGTGCGGGGAAACGTTGGGCCAGGCTCGAGCTGTAGCCCCTCAACTTCCAGACGCTGGGCTCCCATATTCATGACGATGCGCTATTACCAGGCCCATCAATCGAGAAACTCCAGCAGGTCACGACGCCTGAGCATCTTTCCGAACAAATTCCAGCCCAGCGACGACAATTCGTACCCCTTCGCCGACTAGCTGTCCTTCAGTCATGAAGTCTCTCTGTAGCGTGGATCACTAGCCTTACTAGCCAACTTCTTGACGTCGGACAGTTGTCTTGGAAATATATTTACGACTGCGTGAACGGTGCGTCCTCTACATTTGCGAATCTGCCACCCTGCCCATCCACCTGTCTCCGCTAGTGACTAGTACTGACTGATCGCTGCTGTAGTGCAGTAAAGCCTCCTGATCAGCTGAAGAGGATATTATCAACAAGAACGCCCCGCCATCGCCGGCAGACATCTGACGAAGCCTTCGAGATTCCTTCCCGCGAACCGTCCCCACCAGCAGCTCCAAGTCGCCGGTTCCCTGCCCTGAGTTTATTACGGGACTTCCTTCGGCCTCTTACTACACCCGCATCCAGCAAACTCCTTCAAGCGATATGTGCGCGTATGACCTCGCACGAGGCTTCTACTGTCGTTGCCACAAATGCGCGCATCGCCTCCAAACCATCGCGCTACGGCCGAGCCCTTCGGAGACGTAAAGACCGCTCACTGGGGATATGATGCCGATTTAGTGTATGCGCGCACCCACGATGGGCAGGCGACGAGATTGAGCTGCTGCTTCGCCATCTACCGCCTCATGGCTACGGAGGCCGGTGATTCTGGGACTGCAGGACAGGTGAGCGCGCAACGAGGCATAGATTTACTGGGCAGGCCATCTTGCGGTGTAGCTCTGGGCCGCGGCTCGAATTAGAGGTCGGCGGACGCCGTGACTTTGACTCATGGAGTCGCGCGCCTTCAGCAAGGCGGTAGCGGCGACCAAGGGGCCGGCGAGCCTGTGGCGGAAGAGGCGCATCCTCAGGCTGTGGCCTTGCATTCTCCTCGGAGACCTATGACGAGCGGTCCAGCTATGTAGAAGCAAGGGCTGGAGATGGGCACTTGGCACTCGTATCAACTTCAACGATGAAGACGGTCCGCAAATCCGGGGGCCAGCGTAAGAGGTATCCATATACACATTCCATTATTACATTACTACTACTGAAAGAGGACAAGCGATTTTCGCACGTCAAGGGCATGGCATGGTATCTGATTCTTCACTCCGCGCAACTCAGGAAGCATTCGAGGGTTTCTCGTGGATGGTCGAAGAGCGACTGTGTAGTCATTAGCGCTCCTCTGGCACGACCCGACGTCCCGCACTCACATAATGGTTGCCCTGCTCGATGACCTTGAAGGGTATCTCGGTGGGCGGCTTGTTCTTCTTCACCAGGTCCTCCATCGCCCACGCGCCGTAGACCATCATCCAGACAGTCGCTCCCGCCCATACGTAGCTGATTTTAGGCTCGCCCCAAGCCTTCCACGTCTTCTCGCTAAAGAACGCAGAGTCGCGGGCCGCACGAACGAAGGGGGCGAAGTCCGGCCCGATAATGTTGGCGTCGCCAGGTATAGCCCCGCTCATCTCGCACAGGTCCTCGTAGAACCTCTCCACCTTGTCCGTTGGCGTTCGTGAAGGATCGGGGCGGGTCCCGAGCCCCTTCTCGTCCCGGGATGCGAGATCGTGATTGAAGTAAGATGCGAACCAGGCGAGATGGGTTGGCCAACGATCGGCGGGTGGGATCGACTCGTCGGTGGCGGGGGAGTACAGTTGTGGGCGAGGTATCGCCAGGGCTTCGGGAGGGGGGTCTGGAGGGCAAGTAAGTATTGCTCAGACCAAGAAAAGAAGAGGGTGCGCACCATAGTAGATGAACGCATTCACCGCCGAGCTAAGACGCTCCCTCACTTCCCCTGGAACATCGTTGATCGCGTCGATCGTCGTGCTCAGATACGCATTTCCAGCGGACCACGCTATGAGGGCAGCGCCCCCTTTGCCGATCGTATGATCCTTGATGAGAGCATCAAGTAGATAAGCGTAGTGGCGGCCTTCATGACGATATAGGATGTTTCTCTCGTCTGCTGAGCCCTCGGCGAAGACGCGCTCCTCCTCTTGGGAATAGGGTGTCGAGCCGGCGTATCCCCTACGGTTTATACCGACGAAGCGAACGCCTTTCTCGTGGGCAGCTTCAGCGATGCGATGTGCGATGCCTATACGTCCCTCAGTATAAAGTGCCACAGCAGCTGGACATATGCACGCACCTGCCGCCGAAGGCATCCCCCATCCATGCAAGAAGACCAGCGTCAGGTAGTCCGACTTCGCAGGCGCGCCATTGTCAATTGCTCTGAATTTCGTGCCACACTGGGTGGTTATCGTGCGTTCGGTGATCATGGTGGTGGTGTCGAGAGGCTTGCAAGTGCGGGTACGCTGCTTCCACGGGTCCTTATAGTACTACCGAGCCTTGCATGACAGTATCATAGACTTCAATAGCCTGACTGATGACGCCGGGCAGTACTCAGCCAAGGCCATTAGTTAGGCGCTTATTTCCGGATGACGGAAGAGGCGAGCCCGAATGGTCGGCTTTTGTCAGACAGTCAGACGCGCTGACTACATGCTCGTGACAGTGCTCGGGTGTCACTGAACTAGCCACACCGACACCGACGAGCGCAAGAGATGTCCGAAAGTCTATAGCAAACGTACCTATGCAGTAGAATGAGTGAGTGAGATGAGTCCAGAGAAATAGGGGGTCCTTAAAGATCAATAAATACGCACACGCTAGGAATACATGCATCGACAACGTCCGAGAAACATCTATCATACCCTGCTCACGTTCGTCGTCGACGCCATCTCCACAGGTAGCTGGCTATACCCAAGCTCCTCTGCTGGTCGTCCCCTGACGAGCCCGCGAACCCCATCCCAGATATCCGAGAGGACGCCTCTTGCGCTCTCCAGCAGCACCGTCGACCATCCGGCTTGCTCTGACGCTGGCAATTGCTCGCCTGGCATGATGCTCGCCTTAGGTCGTCTCCACCACTTGAGGGTCAGTGAGCTCGTCACGACGCTGACGCTCGAAAATGCCATGGCGGCACCTGCGAGCATGGGATGCATGTAAAGACCGAGAGGAAGGAAGACACCCATGGCGAAGGGGATGCCGACGATGTTGTACACGCATGCCCAGACGAGATTGCGCTTGATGACGGAGTATATCTTGCGAGAGAGGTAGAGGGCGGCGACAACGTCGAGGAGGTCGCTCCGGACGAGGACAATATCAGCCGCCTCGATAGCGACAGAGGTACCAGATGACAAGGCAATGCCCACGGTGGCAGCCACGAGTGCGGGCGAGTCGTTGATACCATCCCCGACCTACATAGAGTTGTTAGCTAAGCCCGGCATTCGATATGCGATGAGCACTGACCATTGCCACACCACCCTTCTGCTGCTCCATCAGCTCAGTCACCTTCGTCGCTTTGCCCTGCGGGCTCATGCCCGCCATAACGCCTTCCGGCCGGATACCGACCTGCTTCGCCACCGCCAACGCCGTCGCTTGCGAATCGCCCGTCATCATATCCACCTCGATTTCCATATCCCTCAGCGCCTTGATGGCATGTTTGCTCGATGGCTTCGGCGCGTCCGCCAGTGAGACACCGAGGATGGGCACTGCGCTGCTGACAGTCGACCGCTTGAGTGCGACGTAGACGACGGTGCGCCCGAGTTCGGACTCGCGATCATTGAAGGCAGAAAGCGAGGCGGGAAGGTAAGCGCCGTCCTGGTTGAGGAGCTGCGCGTTGCCGACAACGAGGGTGGCCTTGCCGCCGGAGCATGCGATGGTCGCGCGCACACCTGCGCCGGTGACGCTCTCGAAGCTGAGGACCTCAGTGCTGGGGATGGACGCGCCCTGGAGCAGCTCGCGGCCGTGTCCAGCGATGGCGCGCGCGAGCGGGTGCTCAGACTTGGCCTCCGTCGCGCTGACCATCGCCAGCGCGGTCCGACGAGGCGTCACTCCATCCGCGCACATGCCTTCCAAGCTCGCATCGCCGAACGGCTCCTCGGTTGAAGCGGTGGCGGGCACCCAACAGAGACCAGCAACGCTGAGCTTGCCTGCGGTGACCGTGCCCGTCTTGTCCAGCACAACACGCTTGATGCTGCGACTGGCCTCGAGCGCGCGACCACCCTTGATCAGAATGCCGTTCTTTGCGCCCATACCAGTGCCGACCATGATAGCTGTTGGGGTGCTGAGACCAAGCGCGCACGGGCAAGCAACGACGACGACCGAGATGCACATCTGCAAGCAAGTAGCGAACTTGCTCGCGCCATGGCGGTGGAACATCATCGGTAGGTGATCCTCGGGAATGATATGAGAGGCGACGAGCCACATGATGAAAGTAAGGAGCGCGAGTGAGATGACAGCGGGCACGAAATACCCAGCGACGCGGTCGGCAAAGGCTTGGATGGGCGCTTTGTTGGTTTGCGCTTCTTCGACCAGGCGGACGATCTGCTTGAGCGCAGTGTCCTTGCCAGCGCGCGTCACAATCATGTCGAATGTGCCCAGTCCGTTAACGGTGCCACCAATGACGGCGTCCCCCGGGTGTTTTGTGACGGGCATCGCCTCACCCGTAAGCGCGCTCTCGTCCACGGTAGACGTGCCACGAAGTACAGTGCCATCCGCAGGGATCTTGTCACCGGGTACAAGCTTGACTGTGTCGCCGACCTGGACAAGCTCCGTGGCTATCCGCTTTTCCTGCGTGCACGCCGGCGCGTCCGTGTAGATAGTCGCCATTGAAGGCGCCAGGGCCATGAGGTCAGTCAGGGCTGCACTCGTCTTCCCTTTGGCCTTGTTCTCCAGGTACCGGCCAAACGAGACGAAGGTCATGAGCATCGTCGTTGTGTCGAAGAAGACCATAGGGCGAAACTCCGGATCCTCGTTGAAGATCGCGAAGAACATCGCGCCGACCGAGTAGAAGTAAGCCGCAGAGGTGCCAATGACGACGAGCACGTCCATGGTCGCGGAGCCGTGCTTGAGCGCTTTCCACGCATTGCGATAGAAGCGAGAGCCGACCCAGAACTGCGCAGGGGTGGTGAGCGCAAGGACAAGCAGATCACCGAGGTAGAGCCCGGTGCACATCCGGTGACCCAAGAAGTGCTTGAAGAAGGGGAACTTCGGGAGGACCATAGAAAGGAGAAATACAGGGATGGCAAAGGAGAGCGCGAGGAGGAACCGGCCACGCCATTCGAGGACCTCCTTCGCACGGGTGAGGGACTTCAGCTGCGTCGCGTCATTCTCGTCGGAGAGAACTGCGTCAAAGCCCATGTCCTCGATAGCATCGACGAGCTCGCGGGGCTTGACCAGGCCGGGGTCGAATTCTATGTCACAAGTTTCCGTGGCGAGGGAGACGGCGACCGAGCGAACGCCTGGCATCGCGGTGAGCCCCTTCTCGATAGAGCTGGTGCATGAGGAGCAGGTCATGCCATATATTCGGAGGATGATCTTGTCTGCGCTGCTTGGGGGAATGTGGGTGGCGTCGAAACCAATGTCTGATATTTCCTGCGAGATGGTCAGCCGTGTAGGGGTGGGAGTACGAGTGGTCTACGCACCTCAGCGATCTTCTCTGGATTCCATACCGCGGGGTCGTACTCCACGACGCCGCGCTCTGCCAGCAGTGCGACCTTGACCGAGCGTATACCGTCCTGTTGTCGTAACATGCCCTCGATGGACTGCAACCCTATCAGCACCCTGATTCACGTCTGCAGCCCTCCGCCCGCACCTCAACACATGCACTGCATGTCATCCCCTCTATCCTGAATTCGCTCTTCTCCGTCGCGTCACCCAGCGCGAGCTCCTTGTCCGCGTTATTCATGAGCGGCTCGTTCGATCCCGACGGCAGCTCGATCTGCGCGCGGGCGAACGACGCACTGAGCGGGGTCTTCGCCAGCACATCGCGTATGAAGCTTGCCATGGCAGTTGCGGATGACAAGGGTGTCAGTGGCGAAGTGGGGGCTATAGCGTCGGGTCAGGCGGTGCTGGTGGTGATGGTGGTGGCCGGATGAAGACGAGCGAAGAATCGAGATCTCCGACAGTCGGGGGAATTATGCGCAGATGAATTAGTCAGTGAATAAGGGCGATGAGTGAGAAAGCAAAGGGGGAGACAAGACAACGAGCGTGGGTCAGAAAGTCTGGTGCTCCTGCACGATAATCCTGTAGCGGCCTGCGCCTGAATGTAAGGCAAATGACAGCCTGGAGGTCGTTGGGGAACAGGACAACACCTTGTGCTTCCGGTGGCGACGGCCATGTCACGCACGTGTCACGAACTTCCGGCGCGCACATCGCCGCACAAGTGCCTCGAGCAAGGAGGCAATTATGCGAGTTCGGCGGGTTCTTATGAATGAGAGGCAAGCGCTGGAGCTTCAAGATACGCGGTACATTTATTAAGTTATACTCCAAGATGAGTAGTATGTACTGTAGTAGCATTTTCTCTCGCGTCAAGAACGTGAGTATCGTAGGTTGCCCCTTCACAAGGCAAACCGCGTCAATCGCCCATCTACATCTAATAGACGTAGGGGATGAACTTGTACGGTACGACCTTGCAGTAGCGCTGCCAGTCCTCGCCGTACTTGATTGAGCACCTGGGAGAAGGGAATGAATTTAGTAGAGCTCAGGCTAAGCAAATCATCCACTCACCGCTCAAAGTCACGCCCGCAACGATGGATGAGCACCGTGATGAAGAAGACGGAGTAGAAGTAGGGGATGATGGACGCGGTGCCGATGCACGCGCCCCAGGTGAAACTCATGATCCAGTCCGCGACGTAGTTCGGCTTGCGGCTGTAGGCCCACCAGCCTGAGGTGAGCAGCTTGTTGCTGGAAGGGAAGCACAGGTTAGTTCGAGGCTCAGCACAGCAGATAAGTCAAGAAACTTGCCCATGCTTCGTCTGGATGTACGTCGGGTTCTTGACCGTATTGCCAGGCAATTGCGGGAAGGCCTTGCGGAACTCGGTGATACCCTGTTGCTGCATCTTGAAGTGGCTCTTCTGCGCCATCGCGGTGTCCCAGCTGCGCTATCGTCAGGTCCTCTCCATAAAAAATGCTGCGTGCGAACTCACATGTAGTAGGCGGTGATCAGCGTGCCGTATAGCAGCACATACGTCGGCGTCGAGAAGCGGTACTTTGATGGGTCATGCGAAGCCATGTAGACGACGGAGTACACGTAGGACTGAGTGAAACGTCGGAGGATAGCAGAATATTGATCAAGAAGCAAGACGTACGAAGGGGACGCCAGCAAGGTTCCAGAAGATGACCATGAAGCCCCACTTCTCGTGGTACATATCCCAGGTCTGCGGGATGCACTCCTCACCCTTAGCGCTGAACGAGGGGTCAGGGTACATAGCAAGAGGTATTTGAGCGAACCTACCAAGCGTTGATGTAGAACCAGGTAGCGAGGCACATGAAGGCCATGTTCTGCCAAATCTAGTTAGAAAGAGACGTACGAGCGCGGAAGAAATATGTACTGACCGGCGTCACGTAGCCATAGACCTCGTACTGCTTGCACGCGCCCGAAACCGCCAGGAAGAACACAATGACCCACGGAATGCGGACCTCAGCCCACATCTTCAGGTCGATAGGCCCGATGCGCGGGTTCAACGACGCGCCCATGAACACATCGTAGATGAAGTTGCCCGACATGCGCATCTGCGTGCCAGTCGCAATCGCGATGAAGTACATTCCAAACGACACCGCGAAGCCCCAGATCATCGCGACCGTCATGAGGGGACCGTAGTTGTCGATAATCTCGGTGAGGCGGAAGATGCCGGAGAGGTGAAGGGCGGCGGCAGTGGCCATGGTCGCGTAGAGGGACCAGAGGGCGTTGCAGTTGTAGATCAGGGTCTTGTAGCCGAGGGAGGGGACGGGGAGACCTTCTTGCTTGAAGCCGGGCATGACCCAGGCGAGGAAAAGCTGGAAGAAGATGTTTCCAGAGTAGACCTTCCAGGCGTAGGCGTTGGGGAAGGCGTCCTGAGGGAGCTTAGCACGAGTAAAAACGACAAACGATATGGTACGTACAACGCTGACATGGTACCACATGCGCTGGAGGAAGGGGACAATGTCGTCCGTCGATTTTGGGTAGACAAGCCGGCCGTCGTAGAACCAGAGGCATATCCAGAGGTAGTACATGAGCATCGGGAAACCCGTCATGATTGCCAGTACACCCCATGGGCCGCCGAATTCATAGCTACGTGCCCGTCAGTCCCCGACGCGCCCGACATGACACGATCGTACCTCTCGTGCTTGTCGAGCCGCTGGTCGAGCTTCTTGCCCTCCTCGGTCACGACGACCTTGGGCTGCCCATTGCCGTTTGCCGTGCCATTCCCGTTGGCCTTGCCGTTCGTCCGCTGCCTGAGGTCGGACATGGTCGTCGTCGTTCGCAGTGAAGAGAAGAAGGCGCGTCTGCAACAGTAAGCCGAACCTTGACTGAAATCGCACGATGCGGATTTTGGTCGGCCCGAGTGCCGGCGGGCTTGATTGAGCACATGGGCGCGTATGCGGACAAACAAAACATGTTTGTTCCCTTCGCGCGCGCACTCATCGTCGCGCGTCCACGGCTCGCGCGATGCCTGCAGACAAGTGCGGCGGTGACTGGAGGATCGGTGAACCCTGAAGAAATCGCATTCTTTTCAAAGCTTTCTTCGCAATGGTGGGACGAGACGGGCGAGTTCGGCTTCCTGCACCGGATGAACCCCCTACGCGTGCAGTTCATACGCGACAAGCTGCATGAAGTCGCGCTAGACGAGAGGCCGGACGACTTCCGAGCACCTGGAAAGAACACGGTCTCACCAGCTGACGTCCTGCGCGACTTGAACGTCCTGGACGTAGGATGTGGTGGCGGATTGTTGTCTGAGGTGTGTGCTACGTCGTTCGTGAGGTGTCAATCCGCTTACCTTGGCCGCAGAGTTTAGCGCGCCTGGGCGCGAATACCCTCGCTATAGACGCATCCCAATCCAACATCCAAATTGCCTCCCTCCACGCCTCCTCCGATCCCTCCCTCAGCCCAAACCTCGAATACCGTCACAGCGCCGCGGAGGCCCTGGTCGAAGAGGGCAAGCAATTCGACGTGGTATGTTCCATGGAGGTCCTCGAGCACGTCGACCACCCCGCCGCCTTCCTCGACACCTGCAGCCGTCTACTCAAGCCGAACGGCCATCTTTTCCTCTCTACGATGGCGCGCACACCCCTCGCGTACTTCCTCACCATCTTCATGGCGGAGAACGTGCTCGCAAGAGTCTCTCCCGGCACGCATACGTACTCGAAGTACATCAACCCCAGCGAGCTGATGGACCACTTCAAGGAGGTGCGCTGTTCATGATGTCATGTCGGGAGTGAGAGACGTTAAAGCAACCTACCAGAGAGGCTGGATTGGCAGTCAGCTACCGATGCGCATGCAAGCAGAGGTGCGAGGGATGATATACAACCCCTTGAGCGGTCGCTGGTCCCTTGCCCCGCGCGACGCTTGGGGCGCGGACAACTGCAACTACGTATTCTGGGTGCGCAAGCCCGCTGTAGAGAGCAAGTGAATGCATCTCGGGACATGCGGGCCTATCTCTCTTGCTCGCGAAGGTCGTGCTTCGAAGACTTGTCAAGTCGTGAACAGGTTAGAGCCGAACGCCTCTCAACGACCCCAAGGCCAATCCTGGACCCACTGAGCCCGACCTTGGGCGCTAAACGGCCAAACTGATCGTTCGTTCTACCGTCAACTACCGACGTACCGTCGTCGAAAGATCTTCATTTCAAGTACCTCTTCCCGACTCGGGGTGCCGCCGACGCGACGCGTATGTCCCCGGCGCGCCCTCAACACTGCGTCGCTGCGGACCCCCTCTAGACTCATACTGAGTACGCCTTCGAAGGAACGTAACGTCTTCGGGTCGTTGTGGGACCTCTTCAACTTGCTCTTGGGACTCCTGCAAGTGGCATTGTAGACTGCGCTTTGAGCAATACCCTTCACGAGATATGCCCACTGGCAACTGGACGCCGCAGGCGCCGTCCCAACGCGCGTCGCGGCAACCACCTCAGCCTCGGGCAAGGGTGCCCGACCTTGCTCAAGATCTGTCCTGCTGGTGATAGGTATGCTACGGCTGGCGATCTCGCAGCGCCGTAGAACGCTGCGGGAACAATGAGCAGGTGAGGGACGCCCATATAAACCCCTTCACCGCCATCCCCTCTCAACACAACCACCCCTCCCACCCGACTCCGAGCAACTCATCCTCTACAGCAAGATCTTTCCCCTCCATCGACCCCGACAAGGTCACCACTATGTCTTCCCCATCCCTCTCCGTCGCCGTCTGCCTCTACCCCAACCTCACCGCCCTCGACTACCAGGGCCCCATCGAGTTCCTCGCCGCGCTCTCCGCCAAAGCCAAGCCCTTCATATTCAAGGAGCAAGCCGACGCGCTGCCCACTCTCGGCCCCTTCGTGTACCTCTCGCACACGCTCGAGCCCGTGGCGCCGGGCTTCTCTGGCGAGGCGGGCCCGCGGATGACGCCGGACAAGACGTATGGGGAGGCGAAGGAGCAGTTCGATATCCTGTTGGTGCCGGGAGGTGAGCCAGGTGCTTTAGGGCGCCGGACGGGCGGGCGGGTTGTTGTAGAGGGTCAAGCTGACGAATCTGCTAGGCCCGCCGGACGTCCCGCAGGAGTTGACCGACTTCCTGGTCCGCCAGCTCCCTGGTGCGAAGTACGTGCTCACCGTGTGCACTGGTATGTTTGCTTCCCTCATACTCTTCACAGACCTGATGTCCGTATCAGGCTCCTGGATCCTCGCCCGCACCGGCGCGCTAGACGGCAAGCGCGCTACGGGTAACAAGTTTATGTTCAAGACCATGCTTGCGGACACGGCCTCTCACAACATCGACTGGGTGGCGCGCGCCCGCTGGGTCGTCGACGGCAAGTTCTGGACGAGCTCGGGCGTGACTGCGGGTGAGTCGCCTGTGCACAACGCGAATGAAGTCGGCCGGCTAACTGACAACTACAGGCATGGATATGGCCAACGCTTTCGTTGCGCAGCTTGCGGGTGAGCCTGCGGCGAAGACGATTCAGATGGGGCTTGAGATGCGCGCGAAGGACCAGGACAACGATGAGTTTGCGGCCGTTCATGGCTTGGTCTAGGACAGAAATCTGTAGTAATGATTACAACAAAGCAAAAGAGGGTCATCGCATCGTTTTCGGACACAAATAAGTCAATGAAGTGCGCAATTGAAAGCCCATACTTCGTGTTGGTACCAGACGATCAAGCACTTCACGCAATTGATCGGTCAAGATAAAATGCTTCCGCTTCGTCAGCCAATACCAACACGGCCCAAGCTACTGATTCATTCAAACACTCTACTCTTATGCGAAGCGGACCAAACCAACTGAAGTAAGGCCGGCGCAATCTCAACCAAGGTAGTCAAGGCATGGATCCGGCTGTATGCACTGGTCACTACGATTAACTTCCGGGACGCTAGATATCACGTTGACTGCGGTGACTGCACGTATCATTAAGCCTTGAAGTGCTGCATATACCGTATCACATATCAGAGAGAAGAGATTGCGCGGCTATTGTTACAGAATAGGAAATCTTTACTGTAACCGCGTGGGAAACACCCACGTGAAATGAATGCCGCAGAACGTGGGCATCAAACGTTCGCTCGACACTTGCTCTTGACCTTCACCACCGTCTTCTAGCGCCTCACGAGCTGACACCTGTTGCTGCTATGCCTAAAGAAGGAACCAATCAAGTGACGCGTCAAGTTAGGCAGCGCGTGCAATCGCGCGTCGGACACTCAAAAGCTCCCGAGGAGCGGGTTGTCCGCCACACTGCGAAGCAGAAGACAGTTTCATCACAATCTCCTCAGGCGAAGCCGAAAAAGAAGAAGACCAAGACTGAACCTCTGAGCGAGTACGAGCAGATGTTTCTGTCTTGCGTCGTACCAGGTCACGTCGTCAGCGACCTGGACACCCCCGAGTTTGACGCCGCCTGCACGAGAATGGAGCAGGCCTGGGATGGGACTCTCCCCGAGGGCGCAGAACCGCCTGTGTACGCAAGTCACTACAGCTACCTCCCCGAGCAATATCGCATCCCGCAGGGCACCGTCATCCCGCCCGGCGCCCCGGCGACCTCGAACGGAGGCACTCAACGCAATATCTTATGGAGCGAGGAGACGACGGACCTCGCGCTTCTGGCCGAATTCGGCAGCATTGAGCTGGGGAGGAAATGGTTGCGTCATGTTACTGAGAATGCGGATACCATTGGGGTGTGTCAGATATAAAACTACCGCCCACTGTCGTTGTCTAATGAGGTCTCCTCACAGGGAACGCCCCACCCGGACGATCCGTCCATTCGCACCATCGCAATCCCCGGCCGCACGTATCACCTCCGACTATGGACTGGTGGCATGGATCAATCGCGACTGGTCTGCTGGAACTTCATGGACAACAAGACCGGCAAACCTCGCTTGCGGCCGTCCAAACTGAAGATCTACGGTGTCATTGAAGGCGAGCGAACACGCCTTGCCTCGTTGGAGGAAGGCTGCAACTTCGATCTGAAAAAGTCCAAGTGGCCGGAAGGCGCGACTGAGACGTTCTGCGCCGAAGACGGTACTATCGTCGACTTCATCACCGGGAATAGCTCGCTTTTGCGACTACAGCTCCCGTCTCGTCCGTTCGCAGGACCCCCGCGCATCAAGAAGTATCGGGAGTACAAAATATTACCTATCGAGGACGATGACGATGATGACGAAGAGGATGGCGAGAAACTGAACGGTGGCGAGGAAGGGGAAGACTGAGCTCTGCGTCACGCGCTCAAACCACGCTGTACATCTACTGCTCACGCTTGCAAATGAGAAATCCGTGACCACGGCATTATTCAACTCCCCGCAATCGTAGGCTACGACAGGGTAGACAGAAGTATTGCACTGGTATATTTTGCTTTATAGGGAGGGCTCAGTGAGCACTCGTTTGTTGCAATCGCCACGGAGGGGCTGAGGCAACTTCGGAGTGGCCATTGTGACCAAAAAGGAAGTGGGCTTGTGACCACGTGATGTATTCCGCGTGAATTGCTTCCGCGAACGGCATCAAAACGCTTCTTGCTCTCGACCGTCAAAAACTGCTCGCTCTACATCCCTCAAGACGCTGCTTGCCTTTTTTATGCCTAGAGAAAGGACCGATACAACCCTTCGCCGGGCCAGGCAACGCGTCGAAGGCGCACAAGCACTCGAGGCCGTTCGCCACCATGCGAAGCGGAAAACGCACAAAGCGAGCCACCCTCAGAACAAGCAGCCTGAATTGGAGGCGAAGTCTCAGCCTCTGAGCGAGATAGAAAAACTGTACAGTACCTGTACAGTGCCAGACCACATTCCTACCGATCTGGATACTCCGGAGGTGGCAGGGGACTCCACCCGAGGGCGCAGAACGCCAGTCATTACAGCTACTGCCAGAGCCATGCCATCCCGCAGGGCACCGTGATTTTACCGGGTGCTCCGATTACCTCGCATAATGGAACGGAACGTCGTATGAATCAGAGCGAGAAAATGTCGGACGCCGCGCGGCACACATGGCCGAGTTTGGGAGCGTCGAACTAGGGAGGAAATTCATGCCAGTGTTGTCCGAGAAGGCAGATGTCATTGGGGTACTCCGCCAGCATCTATCTACCTGCGCTGTCTAATGATGATCTCCACAGGGAGCTCCTCGTCACGACGACCCCTCCATTCGTGATATCCCGATACCCGGCCGCACGTACCACATTTGTCTCTGTCAATGGACAGGCTGCCTGGACAACTCGCGACTAGTCTGCTGGAACTTTATGGACAACAAAACCGGCAAACCTCGACTGTGGCCTTCCAACTTGCAGATCTACGCCAATTACGATGGCGACATTATCCGCTTCGCCTCGATAGAGAAAGGCAGCAATTTTGATCTGAAGAAATTGGATTGGCCGGAAGGCACGACCGAGACCTTCTGCGCCGATGACAGCTCGGTCATTGACTTCGTCGTCGGGCAGAAGACTCTCTTGTGTTTGCTGCTTCCGTCTCGGCCACAGTGAGACCTCCGCGTATCAGGAAGTACAGGGAGCATAAGATACTGTTGATCGAAGAGGATGAAGGCAATGAAGGGCGAAGACGATGAAGACAACGGCGAAGCGTCTAGTACCCATTTATTTTCTCCTGTCGCGTTGCAACTCCATATTGAACTTTCCTCAAGGTCTTCTGACGTGAGACATACGATGAATTAACCAGGACATGAATACATACAGTACCAACGAGAACATGCAATCGACATACATACCGGCCAAGACAGCAGATACAGTAGGCATCCAAACGCGAATGCTGACGCCATAAGCTACAGAGCAAGATCATCTATGCAAATGAGACGGAGAGCTCTCGCGAGTCTGCATTTCGCTCAGCATGCGCAAGGGCCTGCGCTCTGCACCTGCGACATGAAGTGAGTGAACTGGTGAGAAACTCGAATTAATACATACACCTTGGGCGATAGCTGATCCTTGTGGCGATGCCTGAGGTGGCTTCGGAGGTATCCCTGCGTGTTGAACCGATTCGTGCAGCCTGCCGCAGTACAATGGTACCTCTTCTTGTTCTCGTGTATCAGGAGATGATCTGCAAGAAAAACTAAGCTTCGAAGCAAGATTGCTGAGAGGGGATCGTCTCGCCTTGAAGATGCCCCAGCCTGGTGAAGGTCATGTCACAACAAAAGACGGGGCACATGATAGATCCATCGGCCTTGCGACGTCTGAATGCGGCGCCTCTGCGAGGCGGCGTAGATACAGTCAGGCGGTCGATCTCAAAAGGTGGATCCATAGCCTTCAAGGTGTAGAGAGCCCTTGCCATCATGTCTTCCGCCACTGGCGTAGCTGGAACACTCTGCGGCAGAGGCGTCTGGGATATATCGGAAAACTGAGGACTAGCGCCGTCACTGGATACGGTGTCGTGGGTGGGTTCGTTCAAGAACAACTGGTTGATCGACGCCGCTACATGGTCAGTGTCCTCAGCCGTAGGATGATTGGCGTGGCCACCATCGGCGGTACAATGGTCGCTAGCATCGACGGATGCTATGTTGGTTGAAAGGATAGGACCACTCATAGCATTGCTGGATGAATACAGGTCGTATTGACCATCGATAGCGTGGCCGCGAATGTCGCGCGCGAGTCTAGAGTTATGGCTTGGAACGGGATGGACGTGGTTGAAGGATTGGATGGTGAAGGGTCGACCGTAGTGATCGTGGATGGAGGTACAATTCACGTCACCGAGGCCCATGTTGACGTGGTTGGGTGTGCTCGTGACCGCGTCGACCACATCTACGGAGGCATAGTCAGTGAGCCTGTTGCATCGGAGACACGGCTCGTCAAAGAAGACTGACGTGGGAAGCCGGAAGGATGGGCAAAAGGCGCTGGAGCCAACAAGGGGTCGACGACGGCATGGTCCGAGGGTGCATGGAGGATGGCCTGGCTGGTGGATGGATGTGCGTCAGTGCCGCCCACATAGGAGTGTTGGTCAGGCTGGCCGGCGAAAGAGAAGTTGTGCGCCGCTTCGATGCCCAAATCCTGCGTCGACTGGCCCCCGTCCAGACGAAAATTGAAACCATGCGGGGTGTAGGTGCCGAGAGGGCCAGGAGCAGACGCATCCCACAAACCGCCAGCAGCCGCAGTACCGCCTACAGTAACTGTTAGCCTCGGTGAGCGAGGAGAGCTCGTTCACGCACCGAAGTGCACCTGGGAGCCGCCCTGGTGCACACCGTTCCCGGCAAATGTCGAACTGGCAAAGCCTGCAGACGATATTGAAGGCCGTTGGTTGAACCCTCGAGGAGGAACGCACCGTTGGCCTGCTCTGACATTTGTGGGTCCACGTCGCTCCCATACGTCTGCGCAGGACTGCCGCGATCAAACCCAGCAAATGGCATGGCGCGTCTGCCCATGCTCATCCGCGCAGAGCCATTCGACCAAGGTGGGAAGGTTGCAAACGTTGGGTTTGGAAGTCTGGCACGACTCTGCTGGGGGTCCCCAATTGACGAGTAAGGCAGCTGCTGCGTGTATCGACGGGACATGGCGCTCTTGGTGGATGGGCCGAAACGAACATGCCTCCCATGTTATATAGAACAGAGGCCCTCGATGTCGGCGGCGCGTTCTTCTGGACGACAATGTTTGATACAAGTGACCGCTAATAGTTGCCTGCAGACAGACATTGTCGGAACGTGGCTGGGGCTGCAATCGACGGGGCGGGTGTAGGATTACAGAGAAAATTATGGCGCACCTCAGCGGCATGCGCCAAGATTCGCATCGCGCACGGCGGATGTCTTTCGAGCTGCTACCACCAGAGAGCTATGGTGGTCGACTTGAACATTGTCAACGCGCGATCAAAGCGAGGTGCAGTCAACGACGAGAACACGGGTACCGACAACGGCGAAGAGCCGAGAAACCGCCAATACGCGCAACCTCACTCCCAGGTAACGGTGAACATTGTCCGCTGCAGGCTACGATTGCAACGCGCTGGTCGAACATGAGTGTGAAGACCAAGGAGCTCCGGAAGGATTTTTGTGAGCGCATCGACGAGGCTATGCACTTCACGCACTGTGCTGGGCAGGGGATGATCCGAACGTTGACCTAACAGATGGCCGGAGAAGCTGAAGGAGCGAAGCAGCAGACAAGAAGTAGCCGATAATCGCCACATGTCCCAAAGGCTATGCCTCTACCGATTGCCTGTATCCGACCGGCAAGTCACGTATCGATCCAGCAACCCGACCGATGTCCATCACCGGTAAGCACTTGTGACTGCCGGAACCGTCAGTCACCATGTACGCGAACGACAATTCAGTTGGCACCTCTGTAGATATTCTGCTTACTGCGATATGGCAAGCCGCTATGGAGAAATCATTGTTGAAAACAGACGAGAGTCGGTGCGTGGCGTTGTTTGAATAGGTATAGTAAGATATTCATGCGCTGCATCTAGTACTGGGAAGACACAGCGCCGGATAGACGTGAGGAGCCCAACCTTTGCGGGCGCGATCCATGTACCACGCGTGCATGTCTAGCCAAATCTCCCCTTGTGTTAAATCGAGACAGACACGCCACTTGGTCGCAAGCATAATCTCGACTATTCCGATGGCGGAGTATATGATCTAGACAGTCTCAGTATCGGGAAGGTCAGGTTATCGTAGCCAGCGCACCGTAAAGGTTTTTCTTCCGCGTAAACGTCTTCGCGCACTGATTACATGGAACCGGAGGACGGGAGGGAGATGCGATCCTTCTACGCTTCAGCGACGCCTGGGTCTGCGCCTGCGAACCGACCTCGCGCCTGCCAGGTTCCGAAGAGGCCACGTTCATCGTGGCACACGACAACTGGAAAGACCCGTCACCGTAACTGGGTACGCCGGAAAACATATCCCAGGAGATGCTTGGCAACGAAGGCCAAGACGAGAATATCGAGTCGAGTTGAGACTCGGGCGCGTCAGCAAAGAGCACAGGCGCTTCAGAGACATCGCCAAGTTCTGCTGGCACCGTAGAAGCGGACGACGAAGTGATAGGCTCGGATGTAGTTACTTGACCGCCACCAGTGGAAAGGGCATCGTATTCTGTAAATAGGCTCGATACTTGAAGTTTGGCCCAAGGTACATGTCGTGGCTTACCCAACCCGCCCTGCGCTGGACGAGCGAACACCTCATCGTCACGCGGGAATCGAGGTCCTGCTGGTCTACTGGGTTCGCGATGAGGTGGCACATATGGGTGAAGTTCTAACACTGTCCAATGGTCAGCGACAGCGAACGGACATGAAGGTTCATCGAAACTAACCGGTCGAGTTGAGCCTGGTATCAAAATCCCAGGGAAAAGATGCATGTTGAGACTGCGAAGGGAAAGGCCTGGTTGAGAGTTAGCGAGCGCATCTAGCGGATAGGGTATTCCACCCACGCTGAAGTCTGTGGCCAATCCATGTCTTCGTGAGCTATAGAGAACGAATGTCAGAAACGTCATCATATATAGGTCTCCGGTGGACTGCAGGCGTGCTGTTCACGGCGGGAGACGCGCTCCAGACGATTCGTGCGACGATGAAAGACACAGCAGAGTAGAATGTCGAACAGGCAATAATCCAATGGCGAAAGGCGCTTCAAGCCGCCTGTCATGAGGTACTCAGCAACGTTGCCTGCATAGAAGTGATCTTCAGTGTTCGCTGGCCGTCAATCGATGTTCATAGGCCGTCAATCCGGATTCGTAGGCAGACGATACATGTTCTCTGACCGACAATCGACGTTATAAGCATATCGAAGCAGCGCATCTAATTCGAAAGCAGCGCGCCGCGGCTTCTGCAGACAACGCACGTGACGATTGTCGGGCGCTAGGCGAGTCGCCGATGAGGCATTGTCTGCAGTTGTCGGTGGTCCTGATCCTTGCGTTGTCGGAGGTCCTAAGTCTTGCGCTGTCGGAAGATTGACGGTCCTAGCATGTATGCGCAGCGGAATGAAAGCGGCCCGCGCGCAGTCCCTGGACAGAAGGGATCGCGACGGGTAGTCGTTGGGGATTTCTTGCGCGCACTGTCCTGGTGCAGACGCGTCGTAGGCAGCGTAGCTAGGTGCTTTGAAGTTGGTAGAAGGTGTTGGACGGTCATCGATATTTTTTTCGAAAGGAATGACATACATCAATTCGAACGCTATGAAAGAGGCACACGGCAATTGCGACGGAAACGAACAAAGTCGTCGACGTCGGTGTCGAGACCCGAGCGTCGCACGATGGCCTGAAGGATGGCTTCCTGGAGTCATATTGAAGGCTTTGACTGCGACGCCAGATTGCATTTAGCGCGAAATGGATGCGAATGTATAGAGTCATGCTTAACAGCCACCCTCAGCTCGGCGGAGCTGCCATACCCTTCTTCTTCTTCTCCTTCCTCTTCTGCCGTTTCTCCAGCGCCTCCCTCGCCTCGTCCATAGCGAGCAGGTCCTTGATAGACGGGACGGCGGACGACTCGAGCGGCGCGAGGCGTGCAGGTGTTTCCTCGTCGGACTGCACTTCACCATCCTCGACCCCTGCTGCAGGCGCGGCCGCCTTCTGCTTGCCCTTGAGCACCTTGAGGGCCGGTGGAGTGGCTGGCCGGGGAGGTAGGGCGGGCTCGCGGGGCTCGTCGTCGTCGAACCAGCGCGCACGGGATGTCTGCTCGACACCTTGCATGGCGTTGGGATCGGCAGGTGCTGGTCCTTGCACTTCTCCGGGTTCCGCGCTGCCAGACCGAGGCGGCGCGTGTTCATGATCGCTCGCTTCCTCCTCGTCAGGTATGCCCTCGTAGTCGCCCGCGCCGGCGAAGATGTCGAAGTCTTCGGGTATGGGCTCGGGTGAGGGCTCTTTCGGTCTCGAAGGCTGGGGCGCGGGCGCAGGGGTCGCTGAAGTCGAAGCTGGTGGCACCGCAGAGTCGGCGGCAGCAGGCGGTGAGGCTTCTCCTGGCGCCGTCGCCTTCCCCTCACCACCCTCGACCTTGCGCTTCTTCTTTTTTCGCTCTCCGTCGCTCTCCGTCTTCGCCTTCTTCTTCTTGGGCCTGTCCCCCGCCGGCTTGAACCCTATCGACTTGAACTTGCTCTTGTCGATCGTCTTGTCCTCTTTCGGCGGCAGCGCAGGCGCGTCTGCAGAGGACTGCCCCTTCCGCTTCTCCTTCATCTGCTTGATGATGTCGGCGCGCGAGCGCTTCTTGGGTTCGTCGGTGGGTGCGGGGGAGGCAGAGAGTTCAGCGGGGGGCAAGACGTCTTCGCCACGGTAGGCGGCCTCGAGAAGGTCGTCGTCGTCTGTGTTGCGGGACTCTTTCGCGCGATTGGCTTCAAGGAGGGACAGATCGAGGCCTTTGACCAGGACGGTGTGCGTGCTGTCGCCACCGAGATAGCGGCGTTGCTGTTCGACCTACAAGAGCAAAATGGGTCGAAGCAGACAGGAAAGGGGAGATGTACGCACCACATCCTTGTCCTCGTTCGCCGTGCGCTTCTCAAAGTCCTGCAACAAGGCTTCCGCCTGCGCATAGTCGCTCGCCTTCCCCTCTCGCCGTTCAAACGCGCGATCGCGGTACTTTCCCTCGGTCTGCTTCTTGACCTTGCGCGGCTGGAATGCGGGCTTGGAGGCGTCTACCGCCTTGCTTCGCGTGCTGTCAGGACAGGATGTGGGGGAGGGGGAAGCGTGTGCACGTACGGTTTAGACTTGTCCGGCTTGTCCCTCGGAGGAGCGGGGGTGCTGAGTAGTTTCCTGAATGAATCCTGCTGCCGTGAGTACGTCTTCCTTTCGGCACGAAGACTGCGCACCTGGTCCATGGCGGCGGGAGGAGAGCGAGGCCCGAGGTCAAAGCGCGGGCCATTCTGCCAAGTCCGGGCGCGGTGGCGGCCCGACGTCATCACCTTTCTACGCGCCGACGCGTCTTGCCGCTCCTTAGCTTTCTACGGTGCTGTGTGAGAGACGCCGGATACTGGCACTGCGCCTCGCTCGACTCGCACCTCCGATCGCGCTCTCTCCCCCAAGCATGGACGGCGGCAGGTCGCCCCGCTGTCAGATGTCGCTCGCACTCGGTCGCGTCGACGTCATGGCAGGATCCGCGTTCGCGTTCGATTCCCGGGCGGTGGCGCGTACTTGTACTCGCGCCGTCTGGTCGCGCCGCCGCCCAGCCGTCCGTTCGAGCTCTGGTCGCGCCACCGCCCGTCCGGCGCGCCCCGCGTGACGTGACGCGAGTTGAACCAGAATGCTTCCTAATTGGGTGGGATTGAAAAGTTTCGCATGTACGACCTCCTCACAGTCCTATCTCGCCATCCGCTGCACCCACCGCCTTCGGACAAGCTGCGCTGGGAGCGCATCCCCCAAACTAAGAGGTTTCTCAAGTCTCAGCCCCCTGCTGGCACCCCTTCCCTTCTTATCCCCTCCGAAGCAGGCTGGGGAGCGTGACATTGGGCTCTGAATTATTGTGCAGAGACGACTTCGTGCCTGTTCCTTCTCGTTCAAAGGACAAGTGGGAGCATGTGGTCAGGCCTACCTCCCTGCAAAATAGCTAGCCTATCCCCTCCCTCCCTCCCCTCCCACCGATTTTACTCCCCCGGTCACTCTCCTCTGCCACCAGCGCCCGTCATCCCACGCCCAGCACAGACCCTGCTCCAGCCATCACAAATCGTCCGACAGGCACAGGAATTGTTCCGTGATCCTGCCCGACGGCCTCTCGAGGCTCTGCTCCGTCGTACGACCTATGATTTACCTTCTGCGGGCTGATCCGTGGTTGCTCGAGGCCCGTTGGTGGTGGGGGGATATAAAGGCGGGATGTGAGATGGATTCTCCTGTGCTCCACACAAGGAGTGAGCACAAGACAATGAGCTATGAATCCAGTAATGAGCTACGAGTGACGAGCTATGGGTGTCAAAAGGTACGTGGACCAGTGGGAGATGCGAGGGGAGGCCTTGAGGGATAAGTCGACAGGCGAGACGGACACTGGCGAGATGGTTGGGACGTTGCGACAGTTGGGAAGATGCTGGGGAGGTGACGGTATTCGAGAGCGACGGAAGGCAGTCGAGACTCGGAACACAGTCGAGACTCGGAACACAGTCGAGACTCGGAACACAGTCGAGACTCGGAACTCAGTCGAGACTCGAAGCTCAGTCAAGCATCGAGGCCTGTAGGCTTGCTGAAGAGTTGTGCAGGCTCACTGAAGAGTCTCGTCTGAGCTATCAGTGGGGTCAGACGAGTTGCAGATGGGTTCAGATGAATTGCAGATGGGTTCGAGCAAGTTGCAGACAAGTTCGAGCGAGGTGCAGACGATTTTGAGCAAGTATCAGGCAAGTCAAACAAGTCGAAAGCATAGATACGAGCAGCAATACATAGTCGAGATCCTACTGTGTATGTAAGGCCTCACACGGCAGCCATGATGGGTCGGGGATTTGCTCGAAGGGCGTCGGGGATCGGTATGTTGACAGAATGGGCTGAGAAGCTCAGGGCAAGCGTCAAAGAGCTCGAGGCGAGTGCCAGACAGCTTGAGGCAAGTGTTGGGGAGTTCGAGACGACGTGAGATGGAAGGAAAGGCCAGACAGTGATGCAGGGAGTAGAAGATCATGGCTGGAGCGAAGGACGATTCATTGAGGCGATAGACAACAGTTGGGAGCGAGTGCGAGGGCCTGGACAAAGGGTTCGCACTCAACTCACGGACAGCACGTACATACTGCATCAGCTTGCTCGCCGGACGCATTTCTGTTGCTTCAGCGCTCGAGTCGATGACCGAGGGTCACCCCCGAGTTGTGGGGGAGTGCTTGAGGTTGAGAGCGAGTGCTCTGCTTGCATACGATTAGTCGAAAAGGATAAAGGCAAGCGAGACGCGGGAGCATTGCAGG